GGCGCTATAAATTTTACAAGCTGGGTTGGGCTTTTTTTTCCTTCTTGAAAAAAACCCGCTTTTTTTTTTCATAATATGGCCTTTTTCCCTTTTAAAACCCTTCCCCCCCCCCCCCCCCCCCCAAAAAAAAAAAAAAAAAAAAAATTCTGATATCTCTCTGTGAGAGGGGATGGCCATCCCTGACCCCTAACTTGGTTTCCCGTGGAACCACCCCGAACCGAAACTCCCCAATAAACTCGCTCTGGGAAACATGATTTACGGTACAGATTAATCACTAAGAAACGGGCGTTAGAAATCGGCGTGCTGATGATGGCCACCCAGAGCCTTGTTTCCAAGACTAGAGACAGCTGTAGCAAGCGCGAGGGCTTAAAATCCGCGTGCTTGTGTCACCCCATCATGTTGAGCAACATCACGTAGTCCCATGGGGCTGGGGTGGGTGCGGTGTGACTCCGGATGGATCGGATCTTGTTTTCGAGTTTGGAGAATCCCGATGGCTTGACAGGGGGAGATGATGGTGTGGAAAGAAATACAAATGGCACCTGCATCGCCTAGGAACCTGGGATTAGGAGACGGTTCGCCCCCTTCATCTCACGGGACTCCTCTGCCACAAGTGACTTGGAATACTACAGCTGACGTCTTCCTCGCCAAGATGGTATCTGCAAGCGCGAACCTGACACAACTCTTCCGCACCTACATCACAGCTCTGCACATTCTCCATTACCATGGCGTTCTCGATGCATATGGCCATGTCGGCGTCCGGAATCCCAACAACGCATCCACGTTCTTCCTATCTCGCAACCTCGCGCCCGCTCTCGTGAGCTCTCCTTCCGACATTGTGGAGTACCGCATCTCGGACGCCGAGCCAGTGCGGCCCGATGCGCCCAAGGGGTTCATCGAACGATACATACATAGCGAGATCCTGAAGCGGTTTTCGGGGATCAATGCTGTGGTTCACAGCCATTCGCCCATCATGACCTCGTTCAGCATCAGCCATGTTCCGCTGAAACCGGCGATCCATCTGGCCGGGTTTCTAGGTGACCATTCTCCCGTCCCGTGCAACAAGTAGTCGTCCCCTCATGATCTGACTGTCGGCGCAGGAGAGGACATTCCCGTTTTCGACATCTCAAAATACTATAACGCGACGGATATACAGGATCTTCTCGTCCGAAGCGTCCCGCTTGGGGCTGCGCTAGCGAGAGTATTCTCGGACGGGAGCGCGAGGCGTAGGCTGCCGGATCACTATGTCGTTCTGATGCAGAGCCACGGCTTCACCACCTGTGCCGAGGACCTGGAAACGGCCGTGTTCCAGGCCATCTACTCGCAGAACGACGCGACCGTGCAATCAGACGCCCTTGGGATCAATGCCGCATACCGTGCTGAAGGCAACGATCGCCTTGCCGGGCTCGTCTATCTCACCGAACGCCAGACCAGGGATAGTTGGGAAACGGATCGGGGAACCATCGACAGGCCGTGGGCGCTGTGGACTAGAGAGGTCCAGGTCTCGCCGCTCTATGTCAATACAATAGACTAGGCCAACTCCGTCCTGCTGTGGCCTTTATGCACCCATGTACCCCTGAGAGGCCTCACACTTCTGATGGGCATGTCGAAAATTGACAACGATGGTGGGTGGGATGAAGGTCAGAGTGGTGAAAACACAAGATAACGCAGCAAGGGTTTCCATCATGTGGTTTTGTTTTCTCACAAGAGCCTACTATGATGAACTGGTTCCAAAGGCTCTCCAATTATCGTTTTGGGATGCCCTTCTCGAGTTGCACATGTATAGATCTCGAGTGAGGACCAAGCAGCTATTTCCAATGGGACAAATAATTCAACGTTTAGCACAAGCAATAATCGCAAGTCCAAGTAACAAATTCGAGTCAAATCCAATCAAGTAAGGGTAAGTTCGTTACCAAGTTTTGGAGCTTGTCTCTGCGGGCAGGGCAGTTGGCTATTCTCGCAGGGGCGGGCTGCCACAGCAAACATCTTTAGACAGTTGGAGCATGAAAAACCAGCTGCCAGCCACGGAACAAGAGACTACGACGCAATGGCGATGGCAACAGCAACAGAGACGGCGACAGCAAGAGTGCTTTAGCAGTAGTGACAGCGACGGCTAGCCAAATGCCCCCGCCCTAACAGTTAAATGCCCTTGCCTGAATAGCTGAATGCCCCTGCCCGCGGAGAGTTTTGGGCTTGCGTACATCACGTGATATATCACGTGGATATCGATTTCCTATACTATAATTGAACAACTCTCTCCTCTCCTCTGAACTACCTACATATCACAACACCGTTATCCAGTATTCTGACCAAGACTCTCGCCCGCACGTCTTTGGGGGGTTCGGGGAACCTCGGTGACTCAACAATTTTTTCCTGGTAGTCGCTGCCAAGCAGCGACTTGGTGGTGACACGCGCGCGCCTCATAAACTTGGATAGGCTCATTGCGGGTAGATTGAAAGGGGCAGCTGGATTGGTCTGATCTATTTGCACGCTTCGCATGGGCTGCCTTGATGCTTGTCAAGAGCTTCATCAATGGATGCAATCCACTGCAAATAAAGCACGGAAACCTATTTCTTGCCCTTTCCCTTACCACCTTTCCGTTTTTGGCGCTGTTTTGCCCCGACCATTCCGACGCAAAGTCTCACGCAAAAGCACTCTAAGTAATTCCGTGTTGTTCATGTTCTCGATGTCATAGCCGCCATCCTCAGTCTCATCCTCCTCCGCCGTTCGGATCGCCTTGCGCGTTTTCTTCTAAACCTTTGCGTAATAGCTTTGGCCCGGAACTTGATCGCTGCGCCCATCATATCCTTAACGGCGTTGCGCGATCCGGCCGGAATGGGGGGGCAGGTGTGGTTCCCGCTTGCGCAGGCGATGCAAGGGGTGGCAATCTTGCCTAGAAATAAACGGTCAGCTGGGAATGGCGCAGTGCCTCCGCTTCCTCTTGCTATTTCTAGCAAGAGCAATAGCAATAGACAGCAACGGCAATAGCGATACACAGCAACGATAATAGCGATAGATAGCAACGGCAATGGCGATACACAGCAACGGCAGTAGCGATGGACAGCGACGACAGCGACAGCTATAGCGACGGCAGCCGCAACTGTAGTTGTTTCCAATGTACTGACTGCCTGCCTGCGGAGCAACTGGCGCATCCCCACTGGAGAAATCCCCGTTTCAAATTTAAGCGCAAGGCAGAGTTTCTCAGTGCATCTCAGCTCCTGAATTTCTATGGCGGTGGAGGTTCAAAGAACGCAACTCCAAGGAAAGAAACCAGAAGACAGAGAAGGAGATGCCAACAACAATCTATACTTGTCTAGCGAGAGTGACGATGACGATATTAGCATGAAGGATACAGCATCTTATCTCTGCGGGACTTAGGATTATTCTCTGGGAGTAAGAAGATGAAGAAGGCGACAGATGTTGAGCAAAGACACTGCCATTGATGACAAGACGGTATCAAAACTTAAGGAGGATTTGCTACATGGTATTTCGAAGCATCTGGCGGTCTGCCTGGAGGTAATTTGACATGGCATTGCTAGGACATGACAAGCCAAGTTTGTAAGAGGTTGTCAGGAGAATAGGCGGCTTCTTAAGAGGCAGATATGGCATGGGAATTTCTCTGCAGGCATGCGCCATTTGCTCTGCAGGCATGCGCCATTTGCTCTGCAGGCAGGTGGCAAGTTGGCAACAGCTGAATTACTGTTACTATTGCTATTTCTAGCAACAGCAATAGCGATGCACAGAAACGGCAATACCGATAGACAGCAACAGCAAGAGTGACAGGAGTGACAGCAAGAGCGATTGTAGATAGCAACAGCAATAGCAACAGACAGCGACAGCAAGAGCAATAAATAGACAGAAACAGCAAGAGCGATAGGTAGTGACGGCAAGAGCGATAGGAGTGACGGCAAGAGCGATGGACAGCAACAGCAATAGCAATAGACAGCGACAACAATAGGCAACAGCAAAACCAACTGCCACCTGTGATGCACTAACTGCCTGCGGAGCAAATAGGTAGCACATGCCCCTGGAGAAATTCTCTATGGCATTGCGACTAAAGTAGAGATAAAGCCTTGAACATGGATGGTGTTGGAAGTTGGGAAGTGTGGATGGCATCGAGAAGTTGGTCTAATCAAGTAATCAAGTAAGTCAAGTCAGTCAAATAAGTCAGGTCAAGTAAGTTAGGTCTAAGACTGAGGTGATCGATTCTAATGGAACCAACCTGCATCAGACATAGTCAAGGTCCGTAATGAGTACCTATGTGAATTTACCCCATCCCCATGCATACAAGTGACGTTTCCAGGCACAGAGAATGCCTATATGGGAATTACGGCCAGGCATTAGAGAGTGGATTGTGATTCTGCACCACGTTTCGCATCAATGACGTCAACATCAGCGGGTCCCCCAACTTCGAACAAGTAATAGATGGATTCACATGTGACAGGAACAGTTCCAATAAATGCTCGACGACTCTCTCGAGACCTGGTCTTGTTAATACCTATATTATCCCCTAATTTGTCAACTGATCGACCGAGAATTTAGACACCAGAGTATTTGAGATACACTGCTCGTCGCCGTCCTCAGCTTGAGAAGCAGCCTCACAATGGGTTCCTATTCCCAAATGTGGAACCCAATCTTCCACCCGGTCTTGTTTCTGTACCAACTCATACAATGGCTGGCGGACAAGATCCTCTCTCCGAACCCGCCCAGCCCCGGCACTCATCTTAGTCGCCCAAAGATCGCAGTTATCGGCGCGGGGATCACCGGCGTCACGTCGGCAGCCCATTGCATCGGTCATGGGTTTGACGTGGTCATCTTCGAAGCCGGGTCCGAGGATAATCTTGGCGGAATCTGGAGTGTAAGCTGGCCGCCCCAAAGTGCTGCTCAACGCGCTAACGTTTGTACGAAAGAGAGTCAACAACACCTCGAGCCTCCAGATCCACTCGCTCATGTTTCGATTCCACCCGTCTGTGAAGTGGGAGCGTGGATATCCAGACCGCCAGCAGATCATCAGCCAAGTCAGGCAACTGTGGGAGCGCTATGGCTTGGACGCAAAGACGAAGTTCAACACCAAGGTCGACAGGGTATTTAAAGACGAAAACGGCCGATGGATCGTCAATAACACGGCCAATGGGAGATTTGAGGGCGTGATTGCTGCTGTTGGAACTTGCGGCGAGCCAAAGATGCCTCGTATGCCGGGCATGGAGAAATTTAAGGGACCGGTATACCATTCAAGTGACCTAACCGGGTGAGTTTCGATATGGGCAATCCACACCAGGACACGGTCTAATATCTCAGCAGGAAGGACGCAAAGGATAAGAAGATTATCGTCATCGGTGGCGGAGCAAGTGCAGTCGAGACACTCGAGTTCGCCTCGCACGAAGACGCGAAGAATGTGTACATCCTCTCGCGGAGCGACAAGTGGATCATTCCCCGGAACGCGTTCATCGACATCCTCCTAGCCTTCAACATCTTCGGACAGGAGACGCTCTTGTCATTTATCCCCGAGTTTCTGTTGCGCAAATTCTTCTACCGCGACCTCGAGGATATCGCCCCGGCCGGGAAGGGTCTCTACACCGACACCCCGATGGTGAACAGCGATGTGATGGACGAGCTCCGGTCCGGCCAGGCGGAGTGGGTGCGGTGCGATATTGAGAGCTTCACCGAGAATGGTATCCGCATCAACCGGCGGAACAAGGGCGTTCCTGTCGGAGGTCCGGGACGCAGCGAAGTTATCGAAGCCGACATGGTGGTAATGGCCACCGGGTACAAACGCCCCGAGCTCTCGTTCCTGCCAGACGACTGCTTCCAGAAGCCCTATTCCCCGCCCAACTGGTACTTGCAGACCTTTCCCCCGTACCATCCTTCTATCTCGGCGATCAATTGGTAAGCCCTCCCCACACACGAGTCCAGCTCTCGGCATCGGGTGATCCGCTAACAAGAACAAAGCACGTACATGGATGCCCTTGGCACCGTCGGGAATTGGCACATCGGCATCTACACTCGGATCCTCCTTATGTTCCTGATCGACCCCCTTACTCGGCCCAGCGAGTTCTGGATGGAGAGATGGATCGACATGACCCGGTTGCTGAAGGCGACGTCCCCGACCGGCCCCTTCGATTTCTTCACCTACCTCGAGCTGACCTGGTGGTTCTTCTTCTGCGTTGCCTTCAACCCATTCCGCTGGAAGTGGGCCCTTTTCGTCTTCTGCGGCCTCGGTTTCGCTCTCCCAAGGGACGTGATGGCGCTGGGGCGGAGGGCAGGATTCAGGAACGGTCTGGTGAATGGCAACGACGGTGGTGGTGGCCGGGACGTTGGAAATAGTATATAGATCAGAGGTTATCCAACGAAGAAAAAAAGAAAGGGGGTGTTGGCGTAGAGTAAGAGTCGGAGATAGACAAGAGGGTACCAAAAAAAAAAGGAATTTGCAACATCCACGGATATAATGCATGGTCTTAGATCTCATTTTTTGGGGGGGCGGGGTTCGACTCATAGCTTGGGAGTTGACTGAGAGTAACCGGCGTTTATATTATGATGCTCCTTCTACCTTCTCTTGCCTCGGTCTCTGCGGCCGCCTTCAAGAACCTTGAGTCGCTTTTGATACCTTTCGCCCATGCCAGGCCCATTGGTATTGCTTCCGCTCCCACGAGGACCATCGACGGTGTCGATCCCTCTCTTCCGGCTCTTCTCCAGGAGTGCCTTGGTACCTGTGCCTGCATTCTTGGTCTTGGTCAACATGTTGATCCTGTCAATTCCTTCTCCAAGATCCCGCCATTCCTCGCCACCAAAGTTCATGCGCGCACTCCGGCCGGAAGTCTTGGATTTCTTTGCCTTATCCTTCTTGCTCTCCTTGGGAAGCCGGACGAAGTTTCGTTCTTCATAGTCACGGCGCTCGTCCTCCTGGGCGCGTTCTGCTGCGGTCTTGATCTTCCGGCCACCAGCCACAATGGTCGTGCCAATGCTGGGTAGGGCGACAGGCGCGGTAGAGAGCTCGTCGGCAATGAACTCATCGAGTGTGGCTGACTTGAGTGTCCTCCGCTCAGCCTTCTCTCGCCGCTCGGTTGTGGGCATCACGGTTGGCGCGATCCTGGGAGGTCGATACGCGCCGGTTGCATCCTTCTCCTTGGAAACGCCCGTAGAAGCAGCCGGGCGCACAAATGCGGACAGATTGGGTCGGAACTGTAGATCGGAAACCTTCGCCGGCCCTGCTTCGCCTGCATCCTCCTCTTCCCCGGACTCCTCGTCGCTCTCAGAGCCCGAGTGTGCGGCGGAACCCTTACGTGCGCTCAGGGCACTTGCTGCCTCTGCAGCCTTCGCATTTCGTTCCGTATCGTCTGCTGCTCGTAGAGCCTTCTCAATCTGGTAGCGGAGTTTGTCTTCCAGAGGTCTGACACCCTTCTCGAGGTAGAGTCGGAGTTCGACAAGCTTTTTCACCACCGTGTCGTTTATATCGGGCTCGGACTTGGTCTTTTCTCTTCCGTTCTTCGATTGCCGGAGCTTGACGAGGATCAGGAAGACCAAGTTTTGCAAGTAGGAGAGTAGGAGTTCGTTCTTGACATCGAGGAGAGAGAGTCCGTCTTTTGGAGGCTCTACGCCGGAAAGTTTAGGGGCGGCTTCCAGAGCCGAGGAAAAAGACTGTGTGAGGGATTCCAGCAATGCTGGAAGACTTGATGGAGCGGCCATTGTCGGGCGTATTGAAAGATGCCCCTCGCAAGTCTTTGCGTCTCCAAAAATCAAATATAATATTTTTTTTGGGGCTCGGTGATAAGATAAGCGCCAATACATTGACCCGCTCCGCCCCTGACTCAGCCGATTATTGGAACCAAGCAACGCCACTAGCCAAGCCTATCATGTTGGACAGCTGTCACAGGTGGCTTGCCTTGTCTCCCAAACTTCTGTTGAAGTGTCACTGAAGAAGTTCACTTTATAAATACCCAGTCAGGTGAAGGCGGTTTAAAGACAACGAAAGCAACACACCCTATTGTCCCCCGCTGCATTGTTCGTCAAATACTGGGAGAGTTGTGCCTGCCCTTCAGGCTTCGACAGGCGCATGCGAAGCTTCAACTGCTTGCCAGATCAGCTCCAGGATCAGCGTGAGTCGTCTTGTATTGATCATGTTCTCATGTGTAGATGCTTACAGCCTAGCAACAGAAAGCGCATAATTCTTCAAGATGCAACTACCAATCTCTGCGCCGTCGGTGCTGCTTGCATCGCTCTTGGCGACACCCCAGCTTGCATCAGCCTTCTACCTCCCCGGCGTTGCTCCGACATCCTATGAGCCTAAACACCTCGTCCCGCTCTACGTCAACTCCATCAAACCGATAGCTTCCCCCCAAGATGCACTCCTGCACTCGGTCGTCTCATACGACTACTATTACCCCTTATTCAAGTTTTGCCGGCCGGAGGGCGGGCAACAGAATGTCAGGGCAAGCTTGGGGAGTATCCTGTTTGGTGACAGGATAAAGACGTCGCCGTTCGAACTGAAGATGGCAACGAACGACACTTGCAAGCCGTTGTGCAAGGTCACCTACGACGCCATGGCCAGTGGGTTTGTGAACAGGCGTATACAGCAGGGCTACAGCCTAAACTTTCTGGTGGATGGACTCCCCGCTGGACAGGAAATCACCGATGAGCTCACGGAGAGCAACTTCTACAGCCCGGGATTCCTTCTCGGACACGAAAACGCCCAGAACCAGATCTCATTCAACAATCACTACGACATCATTGTCGAGTATCACGAAGTCAGCGGGAACAAAGAACAACTGAGGGTTGTTGGCGCTCGGGTCAATCCGGAATCGAAGAAGTACACGGCCGACGCAAAGTTGGGAGATTGCAACACCGTACTGGAGCCCGTCCTCCTTGACGAAAACGGCGAGACAGAGGTGCAGTTCTCATACAGCGTCACATGGCTCAAGTCCGACACTGCCTGGGCCACGAGATGGGACAAGTACCTTCACGTTTACGACCCAAAGATCCACTGGTTCTCACTTGTCAACTCTGCCATCATCGTCGTCTTCCTGGTCTTGACCGTCATGTCCGTCCTCGTCCGCACATTGAAGAAGGACATTGCGCGTTACAATAGGCTAGACCAGATCAACCTGGACGACCTGTCGGGGACCTCTGCCCTGGAAGATGGTGTCCAGGAAGACTCCGGATGGAAGCTGGTCCATGGCGATGTTTTCCGGACACCATCCAATCCTCTCGTTCTCTCCATCTTGCTTGGCAACGGCGCCCAGTTGTTCGTTATGGCTGGCTTTACTATCGCTTTCGCCCTCCTTGGGTTCCTGTCGCCTTCCAACCGAGGCTCCCTTGGGACAATCATGATTCTCTTGTATACCTTCCTCGGCTTTGTCGGCGGCTGCGTCTCGGCGAGGGTTTACAAGTCCATGAGTGGCGAGAAATGGAAGCTCAACATCGTCCTGACGCCTCTTCTTGTGCCCGGCATTGTCTTTGGCGCTTTCTTCCTCCTTGACCTCTTCCTCTGGGCCAAACAATCGTCCGGAGCCGTCCCTTTCACGACCATGCTTGTCATCATCGCCATCTGGTTCATCATCTCTGTTCCCCTCTCCTTCGCTGGCTCCTGGCTTGGGTTCAGAGCCCCCATTCTCGAGGCCCCCGTTCGGACGAATCAGATTCCGCGCCAGATTCCCCCAACGACAACCTACCTCAAGCCTATTCCGAGCATGCTCCTGGTCGGCATCTTGCCATTCGGGGCCATCTTTGTCGAGCTCTACTTCATCATGAGCTCAATCTGGTTCAGCAAGATCTACTACATGTTCGGCTTCCTCTTCCTCTGCTACGGCTTGATGGTCATCACCTGTGCCGCCGTCACCGTGCTCATGGTCTACTTCCTCCTCTGCGCCGAGAACTACAACTGGCAGTGGCGATCATTCCTGGCTGCTGGTATGAGTGCTGGGTATATTTTCCTCAACGCCCTCATATACTGGGCCAGCAAGCTCTCCCTCGGGGGTCTGGCAGGCAGCGTGTTGTATATCGGGTACAGCGCGCTGATCTCGTTCCTGTTCTTCATCTTGACTGGTAAGTTTATAACCCCCGGCAGTGATGTTATGTTTGACGTCGGCGCTAACTATGGCACTCTCCAGGCTCCATTGGCTATTTCGCAAGTTGGTGGTTCGTACGTAAGATCTACGCGTCCATCAAGATCGATTAAACGCGCCTGTCCATTCGGATAAGGAATGCATATATGCGGGGTTGGGTGAAGCTTGGGATTGAAAAGCGCAACGGGGCAGGAGATGTACGATACGAACGTTGTGCAGATAAGCATAGTCGCCTCGTCATTTCCATTTCAGACTCGGCCCGGGATTACTCATAATTGGGAGTAGAGCAGGGCAGTCAATGCCCGGGCGTCAGGATGGCTGGCTTCGGTTCATACTTACGTAGAATAACATGGTCTGCATGACGGGAGGCTCCGAGTAGAGCTAGGATGACATTAACGGAAGTCCCTGGGACCTAGCTCTCAGTATGTGATATATATTCTTTTCTCAGATATACTTGGTTTACCCTCTAAGAGGCGGAGTGATGAATCGTGTTCCATACAACGCTATACAGGGCACACGATGCACACCAAGATGACTACCTCCTACCTTCACCATGCCATCAGACAGCCTATGACGCCTAAAATGCCTAGTCATCATCATCATCATCATCCAGATCCCCCATGAACTGAAACTGCTTCTTCTCGCCCGACCCAGCACCAGCACCCCCAGCACCCGCCTCCCCGGCAGCAGGAGCAGCCACGCTACCCCTCCGCCAGGCATCACCCTCGCCGCCAGCGCCGCCGGCCTCCTCGCGCTCCCTGGCCCTGGCCCTCTCCCGCGCCGCGGCACGGTCGCGCTCCTCGGCGGCGCGGCGCTCGCGCTCGTGCTCCAGGAGGCGGCGGCGCTCGGCCTCCTCGGCCTCGGCGCGGCGGCGGCGCGCCTCCTCCTCCTCCTCCGGGTCGTGGCCGCGCGGGTCGACGCCGGCCTCGCGCAGCTGCTGGTTCACGGCCAGGGCGCCACCGCGGATGCGCTCCTCGGCCGGCCACGGGTGGAACACGGCGCCCTCGAGGAGGTTGACGGCCGGGAGCATGTGCTCCGGTAGTGCTGTTGCTGTTGTTGACGTCTGGGAGGCGTCGATGGCCCCGGTGGGTTGGGAGGAGGAGGACGGCGCGTCCGCGCCTCCTGTCGTGGCTACGGGCGTCGCGGCCCCGCTGGCGCTGGCGGTCGTCCCGTCTGCGCCTGCGGGCGTTGTGGTGCCTGGATCGCCGTTCTGCGAGATGGGCGGTCCGGTCGGCGGTGGGGGCGCCGTTAGGTCGACGCCGTTTGTCACGCCTGGCGGCGGGAGGGTCGTGCGGCTTATGCGGCGGGCGTAGTTGAGGAGTTCGGCGTAGGTGAACTGGTACTTTGGGCCCGAGGGTGGGTAGGTGGTCGTTGGGGTAGCAGTGATTTCCTTGCGGGTGGTCCAGAGCACGGAGATGGTGTTCTTGATCTGGGCGTCCAGGTCGGCCGTCTCTTGGCGCAGCTTCTGGATGCGTGCGTAGTTGTTCTGGTGGGTTTGGAGCTGGGTGAGGCCGTTGCTCAATTCCCTGTCCGACGCGGCAAGCTCGCTGGCCTGCGTGCTGGAGGGCGTGTACTTGGAGATCGAGTCGATGAGGCTCGCAAGAGCCCGTTCGACTCGGTCAAACCGGCTGTCAATGTATTTGTCCATCTGTGTCAGTTTGAAGTCTGACAAGGAAACCTGTTAAGTTCCACGTAAAAGGCAAATCAATTGATCCTAGGAGCTTGGGTGACGGGGTCGCCGAGCGTTTGAATAGAGCTCTTTAATTGGCTGATGAAACTGTGGCCTCAGGAACCAACGCTTATCCGGCTTTGTCCGGCAAGAACTCTTTTAACAACATCAAATCGCATCACCACGATCCTCTTCCGCTTCCCAGCCATTGACACCCCTGGTAGTCGTCTAGGACTTCAGCAATCAGCATGCCTTTTCCTGTGAGTATTTATTGACCCGTAAATTCCCCAGGGAAGAGCCACTGGCTCCCGGCTTCTTGCGCCCAACTGCGAGCTGACCTGTCCGCTCCTTTTAGACTCCGGTCCTCAGGGCAGGTGCCTACCCCTCGTACAAGAGCCCCTATGGCCCGAAGTAAGCGATGTCCCGACTTCATTCGTCCCCCGAGCTCGAAATGATTTGCGACCTGCCACCAGGCGAATGCTGGTCGCGGAACGGCCGATTGAACTTGAACCCACGAATGCAACATTGGATGGGTTGCTGATGGATTAATACAGGTACCACTACCAGCCAAATGTCGCTGGGATCACCTCGAAGCAACTCTTCAGATAGTAGGTTGAAGTCTTTCTTGATCGTCAAGCCGCGCGGGACTGGATTGGGATGGGATGAACCGAGATGGAAGGCCACTTCACCACGTCGAACTTTGGACTCCGGCATGCCCAACCTGGGATCCTACTGTTTTCATGCTCTCATGCATGCTTTGGGTTTGGACCAGGCACTAACTAGTCAACAGCGGACTGAACGCTGGTGCGTTCGGAGGCGTTGCCCTGGTCGGCGTCCTCTACTACGCCTCGGGCATTCCCAGAATACAACAGGATATCCTCCAGGTATGGGCAATTCATGAGGGCAAGAAGGAGCCGCCTGATCTGACATACTTCAAGAAAATTCCGTTCCTTAGAGGCTATTTCATCCATGAGATCCCGGCATCGGACAACGTGAGCAATAATAGAGCACTGAATCTGCTGGACCTCATGCTAACCGAACTCACAGCCATTCTAAGTCTGGCCCGCATCTCGCGACCAGAAGCCGTTTTAGAAGATGGGTAGTTGGAGAAGAGAGTGGGGGTAATGCTCATGCTCTTGAGCAAGTAGTGCTCTTGAGCATGTTTGACGACAATGGCGTGTATAAAAGCAGCATAATATAGACCTGAAGCCATTCAACCCCTGATATCAGACATTGCCTGTTCCAAGTCTTCTTCGTCTCTGATACCTTGTTACAGCTAGGTGTTCAGTCAACAGATATTCTCCTCGTGGCTTGAGGTGGAAGGCAGTAACGCCTGTCGAAAGAAGCAGACCAAGGCTTGGTTCATGGTCGAGTGACTTCACCTCGGTGACTGTGCACGGGCCACCTGCAATTTGACATGTGGGCTTTCTTCAATGGCAACGCTGTCCTGCTCGACCCTCCAATGCGAGGCCATTCGGGGGATTCGATTTTTTGTGAGTCTCAGGGCTATGTTTCAATTGAGAATGCCCATTGCCACTCGTTTATTTGACTCAACCTCTCTTTGAATATGGCCTTTCTCGAGGCTCTGAGGGGAGAAATGACCCGTGAAGTGCTGGAGTCATCGCTGGTGTGGCTTCTTATCGCTGGTCGTTTCCACACCACCCTCTTTCGGCGATCCGGCGAGCAGACTTCCTTCTGGGCCTCACTCAAAGTCCATGCCGCCATACACTGGGGTGTTATACTTCTCTACTTGTTCTGCAATGCCTGGATGGCAAAGGTCAATGCGGTGGTCGCCGAGCCTTACCTGGTCCGTCTTCGGTCCTGTCTGTCGCCCCTTCGCCTCTAACTCGGTCTCAGGACGAAGTATTCCATATTCCCCAGGCGCTGCAATACTGTAAAGGCAGGTATTACGAATGGGATGACAAGATTACCACTCCCCCAGGCCTGTATGTTGACTAGGCACCTTCCATCCCACGTCCATCCACTGACACCCAGTAGGTATGCTCTAAGTGTGTTATACCACAGGGTATGGGGGTACTTGTGTACCACCCCGAGCCTGCGCCGTATAAACCTTTACGGCATCCTTCTCGTCGCACACTTCGCGTCGGTGACCCGGCAATCCCTGGAGGCAAGATCCGCGGGTGGTCGCCCCCCGTCTCAAACCCCATCCTTCTACGCAACCCACGTTGCTACCAACATTGCCCTCTTCCCAGCTCTCTTCTTTTTCTCTGCCCTATACTACACCGATATCGTTTCGGCGCTCGTAGTACTCGTTTCGTATCAGAACCACCTGAAGCGCCTGTCCCGAGATGGGGAAAGTGGGCTCGCCAGCAGCCTCTGGACGGTTCTCCTGGGAGTTGCCGCCCTTTTCATGAGGCAAACCAACGTCTTCTGGGTCGTGGTATATATGGGTGGCCTGGAAGCTGTCCATGCCGTTAGATCGTTGAAGCCCACTTCGGTCGAGACACCGCAGTTCACGACACTTGCCAGCTTAGTAAGGTTCTACTCGTGGAGGTACTCTATAGGGGATATCCACGACCCGCCATTGAGCCTTGCGCGGAACATCGGTGAGTTTTGATTTATTTTGGTTCATGTGTTCGACTCATGCTAATCTGTCAGACTGGGTGTTCTGTGTTCTCAGCATCGCTATCGCCGCGGTGTGTAACACTGCGAAGGTGCTGAGACAGATATGGCCGCATATTACCATCATGGGACTTTTCGTCGCCTTCGTTGTCTGGAATGGAGGTGTTGTGTTAGGTATAGTTCCCGCTTGAGATGTCCTGGCTATTCTATACTAACGACTTGCAGGAGACAAGTCCAACCACATTGCGACCCTGCATCTTGCGCAGATGCTGTATATCTGGCCCCTGTTCGCATTCTTCTCGACGCCGCTTCTCATCCCGACTGCGGCATCCCTCGTTTCCAGTGTCTTGCAGACCACTTCACGGGTTGTCCGATGGCAGAAGCCTGGTGAAAGGTCGAGGCCAACAGCCGCACAGGACGACGCGAGGAAGCCACCCCCCGTCCGGACAGAGCGGAAGAGCTCAGTATCCAACCTTCAGAAGTCATTGGCTCTCATAACCACCGAGTTCTTGTGTCAGAACGCGTTTCCCCCAATTTTCCTGCTAGGCGGTATCATCCTCTCATTGGCGATTGTCAAATACAACACTATCATCCACCCATTCACATTGGCCGACAACCGACATTACATGTTTTATGTCTTCCGCTACACCATCCTCCGTTCGACCAAGGTGCGACTATCCCTGGTGGCCGTCTACGCGGGCAGCGCCTGGCTGGTGTGGAACCGCCTCGGAGGGTGCCCAGCCACTCCCTCGCGCGAGACGAACCATGCTAGTCCTACGGAGCAAGGCACCACCATTCCCTTCATCAGCACCCCTTTCCCGCCGGCAACCATGAGGGAGAGCCAGGAGCACCCCAGAGCGGGAGGCCCACGGCTCTCGTCCCCCAACAACCGGGCCGCCGTACCTGCAGACGAAGTCGTCACTCTCGACGACCCGACCTCCACCTCGACCACATCCCCCCCGACATCCACCGCCCTCCTCCTGTTCCTCACCTCGGCGCTCTCCCTCGTCACAGCCCCGCTCGTGGAGCCACGCTACTTCATCCTCCCGTGGATATTCTGGCGCGTGCTGGTGCCCGCCTGGCCCGCCCGCGGGTCTCGCGGCCCGGAGTCTCTCGGCGCCCGGCTGTCTCACGTCGTCCCGGGGGCGGCCTGGCTCCACCGGCAGGGCCGCAGGTTCGACCTGACTGTGGTGCTGGAGACGCTGTGGTTCCTGCTCGTCAATGCCGGGACCATGTACATGTTCCTGTATAAGCCGTTTGTGTGGAAGGGCAGTGACGGGTCGGTTCTGGACGGCGGGCGGACCCAGCGGTTTATGTGGTAGTCCCCCGCCTTGTTTTGTCGCATATGACCGGCTGCTTGCCGAGCTGGGGTTCTGACTTCGGCCGCGGCTCATCCTCGGTATTGGTCATTGCACGTGTGGAAGTGGAAAGGCTACCGAAATAGAGAGAAGATAAGATCAACTTTTACGATTCATTGTATGCATGCTTGCTTGCTTTTCTGTTCTCTAAGATGCCGTCGAACGGGCTTGCCAAAGTTAGGCCATCTTCAAAATGCCAACCGTACCAAGCGAGCGGTCCCTCCTCTTTATGTTCAGCCTTCGCAGGTCTATGCCTTGGTAGGCACCCTCTTCTTCATCCTCCGTCATCTCCGGTGCGCGAGTCCGATGTGTCCATGTGTCCGTTATTGTAGCAAATCCCGTAACCCCGAGGCATACGTAGGCCCCTTTATGTGAACCCGAGCCCCGAGAACCCCCAAGATCCATAAATACCCCAAAGCCAGAATATCAAGATGTCGGATACATACCCAATGTCCGGAACGCCGAACCGTAAAACGACAGGCCATGACCATCCCATTTCCGTTCTCAAAAGGATTCGTCCGGGTAGAGCAAAATCGGTGAAGAGTCATGCATCGCCAACGTAAACTCTTCACCCTTTCCCCACCATATCCCATTCACCGAAAGAAGCTCCCCTTCTTAGTCAACCCCCTCATAAACTCAGGCGGTCCAGACTCAGCCTGTCCCCACTACGCACCCGTCTGACAACACCCAGCTTAAAGAACTTCTCCTCGCCGGCCGCCGTCCGGCCGCCAACGTACCACTTATCCGCCCCGAGGACATCCCGGAATCCCTCGCTGCTGCTATCGCTGCCGCGCCGTCGGCCGCTATCGCCACGTTGCGGGATCGGTATCGCGCCGTGGTGCTGCTGCTGGTGCTGCTGCTGCTGCTGCTGGTGACGGTGGTGGTGGTGGTGCCGCGCCGAGTGGTGCATGGGCAACTGGCCGACGACACCTCCGCCTCCTCCTCCCGACGAAGGCGTCCGGGTCGCCTGTGGCGGGGGCGACGAGGCGGCCGAGACCGGGGAGGAGGACGGTGTGGCGGCGGAGTTGGAGGCGTTGTTGGTGGACGAGGAGATGGAGCGGGGTCCCGCGGCGGCGGCGGAGGAGGACGAGGATGCGGACTGGTATGCCGCCGAGGAGGATGCGGATTTGCTGGGCTGCTGGGAGGAGAGGCCGGAGGGGGCCTGCTGGCGGAGGGCGGCGAAGAACGTGGAGAGGAAGAAGGGGCGTTGGGAGGGCATCGTCGGTTGCGCCGCCTGGGTGATGGGCATGGGCGGGCTGGGATGGAATGGGATGGGTTGATCGAGAGTTCTTGGTCCGGGTTATGGCGTTGAGGGATTTACTCGTGGAGAAGGTCCCAGGGGTCGCAGCTGGAGATCCTGCTCCGTCTAGTAAGCGTGAAGAAATGAATCCCATGCAGTGTTCTTCCTTCCTTCCTCCCTGCTCCAAGAGCCACGCTTGCCCTTTTCCTGGCGACCTGTGTTGGTTGGCGGGCTAGCGGATGTGCCACTCTATGTCGTCCCGGGATCAGTTGGTTGCCTCCGGCTTGTGATAGTCGCCGCAGGATCCGTGTGTCGGGGTTTTCCAAGTCTAAGCACCTTGCCTAGTGGTCGCGCTCGGCCTTGTGAGGGCCAGACAAGAGTTCTTCCAAACAGAGATATTTAGAGGGAAACAGGAGATAAGGCTGCTCTTGTTCGTTCGATGGTGCACACCAGGAAATGGTGAAATCAGATGGCGGGGATCCGTCCGGCTTGTACTGACGTCGAGGCGGCCATGAGGTGGAAGGACATCGGTTAATCCCGGAACTGTCAATGGCTGTTGGAACTTGGCGGGTCCACAACGCGGGGTCCTGGGAATGTGGGACTTATCTGTAGGTAATAGAGTGCCCGCGATAGGTTCTCAGGCGCTGCCAAGGCCCCACATGCCGATGTGCCTCTGATGAGCTGCTCATCAAGACTTCCAAAACCTGGTCATCCTTATCCGTCACTTGAAGATATCGACTGCCCTGTCGGAAAAGCGACAATTACCTCAAGCTAGAAGCGCGGGGTAATTCAATCCAGGCTTACTGCGTCTCTTTTTTTGCAATGGGGCATCCATTGATAACCGGGTACTTCTTTTTCAGTCTACACGAACACAAGCATACCTACCTACCTACTATGTAAGGTACCTACCTACCTACCCACTCCTGAGTCATGTTTCCAAGTCCCATCAGTGAGCTGTGTGAATTCCAGGCCCCTGCCAGCTTGCACCCGAGACCATTATTCTAGTGAGAAACTAGGGACGGACAGTCGCGTGGAGTAAGCGGAGAACCCTCGACTCCAACGAAAGGACATTTTGCATGGGACATCGTATGATACTAAGGATGTGTCAATCCCAGCCAGGGCCCAAGACTAGTTACTGTTGGAGAGGGCGCCGTATATCCGCGGAGGTCTTCGGCCTACCGGCTCTGTTTCAAGCCCCTCATTGAGATTCTTACTAACTTGAAATAGGCAGGAGACCGCTACATGTCTATTTCTCCCTCTAACAATGGTGTTAATGGTCAACTGGGACTAGCCCCTTTGGACCCCATACACAGGAAGACAACCTGCCTGTCTTACACAGACGTCAAGATGATGACGGCCACAAGGTAAGAAGCAAAAAGCAAAAAGGTAGTTTAAACAATCTTCCCATCCTCCTGCCCCTTTTCGGCTGTGATGGTCTCCCCAAACTCCTGGGTCGAGCTCACATCATCATACGCGAGCCCGATGTCGACAATATCGTCGCCGACCTCCATCCAGCGGTCACTACAGGCCGGGACGGGCCAGATCTTGCACAGACCCCAGTAGATGCCCGAGGAGACGATGAAGCCGCCGAAGAAGTTGAGGTTGTAGACGTACTTTGCGCCGACAGGCACCTCGCGGCCGATCTCGCCGACGAAGCCCACGACATTGACCAGGATGCCGGCGATGTAGGCAACGTAGGCGCGCCAGTGGATGCCGACGCCGAAGAAGTAGGGCCCCGTCTTGCGCGCATCGTACAGCTCCTTGACCTCGAGGTAGCCCCTGCGGACTAGGTAGTAGTCCGAGCACATGACGCCGGCAATGGAGCTGAGGAAGACGCTATAGGCGGACAGGTAGGTCGTGAACTGGTTGCTGGACGTGAGAAGCGTGTACGGGCACATGGCTAGACCCACGACCGCGCAGATGTAGCCGCCGCGCCGGATGTTGAGGAACCGCGGGAGCAGCGCCGTCATGTCCGTGCCGGCCGACACCGAGTTGGCCGCGATGTTGGTGCCCAGCTGCGCGAGCGCAAAGGCCGTGGCGATGACGAAGACGCCGAACCGCTGCGCCGAGCCGCCGTCCTCGATGAAGCGCTCGAGGAGGTCGAGCGGGTCCCAGATCGGCTCGCCGCCGTAGATGACGCTTGACGACGACGACACGATGATGCCGATGAAACTCGTCACTGCGAAGCCGATGGGGATGGTGAGGAGCTGCGACCACAGCGCATCGCGCGGCTTGCCAGCGAAACGGCTGAAGTCCGGGTCGTTGACTACGAGCGTCGCGAAGTTGGCAATGCTGCTCATGACACCTTTGATAAACTCCCACGCCAGCTGGCTGCCAGATATCGTGGCCGGCTGCCGCACGATAGGTCCGACACCGCCGGCGCGGACGATGGCCCAGATGAGGAAGGCGATGCCCGCGCAGGGGACGAAGTAAGCCTTGACGGTGAAAAGGTGGCGCACCTTGTGGACGGGGAACCAGAGGGCTGGCAGAGAGCAGAACCAAAAGAGGAAAAAAGAGGCGTAATCGGCTGTAGATGTGCCCGAGTTGGGGGGGAACGTATTAGGGATGGTCTCTCGGTCCTACGACAGGGAGTTAGCAGGCAGTTGACAGTCAGGAGAAGTTACATATGAAAAGTGTTGCATACCCAGCTCTTCCAGATGGAACGGATCATCAAGTAAACGCAGTGGCCGCCGATATAAGACTGGACACCATACCAGACACAGGCTAATCAGTGGTAAGTAACCGTGTCGGTCAAGCCTGACTGCCAACCCATAGTCCAAAATTAAGATGCAACGAACCCATAGCAGCTCGGTTGAAGACTGGCCACAGGCTCCCCCAGATACCAAAGGATGCCCTGCTGACGACGGGGAAACCAATGTGGTACATGGCACCAATTCGACCCGTCATGCATATGAAGACGGCGGCGATGGAGTAGCCGATCCAGACGCACAGCCACGACTGCCACCACGACAGACCGGCGACGATCATGGAGGACGAGATCATCCACGTGTTGATGTTGAACGAGTCGGCAATCCAGAAGGCTACAAAGTTCCAGGGGCCCCATTGGCGACGCCCCGGCTCGACGGGTTTCAAGTCGTGGTTCGTCAGCTGCGCGAAGACATCGTCAGCCCTAGGCAGTTCGCTTGAGCCGCGGCGGCAGTGACGAGAACAGCGGGACCACACGGGGCCATATTACCATCAATTGGGCCGTGGTGAGGCCCGGCTCGGACCTGACCGCGAGCTTGTCGGCCCACCTGCCGATTTTCGACAATCCCTCATCCAACATGGTTGATACTTAAGATCGCCCAAACGTGCTAGGACTGTTGTAAGTCGAGTTTCTCTCTGGTAATAGCGTCGAGCAAAGAATCTAGAAGAAGAAATAGGGGCGATCAATGACGTGCGACACGTGAGTGGTATTGCGGGGAGGTCCGGCGTAATGGGAGGACAAGCTTTGATGCAACACTTATAGCAGGTCAAACCTAGATAGGATCGACAATATGCGTCAAAAAGCAGGCTTGTAAACCATGTCGTCGCGAGAGAAAAGAGGGGCGGAGGCCTTCCTCGAGGAGCGGAGAGCATCGGGTTATATATATCTCCCTTGCTGAGGTTTGGGTGCTTTGGCGATCGAGATAGACATCACCGGCACCGTCAACATCCCCCCACGCAGGCTTGAGCCTGTTGCCAAGGTGGAGAAGTCGGTAACCGGCCAAATCTTCAGCAATCAGCTGCAACGTTATCTCGAAGTCGATCCTATCGGTGGGTGAACTGAGGGTAGCACCTGATAAGAATCAAGCTGAACCAATCAATCACATCTTCAACGGCATATCTTATCTCAGCTGTTGCTCAAGCAGCATCACCGTCTCGACCGCTATCAGATGTAAGCGGTTCTAATGTGTAAGCAGTTGGAGTATCCTCTCTTTTGTGACAGCTAAGCATCCCGGGGGGAAATCCAAGTCTACTTATCTCATTTTCGCATCCTCATTGCCTCTCTCTGTTGGCCAAAGGCGCCAAAAATAGCAGATGTAAATAGTCTCAGATATCGTTGTCGTTTATCTTTCCGCTTAACTAATTATTGGAAACAAGCTTTGGTACTTTTTACTCGGTCCCTGTCATCGCTGTACTCTTTGACTCGGGAAACTAGCTCTCTAATTAATTTTACATCCCCTCAAGAACCTGCAAAGGGTTTACTTAACCTAACAAGGTGATTATACCGACTAGAGGCCTCAACTTGAGAGACCAACCCATACGACTGAACCAATTTTATTACGCATAGACTCAGATCTCCAGACATATAGCCACCCGGATCTTAACCTAAACAGATGTAAGTCATAAGGAATATTTATTTTAACGATTTAAGACAACTTTGGATATGTCTCACGTTACAGCAGCAAGCTAAAGCATTGGACAACACTGGAAGTCCTCAAAGTAATTACAGATTGACGTGTCATACTTAGTTCCACGCACAACTGATTCGCCATCTTCTAAGGGGAAACCTGCGTCAAAAACGGACTTCTAGGTTCCTCCAAACTATGCACCCAGTCCTTCGTTCTGATCAACCAATTAATTCATTACGTCGGTATGATCCTCCAAATTGAGAAGGACTACCAAAACAAGATCCTCTTTACTCATCCAAGTTCAGGTTCGCTTAGTTAGTAGACGCAACTGGCCAAGTCTAAAGACGGTAAGTAATAGACATTGCTCACGTCAACGTTAGGATATGGAAATATCCATTGCCTGTCTCAAGGTTCAAGGCCCAGAACGGTAATCCCGATGCGAATATCGGTAACTGGTTCCAGAACAAACACATAGCCACCAAAAGACTGAAGTCGTTCATATCTAACGCCATACAAGGCAGACAGTAATTTCCGCAACCTGCAAACAGGGGTGTCAATGAGTGGCAATTCAAACCTGTGTGAATCAAAGGGACCCTCCTCTCGAAAGCAACCAGCCCTTTGTTTCATCAATCCCCATCAGTGCCGAAATAAGGATCTTCCCAAACGTCTCAATGTCATCGGCTCTGGCGTCTCGAACCACTTCCAATACGCTGTCCGCGAGAGACCGCCAATTAGTATCTTTGACAAAATCTCCGGGCATTCAGAGACCCTCCACCGGGGGCGATGGTGGAACACTCACTTTCCATCCCTAACGACGAAATGGTCCCTGTCCCTCCACGCGACCGCAAAGTCGACCGCGTCCGCCGCGCGCCACAGATGCGCCGACAGCGTCCACGAGCGGCGCGCGCAAACCCTGCCGACGCACTGCATCGGCCGCTGGGCCCTGAGCAGGCGGTACAGCTGCAGCATGAAGAGCGTCATGGGGAACGTGCGGCTCGCCGACTCCTGGAACACCCAGCCCTCCCAGAACGCGCGCGTGGCGCCCAGCGGGTGCAGCGGCAGGGCCTCCCGGCCATCGGCGGCGGAGCCGGGCGGCGGCGGGTGGTCGAGGCTGATGTGGTCCAGCAGGGCCATGCAGGCGGCCTCGAGGGCCGGGTTGGTCGCCTCGGCGGTGCCCGAGGCGCGGATGTCGCCGTCGAAGAGGCGGATGATCTGGTAGAGGAGGAGGGCGTGGGTGTGGGCGAGGAGGTCTAGGGGAGAGGTGGGAAGCGGGGAGGAGACCAGGTCTTGGACTCGGGCCTCGATCGTGCGTAAGATGATGGTGGAGTTGGTGGGGTTCTTTGCTATGTAGAGACCGCAGCAGGCATGGGCGTCTGAAGATGGCGTCAGTGGAGGACCTTCATTCTTCTACCATAGTTAGTCTATTGCTAGTTCCCGACCTACCCTGCATGGACCGGGGCATATGATCCTTGTAAAGCTGAGGATGACACCACGGTGTTTGGGTTTCGAAAACCATTGTTTTGGGAGCTTTAATAATCTCATCAAGGGCGTACTGAAACCGTGTTGAAATAAGGGTGGCTTGCTGCATTGGTGTGTATTGCGGGTAAGGAATGAGGTCAAGCTGGGCAGAGGAAGGCTCCACGGCCAGGATCTCGTTCAATGTATCCTCAGGAGTATCCATAATGTAGTCCAACATACTGAGGCTGCAATCCATTTGCGGCGAGCTATTGCCCATCAGGGATGTAAGTGAAGCTGCAGGTTCCAGTTGGCCCAGTTGAAGATCCCAATGAGACAGTCCAAGGGGCAGTTCCGAGTTTGGCACTGAAGAATCCCCTTGCAGTGCTTGCATAGAATCCCCTGCCCTGTTGAATTTCCTTTTAGCTGCTGGTGTCGGTGAATACCTGCATTCCATCTTCCGCTGCGAGCATCTTAGGCAAGCAGGCCAGCCCAGGTCGCAACGACGTTTGGCCTTGATGCAGCCAGTGCATGACTTCCTCCGAGGGGGCGGATTTCCCCGCTCCGCAGACGAGAGCGATTGACGCATTGGATTGGGGATAGAGTTGTGCTGTCAACCATGTGCTGCTGCCGGATCTCCCCATAAATGGTGCGGTCTGGAGAGAACATCGCTGCTCCCAGGATCTCGATCGTCGGTCTGTTGTTGCTTAGCAAGCTGGCGGAATTCCGCCATATCTTACAGTGTCCACACAGTGAATCTACGGTGGACTTAGAACAACATCTATTGTTTTCTGCCTTGAAATTACCAAAACCGCCAGGTGCTTGGAGAGGACAGGTGGATAGGTTGGATGCTTAGGAGTACTCAAGGTTCAGGGCAAGAGGCTTGCGGAACTCCGCGGAAGGATCTCGTCCACGTCCCGCCGTCGCGTCACCAAGACACCATGGGTGCATGACTGCAGCGTGTCTACCTATATAACCCCCTCCAGAGTCCTGTCGAAAATGAAGGTCATCAGTCCCTCAAAGAGACAGAACAAATCCCAAGCGCCGACCACAACACCCCCAACTTAAGGCTTGCAAGGTCACAAAACCTTCGTCTTCTCCTCTAAACTCAACATGTCCACCTCTTCGACCACCGCGTTCGTCACGGCCGCAACCGGCACTCAAGGTGAGGCCGTAGCGCGACACCTGCGTGCCATCGGCTGGACAGTCCATGCCACGGCTCGCAACATGGACGCGCCCGTCGTGCACTCGCTGCAGTCCCTGGGCGTCGAGGTGACCCCTGGCGACTGGGAGGACGAGGCCGCGCTCACGGCCGCCATCGCCGGCTGCTCGAGCCTCTTCTTGAACCTGATGCCCAAGCTGGCCGACTTCACCTCCGAGGTGCCGCACGCGAGGCGCATCCTGGCCATCGCCAAGGCCGCCGGCGTAAAGCACGTCGTCTACTCGAGCGGGCTATCTGTCAACAACCCGGAGAAGCGCGCTTACTACGTTCCTAACAGCATGCCGGCCGAGGTGCTGGGCTGGAAGAGGGAGATCGAGGGGCTCGTCAGGGCGGCCGGGTTCGAGGCGTGGACCATCCTCCGCGGGGCCTTCTTCATGCCCAACTTCCTGCTCCCCAAGGTCGGCATGTACCCGGGCCTGCGCGAGACGAACAAGTGGACCACCGCGCTGACGGCCGAGACGCGCATGCCGATGGTCGACACGGAGGACATCGCCAAGTTTGCCGTCGCCGCTTTCCGGGACCCCGGTCGATTCCACCGGCAGGAGATAGGCATCGCTAGCGAGCTCCGGTCGCCTGATGAGCTTATGGAGTTGCTGGGAGAGGCGACTGGGAGGGACATGCGGGCGGTTTTCCTGACGGATGAAGAGATCGAGGCGCAGAAGGACACCAACATATTTGTGGTGGCTCAGCTTATGTCGAGAGATTTGGGCGATTGCGTGGACATTGACGAGGCGAAGTCCTGGGGCATCCCGTTGGGCACGTTTAAGCAATTTTTGGAGAGAGAGACGAAGGCTCTGAAGGAGACCTACCCATGATTCGATTAGACTTTGGCCTGCCAAGTTGGTCGTGCAGATTAAGTAAGGGGATTGGGAGAGTTGGAGTGAATGAGTATGTGTGGACTCAAACTAGAAAGTAAATGAAGATCATGATCGCACCCTTCCGCCATGGGAATTTCTCTGCGGGCATGCGCCATTTGCTCTGCGGGCAGGTGGTAAGTTGGCAACAGCTGCATCGCTGTCACTATTTCCATCGCTGTCATTATTGCTATTCCTAGCAACGGCAATAGCGATGGACAGCAACGGCAAGAGTGACAGGAGTGACAGCAAGAGCGATAGACAGCAATGGCAATAGCAATAGACAGCGACAGCAATAGGCAACAGCAAAAGCAACTGCCACCTGTGATGCACTAACCGCCTGCTCGCGGAGCAAACAGCGCACGCCCCTGGAGAAATTTCCTCCGCCATGTCCAATGCTCGGCTTCTCTGGATAGCTGCTCCTACTCAAGCATCCAATCTACCAGTTGATGCCATAAACTAAATAGAACACATTTAGCTACATGTCAGTTACCCTTGTTTTGGTAACGACTTTGATTTCCTTGATAACGCGTAAGCGACGGTGTGCCCCTTACCATCTCACTCCCGTCTATGAATAGGCCCAGGCAACAGGGCAATCCCATAACTGCTCGCACCAGGCACGTAGTATTCACGTAGGAAAAACGAACAGCCGACAATAATCAACTCCCGTCCAAAATAACCAAGGGGCTAGGAGGGAAGATAGTCAGACGAACAACATCGCCAGGGGTCAAACTCAACGTACACACACGAATAAATAATAAACAAGGGGAGAAAAAAGAAAAAGAAAAAGAGAGAGAATAGCAAAAAGCTCACCGGTGAACCCTGGGGGTCACCGGCTACGAAAACCCCGGCGGGGTTTTACTTCAGGGGGGGGGGAGTCGACCGCGGGACGGGGGGTACAACGGGCAACCCGGTGGCTGCCCGAGGGGCCAAATACACCAGGTGGCCAGCCTGGTGTATGTTGTCCGATATTGCGTGACGGTATTGGGCATTATATGCCTTGGGCAGGTGGTAGGGGTAGGTACCTGTGTAGTTTTGAATATCCTCTCACATTCACTTGGGACTCTTGTACTGGACTTCAGAGGCTGGGAGGTGACAGTCGACGCTGGAAGGTTAGGTTGATAACACACACCAGGTCTTTCAATCCAGCCTACGAACTCGGCTTCTTCACATATACTTGATGAGGCAGATAGTGTTCTAAAACATGCTTGGGGAATAGGAAACCAGGCATCTACACTTAAGCTATGTCTCAAACAGCTCTACGACTGCAATCCAACCTATTTCAATACACAGTATGGCTGCTTGCTTATGGTCGAGTTTGTCAAACTTCAGATGTCGGGCGCTCAGCTAGCTACCCCTGAATATCTTAAGTAGCTTCTTCCGTTCTATCAAGGAAGGATTTTGCAGCCCTTGATACGATATCTTGCTCATACTTGATATATAACGACTCGCCCGGTGCATCATACCTAAGGAGGATGCCATCGAAGCAGAATTTGGCATGTAATGATTGTTGGTGCATGCCAAGAATAGATCCCTGAAACCGATGTGTTAACGCTAGAATCTGATGGTTGGAGTTGGCCAGATATATTTCGAGAATTGGGAGAACCGCCTAGGAGCTTGCGAAGTATTCAAGCAACTCGGGCGTGACGAGGCTCATGTGAGAACTTCTAAGAAGCTGCCTGCATAGACAACTTTAGGTAAGGGTTAGCCCACCATGTCCCAGTCAAGTTTACCCCTAACCGGCATCGTGCAGAGGTGTAAGCCCCTGTTTCGATGGCCTGGTTGCATCCCATCTTGAGACAGAGAAGATTGGAATCCATCAATCCGGGAGCATTAATCGAAAATATCGTGCAGATGGTTTGCGGGCAACCGCCTTGGCGTCCGAGGTGGTTGAAGAAGGAGCGGGAAATGAAAAGATCCTACAACACTTGACTCCGGCACTCCGTTTCCCGAGAATGACTACAGCCCAAAGTACTCGCCAGAAATAGCTGGACAAAGCCGGTGACCAGCCGAATGAGCAGACTAGATCTCGGAAGCAAAATATGCTGGCGAAGTGATCAACAGTCGAGCATGTTTCGAATCCATACGAACCACGGAAATCCAACAAAGACAATGGAGTTGGCGGGAAGTCGACCGACCCGAACATGGTATATTCTCGTGCTACGAGTTTACCGGCGCTCTATCTTGACAACGCAACGTCTCGGGATACATCGTTCGATTGGCCAGACTATCAGGTACCCACGACCTATCGTGCTCGAGGGCAAAAAAAAGGAGCGAAAAAAGGAGGCCCCTTGTTCCAGAAACAAGGCCGTACGCGAAAGCCGGGGCCTCCGCATCTACCAAACCGCCGTTCCCGGCCCCACCCTACATTTTCCAGTCCATACTAACTGGCGCTCAGGCGGCGGCGGTGGCGTACTTTGTGACGAGGCTCTGCAGGGGGCCGGGGTTGGCGCCAACGAACTCGTCGACCTTCTCGCCGTCCTTGAAGATGATGAAGGTGGGCATGGCGCGGATGCCGAGCTCCTGGCTCAGGTCGGGGAGGTGGTCGACGTCGAACTTTGCAAAGTAGACAGTGTCCTTGAATTCGGGCGATTCCGACCACCTGTTTTTTTTGCACACCCAGTCAATGTTTGTGTTCTCTTGCGATGGGGTAGTCGGGGAGCTTACTTGGCGACTAGCGGCGCGATGGCCTTGCAGGGGCCGCACCACGTTGCAAAAGCGTCGAGGACCACGATTGGGTTCTTGGCGATGGTCTCCTTGAAGCCATCGAGGCTGTAGCAAGGCTGGTTAGCGGGGCAAGAGAAACAAATGGCGCGCCGGGGCAGGCCCGGGCGCGCAGTGGGGGAGGGGGGAAAAACTCACGTCTCGATGTTGTGGATAGTCATTCTGGGCAGAGATGTGTGGAAGCTACGAGAGGCAAGAAAGCGCGGTGCAGTGGCTGCGGAACGGAGAGCAGGGTTGAGGACCCGAATTGGATTGAATGGCATTGGTGTTTCGTCGTCGAGGACAGCGAGGGACTCGGAATCTTATAGGATAACAGATGCGGCTGGCGGGTAACGTATTTAGGTGTCGAAATGATGCAGCTTGACTGAGGTAAGCTACCTCAATGACCGGTAACCCGCCTGAACCCGCCTGCTGATTTGTCACGACCCGATGACGTGAGTGCCGTAAAACCCCACATGCGGCGTCCATGGCGACATCCATACTAGGTGTGTACCTAGTCAGGTTTGTACCTAGAGAGGCGAGTAAGTACAGATTCCATATGATTACCAAGACCATCTTGAAGCTAGATTTCTCTTTTTTCTCTTCCTCTCATGTATAAACCTGTTAGATTGAATTCAAATTCATATTGAAGGTCCAAGATACTCTTAAGCTGACCTGGAAGGTTCCAAGCGGTTGGTAGCCTTCTTCAGTATTTGTCATGTGGAAATCGAAAGGGGGGTGTGATTTTTCAGCCACAGGCATGCTGATCCGGAACTCGGGGGACTCGGGAATAGCCGCCACCACCTGCCGCCGTATATCTTGGACACTCAGGGGAGCGGAACGATTTCGTCATTTCATCAAGCGGTCATGATAATAGTACATCACATGGAACACTGTACAGGACGCACCCTCACCTAAACTGCTGGACCTCCCCTTCGAGCCCAAATCCGTATCTCATCTCCCCCGGCTTCCAGCCCGAGCCGATGCTACCCCCATCCAGGACGCCGAGCCCGATCACCTCCGGACCACCCCGGGGTATCATCCCGTAGCCGAGTCTCAGGCCCTTCACGTCGCCCGGCAGCTCGCCGCGGTCCTCCCACCCGACCCGCTCCAGCGCGGGGCCCCTCGTGGCGGCGACGATGCTCGAGAACCGCGTGTCCCTCATCGCGCCGTCGTTCTCCCGCACGGCGTGCGCGCCGACCGCGACGCCCACCAGCGCCAGCACGATGGCGATGCCGTAGACGATCCACAGGTCCCTGGCGTGGTATCTGTACATGATGGCGGTCCGCGACTTGACGCAGGGGTACCTGTACGCCTCTTCGCCGCCCGGCCCGCCGACCCCGACCCCACCCTCCCTGAGCGTGCCGCTCTGCTCGTCGGGGCGGGCCGCCCACACGACGTCGACGAACTGCGGGTTCGAGAGGAGCGACAGGACGATGTCCTCGTAGAAGCCCTGCACCAGCCCCTGCAGGTCCGGGTGCGGGAAGAAGTTGCGCCGCTGGTCGAGCAGCCTCGTCTGCACCGCCGCCGTGTTGGCGATGGCCCCGTCGAGCTCGCGCGCCATCTCCACCGTGCCGTTGACGAAGCGCCGCAGCATGAACCCCAGGCTGTGGAACGCCGCCGCCCGCCGGTACCGCCCCACGTCCGTCGTCGGCCGCACGTAGTTGGCCTCGGGCGTCGCAGTCGTGTTGTCGGCCGTGCCGTCGTCGCCGGCGTCGACGCCCGGCACCAACGTCGTGTTGACCACCGGCGTGAGGAACTTGCGGCTGGTAATGGTGGTCACCTGCGCCGTGTCGGTGTAGTTGAAGCGCGCCGTGTAGGCCGTCTCGTAGTTCTCGCAGGCGAAGAGCTTGGGTATGAAGGAGCTGCTCCATGCCGGGTCAGACGGTTCCTTCGGCAGCGGCCTGTCGGGGTTTACGATCACGGAGTAGCCGATCCAGACGATTGGTTCAGTGCGGAAGGCGCCAAAGTTCTTAGGATACGGCGGCTTGGTCTTGGGCATGCCCCCAATGCTGACGTCTTCCATCTGCGTTGTCGAGTACTCGCCCCCGCTAGTGAAGGCGTAATAGCTAAATAGGCCTTTGGGCAGGAGGAGATCCATGCTAAACGGAGGCGCAATGCTCCCGGACTCCTGGGTCAAGTTGACGACCTTTGCGTCCACGCCGCTCGCAAGCTCGGTGCATTTGTATCCCGGCGCGACAAATTGGATATCGAATGTGCAGTTCCATCCACTCCCACATACCTCCAGAGAGGCGTTTGGCCTAGGGGCCACCCCTCCCATGAAGGCCCCGAGGGTTGCCGTCTGCTGGATATTCATGCTCGGACCAGTGTAGTAGTCGAACCAGCCGGGCGGGTCCTGGTCGGGCGGCTTGGTGGTATTCCACAAGGATATTGGAATTTCGTACACGCCGTCGATTCTCTTGGGAATCCGCCATTCGTTGGTCTCCTCAAAGCTGAAGTTCAGCGTCCGGACGCCAGGACAAGTCGTCTCTTGCACCATAGTTGTTGGCTCAACAAGCAGAGTGTTTGCACTCAGGATTACCATCAACGGTGCGATCCTAATTAGAGTCCATGTCCCGCCGTTAGAGAGACACGCACTTTCCCTAATATCTCCTCACATCCGACCCGATCAACTTACCAGACAAAAACGGCCAAGGCCATTGCCACCCTCGCACCTTTGAAAAGCTCCCAGTTCCACAGCGAAATGAGATCTTCCGTCGCGACGAACAGCGAGTCCAGCGCCCCGATACTGAGCAGTCTAGTCTGCACCGTCGTCCACACGCGCTGCCGAAAAGCCGTGACCACCGCGGCACAGAGTCCTGCCTTTGCCCCGAAGGCCAGCAGGGTCCCGTACCGCAGCATCTGGATCTGGTTGTCGGCGGGCTTGCCGTCGAGGGTATCGTAGAAGATGTGGTGGCCGACGGCGCACACAAAGCCAAAGGCACAGAAGACGTACATGTTCCACGAGGAGTGCCATTGTGGGGGCCAGCACACGCTGCGCCGCGGCTTGTACTGGCCCGGGTTTATCTGGAAGGGGTCATACTGTTGCGGAGCGAGGTCCGATGAGCGGCCAAACCTAAACCGCGATGAGCCAGGGGTGCTGGGCAAGAGCTTCGCCTGTGGATCGAGTTGGCCCATCTGGGCCGTGTTCCAGGTACTGTAGGGTGTGTCGTGGAGGTGGTCGTCAATTTCGTACTGCGATGGCCGCGCAGGCATCGCGGTCGTCTCCAACTGCTTCAATTCCGCGCTTTCCATCTTGTTCGTTGTCTTCACATCTGGCACCGTTTTTTCTAAACATGATGTTCAAGGGAAAGCGTTGCGAGACCACCGAAGGGCGACGAGACCTTTGGAGAACATGGCGACAAGGACGACGAGGTGGCTCGGACTTGTGTGTTACAGACATGTGTGTTGGTGACAGAGTGAAAGAAATGTCACTTCTGATGAACAGCCACAGTGTCGGAGTGTGGGTGGTTGGTTGGCCGACTTCCTCTTTGCGGCACAGTCCGGTACCGAATGCTCGGGACGCTCCCGTCTACGGCCGTTTCCCTTCATCCAGTTGGTGTTATGCCCTCTTAAGATACCGTTGTCAAGTACACCCTCGAATGCTATCCCACATTGTCTACGGCGTACCTATATTAGCAAAATCTCGTACCATAAATTAGGAGCCCACGAGAACGCTTCAAACAAGATAACTTTGGAAAGTCAGCTTTTTAGGGGGTTGTTTGCCCTTCTTGGTTACCTATCCACGCACAACTCACTCCTGCATATCCAGTGTGGCTCTGCGAAACCAACAGGGGATCTTGTTGGTGCCAATCATGTCTCACATTAAATTTCCTAGAGCTGATAGAAACCACAGATAGGTTGTTTACTGTGTCCAGCTCCAGGAAGATCACCACTGTTGTCACTTCCAGTGGAATGTGGGACTGTTGCCCCGTGAGAATACTTTACATACAAGGAGAAACGGACAACGTGAGGAAATCCCAGGCATGCAGTGTCTAGTGCCGACATATAAGTCGATCTGCCGGTTGTATGTATGTGCGGCGTAGATTTAGTGAATAATGTCGAATTGGTCGGTGTTTAGCCAAAACACGAGCTCTATTACTCCCCTCACAACATGCCAAGTCCGTTATATTGCGAATTCCTCTGCTCTGGGTGCCGAGCTACGGAGGAAGGGTACAATAATTGCACCAAGACACGCAGGTAGGGCCGTACAGGCTATGGAAGGATGCGGGGGAGCCTGTATATATACGAGCTTGGTGCTGCCACGTACATTCGCGATTCTACTGCGGACTGTACTCCCTCCTAGTCACGCAAACTGTTTGACATAATGCGATCACATTGGATTACTCTGCTGCTCTGGGGTGTCGGCTCCGGCAGTGCACGGGCTAAGGCACAGGACGCATGTGTAGATGCATCAATGGTTGCACATGAGGGAGCTCCAGTTGGAACGGAGGAGATTGTCGACGGAGGTGAGACCTGGCCTTGGAGCCAGCCATTGAAAGCAGCATAAGCTAATAAGGCCTGCCTGCGTCATCTACCAGTGACCCTATATATCACAAAACCCGAAGGAGAGCCCAAGGCTGCGGTGCTGTATCTAACCGACGTGTTCGGCATCCAGCTGGTCCAAAACAAGCTGTAAGTCCACCGTCCCGTGAGTCCCTCCAGCAGACGAAGCCGAAAACTAACCGTAATCGCCGTCCCAACCCCCCCGCCAGTCTCGCCGACAGCTTCGCCCGCGCAGGATACCTCACTGTAGCGCCGGACCTCTTCAACGGCACGCCCGCCAAGGCCGACATCAACATCTCCAACCTCGCGGCCGCCACCTTCCTGGCCGCCCACGACGCCAGCGACACGGACGCCATCGTCGCCAAGGCGGTCGCCTACCTGCGCGACACCGCGGGGGCCAAGAGGGTCGCCGCCACAGGGTACTGCTTCGGCGGCCGGTTCGCCTTCCGCGTCGCCGCCGAGGGCAAGGGCGCAGACGCCGCCTTCGCCGCGCACCCTGCCAATCTCGAGGACGGCGAGATCACCGCCGTCAAGGGGCCGGCTTCCGTTGCTGCTGCCGGTGAGTTCTCCCCCGCTGACGACTCCTTCTTCTTTCTTTCAAGGCGAGTTTGCTGACCCGGAGCCTCCCCAGAAACCGATTCGATGATGTCTCCTGAGAGGAGGGGCGAAATTGAGGCTCTCCTGCTGAAGGCAGGAGTGCCGTACCAGTTTGCTCTGTATTCGGGGACCTCGCACGGGTTCGGCGTCCGAGCCAATATATCGGACCCGCAGCAGAAGTTCGGAAAGGAGTCGGCGTTCTTGCAGGCGGTCAGATGGTTCGATACCTGGGTAGCGACCGAGTGATCGGTGAGCTTCCACATAGGCCTTGTGTAGGCCTATCACTCCCGCGTCGTGTTAGACAGACTCCGCCCTGAAATATGTGCTCTTGCGTCCTTGGGCTTCTTAGCTAGAGTCTTGATGTCCATTGCTGTCCCTGTTGGTGTCCCGAACTGAATGACACTTATCCCTCTGCAGAATGAAGGGTGCATCGGCAATCTTCAATAAGGGGTTGGGCAGTTATGCAATGAAGATGCTTGCCCAGCACGGCAAGTGAGAATCTCCAGGAGACCTCAATGCCTCTCGTATTTCAAGTTGAAGCCTCGGGGTAACAAGGCCGGCCTGATTACTAGCCAGTTTCCTTCTAAAGGTCGTGGGGAGCACAGTAAACAGCCCGAGAAGATATCGCGCTGGCTCACTGGGACACAGGAGGTTCAAGATCTGCAATTTATTAAATAGATGAGAGACTAGTGTACATGTCGGGTAAACCCATATCGACACGACGCATTCCAGCCCTTGGTCTGCATTGTCGACCGAACTCAGTTCAAATCAGAGACTCCAATATATCTCAGTGGTAATTATATTTTTCAGAAGCGCGTGTGGTCTATTATGATTCCTGTAATCATGATCGTATATTGCTGTGCGCCAAGTTCGATGGCGAAAAATCAGGGTCGAATAATCAATCGGCGATGTCTTTTATGCGCGAGCAACATGGCGTGCAAATGTCCCATTCCAAGAAGGGTATGTCGTGTGCCACATGCCATTGTCGTACGTCCTGGTGCTGCTGTAGGCAGTCGAGAGCGGTATGGGGGTCGTGAAGGGCGGCAAAGTAGACTCGATCATGGACGGTTGAGCCGAGTATGTCTCAATGGGAGTGGTACTCTGACTGGACGCCGACAGTACTGTACTTCGCGAAGTGGAGGCGGTGAGTGTTCCGGACTGGCTCGTCGTAGGTGCTCGGGATGATGAGGAGGATGGGGTAACATAGACGACGGAGATCTGCGTTTTGGTCTCTTGATTGGGGTTGATGTTGACCGTGGAGATGGAAGTCACGGTGTTGGTGACATGCTGGGTCACGGTCGGAAAAACTTTGACTGTTTCGATGGTCGTCTGTTGGGGAAGAGTCGACACCACCGTCTTCACCACGGTCACTGGCGAGTCATCTGAGACTCCGTTACTGCCGGTGCCGGTGCCGGTGCCGGTGCCAGAGCCCTTGCTGCCAGATGTACCGGAGCCGCCATTAATTGGGACAACTGAGTATCGTGGTGCGAGTGGTGATGCTTTCTGCGCCCGCTGTTCAACCAATGGAAGCGATGAAGTTGATGCCCACAAGGCTGAGAATGCGAGAAGAATGGAAGCGGAAATATTGGAGCGCATCTTAAACAACTGCTTGAGACGCCGATCGAAACCAAGAACCAAGACAGGTCACGGAATGCAGGTGGAGAATTGAGAGAGGAGATGAGGGAACAAACCTTAAGAGATCGGCACCTACTGTCTTATTTGGCTGCTCTTGAAGACATGATAATCTCGATGGCTGGTGAGGCGGCAGACGAAACTCCTTCATCAGAGGAGGCTGGTGGTCAGGGGAAATCACATGCCACTAATATGGAATTCGAGGGTCCGACCCACCAGCCACCTGGTTTGCGTGCTCATGATCCCTGCAGGCATGTGGCTCCACCATCCAGTAAGCAAACAAATTGATTCGAAGAGTAACGCTTCGATTCCTGTGGTATTATCCGTATAGGCCGGTTGCAGATTTATGGGAAGACAACATTCTCTTTGCCTGATCAATATTGCATACACGAGCAAACAGTTTGTCGCACACGATACCAACGTGTGGCTAGGGAGATACGTACAGATTAGTTAATAATGTGGGGCGTTGCCTGTGGAGCCAGGGGTGGGCCTGGGGTGCCTGGGTCAGTGCGCAGATCTGGCGTATTAAGCTGATCATATTGTCCTATTCCATCTGCGATGCACCGCCATATCTCGCCAAGCAACTTGAGTGCTCAGCCACCTCGGCGGCGCATTAGCTAGTAGTAGCAACTTCATAGTCGCAAGCTCGGGAGAGGGGACGAGAGATTCCCACAAGGAACCACACCATTCACCACAGCCCCCCATCCCGTTGGCTTCCATAGTCAATAAATTCTGCTCTTCGTCTACCGTCGCGTCTTGAAATCTTCTCTTAATCTTCCCAGGCATCGCTGATTTCTGACATACCCCAGCTTCTACCCCGCCCTCTTTCTACTACCCCTCCACTGATTTTGGATCGCGTAACGTCCGCATCTCCGTGTCAAGTTTAATACGCCATGTCGTATCCAAACTACCCGCCATATGGGCGTAAGGGATCCCAAGGATTCTCCAGAATTGACGAACGCATACTGACTGCCCACAGAACCCCCTCCTCAGCAAGGTGGCTACTACCAGCAGCCGCCTCCCCAAGGCCAATACCCACCTGCTCAGGGCCAATACTACCAGCAGCCTGGGCAGTACCCTCCTCCCCAGCAGGGTGGCTACCAACAACCGCCTCCGCCGAACCAGTACGGCTCACCCGCGCCACCACCACAGCCTTATGGTGCTCCTCCGCCAGGCCCGTACGGCCAACCACCTCCCCACCAGCAAGCTTATGGCCAGCCGCCACCTCCGCAACCCTATGGCGCACCGCAGGGCCAGTACGGCCACGGCCCCCCGCCAGCGCCATACGGGCAGCCGCCACCGGGTCAATACGGTGCGCCTCCGCAGCAGTACGGAGCGCCTCCGCCGCAGCAATATGGCGGCTACCCTCCGACCCCGGCGTCGCTCGGCTACGGCCCTCCGCAGATCATACAGTGGAATGGAGACGCGGACGCGAATGCCCTGCGTTCTGCGATGAAGGGGTTCGGAACGGACGAGAAGGCGCTGATCCGCACCCTTGCGACCAAGGACCCGCTACAGGTGAACACCATCCGGGACGCGTACCAGCGCCTGCACAGGCGCGACCTCGTGTCCGACATCAAGAGCGAGGTGAGCGGGTGGTTCGAGGCGGGCCTGGTGGCGCTGGTGCGCGGCCCGCTGCTCCATGACGTCTTCATGTTGTACGACGCCACGGACGGGCCTGGCACCAAGGAGAAGGTGCTCAACGACGTACTTCTCGGCAGGTCCAACGCCGACATCAACGCCATCAAGAGCACGTACCAGCGTGTCTTCGGAACGAGGCTCGAGGACGTGATCCGCGGCGACCTAAGCATGAAGACGGAGCGGCACTTCATGATCGTGCTGCAGGCCCAGCGCGCCGAGGACTCGGCCCCCGTCATCCCGGCCGAGATTGGCCGCGACGTCGGCGATCTGTACAATGCCACCGAGGGCATGGTCGGCACCGACGAGGTGAAGGTCTGCAGTATTTTAAGCACGAGGAACGATAACCAGATCCGGGCTATTGCGCAGGAGTATCGACAGAAGTACGCCAAGAATTTGGAAGACGTCATTCGAAAGGTAATTTCTCGCCCCCATTGGGGCTCGCCGTCTCCCCTTTGCCTGCCGCCCGCTCGGTATCTTTCTTTCTTGGCTAACAGTCCGCCCAGGAGTTTTCTGGCCACATGGAGGACGCTCTGCTTTACCAGTTGCGCCACGCCCTGGATAAATTCATGCACCAGGCACAGCTGCTCGAGGACGCTATGGCGGGTCTTGGCACCAAGGACCATCTCCTCGTGAGCCGCGTGGTCCGCTCCCACTGGGACCGTGATAACATGGCCAACGTCCGCGGCGCATACGAGAGGCGTTACCACAAGAATCTGGCTAGCCGGATCAAGGGTGAGACTAGCGGCGACTACGAGAGGTTGATGCTAGCCTGCATTGGAGAGCCTGTCTGATGGGACCGCGGAGGAGGAAGGCTTGGTGGCTACCTATCGAGGACGGGTATGAATAGACGTCAGTAAAGGACTACTTGTATGAGTGCACTTATGTGAATGGGCGGAATCTTCGCCGGCTTACAAGTCTCCGAGTTGCGGTGCCGGACAAGACGGCTAATACGTTGCTTCCTTAACTGCAAGTGTAATACCAAGTTGCCTTTGACTTATTGAGGGGCCTCGAACTTGTATACTTTATGTTTTCTACTAGTCGCCTAGCCCCGTAGTATGTCACCGAAGAAATGTTGGCACTCTGGTGGGAAGCATCGGCACACAGTTGGGGACGTGGGGTTGTCGAGACACTAACAGATATACTCTGGATTTCCCGGTGCCCAAGATAAGGGCTCAGGTATCCGTCCACAAACCTCATGCCTCCGAAGTTGCCCCATATTTGCCAATAGTCTGAAACGTTTCCGAGTTGGGTTTCTGAGGCAGCCTGCAGCTTGGATAAAAGGCAGTGCCGCACACCCAGTGATGCTATAGCCCGGTCTAATAGTAGTGGTTATATGTTGTCCTGATTCCACTCGCTGGTTGGTTGTTTGGCAAACGTTAATGGAGCTCCAGGGTTTTCTTCCCGCGCCCCCACTGGTCAACAGACAATAAAACACTATACTCTCGTAGCGTAAAATATTTCTTTCACTAAAATCATCTCTGACAAGGAAAATTGAACCGAGCCAATCAGAACTACCCAAGTTATAATAGATGGAGCCAATTGAGACACAAGATAAATTGGCGCTAGCTGGTTATAACTTTTACCCATTAAACATTAATATGTAAGAAGCCCCAGCTCAGATCTGCTTTTCTTACCTTCCCACATTTTCCTCAGGTTAACTGGTCAGACCCTCGACACGCCACGCAGACCCGCCCTGACTGGCGTTATAATCAGTACCTACATCACACTAAAGTTACGTTGCGATACGTGGGATCGAATTCGCCTTCAAAGAGATAACTTCAACTCGGCAACAAGGATCGAAGCCGGTCTTTGATTGACCCACTACTTTGACTAGGAAGGTAGCACCCGACCTTGCTTGCTTGCCTACCTAGGTAGCTACCTAACCTACCTAGGTACATAAGCCAAGGGTGAATTGCAGCGCCACCGGTTTAGATTCCGCGACACAGGACTAGGATCACAATCATCTCACCTATTTCCTGCGCCGCGTCGCAATGGAGGCCGCACCGCGGCTGTCGCCGGCTGCGTCTCCCAATCTGGTGGTTTCCGATATTGCGGTCGCACCTTCCCAGCCCCAGGTCGCAAGCTCCATCGGTTCCAAAGCCCCGGCCGCGACTACATTCGCTCCGGTAAATGGACTTCCGGCCGCTTCTCAACCAGTCGCTTCAACCCCAGCTTCCCACCAGTCACATCCGTCAACCCCAGCCCCGCCGGGAACCAATGAAAACTTTGCGGCATCGGCTCCGGTATCCGCCCCGGCTGCCGTTCAGCCAGTCGCATGGATGGGCGTTCTTACTCCGCAGTTCAGCAGCTCTCAACCGGCCCCACGCACCGTTCAGCGCCCACCTCCGCCGGCATCGCAGCCCACAAGGCCACAGGCGACCCGGTACCTCATCATGGATCCGCCGTCGCGGCTCAAGATGACTCCTATTCCCCGCGGGTCCAGCAGCGGCTATCCATCGCCCACCTGGGACTACGCCCGGGAGAACGCCAAGTTTAACGACGACACTACGAGGTTGACTTGCGCTGTCCAACAGAGCCTGCCAGAAGCTGTCCGGCGGGTCGTGCGCGACAATTGGGAGAAGTGCCTCCTGGGTTCCGAGTTCCACCAGGCCTTTATCGTAAGTGCTAAGCTCATCCAAATGCGCACCACCATGGCAATCCTCTTCAATGGCCTTGACTGGTTGCCTACCTACCTACCTTCCCTCCGTCGTCCTGTCGATTGCCCCTTCCCCCTCGTACTCTCTACCACCCCTTCCTCCCTTGTGCTCTCCGCTCCCTCAGTGCCCCCCCTTCCCTTCTAACAATATTCGATAGTTGAATGCGGCAATCCACCACTCTGTTCCTAATACCACGCGCCGTGCCGTGAGGGACTTTGGAGGCAAAATGGTCGCCGATTGCAAGGAGGAGCTCATGAAGCACTTTACAGCAAAAGACATTGATGCTGTTGCCGAGCAAATACTCCAGGTCGCTTCCAATGACTTTCTCGATAAGTGCCTCGAGAAACGCCTGCTCACTATCGAGGCCAAGCCGCTCATACATGCCTTGGCCCGTGCAGAGCGGCTGGGCTATGAACCCGGCGATATCATTGAAGAGGACCACGAACGCGTGATACCCAATGATGGCCCTGAACCTGTTCTTCATCGCTACCCTTACCCTCAACAGCCACAGCAGCAGCCCCAGCAGCACCCACACCAGCCGCCGCCACCGCCGCACGCCCCGCAGCAGCCGAGCCCGCAGCAGCAACACATCCCGCAGCCTGCCGCTTATACTCCTGGTGGACGGCTTCAGTGTTTGAGATGCTACCGCGTTTTTTCCCGCCAGTCTACGTTCGACTACGTTTGTAGCACCCTCCAAGTCTCGGTGGCAGCTCAAGCTAACACATTGGTTCAGCATACCTCAAAGAGTGTGTGCAGTCGAGCGCCTCCTACCGCGGCAGGTTTCAAATATTCCTGCCATCACTGTGGCCAAGGCTTTGCGACCTCTGCCGGCTTGCAATATGTGAGTTTAATCAAGGCAATGCCAGGTCTTATCCTCCTCGCTAATGAGTGTTTACAGCACCTTGCGAACAAGGTCTGCGGCGACTTCGAGCAAGATACGCAACCATTGCGCGGACCGGGTCGACCGCCACGAGCGCGTCTCTCCTCTGGCCCCGGAGCGTCACCTGTAACGCCTCAAGTTGCGCAAGCTGTACAAGCTACAAGCGCCAAGCATGTCCAGCATGCCGCTGCTGCTATCGCGGCCGCGGCTCGGTCGAGCCCCAGCGCGACTGACCCGTACAGTCATCTTACCCAAGACCAGTTTGAGTCGATGCAGGAAGAGCTACGGGAGGCAGAGCTCAAATACACAATGAAATTCAAAGAGGCCGAGACCATCTCTGATCCCGAGGAGAGGCGATCCAAGCTAGATGGCTTGCGTAACAGTTTCGGTACAAAGCAGAGCATGGTTCGGAAGAAGTACGGCGTCAGACTCCGTGAAAGACGGACGAAGGCCGAGATCCAGGCCGAGAAAGACCGCATGGGCCTTAGCGGCCTCGTCTCTAAGAGCGCTTCCCAGGCCAGCCGTTCGGCTATTCCGGCGCGCCGCAGCCTGGACACTAGCGATCAGGCTCCCACGAACTCCTCCAGCGGATGGACTGCTGCGAACACTGCTGCTGCTTCCGGCCCAACGAATGGCGAGTCCCACGACAGCAAGCGCCGTCGGATAGACGAGGGTGGAAACAATGCCACTGCGTCTTTCCAGATGCCGCACGCTACAGCAACAGTGGCGGCGTCAGAGATGGGAGGGCTCGGGTCCTCGGCCGCAACAGCCGCGCATCACGATCCAACCCTGCACCAAACCGGGACTCCGAGCTCGTCCAAGCCAGCTACTACCTATCAACAGGCAGGCGCACGGGTAGAGATCCACCTGCCCAGGAGTTCATCCATGGGCGCGGCTCGCCGGCCCTCTAGTAGCCCCAACGTGGTTCCGCGCGGTCAAAGCAGTGGTAGCGCCGTCGCGAGCCGTGCGTCGAGTGCTGCTGTCGTGGCAGAGGAGGTCAAACTCGGCCCGGCTAACGACGACTCGGACTCGGACTCGGATGATGACATCGCAGACATTCCGGCCAAGCTCCCCGCACATGTTCGGCAGAGCCTGACGCCGAAGGCCGGGCTCGGAGTTTAGGAGCGCGTTCTCCGGTGCTAATGACAGTTGCTTGGGGTCGCCCCTTTGATTTCCTTTGCGACATCCGACCTGGACGCTTGATAGTGGCGGTTCAAGATGCGCAATGATGGCGTTTCGTTTGGGCTTTTCATCCGACTAGGTTTGCGAAACATAGGGATATATCCCATCGCTGGTGTTATTAGATGGCAATCGGGCCCGGAGTCTGGGAGAAATTGGGAGTAGCCATCTCCATATCGCGGGTATAATATGGCAGGGTTCGTTCGGTTCCTAAGGGCACACTGGGGGTCGTCAGATGGGGACGCAAGTCAATGATACATGCGTGGTTAGTCGCGAGAATTAGCACTTTATAGGGCTAGAATATCACAATTCAGGCACCAAAACTATCTAGTTCGGTCTCCTTAGGCCAATCGCGCTACTGTAGCAATCTTCCCTGTCCAAGGTGACCCAGCAAGCCCAGGAAGCATCAATCCACTACATAGTAAGCTTCCAGTATGGCCCCAGGGAAGATGTCGTCTCGTGTCTCCACTCTCAAGCCAACTGGCCTGCAGGGATCCATGGGACCCACAAGAGATAGCCCCACTGAAATATTTCAACTTTACGTGGGGTGGGACCAAGATTTCTTCAACCTTAACCTTGAGAACATTGGCCTCTAGAAAGACGACCATAAAGAACCTCCCTGCCTTGCCCGAAAGTCCCCAGCCAATCCAACCGGTTACCTCTACTCCCAGTAGCGCCAACAGAGAGGTAGTCACCTACAACCCGACTCCAAGATGGCGTCCCAAGAGCGCACAATGCCCTTTATCAAAAACCTCGCCGCGAGCGGTTCGTCCCCCCCGTCTCTCCCTCCCCCCCAAGCCCAAGCCAGCAAAACTAACCACACTCTTCCACCCCCACCCAACAGACAGGAAAACACGAACCTCAGCCCTCAACTCCCTCCGCACCTTCCTGTCGGCCCGACAGACCGCCTCGGCCCTGACCCCGCTCGACACCCTGAAGCTGTGGAAGGGCCTCTTCTACGCGCTCTGGATGTGCGACCGCGCCGTCCCGCAGCAGGGGCTGTGCGCCGACCTGGCCGGGCTCGTGCACGTCCTCCCGCCGGCGGCCGTCGTCCCCTGGCTGCGCGGCTTCTGGGCCACCATGGCGAGGGAGTGGTCGTCCATCGACGTCCTGCGGCTCGACAAGTTCTTGTTGCTGGTCAGGAGGGTGCTTGGGGAGAGTCTGCTTTGGATGAAGGTCAGGGAGGAGGAGGAGGGCGGGGATGAGAAGAAGAAAGGGAAGAAGAAGGCCGGGAGGAAGGAGGGCGGTGGCGGCGGCGGCAGTAGGTGGAACGCCGAGAGGGTGGAGGGGATCATCGGTCTCCTCGCCGAGTGGCCGTTCGTGCTAGAGGACGACTCGCGCCTGGCGCAGGAGGATGAGCCGGAAGAGGAAGAGGAAGAGGACGAGGAGATGGGGACGGGGACGGACGGCAAGAAGAAGAAGGACTCGCTGTCGCCGCGGTACGTGCCCGTGGGGCTGAAGCTGCACGTGCTGGACATATGGGTCGACGAGGCGGAGCGGGTGGGCTTGTTCCCCGACGACGACGACAACGACGAGGCCCGGGACATCGTCCGACGCATCACGGAGCTCGTCGAGACGCTCCAGAGGTGTACCATGAGCACCGCCGTCCGGATACGGTCCAGGCAGTCGCTTGTCGACGATCGGCTGCCGTCGAGTGGTCAGTCAGGCCAAGAGGACGAAGATAGCGACTGACGAAGGGGCTATTTCTTTACCCTACTCGTCGCTTCTCTTCCCCATTCTTATATCGATACCCGATTTTGTTCCCCCCGGCGTTGGAGCCCGACCGACCGTTGTCACCCGCTCCGGACCGCCTGACGGCCTATGCAACGCGCCGGGACGACTAGGGCCTTCGACCAACACACAGGGAGAGCTCTCGAAAGCTAGCCCTTTCCTTCACATGGAGGTCCTCCACTGGATGCAGTCAGCCCTGGACCGCCTATAGTCTCTAGGGGGTTCTTAGTCCCCTCTTGTGTGGAAATGTCGGAAAGGAGCACGGGTTTGGGACTTACAGGCTTGAACCCATTGTTGGGTTGCGATGTGCGATAGAGGGGGGTAACGTGACCTCCATGAGGATGCGTGTGGAGGCCCGATCAAGGGAGTTGGGGGAACTGGCGCGCTGTTGTTCTGTTATACATATAGACTCTCAAGAATTGCATAGCAGGACAAAAACTATTTCAACATCGCTATCAGGAGGTATCTACAGCTAATCAGCCAGTAAAGCATCCTCTCCTATAATCGCTTCTTTTAAAAGTATACACTGGCGATGGAAGCCGCTATCCGTCTAATTGGGTATCAATACGATTCACTTCCGGCACCCCCCAGTGCCCCCTTCCCCCTGCCCCGCACTCCAAATCCCACTCCCACCTCTTACACCGCCGGCCCAGCGTCCTCGGTTGGATCCCAGCCCCTCGGGCCCGGCGCCTCGTAGCATGAGCCATTCGTCGACAGGGTCCGGCCCAGGCCCCTGTGGACTTCGGCCTGGAAGGGCTCGAACGGGGCACGCTCGCCGTCAATGCTGACGTAGCCCCGGACGCCGTTCCGGGGCACGATGCGGTAGGCCGACACCTTCCGGTACGAGACGAGCGGATTCTCAAAGAACCGCCCCTTCTCCACCGACGTCTGCAACTTGATGGCCCTGATCGGCGACACTTTGCCGTCGATCATGACCAGGTCCATAAGCCCGTCGTGGGGAAGGGTGGCCGGAAAGAAGTTCGCGTCTGCCGTCATGTATGCCATCTGTCCCCGGCCATCAGCAAAAAGAAACCGCGCACCTCGCACTCATTGGGACTCACATTGCCGCAATAGAAATTGCCCAAATTCTCATGCGCGATGTGCTCCCATCCCTGGGGTAGGTCGTCCATGACGGTGCCATATCTCAGTGGAGGCAAACCGTGTTCTTCAGCGGCGCTCGATGCCGCGGCTTCCGATTGGCCCCCTACCGAGTTGCCGCTCCCGCTCCCCTCGCCCAGTTTAGAAGGGTGCACCGAGGCCGGACCATCGCCATCTAAGCTGGCCCCCGGACCCAGACCCCGCCTGCGCAGCCTGTAGTGCTCCTTTATGGCCTCCTTGTCGTCGATCTCCACCCTCACCGCGACATCGCAGGGGTACACCTTCTGCCTCAAGATCTGCGCCATGAACCCCAGCTTGAACCGGGCCGGCCCCATCAAGCGCAGCATCTCCGTGCCCAGGTCCACGGCGGCCACTATCCCCAGGGCCTGGCTCAAGAAGCTCAGCTTCCTCTCGTTGCCCTGCGTGACGCTGACAAGGTCCAGCGGCGTGAGCACGCCCTTGATGATGGCGAGGGCCGCATGGCTGGGCTTGTGCGTGCCGTACAGGTTGCACGACATGGCGTTTCCGCTGCCGCAGGGTATGTGGCACACCGCGACGGAGGAGAGGGCCCGGCGCGCGTCCTTGCGGCGCCCGAGCCCGTTGAACACCTCGTGCACGAGCCCGTCGCCCGAGCACACCACCACCACATCGTACGCGTCCACGTCCAGCTGCTCCGCTAGTTCGGCGGCGTGGCCGGCCCTCTCCGTCCGCATCACTGTGCAGTGCATGCGCGCGAATTCGAAAAGCTGCTGCACCTGCTGGTCCCATATTTTGTTCGCCTCGCCCTTCCCCGCGCGCGGGTTGATGAGCACGTAGGCACGCTTGGCGCGCACGGTGTTGTTCTGGTATGCGCGCCCCATCAAGGCCCTTACCCACTTTGCGACAAAACGCGCCGGGGAGAGCGGCCCCAGGATGGGGTAGTTGAGCTCGGCAACTTTGAGGCGGTCCTTGTCCTGGCCAACTGCGAGGCGGTCCTTGGGCACTTGTTTGGCGAAGTGAATGACTAGCCTACCGCCGTCGGCTGAGACAAAGGCCCAGAGTATGTTGTGGTAGGGGATGATTCGGTTGGGATTAAACGCTTGGATGAGAGCTTGGTTAGCTGTGTGCTGGAAACAGTTGGCAGGCTTGTTGCTTAGGTACTGTACGTTTATTTTGGCGCCAAAATGACGAAGGCGGCTCCTCGGCAGGGTTATCTGCAATTGAATGTATTAGCTCCTCATGTCCGAGCCTGGGGGAAGTGGCCCTCGTCCTACTCCGGATAATGAACCCTTCATCGCTGAGTATCAGGTGAAGCCAATCCTCAATTTCGATTGCGTCCGAGGTACTTGTACGCTCCGGTGAGTCGCCAGGCGCGGCGTTTGCCACTTTTTTTCTCGAGCGTGATCTCAAGAGGGGGTCAGGCTGTTGTTGCTCAGCCAAGATTGGGTCAGGCTGTTGTTGCGCAGCCAAGATTGGCTCAGGCTGTTGTTGCTCGGCCATGCTGTGGTTGATTGTGGAGTTTATACCTAAGGTACGAGGGCATGTGAACGCGGCCAAGCAAGCAAAGGAGGTCAGCCTTGGCTAGGTCACCAAGCTGTCTCGAGCTATAATGAGACGTCTGATGCAGCGTAAAGCGATGAGTTGTTGTATTGTGATCAAGGCAAGACAACAAAGATTCAGAAAGGTGTGCCTGCTCTTGTTTTGATGGGTTCACAGGCCTCCCTGAATTCGCCGAGGCTCCTTCCCACCAGCTCCTTCCCACATCGGAAAAGCCGGAGATTTGGCCTAGGCGGGCCCATGAACAAGAAAATGACGAACCTCGTGGCTACCGCAGGAGGGAAGGAATAAATACAAAAAGACGTCGAATCCGGTCGTTCCTGCCAAACCCGCCACGAATTAGCTGGAGATGCGACAGGAAAGGAAAGCGAGGGTCATTGGTTTCCTTCTTTTGCTGAGGCTCCTCCCAACTGGTATGCACGCCCCGACTGAGCTACCTAGGTACCCTACCTACTTACCTAACCGGGCAGCTAGCCAACGACGGGAGCCCTGCATAGCAGTCAGGGGTATATTGTACTATTTATGCAGGACCAAGAACCAGTGATATCGTTTTGGCAATGATCTTACTGGAATGCGGCAATCCAATCACATGTCATCAAGCATTGGAGAATCCAGTATGCATGCGTACGGAGTAGCAGGCAGGTAGGTATTTGACCTGGGGAAAGGCATGCTCTTCTCTCTAGATCACGCCACAGAGCTAGAAGTGGCAGGAATTCGCAGATCCAAGGGCAGGACCAAGATCTATGGACACCTGGTGTGCTGTGCGTCCACAGATATTCTTGCCTCTAGATACTGAAATGCAACGCACAACTTTTGAGGCCTCATCTTAAACAACCACCACCAGACCCGGACAAGCCCGTAATCAAGAACTAGATACATAGTTGTGTCGATGAACACACCCAAGATGCCGTACAGGGTCGTGGCCTTTGCTGCAAAGCTCCATTGGACGCATACGAGTGGCACTTATGCAAATAGGGTGACCTCGGGCCACTTTTCATGGGCAACCTTCTTGAACGCGGCAACCTCGCTGCTTCGCCAATCCTTGAGCACTTCTAGGATGCTCACAGCATCGGCAAAGGTAGTCAGGTCGGATGACAGGACATCAAACAAGTCTCTCTCGACCTTGGCAGAATCGTCCCCCAGGATGCTTGCAGCGCGGGCGGCGGCTATTCTGTGTTGGGCGCTGTCTTTGTGCTTCTCGCGGAACTCGGCGTTCAATATCTTCAGATCGGCCGACGCGGGAACGGCGGTGAAGTCTGCCTCCAAGACTTCCCGGGCCTTTGGTGGCAACGAATCGAGCTTTGAGTTCAGCACGTGGCGGAGCTCGACCGCCTGCGCGTGCAGTGCTGGGTGTTGCGGATTGAGCGCAAGACCGGCGTTCAGACAGCGCAGAGCGAGGACGTACTTTTCTATGACACGACACGTGTTAGTGGCCTGGTCAGTCGGACCAGACGGGGATTTCCCAAAGACTTACTCCGTCTCATAAAGACCTCAAACCCAGCAATCTGCGCATCGATATTCTTCGGGCTGAACTGCAGCAAGTGGCCAAGGAACTTCGTCGCCTCGCCGAGCGGATCTGCCGTTGCGGCGAGCTTCAAGCCGTTTGGATCGTCGTCGACCTTCTTGGCGGCTTCGGCAGCGTCTTTGCTCTTTGCGCCGGGCTTGTTAGGGTCTTGTTTCGCTGCCTTCTCCGCAGCCTCTCGCTCGGCCTTCTGTGCCTCCTTCTTCGCCTTCTTGGCAGCCTTCTTCCTCTCCGCCGCATCGTCACCATTGACCTGGCTTCCGTCAACACCATTGGTGCCATTCACGCCCTGGTGGTCGTGCAGGTCGAGGTAGATCTTGATGGCATCCAGGGCGACGCGAGCATAGAATGGATGTTCTCGCAGTTGGTCCTCCCACCGCACCATGTCAATATAGGCCCGAACCTGGCCCTTCCGCAGGGAAAAGCTGTGGAAGTCAAACTGGTCTTCTTGCCAAATGTCGAAGATGTTGTAGACGGCGTGGAAGCGCTTGAGAGCCAGGCCGATATTGCCCCGGCGGGCGTATGCCTCGCCATCCTCAGTCAAAAACCAAATGCATTGCATGTCGAGCAGGTCGGCAAGAGGGCCACCGACCGTTTCAGCTCTTGTAAACATACCCATAGTCGCCAATGCTTTCTCGTTCTCGTTGTTGCGGAGTTGGTACTTGGCAGCCTTGGTGTTGATATATCTGTCCCTGGTATCGAGGGATCGAGCTTGGTCCATGGCATCCGCCGCCTTTTGGGTGTTCCCATGGTGTTTGAATATCCTGGCTTTCGTCATGTGGAAATCGACGTCCTCTGGCGCCAATTCAATCGCTTTATGGACATAATCCATGGCTTTCTCGAGGTCCCGGCTCAGATGGTAGCTATAATGCTGAGCAAGGAAGTAAAAGGCAGCCGCCTGACCCTTGGAACTGTTGCCATTCACTTGCTCAGTGCTCTCCCCGATACCCCTCTGCTCTTTTATGTACTCTTCGACGAGCACGGGCAGGGTATCTTTCTTGGAGGAATCGCTGTACAGGTGCTTGAGGTTGGCAAATGTAGATGGCACCCCTTTGTTCAGCATCAGGGTCAAGTACTGCTTGGCAGAATCTCGGAACGCGTCGCCTGCTTCGGTCAGCACTATAATTTCCGTCAGGAGCAATTAGGTCTTACCAGTGAGGAAGTCCAACGGTAGCCTCCGCGCAGCGTCACAGCGCGGAAACTTGTCTGCATATTCGTCATATACCGCTTTAAGCGCAATCTCGTCGCCTTCGGGGAGGTCTACGACCTCGACCAACGCACGGTAGTAATCGGGATGTTCTGAATTCCGCTCTACCAAAGCCCGATATGCCTTGGCCGCATCTTCTTTTCTCTCCAGTTGGGCTAGATACCGCGCACGAAGCTCCAAAACCGCCAATCTGTCCAGGTTGTCCTTGCCGATAGACTCGAGATGCTCTAGGGCCCGTTGGATATCCCCCTGTTCCGCAATCACCGAGTTCTTATATAAAGCAGCTTCCGAGCTCTCGAAATCCGACTTCGGCGGGGGCGTTTTGAGCGAGTTCTCGTACGTTGTGAGGATGTTCTCCGCCTGCGACAGATTCCCGGCGAGGTGATATGCAATGGCCAGCGCCGTCCAGCTCTGGCGCAGCTGAGGCCTCGCCTTGAGCATTGCGAACCTGCTCTGCACGTAACCCTGGTAGTCACGCATCTGGATTTGGAGAATGGCTAGGTCACGCTGGATCTGCTGCGACTCGGGCTCTAGCTTCAGCGCAAACTTGTACGCCTTGATAGCTTCGTCGAAGTTCTTGTTCGTCCTGTACAGGATCCCGTATACGTGCCAGCAGATATGGGATTTCATGTCCATCGTCAAGGCTTCCTTAGCGAGGGCGAAGGCCTCGTCAGTCTTGCCCTGGGCGTTCATGATCAACGCCTTCATCGCGCTGGTGTCGCCATGTTTCGGGTTCTTCTTGAGGATTTGGTCGGCAGCCTTGAGGCCGCGCTTGTACTGCTTGTCTTCATAATACCGAACAATGGTGCGAAAGAGGTTCGCCTCTCTCGTGCTCAGGGGTTGTGGCATCGGGGAGACGGGTGAAGTTGGGCGCGATGTCGGACAAGCTTAGGAGGAGTGGTCGAGGGTCCAAGGAGACGAATGGGCGCCTGAAGGGGAAGGCCTCTCGAGAGACCGGCCACGGATTGTCGTTTGGAGGTGGTCAGGACGATGTAGATCAAGAAAAAAATGATTGCGAGGCTCAGTGGACACACAATAACCGCGAGGGTTTATACCAACGCCAACGGCTCTATCTATCTACTCAATTGGCAGATTAACAAGTATCTCTGAATGCGCATAGACCGGATTCTTGGCGAGAGAGGACCTCGACGTCGTGTGCGGTTCATCGAAAATTCGAGGAGCACGGCCCGCGTGGTGATGTCCTCTAAGGACCCACTTTTGCCCCACCACTGAGCCTCCGTGGTCGCCCGACCAGAGCTATCGTACCTACTTCTACTGACCTAGGTGTAGAGAGAGGCGAGCATCTAAATCATTATTTACCAAGCCATTGAAGGATTAGAAATCTCTATAACATTTCTCAAGAGTCCCCGGACTAGTCATATTTCAGTCGCAAGAAAAAGACAGGTGATATTTCTAGTTATTGTCCAGTACATGTACAGTTGTGATGTCATCCAAATCTACCTAGGTTGAAACGCCATTGGCATGCCTATGTCCTTGTCCGTACTGTACAGAATCTACACTTCTCTCACTGGTACCCAATCCTGTGTGCTCTTCCCTTTCCTCCAGGCCGCGAGAGCTTGTTCCCATTCCTGCACCGGCTCTGCGCACCGCTCCTGCACAATCTCCCAAGTCCTCGATCTCACAATGTTCTCGACCCCCTTCTCCTGGCGTAGAACCGACGCAAGTCTCTCCGTGCGCGGCTGGCGTGGGAAGAACCGCGCGGAATAAGGATCCAACCGCTCGTCCACGACCCTCTCCCGGTCCCTCTCGAGCTCGGCCTCCCGTACCGCGGCGTCCGGGTCGTCCGGGTCGGGGCTCGTCGCCACCAAGGCGCAATAGCTAAGGACGTCGGACCTTGCCTGCCATGACGGGAAGAGCACCTTGTCCTTGAATCCCTGACAAGACTGCGGGTCAATGGGGCGATGTAATGATCGGGGTCCTAGTTGGGAAGTTGAGGACGGGTCGAAGCCCCGTTTGGCAGGGGTCACGAGAGCATTGAGGTTCTGGGTTATCGAGTCATCGATGGAGCTTCTCGAGATTCGCAAGAAGTCTGCGGCCGAGTCAGCAGGGCTACCTTGAAGTCATGACCATGGTATTATCCTGTTCACACCTTTGAGAGCTGATGTGGAGAAGCAAAACTGCGGCGTGAGGCGTGGCTGGATTGAGGGTTGTGTCATGATAGCCCTCGAGCCAGGGTCGGGGCCTTTGGCGGCTTGAGCAGATGGAGCCGCTCTACTCGACCAGAAGAGACCAGCCAGCGTGTTGGCGATCTGGGCGTTCGGTTGGTAAATGATCCGTAGGCGCTCTTGAGCAGATCGTGGGGTCAATCAGTTGCGCATTTGCAGGCGGGATGGCTCGGTCTGCTCCTCATCATGGCCTGATAAACTGGCGGTTGGCAGTTGCCAACTTCGCCGCTCGGCCCGCCAGGAGGCCAAGTCGGTATTTTGTTTTCCCGGCGCGGCGCTGATTGGACCGCCGGGCACAATGGATATGGATCGCATGCCGGAAACCTGGTCTTTCAACGAACTCTGGCCAATTCATCCTCCATGTTACGACTTCCTCCATTGAAGCGCGGAGAACTAAAGCACCAATGCGTAATGCCCTCCAGGTTGATCTCAAGAGCATTCACCGCTGGTAGCATAGTAGGTACCTTACGGCAATCACTTTAGGACGCTTGACTTCCAATCAGTTCCATCTACGGATTGCTTGCTTTAATGCTCAAGTGGCATCACATAATGGATGCTGTTGAACTGTTTCTATCTTGGGACAGTTCCTTGGATTAATGCGCTCGCCCATCAGCGCAAGTTCGCAGTCGTCCTGGTCTCCATGGACCACGGCACCTCGGATACAGCCTATCCAAGCCGGGGCCATCCGCTACTGCCATTGTGGTGCATCTTGATCCTCACCTTCGCCAAATAGAGGAAGAGCACCATGACCAGCATTTGAGACACCTGGTGCCGCTCAGAGCCCCAGGGGCAAGTAGGTAGGAAACTGCGCCAAAAGCAGAAGGCCAAACACAGCAGCACATGCACTTCTTACGGAATTTGGGACATGTCCAACAGAGATGTGCCAAGAACAGTAATCGAGGAAGGGATCCGGTGCTGATGAGCAACTGTCACCCCCTTTTGAAATCCGCCGGTGCGTTATTAACTGCATGCTTGCCTGCATGCTGCTTGCATCTAAGTACCTGCTTGCATCCAAGGTACAGTCAAGAGAGAGTCAGCCTGAACAATGGATTTGCCATGCATATGCAAGCCGCAGGGGATGACAAAATACTCCGGGCCTCAAGAGACACCACGTATGCATAGAAAGACATAGTTGGCGTCATTTTTGTTGGCCTGTGAGGAACCAAGCTTCCGTTAGACCACCATTTCTCTATCCCCCTGAATCGCTTGTATGCGTCCACGGGTGTTAGTTAGCATTGAAGATGCAGGGCCAGCGGGCCCCGCTCGGCGCTTTCATACCTCGAGGAGACGTGTTCATTTCATTATTGGAAGTCAGTGAGGCTCCTTGGGGATCATCGGGCCGCGGAGGGGGCAACGCGAGGAGAGAAACATGCATTGCTCCGAGGTTGACGAATTGAAAGAAGGCCAGGTAGGGATGTAGTTGAGTTATATCCAATCGCTCCAGGATAGGCAAATATATGCAGCTCCGGCCCATACGAAGGGTCCCTCGAATCGTGCCGCCGCCACATGGTGTTTCTCTGACGCGTGTCCGGAGAATTGTGGCAGGGAGTCGAGGTTACATTCCCACAAGCGAGCTTCTGGCGAGAACAGGCAAGCGGTTGTAACTCAAGCGCGCCGGATCAAAATCAGCACCACTCACTCCGTGCTTGATAGGCGAACTATGGGCTTGCGCCTTGCAGATTCCCGAGCGCTTGGCGACCTCTAAGCTAGCGCTGGACGATCTGCAAAGCAGACGAATTAGATCTAGCACCGAGGAGTTGGCGGCTTAGTGTCATTAATATTATGTACATATCAACCGAAGAGATCTATCCATCCCGGATCTTGGGAGGCAAAGTCACCCATCGTAGGCACAGTGAGACATGAAGGGCTCACAAGCCAACATTAAGACGCCGATATACACTAGAACAGTGCTGTTATAACCCACAAGGCAGAGGCCGCTTGCTCGGGGCAACCGGGGCCGAGCGGCTGAGGGAACAAGCGCCGGCGCAAGGATTTCAAGTGAGGACAATGCGAATTGCAGCTTGGCTCCGGCGGGCCGCATCTCCGGGACGATCTTGAGATCCAGTAGATCTCCACACAGGCACAGGGAACTGTCATAGGGCAAAACAATTCGACAAAAGGAGCGTGTTTTTATTCCGTCTATCACCCAAAGAAAACCAGCTCGGGAGGGAGACTGAAGTGGGTTGAATCGAGGGCAGGAGGAAGCCGCCAGTCCATAGACTCCATCGCATGATGTGGAATGTGGATCATCGTATGCAACAAGGCGGAAGGAGACGAGGCAGACCTCTGTGCATCTGTACCCCTATAAGTACCCTGTCTATGCAACATAGGTATGCATAGGTCCTGAAATCAACTGACAGGGGGCTGTGCGGCAGGCAAGCCGAGCGAAAGGGAGTGCATTATCAAAAGAGCCTAATATCCCACAATCATATCAGCCAAAACCTAGCAATTTGGCCGCCGTGGAAGCAGCCCGTGTGGACAGAATAAAAAAAGCACACGGGACAGGGGGCTCAATGACGGACATCCAGATCATCTTGGGATGTCCCAGCCGCGAGGAAAGTGGACGAGCGGCCGGAATGTGGGAGTTGACTTGTTAGAGTTGGCGTCAAACTCCAGCAGCGTCAACACCATACCGCCCAACCCCAGCGCCACACCCGGAGCGGTTCGCTCGCAGAAGATGCAGGCGGGGGATAAATTGCCTCCACAGCTGCGGCCGCCAAGTAGCAAGTGGTCAAGTGTGGAGGCGGCCTCTCCCGGTCCGCATCACAGCCATGGGAGCAGTGTAGCGGAGAAAGCCATGATGGGTTCCCTGGAGTGTAGACCTAGATATCCCATGGAGATGGATAGGAATTAATGGTCCACAGTCGAGCAACTTTGACATCATGGAGAGCCGCGCTCCTTCACACGGCATCTTGAACAAGACGGCATGGCTGCAGCAGCAATGCCTCACCCTCCACGGAGACCTAGCATGTCGGACGGACAGGGGGGGAAGGGCAGGAGATGCACTGCAGATCCAAATAAAGGTTAAATGCAGTGCTGTCAGAGGGAACTTGTATATTAGTTGATGTCCAGTGCGATGTGGCCGACGGTCGAGTGTCGAGTGTCGAGTGTCGAAGGTTGAGAGGGCTGAACGGATTGTGGCTTTCTGCCGGGCAGAGGCAGAGCTGCACGCCTGCATGTTTCATCTGGGATAAAAGGGGAATGGGACGGGGTGGGTGGTAAGATTGGAGATCGCCCTTGCCGTGCAGCGGCTTCTTCACACTATCCCATGATTCTGGCAGCTCGAATTGTGCTATCAGAGCTTAGAATACCGACAGCCAAGAAAGGTAGTCAACTGCGGCTCGGGGTACCTGCATCGGACCGCCACCATCTCAACACCATGCCTCGCGCGCGGCATTGACACCGAGGGCGGACTTTTTTGAGCAGAACGCGTGGGGACCCGTGGATCTCTGCTTCTCCACGAATCATTGACGGATAATCGTGCGAAGGCTGTGTGCATGGTATTGTACATCTTCCATGCAGAACAGACATGTTGGGGAAGGAGACAAGCTTGCAAGACAGGCGACGGACAGGTGAGAAGCGACGGCTCTAAGCCCCAAGCATCGTGGCCATTGACGGATAGAAACGTCTCTGCTCTCCGGCATGCTGGGTGGGCATGCTGGATGAGCCGGTGACCCTGCATCTTGGGCGCGCCTGTTCCTGGGTGCTTGAATTAGTCGGCAGCTGAATTAATACCAAAGATCAAGTTATTGATTCCACACTCCGGGGCGAAATACGCTGGGTGGTGGGCTGGTGGCTTGAGAAATACCTAGGTACCTACTCCTACGGGGCCTAGAGTGGGTATCCTAGTACCGAGGTCAAGGTGGGACCTGGAACGTTCCATGCCACTTAACTTAACTGGGTAGTATGGACCTAACCAAGAGGCTACATACTTACTTAGGTAGGTACCTTAGGTGGGTACCTATGTATGTAGGAGAAGGTCAAAACAGAAGAATATAATAGATAGATTCCAGGTTATTAGATTAACTGAATAGAATAAACTGCTCTTAAGATATTTGTGAGTTTCTGGCTCAGAGTACTACTCGGCAACTTGATTATTTTGCTTTTGTCTTGTATTTTTCCCTGGCCATCTCTCTTTACGCAAATAGACGCGACACATGTCCTCCTCTGCATCCACACCATTCTGATGCAACCTCAATATTAAATAAGTACGTTTAATTCATGCCTGATGCTGTGGCCCTCTTCTGCCGCGTCTAGATCATGTCAACAGACGGGACGTATTTGTATTTTTGGTGACCAACCTTGCCAACCTTGGGAGCTTTTGGGAGAAAGGAAAACAGCCTGTTGGCTGAAGTCACAGGAACTGATGGGACTCGTCATCGCTTGATGAATTGGATCTACAATGTAACTTGTAGAGAGGTAAGGTACAGTACAATACCTTGGTATGTGTGTGCTGTGCGCCTGTCATGCTTTGTGCTATACTGTGCTATGTACGGAATACTTCTGCAGCACCCACCACAAGCGGTAAGTGAGGTGGTGGGTTGGAGCTGGACGGCTCTCCTATCGAGGTTACCGAGTAAAAGAGGGTGTCGCTCTAGCACCAATGGGTACACCCCTAAATGTACCCACATCCAGTGCAATGGCTCCCCATCCCATGGATCGATGCAATGTTTGTATGTAGGGAATATTTGTACTAGACCATACAACGCAGAGCATGCCTTGTAGCAGCGACTAGTGAACAACGCATCGAGTTAGGGAGCCGCAGCAACGCACATTGCAGAGCGCGAAAGGGCACGGCTAGGGGCCAATTTATTGCTGAATTTCTAAGATGAAAGGGCCACACCAACAACCGACAAGGTACGTAGGCAAAGACCAGAGTCCAGACGCGGGCTCACCACACACCCACACGCCCCCCCAATCGCGCAGGAAACCCGGCCCAGGGTCACGTCGGTCCCCTTGTCACTTTTTGCTCGAGGAATCGTGGCTCCATAAAAATTTCTAATTAAATTCCCAGCATGGCTCAACCCTCCGAGTCCCCGTCTCAACCGCCGCCCGAGGCCAGTCTGGACAAGCTGCATCACCTCCAGGACGACCATCGCCAACTGAACGGCCAGCCACCTCTGCCGACCGACGGGACTCGCACCACCACCAGCGGCGGCAGCGGTAGGAGCAGCACCACCACCACCAGCATTGAGACCGGGGACAGAGGGGATAGAGGGCACAGTGGTCACAGGCAACCCTCTGAGACGAGCTTGGCGGCTGATCCTAGTAACGCGCCTCTCGAGGCTGCTCTACATGAGGGCTCGACATTGCCTCCTCACAACGTCCAGAACGGAACGCGAAGCAGCAGCGGCTCGCGGTCGTCCCCTTCTCTGTCAATGTCCAACACCCAGCCGCCGCCTGGCTCGCATCGCCAGCCGGTCAGCTACCCGAGTCCGACATCCTTCCCCTCGCCGGGCATGCCTCCCACTGCGCAGTACGCATACCCGCAGCACCCAGGCGCGCATGCCGACCCCTATCGAGCGAGCCCAACCGCCGTAAACAGCACAATGTCCCTCCCAAGCATGCGAACCATCGATCCCCGCCAGCCTCAACCAACCCACAGCATGGTCATGGGCAACCACATGGGTGCCCCGATGCCATCAGGGGCGGCACCGATCTACTACAACATGCCTCCTCACCCCTATAACATGCACCCCGACCCCAACGCGTTGAGATACGCCCTTCCTCCCAACGTCACAGACCCGCGCATTGCCCTGAGCGGAGGAAGACACAAGAAGGTGGGTATCCCATACCTCAACCTAGTCGACTCAACCCAGTCGTCTTCCACATGTTTGGTGGGTGTTTGCTGACTGCGGGAATGTGCCGATTGACAGGAAATCAAGCGACGTACAAAGACAGGCTGTCTGACTTGTCGCAAGCGCAGGATAAAGGTACGCTGTTTATTTTATTCCAGTCTGGGTCCATAACTCCAGATTGCACAGGGGCGAGGCTATTTTGTCCAAATTGGTTGCAGGGGCGCCGAGATCCAGATGGGCATTCAAGGGAAACACATTGCAGTTGATGAGAAAAAGGGAAAGGGGGAAGTGGGAAGTGGCATTTTCGCTTTTCACTTTTCGCTTTTTGCTCTCGCTTGGAACCGCATGGTCTCATATCGCTTGACTCGGGGGCTACTCTGAAGCGAGCAAAGCAAGGCGACCCATCGAACTGCCAGAAACCCACACATTCCCTCACCGCGGTATCTACACGCCAGAATTTTAGGTGTCCCGATCCGCGGTCCGACCACGCAACCCACAACCCACAATCTCCAACCTCCAACCTCCAACCTCCAGTCTTGCAACCTTGCAACCTGGCATCCTTGCACCCTTCCCGCTTATCGTCTTTTGGTTTTGTTTTTTTGGCCTGCGCGCCCCATCATATCTGGTCCATCCTCCTAACATCTGGCGCTTCAGTGCGACGAAACACACCCCACGTGCAATAACTGCAAGAAGTCGAAGCGCGACTGCTTGGGTTACGATCCCATCTTCAAGCAGCAACCTGGCCCCGCCATCCTCCAACCTGCCCCGAATAGTCAAGGAGCTTCACCGACAACCCTCGTGTCGCCACCCACAGTGCCCTCCTCTACAACACATCCTTTTCAGCCGCCGATAGTACCAAGCTCATACCCTCCGACGGTCCATTCCAACGCCACATTTGGGTCCCCATTGTCATCGACTGCGAAATTAGTGAAGAGTGAACCAGGGTATTCAACCGAGTACCCCACTGCGATCGATCCTGCGCTTGGGAGCGTTGATTCTTCCGCGGCGGGCAACCCAGCACACTACCAATCAGCACACAAATTCGCCGAAGGCGCAAGCCTGGGAAACCAGAAATCGGGGGTTCATACCGGGCTGAGAGGTGGCACACCCTTTCCCCTTGACCCCTTGCAAGCTCTCTTGCACTTCTCCTGCAACTCGCGGCCCAAGGAGATCACATTGACTTATGCAGGTTTACCAGCAAAGAAGATGAGAATTGATGAGCTCGTTGCCCTTGGGGGCGGGCCACCTCCCCCCCTAAGCTCGCCGCCAAGTGCCGAGACCGTCAACGAACTCATTCTCCTCTATTTCGAAGTCTATGTTCCCGGCCTCACCATGTTCTTCGAGAGCAGCTGGTACGATCTGAAGGACCAGCAGCCGTCGACGAGCAATGCGAGCAATTCCCTGGCTGTCATACGAGAGAACAGGGCCGTTGTGGATCTCTTTACCTCGTTCCTCCAAACAGTCGCCGCCATCAAAACTACCGACCCGGCCGATATGGTGTACTCGGGGCACCTGGAAACCTCTCTGGTGTGGTCACTGGCGAGCCTTCCCTACTCCCCTCTTCCGAGCAGCTCCCACCTGTTGCCAGGCGGGGACGACGCGGCAGAGCTGCGCAACCGCCTTACGGTATTCGAGGCACTCCTTTCTGGCGAGACCTTGCAGAGTAACCCGCTGCTTGCACCACCGCCGGCCGTGTCGGGCGACAAGAATTTCAACCAAGTTCGTGCGAACGAGCTAGACTTTTGGTATCACCTGGGCCAGTACGTCCAGCAAACGCACAGTTCCGCATCCCCCGCCGATGCCGGTGCGAGAGAACACTGCTTGTCCCGCATCCGCTCTGTCCTGGATGGACGCGAAAACCGGGACGTGCTGTACAGTATTGCCGTCTTGCGAGAATATGCGCCCCGGTTCGACGCCATCATCAATGAGCAAACCGTGCCTGCACATCTGGACGAGATGGATCCCCGCAGCAAGCTGGCCGTGGCAACAAGGTTCATTCGCGACGAGGCAGCCAGCACAGGGGGCACCACAAACGTGGTTCGGCGGTTCGCAGATCTAGCCTACCGTGCCTTCGTTCGGCCCGGTGTCAATGTGAATAGGAGCGCCGGGAGAGGCCAATGACCCTGAATGACCTCATAGGACCCTGCATCTATGGCGTACGTCTTCTCTGTGCCGACCTTGGTTTTGGCAAGAAGTGCCGCGGGGGGTGGGGGGGCGGAAGGGAGAGACAGAGACTTGGAGCCTCGAGCCTCGTGAGCAGGGAGACAACACGAATCCCTACCGTTGTCCGGCTGGCTGCAACACAGTTCTGAACCCCATCGCCTTCGATTCCATGTTCTCTCTGGCATAAACGGCAACATTATCCTCACCAGCTGGACTCGTACAACACGCACCACTGTATTATTATCACCATCCCCCTTGGACATTATTTCCTTTTTTCTTTGTCATCTATTTTCCTTGCCCCAGTGTTGGAAACCCCACCGCGGTGTAAAAGTGGTCCGTTGGGACCCGTGCAGTCGCGGGCAACATTATCACCTAACCGGCGGCGGAAAACATACTCGGTATATCGACGGGACGGTTTGGGTGGGCATTCGACAGCTACGGTGCATATGGGCGGGTGGGACCCCAAAACTTACGAATTTTCTGCATTCATCTGAGCAAGCGGTGGACTTTCTGATTCCTGCTCTTTTCCGGTCTGCCCAACGCGAGCGGCCTCTGTGGCCGTTCGGCGTGATGGTGGGATAACCCATTTTATGTTTGTACTATTAGTTCCATTTTTTTCACGACTGGATCCTTGCATCGAGCAAGTGGATATCCGAGAGAGGTTGGGGGTTGAAAGGGTTAGAAGGGAAAGGCATGACACGGAAGGGTTGCCAAAGGAGAGACAAGTTCCGGCCCAGTGGCAGAAGTCGCAGCTGACGGCCGATCTCTCTATGCGACATGTATTTATAATATGAATTGGCGTAGAGTGAAGGAGAGGCATCTCTCGCCCGGTCTCGTGTCAACTCGGACAGCGAGTTGGCTGGCAACGATCGAGGTCGAGGCCGAGATGTGCCAACCAATGCATTCAGTATAACGACAAGCCACCGTGGCGCGTATCATATCAGATCGCTACTATGGTCACTCGGGATGACGCCTGATTGCATTTGACGCCATTGGCCTTGGAGGGTAATGACCGGGATTTGTCCACGCTCCTTCGGGTCTCTTCCCCCGTGGAGAAACACGGACATTGCCCCGAACCCCACAAAAGCAGCAACCAGCCCGGGGCAATTCTAGCCGGGAACGGTCCTCTTTTCCTCCCCCATCTTCCTCTCGCTTTATCTTCTCTTCTCTTTCCCCTCCATCGTTATCCCTGGGATCCCAACACAACACACAAGCCCAGCTGCATTTGAGGTACAACCCATGTCCACTGGGCAGCTGCAGCGATCTGCCGGTTAAAACCTGGAAACGCATGGTAGACCTATGATTACGCCTTCAGCAGGCCTCGTCTTTGGTTGTGGCATGCAGGATGACAGGGACCAGCCCGAGGTGATCGACAATCTAAGTACTTGGGGCATAGGTAGGTAATAGCCTGCGATACCGGCGAGGTGTAGTGAAGTCGGTCAAAGACACGTACAAGTGTCGAGCGGTGAAAGGCTCAGGGAGAAGGCGGTAGAACTGGGGTCGATGTTACAGGTCATATCCCAGTCCCCATTCCTTCTATAGGATGCTACTCCGTGCCATGCATTTAGCAGCAGGTGACATGTCTCTGCATCTGAGCAGTCCCGACAGACGCCTTGATGGTCATCGCCTCCTCCCCTTTTCTTGCTCCTTATTCATTTAGACACTCCTTCTTTCCCGTCTTCCTGCCAGTCAATCCTATTGGGTACCTGTCGTGTCAACCCACCTCCCAAGTATATATGCACAGTAAAGGACTGGCATTTATAGACTGTCGACGATAGGGCCGCTTGCTATTTACTGACGAGGACGGACTGCAACCTGGGGCGTAGGGACGTAGGAGAGAACATAAATAGGCCGCTCTGGTCTCGAAATCGCATTGCGGCGGCACATAACGTGGTTTCCCCTCTTTCAATCCCGATTCCCTGGTTTGCTAAAACTTGTAGCCCAGGTCAATACTATGGACTTAGATTAATAGCTGCCTGATACCTATCCCTAGCTGCCGTCTCTTGTCCCCGCCCCCCACCCCTACGCCGAGAGTCCCGGGCTCGGAACCGGCCTCCACACCAGCGCAATTGGATTACACCCCGCACCCACTTTGAAGCCCCTCGATTGCTCCGAGATTGCTATCCCGCATCGCAAACCCCCATCCCTCCCACTCGACCCGAAAAAAGGAATACGACTGAATTTGGACCTGACAAGAAGCTGTACCTCTTTTGTGATTCGCTTCCAATGCACCTGGGGGTAGCACTGGAGGTTTCCTTCACGAATCAAGCCTTTCCTTTCACTCGCACCCTTCCCTGCACTTGCGTCCCCGAATTCGACACCCTGGATCCGGCACCTCGAACCTGCGAGTTACTTTAGATCTGTCACTTGGATTGTCCCCTAGGCTCTTTCCAAGCCTCAAGCCGCACTTGTCCCAAAGGATTGCACCCTTACCGACATCGCCCCGTGCCGGAAATACCACGTCAACCCTTACAGTTTTGCGATTCCCAACTACCTACTCTCCCGCCACTCCTGTCTCCGGCCAACCATGGGAGGCGACGCCCCTGCCGTCAATGGCGCGCGGCCGAAGGTGCTGCAGCTCGGGATTATTGAACAGTGAGTATCTATGCCCTATGTCACTCACCCCTCTCTCTCCTCGGCTCATCCACACCTCACCCTCAAACCCCTTCCTCCCACCCCTTTTCCATATGCCGGTATGCACCCCGCCCACTCACTTTCCCTTAGCGCCTTCGACGCCTGGGCATCCATCGGCAAGATCGCCGACATCATAACGCCCTCCTCGACCGACCGCGCCGCCTTCCTATCCGAGGCCCGGTCCGGCGCCTTCGACGGCTGCGCCGTGGCCTACCGGACGTTCGACTCCTTCGACACGACGGGCCGCTTCGACGCCGAGCTCCTCTCCGCCCTCCCGGACTCTCTGCGCTTCGTCTGCCACAACGGCGCCGGCTACGACCAGGTCGACGTGGCCGCCTGCACGGCCCGCGGCGTCCGCGTCTCCAACGCGCCCACCGCCGTTGACGACGCGACCGCCGACCTGGCCGTCTTCCTCGTGCTCGGCGCCCTGCGCAACGTCGCCCAGGGCATGGCCGCCCTGCGCGCCGGCGCCTGGCGCGGCGAGGGCGACGCCGCCCCGGCCCTCGGCCACGACCCCCAGGGCAAGGTGCTGGGCATCCTCGGCATGGGCGGCATCGGCCGCAACATGGCCCGCAAGGCCGCCGTGTTCGGCATGCGCATCCGCTACCACAACCGCACGAGGCTGGACGCCGAGGTCGAGAGGGAGGTCGGCGCCGAGTACGTCGATTTCGAGACGCTGCTGCGGGAGAGCGATGTGCTGAGCTTGAACTTGCCGCTTAACGTATGTGCCCCCTTTTCCCCTCTGCCCTCCGCCACGACCCTTTTTGCGCGCGCCCCCCCCCAAATCCTCTTATCAAGAAGCTAGTTGAAACAACAACCCCTAACCAACCCCCCCAGCAACACACCCACCACATAATCTCCGCCCCGCAATTCGCCCAGATGAAGCCCGGCGCCGTGGTGGTCAACACGGCGCGCGGCGCGGTGATGGACGAGTCGGCGCTCGTGGCGGCGCTGGCGTCGGGCCGCGTGGCGTCGGCGGGCCTCGACGTGTACGAGGACGAGCCGCGCGTCCACGCGGGCCTCGTCGCCAACCCGCGCGTCCTGCTCGTGCCGCACATGGGCACCTACACCGTCGAGACGCAGACCAAGATGGAGGAGTGGACCATGTCCAACGTCCGCATGGCTGTCCTCGAGGGGCGCCTGCGGAGCATCGTGCCCGAGCAGAGGGATATGATATGAGGTGGGAGGTGGGGGGGAGGTTTGTTGGGCCTTGTCTCTCGTATTCAGGGGCGCGGAGGGTTCATCGGCTTCACTCCCTGGCCTCCACTCTGCAGGGAGATTGGGTAGATGTGTCCTGGGAAGGGGGAGGTCCGTCATGGTATCCCGATGGGCGAATATATACACTAGGCAATATGCTACCAGAAGCCCATTTGCGAGTCCTACGAGAATGGTTATTTATGGGGGGGATCTGGCTGGGTGGATAAAACGGGAAAGGAAATAGAAGCTACTAAACGACTAGAGCTGGTAGACATTTTGAAGCTCTCCATGGATAGGCAGAGAGAATAATAAGAAAGTACACGAAAAGGAGAGTTCTCCCATATACTTGGGCATCGGACACCGCTGTGGTCATGGCACTTGCAAAATATAGGGATCAGAGGGGGCTGTGTAAGTGTGCACATGAACACCGAGGAGAATCATCAGACGAAGCTTGGGGTTGGTGGTGCGCACAACACGCAGTCCATCTATTCCATCACATAATCTGTCTGTCTATCAGGGGCCGCGGTTGACGCGCTGGTTTGGAATCCATCTCGTCCCCGCGTGGGGATGACGGATCCTGTCGTAAAATGACCATCATCATCCTATGTTAAAAGCCTAATTCCGTTTGGGGGATATCATGTTAAAGCCAACGCCGTACTTTTTTGTTGAAAAACGTGTACCAGAGAAACCCCCCCATCCCCCGCCGTTTTTACCCTGCCATACCGGTGCTATGCGAGCCATGCCTGTTGAATGTATCAAAGATGCCTTTGTTGCACTTTCTATGCCCTAATAGCATAGAACCTGCCTTCATGTCGTTGAGATGCTTCAGAACCCGTATGTTGAAGGGATCCAATGTTGGTGTGCGAGGGGGTAGACAAAAAAGGGAAAATTAGTAGCGGTAGCTACGATGGCATTAGCAGGGCACATGAGGGACGAAGGAGGGCGGGGCAGCGGAGAACATACTGGTCGGTCTTGAAGGGACCCTCGACCGGAAGGCTGAGGTACTCGGCCTGGACGGGCGTGAGGTTCTCGAGCTCGACGTTGACGTGGGCCAAGTGGAGACGGGCAACCTCCTCGTCGAGGATCTTGGGAAGGACGTAGACTTTCTTCTCCAGCTTGCCGCTCTTGGCGAACTCGACGTACTTCTTGCCGAAGGCCTCGTCGTTGTTCTTGTAAAGCATGATCTGCGCCAGGACCTGGTTGGTGAAGCTGCAAGACATGACAAAGGAGCTGTGGCCGGTGGCACAGCCCAGGTTGACCAGACGGCCCTCGGCCAGGAGGACTATGTGGCGGCCGTTCTTCATCAGGAAGCGATCAACCTGGGGCTTGATATTCTGAACGCTGGCAGCGTTGGCCTTGAGCCACGCGACGTCGATCTCAATGTCAAAGTGGCCGATGTCTAAGGTGTCCGTCAGCATCGACATGTTTCAAGGCCCTTTTTGCGGTGCTGGGACAAGCTTACTGCAGACAATAGCATCGTTGGGCATGGCCTCGAAGTGCTTGCCAACCAGGATGTCTCGGCAACCGGTGGTGGTCACGAAGATCTGGCCAACGCTGGCCGCCTTCTCCATGGTGGTGACCTGGTAGCCAGCCATGGCCGCCTGGAGAGCATTGATGGGGTCGATCTCAGTAACCAAGACGCGGGCACCCATTGTGTGGAGGGCCATGGCACAACCCTTGCCGACGTCACCGAAGCCGGCAACAACAGCGATCTTGCCAGCAATCATGACATCAGTCGCCCGCTTGATACCGTCAATCAGCGACTCGCGGCAGCCGTAGAGGTTGTCAAACTTGGACTTGGTAACGGAGTCGTTGACATTGATGGCCGGGACGAGGAGGGACGCGTTCTTGACCATGCGGTAGAGGTGGTGGACGCCAGTGGTGGTCTCCTCCGAGACACCGAAGCAGTTCTCGAGCATCTCGGGGTACTTGTCGTGGACAAGGTGGGTCAAGTCACCACCGTCATCGAGAATCAGGTTCAGCTTCTTGTCATCCTTAAAGGCGACGAGCTGCTGCTCGAGACACCAGTTGTACTCATCCTCGGTCTCGCCCTTCCAGGCGAAGACGGGAACGCCGGCAGCGGCAATGGCAGCGGCAGCGTGGTCTTGTGTGCTGAAGATGTTGCATGATGACCAGGTGACCTCGGCACCCAGGGAGACAAGAGTCTCGATGAGGACAGCAGTCTGGATCGTCATGTGCAGGCACCCAGCAATACGGGCACCCTTCAGAGGTTGGTCGGCAGCATACTTCTTGCGAGTAGCCATGAGACCTGGCATCTCATTCTCGGCCAGCTCGATCTCCTTGCGGCCAAAGGCAGCGAGGGAAAGATCGGCGACCTTAAACTTGTGGGCGGGAGCAGACATTCTGAAAAAAGGTTCTCTGGCTAGAAGGCGAGGCAGTGTCAGCTCAAAAGGCTTGATGAGAGAGGGGTTAAGAAAATGTTCGAAATGCTTACCGACAGGGCAAGAAGGGGGGGGTAGGTTATCGAGTGGAAGGAGGCCTTGGAAGTGAACGTCAGTAAGATGGATTCGAAGAGATAGATATACTCCAAGCCTATTCTCACCTCTGGTCTGGTAGGGAGTGGGAGCAAGGGGGATGTCGGGAGGGATGAAAATGAGAAATGGAGGGTTGGAAAGGTTCAAAAAGGTGGGGGATTGATCAACAGTTTTGCACAGCGGTGAGAGAAGGGATAAGAGCTAAGCCTATTTTAGCAAAGCCCCCACCATGCCCCTCTCAAATCCCTCGGCGGCAGTTACCTGGGCAGCCAGCCCTCTGCCAAATTCCGAAGAACGGGAGAACCCGAAGGCTACGGGCCGGATATACCAAATCTACGCCGTAAGGGGGTTGGCGGGGGGAGGGTCATGGACTGCAATCAATACAAGTAGGTTGTTTTCACCTTGCTCCAATTCTCTTCATCTGTATACAGTGCAAGCCCGTCTTCACTCGACGGCACCTGAACCTCTTGGAGGGTTGACCGAGTCCATCACCCGAACGCCGAGCCCAATGCCATTAACCCCGAGATATTCATCCTCGTCCGTGTAGTACACCCGGCTGCCGCTGTGACCTATTCGGGTAGCAAGTTGCCCCGAACAGCAAACATCTTCGCAGTAATGTTGGCTGTGAAGCCATCCACCTGTCTGCTATACTGCTCAACCTGCCTCGCGTTCAACATACCCTCGAGCCGGCTTGGCTCCTGGGGAAGCTTGAAAAGTCTCTGCCACTCGTCCTCGGGGAGCGGCTGTTGCTTCGCGGCCGCTCGTGCCGCATTCTCCGCCTTGCGCTTTGTCTGCCATGCCGTGATCTTGGCCTGTTCACGTGCTAGCTGCCGCTGGTAGTATTGGTGATTGTTGAGATCCGTGTAATGGGCCTCGATGCTTTCCAACAGCAGGTCGCATGTCTTCTCAAGGAACGGGTCGATGGAGACGTCGAGTGAGTCGAGCGACGGGTTCGGAGGCGGCTCGACAGGGTCACGCCGTATGTCGGACAGCGAGGCGGGGAGAGGTACTTCGGCAGACTCGGGAGGGGCGGGAATCTGGTGGAGGTAGGAAGTGAGGAGGTGAGAGTTGTGAATGATGACGGGAAATTCGACGATGATGTCCTTGAAGGACAGCTTTGACTTCTGGAGGCTGGAGATGGGGCTGCGTCAGCGCTGCATGGGCAACGGTAGGCGGGGCCGAAATGGATATGGTCTTACCTGTCCGTCGTGAATTTGCCCTCCTTGTAAGCTGCCATGAAAGTGTTGGACAGCTTGAAGGCACGTAGAGTCAACGGGCCCTGCGAGCTGCGGCTGACATCGTGGACGAGCGCAACAGTCCTATCGTTGTCGCGCTGGTAGTGGTACTGGTTTTCGACGAAGCCGAGGTTGATGAAGTTGCCCATGGTGGCGCTAGTGTACCACCCAACGTTGTTGGCGTCAACGTTGACCTCCTTCAAATGCCTGATCATCTCGTTTTGGTATGTGATGTTTGCCTTCGCCCGGGGAGCAGCAGCGGCAAGGCTAGACGCATCATTTGGGTGGCTGTCTGTGCTGGAGGTCTCGACGATGGGGAACGGGAACGAGTTGGTCACTTCGAGCACGCCGTTGCTGTCCAGACCGACAATGGAGCCTGTCGCAGTGGTTGGGAAGTTGGAGGAGCAGTGTTTGACAATCTTCATCGCCACCTAAATCGCCATCCTGTCAGTACCTACAGTCCAGTTTTCTGAATCTTGGTGGGGCTGGAGAAACTCACGAGGGCCTCCACTTGCACCGTCTTGAACGGCGCATCTTTCTGGGCGTCAGCCATGATTGGAATCGGTAGACGCTAGACGCTCAATGAGATGCGATACAGCACTTGGGAGTTATGACGTGCTGGGTTTCCTTCGCCGAGTTGGGTCCTCCGTCGCCGTTGATGTCGTGGGGATAAGAGAATTAACGATCTTTTTTTCGCTTTGATTTGTGGGAACGGACCAAGCAAGCCACAGTGGCTGGTGCGACAGATGTGGTTGGCCCCACCTTTCTAGCCAAACATCCCACCAAGAAATTTTGACAGTGCCTTGGAGCTAGGTCAGCTTGGACAACGGCCCAGGGAACGTTCGATCTATTGCCTCAAACCTAATATACACACCAATTGAGCTCCTAATCTAGCCAAAATGTCTCTCTCCAACAAGCTGTCGATCGAGGACGTCGACCTCAAGGGCAAGCGCGCCCTCATCCGCGTAAGAATCTATCAATGAATTTAGCAGAGACCCCGCTCCCGTGTAAGGCGCTGCGCTGGGGCGAGAGGGGCACACTTGTGATGATCAGACCATGTACTAAAAAAACCCATGACATGAATAGGTCGACTTCAACGTCCCACTCGATGAGAACAAGAACGTTACCAACCCGCAGCGCATCGCCGGTGCGATTCCAACCATCAAATATGCCATTGACCACGGCGCCAAGGCCGTGATCCTCATGTCCCACCTGGGCCGGCCAAACGGCAGCCCAAACGAGAAGTACTCCCTCAAGCCAGTTGTTCCCGAGCTCGAGAAGCTTTTGGGCAAGAAGGTCACCTTCGCCCCCGATTGCGTTGGCCCGCAGGTCGAGGAGATCGTCTCCAAGGCGGATAACGGCGATGTGATCCTGCTGGAGAACCTGCGCTTCCACATTGAGGAGGAGGGCAAGGGCGTCGATAAGGATGGCAACAAGACCAAGGCCGACAAGGCCAAGGTTGACGAGTTTCGAAAGGGGCTCACGAAGCTCGGAGACGTCTTTATCAGTGAGTTCTCCCCCTTTTGGCGCAATAGTTGTTGTTGCTGTTGTCCTCGGACTTCCAGAGTCGTACATGGAAAGCTAATAATGAACCCTCCACCTTCTGCTCAGATGACGCCTTTGGCACCGCTCACCGTGCCCACTCCTCCATGGTTGGCGTCGAGCTGCCCCAGAAGGCGGCGGGCTTCCTGATGAAGAAGGAGCTGGACTACTTTGCCAAGGCGCTCGAGAACCCCAAGCGGCCGTTCCTGGCCATCCTGGGCGGCGCCAAGGTCAGCGACAAGATCCAGTTGATCGAGAACCTGCTGGACAAGGTCAACACGTTGGTCATCTGCGGCGGCATGGCCTTCACGTTCAAGAAGACGCTCGACAACATGTCGATCGGCAACTCGCTCTTCGACGAGGCCGGCTCCAAGACGGTCGCCAAGCTGATGGAGAAGGCCAAGGCCAACAACGTCAAGGTGGTCCTGCCGGTCGACTACGTCACGGCGGACAAGTTCGACAAGGACGCAAAGACGGGCACGGCCACGGACAAGGAGGGCATCCCCGACGGCTGGATGGGCCTCGACTGCGGTCCCGAGTCGATCAAGCTGGCCAAGCAGGCGATCGACGAGTCGCAGACGATCCTGTGGAACGGGCCCCCCGGCGTGTTCGAGTTTGAAAAGTTCGCCAACGGCACCAAGCAGACGCTCGACGCGGCGGTCGCGGCGGCGCAGGCGGGCAGGATCGTCATCATCGGCGGCGGCGACACCGCCACCGTGGCGGCCAAGTACGGCGTCGAGGACAAGCTCAGCCACGTCTCGACCGGCGGCGGCGCCAGCCTCGAGCTGCTCGAGGGCAAGGAGCTGCCCGGCGTTGTGGCCCTGAGCCAGCGTAAGTAGTGGCTCTCAACCCAGCACTTGCCTCCAGTCTAGGTAGACAGCCAGCCAGCTGTTGTGCAGTCCTGAAGTAGGCACATTTTCGGGTCAACTGCAGAGATTAAGGAGCAACCTGCGCAATAACTACGTCGCGCAACAACAGGACAGTATTGCCAGAGAGGGTCTCAACTCAGATCAATAGCCTCCATTGGTTATTTGATATCGTAGTTGAGGCCCGTACGCTTTCACTTGAAGGACGCTCATACACACAGAGAGGCTCAAATGATTATATCTTTATATCTTGAACTGTCGGGAGCAATTGCTCATAAAATGCTAGCCACAAGTTCATGGGATTTCAATACACTTCCTGTGGTAGCCAACCCACTCCCGACAATCTCTCCATCTAGTTCGACCTCCTCCTAGCCCATTATGCTGCCAAGGTTCCACTGAACGAATACATCCCCGATCCGGCCCTTATGACCGTCCTATCATTGCCCGCGTCGACCGACATGATCCCGCTCTGAGCCACACTGAGTCCCTTCGCGTTCTCCGAGGCGGCGACGGCGGGGAAATTGACGGTTGCAACGGCGCCGACGGGTACGGTGATCTCGTACGTTATCGAGTTTCCACGGACCGTCCAGCTGGCCGACGCGGTGCCGAGCGGGGTTCGGTAGGTGGTGCTCGCCGACGTCAAGTCGCCGACGACGATGGGCTCGTACTCAATCTCCCGCCAGCCCACAGACCCTTCCTTCTGCGCCAGGCCGCTGAGCTGCAAGAGCCACGTGTCGCCGTACCCGTACCTATGACATGGGGATGGGAGTCAGCTTGGAGATCAGGGCTTGGAGAGCTCGGCCTGGGAATACGTGCATGAAGTGGTTCAGGCTGCCACCTGTTTTGTCGGCGTCCCAGTGCTCCCAGAGGGATGTCGCCCCGCTGCGGACCTCGTAGCCGTAGCTTGGACTCGTCTCCGTGTTCATCAGCTTGAAGATGATGTCGTCCCTGCCAGCGGCGCGGAGGACCTTGAAGACGCCTTGTCAAAGTGGCAGGAGTGGCTTAGTTACATGGAGCGATACTCGACCCCTGGGGAAAGGGATGAGACGTACTGGGGAGGCCGATCTCGCCGACGGTGACGTGCCAGTTGTGACTTTCAAGAGAGTTGATGAGGTTGCCCAGAACGTCGGCTCTGTACTTCTCCGGGACCGCACCGAGGTCGAGGGCCAAGGCGTTGCAGGCCTGGGAGTTGGAGCAGTAGTGCGGGGATCCAGTGTCGTTGAACCACATGCTATGGAAGCCTGCCTGTAGGCTTGACGAGAGGTTGCGGTAGTACGCAGCCTGCTCGGTGTTTCCGAGTATCTCTTCGACCTCCGTCATGGCTTTCACGGCCTGGTAGTAGCCGAATGTCGAGGTGACACCCTTTGGCGTGGTCGTGTCTTGGGTAGGAGAATCAGCAGAGTTCCCCAGATGGAGGAGATGGTCAACTCACCCAAGCCCTCCCAGTCACCGAGACCGCCGTCGTTGAGGTAGGGATTCCCCCCAGCTCTATTGACCAAATACTCGATATACTCCACCATGAACTGGTGTTTGAACTGTAGGTATTTGATGTCGCCATAGTATTGGTACAGCCGCAGCGGAACAATGATCATGGCACATCCCCACTGTATCTTAAGTCAGTACGCACGGCAAAACGACGTCCGGTGTTATGAGAGGATGCTAACATTGGGGTCGTTGCGATAGCCGCCTCCCATGGGGTTCCCGCTGAGGCCAAGGGTGTCAGTCTCTCTATTCCAGTCCGTAATTGGCGGCGACCAGGGACTGGAATTTCAACTCACAATTCAGGTGCGATATCTGGAATCAACCCCGGGACATCAGCAGCTTGGGCATCTGCCATTGTGAGTATCATGTCGTAGCCATAAGCTTGCAGGTCATATCCCATGGCCAGCGGGTGGAAGACAAATTGGTTCTGCTCCAGCCACCCATACTTTTCTCGGTGGGGGGAGTCAGTGAGGACGGAGTACATGTTCCCCTGGATCGACCGGTCGATGATGGCATGGATCGAATTGAACAACTCGTTGCTCGTATGAAGAGACAGCACAGGCTCGTTGGCGGCCCTGATGACATATCCGGTCATGTCATCAAGGGAGGGTGTCCAAGTAAGGTTGACACCCAGGTAGCGGAAGCCGTGGTACAGAAACTTGGGTGAATATGACTGAGTCTCGGCATCGGAGAGTGTGTACGCGTCGAAGATGGGGCTTCCAGTGGTGGACTGCGATATTCCGCCATTGGCAGTGATGTTCTCGCCTGGGCGGAACACAATTCGTGTGCCAGCTCGCTAGATAAGTGGTCACCACATTAGAACAGACGGGGCGTAGAGAAGCATGATGGTTGCTAGTTTCCAGTAGCACTCACCCCTTTACCGTTCATGACCAAGCTGAAAGTTCCAACAAAATTGATGCCCAAGTCAAAAACCCACTCAGAGCCAACCTGTCCATAAAGGGTTAACGGTGCTGTTATATCGCACCCGGATGCTCTTGACGTACCTGCTTGACGGCAACAGCCTTCAGCGCCTCCACCACCTTCAACGGAGGAGCTCGAGGGCTCACAAGAGTCCCCGTCGGCGGAGTAGCGATGGTCGCCTTGGTCCATTCTTTCCTGTGTCCACAGACACCATCCCAACCCGCGAGCTCCTTGCGGGCATCGTATTCCTCGCCGCCGAACCACGATGTCTCGAAGTATGGGCCCGATACGGTTGTCAGCCACGACTCGTCAGAATAGACAGCATGTATGTCCCCATTCTCGCAGGTGTACTCGAGCTGGGCAATGAGCATCAGAGGTGCGGGAGCTGCCAAGTTGAACTTTGAATATCGGCCGAGCAGGGGCTTCTCTGCATCATAGATACCCTTGCCGAGCTCCACTCGAAGAAGGTTCTTCCCCTTTCGCAGTTGGGTTGTGACATCGTACGTCGAGTATAGAAGAGTCTTGTTCACGGTCGAATAGCCAGGCTGCAAGACAGAATCATCGACGGGATTTTCGTTCAGCAGCGCAACGTGCAAGCCGAGACCCAGCAGGTAGAGGCGAGCCTTGGCCACGGGGCAAGTGACTCTGAAGGGCTTGGTGAAAATCGGCAGGGAGGTGTCGCCAGTCGAGAACTTCTTGTTCGTGATCCATGATGCTCTCCAGTCCGAGTTACTAAGAAGAGACACCTCGAAGACGGCAACATCGCTCCACTTGGATACCACCCCATCGACATCCCAGACCCTCACGCGCCAGTAAACAGCAGATCGCGAAGTGAGATCTTTACCGTCGTACGTGGCGGATGCGTTGCTTGACGCGACCTTGCCCGTATCCCACAGATCGGGCGTGTCGAAGTCGGACCGTGATGAGGAGGCCTGAATCTGGTAGGCCGTCTGGTTGTCGGCACGCTTATCCGAGCTAAGCCGCCATGAAATCCACGGCGTCGCAGTGTCGATGGCAATGGGATCCACGGCGCCGTTGGCTCTGAGGGAGCCTTTCTCGACCGCAATTCCACTCGCAAAGGAGATGGCGGCGCCAATGGCTAGAAATGGGGAGAGCCGCATGGTGGCAATCAGAGAGAAATGTCCCAGAAGTATGGTATAGAGCACAGCTCTCGAAGCAGGAAATCATCGTGGGTATAAAAGTTTCGTCTCTTCGTCATTTGGATCCATTGCTTCCCGAGATGCAAGCAAGCTCGGTGTAAATAGCACGAGCCGCAACCCTCCCAACCATCGCCAAGTCCGTTGCGCAGATGCGGAGATGGCGACGACAGGCAGGGAGTAGCCATTTCGGAAGTGCTACGGGCAGACGGCCATTGACCTACGTCGAGACTTGAAGAAGCAAAACATGGGCTTTCGGTCGATCTTCTGCCGAGACCTTGCTGAGTCCAGGACGGAACGGTAAGCGGTCGACGGTACCCTTGTACAAATGAGCTTCTCCGGGAACCTGGAAGCTGGGGGAAAGGGCTGGGCCCATGCAGATGATGCGGGGAAATACGGGGATTTCAACGTTTCTAGGTATAAGCAACCTGGATTAGTTTGTGAAAGCGGTTGAACTATTGATATTTGTGTGGAGATGGCTTCACTGACAAGGAGTGCTCCCCACCCTCGAATTTTGTTGGGTGGATGGGCCACACCAAACAGGATCGAGGTTCCTCCTCCAGAGCCGGGAGGAAACGCAGATATTCAGCTGAGCATGGAGAGGGTATCCTATCCCTACTGCGTAGGTGGTTCTAAAGCAATGCTAGGCGCTAGCTAGAACAGGAGGGGGCCAGAGATGGCTGATAGTGGTCAGATGGGATATCCAGGAGTCAACGCTAATGGAGCGGACTAGAAATGGTAATCAGAGAGTGAGTAATTATTCACTACACCGAAGACAGCATGGAAGGTCAGCCACGCTGATCAGGAGGGTAATTACAGAGGTACCTCGTAGAGCCACACACCCTAGCAAGAGGCGTTCAAGGGCGTGGGATGAGAAGCAGAAAGTCTGACACACCCGCGCTGGCGACATCAAGTATCCCACGCGTCCCCCACGCCGCCGGGCGGCCTTCGAGGTGGTGTGTTCTAGGTTCTTATACCTGTGGTTCCCACTTCGGCTCTCTCTCGCACTCCATCACTCCTTTTCCGCCTTTGCTCTTCTGCCGCCTTCCTACTACGTCTATCCCGGCGATGTTGGCTGGACTTGGTTCGATCCACGATATCTAACTCTATTCATATGATATCTTCATTACTCTAGAACAGGCAGCAAATGGCTTTCCCTGTATCTTGATCCACGCCGGAACTCCGTAAAGAAATCGGGAAAAAAGAAAAAGGACCAACTCCCGCTCTTCTCAGGCAAGTTCGAACGCTTTAATTCTCGTCAACCCAATCAATGATATCCCAGCTCTCAATCCCGTCGCGGATGATCAGTCTGTGGCGGTCAATCTTCCAATTCGAGTACAAGAATCTGGTGGCACCAGCAGCTTTCCGGTGAGCTGGGCCCACGCCTCCTCTCCTTGCGTCTTCCCTTGAGCTCCAGATGCACGTCGCAAGGTTTCGGCCGTCGCTATCTGGTTCTCCAAACCAATACCTGGGATTTTGTCAGTCTCGCCTCATTGTCGGTGTGCATGGGGAGGCACTCACTTCAAGAAACCCCCGCTCTCTGTCGCTTCGACGTGTGCTGCCTTGTCAAGCACGCCAAGGTCGGCGTACACAGTCGATGGGGGGATTTGCGAGCGGAATGCAACGATGTAGAAGGAAGTTTCCTTCCAGTGGTGGCCGCGTTTGCGTGCGAGTGTGCGCAACGACTCGATAACCTCGCCCCAATTAAAGGTATCCAGATACGGTGCCGTGGCATAGTCTTCTCTCAGGTTCTTCATGCGCACCAATGCCAAGGCAAGGAGCTGGTTCTCTATGTCCACGCTCTCAAGATCGAGCAGGTGCTCCCGCTCCGTGTACGGAGAGACGACGAGATATCTAGACTCGTCTGCTTGATCTAGAGGGCGAGGCACTTCTGTCTCGGAGGATATAACAGCCTTCTTCCCTAAGAGAGTGACGGGAAGAAGTGGGTTAGGGACGAGAATGGTCTTTGAGATAGCCATCGTGGACTTGGCAAGGTGAAGGGCCCAAAGCAACGAGACCTCAGATCTCGAGAAGGATGATGGTGGGGAGGTGTCAACGAAGGGAATGGAATGAAGCGGATCTTGACAAAACAGGTGGAGCTACAACTGCGTTTATATGTTCGCCTTCGGGTCGCATCAAGGTTACGCTATCGGTTGAGCAAGAAATAAGGTCGAGCAAGACAAACTCAGACGACGGGACGGGATGAGAGAGAGAGATGTGGGAAGATCAGAGAGAATCCAGTGCTTCTCGCGGCCAACATCCTTACACCGACACACTGAATTACTGTTGACATCCCGTCAGGAAATTGCGAAGCCCATGGACAAGCAAGCAAGGACATTGCTTGTTCCCGATGTCGCATCTGGGCGATTCCGAGTCCCCCACAAGAAAGTCGTGCTTTCTTAGTCTTCTCCCGAATCGCGCAATCGACTAAAATTTTGATGCCATTGGAAGCCGTGCTCCCGTCAGCAAAATTCGAGCCGACCACCTAATTAGCCTTTCCCGCGCTCGCATGATTTGTTCCTGCATCAGGGAAGTCGCAATATTGTCTTCTCGGTCGAAAAGATATAATAAAGAGCCTACACCATCGGGGTTACAGAGCGCAGGTACGGCACAATTCCGTCAAGGAAGTATCTCGGCAGAACTAGATGTCCGGAAGGGAGATAGATGGTCTAGCTAGTCAGGGCCAAAAAAAAAAAAAAAAAAAAAAAAAAAATCCGACTCCTTTTTTTGCCTCTGACAAAGTTAGTGCATCCTCCGGAGTTCCCCCTGCTGGCAACATGAATCGTACCTCTCAGTCCCTCGACTTGGTTCCACCTTAGCTTGATGGCGACACAACGCTGAGACTGCAAAAAAGCAAAATGTCGTGCCAACCTGCAGTGGTAGGTATTCTTCATCGTGCATGGTTGCATCTAAGCTTGATGACGTGCTCGAGCTCATAAATCATCATCCCGTTCATCTTTGCCACCTCTCAGCCAAACCTTGGATACCTCATACGTACCAAGATACAGCCCGCTGCCAAGGGCCGTCCAAACGGCTCGGAGCGCGCCTCCTCGGAAGAGGCCTTTGACTCCCCGTTCTCGGAACACCTGCTTCGCAACCTCCCAACTTCCCGTCCTACGCTCGGTTTGGTGCGAGGGACGTCCGCCGGGATTGTGGCCGCCTCCCACGCCGTCGCGGCTGTTGTTCTCCCCCATCAACATCATCCGGGTCTTGACCACGTCCGTCGGCGTCGTGAGAACCGCTGCGAGAGCCCCCGACAATCCCGCGCTTGCCCCATTGACGAGCCACGTCTCCAACAATACTGATGTCCCGGCTCCGGACTCCGATCCCGCCGCCTGGATCTTCTCTTGCAGTTCCTCGCCGTCCCTGCTTGAGGCGGCACGCTGACGTCCTGATCCCGGCACGGCTCCCGACCGCCGCCGGTCTCGCCAATCCCAGATCCTCCCTCTGAGGAACTCAAAAACAGGGAACTGTATCGCCGTATGCGGCAGGTTCCGGGCCGCGAGTGCCGTGTATCCCCGCCAGAGGCGTCGCGCGGCCCCGCCCTCGCTCCGCCGCAGCATCCGCCAGGCCTCCAGCGATGTCGAGGTCGACCGTCCGCCGCTGACGCCAACGCCGCCGGTCCGCCTCAGCATCTGTGCGTTCTGCTTCACGACCTCCGCCGGGGCGAGCACGAGGCACGATGCCAGCTCGGCCGTCCCCGACGCCGCGGAGTGGACCACGGGCTGCGGCGTGCCGGACGGCAGGATCCCGGCGTAGAGGGTTTTGGCGGACTCGTAGGTGGTGAAGAAAACACCCGCTGCGTAGGGGTACGTAGACTGTCAGATTTTTTTGCCGACCACACATGCGACGCGGGAGAGCAGAAAAGAGAGACTCGGAAAAGGTAAACCGAAGCGAGTGGAAATGGGACGACGGGACAAACCTGCTGGCAGGGTCGCGAGAATCACGCTACCCACGCCCTGGTAGAGGCCCTTGAAGACATTGGCGGGTACTCTCCTGGCCCCTGCGGATGATGCGTAGGTGCTCACGAAGTCCTGGCTTTGCCACCGCGTCTTGATGGTGTCAAGAGGGTATACGAGCAAGTCCACCGTGAAGGCTGCCGCAGCACCTGCCTGGAAGCGATGTCTCCATCATTAGCCTCCGTCGATACGATGTATGCATGCACATAAGATCCAAGTGAAAGGTTCCAGCTAGCGAACATCTAGGTGGTTTGGCAAATGGTAGAGACCGTCGACTTGGTCCCATCGTGCTGCGAGCCCACCAGAGACTTGGGGGCGGGTTTCACCAGAGAAATATTCATTTCCATTGCAGGCATTATCCGAAATGATTAGAAACAACACCGCCTTGGAAGGCCTTGAACACGGCACGATGCCTGCGACGGTCCGGGCTGGGGTTCGAGCGAAGGAGAAGAGCACGAGCTTACCAACCAAATTTCCATATGCGTATTCTCGCCCATCACAAAATTGACTGATCCATGTAGGATTGCTTGCTATTGCTAATTATTCGGATAGCTACCGAGACAAGCCGGCCGTGCCATGGCGGCGATGCGACAGGACCTGACCTTGGAAGTTGGCTCCATGACGTTGACGCTCAACAGGTCTGTTGCTGAGTCAGCCACATCACCGCAGACAGTCTGGACACGAACGTCGGGACAGTCAAGCGGGAATATTTTGAGAGATTGGCACGATGGATTGGTATTTGTATCTAGCTGGTGCTTTCCATATATATTTCGAAATTATCATCGACCATCCGGGGGTACCCAGCACGCGCTGGAGTATCAAATGATTCGCACAAGTTGGAGCGGATCTCCGACATGGCAGGCCCCGAGGCGTACTGTCAACGGCGGTGCAGTTTTGAACAATTACCTACAGTCACCAAGTGGTAATCGGGCATCTTAGTGTATAACGAAGCGCAACTGGTTGACACTCCTTTGCTTCACTTTGAAATTTCTGCCACCTGCCACAGTCACGCATCTCCGAGATGTCCCGGCTCCTGACCACGGTTATCTTCATCAACGAGTCCCAACCCGGATACAACCGCCGGAACTACGAGCCCCCCCAGGTACAGAAGAACCTGGGTCTCAAGACCCTCGGACAGCCCATTGAGCGCCTGAGCAGGAACCTCCGCACCGTCCAGGGCCTCGTCCAGGGCCTGGACTACATCCACGCTCTCAGGGGCCTCGATTTTCTGCCACCTGCCACAAAATATGTGCAGCCATACGTTTGGTCTAATTTCATTCATTTGGCCCCTTTCAATTCTATCCATAGAATCTGCTCATTCTACCTACTTCTCACAGCTTTACCACTACAATAGTCGCATAGGCAGTTCAATTGAAGTCAATTGGGGCCTGCGCCAGCAGTTAGGTTCAATTCAGGCCCTCAATTGAAGTCAATTAGGTCCGGCGCGGGCAGTCAATTCGGGCCCGCCGATTGGAAAGATATATAACGGGGCGGGATCACCAATGGCTGGGCGAATATCAGGAGCAGATATCAGAACAAGTATCAATGATTACCTAGCTTGTAGGTCCACTCGTCATATTACTTGATCGAGAAGTAAGGCATGAGAGGAGCATCACTAATTAGCCCATAAACTTGCTCCGTCATGGTACTTGATTACTGAAAGTTGGACTTGGGAAATCACAGAGTAGGTAGACCAGCGACTTTGATCGCAGGAAGTAGAACACCAGACGAGCAACCGCCGAGTAGTCCGTAGATTTGCTTCGCCATGCTACTCGATCACGGCCTATCGCAAGTAGGAGAAACGCAATCTACAAGCTAATCATCGTCGAGAAGAGAGAAATGGATTGCCCAGCCAGCTCTAGACACTGTGAGCCGGGCGCATATCCAATTTCTTTGGGACAGCTGGTGGATGTTGATGATGGTATACAACTGAAGTCTTCGGCTTCTGCCCTCCTGGCATTATGGCCTCATTGTACGCTGGAATCTGTCTGGTGAGCCTCGAAAATGGTCGTGGGTTTCGCCAGGGTTCGAAGAGAAGGTATATATTCCCAGCGACGCCGTAGATGTGCTCGCAGGATTTAATTTGGACTTGTAACTCAATCTGATCCCAATTTCTTATTGGCTGGGGCGCCTGATCCTAGGTGTAGGGCTGTGCGGGCTGGTGTCGATTTTGTGGACCGAGTAACAGTGGCTTTCTTGGGCGGGTTTCATTGGCCAATAATTAATCAAAACTCGGCAGCTCCCGAAAATGTAACCTTGTAAATTCTCCGATGCACATCATAACCCAGAATAGTACTAGCGTCGATCTTGGCCCAGATCACAAGGCTGATCCTGCGACCCTCGACCCTTACCTATAAATACCCCCAACTTTTGGCACTCCTCCCTCTTCACTTCGCAACTTCACACATCAAGCAACAGTCACTAGCACCAGCTCCAAGCAGCTCAAACAGCCTTGCCCTCACCTTCTCATCTACCATCCATCTTCACCATGCACCCTCATCAAGCATCGGCATCGGCATCGGCACCACCATCATTCACTCTCATCGGCCTCGAACGTCACATCTTCGGCCACCATGGCAACCTCGACGACTTCCACTCGAAACATGCCACCACAAAGCGCGCCCAGCTCCGACCAGACGATCTCTGAGGTTTCTCATCCCGCCCTCCTGTCGGTCTCACATCAATCTCACATTTTCAGTCACCCATGGCCCGCGATACCAAAGCAAAGCATGCTCCACCTCAGCCCTGACGAGACGATCTCTCTGGTGAGTACCCACCCAACATATTCCACCATCGCCATGTTCCTCACTAACCATCATCCACCCGTGTCGCAGTCACCAAAACAAGAAAATACGGAACACACAGACAACCCCGGCCTGCCAACGGCCTCCTCAAGATTCTCGACCGACTCGATTGCCTCCCATCCGATCCTCCTCACCAGGTCCAACCGAAGTACGGATATATACTACGTTCTCATAAGTCCAGCGTCCTCGTGGCTGCATCTGGCGGAGTAACGGGCCCGGCAGGAATCATAAGTCCAGCGGTCCTCGGACCTGCATATGGCAGAGAAACTGAGGGTTTATACTATTGGAGGAAAGGGCGGACCTGGTGGGGAGGATCTGGATCGGACAAGAGGCAATGCTTCGCATCGGTTTCTTGACGAGGCTCTCGCAGCAGCGCAGTGAGGTGCTGTGGCCCAGCTCCCACTCTGGCATGACAACAATCCACGCCGCCCAGCCATCATCCACCGCTCACATTCGGGACCTTGAGCACCCCACACCACCATCATGCACCATTCAGAGCGACACTCGCACATGGTCATCGAGGCACGGCACCACTAAGTGGACATGTACATACTTGCACAGACGGAGCTGGGTTTCCGCGGAGGACATTGGAGGACTGATAATGCCACTTGGGCATGAGCCATTGGGAATGGGATGCTTGGACAGGGACAGGGACATTGGGACATTGGCATTGGCATAGGGAAACATATGGAGGATCTGGGTGAATGAAGGACATGTCGACATTCTGCCTAAGAGCAAATGCGACAGTCACCAGATGTAGCATGCGATAATCAATGGCACTACATCACCACCCGCAATATTCTCTCTCTCTCCACCATCCACATGTGACAGCGATATAGTAATGTCACATTGTCGACCGTACACTGAGGTGCAACCTTCAATTGATATCCATGTCCAATCCGTTTTCGCCTTTAGTATCCTATATGGCCATGTCCCTCTGCAACTTGTATCGAGGTTGTCTCCGTGGGCAGGGGCATTTAGCTACCTGTGCTCGCTCTGTCTATCTACCGAGGGGTGGTATGCTGTTGTGTACAGCAAGGTGGTTCCCAATTCTTGCCAGATGGCTCTCCACATGGCCGACAAAAACTTCGGGTCGCGGTCTGTCAACATGATTTTGGGCAGTCCGCAGTTGGCAAGCAGCAATCTTTCCAACAATGTTTGGCCCCATTTTCTGCTGTCCATGTCTTCTTGCCTGGTATGATGATGATTTCTCTAGAGAATTTGTCCGTCCCTGTGAGGGCTGCGTCAAATACTTCCGTTGACAACGGCAGGGCAAGGATGAAATCGAGTGTGATCATGTAGTATGGACATGGCGGCGCCAGCAACGGCTGGAGGTTACCGTATGGTTTGTGGCGTGGCTTGTCGTTGGCTCGGCATTTAGGGCACGTTTGGACGTAATGTTCGTGTAACGCGGTTGATGCAATAATGGTATTTGGGCAGGGGCAATTAGGTATTCGGGCAGGGGTAATTAGGTAGGTATTCGGGTAGGGGCATTCAGCTATTCGGGCAGGGGCATTTGGCTAGCCGTCGCTGTCGCTATTGCTGTCTCTGTTGTTGTTGCCATCGCCATTGCCGTCGTAGTCGCTTGTTCCGTGGCTGGCAGCTGGTCTCTTTCATGCTCTGCCCGAATAGGTACCTACCCGTAGCCAACTGCCCCTGCCCACAGAGACAAGCTCCTTGTATCGGGTACCAGGTAGCTAGGTACCTAGGTCGTCTTGGATTTCTTTTCTTGGAACTTGTCCTGAATGTCCCTGAGGAACTTTTCGATTGCCTCTCGGTCCTGGTCAGAGATAGGCGGCGTCACCGGCATCCAGGGCTGGTTGGGTCTCATCTCCGCCTGTTTCCTGTCTCTCGCCCTTTGACGTGTGATGAGTTCCTCTTGTTTCTTGTGCTGAGCATCCGCGATCTCCTGTCGGGTCTCAACGTCCTCCGTCACTCCAATCTCTTCGACCTCCATGTCCTCCAGTTCTTCCGGATTCTGAAAATCATCCTGCAGATCCTCTGACCTGGCCAAATCGTGGGGTACGTTCCTCGCCGGCTGTTTCCCCTTCTCCCGTGTCTTCAGCTCGGGAAGAATCAGGTTTGTGATGTCCGGGGACTTGTCCCAGGTACCTAGGTTCGTGTATCCATGGATGATTAACTTGGATGAGTGCAGCAATCTATGTCGGTGTCGACACATTGAATGTGACTTTCATTGCAATCTACACTTGCACCTCTTTCTATGTACGCGCTGGCATAAGAGAGGCAATAGAATCGATGCAGTACATCTCGCTGTTGGAGTTAATAGTTAATCTTCTTAACTGTCTATGAGGTGACGGCGACAGCAACGGCAACTTTGATGACAGCGCTGGCGACGGCGATAGTGATATAAGGGCGCGGCGATACCAATCGTGATAGCAAAGAGAGATACTGCCGCTTGGTAAATCTCACAGCCTGGCCAGGCGCGAGTAGGAAACTGCCCACGCCAGCGCATCAAGGTCTCAAACTGAAGTGTGGCTTCTTGGGATGGTTCTTGGACGGTAGATTACTGAGTGGCACCTACACTGTGTAGAGTGCTATCTTGGGATGAATGGAATCTGGATGCGGATAGACATGCGGCTGTCTCGTGTGTTTAAGGGGATTGATTGCGGGAGAAGCATTAACTAACAAGATCATCTGCGCCTATGAAGATCCCGGAGCTTGATATCACAACCCCGTGGGCAACAGTGGAGGGGCACGCTGTAGGAACGGCGTTCTTGGTTCCATGCATGTTAGCCAGTCTCTTGGGAGGAGAGGATGTTTTTGCTTGGTGTCCATCAGGTCCAAAGGGAGACAGCGACATAGCTCATGGGCGCTAGGCTGGGCAGAGCAAGGGAGATTGATCCATACCGCCTCCATTGTCTATCCTACAATGTGCGATGGCAGGTGGAATGCTGCACTGGGACTTCCCAGTTCATGATTCCCAACGGTGCTCATGGGCAGGTCTAGGGGGTGGACGGCTCAATTAGTATGGCGGAATGGCCTGGGGAGAACGTCTGGTTTTTGACTCGAGCTGTCCCATTGGAGTTGGCATGCCATCCGTCGAAGCAGATAGGCAACGCATCGCTGAGATTCGACCAGAAGCATTATCGTTCGCTGGTTCGCAGAGATGGGGAAACGATTGAATCCTCAATGAGAAAAAGGCGGGCTAAACGTAGGTGAGTTGGGAACTAAACGGAAGCGCTTTGGCGGCATCTGAACAAGAAATAGGTAGGAAAAGAATCGAGCAGCTAGGTACGCAGCGATCTACAGCCAGCCTCTCTGTCTAGAGAGAGCTGAAACTCGTGTCGTTGGGCAGTGCGTCCGGTTAATAATAAAAATGAATGTGGGTGGGGGGAGGAACGCGCGGAACGAACGGCAAGATGCCGTCTTGCTTCATTCACGAACTTTCTCATCTCCGCTCCCATCCCAATCCATCGTAAATATCATCGAAAACTGTGTAGGCAGGCCCTAACGAGCGACTAAATACCCTGTATCCATCATAAACGCGGCTATCCAGTCGTATCGGCCTCGCAGTGGCGCGTCATCGGACACAGCAATACCCGCCGTTTGGTGCCAGATAACTGGGTTGTGCGGCTCTTTCGTCATAGACCAAGCCTCCCTTGTCGATTTGCGACTACCACCGCCAAGTCTCGCCGCCGAAGGACCTTCTGAGATCTTCCCTGTTTCTGCCTACCCAGGGCTTTCCCCCGAGGTCAACTCTTCCCAACATGACTTGGGAACTCACCCGACGCCGATGGACTCGTGCCATCAACAGTAAATATATTTACGACCGCGTTGTACGTCATTGCGAACCCATCCCTCCACTCTTGCTCTCTATCTCCACGCCTTTTCATGGGGCCCCACGCATCAGCTTTCCATTCCCTTCCATTCCACCCCGATTAGAACATCAGCACCATTTATCATCCTTGTCCGTCGGGGCGCACATCCTCAACCTTTTGCATGGAAAGCGCAACATGCTGACCCTTGTCTACGCCCCTTTTTAGCCTCTACTCCATGCCATCGTCTTCTTCATCGAGATGGCTCTAATCGCACGATTGTCGACCCGGTTCAATGCCTACTACGACGAGCGACCAAGTGTGTTCATTCTCGTCCATGTCCCTTCCTCTTATACCATTTGGAATGGCTGGCAGTTCATTAAGCTGACCCGCCGGTCCTCTAGTCCTCACCATGATGGTGACAAACGCCGTCCTCGGAGGCGTCGCCGACACCGTGGCCCAATCTATAACCGCCATCCGAGAGCGGGCCCTTAGAAAGTGCCCGCCGGGCCAGTCTCCGAACTCGAGGGACGACCCGATCGCCGTTGAGATCCACGAGCTGGACCGCAAGCAGCCCTTCCTCGACCGCGACCTGATCCCCGAGTCCAAGGCGCTCCCGCCCCCGTTCGACTTCGAGAGGCTGACGAGATTCATGGCATACGGCTTCGGCATGGCGCCGATCCAGTTCCGGTGGTTCAAGTTCCTCGAGCGGTGCTTTCCGATGACGAAGACGAGCGCCTTCGTCCCGGCCCTGAAGAGGGTGGCCTTCGACCAGCTGATCTTCGCCCCCTTCGGCCTCGGCTGCTTCTTCACCGTCATGACCGTCGCCGAGGGCGGGGGGCGAAGGGCCATCTGCCAGAAGCTGCGGGACATGTTCGTGCCGACGCTCAAGGCCAACTACATGCTCTGGCCGGCCGTGCAGATTATCAACTTCCGCCTGATGCCGGTTCAGTTCCAGCTGGTGAGTCTCGGGTCATCATTTTGTGCTGTACTTCATAAGCCCTTGAACCCGATCGCTGACACGAGCTTTTCCCACAGCCGTTCGTTTCCACCGTCGGTATCGCTTGGACGGCCTATCTCTCGCTTTCGAACGCGGCGGAGGACGCCCAGCTAACACGTTCTCCACTTGACTCGCCGCGGGTTCGGTTGGAGTAGGACATGACCGCGACACACACACACACACACACACACGCACATCATGTTAGGTATTGGGCTATGGGTTATATAACATTCCACCGCATTGGGTGGCCAGCACACGGAAGGTTCGGTGTGCAACACGGAATGGATTTACGGGGCGTTGTTGGCATTGGTTTCGTCCGTTGTCCCCTTATTTTTGGAGGATGGATCGCTTGATTTGGGATGGCATTCGTGGCGTTTTTTTGGGTGCAGGCAGGACTTCGTACTTTACAGATCAATGTGATATCTTGTTTTGAAAGAGTAGATAAATGGATGGGCAAGGTGTTGCTCGGTTTCCGAAACGTTCCATCGTCTGGATTGCACCCCAGCAACCGGCATCGCCAAGCAGGCTAGCTGCATACGAGGAAAGGCTGTTTGAAGATGTGTTCCATCACGTGGAGGCCACAGCCCGTTCGTTGTTGGAGCGATCTTGCAATCATATATGATGGTCATGATGCCCGGAGGCTGCCCGGGTGAGGACATTAATAACCAGGTATCAACCCTCGGGTTTGTCTTCCCAAAAGGAAAAATTCCAGATTTGTCGCGCCGATATAACCCCACCATTTTTACCCCTCCAACGTTTCGCCATCCCACTGTCTTGGCTCCTTGAGCCGTTGTAGCAAACTGATAGCATCAATTGTTTGCCTGCGCTCTCAACTTCGCTGCTGAACAAGTTAGTTACGAGATTCTATTTTGGCAATATCTTCCTCAGCCTGCACTGTTTCGTTTATATATCATGGCTGCCAACCTATACACAAAGGGTTTAAAAGAGCAGGAAGGGATGGTGTTGGAGAGTTGCAGAATGGGGGGACGGAAGACGTATCTTGTGTCTTAGCTAGTAGACATCTCGCCTTCCGTGCTTAGAGATAATCTCTATTTGACTTTACGACGTGCCGAATCGATGGGAAGGGGTGGGCAGGGACGGGCGTGCATAGCTAGTCGTTAGGTCGCTCGCGACGCATAAAATGAAAAACATCATATGCCTGAAGATATGTCGAGACTTGGTTTCTTGACACGCTTGATTCTGCAAAGCTACTCTTGGTGGGAATGCCATTTATCGCAGCCTCACTGTTGATCTGGCGTGCCACCGGTTGGTAGAGAGGGACTCGCTTGTGTCAAACCGCAACTAGCAGTATCACAACCCGCCAGATCCAGGCATGGCGAGAGATGCAGCAGCAGTCCCGATGCCTCCTCTCTCTCTCTCTCTCTCTCTCTCTCTCTCTCTCTCTCTCTCTCTCTCTCTCTCTCTCTCTCTCTCTCTCTCTCTCTCTCTCTCTCTATTTCTTTCCCCCGACCTCCGCTCGTGTTCCCGGCGCCCGGTCATTACCGCTTCGAAGACTCGACCTTCTTGAGCTCCTCCCTGTTGTTGACGGAACCTGTTAGCCAAGAGTGTCCACGCATCGAGGGGGATCCCCCAAGGGGTCATGTTTATTTTCTTGCTCGGAGACGGGGACTTCCAACGTACTTCAGCTGTGTCGAGAAGTCATCGCTCGTGTCGTCGTCGTCCCAGGACTCCTCCCAGAGGTGCTGTGTCTCCTCGCCGCCCGTGGCTGCTTCGGTCTCCTCGACGGGCCAGTCTGTGCACGGTCAGTCAGCCTCGCTTTATCTCTACCCGCTCGCCCGTTTCGAAGTTGACGCCCCTCGCTCCCCCCATGTATGGTCGTCGGTCGGGTGCGTCGCCGAAGGAGGGCGGCCAGTTGGGGGGAGGGACGTACCGTCCACGGGGAAGTCCTCAAACTCGTCATCTTCCTCGAGCGCGGCAGCGGGCTTCTGCTGGGCGGCCTGCTGGTCGGCCTTGGGCTCGGCTCCTGCCTCGTCCTTCTTGGAGGTGGAGGTTGTTTGTGCGGATGCCATCTTTTGTTTTCGATGTGATTGTTGACGAGGCTGATGGTGAGTCTTGGACCGGATTTAGTCTGTACCGGCGCTGCTTGTAGGGTCCGAGTTCTATTCTGGGTGGGTCCTTTCAGGCTTGTGATATTTGCGTCGTCAGATGCGGGCTCTTCGTTCGGCGGCGGATAAGAGGTTGTGGCGATGTACTATTTATATCGCGATGCTTCCGGGCTCTTCACCGAATCTAGACCGTGCCTACCACTTGGTAGGTACCTACCTACCTATGGCGGCTGGCGGCGGATTTTCTACCATCCGACCAGCCCTGCCGGGCGGGCTGACCAATAATAGGTCATCTGCTGATAACATTATCAGCGGCTCCAGCCAGCCAGACAGTGCATTCCGTTTTCGAAATGAATTTATCCGTATGTAGAGGCGAAGTACGGATCCGTACATTAGGTACCTGTCGTTTGAGCACATGGAATAGGTTGCTGCCAGATTTTACGATACTCCTGGTTTCTACTGCTCCAAGGCTATGATTGGAGATGAAGATACACATAAGAGCTTACCCTTTTCTTTCAATTTCCACCCATCTTGAGTACCCGGATACCTAGGTAGGTACCTACCTAATAATATTTACAAAATCACGTCCGCAAAAGTATGGCCACCGCACCTAGTCCGTCGCTAACTCTCGGAATACGTCATCTCCGTCCACTTCGCCTCAATAAGTCGAACACATCGAACACACTCCGAGAGCTTGTGCATGCGGTGTTACTTGCTGAACAGAGCGCGGAGTGTTTAGCGAAAAATCAACCCGGCGGCCTAAGTCATTGCTCCGTCGGCGGCAAGAGGGGGCTTTATCAAATGAATACATATATGAATATGCAGGCTCACTCGCCCGCTCCCCTCGTTGCTTGGTGGGGTTATGAGTTGCGAGACTGACACCTTCCCTGGACGCTTCTGTGTTTCATCCCAACGGGGGCTACCCTACGATTCTAAAACGAAAGACTGGCAATCCTGACTATCTCATCTCTGATACCTATACATAGAACCTAACTGCCGACGTAATATTCACTTCGTTCTCGTCACCTTCTTCTCTTTCTTGCTTGCCTACAGATCTCATTATCGAGGTGTAAATTAGGGGCCCCCTTCACTGCCCGTTGCTTCCCCGTGATCTCGGCCAAATACTCGCAGCAGGCGAGGCGAAGACTTAATGTCTTCCCTTCGCACTTGGCTCCGGGGTTCTTCCTCCACAACCTCTTCGACTACAACCATTACTCTGAACCAGAGTACGCTGCCCTGCGAAATTGCTCTCAATGACACCAACCGCACCAATGCTGCTAAGCTCTCCATCCTGGTCGCCGAGCAGGAAGCGGCCGATATGGAAGATGCCATGGCTGCCGCGGGTCTGATCATGAACGATGACATTGAAGGTGCGGAAGCGCGACTTGAGCTACGAAAGGACTCGTCTACTTTCCATCTGTTTGCCCTGGGCGTGTCAACCTTCATGAAGAGCATCCTGGGCTTTGAGAAGGGAATTATGGCTGAGGCATCATGTCGCCTGTCAGAGTGCGAAACGAGAGCCTGGGCAGATCTCAAGAGAGCCCAGAGGGAGGCCGATAAGGCTACCGGCGGCGGTTATTGGTACGGAAGGAGTGCTGGGGCGAGCGATGTCACCGCTGAGAACATCTTTCCGCCTGGCTGCGAGTATGCTCTCGTCCACGCGGAGGCCCAGTTGATGAATGCTGTCGTGGGAGTCATGCATGAGAGCCTGACTGAGGGCATCAAGGGCTTCTATAAGCTCCGGAAAGCGTTCATCACACTGGAGGGCATTATGGAGTCCGAGGCAAAGGCCCTAAAACAGGTACAGGGCGGGACAACGCCCGGACAGTTGTCGGACACCAAACGGACGCGGTCAAGGATGTCAAGTGACATGATGCCAGGAAGTTTTGACGAGGCTGAGTTTGTGGACTTTGAGGAAACCAGCGAGAAGGGGAGTGATAGCGATGCCGAGTTCGTCGATGCTTCTGCCGGTCTATCAGGTACTCAAACACCCAGCAGTGTGGCGGGATTGAACAAACCTGTTGGACCTGCAAGTACTTCGCGTCCCAGTACTCCCGCAGTCGAGAGAATACTGGCCGAGCCCTCATCAACCTCTTCCGGGCCCCTTGATGGACGCAATCACATGCGGAACACATCCAGATCCTCGTCTCGTCCGGCGACACCTTCACTCAACCCGCTCGCAGCACAATCAGTATCCCAAACACCACCCCGGCCCGTCTCTGCGCATAAGAAAACCACCGGCGGCGCAGATGCCGGACTCTTTACCTCTACCAGGGACATATTCGTTCATAGCGGCGCAAACATGTGCTTCGGCGCGTTACTACTCATCATCTCCATGGTCCCCCCGGCCTTCTCACGCCTCCTCCACATTGTTGGTTTCAGAGGCGACCGGGACAGAGGCGTCCAGATGCTCTGGCAGAGCACCAAGTTCCCAAACGTCAACGGCGCGGTCGCGGGCCTTATCCTCCTAGGGTACTACAACGCGCTTCTCACCTTCGCGGACATCCTCCCCAGCGACCGGGACGTCGAGGAGCTGACCAAGCCGGAGGCGGAGGGCGGCGAGATAGTCGGGTACCCCAAGGAGCGGTGCCGCGCCCTTCTCGCCGACATGCGCACCCGATACCCGGACAGCCGGCTCTGGAGGCTCGAGGAGGCCCGCGTGCTCGCCAACAACCGGAGGCTCGACGAGGCCATCAGGACCCTGTGCGACACCTCGGACAGCAACATGCGCCAGATAACGGCGCTGAACGCGTTCGAGCTGAGCATCAACGCAATGTTCGCCATGGACTGGCCGCTCGCGCGCAAATCCTTCCTGCGATGCGTCGAGCTCAACGAGTGGAGCCACACCATCTACTTCTACATGGTCGGCTGCGCGGAGCTGGAACAGTATCGCGACGCGTACCACCGGGCCGCCAGCCTGGCCGCCGCGGCAACGGCAGCGGAGGAGGCCGGAGGGGAGGCAGAGGAGGCACAGCGGCAGCGGCAGCTGCAGCTCGGGGAGGCGCGGGCGGCGGCGCGCCAGCACAAGAAGGCGGCCGAGGAGTTCTTCCGCAAGGCGCCGGCGGTGGCGGGGCGGAAGCGGTTCCTGTCGCGGCAGATGCCGGTCGAGGTGTTTGCGAGCCGGAAGCTGCGGAAGTGGGAGGAGCGGGCGGCGGCGCTGGGCGGCGGCGTCGACCTCGCCGACGCCGTAGGAGTCTCGCCGGCCATGGAGATGGTGTACGTCTGGAACGGGAGCAAGAGGATGTCCCCGGCGCTGCTGGAAAGGGCCGCAGCGCTGCTGCCGTGGGAGCGGTGCACCGCGCCTCCGGATAAGGTGGCCAGGATCCGCGAGGAGGCGGACGAGGTGGGGATACAGGCCGTCATTGAGGCTTCGCTGCTGCGCTGCCAGGGCCGTGTGGATGATACTAGGGCTGCGCTAGAACCGACTTTGAAACTGGACAGGTACGTTTCCGGGCATTCGAGAGGTGAATTCAGGGGGATTACCGAGTCACGTTGGCTAACAGGTGATACAGGAGTGTGTTCAAGGGGCCGACAAGAGACGACTACGTCTTGGCCGCAGCACACTACGAAATCGCCGCAGTGGCATGGGTCGAGGCATGCAACAGCCAGCACTGGCCCCCCGGAGCAAGCGACGAGGAGATTGGGTCCTACCGGCGGCATAAGGTCGACGAGTGCCAGGAGCATCTACAGAAGGTGGCGAGGTGGGAGGGGTTCGTCCTGGACGCGCGGTTCGGGATGCGAGTTCAGGCCGGGCTGGACAGCGTGCGTTGGCTGAAAGGGAAGAAGGAATGGGTGTAGAGCTCGAGACGGCGGCTGATCATGGGGGAGCTGGGAAAGTTGCTTTTCGTCTATGGGGGGTGGGCACAGTATTATTGGGTGTATTGGGTAGGCTCTCGAGATCTTTGGCGCATTATGCAAGGGAGAGAATGGCTCGGCAACAGGTGCATTTGCGAGGTGCATTTGCGGGAAAACGAGCGAATTCATTGATCACTTAACTCCTTATCTCTCCCAAACTGTCCAAACCAACCAGTGTAAACCCAAATTGATATCCGTGTTGGCCAGGACTCCATCAAAACCATCCGAATCATTATAATCACCTCACTCTGAATACCCCTTTCAATAGGGGCAACGCCACACCCACCCTACTATTCCTCCTCCCCCTCCCCCTCCCCCTCCCCCCCACCCTTACCCTTACCCCCCTTCCTCTTCCCCCTCCCCTTCCTCACGCTCCTCCTCAACCCCTCGACCCCCGACTGCACCAACCCCGCCGCGTCGTCGCCGTCCCTACCACCGCCAAGGCCCGTTCCGTAAGCCCAGTCGAGGAACCCCCAGGGCCCGTAGTTTCCCTCCCCGCCCCCCGCGCGGTGCGCCGCGGCGCGGCGCGCCAGCCCGCCGGCCGCGACGCCCGGCAGGGCCGCGTAGCCGCTGTAGGCGAGCGTCTCCTCCAGCGTGGCGAGGGCGACGAAGACGAGGTACGTCAGGACGTGTAGGCGCGGTTGGGACGGGAGGCCGCCTGCGGTGCCGGAGATGGAGGGGAGGAGGGGGATGGGGATGGGGAGGCGGGGGAAGGGCGGGAGGGGGGCTATGGAGAGGGCGATGGCTGGGAGGTAGATGGGTAGGAGGTGGAGTAGGAGCTGTGGGAGCGGGTGGTCGGCCATGGCGAGGAGGGAGAAGGGCGCGGCGCGGTGGGCGTGGGCGAAGCGCGCGTGCTGGGTTGCTGCGCGGTCGCGGAGCTGGTGGGGCACGCGGGTGAGGGCGCTGGTGCCCTGCCTGGCGCTGCTGGAGGGGTGCAGGACGTTTCGGTGGATGTAGAAGGATAGGGCCTCGCGGGCGGCGAAGAGAAGGGCGATGTGCTTGACCATCTGCCAGGGCAGGGGGAGGGTGGTGGAGGTGCGGAACGGGGGTTCCTTGATGAGGGTGGCTAAGCCGAGCGACATGGCAGCCTCGGTGCCCGTGGTGAGGGCGAGGTTGCCGATTGCGAGGGCGAGGAGGCCCGCGAGCGAGCGTGCGTCGCGGGGAGGGAGCGCCGAGGAGCCATCATACTTGAGGTTCTCGGAGAGGGAGGGTAGGAGGGTGTCGAAGATGAGGAAGAAGAGCGACGGGACTAGCCAGAAGAGTATCCGTATGGCTGTCGTGCTCATCACCTCGATCTTGAGAGGTGAGTGACTCAGGACCAGGGTTGTCCATGTCAGGTAGAAGAAGAGGAGGTTGAGAGAGGTCGAGTAAGAGCTCATCGACGTGGAAAAGAAGTAGGAGACGATCGGGAGCGAGAGCAGGACCTCCATCTTGGATCCGTTTCTCCTGTGATGCGAAGAAGAGGTGATGGGCAGATGTATCGCATACAACCTACCTATCTATGGTAGGATGGAAGCTTCGAGTGCAAGCAGTATTAACTGTTGTTTAGGAGGAGTTGCGGGCAGCTCGGCGCCCCTTACCTTCAAGTCTCCCCGTCTACATAGCAGAGCCGAGAACAGCAAGCTTATTGCGATGACGTCGATAATCCTATTGACCACCGCATCGACCAATCTGGAACCTTCAAACTGGAAGATAGATTGCAAAAACGTCGCCCATCAATGTTGAGATATCGGCACCACGGAGGTGGTTTGACTACGACCAATATAAGTTCGATCAGTGGTCCATAGAGATGGAAAGAAACCAGATATGACATCTGACAGCCGATGGCACGAAACTGGTCCCATTCATGATGTTGCAACAGTGCGGAGACCCAAATTCATTACCCGTGGATCCGTGCGCAGCGCTTGGACTTGTATGACGTCATGGAGCAGACGCAGTTCGCAGGATGCCGTCCTTCGACTCCTCGATGCCTACCTACCTAGGTAGGTAGGTACCTACTTCCATGCAGAGGAAGTCGGAGCATAGTCTATAGACACAGGTTCCCGGACTGCGGAAGAGGCATTCGTGCTACGACGAACGCATAGATAGGTACATATTTGATCGTTCCTAGGATGTAAGGACAGTCAATGGCTGTCAACAGCGTCAAAGCGAGCAAAAGAAGGGACACAGTCTAGCAATCATTTCCGTCCTGATATTGCTCCCTATCTCCCCAAGTACTCAATAAAAATGGCGACATTGGATGTTACTGGGGTGGAGTTATAAAGATAAATAGAACCATTTACTTGGAGCCCCAGTGACAGATTGAAAGCTGTTGTGCTTCTCCATCATAACTTGCCATCAAAATTGATGGATGAACTTCAGCTTCAACCAAGCAAACCACTTTCCCCCAACAGTCCTGTCTACTAATGATTAGTCCGCCATTCCTTCGCCCATTTGCTCCAGTCGCTGTCGATCGTGTTCCTTTGCCTGTTCGGAAACATTGGGGTTGTGTATGGCCGCCTTGAGTCCACGGGCACTAGAGGTCGTATCTCGTGTGTCAATAGCTTGTGGGAGATATTGAATTGACTGTCTGTATTGGAGGAGATACTTACACATGGTCGGGATCTTTGCCCCCCTGGGATGTGTCGTCCTTGAACTCTTTCTCGAGGATCTCACGATCGCGCTCCTTGGCTTCTTCCGAGACGCCTATGAATCTATTAGCGAGACGCATTGGGGCGGTGGCAATACAGCTCCTAGCTCCTACGTGGGTTGTTCAGGGCGGATCTAAGGCCTCGCTCAACATGTGCAGGGTCTTTGTTTCCTCGGTCCATCATGAAGTTGTAGAAATATTCTCAGTATAACAGATGGTGTACCGGTTTGGTGTAAGTGGAAAAGGTCTTGAAGATGGCCCTTTTTTTTTCAACCCCCGGGCCTCCATGATCTCTTATATGTTGAACCTCCCAAGTACAGTACAATACCTTGACCCCATTGTGACGTGTTAACGATTCAACCTGCTCGCTGTGTTGTAATGATTGCACTGGTGATGGCGTGGGTGCCGCAGTTTGCAGAACCGTGACGTTTTCCAAAAGAGTCAATATCAGGCTTCCGGGTCAAAGGCCCCATTGTGGGTTGAGATCGGCCAAGTTCGCCACGGGTGGCCTCAACATGACACTGCGTGTCCACAGAATCCAGAGCAAAGGCCAGTTGGGCTTCAGATCGCGGTTACCTGAGATTTGCGCAAGATGTTCCGGAGGCGGGGAGATAATTACAATCATTTACCTAACACAGTACACAGAGGATGGGGGCGATGGGGGCAGTGAGTCTGCTGACTGGGTAAGGAGCAAGGGGGGACTCGCCAATTTCATGGTCCCCTGTTTGACAACCGTTGCCATGGTCCTGGAACTCATTGGCCGTCCAATAGGTAGTTTGGTCAATGGAACGCCGTTATTTCAAGATCTGACAGACGGGGGCATTTAAATAGAAAGAATAAGCGGCCAACGAGTTGTTGCCCCCAAAAACTGCAAGGGATCGTGAGATGAGAGCTGCTCCACACTGTTGCTCGTTAATCTCCGCCCACGGGGATTAACTCATGATAGGGGGGCCAGACTGGCATTACTGTACGGATTACCTAAATGCATATGTAATTATGCAACCTCGTAAGGAGGTAGAAGTGTTGTTAGATTACCAGCAAGCAAGGCACCTTGCCCGCCGCGCCTCGGGGTCAGTCGCCCAACAACAAGGAGTCAAGGTGTGCGGTGCATTGGTCCGTTCCGCTTCTGCGTCTCCCACTCGCACCATATTGGCCTTGCAGCTGCGTGCATGCATGCTTCAACCACCCGACAGAAATTCTCTCTCCTCCTGCCGCTCGCTCAGACCGCGCGACCTCTCAACGCCCCTCCACAAGCTCTCCGAAATACCAATAGAACGGAGGCACTACCCACCAAAAAGTGCGAGCCCGACCCGACTCCCTCGCCCGATTCGTCGTGAGCCAATCTGTCACTGCCGTCGCCGGAGATCCCCTACTGCGCAGAGCTGTCGACGCTCTTCCTCCCTACAGACGGCTCGCCCGCATATATAGCATTGTGCTTTCTCTTCCAGAAGGGAGTTCGGCCCCAAAAGAGAACAGACGATTACCCCGGTACCCACGAAGATCATACAATCCGCCCGACAGATCATATCTACCTTGTGTTGGAGTTTCCCGGGTGAGTTGGCTCGGTCTCTCCCATTTTCGTTCCGTGTCCCAGAAAGTTCTTTTGCTTTAAGCCACTACACACCCGACCTACTACACTCATACGCTGCGTGGTACGGCACTCCAGCTGCATCACGGAGAGGTCCGAGTAACCCTAATAAGCCAGACCTGCATGACGGCTGAGACCAATTCTATTGCCAAAAGAAGAAAACAAAGATGGGAATTTGGAGGGGCTTAGGGGCTTGAATTGACGCTTCTGCATGTCTAGGAGCGCCTTCTGGATCGCAAGCAAACAACACGCAAACATACCCAAACAGTAGACAAAAGACGGAAGTAGGGCTCACGGCCGGAATTGCTTGTCTTGGCATTCCTAGCCGTCTGATCTGGACTGGCACCCGTTTGGCACCCGGTTTTGCTCAGCAGATGTTGCATTTCGACCTCCGGCCCTCCAGCCAGCGAAGAAGAACTAGGCCTAGGCTGTCGTTATCGTCCGGAATTTGTGCCTTTTACTGAAACCCCGGCCCGTTGCGAAACACACGTCAATGCCCTGCATCTCCCTAACATTTCGTCCTCTTCTCACCCTCCGAGAACCAGAACGGTCACAACACTCAGCACGGCCAAAGACTCGGGCACTTTTTTGCGGCGCTTCCACTGTCTCTCCACCCCAGTCGCGCTTTGGGTCTAATTCTGCGGCCGGTTGTGCCTCGCCCAATTAGCCGTACGGTATCACTTTCCTGCTCTCAGACACGAGCGACCGACGCCGCCGATACACCAAGACAGTTGTTCCACCAGTAATTCGCTCCGAGCTATCCACATTTGTCGTCCTGCACCGGGCGCCTGCTTTTTATTCCTCGACTCCCGCTGTCCGCGCTTCGCCGAAATGGACGCCTCCATCCCTCCTATTCCCCGACCGCCGCGGGACCACCGAGACCGCGACCGAGACCGACCCCAGCTATCATCTCGTCGACTCAAACCTCCCCACTCCATCTCTACCGCAGAGGCAAACCGTGAGTTCAACCGAGACACCCTTGGCAACCACAGCGACCGGGATCATCGAAACCGACATACGGACCGATACACCGGGAAAGACGGCGAGAGAACACCCGGAGTCTCACCTGCCTCTCCCGAGATCATATCCTCCCTTATCACTTCCCTCTCCGTCATCTCGAGGCCGGCGAGCAATCATTTTGACGGGCCTTCATACCTGGATCCCACTCGCAGCCCCAAGGATCTCTCGGTGCCGGGCTCACCAACCACTGCACGATCCGAAGGCGGCTCCTTCGGTGTTGATTACGGTGCATTTTCGCAGCCATCCCTCGACGACTTGCAAGAGGAGGACATCCCCCTGGACGAGCTCGCAGCAAGCCCACCCATCGTCAGGACTGCCAAGCCTCCCAGTGGCTTCTCTTCCCTCACCGCACCAAAATCGCCCAAAAGCCCCGGCACCAGAGACGGGTCCGGTCTTAAAAGCTTGCTGTCAGGAAGGGGAAGCAGCAGTGCCGTCAATGTCTCGCGCCCTTCGAGCAGAGGATCCCTCGCGTCCGCATCTGAGAGCATCGGCAACTTGAGCATCGAGCGTGGCACGACCTCTCCCGTCTTCCAGCCCGGGAACCTTACGAAGCAGCGATCCCATGATAGCTGGGGGAAGAGGACAGGACGGAACAACAAGGGTTTGATGTACATGAGCAGCAAGGAGAGGCTAAGAGAGAAAGAATTCGAGAAGAAACGGGCCAGTATCGGTGCTGTCGGTGGGGGCTCGAATGGGCTCAGCACTCCCGTTTCTCAAAGGCCCGACCCATTCTTTGCCGAGTCGGTAATCAACGAGGAATCCACTGGCGACTCTCCCCAGCACCCGGAGCGCCTCAGCATAGCAGCAGACGGGAGTGGCAACGCTACCAGTCCACGCCCGATTCCCACGAGAGACTCTTCACTCCGCAAGGCGGGTTCGTCCTCGAAGAGATCCTCGGCGCGTGTCTCGCGATCTTCCAAGCGCGACAGCGACACCGCACCCAACGATCCTATCCACGAGGTCGACGAGCATACTCCCAGTCGGTCCCAACGCGGGGAAACATCGAAACGCAGAGTACGGGGCGTCACGCAGGACGAAGACGACGAACGAACGACGCCGAACTTGGATATCCCCCAGCGGTCCAGGACAAACGCGCCTCCCGGCAAATCCAACCCCGATACTCACAGCACCAGCCCGTCACCGCGCGACACGTCCCCCATGTCTCCCGCCGTGGAACTTGATCCGCTCGAAGAAGGAGCGCCGTTCCCCGCCGTTGCCCAGGGCCGGCGGCGTGACCGCGAGGCCAGCGCAGATGCTCGCTATCGACGCCGATCGGGCAGACATACGCCTGATGGCTTGGGCGGCTATACCAGCGAGGGTGGTGTCAGTGTGAAGCTGAAGCGCAGTAGTAGCCGGCTCAAGCGCCTGTCAGGGGCTGCCAGCCCAACTCCGGATAGGGTCTCGCATGATCACGGAGCCAGCAGGAATAGCCAGAGCGACCAACCACATATCGCATATGAGCGCCCTCCAAGCGCGGACAGCATCGACGACTCTGTGGAAAGCTACCTGTGCAGTCCCCGGCTGAGCCAGAAAATTCGACATCCGCAGACCGGGCGGGTTATCAGCTTCAGCGAGGTTGGGGATCCGAGTGGCAGTGCCGTATTCTGCTGCGTCGGCATGGGATTGACCAGATACATCACGGCCTTTTATGACGAACTTGCCCTGACGTTGAAGCTGCGGCTCATCACTCCAGATCGACCGGGTGTCGGCGACAGCGAGCCGTATGCCGAAGGGACCGCGACGCCTCTGGGGTGGCCTGGTAAGTTGTTATGGTCCTCGTGACTGTCAATTCTTGTGTGTTTTGTGATCAGCCACTAATCAATTCCTCGTGCCTCCAGACGATGTCTACGCAATTTGCCAGTCACTCAAGATCACCAAATTCTCCATTCTCGCCCACTCCGCTGGCGCAATCTACGCTCTCGCAACGGCTCTACGGATGCCTCAGCACATCCGAGGCAGGATACATCTGCTGGCCCCCTGGATTCCTCCTTCGCAGATGTCGGTTTTCGGAGCGAGCGCCCAGACGCCACTGCCACCAACAAACGCCATCCCTACCAGCCAGAGGATACTGAGAGCATTGCCAACCCCGATTTTGAAGGCGGCTAACAGCAGCTTTATGACGGCAACCAGCTCGAGCATTACAAGCTCGCTGCCAAAGCAGAAGAGAGCCAAAAGGGAACGAAGGAGTGCTGCCGCTGCGGCAACCAAGGAAGCGAACAGCAAGGCAGCAGAGATGGACAATAAGGAGAACCATAACCTTGGCCACGGCAGAGGGAAGGACCTGCCTCCGACGCCGGTAAACGACTTCAGCCTGAGCGGCTCCGAGACGTTGGATAGAATTCGGGCTGGCGAGATAAACTCTACCACAGAACCGGGCAGCCAGACAGACGCGAATGGCCATTGGCATCAACGGTCGAACTCGTCGGCTCGACGCAACACCAACGCATCGAGGCGTCCGCAGGACAAGGAGGACCACATCCTCTCAGCCGCGGCAAATCTCGCCAACTCGCAGCTCGCCGACCGTGAACGACAGCAGATATACGACTCTCGCCTCACGCACGCCATCTGGCAGCTCGCCACCACGGGCGCCAACCCGGCCGTCGACCTGCTCGTCTGCCTCGAGCGGCGCCACACCATCGGCTTCCGCTACGTCGACATCACGCGACCCGTCACCATCCACCACGGCTCGCGCGACACGCGCGTGCCGGTCGAGAACGTCAAGTGGCTGGGCAAGACGATGAGGCGCTGCGAGGTCCGCGTGCTGGAGGGAGAGGGCCACGGATTGATGGCCAGCGCCCAGGTCATGGGCGGTGTGCTGATGGAGATGAGTCGAGAGTGGGAGGAGTGGGGCCGCGTGACGGGATCGACCAAGAGAGAGAATGAGAGGGCGCGGAGAGGGACGATCGGACAGGCCAGGTGAACTGAATAAGAGGAGGAAGGTCGCAGTAGTTGGATGGATGTCTCATAAAAAAGGGTCTCCGGTCGTCGGTATGGGCCAGCGTGCGCGGGGGTTGTTGTTCTAATTGGAAACGTCGGCGTTGGATCTGCTATGCCGGTTTTGGGCCCTGGATATCTGGAAGGAAGGTCGCTGCAGTGGAAGGGCGAAGATACGGGGCTTATGAGCCGACAAGATCTTCAAAACTGCTGGCAGCCACGACGCTTTCATGGTTCCTGTCTCTCTTCATTTTTTTTCTCCTTGTTTGCTGAGCGTGTCGTTTCTTTGCTCCGTTGGTTTTGCGTATCAAAGATTTATATACAATGTACTAATATAATGTAAACAAATAATGCCAACGTGAGAAGAAGTTTAGAGACTAGGTACTCTGCCCGTGCCATCTACGTTCTTTGTTGTTACCTGGGGTTTGATGTCACTGTTGCATGGCTATGATACCACAAAACACCATCTTGACGACAAACACATTCGAGGACATGACAATCGAGATCGAGACTCATTCTGGTATCTGGTAAAATTACAGTACAATCTCCGCCAGCCTGGAATATATCCCAAACGGATTTGGGCTTTTTTTTTTCCTTTCTTTTTTTCTCTCTTCAAAACAAGAACGCCAATAGACGCATGTGATCCAGTTTCCCGATCTCTCTCCCAGTCCCACGAGTCGCCAAATCACGGCCGGCTCAGTCAAAGACATCAGTCGCATACCTCTCATTCTTGATCCCCTCAAACCACTTAAGCGCCTCCTCGTCGTTCGAGTCCTTGCCCTTACGCCTGCTCATCTCCTTCGCCATCTCGATAGCCACCCTCTTAACCCCCTCACCCACCTGCCTCGACCCACACACAAACACCTTTGCCCCGCGCTCCCACAACCCCATCACCTCCTCGCGGTCCCGCCACAGGCGGTCCTGCACGTACTTGCACCCCTCCCCCTCCTCGGGCCGGCGGCTGAAGGCCCTCCGCACGCCCACGGCGCCGAGCGCCTCCCAGCGGTCGAGCTCGTCGCGGTACAGGTCGTCCACGGCGGGGGCCCGGCAGCCGACGAACAGCAGCGCGGGGGCCAGCTCGCGGCCCGCGGCCAGCTGGGCGGCGCGCTCCTGGACGAAGCCGCGGAAGGGCGCGAGGCCCGTGCCGGCGGCGACGCAGATGATGGGGGTGCGGTCGGCGTCGGCGGGGAGGTGGAAGGAGGAGTGCGAGGGGCGGACCGAGACGTGCAGCTTGTCGCCGGGGCCCAGGGAGGAGAGATACGAGGAGGCGACGCCGACGTGGCGGTGGCCGGGGAGGCCAGAGAGGGAGGGGGAGTCGAGGAGGGTGTAGGTCAGGGTTACGTGGTCGGGCTTCCAGAGAGGGGAGGAGGAGATGGAGTATTGGCGGACGCGCATCGGGGGGAGGAGCGAGAGGAAGGAGTCGAAGGGGAGGTCGGCGGCGGGGAAGCGCTCGAGTAGGTCGAGGACCGAGACTCGCTTGGCGCCAATCTCGGCATCGTAGTCGTCGCCCGCGAGAAGGGCGAGCTTGGCTGCGGTGCCGGGGTCCTTGGCTAGCCCCGCGAGGGCGAGGATGCTGCGCTTGGTGGCGGGCTGCGCGAGCTCGACGTAGGCGCCGAGGACGTCGGCGACGGGGGTGGATATGTTGGTGGGGAGGCTGGTGTGGCCGTGGGCGGAGATGGTGATGTGCGCGTCCCAGGGTATGTGGAAGTGGCGCATCACGCGGTTGACGCTCTCTCGGGGGTTCAGCGGGAGGATGGCCAGGTAATCTCCCGCTGCGTATCGTGCGTCGCTGGGCAGCTGGATCTCCATGTGGTTCTTCGCTGGCTCCCCGGGGGCTGTGAGGAGCTTTGTGTTGACGACGATCGCCTCCTTGACGTCCTGGCGTAGCGTCGAGGAGCGGGGCGTGGAGAATTCGACGGACAGGGTGGAAGAGAACGGCTCGTTTTCGGCCTGCGCGGCGATGCCGTACTTCTCGGCCATCGCCGGCCAGAAGGTCTCGTCCTCCCATGTCTCGAAGTCGGTAAACATGTTCCCCTTGGCGGCGTCTGTCAGGCCCATCGGCGTGATGCGGGTGCCTCCCAGATTCTCGAGCGTCGAGTCGACAAGCTTGGGAATGCGATGGAAAGTCTGAGCCCAGTCATGATGTCCTGGAAAGTGCAGCCACGGTTAGCATGCATTTATTTCTCTTGCCTTCCCCCCTGTTCACCATAGGATTTTCCAAACTTACCACAGCCATAGACGGCATAGGATACGTCCCCCATCTCCTTTCCCTTCAAGCTCTGAAGCCACGAAACAAAAAGTGCCGCGTTATCCGGGGGCTGACCCTCGTACGAAGCGGTAATGATAACTACCGGCTGATCCGTGGGCACTTTCTGGTTCGCCGCGTCCAATGGCTCGACCACCGTAGCGGAGAAGCCGTGAGCCGGCGCATCGGAGGCCAGACGCTGGGCGAGAGTCTCGCAAGTACCAGTGTTGGATCCGTAGAAGATGGCCATCGGCTTACCCTTCACCTTTGATTCCTTGGCCGGGGCGGCACCCGAGGCCCTAGCCTCTTGGCCGCTCGGAGTCGCCGGGGGCGTGCCGGAGAGGCGATGATCCAGCTCGGTGGCGGTGAGGCCGTCGCGGAGAATGGCCCGCATGAAGAAGTCCTTCGGCTTGATGGTGAGGGTCTGCTTGATACGCAGGGAATAGTTGGGGTCATCCAGCATGAAGTTGAAATTCTGCAGCAGCATGGCCATGACGAGGAGGGCCTCCTGCCAAGCAAATGGCCGGCCGATGCAGCCGCGCATCCCGTTGCCGAAGGGCTTCCAACAGTTTGGAAACTCCTTGTTGAGGCGGTCGAAATTCTCGTCGAGCATCCGCTCCGGAATGAAGTCATTCGCCGTCTCGCCGTAAACGGCCGGGTCGACGTGCGACTTTGCCAGGAGTAAGGCCAAAGGCTGTCCCTCTTGGATGAAATACTTCCCTCCGATGACCTGGTCTTTGAGGGACTTGACGCCAAAGGCGGGGATGGGGGCAGAGAGTCGGAGTGTTTCTCTCAAGACCTGGTGGGCCTTAGTCAGTACAGGCGAATAGAGAGAGAGACTAACAGGCACGGGTAGCAGGGGAAGAGGAGTTCCACGTACCGCAGAAATGTATGGCAGCTTGGACATATGCTCGACCTTGATGGGACCGGAGCCGATGACCTCATCGATCTCCTTCTGGGCCTTGCGATAGGCGTCAGGGTTCCTCAGCAGCTGGTAAAAGGTGAACGTTAGGAGGCCAGAGGTGGTCTCGTGGCCGGCAATGAGGAAGGTGATGAGATTGTCGATGATGCTCGAGTCGCTCAGCTTCCCGCCAGTCTTGGGATCAACGCCGTTAAGCATAGCGGAGAGAAGGTCTTTCCGGTCTGTGGGGTTCTTCTTTCTCGCTTGTAAGACATCGTGGGCTGTGTCTCGCAACAGGTCAATGTCGTCGTTGTACTGTTGGTTGGCGTGCCGGTAGAGTATGGAGGTGTAGGGCGGCCTCCTTGATCTGTTTCCAGACTCTACGAGGAAATTGCCCATTGCCTCGATGAAGGGGTGGAGCTCGTCGTGGTAGTACGAGTTGAAGCGATAGTCCATGGCACAGAGGGCCAGCGTATCGAGTGTGAGACGTGTGAAGTCTTCAGAGGCCAAAATGGGGACCGAGGAGCCGTGTCGAGCCCACTTCATGGCCAGCTGCGAGGCAATGTCGTGCATTTCGTCAAACATGGATTGGATCTTCATTGGCCCGAACGCAGGCATGAGGATTCTATGGGCAAGGCCCCAGTTGGGCTCATCGTTGCGAGCGGTGAAGAGGCCATCGTGGACCCCGTTCCTGATCTCCTTGAGCACGTTTTCGATGCCCTTGCCAAACCTTTTCTCGTCACAAGCTTCATTGATCAACTCCTGGGTGGACAAGATGACCACGCTTCTACCAGGCATGTTGAGACGAAAGATGGGGCCTAGAGAGTGTTAGCCACAGGGTAGAGGGTACAAGCGACAAGATGGCACATTGGCGGAGAAGAACTCACCATATTTCTCGGCCATATTGACCATGGATCCCAGCGGGAAGTTGGGATCAATGTCGCCAACATTGCCCAGGAAGGGCAGACCCGGAGGTGACGGGATGGGAGTGGTCCCCTCAGACATGATGGCCTTGTCTCTGGCGTGTGGCTATTATCAACAGCGTCGACGGATTTGATAGCTAGGTTGGAAATAGGCAAGCAAGAATGGGTACAGATGGCGAGGGATGGAGGGAGGAAAGGCAAGTGCTAGCCTCCTGGAGGCCTGGCATTGAAGCTCTTATATAGGGGCGCATCTACAGTACGTGGTAAATAAACTATCTCCTGGGAAGGTTCGTCGGTGGGGCAAGTGACGACACTGACACAGCAATTATGGCCAGATAGCTAGCTGGCTAGGTCAACCTAGCCAACAGCTGGGTCGGGATTAGAGATTACGCATGCATCAGGATTTCGGGAATGCATGGCGCGTACTAAGACGAACGGCGTCGGCTGCATGAGACACCCTTCCACGCGGGAGACAGGGGAGGTTGCCGAGAGCTTACAGCGGGGGTGCCGAGGCTCGGTGAGGCCGTGCCCGGTGATCGGGGTTGAAAATTGGGCCGATGCCACAGCATCAATGGGAAATGCAAGCTCCGACGTCAGCACCTCGGCATGCAACGTCAAAAATTCATCAATATTTATTATCATTCTCACTATCATATCTGTCTCCCCTTGAAACAGCTGTCCCATCAAACCCTCGCTGTTTTCGCTCAATTCCGAATTCCGTCTCGGCGTAAACCTAACTGGGCCGACTTTACCCATTTATACTTTTGGCTTATTTAGGGGACTTTGAACATTCCACAAAGTCCACACGTTGTTGGCGTTGTCCATCAGGTGACACACCGCTGGGGCCCCGGGACCGCCCTCTACCGGAGGGTTGGCCCCTGGGGGACTTCTTTTCAGAATTGCTCCAGATCTCCTGTCGATCAGCGTCTTCTAGAAAAATAGAATCAGTTTGCGGCACGAGTTTACGCTCCAAATTGCCATTCACCCAAAAGGGATAGAGAGTAACAATGACGAGTTGACTGACCTAGGTACCTACTTCAAACAGCGCAAGCTTATTCTTAGAACACTGACAGCCAGGAGACTACAACGCGATTGTCTTCTAAGTCTGAACAAAGATGGCCCAGGCATTTTGTCTCCCAACAATGGATCTGTATTTTCGGTGACAAAGGAGCTGTTTAAACACGATCTTCCAGAAAGGGTTTATTATCATTGTCTAGAACTATCAACTAGCTCGGTTGGCTCTGCGGACGGGATATAAAAAGGTGTGTGTTCCCACGTCAAATTTGAAAATCCCCAAGAGTCCTTAAGGCAAGTTGAATTACACACACTGAAGGAGAGCGAGTTTCGCAGATCAAAACGCGTCAAGTCCTCCAGCGATGGACCTCATAAAGCTTGAGAATCCGGTGGACGACGAACCGATCCCGCCTCCTCCATCCGTCGCCGAAGCGATCCCAGATTGGAGCATTTGCGGCCCGCAGAGTTGCGGTGACCACCACCACCATCCTGCCCTGGTTTACCCAGATCTTGCCCAAGAAAATGCGGCGGACTCTTCACCCGACTTCGTCTGTGATGTCTGCGATGGTAGGGAGAGCACCTCGCAGATGCACCTGCTGCATTGCGGTCACAGGCTCTGCCGTCCCTGTCTGAACCGGGCGGCGACGGTTGCCCACAGTACGATCCTCGAGAACGAAGAGGAAATCGACCTGCTTCTTTCACTTCACGACGACTTCGCTGAAGACGCCTACTTGAACCGTGACAAGCCGAAACTCGCAGCTACCCTCAAGGAAAAGGCTCTCTCATGGCGCCGTGAAGCCTGGGAACTCTCCGGGTTCATGTGCTGTGGCGAGATGAGCGGATTTTGGGAACACACGAGCTGCATGGATCCCGGCATTGCCAAGGCTGCATGGAAGGACTTTCACTACCTCCGGACACCGGTTGAGGACCGACTCTTCTGCGGCTGGCCTGACTGCAACGCATTCGTCCCTCAGGTCTGTTGGTACGTCCGCGAGAAATCGCCCCGCTGGTACTGCGTGTCGTGCGGTGGGAACTCACAGATCTCGTCTTCAAACCGTGATGGGATCGAACGCCCCTGTCCCGCAAGGTAATCTGGACTACTGACTCAACTTGTCACCCTTAGGATTCACCCCCCGGGTCGGATAACACGAATGATACATGATAAGTCAGCCGATGACATGGAATGGTAAGTACATACATACCCCTACACATACATGTTCCCCTCCGGGGAGAGAGGATAGAGCCTCTTGGTTTCGCCGCGGTCTTAGATCTTGGTCTAGCTTGAGTCTATTCGACCTTGGCGTTGGAGAATACGGGTACAGAGCAATAAGTAAGAGAAATTAGAGAGGCATGATATTCGAAAAGCCATAGACAGCGCAACAGCCCAATGAAACATGAAACTCGATTCTAAGATTAATTGCCCCTTGTCGTGCTTGAAAGAGATATGCTCCAAGTACCAGGTGGATTACATACAGTCCTCCTGAGAAGCCCAGTATGCCTGCATTAGAAAGTTGTCGTATGCCAGATCTTCCGCCGTAGGCCGCTCCTCCGGGAAGAGGCGGATCTGATGTCGTCGACTGAGGCGGCCCCTGAAATCAGCCGCGTTATAGCGCTAAGCCCCACTGTCCCAGCTGTCATCGGCAGCTGACAAAAAAGGAGAAATCCCTAGGTAGCGCGGGCAGCTCTTGCTATGTGTGTACTCTGAATATTCGCGTCAAGAACAGTGAAATCTCCAACTCCAGCAGCGTCCCTGCTGCGGCGTGTTGTTGCCGCCACTATCGACGGGCCCATATCGAAGATTCGCAGACTATGCTTCCTCAACTGCAATGGCCCTCCCACTGCCCCCGGGCCTCACACACTCTGAGGTCGCGTTCCTCTGCGAGATGGAGATGGTGACCGTTGTGCCGCGACAACGCTTCGAGAGCATCAGTCTTCTAAGTGTAAGTCTCGCCCAAGAATACACTATCTAGCATTGTTGGACTTTTGAACTGAGACTGGCCCCCCCCAACCCAACAGGGCGACACACCTCTCCTCCGCCCGCCTCACCGCGCCCAACTACCCCTCTGGCTCGCCCTCCTCCTGAAGAAGCAGCGCCGTGCCAACATCGTGCCGCCGCCCTGGTTGCACCCAGCCTCGCTCTCCGAGCTGATCCACCACGAGACAAAAGTCGACCCCGCGCAATTCTCCGCCCCGCCCCCGCCCCCCGCGCGCTCCGACACCCGCCACCCGGGCGAGGCCACGCGCGGCGACGGCGCGGTGCGGCTGTCGCCTCCGTTCCTGCGGGGCAGCACGGCGGAGGCGCCGGCGGGATTCCTGCCCTATCACTGGCTCGAGATGGCTGAGACGCTGCTTGCGCACGCGGCCGACGACATGGCGGCGCCGGCGGGCGAGGTGCGCTCGCTGCTGCGCGACCTGGTCGAGGTGCGCGCCGCAAAGATGCGCGCCAGCTCGGCGCAGCTCGGCGCCGTCGGGGGCGGCTTCCTGGACCTCACGGGCGTGGGCGCCGTCGAGCTGGCCGAGAACAGGGCGTTCGTGCTCGGCGTCGTGGACGGCGCGAGGAGGATCGGGGCGAGCGCAGAGGTCACCAGGCGCGAGGAGGAGGAGGAGGGCGGTGCCGGCTTCGGGGAGGGTGGGGAGGAGAGTGACGAAGACATGGGATTCTGAGCACGAGTCTGGAGACTACTTCAGCTCACCAGATCGAGGTGGACATAGTTCCCATCGAGGAATTGGCACCATGACGGTGTGGGATTGTATGAGGAGGAGAGAGGGACTACTGGCATGAGATGCTCGGTTATGAGTGCAGTTGATGGGCCGTGAGCCAGGCCACTACCTTGGGATGTCATACATACAACTGAAGATACCTGGCATTTCCCTTTAAAAAACATACCAAGCATGGGCAGGTCAAGGAAGACGACCCCCCACCCTCTATGCTGTCCAGTACCCCTTACCTATAGACCTAGGTAGTCGAGAGCGAGTTTTGGCAATTCGCAAATGCCGGAGCCCCCAGGGCCGAAAATACCAACGTATCTTTGCTTAACACCGTTATTTCTCAGATTGCACTGGCATAGAAGACAAGAAAGCAAAGGATTGTTCCAAGTTACGGAATCCAGTTCTTTACACTGTGGCTGGTGTCTTCCAGTCGCGTCTGCGCGTCGACGGGCGCCCCACTCCTCGATATTTCGATGATTGGCCTGGGTACGTACCTTACCTACCTACCATGCCTTGCGCCATGAACTTAACAAACTCCTCGATGAAGGCTCCATTTTTGATCCAACCGTCTTTTCGCCTTCGCAATATGAAACCTGGATCATAAGATCAAAGCTTCCGCCTCTCTCTCGGGGCGCTGTCTCCCTTCGCCTCGCCTTTACCGACATGGAAGCGTTAACGAAACGCCATTTCTTCCACCATGGCAAGCTTGATGTAGGTGAAGACCCAGGCTTATGTTCGTCATACGCTCTCTTATGTTGTTGCGTATCCTGATTACTTCTCGCCCTCATTACTGCTGCGGTTATTGGGCCCTAGAGCTGACCAGACCCGTGTCCCGCGCAGCCCGAAGCCCAGAAAGCTCTGAACTGCCACTTGTGCCAGATTCGCTCCTTTGCAACATACAAGCCTATCCCGATAACGATAGTGAACGAAACCAATGACGGCGCAACTCTCCCACCCGATTTCCGCTTCATCGAACGCTCGGTGCTGACCGCGGGCGTCGAGGAGGCTGAGGAGTCCTTCCGCACAGGATGCGACTGCGTCGACGACGAGGACTGCATGTACAGCAGCTGTCTGTGCCTCGAAGAGATGGCGCCGGACAGCGACGAGAGCGACAACGACGACGGGCTTGAGGGACGGCCGCGGAGGAAGCGGTTCGCCTACCACTCGCACGGCGCCAAGGCAGGGGTGTTACGGAGTAGGATTCTGGACAGCCGCGAGCCCATCTACGAGTGCCACACGGGTTGCAAGTGCTCACTGCGGTGCCCCAACCGGGTGGTGGAGCGGGGCCGGACGGTGCCGCTGCAGATCTTCCGCACCGACAATCGCGGCTGGGGGGTGCGTTGCCCCGTCGACATCAAGAAGGGCCAGTTCGTCGACCGATACCTGGGGGAGATCATCACGGGCAAGGAGGCGGACCGGCGGCGCGCGCACTCCGACATCTCCCAGCGCAAGGACGTGTACCTGTTCGCGCTGGACAAGTTCTCGGACGAGGACTCGCTCGACCCGCGCCTCGCCGGCCCGCCCCTCGAGGTGGATGGGGAGTTCATGAGCGGGCCGACGCGGTTCATCAACCACAGCTGCGAGCCCAACATGCGCATCTTCGCGAGGGTCGGAGACCACGCGGACAAGCACATCCATGACCTGGCGCTGTTCGCCATTAGGGAGATACCCCGGGGCGAGGAGCTGACGTTTGACTACGTGGATGGGCTGGAGGAGATGGAGAGCGATGCTCATGACCCGAGCAAGATGCAGAGCATGACGCCCTGCCTCTGCCAAAGTCGGTCTTGTAGAGGATTCCTGTGGTAGACGGCATTTTGGGCAAGGGCTTATCTACCCACATAGGTGCTCACGAATTCTCCCTGTATGGTTTTTACTGAGCCCTCTGTTGAAGGTTAAGTACTGATAATGATTTTACGACTAATCTCTCTACTTGGTCGAAATCCGGTCATAAACCCCAACTCAGTAACCTCAAACCCATCTCGTGCCTATGACTGGATTCGTGGAAGGCTAAGGTCTTGGCACGACCCTTTATTGAAGTCCCCTGTCGCCTGACATCCTACCTTCTTTGAGATCATGCACTTGCTGTGTGTATTGACGAATGCAAGCGGGTGGAGCTTTAAAGTGCCAAGGTCCTCTTGCTGGGTTGTTACTAGCGTTCACTACCAACTCAGACAGGCCCAGAATTGAGTGTGCTGTTTTCAGCTTCTGTGTGAAAATCTGAACAATTACCCTGCCAAGCTACATATTTGTGTCAAGTTGCTAACTGTGCTAGTCTAGCCCCTAGAAAGACAGCCCAGACGTTAAAACTGGCATGGAAGTTAGAAACCAAGTGCACTTCACCTGAACCAGGTCAAACAAATGATCCACTAGGTAGCCTAGACTGTGCAAAGGTGGGGTCAGTTGAGTTAGTTAAAAATAGGTGCCTTTCTAGCCAAGCTTGCTAAGACCCCGCCTTTTTGGGGTTGACGAAAGCCTAGGCTCATTATTCGATTGTCATTGGAACTTTCTCCAGCACGTCTCTCACTTTATACCTTCTCCACCATCACCTGCGAACAGCGCACTCAAATGCGAATCACAGCGTGGGAGACCTCTGAGGGCAATCTGTAGCAGCACCGACATGAATTAGTTATCCGCCAACTAGAGCCTTGATAGAGGCTACCGAGGCGAAGCATCGAGGTGGCAGCTATATCAGCCGTCTAGATCATGGTATGATATTCCGTGCTTACTCCATTTTGTGGAGCCCCCAACTTCAGTCCTGTCCGGCTTGCTGATCAGGCTCCTCTGCACAGGGCTGCTGTATATCACGCCCGTCGGGGCCCAACTCGCCCTATCCCGGAGAAACTGGGGCATCCGGATCTGCCAGGGCTATCAACGCTCAGCCCCAGCCGACCGGGCCCCCGACCACCACACGGACCGGGACCGATGATTCACTCCCCGTCCCATCATCCGGCCGTCGCCGCAGGAGTAGACAACCCCTCGACCAGCATATCAATAAACCCCTGCGCCGCCATGAGTGGACTTGCCGCAACCGAACATGGACTCCCCTATCTCTCGAGCGGGAGCGTCGAGATTTCTTTGACACAAGAGTCACAGGGAGGGAGGAGGTATGGCAAGCCCTCCGAGCTGCCCTCGAGTTGATGTGGGAAGCGGAGTCTGGCCTTAGATCCGGAAACCCTCACGAGAACCCCGAGAGATCGGAAGGGGAGGGCGTCGGGCCGAGCGAGGAGACACGCGCCGCCGCAATAGCGACGGCCCAGACAATATTAAATGCAGCCGACATCACTTTGCCCACGGGCGACCTGGCACAGGGTGCCTATGACCTCATGGGAAATTACTACCCACTCCCCGAATACATCGTGGCAGACCCGCTCAATATATCCCTGGTTGAGTGTCGGTCGAGCACACACCGGCATAGCGGCGTTGGCGATACGAAGGGAGATTTAACGGCCGGCGAAGAATCTTACGATGATCAGGATTTTGAGTGCGAGGACGAGGCTGAGCGCCGAAGAGAGGAAAAGGGCAAAGCCGTCTTGGATATACGAGACCAGGTTCAGGTGAAGGCTAGACTGAGCGAGGGTTCCCAAGACGTCACCATCTCCATGGGCCAATTCGAAAACGTACGGAGTTTGGCTCGGCGCATTAAGGAAGAGGCCGGGGTGAGTTCCCCCATCTTGCACCACATCTCCAGCCCCCCATCTGTGTTGTTTGACGTATTGAGCCTGACCGATTAATCCTCCTCTTCCCTAGCTACCCGCTGGCAAGAAGATCCGCATTGCTTACCTGGGCAAGATCCTCAAGGAGAGGTCTTCCCTCACATCACAAGGGTGGAAACAGGACCACGTTATCAACGCGCTGGTATTCAACCGTTAGCAGCATCCGCCTAGCCACCCTGCGCTTGGCCATTGGGCGCGGCGCCGTCATATTTTCCTTCCTGCCTGGAAAGGGGCCACGATCTGCTTCCAGGTTACCCTCAAGACACCCCACGAGGTGGACGAGACGTGTGCATATCGCACCATCCCGACTTACGCTTGCATCATGACTTGTTTCCTTTTCTCTTTCTTTTCGTCTTGATCTCAAATAAGACACTGGCTGGCTTTCACAATGGCCACTGACCCCGGTTAAATACCCCGTTCCTGGCTTCAATACCATACCCCATCATCGTCTGTTTTTTTCCATTTCCAGCACTGCTTGATCCTCGTTCTCGCTTCTGGAGTTTTCAGGAGGGAGGGAACCTTTAAACATCTTCGGAGACCGAATGATGACCTGTCTGAATTTGAGCTCACATTGCTCACTTGCATATTTGTGCATACTGATGATTGTCCCCCTGGAATACGGCGCCTCAGAGATGAGTTGCCAGACGGCACACTAGTTTTAATATCAAGCAAATAATGTACGAGGGCGCCAGCTAAGGCGGTTTTGGCGCTGTTGCTGCTAGCTGTACTTCGCTAGGCTGGACAAGGGTTTAAATACACCATGAGACGTTTCTCGTCCCTCCCAGCCTCTGTCCCCCCCATCTTCCCTCCCCCCTGGCTGGATGAGTTTGCGCGGGTGATGTGAGTCTTTTTTCATGAACGGGGTCGTCATAAGCCTGCCCTATGTGTCCAGCTGTGTATATCGGGCTCGGTGATATCATCCAAGAGAGAAAGTCCGAGAACAGGAATTATAAGAAAACGAGGTGGGAGGAAAACGCGAAAGAGAGAAGAAAAGACAAGAACCGCAGAGGGCCGCCGACCAAATGCTTTAGGCCAGAACCCCGAAACCCTAACCCGAAGGGCAAAGCGCGAGGAGAAAAATGCTTTCCTTTCCTTCCTTCCTTCCTTCCTTCATGGCTCGCTTGACACCTCGTGCGTCGCCTCCGAACGGGTGGAGATCTCCCTCCTCTCCTCCCTCTTGACTTGACCATCTACACGATTAGAGTAAGAGAGGCCAATTCATCTAAATTCCATGGCGCCAAAACACCCTTTGTTCTCGACATGCTTCAGCTCTAGCTGTTGGAACCTGCCGGGAGGAACGGGGTGATCAGCCGTGCCCTGAAGCGAAGGAGAGGATAACGGGATAAGGGGGGAAATAGGGGGGCCCAAAGAAAATAACCTACTTTTCGCTATTCTTGTGGAAATAAATGCCGCTGACCTCGCCGCGCACCTGGTTGAAGCAGATGTAGTAGAAGCCCTCGAAGCTGGCGCCGCTGATGGTGCGGACGCGGTGGTCGGGGACAAGGAAGTGCTCCTTCCAGCGCATGAAGATGTTCTCGCGCTGGGCGACGTCCTTGATGAGCACCTGGCCGCCCTTGCGCGCCTGCTTGGCGAAGGGGCGGAACGCCGTGAACTTGGCCCAGTGCGACAGGTCGTCCTTGTCGCTGGCGCCCCACGACGGGTGCTGCGTCTTGAAGCCGTACTTGGTCCCGATGATCTCGCCCTCGAAGTACGTCGTCAGGGTCGGGTGGTCCTCTGTCAGGCCTGCCGTGCTACCGTGTCAGTCTCGGTTGGCCGCAGGCGGGGTGTGACGTGTGACAAGCCGACAAGCTGTGCAGAAGAGGGGCGCTTGCTTGGGGCAGGGGCCACAGTTCCAATGGAAATTCATTTGCCTTTTCGGGGCAGGGGGAAACGGGGTTTGGGGGAGAAGGGGACGAAACAACAAAGAGAGTTGGGAAATGGTGAAAAAGGCTAACCTTGAATGCGCAGATACCCGCACAAAAACGACTCTCGTAGATCGACATGCTTGATCTCAACCTGAACATCATACCGTTGTCGCTCTGACTGCTGTGTCCCATGAAAGCGGCTCCCCGGACGTAGATACGAAGACGGCGAAACGGGTATCACCCTCGTATCCGCGTACTCGTACCCCATTCCCAGCAGCCCCGTGTCCTCCACCCACGGCGGGCCACCCACTGCCAACTCTCCGCCGTCCATCGGGTCCACCTCAATACTTGCGGGCGAGACCATATCCAGCGCCTGCCGCCTCCTGCTCGACGACTCGGCCGCCCCGGTTGATCTCCGCCCCGTCCTTCTGGCACTGACGCCGTCTTGGATGATATCACTCTCGCTAACAGGCCTCACGCCAACCGGGATCCCGCCTCGTCTCCCGCCCCTTCCTCCTCCGTCACCGGCGCCATCACCGGCGCCACTGCCACCAACCGCATCACCCACCAGCATATCCTCGTCCGTGTCCGTGGGCTTCTGGCTATCATCCGTATCGCCCGGGGTGGTGATCATCCCCTCGGGCTCTCCCCTGTCACGGTCCGGGGAACCGCCCGACTGCGGCCGCGGCGACATGGTTGGTGACCGCGACGCCGAGGCATCCACCTCCATGGGGGCGGGGGGCGGGTGCGGACGCCAACTTGATGGCGTGCGCGCGCGCTGTGTCTGCTGCTGCTGCTGCGGCTGCTGGTGCGGCGAGTTCTGCTCATCGGGGTCGGGGCATGTTGAGAAGGGGTAGGCGCGCGGCGACTGGGGGTCCGGCCCGTTGTTGGAGGGGGTGGGCATCGCGCCTTCGGCTGGGAGGATGGATGGATGTGGTGCGTGGGAGGATCTAGATGTCAAGTTCGAGAGGGCGGGGGAGGCCTTGGTAATGCGCTAATTGGGGGTTCGCCGCAGGCGGGTTTGGACGGAGGGCAACGGTTGTCGGGACGCGCAGATAATAGGAGTCGGGAGGTAGGCAAGGGATGGGCAATGGGCGGTGCCAAGAGCCGAGAGACAGGGGCGCGAGAACGCACTGCAATTGCAGGTACGGAGTGGTATGCGCAGGAAAGGATTAGCTACTTCGCCGGAGGTAGTGACGATCTATGCCGATGCAGCGCGAGAGATTCTATCGGACTTGAGACCGAGAAATCGTTGGTCTGGGTAATCGATAAGTTTACTAGGAGCGCATAGGGATGCAGCATCATCTGCACGGTCTCCAATATGCAGGATGCTCAGGTAGGCCCATACATGCAAGCAGCGTGTTATAAAGTTCGTACTGAAGACCAGGGTCTCAGGGTCTGATGGGGGAGATGCAGGTCGGAGGATGGGGAGAATGGATGAACAGCCGATGACGACCTTGGGCCTGAGGGACCACTGCGTGAGGCTGCGCCGTTGCCACGGGGTTTTCAGTCGAGCTAACGGCGGTGGGCCCTGATTTGCCGGGTCGCAGTCGCCGCTCTCGGGGGTCTCTTGCTTGGACCAACACCTAAGAATCACCATCCATGTTGATGATACGGAATCTTGGCCTTGATTAATTGGACAAGATCGACAAGAACAACAAACCTACCATGGGAATCCCGGCATATTTCCCGTTTCCTGTGAATAGACATGCTGTCTTGGGGGAGCAACTCGAACTTTCCATACTGAGCATAACCCACATCAGCTCGGCCACGTGCTCTCCTTTCCTTCCACTGAGCACGCGATCGCCAAGGCCGATATTTTGTACGCTCAAGAACCAAATCAGGGGCTAGACAAGGCGACACACTGAGCTCTTGACCAAGCGAATAGTATAGTTATTGCAGGTACTTTGTGTGTACGGTTTACTGGCTGATTGATAGCTGCCACCAAGCCAGCCCATTACCAGAACCACCGTTGTAATTCCCAATGAGGACGATCCTGCTGCATAGGCTGCTTCGCCGATTCAATGAGATACCCCTGATTCTTAACTGTGCCGTGTTAAGAGATTCTGCAAATGTCCAAACCTGAACGCAGTCAGCAGGCCGCCGTGGATGCAACTATTAATGTGCGCCTTCACTCCAAACTCCGTACGTCCAGACCGCGCCAATGCCTAGGCCCTCGGAATGTTCAAGTCGGCCTTGCCTCTCGGATCCAAAAAAGAAACTCTAGATGGGCTTGATCTTGAAATGCAGTGCGATCAGACTAAACACCAATGCCTTGAGGTCCTGCACCAGGTAATAGAAGACTCTGAGACCATCCGGATCCGCCGAGTCGGTCACGTCGTTGATAGAGCCAATCTTCGCCGTCTAATGTCATAGGTCATGGTTAGCAAGGAAAGCCGACGTGGGCAGCGCTACCCATCTAGAGACGCACCTCGAATGCGATGTGATCATTTCCAACCCTGATCTCCAATTCTTGCTTCCCGTCCTTGTTCTTTGTCGGCCATTTTGCGTCATCTTCCCTGTCCCCGTGTCAGTTCCTCCAGAAATCGTTGAGTCGCCCGCGGAAGTGGTAGGTACTTCATGATCTCGCTCTGCTTGATGATGCGCTTAATCTCATCGATGATGAGTGAGCTGACACACACTTGGAGGATACCTCGTCAGCGGCTTGGGTCGGAATTTCGACGGCGGGGCCTAACATACTCTCTTTCCGGATGAGGCTGTCATTTCTGTAGTTGGAGTTGTTCGCATATCGGGCCGTTGCGCTGCGGCCATCTCCTACTGCCCGGAAGTCGAACTCTGCAGATATCACCATGAGTCTACTGCAAGACTAGCAGGAGGCCTTTAGCATCGAGACTTACCCAGGAATTCATGGCCAAACCGACCTGAGTGACCGGAACTAGAACGATATAAGCTGGTGCGACGAGCTTGGGTTTAGGGCGAGAGCCATACTAGTAGCGGAGGTAGAATGTTTCGTTTGCGGACGACATATTGCCGCCTTCAGGTAGAGTTGAGGAGGCGATAGATATTCGATTTTGAGAGTGGTGATACCTTGAGCTCCAATGTTTTGGAGCTCCATGGAATTTCCACCCTGCCCACATTGAAATGGCGGGGCAGGCTGCATGGACGGACCAAGAGTTTTGCCGCTTTCCGATATATTCAGTCCCGGTCCCGGGAATTTACACGTGATCTACATTCGCTTAGTGCCAGAGTGTCCCACCGGGCAGCTCAGCGGAGGCGGGCCAGATCTCTTGATATTGAACTACCTACCTGTGTATCCAGTTCCCTACCACGTTTCCCTGCAACCTCTCGCCTGTGCAGGTGTCCCGATCGTCTCCTCTTTTGTCTCACTGTGCCGGAATTCAACAACCACACGGCCATCTGCACAAGGTCGAGCATTCGTTGAGCTCAGGGCAACCTACCCTCCCCGAATATAACCCCTTAACCTTCGCGCCCCCCCACCCCCCCGAGAACTTCCCGATTGTAACGAAACAACCTGCCAGAGGCCAGCGCCCGTCATGTCGTTCTTAGAGAACGCCTACAGCTTAGTCCACCAGGACAATGCTGCGGACGTTCCATCCCTGTCCGACCTCCGGACCCAACTCGAAAAGGGCTCCGACGAAACCAAGGTCGAGACCATGAAGCGCATTCTGACCGTCATGCTTAATGGCGACCCCATGCCTCAATTGCTCATGCACATCATCCGATTCGTCATGCCATCCAAGTCTAAGCAGCTAAAGAAGCTTCTCTACTTCTACTACGAGATTTGCCCGAAGCTGGATGCCCAAGGGAAGCTGAAGCAGGAGATGATATTGGTTTGGTACGTGCAAGTTGAAAGGGGATAAGAGCACGGGAGGACATTGTGCTGACACCAGGCTTATAGCAACGGTATTCGGAACGACCTCCAACATCCCAATGAGTATATCCGAGGAAACACGCTTCGCTTCCTCTGCAAACTTCGGGAACCCGAGCTCATCGAGCCCCTCCTCTCCTCGGCACGGTCCTGTCTCGAGCACCGCCATGCATATGTCCGCAAGAACGCTGTCTTTGCTGTCGCTTGCATCTACCAGCATTCCCCGACCCTCATCCCCGATGCAGCGGACCTGATCGCGACCTTCTTAGAAGGAGAAAACGATCCCACCTGCAAGAGAAACGCGTTCGCCGCCCTGTCCAGCATCAGCCACGATAAGGCATTGGTGTACCTTAGCAAGGTGTTTGATGGAATACCGAATGCTGAAGAGCTGATCCAGCTGGTGGAGCTTGAATTCATTAGGAAGGATGCCGTCCAGAACCCGCAGAACAAGGTCCGTTGACTGTACTTCCGACAGAGGTTGTCACTTCTAACTCATCCAGGCACGATATCTGCGTCTAATCTTCGATCTTTTGGAAGCGAGCGCATCAACGGTCGTGTACGAGGCGGCTTCGTCGCTTACTGCTCTGACCAGCAATCCTGTCGCCGTCAAGGCCGCTGCTGGAAAGTTCATCGAACTCGCTATCAAGGAGGCCGACAACAACGTGAAGCTGATCGTCCTCGACCGGGTAGATCAGCTGCGAAAGAAGAACGAGGGCATCCTGGATGATCTGACCATGGAGGTTCTACGAGTTCTCTCGAGCGCAGACCTTGATGTGCGGAGGAAGGCCCTGACGATCGCGCTGGAAATGGTGTCGAGCAAGAACGTGGAAGAGGTTGTCCTACTCCTTAAGAAGGAACTTTCAAAGACAGTGGACCAGGAGTATGAGAAGAACACCGAGTACCGCCAGCTCCTCATCCATTCAATCCACCAATGCGCCATCAAGTTCTCCGAGGTTGCCGCCAGCGTCGTCGACCTGTTGATGGACTTCATTGCAGATTTCAACAATACCTCCGCTGTCGATGTTATCAACTTCGTCAAGGAGGTGGTTGAGAAGTTCCCCAAGCTTAGGGCCGCGATTGTTGCGAGGTTGGTGGATACTCTGAGCGAAGTTCGCGCTGGCAAGGTCTACCGTGGCATCCTATGGATCGTTGGTGAATACTCTCTCGAGGAGAAGGACATTCGGGACGCTTGGAAGAGAATACGGGCGAGTCTGGGCGAGATTCCCATTCTCGCTTCCGAGCAGCGCCTGCTTGACGGTGTGGAAGGCGAAGACGAGCACAAGGACGAGGGAGAGGTCAATGGGCACTCGAAACCATCTGCACCGACTGGCTCGCGCCGGGTTCTTGCTGATGGCACCTATGCGACAGAGAGCGCTCTGACAAGCAAATCTGCTTCAGCAGCCAGGCTTGAGGCCGTGAAGGCTGCCCAGAAACCTCCGCTGAGACAGCTCATTCTTGATGGAGATTATTACCTGGCGACTGTCCTGTCGGCGACGCTGACGAAGCTGGTTATGCGACATTCCGATATCTCCTCTGATGCTGCGCGCACCAATGCGCTTCGTGCGGAGGCCATGCTCATCATGATTTCTATCATCCGGGTTGGTCAGTCTCAATTCGTCAAGGCGGCTATCGACGAGGATTCGGTGGACCGGGTCATGAGCTGTGTGCGGTCGCTATCCGAGTTCAAGGAGCACCGAGAACTCGAAACCGTGTACTTGGACGACACACGGAAAGCGTTCCGCGCCATGGTACAGGTCGAGGAGAAGAAGCGCGCCGCAAAGGAGGCAATGGAGAGGGCCAAGACCGCAGTTCAGGTCGACGACGTCGTGTCGATCCGCCAGCTCTCCAAGAAGAATGCCGGAGACGGGACCGACGAAGTCGAACTCGACCTTGAGCGGGCCATGGGCGGCGACGCCGGCGCTGCCGAGGACCTCTCTTCCAAGCTCAGCCGGGTCGTTCAGCTCACCGGCTTCTCAGACCCTGTCTATGCCGAGGCATACGTCAAAGTCCACCAGTTCGACATCGTTCTCGATGTCCTCCTCGTCAACCAGACGACCGAGACCCTGCAAAACCTCTCGGTCGAGTTCGCCACCCTCGGCGACCTCAAGGTTGTCGAGCGGCCGACGACGCAGAACCTTGGCCCGCACGACTTCCACAACGTCCAATGTACAATCAAGGTGTCTTCCACAGACACGGGGGTCATCTTCGGCAACGTAGTGTACGACGGCGCGCACAGCACGGACACCAACGTGGTCATACTCAACGACCTCCATGTCGACATCATGGACTACATCCAGCCAGCGACCTGCACCGAGACGCAGTTCAGGACGATGTGGACCGAGTTTGAGTGGGAGAATAAGGTCAACATCAATAGCTCGGCCAAGACCCTGCGCCAATTCTTGGACCAGCTCATGGCCTGCACAAACATGAACTGCCTCACCCCCGAGGCCAGCCTCAAGGGCGACTGTCAGTTCCTAAGCGCAAACCTCTATGCTCGCAGTGTCTTTGGTAAGTTACCTAGCCCCCTTTCCACTTTCTTCCCTCCTGCGAACCTCGCCCCATCTAACCCAACATGTAGGCGAGGACGCCCTAGCCAACTTGAGCATCGAGAAGGAGGGCGACGACGGCCCCATCACGGGTTTCGTCAGGATACGTAGCAGGTCTCAGGGACTGGCGTTGAGTCTCGGGACGTTGAAAGGGTTGAATAAGATTGGATCGACGGCCTGAAGGGGGAAACGGTTATCGTATCCGCCGCCTTGAGCGTGGCAAATAAGTCCCTGGTCTCGTAATGGTTCACCGGATGGAAAGACCAGCTGAATCCCCTCGGTGGCTACCTACCTACCTAGTCATCTTTTTGTCGCAGCGATTCTTGGTAAACAAAAAGAAGAAAAAAGAAATCATCGTCAAATCGAGGGCCTGGAATGGACTTGTTCTGTTTGACGGCACACAGCTCAAATGAATAACGTGGAGGGGACTTGGGGAGCAAGGGGGGACATAAAAGAGTTCGGTCCGAGGAATGAAAGGAAGGGTCTCAAGACAGATGTAGTGCAATCGTGTTAGACTTATTCACGAGATTAGTAGGTAGGTAAGGTAGGCAGTTAGATGCCAAAAAACGGGCAATGATGCATTCAATAGGTGCCATTTCCACGTTGCTATTTGTATAAGCTCGCGCCCTTTTTGACACACTTTCGCCGGGACACGATACCTATATATCGTCACCTCCCCCCAAAAAAAATCCAGCCAGAGGGTAGACAAACACACCACATCACCTCGAGAGGACCCCCCTCACGACACCCTCGACAGACGGTTTCCCCTCGACAACCAGCTCCCCGATCCCCGTGTCACCCCCGCTGCCCTGCTCCAGCCACCGGGCCAGTAGGTCGTTGCTCTCCTTGGGCTTGACGCTCTCGTCCCTGGTGCCGATGGTGACGTGCGCCACGCGGTTGACGCACTCCCACCTGGGGCGGCCGTCGACTCCCCCGTCCGGCCCGCGCCCGACCAGCCGCACGACGATGGCCATGATGCGGTCGTCGTGCACGACGCGCTCGAGCTGGACGTCGACGACGCCGAGCCGCCCGTCCGCCGAGGAGCCCAAGCCGGCCTCGTACTCGCGCCGGTACCGCTCCCACAGCTCGCCCAGCTCCGGGCGCTCCCGGACCGAGGCGCGGTGCATCAGCGTCACGTGGAAGCGCGCCTGCACGCGCCGGCTCCCCTGCAGATGGCGGAAGAAGCGCGCCTGCTCGGGCGTGGCGCCGGCGAAGGCCTTCTCCAGCGCCGCCAGCACGGCCTTTGTGGGCACGTCGACAGACATGTACTCGAGCTCCTTCTTTTTCTGCTGCCGGGGCAGCTGCTCTTGCTGCTGCTTCTGCTGCTGCTTCTTGTTCTTGCTGCCGCGGTCCGGGATCGTGTGCCGGAGCTCGGGGCTGTAGCTCTCGAGGGCGACCTGGATGGCCTCGTCCATCTTCTCGGCTGGCGGGACCTCGGTCACGAATTTAGGGTACAGCCGGTGCAGCTCCCGGATCACCGTCTCGAGATTCTTCCTGCTCCCCCCGGCGGCCTCGAGGTCGATGATGGCGTCGAAGCCGTCGTCAGGCGGTCTTTCCGGGTCGCATGGCTCAAAGCGCTGGATGAATCCCTCCATGATTCCCCGGACTTTGCCCATGTCAGTCGCCGCCTGGATGGTCTGGTGGTTGTTCCCGCGTGCAAACACTCGCTCCTGAGTGACTCTCCTGACGGCGTCTAGGTCGTCGTGGACGAAATAGAGTGCCACAAGCTTGGCCGAAAGGCTCTGTTGCCTGACATCGGTAAGGATCTGCTTCCGCTCGTGCTTTTGCGCGTTGTTCCTGTCTGCTACTACTGCCTGGCACTCCTCTAACTGGTCAAGGACCGCTTTCGTAAACCTTGGCGGACGTTTTGGGCCGGTGATATTGTCGTTCTGGATATGCCCCCAACCGAAGAGGTGTGCCAGGGCAACAGCAAGCGTTGTCTTCCCGCAGCCGATGGTGGCAATTGGCACCAAGATGACGTCTCCGGTAACCTCAGTCTTTGCACCTCCGCCGTAGAGAGCCTCGAAGTTGGCTGCCTCGGAGCCTTTCATCTGCTTGAACTCGAGGAAGTCGTTTCGCAGGGCAATAATGCCATGGTTTTGATTATACAGCTTTGCCAAATTCCTGTCGTTGGCCAGCCGTTGTCTAGCATAGGCAAGATACTCCTCGGTGATCTTGACGTGGTTCCTGTACCTTGGCTGCCTGCCGGCGATCATGGCTTTTGTGCACTCTCGCCACTGCCGGTACATCAGATACGGTTCTTCGAACTTGTACTTGAAGAACCAGTCCTGGAAGACCCTCTTCTGCGGATCATAGGTCAATTTGCATCGGATAACAAAGCCTTCGACATCACGTCCGTCGTGGGCACCGGTTTCTGCAACCTCTTCGAGAAAAGTTTGGACTTGCTCGACGTCGTCTATGAGTATCAAGCCTGTCTTGACGAAACCCCACTCGGCTGCGAACTGTTGCACGAGGGGGCCGGGATATGTCGTAAATTCGGGGACGTTGAGATTCAGGCCATGCAAGTAGAGACCGGCCTTCTCCGGGCCGTAGGCAAGGATATGCTCCTCAAAGGAATCGTCGCAAAGCTCGGCAACGGCGGTGATATTCCGTTTCCTTAACTCCCGGGCGAGGTCCTGTTTGGTCTTCCCGATCCGCTCCAACTGTCGCTCCAGCCTCTGCTCGCCAGCGACGGCATGGCTGACCTCGACATCGCTGCGCTCCCCAGTCGAGTGTTTGCTGCAGACAAGTAGGGTGTCGTCCGCGAGGCCACTGACGAAGATGATGCAGCCATTCTCTTTCAGCGTCAGTTCGTAGGGACCCTTGGTGTTGGCCTTGATGTTCTCCCATCGCGTCTCGGACACTTCGTTGACATTGAAAAACTTGTCGTATCCGCGGACGGCGATCTCGGGGGCGCCGTGCGGCCCCCTGGTGGTGAAGAGTCCGCGAGCATAGGTGGGCAGATATTTCTTCTTGTAATCCCAGTCCTGGAACCGCCAAGAGTCGACAGCAAGGCCGTCACGGGAGCCAGCTACGTTGAACCGAGTCTTCTTGACGCTGAAACCCTGCTTCTTCTTGGTGTGGTCATCCAGGGTTCGTACTAGAGCAGCAACCTCCTGGATGTCCTGGCTGACGTACGGAGGAGCCATGTGTTGAGCGACTGGGTCGACGTCAGTTGAGGCGACTTGATCCATGGCCGAAGGCAATGACGTGAATTGGCGAATGGGGTCCAAAGTCTTGCTGCACTGTTGGCTAAACCCTGAAGAAACTCTGAAGTGTGACCTTCAAGATACTTCACCTGCTTGGGGTGTTTGTTGTGGCCAAGAAAAACAAGTGGGAAGTGTGACGATATTTATATTTCATGTGCTCAGCTGGTACCTTACTTTTAGCGACGAGGCAATTGCAGGCCCCAGGAAGGCGCGACGGGCAAGGTGGTCCTCGAGGCGAAGGCTCAAAGACAGGCTGGGGAAAGGTTCAATTACGGATATGAGTCAAGAATAACTCCCAGTCAACATTTTTGCCATTCAATGAAGCTGTTCGGGGCTGATTGCATCCCACCAGAGCTCTACGCCGCCGATAAGAGTCACACATCCTAGCCAGACAATTTGCAGCCAGATCCAACTGCACCAAGCCGACTCAGCCTTTCTAGGTTCCCAATAGGGGTTCGATCCTTACTTGAACTTCGGTTCACCTGTCTGTTAGATAGGTGTTACCAATGATAAACATTCATCATATGGCTAGGTAGAGAGATGGTATCTACCTAAAACGATGTCCATATTCATACAGGGCTGGTCAGTTTCAAGGCATGGAGGGGTATGTGGGGCGGGGGCTTTGTGCTCGCCGATGACAAAATTCTGCACCACATCCAATCCAGAAGCCACAAGCTTGCAGCTTTTCCGTTTGACCCCTATTTGGCCTGCTTTGGCGTGACTTGTGGTATCTGCCTACATAGGTTATTCTGCCTGATCTTGGTTCACCTAGCACATACACATTGCATTCTCCCATCCCAAGCATGTCGAATCCTTACCTCCTCGCCGCCGACAACTCCCCCGCCCTTCTTCCCCTTCTCCGCGAGAACCCGTCCCTCGCACGGGGTCAAGACGAACACGGCTACTCTCTGATACATGCCGCCGCGAGCTATGACCATCTGGACCTCCTCCGAGCCCTCGTTGGCGAATTCCACGTCCCCGTCGACCTAAAGGACGAGGATGGCGAGACCGCCCTGTTTGTAGTCGAGACAGTGGACGCTGCGAGGGTGCTAGTCCAAGAGCTGGGCCTGGATCCAAATATCACCAACGACGACGGCCTCACAGCGAAAGAGAAGATTGAGGCCGAAGGCGACTGGCCAGGAGTCACCCAGTTTCTCGCTGGCATTGAGACGGCGGGAGGCTCGGGAGGCGAGGCTCGCGCTGGCAGCGCAGGGGTCGAAACAAACGGCGAGGTGGCGGTACCGATGGAGCTCCCGTCTGGCCCCGACGGGCTGCAGGTCAGAGTGGGCACGATGTTAGAACCCGAAGAGACCAGCCAGGAGGTGGATGCGGAATTTCGGCAGAGGATAGAAGAGCTTGCTGCTAGGCCGGACTTTGATACGCCTGAAGCCCAAGCCCAGCTACGCCAGCTGATTCGGGATGCCGTCACAGATCAGGAGCTAAGCGAGGACCGAAACGTGCGGCCCAGGCAAGGTTGAAGGGCCGGGAAAGGAACATAATCAATCGTGGCCCTTGACTTCCCACATGACGTATTCTCCAGCCGAATTTGGCGGCCGGAGGAAGGTACACTCGGAGCCGTCGGCCATCATCCCGGCCGAGAAGGTCGTTGCACTGAAAGAGAACCACGTTTTGGGGGGTAGCGCGAGCATCATGTCGACGAGCGTCTTGCGGGCCCAGGACGGCGAGAGGAAGCCCTCCCAGGTCAACTTGCAGAGCTTAGCTTCTTGGTGTTGCTCGCTTTCTCCGGGAACATGGTAGCGGCACAGGTATGGGTCGACTTCATCACCGGACTCGACACGGGGGCTTTGGAGTCGGACCAGGGCTAGCCATTCATATATCTCTGTGGCAAACTCCTCGTACCCGTCCCTCTGCTCCTCCGCCACGATGGAAGCCTCCAGCTTCAGGCCTGGAATGAGGGCGGGAATGTCCTCGGTTACCCCGGGTTTGGAGGTGTATTTGGTGGGAAAATGTGCAGCAAGAGGGTCGGGATCAGGAACTACCCTTCCGGTTAGCATTTGGACGTACAGCAACTCGAGATACATAGTCAACATACCCGTAGAAGCCAAGTTGCAGAAGAGCCAGGTCGCCGGCTTGTTCAGAACATTCTTGCAGGCGTAGGCCAGTCTGTCAAATCCCTTCTTTCCTGGGAACATGGACGGGCTGCGAAGGTCAAACTCAACGACTGTAGAGCCCCCGTCAGCCATGACAGCGGAAACATGTATAAACATGGAAGAAATAGACACGTACCCCATCGAGGCTTCAGGCCGCGATTCCCCTTGGCTCCATGAGGCTTGCCCACCAAGCCAGCTCGCTCGTACGTTTCCTTATCCAGGAACATGGTGAGGTTACCTAGACAGTTGACAGTTAAAAAGCTGTCTGCCTTGAAACAAAGCTTGGGGAGTTTCATACCGTTCCTCAACGTGAAAATATTGTCGACACCAATCCTGCCCTCGGAGAGCATCAGGATGTCTCCTAGTACCGGAGCAAGTCAGCGATGAACCTGCCAGGAATGATGGACAGCCTGTAGTGCACCGTACCTATCTTGATGTATTCCCTGAAGAAGTCTCCAGATACAATCTCGCCGAGGGGCATAGTAACCCTTTGAAACTCGGGAGGTTGGCTTTCGTTGACCAATGCTTGGCGGATGACATCGTAGGACTCTTGTGGGAGGATGAGATCTACCTTGTGGATGAAATCGAAGGATGAAATGGTCGTCCATGGCTTGCCTTTGGAGGGCAATTGCTTGGGGTCAAGATGGCCCATTGTGCCGTGCGTGAAGAAACATTTGGAAGTCTGATAGACTGCCGGTTCAGAGAACGACAACATGTTTGTTTGCAGGTAGAGGTGACTCCTGGGCGAGTCCACCAGGTTGATACGCTTGAAAATGGATGGTCGCTGGATGTTTGTGTGTGAGCGAACGAACCAGCGGGCCGAATTTTTAGGAGAAATCGCTGCCTCCACAACACCATGCCTTCTTTCCTCCTGTCCTTCTCAAGCAAACCGGTAATTCCCATGTGCCGCGCAATCATTCATTCAACCTATCTATTCTACCTAGCGGATGATTAGGTGTTAGACAATGGGTCTCCGATACGGCCAAAGTCAAAAAGAGATCTTACAACCTAACCCTCAGACATCCCGAATCCTCCACTAGGGTCCCGTCCGCCGCCCAGCATGATGGAGTATCTGATTCGCTTCGCGCAGATGCATGAGACTTTTCGTCTTCCGGAAGTCCAGGCGCTTGCTGCGCTGGAAGGAATCGATCTAGAAGTCGTGCGGTATAGCTTAGAGGTGGGTAGCCCCGGGCCAGTCCCCTGGAACAAGGTGCTCGATCAAGTTCTCATCCTGTCATCCAGTCGCCCATTTGCATTGTCCGTCTTTCTTCCGAAGACGACGCCAGGCACCTAGTCCGCCGCGCCATCCTGGTGCAGGCCATCTTCGAGCTCTGGGGCTCAGGCGCCACGGTCGAGGAACTGCACGCCTCGGTGCGCAGCACCTCGTCGCACCTCTGGCCAAAGTACGCGACCTCGTCGTTCAAGTTCGGCCTGGACTCGTTCCAGGGGACGCGGACGAACGAGCAGAGGCTGGCGCTGATCCAGACCTTCGCCTACCTGCCCTTCGCCGGCCCGGTCAAGATGCGGGGCGCGGACCACGAGTTCGCCATCTTCGAGGAGTGGCCGTTCAACTCGGTGCCGCTGGGCATCCCGGACCCGGACCGCTACTACGTGGGGCGGCGGGTGGCGTCCGGGGCGCGCGACCTGCCGGCCCGCCTCGACCTCAAGAAGAGGCGGTACATTAGCACCACGTCCATGGACTCGGAGCTGGCGCTGGTCACGGCGAACATGGTCCTGGCGGCGCCGGGGAAGCTGATGTACGACCCGTTCGCCGGGACCGGGAGCTTCCCGATCGCCTGTGCACAGTTCGGGTCGCTTGTTTTTGGCAGCGACATCGATGGCCGGAGCCTAAGGGGGGATGGCGCGGACAAGAGTCTACGGGGTAACTTTGACCAGTACGGCCTGCTAGGCCAGGTGGGTGGATTCTTCACCGCCGACCTGACCAACACGCCCATTCGGCGGTCGCGGCTTGGCGAGCCCGGCAGCGGCGGCCGGGGTCGGCTGTTTGACGGCATCTTGTGTGATCCCCCTTACGGGGTGAGAGAGGGCCTGTTCGTCCTCGGCGTCCGGGACGCCGTGAAGAACGTACGGGTGGTTGAGGTGGGCATGGAAGCGTACAAGTGAGTGCAGGTGTAGGGAGCTATCGATTTTCGACAGCCAAGAACCGATCCGTGAAGGGGAGGGAAGTTGACAGGACAACATGCAGGAAACCGAACTTTGTTCCGCCCAAGAAACCGTATAGCTTTCTGGCGATGCTGGATGACATTTTGCAGTTTGCCGCCGAGACGCTGGTCGATAACGGCCGGTTGTCCTTCTGGATGCCGACTGCAAACGATGAAGAACAGGAGATCGCCATTCCGACACATCCATATCTAGAGATGGTGGCTGTGTGTACCCAGACATTTAACAAGTGTAAGCTCCTCTGGGGGTTCGAGCCCGGACTCAGCCCAGTGGCTACGAATGTCTATCTCTATTAACCTACCACTTTTTCTCTAGGGTCTCGAAGACTTATCACATACCGACGAATACCTGATGAAAATGTTGACCCCACCACCCTTAAGGAGAGAGCTGCGAGGGTCCCGATAGATGGAGGAACGGTGGACGAGTTGAATCCCTTCCGCCAAGGGTACTTTGCTGGGTTTAGGACTCCGGAAGCTCCAACACCTGCACCTATAGATGGTGATATATAACATTTATATGTTATCACGTCTCCGTACCCGCGCAAAAAGGATGTCTAGTGCCACGAAAGCGGGAGCATAGGAAAACAAACCCAACAAACAGTGCCTCAATATATTTGGATGGAGCGAAGAGAACTTTTACTACTCCAAAAAGCCAGGGTATCTACTAAAGTGGGCTGCTCCATAATCCCACGGATTCTAGATGATGAAGTACGTCTCACCCGACCGTGTTTCTTCAGTCGCTGAAGCTGTTTGTAACCTCGACGTAGTTCCTCCACTGCCTCGATGCCTCGCCGCTCTTGATAGCCCACCTCGCCCTCCTGACACCCTCCTTCCATCGGCCACCGCCCGGGCCACGCTCCTGAATAACTGCCCCGTCGTCACCGTGGCCCATGTTGCTGACATCCGCATCACAGATGCCCGAGATGACAAGCAGCGCCGCCGTGTTCATCAGTACGAAGTGGAGGATCGGGTCGTCGTCGGGCAACTCGTCGTCCAGGATCCTGCTGAGGATAGCCGCGTTCTCGGCCGGCTCCTTGCCAGGCGAGACGGTCGACAAGGGGTGCGCGGGAAGACCAAAGTCGGCCGGGGTGAGCAGGAAGTGCTCCGCCTTGGTCTGGTTGGACGACGACGGGCCCGGGACCAGCCGCCAGCACAGGGTCGGTCCGGCACAGCTGACCTCGTCCAGCTCCTCGTCGCCGCACACGACCATGGCCTTGCGCACGCCGACCATGCGTAGGGCCTCGGCGAACACGGGGCCGAGGTCCTTCCGCGCGACTCCGATCACCCGCGCCTCGAGGATGGGCTTGCTGCTCTGGCCGTCGTCGACGTCGGCGGGGTTCGCAAGGGGGCCAACGAGGTTGAACAGTGTTCGCCAGGGGAGGAGCCTGCGGATCGGCGCAACGTATTTCATGCCCGGGTGGAAGACCGGGGCGTATAGGAAGGCGTAGTTGGTCTGGCCATATAGTTTTGCGATCGTGCCAGGGGAGACTAGAGACACTTGGGGCGCTCGAGGCTGCATGTTATTGAGGAGGTCGGCCGATCCGGATTTCGAGGTCGACGCCTTGTTGCCATGCTTGGCAACGAGGAGGAGACTGGAGGCCAGAATCGAGGACGTGGTTGAGATGTTGAAGGTATTATGCGAATCTCCTCCAGTTCCCACGATATCACACTGCGCCAATGATCAGCCTCTAGCAAATCCCACGAGTACACCGATACTGTCCCACCTAGACACTTACCATACCTCCTTCATACAGCCCCTCACCTATCCCTCTCCTCTCGATAACGGACCGCAACTCGGCGGCATCGATTTGGGCGGCCGCTTTCCTCATGGCGGCGGCACACCTCGCCAGCACATCAGCCTGCCGATCCAGGCCGGTGAAATGGAGGCACATCAGCAGCGAACCAGCCTGAACATCGGGTATCTGGTTCGTGAAGAAGTACGAGATGGCCTCGGCGATCTCATCTGCCGTGACAGGCTTGTGTGGCTCCAATGGCCACAGTCGCGCGAGAAGGGGCTTGATGTCCACTTGGGGAAGCTGGGCAGCCTCTCCTTGCTGTTGTTGACCCGACATTTTTTCTATAGAAGTTTGTACGCGAGAAGATGGAAGGCTTGAGGATCTGGAGGAAGGGCGGCAATGGCAATTAATTAACTCATGTACTGAAAAAGGGTCGGAGGCACAATTGGCGCCCTTTGAGTCATTCTTACAAAGGAGGACACCTCCAAAGATTCATAACTGCCCCGCGGCGGATGGAGGGGTCCTTTGGGCAACAGGGATCCTTGCTCCTGCAGCTCAGGCGGTGGTGGACGGCAGAGACACTGTCCCAACATCCGTGCTTAAAGCTGGTCTGTGCGTCGCCTGATTGGAACCAAAATTTTGGAGCTTCATTCCGGGGCTCAACGACGCATGTCAACCTGTACTAGGCGAATTACGGAGCTGCCATATTCAAAAGTAAGCGCCATATCTACCTCAATTGCTGATCTCCATGCTAACCGTGTTCCTCAAGAATGCCCCCGCGACTCCGGTGCCCGGCTTCGCGGAGCCTCGTCCCCTCGCTCTCCCGGACCAAGACTCTCGCTCGACCGGCCGCATTGTCATGGCTAGCCTCTCCGGCGCCGTTGGCAAGCCCGAGGCAATATGCCACCGCAGCGTCGGCCTCGTCGGCTATATCGGCATTGCGTCTGCCGGATGATTACGTTCCCCCGACCCAGCCACCGAGCGCTCGCCGTCCAGAGTCCCGGAACTCGCAGCTTTTACGAACCTACACCTCCCTTATCCGCTCCACTCCCCTAGTTCTTCTCTTCCAGCACAACAACCTCACGGCAAACGAATGGGCAGCCCTGCGGAGAGAATTGAAATTTGCACTAGCCGCCGTTGGGTCCCCGTCCGCCGACCCGGGCGCCACCGCGGCGAGCGCCGCCGACGACCTCGCCGCCAACATCAAGCTCCAAGTGATCCGGACGCGCATCTTCGACGTCGCCCTCAGGGTCGTCGAGTACTTTGACCCGGCATCCGTGCGCGGCGCCGCCACGCCGGGGTCCAAGTCGAGGCCGAAGCCGAAGAAGTCGTACAACCACGACCTGTCCAAGGCGGCTCACGCGGCCATCAAGGCGGCCATGGCCGACCCCTCGGCGCGCGCCGACGCCTCGTCCACCTACTCGCAGCTCTCGCCGCTGCTGGTGGGGCCCCTGGCGCTGCTCACCATCCCCGCCGTGTCGCCCGCCCACCTCGCCGCCGCCCTGCGCGTCCTCGCGCCAAGCCCGCCCGCGTTCCCGGCGCCGACGAGGCGGAAGAACCCGGGGTACTACGAGCCCGTGGTGCAGAGCGCGCTCCAGAAGCTGCTGCTCGTCGGCGGCAGGGTCGAGGGCAAGGTCTTCGACACGGACGGCGTGCGGTGGGTCGGCGGCATCGAGGACGGTATCGACGGCCTGCGGGCCCAGCTGGTGGCTCTGCTGCAGAATGCCGGCCTGGGCTTGACGACCGCGCTGGAGGGCGCGGGAAAGAGCTTGTGGCTGACGATGGAGAGCCGTAGGAGCGTGTTGGAGGAGGTGGAGAAAGGAGAAGCTGCTGGGGAGAAGGGCGAAGCTGCCGAGGAGAAGGGCGAAGCTGCCGAGGAGAAGAAGGAGTAATGGGGAGCCAATGTGTGTACCACCACAATTACCCTGGGGAATAAGCGATGTACGATCTTGGTTGGGGAACCTAAGTATGTAGATTTGCATTTGGTAGATCTTACTGCCATGTATTTGGAGGCCCGAGAGACTTGAATGCTGTACGGATATACATTCTGATATTTCCCTGTATTAGAATATCGTGGTTGCGGTGTTTCATGCAGTTAAGACGATGCTGCTGTCCTGCATGTGCCTAGAAGGTACCCGTTGGCGGCTGTTGTGGTCACGTTCAGGCGCGCTAAGGCCACTCAGCTACCTCTAGCTGCATGATGGATGGGGTCCTCAATTGCGCGTCATCCCTTCAATTCGTAACCCTGGTCCTGACGTTAAGAAGCGCCCAGCGGCATCTGCTTTCCACTCTGTTATAGCTTGATAGCCCATCCAGCCATGTACGCAGCTCTCGATCGATAGTACGAAAGGCCTAAACACTCCGCTGCGTCACTTACTGTCCAACAACCCCCCCGCAGGGCGTGCCCTCTTCACCCTCCCCGATTCTTCCCTCCGGAACCAATCCATTCCCCAAACCACAAAATGGATTTCGCACCCTACCAGTCCTCTCCTCCCGAACACGGCCGCACCCTCTCCCCCGAGGCCACAACCTCGCCCCGGGCGTCCTGGGACTACGCGCGGCGGTCATTCTCGCCGCAGGCGACCCCCGCGGCGGCGGCTCCCTCTTCGTCCTCGCCCCCGCTCCTCCAGCACCCGCAGCCGCAGCGCGCGTGGTCCGGCGACGGGATAAGGAGCCCCGCGGGCGCGGCCGGATACCAGAGCCCTGGCGTCGGTGGTGGCGGTGGCGGCGGCGGTGGTGGGATGGGGGACTACTTCGGGGCGCTGGGCGCGAGGGAGGGGATGGTGTCCGAGTTCGATACCAGCCTGGGGCTGAGGCTTGACTACGAGGCCTGTTTGGCTTACCTTGCGCTGCCGCCGCTGGGGGCGATAGTGCTGCTGATACTGGAGAAGAAGAGCGACTACGTCAGGTACGTTGCCCTTTTTTCTTTGGCCCGGAGGGCTCTTGGACAGGGGTTTGCTTAGGTGGCTAACGACTCTTACGCTCCGCAGATTCCATGCCTGGCAGTCAGCGTTGCTTTTCACGGCCATTTTCGTCTTGCACCTCATATTTTCTTGGTCAAGCTTCTTCAGCTGGCTCCTCTTGATCGGCGACTTGGCCCTGATCGTTTATTTGACCGTGCGAGCATACAGAGATGTCGATACTCTTGACAGGTATGGCGACTCCCTCCCGCTCTGACGCTCCATAAGACTAAACATATTTTCTGCAGGTTTGAGATCCCTATCGTTGGTCCGATAGCGAGCAGGATACTCGATGATGAATGAGGTTGGAGATGCCGGTACACCCTTGTTGGGGAAGGTCTGATTTGCTGGTACATACGCGCCTATAACGGTTGTCCAAGGAGACTTCCTATTGTTCATATCACTAGTACTTGCCATCCATAACTAGGAGGCACCTTCGGAAGGCTCTCAGTACCGTCGTCGGGAGCATGGTCTATACTCTTTTGTAATTATTGGGACTTCTTAGTGCATCAGCTTGAGCCTGAGTCATTCGATTCATCACAGGACTATTGGAGTTATTGTAGGTGCTTTTATATGCGTTGAAACTGGCATCCAGGTCGATTACGGGTTGTATGCAATTATACGTAATATGTAATATGTGATGCTACAGGTGCGCCACAGCACGGGCAACTGCTTTCCCTGGCTGGCTTAGCGTCAAAGCTTGGTCCTGCCACAGTAGAGGCTGATGGATGGATTACGCGACTCGCCTGCCTTGCAGCTTGGTTTGCAGCTTGGCCTCAACCACCTTCAGCTCAGTTCCTTGGAGCTCCGACTTTCGCCATCCCAACTCCAACACATCTCCCGAAGGTTCTGCAACAGCACTTTGCCAAAATAAATAAAGGCCACTTTCCTGGTGATACAACCCTCGCAACAAGACATTTGTATCCAGCCTTGCTGCAATCCACACCAGCAGCACTATGTCTACACTCGAGGAGCTCGACGATCTCGATCGCCGGGATCGTGACGACAAGAAGAAGGACGCAGGAGATGATAAGGACAAAGACAAGAAGCCCTCAGGTGATGGTGATGCTGAGATGCAGGATGCCGAGCCCGACGAGGACGATGTCTTGGACGAGGAGATTCTAGGCCTGAGCACCCAGGATATCCTCACACGCCGACGCCTGCTCGAGAACGACTCCAGAATCATGAAGAGCGAGTTCCAGCGGTTGTCACACGAGAAAGCAGCCATGGGAGAGAAGATCAAGGAGAACATGGAGAAGATTGCCAACAACCGGTACACCGTCGTCCCAAGCCTCGCACCATCTGTTTACCACCACTAACCTGTCCCAAGTCAACTTCCTTACCTCGTCGGTAACGTTGTCGAGCTTCTAGATCTGGATCCCACAGCCGAGTCATCAGAAGAGGGTGCAAACATAGACTTGGATGCGACCAGAGTGGGCAAATCCGCCGTCATCAAGACCTCGACCCGACAAACCATCTTCCTCCCTCTCATCGGCCTCGTCGACCCCAACACCCTCAAGCCAGGTGACCTAATCGGTGTTAATAAGGACTCATACCTCATCCTCGATACCCTGCCGGCTGAATATGATAGCCGTGTGAAGGCCATGGAGGTTGATGAGAAGCCAACTGAGAAGTACAGTGACGTTGGTGGGTTAGATAAGCAAATAGAGGAGCTCGTGGAAGCCATCGTGTGGCCCATGAAGGAGGCAGAGCGGTTCAAGAAGATTGGTATCAAGGCTCCCAAGGGTATGTTTGTCCATGATGCTGCTTGGTATTCTTTCCCCATCGTCTGACCTTCTTTCCAGGTGCCCTGATGTACGGACCGCCCGGAACCGGCAAGACACTTCTCGCCCGAGCTTGCGCAGCGCAGACGGATGCCACCTTCCTCAAGCTAGCCGGCCCCCAACTTGTCCAAATGTTTATCGGAGATGGCGCCAAGTTGGTTCGCGACTGCTTCGCACTGGCCAAGGAGAAGGCTCCCTCCATCATCTTCATCGACGAGTTGGATGCTGTTGGCACGAAGCGGTTCGACAGCGAGAAGAGCGGCGATCGTGAGGTGCAGCGGACCATGTTGGAGCTGCTGAACCAGCTTGATGGTTTCGCGTCCGATGACCGGATCAAGGTCTTGGCCGCAACGAATCGAGTCGATGTCCTTGACCCTGCGCTCCTCCGGTCCGGCCGTCTAGACCGAAAGATTGAGTTCCCTCTACCAAACGAGGAGGCTCGTGCGCAGATCCTCAAGATCCACTCCCGGAAGATGAAGGTCGATCCGAACGTCAACTGGGGCGAACTGGCTCGCAGCACTGACGAGTTCGGCGGTGCCATGCTCAAGGCCGTATGCGTTGAGGCGGGCATGATCGCCCTCAGGATGGGCAAGAACAAGATCAGCCATGAGCATTACGTCGACGCCATCGCCGAGGTCCAGGCGAAGAAGAAGGATGTAAGTGCTCAGGCGGATAAGCCCCCGGATACCGAAACATGGGAGACACGGAAGGCTAACTTGGTTCACAGACCGTCAACTTCTACGCGTAATCGGATGGCTTGGAAATGGAGATGGCGATTGGGTCCGTTGCATGTTGGCTTTATCAGGCGAGGAAAGAGGAGATGTAACATTATCAGGTGCCTAGATAGGCCAACTATACTACCGACCTCTTTCAAGTAGGCATGGCTTCTACAGACCAGACCCCGTCTCTCTCTACTCCAGGACATTATGATCCTCAGCCCAGTTGAAATCTAAATCCATCGTTGAGAAAGAAGGTAACTCGCTAAACGAATGTTTTCCATGAACTCCTTAGCTAGATCTAGGATTCTGCTTGAGTAACCCGCACGTGCCAAATACTCGCTAGTAGGTATAATCGCCAAGGGAAAACGAAATGCTGAGGGGGGAAAAAACAAACACAAAAATAGAAACAGCAAAGGAAACGACAAGCAAGACGCTCAATCCTCAAAGAACGCGACGATCTCCCTCAAGTCGCCGACCGTCACTCCCCAGCGCGGGTAGCAGATATATATCGACTCGCCATGCACGCCAAACTTCTGCCTGAACTCGGACTTGCGGCCCAGCTTCAGCCTCCTGGCGACGAGGTCGTATGTCCTCGCCAGGAACTTTGCCCTGACGCCGTGGAGGTGCTCGCCGGGCTTCAGCTTCATCGAGGCGCCGACGCCAAAGGTGACGGGCCCCGTGACGGTGGTGAGGGCCCTCTCGATCAGCACCTCGATGACGCCGTTGGGCGCGCCGGGGAAGTCCATGGCCCACTTGACCTGCCAGCCGTAGCGGGGCGCGAGGCGGGCCATGACGACGAGCGCGTGCACCGTGTCGTCCTTCTCGGCGGCGAAGTAGCGCCGGTGCGCGTCGTCCACCCACGGCTTGACCTCGGTTAGGTGCACCTGCTTGTCGGCGCCCTTGCGCCCGGCCAGCCACGCCTCGATTCCCCGGTTCGCCCGCTCGATGAACTTGTCGTTGGGCCGCACCTCGTGGATCTTGATGCCCTCCTTCTCCACCCGCCTCTTGTCCTGCCCGCTGATCGACAGCCCGTGCCTGTCCGAGTCGACGCGCTGCTCCTCGGCGCACGACAGCGTCCGCCAGCCGAGGTTGCGGCCCAGCACCGCCTGCACGGGCGCCGAGACCAGCAGCCAGATGGGCGTCAGCTTGAGCTCCTTCTCGACGAAGTCGACGAAGGCGTATATGACCTCGGTGTACTGCCGCGGGTCGCACAGGGGGTCTCCGGTCATCATGGCGAACTTGCCGCCGCGTCGCACGAAGCCGACGGCGGCGCCGGTGGTGTGGCGCCAGATCTCGAAGCGGTCGTCCAGCCACGACGTGTTGCTGGCGTCGCCGTAGTTGGCGATCAGGTCCTCGATGGCCGGCTGGCCCTGGTCCTTGATGCGCGGCCGCATCGTGTCGGCCTCGGGGTGCGGGATGCGCGGCGAGCGCTCGGGGAGGGATTTGGTGTCGCGCGGGTACAGCGACGCGTACCGCACGTCGCCGAGCTCGAGCATCCAGGCGACGATGCGCTCGAGGCCCAGGCCCGCGCCGCCGTGCGGGGGCGCCCCGTGGTCGAAGGCTGAGAGGTACTCCTCCATGCCGTACTCGTCCACGCCCGCGTCGGCCATGCTCTTCCGGAGTTCCTTGGCCTTGTGGATGCGCTGCCCGCCCGTGCAGATCTCTTGTCCGCGAACGAAGATGTCGAACGAGTTGGTCCACGTCGGGTCCTTGTCCTTGTGCGTGTAGAATGGCCGCGCGTTGGCGGGGAACTTGTCGAGGATGTAGTAGTCCGTCTTGTACTTCTCCTTGACGAGCTCTCCCAGCCGGATCTCGTCCCTCGTGCCGAGGTCTTCCACGGCGACCTCGCGACCGTCGTCTCGGAGCATCTGCAGACCCTCGCTGAAGGGGATGACCGGGGTTTCCTCGAGCCAGACCATGCGCTCGCTCGGCCACCGCTGCTTGACTACCTCCACCTCGGCCATGTTATAGACGGCGGCGAAGATAGATTTGAGCACTGAGTCGACGACGCGGATGAGGTCCCTGTACGTGTGCGGCAGGGTCATCTCCAGGTCGAGGCCGGTATACTCGGCAAGGTGCCGATGGGTGTTCGAGTTTTCTGCCCGGAAGACTGGGCCGATCTGGTGCGATCCAGACATGTGAGTAAATACTCTGATACAGCAACATGGGGCGCACAGGTTTTGGTTCTCACCTCATAGACCCTCTTGAAGTCGGCCGATATGCTCATCTGTTTCGCCAACTGCGGGCTCTGCGCCAAGAAGGCTCTCCGACCGAAATAGTTTACCTTGAACACCTCGGCGCCGCTCTCCGTCGCGGCGGGCTGGATTTTCGGCGTCTGGATTTCGAGGAACCCTTGATCCTCGAGGACTTGGCGGAACGTGCGAGCGACCATGGCTCGGATTCTGAACAGGGCTTGGTTGGCCGGGTGCCTCAGGTCCAGGACACGATCCGACATGCGCTGATGGAGGGAATCCGGGGTGTGGTAATTGTCGAATGGCAAGTTGTTGGCCGGGCTAACAAGGTGGACCGAGTATATGTCAACCTCGATGTCTTGATAGTAGGCCGACTTGACTGGGTTCTCGGGTATTTTCAGCCTGCCATGCACTTCGACAAGCGATTCAGTGTTGAGCTTCTGAACCCATCTGATCATGTTCGGCGATGTCCGGGACAAGACGCCTTGGATGGTGTGGGTCTGATCTCGGAGCAGAAGGAAGTCGAGAGCTTCGGACATTCGGCGCTGGTGCTGTATCCGCGCGCGGAATGTCACCTCGGTCCCTTCGGGGAACTCGGCGATCTCGTTGATGGTGCTCAGCTCAAGCGGGTGAACCAGCTCCCCATAGCGGTCCCGGGTCTCGGGGTCGTCCTCCTGCTTGCCCTTCTCGTACTCCCTGCGGCGGCGCTCTTCCAGCTCCTCCTGCTCCTGCTCGAGGCGCTCCCGCTTCTCCGCCTTCTCCAGCCGCTTCGCTTCGCGGCGCTGGGCCGTATCTGACTTGCCCGAGTCCCGGCTGTTGGGGCTGCTTGACCGTGTTGAAAACGCATCCGCGAAGCGCGAGATTGGGTTTCGCCGCGGCGAACTTGCGGAAGCCATGATGTCTAAGTGTGTGTGTCTCTCTTGGCCACTGACGGTGTTAGTGATAATCTAATAAGTTCAACTCAAAGGCAACCACGAGCTTTTTATGAGCCGATAGGAAACTCCGGCACCAAGTTTACAAATTAAGTTATCTATCTATGGTAAGCAACAACTGCGCTAAACAAGGTCCCGGAATCCCCGGAATCGTCATCATTGTCGGGTGCTATCAAATGCCCTGACAATCCCGCATCATAGCATCATACACTGTCCATTTAGTTGAACTTCGCTGTCAGGTTTACCAAGTGACGTAATGATGAAGACGTAACGGAAGTATCCCACGAATGGCAAACCGGATACCTCGCTCAAGTAGGTGTGAAAAGAAAGTCAATTGGATGCAAACCACCTTATTCGGGGGCACCGGAGGTCATTCCTAAACGCTATGGAAACCTGAAGAATGTCCGATTCTCAAAACCGCCCTGACATGCACTTCCCGAGTCAGAACACGAGGGCCCAGAACACGGAGGGCCCCGGACTTGCGCACGGTCCATGGAAAGTGGGAATGTATGATGTCAACCTCAACGACCACGGCTCGCACAAGTCACAACCAAGAATCGGGCCACTTATAGCTAGGTCCTTATACCCCCCGCCGCCTGGATTTAATTGGAGTCCTATTTGGTAAGCTTGATGACCTGTCGGATCCAGGAACCACGATAACCACAATTGATGTTCAGACCCCAGCACAAGAGACCTTTGGGCGGGCGGCCATTCCGTCAACGGCAAGATGTCCAACTTCAACGGCAAGATGTCAGACTTGAACGATCTCGGCAATTCTATCCATCGGGCGGTCTCGGCCCCCATGACCTCTCCTGCCACGCCAGACGATGAAGCTCTTGAAGGCTCCGAGTACGTGAACCCGCATGATGCCAGCTCCCGTTGGTATCTGGTTGCCCGCGTCTTTGCTCTGCGCCAAGGAGCAAACCTGGGGTACAGCTTGCAGCATATGGCGGCCCCGGGCGCACCGGGCACGACCAAGACGATCTGGCTGGATTCAACCATCGGGAAATATCGAGGCAAGGAGCTCATCAAGGTCGATATCTGGGTGCCCTATCCGAAGCGCGTCCTGCGAAAGCGCCCGGCCGTCATCAACCTCCATGGCGGCGGGTTCGTCCTGGGCCAAGGCACCGACGACACCCGCTGGGCCGCAGCCGTTGTGAAAGACCTCGATGCTATCGTTTTCTCCGTCAACTACAGGCTCGCCCCCGCCTACCACTTCCCGAAGCCGGTCGAAGATTGTGTCGACGCCATCCTCCAGATCGCCTCCAGAGCGGAGGAGTTCAATTTCGACCCGTCCAGCCTTATCATCTCTGGATTCTCCGCGGGCGGTAACCTTGCGCTCGCGAGCTGGTTGGTCCTCCAGCAGCCCGAGAGGTGGAATTACCACCTGAAGCTGCCCGTACCGAATGTCCTCGCGTTCTCGCTCTTCTACCCTCTGCTGGACTGTACCGTCAGCCGGCCTCGCAAACGAACGCGATGCGTGCGCCCAGACATGACGTTACCGAGCAGTCTGACGGACCTCTTCGACGCCTCGTATATCTACCCCCCTCTGGCGCGCGAGGAGCGCAACGACCTGCGCTTATCTCCGGGGCTCATGCCTGACGAGATGCTAGATCGGATGCCGCCGCTACACCTTTGCCTGTGCGAGTGGGACATGTTGCTACCGGAAGGGTTGACGTTTGCCGAGAGGCTGAACTCGCGCAAGAAGCAGATCGTCGTCCGGGTGGTGGCGCAGGAGAAGCATGCCTGGGACAAGCCGCCCCCGGTACAGCCGAAGAAGAGCATGGGTATCGAATACGGAGAGGCGATCAAGACGCTGAAGGGGTGCATTGAACATACGGCAGGGCCTCTGCGGCGGGTTAGGCCAATCTCTACGCTTGTCCGGGCAAACACTGAGACTTGAGCTTGCGGCAACTCGCCTACTTGGTGAAAGACTGAACGGTACTCCTTTTCTATAACTCTGTTAGCGTTAGCGTGCCATGTTACGGTGTCTTCAATTTCACATTCTAAGCCCGCTTGGGATGGTGTTCCCATTCCGTCTTGGATTTGAGCAGGTAAAGAAGTAAGGTCGGTATCTAGTTGTCTTATATATATAAAATACAAAGAGACAATCAAGCAGCGGAGGTAAGGGACTGCCTATGTGATCAATTAGGCACGATCAATTCCTGCGCCGCCAGTGCGAGTCGAAATACATTTTGGCTCTATGCGATAACTGAGCCGCCGCATCAACCTCACCAATGGTATTTTGTTGGAGGAGGGACCACCTCTCTGCACAGGAGGAACTAGTTTCCAGTGTGGGTGATTTTCGTCCACCCAGCGCTGAGCTGCGTACACTTTGCCTGGTCACCCAGATCGCTAGGAGGTTCTCCGGGGCAGAGTCTCCGGGAGTGGTAGAGAGAGCTACGGTAGGTCTGTGCAGCGCCAATGCCGAACATGCTATGATCGACTTCTCAGCAGGTCCACATAGGATCAAATAGCGCACAACATTTCATCGATTTCCACTGGCCCAGTGGCGCAATGGCTGCGCGTTGCTTTCCGGTGGCAAAGGTTGCAGGTTCGAGTCCTGCCTGGGTCGCTTATATTTTTGCACTTTTCCCATCGTCGATTCCTTCTTTTTCTCAAGGCGGGTTCAATTCCTTTTTGTGATTGTGGATTCGATGGATTCCACTCCATTTTGTTGCTGATTGCTTGTTTGTTTCTTTATCGAGATCATGGCCTAGTGGCGCAATGGCTGCGCGTTGCTTTCCGGTGGCAAAGGTTGCAGGTTCGAGTCCTGCCTAGGTCGCTTCGTTTTGCACTTTTCTCGTCGTCGATTCCTTTTTGTGCTTGTGGATTCGATCGCCATTCCATTCAATGAATCCTTGCGCTCTTCATTGCTTGTTCTTCCGGAGATAAATCCCACATATCCGCTCCCCAGAGCATCAACGAAAGCACTGTTAAACTCCGATGTCTCCGGTGTCCATGAGGCACCGTGGAGACCTTGCCAAGGGCTAATCGGCAAATTTACTGGAACTCCTCTTGCGTTCTGGACAGATGGACAGACGAAGGGGTGATGGAAGCCAATGCGACGTGGGAGGTGAGTAACTCTCCCGTTCGAAGTGCGAGTTCGAGCCGTTTGGCTGCGCCATGTCTCGTGGAAGTCAATGTCCATTAACACAGCTGGTTGTTTAAGTGGCTGAATGCGTATTAGATGGCTGAAATGAACGATATTGTACAATACATGTACAGCCCGGCTCCGTTCCCTCAACCTCTCAAGTTGGTAATGCTGTCTCTCAAGCATCTTAAGAAACACGCCTGGAACAACTTACCACCACCGTCAAAGGGTTAGCCGCCTACAGGTTCTTCACCGGGGCATCGCCCTCTGCCTTCCCTGTCCCGAAGGTGCGCCTCGCCTCTTTGCGCGCGTTCTTGTCCGCCGCGAAGGCCTCCACTTCCTTGCTATTCATATGCTTTGCTACGTTATCGGCCTGCCATTTCTTGAAGGTGGCACCAAGACCTTCGTTTGAGTCTGCAGCGAGACGACTGTCAGCAAGCTAGCCTGAAGTCTACAAGTCGCGTGGGCGAGCAGCACAGAGAGGCGGGACTGACAGTCCTTGTCATTCGCTTGGTCTTTGTGGTCTGTTGGGGAGTAGATTCAGCATCCCGAGCTTGGATCCCTTCCAGTGCTTGGCTCACATTTCACACGGATGAAGTCCGAGTCTACGGTCTCGGGATCGAGAGACAGACTGACAAGGGCATTGATGACAGCCGTCTTCGGTATGACCTTGAAAGTCCATTCCTTGAAAACATTATATTAGTCATGACGTCGACGCAGCGATTGTGTTACCACGCCTTGGCAACGAGAGCCAACCTCTTCATGCCGAAACTGAATCAAGTCCCTATCGTTCGTGACTACCTGGTAGCCATGACTCTTGGCGCTCTTGAACAGCTTCGGCAGCGCAAACCACTGGCCTGCCATCTTGTACCGGTCGTCGGCGTAGACGAACTGGTCGTTGTACACGCAGTCCGGGGTGTAGCGCTTGACGCGCTCCACGGTCGGCCTCATCTCGTACAGGGCGATGATGTCGTCGAGCAGGGCCTGGCGCGCGGCGGACACCGGGATCGACTTGGCCGGATCGGGCTTGTAGTCGCCCGTCGGATGGGTCTGACGGACTTCGAAGTGTTCGCCTGGCAGGCTCGGGTCGGTTGGAAAGTTCACCTTTCCGGAGTCGCCGGTGGTGTTGCTCCCGACGGCGTTCGTCGTGCTGGCCATCTTGACGTACGACGTTGCCAGGTGATCTAGTCGCACGGATGCTACGGTTTCTTCTTGGACGATAGTATTCGTGGATTAATTTAATTAAAAAGAAGGCAGATGCCCCCAATGTGATCTTCTGCGGCCATGTCGTGCGTATCGAGAGGCTATGACGTAGCCGTTGATAGTACATAGTAGACCGTCATGATGATTCATGATCCTGAAGAAATTCTTCAACGAATGATTCAAGGGTCTGCCGAGGTTCGCAAAAGATGAGGGATCGCCAGGCCCAGGGACTCCAGGGACGCACCCCGTGACGGCGGACCACTGCATTCAATGACAATGGTCATTTCCAATATTGCCCCCGCGCGTACCGCCACATTGGTCCACAAATGGATATGGGGTTGCACGAGTTTGACAGTACCGACCTGGCGCCAGTCCGGAACGAGCCTGTGGTGGGCCGTCTTGGCAGCCTGACACGCGCCAGCTGAGTTCTCGCAGGGAAGCGCGGGGGTCTACACCTTGTGAAGAAACTTGGCGCCCAATGAAAGCTTGTTTGGGGAGCCCTAACGATGGCGCAATCAATGGCGAATCCACCGCTATCCCGAGCTTTGCTTCGCTGGGTTAGTGTCGTCGAGGACGATCTCTGAAGTGAGGTAATTGCGGGACCAGGCGTGCCAGGCAATCCAGCTCTGGGGAGAACTCAAATACGTCGCCATGGAACCCCGACGATCTTTTGTGCAACCAAACCTGGCTCGGTCGCGACGGAGACCAGCGACACCTCAGGCCATTGAACGTCCCCTCCTTGCCCACGACGACGACGACGACGACAACGTCATATACGCGGGACAATGTCGTATCTGGGGCGGAAAAAAGAGGATGACTCGTCGGTGGTCGCCGACCTTGCCGACGAGAACGCCCATGCGAACTACGTCTCGGAGGCGGAGGGCGACTCGAGCGACTTCCGGGACATCGACCCGCACAGCGGCGTCAAGCGCGGGCTCAAGACGCGGCACCTGAGCATGATGGCGCTCGCGGGCATCATCGGGCCGGGCCTGCTGGTCGGGGCCGGCGGCGCCCTGTCGACAGGCGGGCCCGCGTCGCTGCTGATCGGCTTCGGCGTCGTCGGCATCATCGCCTTCAGCATCATGCAGAGCCTCGGCGAGCTGACCACCCTGTACCCCAGCGGCGGCGCCTTCACCGCGCTGGCCGACCGCTTCGTCGACAAGGCCTTTGGCGTCGCCGTCGGCTGGAACTACTACATCATCTGGTTCGCCGTGCTCGCCAACGAGTACAACGTCATCTCGAGCATCGTCTACTTCTGGAGCGACAAGGTCCCTGTCTGGGGCTACTTTCTGATCTTCTGGGTGAGCAGAGCAACCCCTTCTTCGGTCGGCGAGACAAAGGGCGATGTTGGAAAAACACTTGGACTGACATGTGAAACTCGCAGTTCGCATTTCTGGGCTTCCAGCTTCTCGGCGTCGAGACTTTCGGCGAAGCAGAGTTCTGGCTCGCATTACTGAAACTTATCGGGCTGGTGGCATACTTCATGTTCTCCCTGGTGTGAGTTGTCCCTTTTTTTTTTTTGGCCAATTCCCCATACCTCGAGAGCAGCAACTAAAAACCAGCTTCTAGATATCTCGGTGGCGGGATCAAGGGCACGCCCGCGCTCGGTTCCAAGTACTGGCATGACCCCGGCCCATTCGTCCACGGCTTCCGAGGAGTGGCGGCGGTCTTCGTCTTCTGCAGCACGTTCTACGCCGGTGTCGAGTCCGTTGCGGTGGCCGCGACCGAGACGAAGAACCCGCGCGTGGCGGTGCCCCTCGCGATCCGCCAGGTCTTCTGGCGCATCATCTTCGTCTACATGGGGAGCGCCCTGTTCTTCGGGCTCACGTGCCCGTCGAATGCTCCCGAGCTCATCAACGGCGGGAGCCGCGCCCTGAAGAGCCCCATGACCATTGCCATCCAGAATGCCGGCTGGGAGGGAGGCGTGCACCTGATAAATGCCTTCATCTTCGTCACCTGCCTGAGCGCCGTCAACAGCTCCATCTACATTGGCAGCCGGACGCTGCTGTTCATGGCGCAGGATCGGAAAGCCCCCAAGTTCCTCGGCTGGACCGACAAGCGCGGCGTCCCCATCCCCGCCATTGTCTTTACGAACCTGTGCGGCGCCCTGAGCATGATGAACGTGAGCACCGGTGCGAGCAAGGCATACTCGTACATCGTCAACCTCAGCGGCGTGTCGACGTTCATCGTCTGGGGAGGCATCTCGTTCACCCACATCCGCTTCCGCTCCGCGTGGAGCGCCCAGGGCCACACGCCAGACGAGCTGCCCTTCCAGTCGTTCCTGTACCCCTGGAATGCATACTTCGGGCTCTTCGCCAACGTCTTTCTCGCCTTCGTCCAGGGCTGGACGACTCTCTCGCCGTTTGACGCGGGATCCTTTGTCGACGCTTACATTTTGCTCCCGCTTTTCCCCTGTATTTACTTTGCGTACAAGTTCGTGTTCAAGACGACCTTCTGGCGGCCGGAAGAGGTTGATCTGCAGTCGGGGCGGCGGAGGGACCTGGAAGAGGCCAAGGAGATTGCGGCGGGGGAGCTGGGGCAGCCCCAACCTTGGTGGCGGAAGCTCTGGAAGAACTTCTGATCTCGAGATCTCAGCATACGCCATCACTGGCGTCTTTTGGCTTTTTTACGCGATGCATACCGTCCTCTGCTGGAGAATGACCATGTCTCACACGGGTATCTTGCTGCGCAGCCCACATTAGAACAGACCAAGCAGCCATAATCAGTCTGGCTCAGCCTAGACTCTTGATGATGCCCAAGTCGCTTGAATGGCACACCATTCTGCTGCTGACCAGAGGAACTATCTGACAGCCTGCGATATCTGACGCTAACTTTCGCTGTAGGTAGCGCCTGCTACTGTATGTCGACTCTGACATGTATTTTGCGGTCTGGAAGCTCGTCACACAAGTCACGAAGGCCTAGACCAATGGCGAAATATGCCGATGTCACTCGGGCCGCACTTTCCGAGGAGGTACTGTCCACCGTTGTCGTCGCCGTCCCATATGCCGGAGAGGTGCCCGACGTAGGTGACGAACCCGCCGAACGTGACTGGGGTTGAAGGCTCCGCGGCAGCCGTCTACGCGCCACCGCACTTGAGGAATGATGTCCCCCGGAGGCCCATCACCTCGGGCGTCGTGCGGCAGTTGACGACCTGGTCTCCCGTCAGGCCCTGCCTGGTCTTTGGACCTGTCGTCCGCAGAGGACGTGATGATATGATCACTTGACGGCGGACAATGCTCGCTGGGTCTTGTTGTAACAAGTTGCTCGAGAGAATAGCCCCCCCTTGGTGCTGCTCGCTTTGGCGATCTGCAAGTCATTGATACTGATGCCTCCCGTCTTCTGCTGCAGGATAACCTCCCCGCTCTCCTGCCCGCGCTGCTGGGCCCGGCTACCTTGATCCTGACCAGGACCTCATCCCGTCCGGGCCTCGGCGCCGATTCGCTGGCCTTAAACATCTGGCTCAGACAGACCATCTTGCAAAGCAAGCCATTGTTGAACCAGGCACGGTCAACGGCGGTGCCGGTGGGAGGAGAGGAGGCCAATGAAGCTCGTATCTTTCGCTGATGAGTAAATTTGGACTCTGTGGACTGATAGTGCTAAGTAAGTACACTGCTGGGCAAGCTCCATTATCAATGCTTTACCAGAACAAACGAAAAAATACAAAACGCTGTAACCATCGCAACCCAACCAACTCATCATGGCCAACTAACCACCCAACTCTGGTGGCGAGAAAGCCGAAGAATGGTCGTTTAATCTCCGCCTGGTCAAGTTGGCCACTCGACGGGCGTTGAAAAAGAGAGCCACGCCCCACAAGTCGGAAGCCAATATCGGTGTGTCATCGGTTTCGATACAGATGCCCAGGGCAAACAGGCAGCTGAAATGCCTCCTATCGTCTCTGAGCAAGCCATTCGCAATCAAGGGATCAACTTGGTTGCGGCAAAGCCTGTACCCGAGTCTACGACCGACGGCACCCAGCTTCTTGAGCGAGGCCCGACTAGCAGAGTACGCGGGGCCACCCTCCACGAGGTACTGCATCACAAGTGCTACCCAATTCTCCTCGCTGACATTCTTGGTCGTTGCCTCTCTGACGAAGTAACTAGTCGCCTAATCTTTCTCATCGTCACGGCGCGTGCTGGGTGGAGGCCAAAACAGATGCCGGAATACAGAACCGTTGACGTAATAAGGAATATCTTCGCCGATATTAGGAATATCGGCGCGGGCTCCCCTATCCAACAGACAATTCCACACTTGGCGCGCATTCTCTACCTCCACTTTCAACTGTTCGTACCCATCTGCTTGCCACTCGAAGCAGATGAACCATTTCTTGTAGGCGCACAGCAGCGGCGTCTAGCCCCGCTCGTTACGTGCGTCAATCTCTGCCCCCTTGTCAAGGAGCAGGGAAACCATGGGCTCACTGCAAAAGTAGGCGGCGCATATCAGCGTAGCCCCGTCACTGTGATTACAGCGGGTCGCGTCCGCGCCGCGGCCGATCAGCAGCTCCGCGGCGCTCAAGCGATCGCGGGCGATGGCGCTGTGCAGGGGCAGAACAGGCTTGTCCTCGCGGCTTGGCCAGCGGCCTGCACCATGGTTCAGGAGGTATCGGATTGCTTGAGGGTCGCCGAAAGACACCGCGGCATGGAGGGGCGTTCGGGGGGCGGTGACGTTTTGCCACAAGGTTGCGAAATTGCCCCATGGAGAAGACTGGGGTATAAAGTGAAAAAGACCCGGCGAGAAGACAGTAAAGTCGATGTTGCTTGTATCGTGATTCATAAAATCATTTATGTCGTGGCCATTCCGCATTGCCAACTTCATTGTCGCCGTCTGGCCTCGCTCGACGGCCCATCTCAGGACCCCCATGCGTCGTTTGGCGCCAGCCTTGTAGAGCTCATCTGTGCAGATGATATAGCCAGCCTGGCAGGTCCTCATCAATGCTAATATCTCGGGAGGGCCCAGGTAGCTGATGACCTCGAGGAAAAGCTCGATAGGTAAGTCGAAAGGGGATATCATTGTTCATCAGCCACGAGGCAAACGATAATTGTAAGGGCGGATGAGCAGCTATAGGTATTCTAGGTAGAGGTATTTAGGAATTGACAAGGATGTCGACAAAGTCGTCCGTCGGTTCCAAAATCTTTGGGTTGGCTGCAGCTGAGATAGAACTGGGATGGAACTGGGATGGAAGGTTGCCGCCTACCTATTTGTTGTCGATACAGGAGCGGTTTTCGAGCGACGACCTCTCCTTCCGTTTTCAATGCCTACCAACCTATCCAGGGGTGGTCAGGATCATTTTGCCTCTTTATAGAAGGGACCACCCCTGAGTAGTTCCCTGCCTGGCAAGACCAGGGAAGCTCGGGAGCCAGGGCATTCCCCCTGATTCTTTGCTCGGGAGACATAGGCGTGTCGGGTGTAAGTGTGTAAGGGTCCGGGTGTAAGCGCCCGAGAACTTGATCGCGGTCAAGTGCCAGGAATAAAAACCGGGAGAGGTGACAGCAGAACCGGAGCCGCATCGACTGTCCTGGAATGCTGCCGAAGATTAGAGGTATTGTGCAAATAGAAATGCACCAATACCGTAGGGGCCAAGTATATTTCATTTATACAGCCTTAGCTACCCTTGAACGACTGAGACAATGCACCGCCAGATGGCACCTCGGCAAACAGGCTAAATCTCCATCGGCATCAAACACTCGGCGGAAATCTGGCTCAGCTTAATTAATCCCTAGTACCAAATGGGAAAAGGACAGCAATGTCATGAGCATGTGCTGAAACCCCGATCTTCATGATAAATACCCGTGTTGAGAACCAACCCAGTCTCTCCTCCCGGAGCGATGCGATATCTCCCAAAGACTCTTCCTGAATGAACCAGTGACCAGTGACAAGCCCCAACCAAGTCTCCTCGCAAGCTTCCGCCCCCCCCACAATGCGGCCAACCTCTCTCGCCTTGTCGCTCCTCCTCCCGGCCTTCGCCGCCGCCAAGCACCATGGTTCCAATGTGGTTAGCAGCTTCAAGTGGCAGCGGCCGTTGCCCTACGACAACTCCGCGCCGCTCGGTATGAACTCGCTCTGTGAGGTAAGCCGGACCTTCCGCGGGGAGCAGCACAAGCTCCGCGACCTGCAGGCGTCCCCGGGGTCTACGACGACATCGCCCTGGGAGGGGCCCGTGCAGACGTATCTGGGCTGGCACCCGTACGTGGGCAGCTGGGACGGCGTCGACGAGGGGGGCGACGAGCGCGACCTCATCATCATGGACTACGCCTCCGTGCCGCTCGCCGTGAGGGAGTGGGTCGAGGACCAGCACGCAGGCAGGGGCAAGAACGACCAGAGCCGCTGGTGGCTGTACGGCGTGTTCAACAGGCCAAAGAAGGACTTTGGCAAGGCCGGAGGCCTCGGCGGGGACCACAAGATTCTCCTGTTCGCGCCCGCGGCACTCTACGAGATCCTCCCGCTGTGGGTGGGGGAAGACAGCGACTGTGAAAGTGAGTCAAGGGGGTACCTTGTTGCCCACATTTGCTGAGGGAAATTGCTGACCTGACTTCACTAGTCGTGATGCTGGATCTCTCAAAATACAGCGCTTTTCCGAGGGATAACTCGGTAATCGCATGGCCCGTGGAACACGAGGTCCGCGAAACTAAGCGGGGGAAGAGGCAGGACTTGAGTTTCACGATCAAGGCTTTTTATGTCACGGAGACCGATGATGGGAAGGCGTGGCGGGAAATGTGGGAGAAGCTCCATATCCAGAACCAGAGGCAAGCTAGGAAGGAACAGAGAGACCAAAGGAAGGCTGCTAGGGAGACGGTGGGAAGGGGCAAGGACGAGCTATGAAAGGGCCAGCAATATAATACTGCATCAAGGTCATTAGTTCTAATGCACGGCTATTCACCCTGAATCTTAATTATATTCTCATTGCTCTGTTGGAACCCTCGAATGCAGGGATCGAATTTGCAATGTGACGGCGTTACTGAGAAGAACAGTCGGATATAATTCGATTTGGAATCAATCAGCGACTCAGCTGGCCACTTTCAATTCTGTGTCTGTTCTCTGTCTCCCCGTGTTGCGTGAAACCTAGTTATTGGCAACTTATTATCCCCCTGAAAACCCAATATAATCAGTAGACAGATCTACTAGTTCAAGTTCCTTCTCTCTGTGCCACACATATTCTCGTTATCAGCATCATTCTTAATATACAGCGGAGAACCAGGCCTATATCTTTGGTTATCGAACCATTTACTCGTTTCGGGTGATCAGCTGGGTACCATATTTCCCTGCTTTGTTTGAGTTAATTGGTTGCCATTATCAGGATAGAGTTCAACGCATTCCCCCATCGCAGCATACCGTATTCAATATCGTCAGTAGGCTTACGTGTAGAGGCATCACAACTAGAATTTGACAACCTGACTAGGTATGTATGCTATGTAAAGAAAAAAGGAAGAAAAAATATTGAGCAACCCGTCAGAGTAACCCATCCATATCCTATGCCTCCGGCTTCCGGCCCCAGACAACCTTTTGCCAATAGTAGGCATGGAACTTCCCGGCGCGGAATTCCCGCCGCAGGTGCGCCATGTACACCTGAACCTGCTCCTCAGACCATTTTAGGGCAACGGTCAGAAACAGGATGAAGCCTTCAATGTCCTGGTGCACGGCCATCTGTGCGAACAAGCCAATCTCCTTCAGTTTAGGGTCTGCGGACCATCCGCCGCTGGGAACCTGCAAAATCAAAACACCGTCAGTGCGGGAATGGAAAGGGGGGAATGGGAGAGGGAGGACAGAGAAAGAGGTGCTGTTGGTTCGGGCCGTTGTTTGGTTCGCACCTTGATGTTCTTCTCCTGGACGTCGACAAACCCGGCCTCCTCCATGGCCTTCTTCTGGATGCCCTCGTCGACGATGGTGAAGCTCCGCCCGATCGCCTTGCCGCCCTCGATGAACAGCTGGCTCCACTGGGCCGTCGCGCTCGTCTCCGGGAGGGTCCCGTCGTCGGACAGGACCATGGGGGAGGCCTCGTAGCTCTCGAGATAGCCGCCGGGCTTGCAGCACCTGTAGGCCTGCTTGAAGAAGGCCGTCCAGTCCACGATGCATCCGAGTAGGTACCGTATATGTACCAGGTCGAACTCTCCGGCTGGGAATGTCCAGTCCTGGGTGCAGTCCTCGATCTCGCTGCGGGTCGAATGGTGAGCTTCCCGAGCTTCCCGTGTCGCAGCTTGGTCACAAACAAAAGGGGTAATTAACTGACAATTTAAGATTCGGAGGAACCCAAGTGGGCTGAATAGGCGAAATATCGGTGCCAATCACCTCACAGTCGGGGAACTTATCCGCCATATCGCTGTGAGTTTGTGAGCATGCAGCACTTGGAGGCAACTCTGAGAATGAGAACCAGTCCGTCTACTTACATGGCCCAAATTCCTATGCAGAAAGAGGAAGACTATGGTCAGTACAGATGGGATCCAGGATCCAGAGCATGGATTGGCACGCAGACTTGCACTCACCCGTGCCTGTACCGATATCGAGTATTTTCTACGGCACAGCATTAGCTTCAACGCCAGGGATTTCGCAAGGCCATTCCGCTCAACATACCCTCGGCTCCTTGATAGGCGCCAAGTGGAGCTCTCCTTCGAGACAGAGCGTGAAGAGATGATGTCTAATTACATGCGTAAGCAACGGCTATTGAATCCCCCTCCCCTCAAAGATGACAGGCTGGTAATGCTTACAATATATCCAAGGACTCGCTGTGACTGTCATCATTTGTGCCCCTGTTTTTAGGAAGCAACCAAGCAAGCAAGGTCAGCACTGAAGCGCCAACAGGACATCACATGGAGGATGAAAAAGGGGGGCTGGCCATCATTACCAGTACTGGGCGTTGCCCCTCTCGCTGTGAAACGTCCGACCCTTGATGGTCCGATAGTGAAGGATACTGGAGGTGAGGGATGCCGTCGAGCTGGCTGCATCATCGCCAAGAGCAGAGTCGCGCTCGTGCTCCTCGTCGTCCTGCAGGGTGCGTATACGAGACACATCATCAACTACTGCGCCTCGCTTCGCACGTGGTGGTAATCAAAACAGCACGCTCACCTGCTGGATCTGAGCCCAGTGCTCCGGAGGGAGGGGCGCTGAGGGCGCTGCGGCGGCCTCCCGTCCAGGGGTGGGAGAGTCTGCTTTGGCTAGACCGCCCGGCTCGGCGGGGGAATCCTGCTTAGCGGCTGGACTGCCCAGCTCGGCGGGGGAATCCTGCTTAGCCGTAGATGGCTGCTCGGCCTTCGGTTCCGTTCCGGACATGATGGGATTCAGCTCAAAAACCAGGCCGCGGGCTATGTGAAGCCGTTGCATCCGGGGAGGAGAAGAAAAATAGAAAAGGAATCCTGCGGGGTTTCTGTTTTGTGAACTTGGCAATTACCAATTATTACCCCCCACGTCGAACTCCATCGGTGAGCAAGCATTAGCGTACCAATTGGGGGTACCGGATATGCAGATGATGCAGTAGGACGACGAGTCAACGGTGAGCGTCAAGGGAAGCACCAACCCACACACGCAGCTGCTGTCGTCGCTAGCCATGAATAGTATGGCCGACGTTGAGTCCGTCACGCTAACCGGGTGGTTGCCAGGCTTCCCGTCGGCACAATCCACTCCACTTCACCACTGTCAACCCACAAGATTGAGAGCAACAAAGAATGACTGAACTAGTAGCGCCGTCAACGAAGACTTAAACTGACTAATTAGATACTACTTGCTTAATCCTTGGCCACAGCTAGCTGCCGCCTAGAAAAAAGGCTCTACTACGCCAAACTCGGGATCCAAGAGAATAAGAGAAACCATGGACAGAGTGTACGGGGCTTTTCTCTCGAGACCTTCCTTACCTTGGGGGCGATGTTCCAGGGTGGTGGAAGAACTCTTGGTGTGTCAGGTCACTTCCCAATCCTTCACCTCCTCACCTTACAGCTATGTAACCGGATCATCTGCCGAGAAAGGTCTGCCAAGCCAAGCGATCCTTCGCTCCTTAGTCTCTTCAAACCCCGCACCTCGTCTCCCTGCAGATTTGGGGGTCATTGGCTGTACTGTGAATGTGTGAGTTTTGGTAGGATTAATCATGCCAAAAGCACATAGCCCCTTTTATGAGAGAAGCTTTCTATCCGTACATACTAAGTAATTATAGTCATGTTGTCAGTTTTCGCTCCCGCTTCCTAATTATTAAAAGCTTGACAAAGGATTGTAGCGTTGCAAACAGATCCACGTCGATTTTACCGCAGCTATCTTCCGGTCGTTCCTTAAGAGCCCAGCGCTCCAGCTACACAAGGTCTTGATCTGTAAGTTGAAGAGTACGAAATGTGGCTCACACGCAACTCAACATAGTTATCAGGGTATCTCATCAATAAGGTAACAAAAGTTGTACCTCTAGGGATCAAAGGTTCTAGCAAATGTTGGGGAAAATACACGGTTCAGCATATAATCCGCACGGCCATGGAGAGAACCTATAGTCAGGCCAAATGTAGAGATTGAATTGGGTCTCGATACAATGTTTCTCTGCCTTGTGTTGCCTGTTACTTGGATAATTGGCGGTAATTCAACTTGCAGCTGATGTTAGCGGAAGGGGGAAGAAGAGTCTTATCCTGAGGAGAACGAGAACAAGAGATGAAATTTGATAGAGTTAACTATGATTTGGTGTAACAGCCTATTGAAGCTGCTCCTTGTTTGTCAAACTTGTCAGCTTACATACAGCTGAACTACCTAGAGAATGATGTCTGTAATAATTGGTAATCCATTCCTCCAGTCTCAAACTAGGATCTCCCAAATAGGCCACCTCAACCAATATTGCTTTGTAATTAACAGGCACTTGGATCCTGCCCGTGGAGTTGCATGATCCTGAAAGCCAAGATCTCAAAAGGCAGCAAACCAGCTTCCACAATAGCATCTCGGGTTACCTTTCCCCGCGCTCCCCATGGGGGACCCTTGAATTTCCCGGGGTCCCGATGCAATCACCCCCACATGTGTGCCTTCCTGCCGGCATGTATTGGCCCAGGCTTTAGGCAGAACCAGGTGTGGTGGGATTATTACGGCTTGGCGCTCATCTTCACGCCTTGGATCTGCTGTCGATCAGAAGGACTGGCAATTGATGTGCGCGGTATGCGGAGTAATTACTCTACTATGTAGGCCGACAGTATATAAAACGGCATATCGAGCAACGTCCCCGGCAGCGGGGGCTAGCTGATGTGATTGCACCTCGCTAAACGTTCTGTTCCTGCTCGTTCTACCAAACACACAACGCGTTCGAGAGTGAAGACAGCTAGAAAGTAGGCAACGATGGCGATCTTCGGGGCCAAGGAGGAGCATGTCGAGCCGCGCTTGATGCGCATTGCGCACGCCGATACTGTGATCTGGTACAAGAAGCCGAATCTCAGGTTTCTCTACCTGATACTTGTTCCGACGGCGCTTGGTGTGGAATGGACCTCGGGATTCGACTCGTCCATGATGAACAGTCTCCAGGCCGTCGAATCATGGGTTAGATGTGCGTATCTCTCCCAGCGCAGGTCCCTCGTTCCGAGGCCGCGGTTATCATCCCCCAACTAACATACTCAACCCACCAGACTTCGACAACCCGACCTCGTCACGTCTGGGTCTCCTCAATGCCATGTACTCCCTGGGCGCGCTGATGGCCATCCCCTTCATCCCGACAACCAGCCAGTACCTCGGTCGCCGCCGCACCATCCTGGCCGCCTCCCTCGTCATGGCATTCGGCGCCGGACTGCAAGCCGGGTCCCGCAACTCGGACATGTTCCTGGCCTCCCGCTGGGTTCTCGGATTTGGCATCCCTTTTGCCATCGTCAACGCGTCCTCTCTCATTGGAGAATTGTCCTACGCTAAGGAGAGGCCCATCATGACATCTCTGTATGGCCCCCATTGCCCGGTCTCAACTCCAACCACTAACCCCTTCCGCCCCTGGCTAGATTCAACGCCTCATGGTTTGTGGGAGCAATCGTGGCCGCAGGCGTCACGTACGGCACCTTCCAGATGTCGAGCACGTGGGCGTGGCGGCTGCCCAGCCTCCTGCAGCTCGTGCCCAGCTTCTGCCAGATCGTCTTCATGCCGTGGTGCCCGGAGTCGCCGCGGTGGCTGATCTCCAAGGACCGGGGCGACGAGGCGTTCGCAATCCTCCAGAAGTACCACAGCGAAGGGGCCGACGGCGACGAGTTCTGCCGGCTCGAGTACGCCGAGATCCAGGCCACCATCGCCCAGGAGAAGGAGCTCGCCTCGAGGTTCGTCTGGGCCGACGTGTTCCGGGACCCGCCCATGAGGCGGCGTTTCGCCCTCGCCGGTATTGTTGGGTTCTTTACCCAGTGGAGCGGCAACGGCCTGCTGTCGTTCTACATGAAGAAGATCCTGAATCTGGTCGGCATCAAGGAGGATAGGACGGTCCAGAAGGTGATCCTGAGTAACACGTGCTGGGGGCTGATCAACGCCGTCCCGATTGCGTTGATAGCTCCTCGCTTTCCTCGTCGGAAGATGTTCTTGACGTGCACGATCGGCACTGCGGCGGTCTACACTGTCTGGACCATCGCATCGGCGAGGTTTGCAATCGAGAACAGCTCCAGGGCTGCTATCCCAGTGCTGGTGTTCATATTCGTCTACTCTCCGTAAGTCGTTTTTTTTTAGATGCCATTCCCGTGAGACGAGATTAGCCAGCGGCTTGGCTTGCTGACCGATTCCCCGCCACGCAGTTTCTACAATATTGGCTGGAACGCTCTGGCCTACACTTACATGGTCGAGATCTTCCCCTACCAGCAGCGATCCCAGGGTATCGCGGTCGAGCAGCTGGCGGTGCGCTTCGCCGTTTTTTTCAACACCTATGTCAACCCCATCGCCCTCGACTCCATCGGGTGGAAGTACTACATTGTGTACTGCGTATGGATCCTGGTCGAGATCGCCACGGTCTACCTCCTGTTCCCCGAAACGCACAACCGCACGCTCGAGGAGCTCAGCTTCATGTTTGAAGGGAAGGAGGTCCAAGACAAGGTCAAGAAGAATGTCGACAAGGTGATGCAGGTCGAGCTGCAGGATGTCGCGCCCTCTGAGCGGCAGACTGGGGAACAGAAGGCCTGAGTGTCGGCCGCAAGAAGGAGAATCTGATAGCAAGGGAAAGCCAGGGAATAAGATCGTGGTGATGTCAAACTGAGAATGCGTAATGGAGGAAGAGGATGGACATTAAGGACGTGCACTTGATCCGTGTCCAATCTTAGTCACGTGAGGGGCTGGCAACAAGCTGGCTAATAAGGCCCCTTCATGGAGCGATATAGGCACACTAGGATAGCATTTGCACTAGACTGTTTCCTCCCTCTGAAACAGGTCAATTGTTCTGATTCAAAGTACGCATACGCAATAGTATTGGGCGAATAATTATGCGTAGTCACATTCGTATCAGGTCATGTGGCTACCCAGATCCCACACAGCCACTAATGGCTGCCACATAATAGGCCAATGCGCACTAGATCCTGGGCTTGTCCGGTTCCGTGGCGGTGAGGGTGGAACCAAGGATCAGCCCTGGAAGCCCCTGTCCCTGGCCTGCGGGTCTGGGTGGGTGTTTCCGCCCTCCGTCTCTCAGGGCCATCAGCCTGGCTCGACATCGGCCTGGGTCTAAACCAGCTCTATATGGAGTTCGGAAGGCCCGCTCGGGGGCAACGCCGGTGTCTCGCGAAGGTGCCGCAATTAAACGAGTACTAGTGCTATGAGAGGGCTCCGGGCCTGGCCGGCTCCGGCGTGCAGTCGCTTCGGGAACATTCGGCGGCATGAGAGCGCCGGTTAATATATCCCACGTTCGCAGATCCCTGCATGGATAAATGGGAATCCGCATTGCCGTGCCGGAGGCGCCGTGGAACCTGTTTTTGCGCCCCCAAGGTGCTCCCATGGGCCCCCCAAGTGTGGCCCCCCAACAACCCAACAAGTTTTTAAAAGTGTAGAAAATCTCGTCGACAGCTGGTAATTTTTAATTAGACCATAAAAATAAACCCCTAATACTTGGACAATCCAGGAGATTGGACGCAACAATGCTACGCCCTACACACAATGGTGCTCGCTATGAGCTCACCACCCCTACGGCCCTCCCGAAGGCCGGCGGCTTCCTGTGGAACCAGAAGATGATGATCCAAATAACCTGCCGGGGCTACGCGACCGCGCAATTCATGCAGCCGGAGCCGGCCAAGTACTCGTATGCGCCCAACGTGGAGGCGAGGACCTTCATGCAGCCGGAGCAGAACTACTACGCCCACCACCCGGGCCGCTTCGTCTACGTCAAGGACGAGGAGACGGGCGAGCTGTTCTCGGCGCCCTACGAGCCGGTGCGCGCCCCGCTGGACCGCTTCGTCTTCTCCGTCGGCAAGAGCGACGTCGCGTGGACCGTCGAGAACCTGGGCATCCGCGTCGAGATGACCCTGGGCCTCCCCACGCAGGACGTGGCCGAGCTGTGGACCGTCAAGGTGACCAACCTGTCCGGCCGCCCGCGCAAGATCAGCGTCTACCCGTACTTCACCATTGGCTACATGTCGTGGATGAACCAGTCGGCCGAGTACCGGCCGGACCTGGGCGGCGTGGTGGCCAGCAGCGTCACGCCGTACCAGAAGGTGGAGGACTACTTCAAGAACAAGTTCCTCAAGGACAAGACCTACCTCCTGTGCGAGACGCCGCCGACCTCGTGGGAGACCATGCAGCAGGCCTTCGAGGGCGAGGGCGGCCTGCACGCGCCGTCGGCCGTGACGGAGGAGTCGGAGCTGGGCCGTGGCGACGCCCGCTACGAGACCCCGGTGGCCGCGCTGCAGTACCGCCTGACGCCGGCGGCGGGCGAGGAGCGCGAGCTCCGCTTCCTGTTTGGGCCGGCCTTCGACGACGAGGAGATCCGCGCTATGCGGGCCAAGCACCTCAGCAAGGAGGCCTTCGCACGGTCGGCGCGCGACTACGCGGCCTACGTCGAGGCCGGGCGCGGCTGCCTGCGGATCGAGACGCCGGACAAGGACCTGGACAACTTTGTCAACAACTGGATGCCGCGGCAGGTGTACTACCACGGCGACGTGAACCGCCTGACGACGGACCCGCAGACGAGGAACTACCTGCAGGACAACATGGGCATGAACTACATCAAGCCTGCCGTGGCGCGCAAGGCCCTCGTCACGGCGCTGGCGCAGCAGGAGGTCACGGGCGCCATGCCCGACGGGATCTTGCTGGTCGAGGGCGCGGAGCTCAAGTACATCAACCAGGTGCCACACACGGACCACTGCGTCTGGCTGCCGGTGACGCTGGAGGTGTACCTGGACGAGACGGGCGACTACGGCCTGCTCTCCGAGTCGGTGCCCGGCATGCACGGCGACGCGTACACCGTGTTCGAGCGCATCAGCCGCGCCATGGACTGGCTGCTGTCGGCGCGCGACGCGCGCGGCCTGAGCTACATCGCGCAGGGCGACTGGTGCGACCCGATGAACATGGTCGGCTACAAGGGCAAGGGCGTGTCGGGCTGGCTCACGCTGGCGACGGGCTACGCGCTGAACCTGTGGGCGGCCGTGTGTGACGAGCACGCGCGGCCCGAGCTGGCGGCGCGGTACCGCGCGGGCGCCGACGAGGTCAACGCGGCGGCCAACAAGCACCTGTGGGACGGCGACTGGTTCGCGCGCGGCATCACCGACGACGGCGTCGTCTTCGGCACCAAGGCCGACCGCGAGGGCCGCATCTGGCTCAACCCGCAGGCGTGGTCGATCCTCAGCGGCGCGGCCAGCGCCGAGCAGCGGGCGCGCATGCTGCCGCAGGTGGACGAGCAGCTGGGCACGCCGTACGGCGTGGCCATGTTCGCGCCGCCGTTCAGCGGCATGCGCGAGGACGTGGGGCGCGTGACGCAGAAGCACGCCGGGTCGGCCGAGAACGGCGCCGTGTACAACCACGCGTCCATCTTCTACATCTACAGCCTGTACATGGCCGGCGAGGACGAGCGCGCCTTCAAGCTGCTGCGCCAGATGGTGCCCGGGCCGAGCGACGAGGACTACGTGCAGCGCGGCCAGCTGCCCGTGTACATCCCCAACTACTACCGCGGGGCGTGGCACCAGTTCCCGCGCACGGCCGGCCGCTCCAGCCAGCTGTTCAACACGGGCACCGTGTCGTGGGTGTACCGCTGCTTCAGTGAGGGCCTGATCGGCCTGCGCGGCGACCGGGACGGCCTGCGCATCCGGCCGCGCCTGCCGGCGAGCTGGGACGCCATCAAGGCCACGCGCCAGTTCCGCGGCGCCACCTTCGCCCTCGACATCCGCCGCTCCGACGACGTCGAGGACGTCGCCGTCCTGCGCGACGGCAAGGCCCTCCCCGGGGCCCGCGTCACGGGTATCCGTGCCGGCGAGACCTACCAGCTTACTGTGCTTGTGCCGCGGGTAAATTAATTTTGGGCATTTCTCTCTCCCTCTCTCCCTGTGTTCGGTTGATCACTTCCATTTCCATTGCAAGGGAAAACGGCACCTCGTGGTTGGGCAAGTCAACAAAATTTGGGAAAAGGAAAATGCAAAAAGGAAATACAAAAAGTCTGTTTTTTGTTCGGCAGTTTCTTTCTCGTGTCTTTTCTTTCTTTTTTACGCCACTTTGCTTTTTCCCCCCTCCTATTTTCCTTGATCCCCCTCCCTCTAGATCTAGCTATTGGGTAATTAGACTGAGATAGCGATATGTGACGTATGAGACAAGAGACCGTTGACTTGACATATGTGAAACATGACTGCCAACTGCAAGGGGGGGGGGGGGGGCGGGAGGAGTCAGTCGGGCCTCGAAACCTGTTTGTCTTGCAAACTGCAGCCAAACATTGCTTTTTTTTGCCCCATGCTTAAAATTCGAAAGGTCGAGAACATGCAATGGTTCGGCTTGACAGTTGTTGGAAGTTAGGTAGGTAGGTAAGTTGGCCGAGGAGCCCTGCACAGACGGCAGAGAGGGCGGGATCTCGAGACTTGGGCTGGGTTTGAGCTTGAGTTTGTGCGGGGTATTCCCGCCCGTCCTTCGTGGGTTCGTCTGAAGGCTTGTAAGCTTGTTTCGCACGGGATGTGTGGACTGATGTGCGCAGGGGTGTAGGCCAGCATGCGATGATCCACAAGATCGGCAATCCCATCATCCCATCTGGATTTGCTCACACGTGCTAACAGGGAAGCGGGGCTAGCCTGGGCGGTCCAGGAACCAGCCCCAGCCCACCCATTCCCGTTTGATACGGGAAGCGTCGACGGCGAGAGTCCCTGGCATGATGGGTTTGGCCTAGGTAATATTACTGGTCTTTTATTGGCCTGGGTGCCACTTTCGAACTCGGTGCGTGTGCTAAGTAGGTAAGGTCGGTAGGCACGCATGTGCAAGCACCTTTACGCAATTGGGTCATGGCGCCTCAGCGGTGAGCTCACACTTCCATTAGCTCACTTCCAACAGAGCTGAGCACCTTCGAGCTTGCAGGTGTCGGATCTGAAAAAGCCCCGGTAGCTTCCCCACTGATGGATTGCCCTTACGTACCGACCTTGGGGGCATTCCCTCGATGCCCCGCCACTTCTTTTCAACGCGGCTTGGATGTAGCGCTCGGATCGCATTCTGAGGCCGTGGAACATGCTAAATACTGCGAACGCACCTTCAAGATGCCCTCCTTCTGTCACGTTCACGACTCCCGGACGGCGGGGTTGGGGTTCAGACCAGATGGAGGGGTGAGCGTTGATGCAAAGATGGTGTGCGGGCAACAGATTTAGTGGGCTCCGTCCCTTCCATGATGTCGTTGGGCCGTGCTATTGGTTGGCGCACTGAGCTTCATATGCAGGTGGACGCGGTGCATGGATGTCTGGCAGGTCCCAGCGCACCCTGTCTGGTTTCCAGTTGACAACCCAGGATACCCAGGTACGAGCCGCAGACGAACCACAAACGAACCGCAAAACTATCAGATTCGAAGGCACAGATCTACACTAGCAGATCGATAGACGACTTTATTTGCGCTACCCTGACCAGCCTCCGCCCAGATGGGGCACAGGTACAACGCAATGATCATAGCGCCACCCTAAGTCTGCATGGCGGCTTGTCCGCTCGACGAAAAAGGAAATATAGAAAACGCCCGAGCGGACAGCCGCTGTTGATGGCTTGCGACACGCGCCATCGACCCGATTGTCCGTCATGGAGAATGGATGATTTAACGGCGACGCCGCCACCCTCGTCCACCCCGCTCGTGTCTGTTGTGCTCTTCATGTCTGGTCTGTTGTGTCGTTTACTGCTGCCGTCCAAATCGCTTATTGTCCTGTTAGACCGACGGTCATAGTCTTCTCTCTTCTTCCCCGTCTCCTCCTTCTTCTTTGCAAGGACTCCCCCCAAAAGTAGGAACCATGCACTTGCTATCGTGGCTGAGGTGGTACAAGAAGCCTGAGTACAGGGACATCAAGGAATACTCGACCGCCGTCAGCTCTGGCCGACGGTCACTCAGTCCCGATGGCCGCAAGACCTCCATCCCCTCCCAGCTGGCGCTCGACAGGATCCTGCAGAACAAGACATGTGAGCTCCCGCACCTTATCAGTCCCCGCGCTTCAAGATCGAGCACTGACATGAGAAACCCCCCCCCAACCCAGGCAGTCCCATGTCCCTCTACGACTTCTACATGTACCTGAAGCACATTGAGTTCTCCGAGGAAAACTTGGAGTTCTACATCTGGTACGTTATGTCGGCCCCGCCCCCAGCCTGGCCAGGTACGGATATTAATCGCCATGATTCGTCTAGGTTCAAGAACTTCGAGGCCACCTGGGCCAAGATCGCCAGCACCGAGAGCTTCTCGGTCGGAGAGAAGGACGATGCCTCATTCGAAAGCGCGCCCGAGAGTACTACGTCGTCCACCGGCAAGCTCCACAACCTCCCGTCAACAATCGACGTGTCAGGCTTCTCGTGCGATGCTGGCACTGGTGAGTCAACCGCCCTTTCTCTCTCTGTCGCGTCCCTTTGCTGACATGTATGTCGTGGCAGCCGAGAACACCCTGGGCCGGATCTCCCAACTCATCGCCTCGGACTCAATGTGCTCCGGCAACAAGTGCTCTCCGTCCTTTGCCAACCGTGTCAAGTCTTTCGTCGGCAACACCGAGTCCCCCAGCAAGCCGAGTCAAACCTATGGCACGCTGATGAACTCGGGCTCGGGGCTCCGCGCAGAACTCGACACTGTCATCAAGACCTTCCTCCTCCCCGGCTCGGAGAAAGAGCTGAACATCCCGCCCGCCATGCGCGAGAGAGCCCTCTACAACCTGCAGACGTCGTCCGACCCCGCCCACTTCCAGCCCATTGCCAACCACGTCTACCAGCTTCTCCGCAACTGCTCGCACCGCAACTTCGTCCGCCTGGGCGTCTCCAACGGCACGTTTGAGACGCTCTGCGTGGCCACGACGCTTGGCATCGTCCTCACCATCGCCGGCTTCATGTGCGTCCTCCTGCGGGCCTGCACCCCGCACATTGGGGCCCACAGCCGGTGGGAGGCCTTCGCCCCTTGGCCCATGTGGTGGCTCGGCCTCAGCCTGATCCTCTCGGGCCTGCGTGGCAGCTGCTTCTTCCTGCTGCTCTTCACGCGCCGCCAGCCGCTGCCGTGGGAGCGCTTCGACGACTCGGGCTCCGTCCGGTCCGAGCGCAAGGGCCTGCTCAGGCTGCTGTCGCGCCTCATGATCTTCGACCGCAAGCTCACCGTCAAGGACGCAAACCTGCGCAGGCTGCAGCACAAGATCGTCATCCAGAGCCTGATCGGCGGCTCCATCTTTGCCAGCGCGGGCGTCTTGCTGTTCATCTTCTTGCCCGTTTGGAGGGAAACCGTCAAGCATTGAGTGCCTGTCGGGTTGTTGTAGCTTCCTCCTCTACCTAACTAAATACTTGTCATGACTTGACACGCACCTTCACTTCATATGTACCTATTTATTTTCCATTTGTTTACGACGAATATCCCTCGATCCTTTATGGGCTGGATGGAAGCAAGGAGGCGTTATGATATACCACACTTCTTTCTTTAATTAGGTATTATCACGGCTGGTAGTAATGGATGGGTTATGAGATACCATTAGGAGGCTTGGTTCCTACTTGGAGGACTTTCAAAATTCAAGAGATTTTCGAATTAATTACGTGCCACAACAAGCTCCTTATTCCGCAGTGACGAAGCCGCCTCTCCCAATTCCACCCCTTATTTATGAGGAGAACTGGCTCGTATCAAATATCCAAGCCTTATAAGTTTTGACACCCGCAAAAGCTGGGAAACGATGTAATTCTAGACGACCATGTTTCCGATTGGACACTGGCGGGAGGAGATCTGCCACCTGCCGATCAATAGAGTGGACACCTACCTACATTAGCGGGCATAGAACCAATATATATTTACATTCATTTACACATTACCGGGAAAGGCAGACACGGTCCTCTTTATCTCCTCGCGGCACATCCCTCTCGACTTGTGGAAATGGGATGCCTCTTCCCGATTGGACGCAGCATTCTCATGGCTGGCTGTTACTGATTGCCTTGCCAAACCGATTCGCCATGTCCCTTTTTCGTCTCGGCGCAGCAGCTGTGACCTTGACTGCCCTCGTACCAGGGTCCCTAGCTGAATGCAAACGAGGTGAACTCCTCCAGACCATCGAGGAATTCCTACTCGGGCTCAGCTAGAAATCAGGAGATGTATATGGATGTGTATGTAATTACATAATTGTGCATATTGATGTTGGATGTTGATGGTGCACATTCTGACCAGGATGATGAGTGATCTCCCTCCCTCCGTGACTCATTGATCTACAACTGAGATATAATTGTGGCCACTGCCCCTCTTCCCACCTATTTAGACCTCTGGATTCCCAATTGCGCAGTCTCATTCAACTCATTAAAAACGGTTCGTTATAGCAAAAATGGGCATCGATCCAAATACCCGTGGGCCAGAGACAGTTGATGTCGGGCCCCCCATCAAATCCATCCCGAACGAGGTAGCAGGCGCTCTATCCTCTGCGGTTGCACGAGGGCAACGAACAGTGGTCATGACTTGCGGAATCTCGGGTACGCACACACCGATCCGTCTACCTAGTCCCCCCATCCCTGCTAAACCTGTATCTGCTTCCGGCACACCGTCCAGGATCGGGGAAATCAACCCTGGCAAAGTCCATAACTGAGGCGTTCCCCTCCTTCATCCGCTTCTCTATTGATCAATACATGTTTGAGCACCACGGCATCTACGGGAGAGACTTCCCACCAGAGTTGTATGAGCCGTATCAGGACGAAGCAGAGGCTGCTCTGAAGGGACAACTGAGACAAATACTGACGACTGGTTCAAATGACATTGTGTTGGATTACTCCTTCTGGTGTAGAAAGACAAGAGACGAGTATCGGGCTATTGTTGATGCTGAGGGGGCAGGTCTCTATCAGGGTAAGTAAGATGGATATTTCCTGGGGTTGAGCCTCCTCGTTGGGTCTGAGAATTCCAGGTCTAACGATGGGTATGCTGCCGATAATTACTAACTATGCTGTAGTTATCTTGGTCTCCTTCCGAGCATCGGAAGAGACACTGTGGGAGCGAATTGAGAAACGTGAGGCCGAACGCGTGAGACGAGAAACCGAGGGAAGCGCTCCTGACAGAGACCCGGGGTACAAAGTCTCGAGAGATGTACTAAGGAGCTACGTCAACGGATTTGAGTTTCCGCAGGACGAGGGAGAGATTATTGTGATGGTTGAGTAGACTTCAAGAACCCTATACCACTGGTAGTATGTGTTAACCAATCCAACACCTGACCGGTTTCCAACTTGTGGATTCATATAGAAGCTCTCAGTTGCTGATGCCTACGCTGATTCCTGGCCGTTCTCTTATCCTTTACGTGCACTTAGAGTTAAACAATACCCGTCCATGTTTATAATCCATGACATGCATATATACACAAATTGCGAGTGGTACATCAGTCACCGCCCGCCGTCAGTTCAGTGGCTATCTCGACAAACTCGTCGGCAAATTGCAGCACCTCGACCCATTCCTCCGGCAACGCATCAACCCCGTCTCTCGCCCCGAGCAGGCCACCCGCAATGGCTCCGTTGGTATCCGTGTCGCTGCCTATCCGGACAACATCCACCAGCACATCCACAAGCGGCCTCGGGTCCAGCACCGCCGCCACGGCGATCGTCAGCGACTCCAGCACGTACCCCGCCCCCTTCCCAGGCAACGCCGCCGGCCCATTCTCCGCCATAACAGCGACACCCAGGCGCCTCCCAAGCTCAATCGCGTCCCGCACAGGCGACCCGCCCGTCCCCGCCCCCTCCTCCAACGCCCCCGCCACCCCCAGCCCAGTCTCCACCGCAGCCGCGGGCTCCTTCCCCTCGACCAGCTCGCGAACCACGGCGTTGTACGCCGCGCAGGCCACGGTGCACCGCAGGTCGTCGTGCGTGACGGCCGAGACGCGCATCGACTCGGCCACCAGCGCGTCCCAGTCGCGCGCGAACAAGCCCGTCGCAACGCACCGCATCAGCGACCCGTTGCCCGCCTGCCCCGGCCCGGCCCCCGCCCGCCCCGGATCCCCCGTCTGCCGAAACGCAGCTAGCCCCGTCGCCGTCGCGCCGCCGACGTCGGGCGGCCGAGAGCCCGGACGTCGGTTCGGCCAGAACCCGTCGAGCCAGGCCAGCATGTGCGCGCCGGCGGCGCGGCTGACGTCGAAGTTGTCGTCGTCGTCGTCGGCCTGGTCGGAGCGGGCGTGCGAGTGGGCGTCCCGGTAGGCGAGCAGGACGGCGCGCGTCAGGTCCGTGTCGTCGGTCGCGTGGCCGGGGGCCCAGTGGAAGGGCCCGCCGCCGACGATGTTGCGCAGGCCCTGTGGGTAGTCGCGCCGGATGGAGGCCCAGGAGCGGAACTCGAGGGTCGCGCCTAGGGCGTCGCCGGCGTGGACGCCGAGGAGGGCGCCGATTGTGCGGGCGAGGCGGGGGGAGCGGGGGGGTGAGGATGGGGATGGTGGGGATGGGTCCATGGTTTGGGATTGTGGGGTTGTTTTTGGAGATGGTTTGGATAGGAGTGGTTTCGCGATGCTGTTATGGAGTTGTGAGGAGCGGGGGTTTCTTCTGGGATGGACAGATATATTACTTCTTCTCCATGAGCTACTGCTTCTCCATGGGGTAGATGCGACGGAGTATTTCGCTTCCCTTGTTCTATTTGCTTACGCACTTGTCACGTCCAATCATCACCCCTCACTCAGCACTCGCCTCACAAACTCGTTTACCTTCTAGCAGTCTTGAGGTCCATCGACAAAGGGAACAAACCCCTATAACCCTCTACCATTCCACCGGAAACGGTGTGATGTTTCCGGCCGTCCTGACGCTGGGCGCCATTGAGAAGCTGTTGTTGGTGCACTGGGAGGGGAACATGTCAGGATGTCACAACGAGCCGAGGGCCCAGTCGGCAGACTACGTACATATGCCACCAACTTTTCCGCCGACCGGATTTTATCATTTAAGGCCACAGCCAGCCTAATTATTTTGCGAAAAATTCTTGGGCACTCGTTCGTTCATTGTTGGGCCGAGTCCAGGACTCGTCTTTGTTCTCGGCCAGAGAACGGTCACACAATTAAACCTCGGTCTTCAAAGCTTGATCCCCACCAGTCTCTTCTACATTTCTTGCTTGTCTCTATATGACACTATATTACGTTTCGCTGGGAAATGCTCTTCCAAGGAGAACAGGAAGAAACCTAAGAAAAAAAAAAAGAAAAAAACGACAGGCATGCACACTCTCGCCTCCACCTCCCTCACAGCTTCGAATCCCTCTTCTTCCGCTCATACACCAACACCTCGTAGCCCTTAACCTCGCCGCTCTTGAGGATACGCCTCAGGATCTTCCCGCTCGGCGACTTTGGGATCTGGTCGACGAAGACGATGCCCCCGACGAGCCACTTGTACCTCGCGGCGCGGCTCTCGGTGAACTTCTTGATCTCCCCCGCCAGCGCCCTCAGCTCCGCCTCGGACGCGCCCTGGCGCCGCGGCACGACGTACGCGCGCGGCCACTCGGTGGCCTCGGCCTCGTCGTACACGCCGACGACGCCCGCGTCCGCGACCGCGTCGAGGCTGCACAGCACCGCCTCCAGCTCCGCCGGCGCAACCTGGTACGCCCGCACCTTGATCAGCTCCTTGAGCCGGTCCGTGATCCGCAGCTGGCCGCCCGCGTCCATCGTGCCCACGTCGCCCGTCCGGAACCAGCCGTCCGGAGTGAGCGCCTCCAGGCTCGTCGATACGTCCGGCTTGGCGCCCGGCTCGAGGCCGCCGAACGGTAGGTACGCTGACATCACGCCTGGCGACCGGATGAGGATCTCGCCTGGCGTGTTGATCGGCGCCGCCTTGGTGGTGACGCTGGTGGCGCTGGTGGTGGTGCTGTCCCCGCCCTCGTCGGCCGCGATCATGATCTCGACGCCGTAGTGCGGCAGGCCGCTGTCGCCGGCCTGGGCGTGCAGGTCGTCCTCGGTGAGGCCCCTCTGCAGGCTCGTGCTGCACGTCTCGGACAGTCCGTAGCCCATGCGGATGCGGAAGCCGAGGCGCCGGTGGACGGCGACGATGACCTCGTGGCCGAGGGGCGCGCCGCCGGTGAGGCCGGCGACGACGGAGCGGAAGTCGCCGCGCTCGGCGTAGGGCTCGACGGACGCGGCCTTGGCGAGCATGACGCCGACGGGCGGCGCCATGTGCAGGTAGGTGATGCGGCGGCGCGGGACGGCGGCCAGGACGGCCTCGAGGCTGAAGGACGGGAAGGTGTACACGGTTGAGCCCGTGCAGATGGCCAGGAGCATGATGGTGCAGAGGCCGAAGACGTGGTAGAAGGGCACGTAGCCCAGCCAGCGCTGCGCCTGGCCCCGGTAGAAGTCGGCGTCGTGCCACAGCGCTGCGCAGTTCCAGTTGAGCGCGTGGTGCGACAGGAGCACGCCCTTGGACCGCCCCGACGTGCCCGACGACCAGAGGATCACGGCCGTGCGCGTGTGCGCCGACTGGGGCGGGAAGGGCGGCGCTCTCCGGGCCGGCACTTTGGACGCGGGGGCGAGTAGCTGCCTCCAGTCCGAGGTCCCAGCCTCGGCGGACGGCCCCTTGGCCGGTGGCAGTGGGTACTCCTCCCGGGGGACGTCGACGGTGAAGATGGGTATCCTGGAGAAGAACGGCACGTCCTTTTGCTGGTCAATGGCCTCCCGCATGGCCGCCAAGCATGCCTGGGCCGTGATGATGACGCGTGGGCGTGCATTCTGCAAGATCCAACCGATCTCCGAGCTCGTCAGGGCCGGCGAAACCAACGTCGCCGTCAGGCCAGAAGCGAAGACACCGGTGAGAATGGGCGCAAAGGCAAGGCAGTTTGGAAGCTGGATCAACACTATAGGGGCGATCTCCGGCCGCGGACACGAAGGGGTTGGTGGGAGGACGTGAAGCTCATTGGGGTCCAAGCCCATGGAGCGAAGACCTTCTGCGAGAGCGAGAGCATCTTGCCTGATCCGGCCGTATGTGAGGGCTCGGTCTTGAGACGGGCCCATGTCAGTTCTGGGCGTGATGGGAACTTGGGTCATGCCTCCTTACCTGACTTGTCGTCGACGAAGATGGGCCTGTCTCCATCTATCCTTGGCAAGCACTTGTCGGACGAGGTGTGGTCGTTCTCATGCTGGAACGGGTCGCCAAATACCCAGTCAAAAGCATTGTCCCGGTTGATGTGGCCTGGCGGGGCGCCGGCGTAAGACAAGGCGGCACTGCTGGGAGACATTGAAAACAGTAAATCTATATGTACAAGGTCGTGCGGTTGTCGGAACTGGTCGAACTCGCTGAACAGAACAAGTCAGGGCCCGGGATCGCGAGTTTTAATGAACCGCATCCTTTGAGGCCTCGGTCCGACCCCGGATCTCGGGCAGGGGCCCAGGGGCTGGCGGGAATCTCCCCTCAGAACTCGGCACTTGCATTTTGCCGCTACTACCATAGTACGGCCTCTGCTGACTAACGAACCCCGCCATTGGTACACTACCACTGAGTATGGGTGAATTATTAGGCTGGTTGTATGGGCAACCATATTGTGCGAATCTCATGGCAATATCAACTGTACACAGGCGGTTTGTCCAGCAGGTAATTAAGTGTGTCCCCCTTGCTAGCCGATGTTGTCTTGAGGATCACGCGATTTTACGAGCTTCACTAGACCACATTGCCAGGAATCTTTAGGATAATATCACGCAGATCATCGGCGCCAAGTGTCTTGTGGTAGCGTTTTATCCCAAACGCTGATTTGGTTGGTGATAAAATGATAAACGACATCAAGCATGTACACATGAGAGATCGCTGCACTTCCCAAGTCTTGAATTGCACAGCCAATGATGAGGGGAGATGGGCACGTGCACGTCTCTCGTTCTTGAAATAGCTATCTGTCACGTGACTTCTCTGTTGGTGGGGCTTCAAGCTTGAGTCTTGAGGCGGATGTGGCTGAACCTAAGAAATGGTTTCAGTGGAGAGGAAGAACAACCAAGGGCTACGCAGTCACGGCAGTCTAATCTAATCAACCAAGGACCCGAGTTGATTACGAGCCTGTGAGCCCTCGAGGTTCGGTCCTTCTTGATGTGTCCTGCCTGCGCCTTGCTGTGCGCCTGAGAGCCACAAGCTACACTACTTCTGATCTGCAAGGGCGAAACCTGCATTGTCGTCGAACAGCCTTGGCGGGTGGATGGACGGCGTTGATTGTTCCAATTCGACCGCTGAGCTCCACCACCACGCCCAAAAATCGGTGCACTGAAACGCTGAGCGCGCAAGGGCTCTAGGGCGCTCCCAGGGCTGAGGATACATCCCTGTCCAAAGCTCATCGAAGTTGATCCAACCTCACCCATCTGGCTTGGCTTGCCAGATATCTTGGCACCCAAGTGGGCAAGTCTTGACGTCGTTGAAACATGGCGCCTCACGCCAGGATGGATCAAGGGGCTTGGTGCTCATGTTTCGATCGGCCTGACTGAAAAGGAAAAGGCTGCCCCCATCTCGACTTCTTCTACCTTCATCCCATGTTGTCTCCCACACACTCCCTCGTAACTCACCCTCGTTGAGCTTCCTCGCTCTCGAGTAGCGTGTCCCCCTTCGCATTCCTTTCTTGACAACAGCTGGTCTGTCTCGTCTGTATTGGTGGCTTCCTTTTCTATTTTCTCTTCTTATTTTCGTTCGCGTCTTGTGGTCCTCTGGTGCCTGGGTGAGGTCGAGTGGACATGCGGTATGTCATTGAGCCAACTCCCAGCAGGTTTGCCTCAGATGCTAACCACATGGTAGTCCCACAAGCCGAAGATGGGGGCGAGGCCTCCGAGGTGGTCTGCGCGTCCACATCCGTGGTGATGATGATGTCGACCAAGGTCTATCTTCGGCCTCATCGGTCGAGAGCGGTGGTGATTCAGGTGATTCGGGTGATGAATTGGACTCCCCGTCCCCTACGGAGACGAAGTTCCCACCACCACCACCACCACCACCACCACCGCCGCCGCCGCCTGCGACAACGTCCTTGCCACCACCACCCCCTCCGCCTCCCTTGATCGTGATCTCGAATCCCGCACCCACAGGGGCGCTGGGGGCTGCTGCATCTGATACGACTACTTCTACTACTAGTAGTAGTAGTAGTACTAGTACTACGTCGTCGCAGCCACCGCCATCCCTTGCCTCAACGTCTAATGTCCTCGCCACTCAGTCGCTGCCGCCACCGGTGGCCACGCAGCCCACCTCCCTATCAACTTCCCTGTCCACGGTCCCACCCGCGGTCACGCCCTCGGTCCTTCCCGCGCTCATGTCCACGATCGTGCCTACCAGGCTCTCCACGGCACTCGCTTCACAGTCTACGGCGTCCATTGATAGTAACACCTTGCCAATGTCAATAGCCGGACCCAGTCCCGCCACCGTGGATCCTTCATTGACGCCCGAGCCTCAGGCGAGTGGCCTTGGCTCGAATGTCCCTGCGCCGGGAGAATCTACCAAGGCTGCCACGGGCGTCAAAGCCGGCATTGCCATGGGCACGATAGGTGAGTAGTGAAACCCCCAGCGTGGCGTCCTGTGGTCGGGCCCCAGGGCCCGTCCACGTTGAGGTGCGAGTAGCTAACAAAGACCAGCGGGCCTTGCTGTGATCGTAAGCCTTGGGTTTTGTATGTACAAGTGGCGCAAGCGGCGTAGACCGGAGAGAGATGCCATTTCAGCTCCACCAGACGATAATTCCGGCACAGCATCGCGCCCGTGGACCACTCTCACTGGGACGTCCTGGCTTGTTCGGCGAAAGCCAGAAGGCAAGTCGGAGTCCAAGATCATCGACGACATGATTAGAGCAGCGTATGCCGCCGAGAATGGAGGACCCGACTACATGGGCGGTCCCAATGGCTACTTGGACGAGAAGAAGTGAGACCACCGTGGTTACTGATACCCTTGGCTGCGTGGCCAGCTCTGAGAACCCTCCGCTAACCCCGGCCACAGCACCGTTGCCAATGGGTACTTCGCTCCCATGGGCCCGGGCGTACCCCACGGCGCAGGCACCCCCCGCATCCCGGAACTCGCGTCGTTCGACCTACGGACCCCCACGGCGGCCCAGGCACCTCGCTACTCCTTCCTGGACCGGCCACCGACCGTCTTCCCGCCGGTCCCCCTCAACGTCGACGTCCCCCGCACCGGCCCCGGCCCCGACAGCAACGACCTCGTGTCCCCCGAGACGCCGAGCTCTACCAGGTCGTCGGGGGCGCTGGGCTGGTTCCGGCGGGGCGGGGACGCGGCGGCGCGGCGGGCGGAGCTGGAGTGGCGGCGGCAGCGCAACGTGGAGGCGGCGCACGCCAAGCTGATCGGGCACCAGGAAGGCCGCGGCCTCGACCGGACGCTGCAGTCGCGGGTGCCGGCGGCCATGACGAGGGCCGAGGCGGCGGCGTCGATAGCTCCGACGGAGGCGACGACGAGCGCGGGCACCGAGAGCACGTGGAAGTCGTGGCGCGTGGAGAGGGAGGAGGGGGCGCCGCCCAAGGTGAAGAACTGGCTGGAGAAGTGTATGGAGAAGGGGGGGCTGAAGTGAGGGACCGAAGGAGGAGGGCGGGTTTACTCGGGAAAATTGAAACGCCGGTTGGGATATGGAATGGATGGGCGATTGTATGTTGAGTTGGCCCCTTAGTCTTTGATGGACAGTGGGTGTTTATTGTGTGCTCGTGTACTCGTGTATTGCCAACAGGATACGAGAGACAGTCTTTACGGAAAACGGCAAATGTAACCTTGAACATAGGCAAGAATATCTAGGAGAAGAGGGCTAGACGAATATCTACGTAATGGAGTGACAGGGGGCCACATCCAGCTCTGTTCAAGCTAGTTCTCACCCATTCGCCGCGCTCGAGATCTTGCAGATCCTCAATCCGGGCGCCTCAAGCAGCGCAGTCCACTCCGCCTCTGTCGGCTCCTCGGCCGGAAACCCATCGTGGCAACGTATCTCATGATTCGTCCTACCCGCCATCTAGCCCTCGTTCGGAATCTGTGTCTTCTCCAAAACATCAACAGTCACTTCTGTTGGAGCCCAGCAACTTGTCATGGCCCCATACTTGATTTCTTCCCTTCAAACTAGACGGGCATTGTTTGAGCCTTTGGGGTGGAATGGTCAGTGGACTACCTTTCTTCCCCAGGCTCGCGGAGACGGGGAGCTTCGGTCATCATTGGTCCTCTAGATCCAGCTTATGGACGTTACTGACAACTCCTCTTCGACCACAGGCCGGGCATTAATTGACGCCGAGCGAGGACCATAACCAACTTATTCCCCGTCCCCCCAGCTCCCTAACCTTTTCCACTCAGTGGGTAGCACAAAAATGATCACTACCAATTTACCAGATTCATACCGTGATACCCGCCCGTCCTCTCGGAGCCTTGGGCGGGCCGTGTGCGGGAGTGTGAGTGGAGTTCGGGCGGGAACACGTCGCAGAGGAGTGGGCGGCTGAGAGCCGCAGCTGTACCATTTCCTGACCGTTGGCGACGCCGAGGCGTTTGAGTTGGATCAGTTACGCGTGTTGTTCCTCGATGCGAGGAATATCATTGGGGGACAGTCACGGATTTCCCCTGAGGAAATTTGGATTCTCCGAATCCAGGTCTGGAGAGGAGCCACATGCGACCACGGTCTTGAAATTGTTCTAAATCGCCGTCTCCCTATAATTACATGGGCCAATTTAGATAGCTACCATGCGGCACCTCCCGGATGGATCACTGGGACGGAAATCTGTCAACGTTTCCTAGCAGATAATAATAGGTGGCCCACAGAACCAGAACCAGGGAACAGGGAGAGACCTTCTGGACCGTCAGCTGACAACACGCAGAAGAAGAAGCGAATTATCGTTATTAGTCACAAAATTGAACCCTACGGCATGGTTTGTTCCTCTTCAGCTGGGCATTCTGAGAGCTGAGAGCCCAGTTTGGAGCAGCGGGAGGCGCACCCCCTGCTAGCCTCCCCGGCTGCTGGGTCTGGACTAGACGTTTTGGGCATGGTCGAAATGAAAAGAGTAATGTGTCGTGTGCTCTACCGGCCGGGAAGGAAAACTGTGGCTAACTGGCCCGGAACGCGACCAAGCCTATTTCGGTCGCCTTCATCAATATCTCATTTGCAACCCAGAGGCAACAATGCATCGTGCCCAAGCCTCCATGCCTTGCACGTTTCAGCCAGAACTCATCTGAAGGCCTGGAGCGAGCGACGTTGCAGAGCTTTTCAATAGTTGTGCTCAGTCGCTGCGGCAGGGTCCAGCACGCGAGCTTGCGCAAGCTGAGATGAATTATTCAGGGGTAGTTGTGACAAAAAAAAACAACCCGTTTTCACTGATGTCGAACACGTCAGTTGTGGTCGAGAATAGCTACACTGCACGGTAATTGAATAACAGCACAATATGGATATAAGACCTGTTTCCACCCGCGTTGCAAAGCGTTGGTTCAGTCGCCCGGTCAGACATACAATCGTTTGCATCTTTCCATCTTTTCTCTTTTTTCTTGCCTGTCATTTCCAGGGTTTGTTATATCCACTTCCCTCCCCCGGTCCATCATGTCCGCTCTACATGCGCTCGACGTAGAGAAGGCGGATTCCAAGTTCGGCTCTACGACGACGCTCTGTGCCACTGGCGAAGGGGCAAGTATCCCCTTGCCCGAGAAAGAGCCAGCATCGTCCTTCGTTTCACGGCGGACCGAAGTGGAGGATGAGCACCATGAGATACAACCTTCCACTGTGAGCCGCATCCCTCCGCCTTGGCACGACTTTGCATCTAACATCATCAGGTAACATGGGACGGGCCAGACGATCCCACCAACCCCAAGAATTGGAGTCCCGGACGCAAGTGGATGGTAAGCTGTCCCTGTTCCTTTCATTTGAAAAATACAACCTCCCTCGCACCCGTCCCAAGTCACTGGCTAGCCAACTAACCGGAAAGCAGACATCCCTCATCGTGTCCGGCTTCGCCTTCATCGCCCCCGTCTCCTCCTCCATTGCCGCCCCCGCGCTCGACAACATCGGCACAGACCTCCACATCCGGCCCGGAGTCGGCCTACAGATGGTCATGTCCATCTTCCTCCTGACGGCGGCTCTCGGCCCCTTCGTCCTGTCCCCCTGCTCGGAAATATGGGGCCGGAGGCCGGTTATACGGATTGGGAACGTCATCTTCGCTCTGTTCACGACTCTCTGTGGATTTGCGGCCACCGGACCGCAGATCACGGCGTATCGCTTCCTCGCGGGTATTGGGGGTAGCGCATCGATTGGAGTAGGTCTCTCAGCTCTCATCAATATACAACCGGGACGAGGGCTAACACCGGCCCGAAACAGATGGGAAGCGGCGTGCTGACGGATTGCTGGCGGCCTGAGGAGCGTGGACGCGGCATGGCCGTCTACCAACTGGCTCCAGTCCTGGGGCCTGCAATTGGTCCAATAGGTAGGTCAGAGAAGACCCATCTTGACGCGGAAGAATGCTAAGACATCTGATAATCAGTCGGTGCGTATGTCTGCCAGTACGGCTCTTGGCGCTGGGCTTTCTGGGGCATCGCCATCTTCAGCTTGTGCCTTCAGGCCGTTGCCCACTTCTGCCTGCAAGAGACATACCCGCCAAGGATCCTTCACCTCAAGGCCAAGAAGCTACGCGAATCCACCTCCAGCTCGGCATTCCAGACAGAATGGGAAACGGGACACCGCACGCTGCCCAAGCTGTTACGCGTCTCGCTCTCACGGCCGTGGATACTGTTGGGAACGCAGCCGATCATCCAGCTCTTCGCCCTGTACCAAGCATTCAACTTCGGCATGTTGTATCTGCTCATTTCCAGCTTCCCGCAGCTGTGGGAGGGCCGCTACGGCATAAGCAAGGGGCTGGCAAGCTTGAACTACATCTCGCTGGCTGGGGGTTCACTCGTTGGCGTCAGCATCTGTGGCCCGCTGACCGATACGATATACCGTCGTTTGAAAACACGGTACGGAATCAAAGACGACGAGCCCGGTCGGCCCGAGTTTCGGATCCCCTTGATGATTCCGGCGTCGATCGTCACCCCTCTCGCTATCTTCTTGTTCGCTTGGTCAGCCGAGGCGAAGCTGCATTTTCTCGTACCCAATGTGAGTTTTGGTTTTCTTTCTTTCCAGTCCTTGTAAGCTGCCAGCCCTTCCTAACCAGAATTTCCGAAATAGTTAGGAGTTGCTCTGTTCGCGTGTAGCAGTATGATCTGCTACCAGTGCATCGCAGCGTACATTGCCGACTCGTTCAATCAGTACTCTGCCTCTGCCTCGGCAGCATGTGCTTTCCTACGTTCGTTTGCAGCCTTTATATTTCCCCTTTTCGTTCCATATTTGTTTGGGTCCATGGGTTACGGCTGGGGAGGGAGCCTGTTGGGCCTCGTTGCTGTTGTTATTGGCATACCCACGCCAATCTTGTTTTGGATTTACGGTCAAAGGCTGAGAGGGAGGAGCAAGTTTGCTTAATTGAACGGCATGTGCATACGATCTGCGTCGGAGTTCGGCAGCGGTTGGTAGCATCATCTCTATAGAAAGGGGCAGGCAATAATAGAAAGCGGTTACGATTGGGTTGCAAGTTTGCGACCGTCGATCTCGGAAGCTATTCAGACCTGCCTAATCCCGACTACATAAATTCTCACAACCCGATTCATGTCTGTTGAATATCGACGGCCTTGCGAGGAGATGATTCGCTTTTTGCTGGGTCAGCGATAACCATCCGTTTCGAGTGGTGGGTGAGGCTGCATCTTCCATTGGGGCCACGATATCTGATTTCGGTGCAAGGGCAGCAGGCTGAACAGCACTTGGTTGCCTTCCGAGCAAGTTGCTATTCTCCAACACTTCTCTGCCTGCATCTCCACCATCCTGCTGGCCGGCGCACAATCAGTTGATCAAATCAACCTATTTATGCCTTTGAGTCTCCCTTGTCTAACCGCCTCATAACCTCAGGGCTAACTGGCGCAAACCCCTCCGAGTTTCCCCATTGCTTCATAAACCACCTGTATTGTGCATCTTTGGCTTGTAACTCATTGGGTATCCAGTCGCCCATATTGTTACCGCAGGAAGCCCGGAACAATTCAATCGGACTTCTGGGAAGGTTTGGTGTAGATTCGACATGTGCCATCCATCTCGAGTTGGGTAGACCTTTGACAATGGAATGGCTGAAATCTAGAAGCACGGCTTGCTCTTGATCTGGGCTGACCATGATATTGCGTGGCGCAAAATCATTCTGACGCACCCCAAAAAACTCAAGCCAACAGTATATCTCGAAAGCTCTAGCCAGAAGCTGCATCCGAGACTCTGCAGGTATTTTGCCAGCCACCCCGCGTTCGATGATAGAACTCATGCTTGGATAAGGGACATGGCTCATCAGGATCATACGCACGTCTCGACGTTGACCATCCAAGAGAGTCGTCTCCCAAGTCCAACATCCATGATAACTTGGTATTGACCGTTCAAGGACTTCTCTAACCCCAGGCTGCCTCATTTTGTCAACATCCTTTTTGACAGAGTGTAGTCTTTCAAAGGCACCTGCCTCGCATGAATATTGTCGATCGGCGAGATAGGTGATCTCAAAATCACTCCACTTGTAGTAAAGCGGATCGTAAATCTTGGCCACAAACAAGTCTGCCTCATGACCTTCGAAATGGCAGGTTACAACCTGGGCGCCGCGGCCGTCACCACAGGCGATCTGGCTGGCAATTTTCAGGGAATGCGTTGTCTGACATGGGTGAGGCGGTGGTCTAGGGGGTGGGTTTGCGAGGCAGCAGCGACTAGGCATGCCATACCGCTCCTGAAAATCTTCGATCAAGGGGCGGCGATTTGGTTGTTGATATCCTGGCCCAAATTGTGGGGGCGGGATGTGCTGTTTAATCTTGAGAAGCATGCCGGGGGTGTAAGGTAAGGCTGGCTTGAGGTTGTCAATGACCAGGTCGGCTGTGGGATGGCTGCTATACGACATGCTGTGGTTTGCGGGAAATGTTGAGAAACTCTAGACGATGATGGCGGCGATAATTAATAAGTACGAGTGGATAAAGAGAAGAGAGAAAGGAAGGGAATTTATTCTGTATTTGGAAGAGCAGAGCAAGTGACACACACCCCAGCTGACGTGACATGGTAGGCACGTGCGCAGGCAGGATCAGCCGCTCAGAATAGGAGTACATATGTAGGATCAGGATACACAACTACCTGTCGACGGAAAGGTCGTCCATGAAGTTGTTGTGGCGGCGAGGGCCTGGTGTGGCTGGGACTTGAAGACCGCTCACTATGCTGAAGGCCAGTGGTTTTAGCACAGCCTCAGACAGGGAAATTCCCGAGTCCATATATCCGACATGGCCGCCCCCAAGTTCAACAACCTTGAGCTGGAGCTTGCTCCCTTTGGATTGGAGCCACTGCATGACTATGAGCTTGGTGGTCATCATCCCGTTCATCTAGGCGATCTCCTTGGCGATGACGGCCGATATCGTGCTATCCACAAGCTCGGTAACGGCGGCTTTGCAAATATTTGGCTGTGTCGCGGTATGAAGGCGTGGGAGACGACGAAATATGTCGCCTTGAAAGTCCTCATGGCCGAAGTGTCGTCAACCGACGAATGTCCCGAGCTCCGGGCCAGTGAGCTCAGGAATTTGCTTCCTACCTCACAAGACAATGATGGTATCACTGATTCCATCTGTCTTCCACTAGACCATCTTACAATCCACGGGCCAAACGGCGATCACCTTTGCTTGGTTTATCCCCTCCTTGGTCCAAAGGTTTCTCTGGGTTTATTTCATTCGCCCCGCGATGCCGACAGAACCCTAAGGATGATTTGTTTCAAAGTCGTTCAGGTTGTCGAGTTTCTTCATAGCCACGGGATATGTCATGGTGGTGAGTCAGATTGAATTCCGACTTCGTCTCATATGAGGGTATGAGAACTAGAGGCTGATGAGACAAACAGACATTACTCCAAGCAACATTCTCCAACATATCTCCGGCCTTGACGGATTGGCGGAAGATGAGGTGTTGCAGATCATAGGCACGCCAATCCGAAATCAGGTAATACGAAAAGCATCGACGCAAGGCCATGACGAGCCGTCTGCCCCCCCAATATCTCGTCTACCCCGTGAAATGGCAAAATGTCAGCACACAGTACATCGGGGAGCAACCGTACCTCATCGACTTCGGAGAGTCGTTCGAAGCTTCACAATCCCTTGAGGATCTCGGCACCCCTGGACCCTATCGCTCCCCCGAGTTGATCCTCGACAACGCCGCCGGAACCGGCTCCGATCTCTGGGCTCTGGGCTGTACACTCTTTGAGATCCGGACGGGCAGGAAGCTCTTTAATCCATTTGACGACGACGATGATACCTATCTCGATGAAATGGTTCAGGTCCTCGGAAAGCTGCCTGAGCCGTGGTGGTCCACGACCTGGGCAGAGCGGAAGAGACTGTACAAGGATAACACAGACGAGCAAGGTCGTGCGGTTGCCGCTATGGAGCCCAAAGCAACCGAAGTAGGTGATTCCAGGGAGGAGAGCACGCGAATTAGGCGTGTAGTCCATCCGTCTATTGCAGAAGGTGCGCGATCACTTTGTGATAAGCTTGCGCCTGGGCTCTGGTATCTTTCGAGCAGAGGCCGCGATGGAGATCACCACCGAGCCATCTCTCAGAGGGAGATGGAAGTGTTTGCAGATCTTTTGGGTAAACTGTTAGACTACGAGCCGAAGAGGCGTATTACAGCAAACGTTGCGTTGAGTCACGAGTGGTTTAGACTCTAACTTTTGCTAGAGTTATAAGATCCTGGGACGCTTTGATCTGGTCTGCAAGCATGACCAAAGCTGAAAAGGGGGAAAATAATATATGTATATATTCCCGATTCTGTTGTGCAGCGGCTCTGTTCATAGGGCCTTGAATGAACACCCTGTGGAACGAGCTTAAGCGATTTCCCACAGTAGAGGAGTTTGCCTATACGCGAACTTGGACCTAATTACCTGCGAAAGGAACCGGAGTCACCCTAGAGGTTCCTCCTGGCCTACCCGGGAGAAAGACCAACTGAGGGGTCTCCAAGCTGAGTTGAGTCTCGTACCTGCAGACCGTTAATTGGGATGACCCTCGAGACAAAGAGCATGACGGTGGGAAAGATGCCGAAACCCGGACAACTTAGTAGTTCTGCCACACATCCACGGTAGGTCCTGGCGAGCCTCAGCTCCCAAGGTCTTACACCCAGGCTGAAGGGAAGAACGGTAATAACCCCGATCTATCACTCATCTTATTGGTTTCCACTAAACCCTGTATATCTGCGAGTCAGCAGCGAATCAGCACCTGAAAGAAATGAAGTATCCAGGTGCTCACCCGGATACGGCAAGGGCTTTCTTGCAATGTGGGTGACCGAGGAGATGTTTGGTATATCCAAGGATAGACGAATATGAATAACAATAACAATGATATAACTGATTTTTATTAGCACCTCGGTTGGTGAGTTGGTTACGCGTTAATAGAAGTGAAGGATTCGGTGAAAATGGTTTAGGCGGTACAGGAACGTGTGTTGACTACAAGAAGATCTCCTCTACCTGGCCTGTTCACACATTCATGCCAGAGGCTATGGTCTCCTCTCTTCTTAAACTGGGGAGAATGAGCCTGCAAGTAACAGGAGAAGATCATAGGGAAGCTCAATCTGTCGATGTGTCTGAAAATGTTCCCTCTTTACTGCAACATATCCCGAAGATGATCGCCAGGTCCCCATCGGGAGATCGTCGCTCGGAGTGGTGCCATACAAATTTCTCCAGAGGGCAAGCAGATGGAAAGCCAGGAAAACGGAACGAGTCCGAGAAAACAAGGATATACCTTCAAATGGGGGCCGATCTTCCAACGGCAGTGGACGACATCGCAAGAGACTAAATCTGCCGGCATCGACGGAGCCATGTTTGCCGTTACGGCGGGTTGTGTCTTGTAATGTACAACTCGCTACGGATTCAGATTTATTGAAACCACCTCGATAGCTGCGGGCAATATGCAATTAGCTGTCCACATTTACGCCCCCCGCGTTTCTAGAAACCTCACTCGGGAATTTAGCCGCGCTAAGGAAGAGGAGGTTTCGGCTAATGCTTGGATAGATTGGCGGAGAGGCATCTTTAACTTGTCTATATTTCCCGCGTGGGCCTCTTTAATCGTTCAAATCGGAGAGTTCTAAGCGAGACGTGCCCTGGCATGTCCCAGTCGACCCTGACGCCTAAATATGGGATTTGTTCCTGGCACGGCCAAGTTCATTACGTCGACTCCTCCATCACAATATCTGCAGATACGGATCTGCATGGGCACCGCGTCACCTATCCAAGTGCCCGGCATCTCATCCCCGTCTTGGCCACTATCGGAGCCATGGGTCCGCAAGATATAAGATGGAAATGGCTGCCGCTCGCTTCCCATCCCCTGAGGCAGTCAAGGAAACCCTCTGCCAAGGTCCCCTAGTCATCCCAGTATCTCTCTCCCCCGCGCCCCCCAATCGGCTTTCAAGATGCTCGCCCTCATCCCGGTCCTCCTACTCCTCCCCACGGCCCTGGGCAGCGCCGTGCCCCCCCCGCTCGTCCTGGAACGGGCGACCCTCGAGGTGTCGCCCAACAAGACGTGCGGCACGACGGGCGCCGGCTCGGCCCCCGGCTTCACCTGCGCGGACCCGGACGGCTGCTGCTCCAAGTTCGGCTACTGCGGCTCCGGCGACGGCTTCTGCCTCACCTCCGCCGGCTGCCAGACCAAGTTCTCCAACAAGACCACCTCGTGCTACGCGCCCAAGTCCGGGTCGACCGTCTCCGTCGACGGCACCTGCGGAGTCACCGAGGCCGGAACGGCGGGATACGTATGCCCGTCTAACGGGACCGCCACCTGCTGCTCGTCTTCGTAAGTTTCAACCGTCACGAGAGAGGGGGAGGGAGAGAGGGGGGACGGAGTTGAAAGAGGGGGGGCCCCATCTGTGTACGAGCGCTAACGTTGTTCCTCAAAGCGGATACTGCGGTAACACTACCGGCCACTGCGCGGCCGCCGAGGGTTGCCAGTCCAAGTATGGAAAGTGCACCGGCACCGCGGCGGCGCGCCTCAGGAGTCTATTCTCGGTCAACCTCTTTGCGTAATTCGGGAAGGTTGTTCACGGGAAGTTTGTTCGCCAGTCCATGATGTGGAACAAGAGCAAAAAACAAAATGGGGTCGGTGCTTGGGAGAAAGGAGCGAGCGGGAAAGGATACGATATTATTCGGTTACTGTACATACAAGGCTCATCCTGAGCATGGAGAGGATGTAGACCTACCAAAAGAGACAATGTTCGCCTTAGACAGGGGACTTACATGGACGTTGACATGTGGACGTGGGGAGGATTAAACCGGCGATATCAGCTCCTTATACCTTGGCCAACTATCCACTTGAACGAGGGCTTGTAGCTCTATTCATCGTGCCGGCGGATCGTTCTATCTCTTCTTGTCAGGAGCGGCTTGTGGCGAGAGGAAAACTCTCCAATTACTTGCACAGTTAGATCCAATAGATGTCGATAGCCGTCACATCTGTCTTTCCTGCCCTGGTATCATTATCCTTGAGCTGCCTATGAATTACGATAGTATCACTTGGAAAGACGATGGGGAGCTAAACCCGTTCTTTTCATGTAAAATGGATGAGGCGAGGCAGAGATACACAAAAATGCGGAATAATAAGCAAGTGATATTTAGCTAGAAATAAGCGACAATAGGGACTAGATTCTTAAGAGGCTCGTTGCTTAGATGCATTTATCACCAACGTTGTCCTACAAGATACGTGGGCCTCTCTAGGACACTTACCTGGCCTCACCGTAATCTCTCATCTATGTCTGCGTCATCTACGTCTCACCTGCTGCTGGTCATCATATGCACCGAAGGGCGCACCAGACTTTCTCTCATCATTCAGTGGTCGGCAATCTTATCAGCCTCCTGTCTTGTCACATCAGCCTCTTCTGTCGCCTGCGAGCTAGGAAAATTAACCAAGCATACCAGAGAATCATCCCTCACGAGATTTCTGCCTGCTAACATTTTCATGGAGCAGTCTTAGAATAGCGAAAGGAGCTCTTGCTCTAGGAGGAGGTGTCTATGCTGATTATTTCAGGAACAGGGGTTTCAGTCTTAAAAGGCCCGGGAAGAAAAGGGAAGCAGGAAGGGGAAAAAGGGAACAGTAAAAAGGGGGAAGGGTGCTGGTATCCGCTCATGTAAATATTTGAAGATGTCGAACAGCTTTTAGTTGTTTGCAGTGACATGTACTATATCAAGCTTTCTAATTAAGCATCACGGCTACAACAACCATAGTTGCTCGGCGGATGCTGCCAAGTCTAAAGGGCAAAAAAAAAAACCGGGGAGAGCTATGTTCTGGTTCGGGTTATTAGATGCTTGATTGGCTTAATTCGCGGACCCGAAACACCGCCTTCTAGAGATGGTCTAGCCTAACTGCCAATGTTGTCCACAATAGTCGCTTATCGGTGTACGGAATTGGGGGTTGTATGTTGGGAGTCATGCGGAGGCTTGCATAGTCCACGAAACACTAATTAAAGGCGACCTTTGACCCGTCATAGAATCGACAGTTGTTCTTGCTGTCATTGAATCATTTACAATAGTTGCCCTGGTTTTCTCGGACAAGATGCCCAGTATCGTCGTCATCGGGTAAGTTGCCATCACCGGTGGCTTGGGGCTGAAGGGGCCGAACTCACAAGGCAATGACAACAGTGCCGGAGTTTCGGGCTTGACATCGGCTCTCCTCCTCGCGAAGAGGAAAGAAACCGCGGTGACAGTCGTCGCCAAGCACATGCCGGGAGACTACGATATTGAATACACCTCACCCTGGGCTGGTGCTAATGTCCTGCCGTAAGTTCATCACGCCTCCGCCGTGACTCCCACCATCGATTGGCCAACAAACGTGCCCCGATAGGATGTCTATAGACGCAGATAGCCGCTGGGAGCGGCGGACCTGGCCAGAACTCAAGAGACTGGCCGGCGAAGTACCGGAAGCGGGAGTCCACTTCCAAAGTTTGCTCTCCCATCGTCGTCCACAGGTTGACCGAATGCGGAGCTGACTCTTTCTGCAGAGGCGCTTGTCTTGCGCCGAGAAAAGGATGAAGGTGGAAAGCTGTCTGATGCACTCTTCGCCGAGGATCCGTGGTATGCCACCATGTTTGACGACTACCAGATTCTGGACAAGGAGAAGCTGCCTCCGGGCATTAAGTTCGGCGCCGAGTTCACCTCGGTGTGCATCAACACGGCCATCTACCTTCCCTGGCTGGTCAGCCAGTGTCTTGCCCACGGCGTCGTCTTCCGTCGCGCGGTCCTGAGGCACGTATCGGAGGCCGCCACCATGAGCCAGAAGGGCAGCGGCCCGCGCGCCGACATCATCATAAATGCGACTGGGCTGCTGGCCTGCAGGCTCGGCGGCGTGATGGACCCGGACGTGTTCCCGGTGCGCGGGCAGATCGTGGTCGTCCGCAACGAAGTCACGCCGATGATTGCGCCCAGCGGCACTGACGATGGCGACGACGAGCTTCTGTACACGATGACGCGCGCAGCCGGGGGTGGCACCATCCTGGGCGGGACGTATCAGAAGGGCAACTGGGACCCGAACCCGGATCCGAATATTGCCGTACGGATAATGAGGCGGGCGGTTGAGGCCCAGCCTCAACTAACTGGTGGGAAGGGCATCGAGGGGCTGGACATCATCCGCCATGGGGTGGGGCTGAGGCCGGGAAGAACTGGTGGAGTGAGAATTGAAAGGGAACTCATTGACGGGACATGGGTGGTGCACAATTACGGACATGCATCTTGGGGATACCAGGGAAGCTATGGCTGCGCTGAACGGGTGGTGGAACTGGTAAACGACATCTCATCAGAGAGGGAAGGTGTAGAATGAACAGCTGTTCGCCAGCTGGCAGCATCTACTGTAGTAGCTACCGACCCAGAAGTGGAAGGCGGTGAGATGTCACCCCACAGCCAGTCAATTTACTGCCCGGCTTCCTTCTAGAAACTTGTCGCCAGCAGTGCCAACTGTCAACACGTTGTCTGAAACCAAATCAGACTTGCCAATTCCAACACCATGGCAAGCAAAGCCAGGCCCTTGCACATGCAAGCGGTCAGCTTTGTGCTGGATGTTGCCAATGGCCAGCACACACTCTCAAAGCTCGTCCCACCTGTTCTCTTACTCGTCGACGCGCTCCTCTGTGCCCTGATCATCTGGAAGGTGCCATGTAAGCCGCATCTCGCTTTTCTAATCCAGGCTGCCGAGGTCTCACCCCCAGACACTGACCCAGACCACAAAAAAAGACACAGAGATCGACTGGGTTGCATATATGCAGCAAGTCTCCCAGTATGTTTCCGGCGAGCGCGACTACACCAAGATGGAGGGTGGCACTGGCCCTCTGGTCTACCCTGCCGCCCACGTCTACACCTACACGGGCCTCTACTACCTGACAGATGAAGGGCGCGATATCTTCTCGGCACAGCAGCTATTTGCCATGCTCTATATGGCCACCCTGGCAGTTGTCATGGCATGCTACTGGCAGGCAAAGGCAAGAAGAACACGCATTCCCTCGCAGCGAAACAAAAGGCGCCCTCTCGAGCTGAAGCTGACAATCTCTCCGCCGCCCGCAGGTCCCACCATACGTCTTCCCTCTCCTGATCCTCTCCAAGAGGCTACACAGCATCTTCGTCCTTCGCTGCTTCAACGACTGCTTCGCCGTCTTCTTCCTGTGGCTATCCATCTTCTTCCTCCAGCGGCGGTGGTGGGCACTCGGCGCGCTGGCTTACACCTGGGGACTGGGCATAAAGATGTCCCTGCTTCTGGTTCTACCAGCTGTAGGAGTTATCCTCTTCCTCGGCAGGGGCTTCAGCCCGAGCCTGCGACTGGCCGTTCTGATGGCACAGGTGCAGGTGGCAATCGCGGTACCATTCTTGCGAAACAATGCGAGGGGATACCTGGGTCGCGCCTTTGAGTTCTCGAGGCAGTTCCTCTTCAAGTGGACTGTCAATTGGCGCTTCGTCGGCGAGGACACGTTCCTCAGCCGATCCTTCTCTCTAACCCTCCTCGCGCTACATGCCTCCTTGTTGGTCGTCTTCGTCACTAGTCGATGGCTCAAGCCAGCCGGAAAACCGGTCATGGACATGATTAAGCCAATCCTGGCTGGAGCATCTCCACTCACAGAACCGGAAGCGCGGGCCATTTCGAGGAATATCACGCCCCGGTATATCTTAACGACCATTCTTTCCGCAAACGCCATTGGCCTCCTCTTTGCCCGGTCTCTCCATTACCAGTTCTACTCCTACTTGGCCTGGTCCACCCCGTTCCTCCTCTGGCGCAGTGGCATGCATCCAGTCCTCCAATACCTGCTCTGGTTCCTGCAGGAATGGGCCTGGAACGTGTTCCCAAGCACTCCCATCAGCTCTGGCGTTGTGGTTGGCGTGCTCGCTGTGACGGTCGCGGGGGTATGGTGGGGTGCAAGACAGGACCAGGGAGCTCAGCCTAGGACGGTGAAAGATGAAGCCGCTAAGCGGTAGATGGAGGTTGTAGTCAGTTGGATTTGGGGCCCGCTCGAGAATCAATCAGACTCGTCGTCTGAGTCGCTGGGCGGCATCTTGCCGACGTTCGAATCCTCCTCGTCTTCGTCTTCGAAATTGTGCTTTGCAAACTCCTTTGGCCTTTTGGCACAAAAACGTCAGCAGGGGAAGATTCCCAGTCATCCAATGGGGCTATTCCGCACCAGTAGGGCTGTTTCCGCCATTCCCTCTCGTCGCGCACGACGTTGATGATCTCGCCCGCCACCCGGCTGTTGCTGCTGTCCCCGGCCGAGGCCACGTCGATCAGGACGTAGCCGCCCCGCTTGATCCACACCGTGTTACGGAAGCGGGACTGGAGCTCGACGAGGGCCGCCTTCTTGCTCGGCAGCTCGCACATGTACAGGCTGTTGCCCTCGGCCCGGACGACGCGGGCAACGGACTGGGTCGGCGTCAGCGCGTCGGGCGGAGTGGCCGATTCCGCGACGGCGGCGAGTATGTCCCGCTTCGGTCGCCCCATTGTCCTTGATCTCTTGATATTGGCGACTTGGTGGAATCAAGGCGGTTGTGCGTGTGTTCTGTGAGACAGGGAATTTTTACCCTTCACCCCTCGTTTTCGTGGGATGCTGGTATGGCGGGGTAAACCCCTGTAGAGGAATACCCCCCTGGGATCATAAACTTTCTATTACATATCTGATATGTAATACGACAGACCAACCCCTATCCTTCGAGGAACTGTCTCATATTCCGTGTTTCTGTGCTACCTACGCAATCAAGTTGTTGGATGAGAATCCCGCAGGTTTACGCATGTGTAGCACTCCCGCTTTCAGTAGAGCCTCGCTTGTGCCCCATAGAACTTGCAAGCGCGTCGCGCCGCACTTAGACTAGAAACATGTCAGGCGGTGGCAACGCATCGGTCTGCCTGGGGCATAGTCTCGGACAACATGGCAATATCTGAGGACCTACCCAGTATTGAGGTCGTCATCGTAGTCGACGGCCAAGTTGCGGCAGAATATGACCCTCCTCACGACAACGATGACGATGAGCTCCAGCCCATTGAGAAACTGCGAACTAGACTCGGATAAGGACAAACAGCATGTTAGTTGTCAAGTTCATCGAAGCAAAGTCCGGGGCGCCGTTCCTATTACACGTCACAAATACATGACCCTTTCGCCGTTTCGGTATCAGAATTAAATGCTCCCTGAATCTTGCTCTCGGTCATTTCCATCTTCGTGAGTGGGCCGGTGCTGCTGCTACCGCTTTAACCTGTGCAATGGGTGTGCAGTGGGTGTGTTGGGTATGCGTGGTGTGTGCCTTACTAGGCGCGGTTAAGGAGCCTCGTTCTGCCACCCCAGCTGTAGCTACCTACTTACTATAGACTAAAAATGGAACTAGCTTACAAGGATGATTTTCTAGACTCCAGCTAGTACAGCATCCATTCTCACTTGCAAGCTTATGAGACTGCATTGTGAATGCATTAGCCGAAATGACCATGAATCCAGGACTACCTACACTTAAGGGCGTTGACGTTGTTAAGGGCATTACTAGATGTAAGCTGTATTCCGCACAGGGAGGGCAAAACTCCCATGCTAGGATATGGCTATTTTGCGAGAAGTCCCTCCTGTTCCCCGCCCTTCAGCTCTGGACGAGGTTTATATTCCGCCGCTACGACTCCTAGACTCCCGTCCCCGTCATAGGACCTCACTGGCTGATGGTTGCTCCGCCTAGGTCCCGATTCATTAGGCGGGCGAGACGGGGTGCTGCCACGCCTGATAGGAAATCCAAGTCTGGTACAAGCTCACAGCCAGGGACAACATGCCCAACAACACAGCGAAGATAACGCCGATCAAGGTCGCCATCATCATGTAGCGCGCGCCGCTCCTCCGCTCCACCAGCCTCTCAAGCCGTCCGCGGGGAGCGGGGTTGCGCATTTCGTTGTGTAGGTCCGAGAGCTTGTCGGCCAGAAAGACGTAGGCGGTATTTTCTTCCCCGGGGTTGCGGATCGAGCTAAACTCGAAGCTGAGAACGTCTGGGTCGAGGGAGCAGGACTTGACGAGAGAGCGGAGGAGGCGCTTTGACTTTGGGTCGGAGAGGGGAAAGAGCACGTCTTGGGTTGAGCCTAGGACTTCGAGCACTAGCTGACGGGGTAGGGCTCCGCTGCTCAGGCCGTAAGCATTTCAGTTCGTTTGACGCCTTGCAGTTCGACAAGTTTTCTTACAATTTGATGCTCGCGGAGGGGTTCGAAACGTCCCCGCTCCTCTTGGTTGCCCGGAGCTGTTCCTTGAGGAAGGCCGTGTGGTGAAAAATCTCGAGCACGTTCTGCTTGCGGTCAAAGCAGAGGTGGTTGCGGATATCGTGCGTGGGCCGGAATGACACCCCCAGTTTCTTCTTCAGTTTTGTTGCTCGCAGCTCTGACTTGACGTCGAGAAAGCGCTCGCTGTCTGCGTAGCTGAGAACCGGATGGCTTTCAACGGGGAAGAGCTCCCGTATGTACTGGCTGAAGGGGACATCGTCCTTCCAGTAGGTACGGAAAGCTCCCTTCTCGACGCGGTCCGACAGGTGGTGCAGCGCCGAAGACTCGACCATCAAAAGCACCTTTACGACCAAAGACGTGGCTTGGAGGAGGTCAGCCGGGTCGTGGGGCCTCTCGCCATCGCTCGGGGGAAAAGCGAGCTGATAGAACTCAGTCCTGGTGGCGTCGGGATGGGACTTGAGCAGGGCAATTGCCCGGAAGAGGTCCTCATGGCTTTTCAGGGGCCTGGACGAGTTGGTGGCCGCGTCGACATATGCCGAGACGACAGCCTTGTAGTACTGCAGATACCGCTCGAGACGACAGCTCCGCCGGCACGGGCAGGCGCTAGAGACACATCCTTGTCCTGACAGGCAAGCTGCACAGGTTGTCCAGGACCAGAGCACCTGTCCAAGGCAAGGAATCAGGGCATTGTCAACGTTTTCCAGTGGTGCCGCAGCCATCTTGCCTCATGGGGTATGAATAGGGTTGAGGGAGGGAAAGGGGAGCCGCGATGGTGGCGACGACCCTTGGATGGAAAGTGGCTGGGCTTCCGGCCAGCAAATCAGATCGGGCTACAACTGTGGAAAGAAATAGATTCCCCAATGCGCTGCGATGCAATTGGAGGCCGGTCTGCTGACCTCGGTTTCGTATGTGGCAGTGCCTGCGGGCTGGCTGCGACTCAGCTGAGATATTTCCTCGTCCCAATCCGGTCCGGCCCCGACTTTTCCCTTCGATTTCATTCTCTCGCATCTCCTCTATTTGCGTTGGTGACGCCAGGGCTCTTGAAAACTGTAATTTCCAATGGCAGCCATCATGGCGCCTGAGAATCCCCTGGTCAAGGGCGCACCCAGTGCTCAGCATGCCCCTTCGACTCTCTGCTTGAGGAAGTCAGGTCGGCCCTTGTCGACCTCACCTTCTGCTGCCGAGCTGCAGGATAAGTTGGACGGGTTGAGGGACGAGCGTTCAACGCCTTCGACAGACAAGAGAGTCCCCTCCCCTTTGCACGGCAGGGATGCCAAGGCCGACCCCAATGGCGCTGATACCCGAAGCGACTCGGGATACGCGTCCTTAGCCTCCTCCCTGTCACCCGAGGCGCATCCCAGCAGGAGCCTGGCCGACCGCGCCGGGCTCCCTGACAGTCAATCTGGCGCGTCGGTCCCAAAGTTCTTGGACAAGCCTATTCCGCAGGAGCTGCGGGACCGCTTCTTCGATCTGAAGATGCTGTACTCGGATCCTCTGTGGAAGGCCGTTTCCAAGAACAAGGCCAACCCCGGCGATATGTCCATGAAGCTCAAGTACATGGGAGACGACCAACGCGATGCACAGCTCTGCATCATAGTTCACTGCGAAAAGGGGGTTTCCAAGAGAGTGAAGAAGTTCTTTGCCCAAGAGCATGTACGGGAAGACCTTAGCCCGGACTTCCAGGTGCGCGTTATCAACAAGGGCATACTCAGACTCGCAGCGTCGAACCCGGTCGCAGTATATGGCGGCTCTACTCACAGGACCACATTGTGTGGTACGGCCATCGAGGTGAAGGGCGAAAGAGGCTCTTCCTTTGCTACGATTGGCGGGCTTATCATGGCTTCGATGAACGACACGACGACCATTTACGGCCTTACGGCTGGCCATCTGATCGCAGACGTCTTCGAGGGCTGCCCTGAGAGTCCACCGTCGCTGGAAGAAGACGAGGGCGATGAGTCCGATCAAGATGTGCCCGAGGACGACGACTTCATCCAGCTTCTGGAACTCAATGACTCGAGTCTTGATCATGACGACTTCTCTTCCACGGATCAGAAGTTGTGCCATTTGGGAACAATCCAAGACTTTTGTCTTCCATCCTCCTCCATGCGGAAGGCAAACCGCGACTGGGCCCTCATCTCTATTACACCCAAAGAGTGGCTTCCTAACTTCCTCGCCGCGACGTCGCATCAAAGGGAGGTTGGCGAGTCGCGGAAAGGAGAGACGGCAGACGAACAACCGCCAAATAGGAATATGTTTTGCAGCCCAGGGACGCCAAGTCTTTCCTCCCCTCAAAGAGTCGTCATCATGACCGCCCGAGGTCTCCAGCAGGGCACACTGATAGCCAACCATTCCTCCCTCCTGATGATGCCTGGAGAATTATTCGTCAATACTCTTGATTTTTTGCCAAGTACGGGGTCGAGTAAGTTCAAACTCGGGACTATATAGGAAATCGCATGTGAGCATGAGCTAACACTCTTGGCCAGGACTACGGCCCGGAGACTCTGGATCCTGGGCCGTCAACGAAAGCACGGGCGAGATCTTTGGCCACGTCGTGTCGGTTGATGCGTTTGGCGAGGCCTACGTGATGCCAATACAGGACACGCTGCAAGATATTCGGTCTCATCTCCAAGCACAGCACGTTGGACTCCCTCGCCAATTGGACGTCACGCTTCTTCGCGAACAACACCAAAACACATCCCCTGTCACGATCCCAAGACAGCGTGGAGCCTGCGAGCAGGACCAAGACTTCATAGGCATGGGGGCCAGCCACAACCCCTCCTCGGCTCCCGCAGCTGCTACGGACCACGCTGTGATGACATGGCCTCATTTTCAGGCGAGGAGTGCCTCGGAAGCATCATTGCTTGGATACACCGACCCCTTCTTGGCGGCTGCATACCCCCACGCCTTCACCTACCCGATGATGGAATCTGACAGCGCAAGATCCAACCAGTCCCTCCACACCAAAACCACCCTATCTGGACAGAATCAGAACGCAGAAATCCAGCTTCGACCAAAACCAGCCGTCGAAGGCTATAAGCAAGAGCCGACTGGACCCCTAGCACCCAAGGCCGCGTACCAGCGTCCGAAGCACCCCAGGGTCAAGTGCCTCCAGTGCAACGAGCACCCTGATGGTTTCCGTGGCGAACACGAGCTGCGCCGACACACCGAGGCCAAGCACGAGAGCATGGTAAAGAGGTTCATCTGTGTAGAGCCCAGCCAGGATACTAGTATCATGCCGTTCAAGCCACTCGCCAGCTGCAGGCAGTGTCAGGCTAGGAAACAGTACTACACCTACTACAATGCCGCCGCACACCTCCGACGGACACACTTTAGGCAGAAGCCGCTGCACAAGGGCGCCGTAGCTGGTAACAGCAGCAACGGCGCGGATGAGAAACGTGGCGGTAAGGGAGGCGGCGACTGGCCGCCGATGGCCGAGCTTAAGTACTGGACGACGGTTATCACAGTGCCGTCCAGTGACGCCAGCGCTTTTGTGGCCGACGACAAGTCGACAGGCGTTGCTGAGCAGGAAGGCATCGAGCCTGAATATTACCCTGCGCGTATATTCAGTGCCCATACCTCATCAGCGTTCTCAACATCCACGTCTGAAGACAAACTTGGTCACTCTACCGACATGTCTGCCGTCGCGGGTGTGGGAGGTGGCTATGACGCAGACCTTCAGGACATGGGAGTCATGCGGCCCGCCATGTCCACCCCAAGTATGGACAGTAACAAGTACACATCTCCCGTGCCATGAACAGCCACCATCACCCCGACGGGCTACGTCGAAGCGCCGGGGGATGGTTTGTCCGACATGCCCTTTGGGATGACGTTCTCAATGCCCTCCTAATGGCCCACCGCATAGAGGGGGAGTTTCGTGCGGCGTGGGTTGTTTGGGTATGGGCATCTTGTTCAGCTCTCCCTTCCTCCTGTCTCGAGGTCGATCTTCATACAGAACGTTAGAATCATCGAAGTCCTTTATAGACTCCGAATGGGGGATTACATCTGCATACTTCTTGATGAGAATTATGCATGGGCAACCTATTCGGTATGCAAGGAGTCTGCGCATCACAGATACCAACAGGCTGGTAAAATCCTTCCCAGGTGCAGATATGATGTGGAATGCCTTCCCCCCGAGGCCCATGGGCCCCATCTTTTTCAGGCCTGATCATCTATTTCCACCTCCTCTCCTTCTCACCCCACGCCGGCCCCCTCCCCTGTCCCTTACATACGTCCCCAAAGTCACCGCCCGCGGGCCCCTTGACCGGCCATCCTCCCACGCCGTGTTCACCGCTTCTTCCAAGTCGTGTTCCCGCCCAGGAGGAAGCAGACCCGCCCGCATAAAAAGGTGAAACTGGTCGAGCACCCAGCCGGTGCAGCCCCTTCCGTCCTGGGTGAACTCATACCGATGGTTATCGTTGGCGATGATGGCGTCCAAGAAGTCAGCCACGGAGCGCCCAGGCACAGCGGAGATGGAGACGGTCTTGTGGGTGTTGCGGGTCAGGCCATATCCGTGCAGGACGATGTCGAATCTGCCGAGGAATCCTTCCTGTCCGGGGAAGGCGCCGGGCACGAGCTCGAGGCAGACGGACTCGTCTTTGCCGGTCTGCAGATATATCTGCCAGTGGTTTCCGCCACTCTGTAGCACGCTGTGGGCGATGAAATGGCCAGCCGAGACGATGCGGTTTGGACTGCGGATATCGGGCTCGGCACATGGGGGTATGTAGTTGAGGGGGTCCCACTCGTGCATCTCGTGGGATTCGAGGTGGGAGCGGGAGGTGCTTCCTCTGGAAGAGGGGAAGCTGCAGCAATTTCCCATTGATGAAAGATTGTGTGTTCGTAATTAAATACGGGGACTAACTTGACCAGCTAGAGGATACCTTTTTTTTGGGTGCGTTTTCAATATAGATAGGAAGTTAAAATCTGTCATCTGGTCCTTGGTTGCTCTTCTGTCATTATTTTTGGTGGCTGCCTGCGTTGTTGGCTCTCTGTCCCGCACCTAAGACGGCCAACACACGCGCCTCTGTAGGCAGGGCATCATAGCTACTAGGCTATCTTTGTCCCAGGAGTTGAAGGGCCACTCTGTATTTAACTATCAAGGCTTCTAAATACTTCCAGGACTTGCTTGGCACTAAGCCGATCGTCAGGCTTGAATGCAAGCATCCACTATGCCATGATAAAATGAATATAAAACTGGTGTAAAAGTAGACCTATATGCCGCCTAGTTGTAAACGACGACCGTCCGTCCGATCATCCGACCGTCCGCGGACGGTCGAGTGACACGTGACATCCAACGACAATGAAGCTCATGGGCGGATATCTGGTCACCTCATCACGATGAGCAACCCACGTGGTGATAGACCTATTTACAATGCCTATCCGTACTTCTATTTCAGTATAATATCCCGGAGTACCCGAAAACAAGATACACCTTATTAAGTTGGAAAGACCAACACTATCATGATGTCCAACGCCGACGTTGCCAGTAGCGCACATGTACTAGCCCGAGAGTTGATAGCCACGGACTCCCCGAGGCAGCGACCGAGTCCGCCGCCTGCCAGGCGTCGAGACAAGCCCCAGCTAAGTTGCAATGCGTGTCGGAGGCGGAAGTGAGTCATCTCACCTTCCCACCCTTTTGGAGAAACAATCATGATTCGCCATCTCGACGACTGAGAGTGATCATCCGGCCCTCTCCGGCACTTGCCTGTGCTCGGATTGTGCAGCCGACATGTAGGGCTAATATAGGCCGACAGAGTACGATGCGACCGTCTGTACCCCTGCAGTAACTGCTCGAGTAGGGGACTGGATTCTTCATGTACTTACCCTACCACGCGCGCGACGCTATCAGGCCGGCCTCATGCAAGCGCCCATGTGCAGGAACGCGTCAACAAGCTCGAGAACTTGGTCCTGAGTCTCATGCAGCAGACTGCCTCGAGCCCCGGTGGATCACCATCAGACCTCCTGCCAGCCACACCAGATGAAGGCCCTCCTTGCCAGAGCCCCGCAACCGATCCCGCGGGGCCAGAGGTGGCCAGACCCGGGCCTGAGATCAAAGTCGAAGTATCACCATCCCCGTCCGACTATGGCAGCATCAGGATACGAGAATCAGGAGTCAGCTATGTCAGCAGCGCACATTGGGCAGCCATGCTCGACAGTATTGCCGAGCTGAGGGATCACCTCGAGAAGGAGGACGAAGTCCACGCGCGAAGCCCTGACATTGTCCAGCTGCAGGCCAGCTTTCCCAGTCCCCAGCTCCTCTATCATTGCCCAATGCATGTAACTCCAGCTTCAATTCTCGAGGCCATACCACCTCGGTCCGCTGTGGATAGATTGATCTCCCGTTATTTCAACGACCTGGACATGGCTACAGGTAGGGTATCTCGTCAATGATGTGAAAAATCTCGCCACTTTCTTTCCCCTTGACTGACCGGAGACCAGGTGTCGTGCACAGAGCCAAATTTCTTCGAGAGGTACCACTCACCCCATCTATTTTTCCTTGTTGCCCGTTCTTGAGCTGCCCCTGCTCTCTAGACTAGTGCTGACGCCAGACGCCAGTATGAGGAATTCTGGAAGTCACCACAAGCCACACCAATAATGTGGGTAGGCCTTCTGTTCACAATGATGTGCCTGTCGACACAGTTCCAACAGTCTCTGCTTACTCCTACCAACGCCTTGGCTGGGGGTGGGCCCTATGCATCACCTTCGCAGGCTTCCGAGAACCAAGCAACGGTAGAAATGTTCCGAGAGAAGATCATACAGTGCCTTAACCTGGGCCACTACACAAAAGGCGGGCCCTACGTAGTGGAGACGTTGATTCTCTACTTCCTGGTCGAGCTCTTCCCCCTCAAGGAGGTCGACATTGGCATCTGGCTCCTGGCGGGCAATATAGTCCAGATTGCCACGCACATGGGATACCATCGAGATGCCACCCACTTCCCCAACATCTCCCCCTTTGAGGGGGAGATGCGGAGGCGTGTCTGGGCGATGATAGTCCAACTAGACTTTAGCATCTCCACCCAGATGGGACTGCCCAGGCTGATCAAGGAGAGCCAGACCAACACCGCCGAGCCGCGGAACCTGGCTGATTCGGACTTTGACGAGCATACGGTCGAGTTACCCCCTTCTCGGCCGGAGACAGAGGTGACACCCACCCTCTACACCCTATCGAAGCTCAGAATACTTTCCGTCGGGACCAGGGTCGCCGATGTGGCTACCAATCCCCGGCCGTACTCGTATGACAAAGTGTTGGAGCTCGATAAGCAGATCGACGAGGCCCGGGACGCCCTGCCAACCAGCATGAAATGGGAGGGCCTGGCGTCCTCCCTCGCCGTACCGCCGCTGGTGATCCTGCAGCGGATCTGGCTAGAGATATGCGTCCAGCGCCTGAAGATCGTCCTGCACAAGAAGTTCCTCGTGCCGTCCCGCCTCCAAAAGCAGCAGCAGCAGCAGCAGCATCTCGACTCGCGACCTGCGTGCCTGACCGCCGCCATGCGAATCCTGGAATTCCAGCATCTCATCGACGAGGAGACCCAGGTGGACGGCCTGCTGTACCTGATACGCTGGAGGGTGTCTACCGCGCTCACGCACGAGTTCCTCCTCGCCACCAGCGTTCTATGCTTGTATCTCCAATTCCACGCCGAGGAGCAGGGAGAGCAACATGACAATGACGTCTCAACGGACGCCGAGGTCGCCCCGGCGGACAGGATCAGAGAGCTCTTGAGGACATCACAGGCCATCTGGCTCCGGTTAAGCGCCGATTCTACTGAAGCCCGGAAGGCTGCCGCGGCTCTGCGTTATGTCCTCGGTGATTCAGGGGTCGGGTCGGAGGCCTTGGGGTCTGTGGACGGGATGTTGGGCCCTGCATCTGTTGCGGCCGCCCCGTACTTCTTTTCAGGTGAGTTGCCCGATTATCTATCTGGTACTACACTGGATCGTTTTCTTCAAGGTGGTCGAAGGAACCGCTGCCTAACTTGTAACAGGATTTTTAGACTTGATTCCAGGCTATAACTACCCCAACCTGGGACTGGAGCCGACAGACGAAGAGCCATCTTAGTAGAAGTTTGTGCCGGACTTGAACCATGATGTTGAGCAACAGGCGAAATATAGTTTAGATGGACCTGTATTATGATCTGGCAGGCCGGGTTAGAAACACTTCCGCATGTCTATACCCCCTAAGGTGGTAGGGCGCTGTTGGGGTGGTAGGCCAAGGCATCGCTGATAGACACGGTAAACGTTGCAATGGGATGCTTGTGAAACCGATTACGGGATAGAACGGATGGTGCCTATTAGTTTCGACACTGGGAGACAAGTACCTTTAGCAAAGACATAGGAATGAGGAGATGTCGCGATGTAGTTGAATAAAATCAACAAAGCCAACTGGTTTACTAATTCAACTTTATTGCAGTAAAAGCCACCGCAATTTGATGAGTTGGAGGTGAATACTCGGCAGGGAGATTTTCTGGCGAGATGGTGATATGCACCCCTTAACCCCTTTAAATCTGACCACCGTGGTAGTTGATATCCCGTTCACATACCATGGCTTGAATGAGAGCACCCATGTACGTTTCGTTAAATGTGTCCGCTAATTATTTCGGGATTCCCATTCAAACTATGAGATCAACCAGGCATCTTGGTTTGTCTGGGTCGCGGCGACGTCAGCATGTCCGACGTTGCCAGTGTTCCTGTCGAGGCTCAAGCCATGGGTGTCAATTTCAACCCGCCGCCCTGGTTCTCTTGGCTCCACGGACGCCCCTTTGAACAAAGCCAGAATCGTTCTCTGAAGATGCCAGTGCAGATGATAAGGATAAGTATATGAGATAGTTGGCTTAGCATCTCAAGGTACGTTTGCTGTTCGCCCAACTTGTTTTGAGATTCGTGTAAGTGGGACAATGATTAATCTCGAGGTCTCCACGAATTACAGTATCTCTTTGCTGAGGCTCCCAATTACAAGTGCGTAATTCATGCCCATAAATATGCTCGGCATCTGTCGTTCGATTTACGAGACTGGCGAGACAGCGGTCCCGAGGATCACTTTGGCGATTTGGGAAAGTTGGCAGAGAGGAGGATGAGGGAGCTTGACGTCTAATGTGGTGAATCTGCTCCAGGGGCTGCGTTGGGGTCCTCTTGGCAGCTTTAGTCTTACTTGTTGAGAGGTTAGGCGGCTAGATGAAGGCCGAATAGTTTTCGTGATCATTTCCACAGGGATGAAATCGAGCGCCAATTATTCCCACGTCTGGCTATTTGGCACCTAGACACCAGGATATTTTATAAATGTTTATTGTTGAAAACCATCACACTGTGCAGAAAGTTGGGACCTAAATATCAGGGTCCTACCAAGGAGTCGTGCATAAGCTCCACTAAACCGACCACTAGAATGAGGCAGCGGGAAGCGCGATGTGCGATCTACCTTCTTGGATGTCGAGCCGTCGTTTTCAGAGTTTTCATTCTCATATTTAACATCTCATCGCAGGACCTGTCTACCAAGCAAAGTTACCAAGGCAGTTCACATACACTCATTATCAATCAACTCCCCATCGCTAAAGAAATTAGAAATATTTTTATTTTATTTCAAAAATAATAATTAAAAAAGGGACAACATTCTCTCGCAACAATGGGTTCAACATCACCAGCGGCGCTCCCCGCGCTCAAGACGGCGCCCAAGATCATCTTCTTCACCGACTACGACGGCACCATCACGCAGCAGGACTCCAACGACTTCCTGACGGACAACCTCGGGTACGGGCTTGAGAAGCGCCTGCAGGGCAACCACGACGTGCTGTACGGCCAGCGCCACTTCCGCGACAGCTTCCAGGAGATGATGGACAGCGTCACCACGCCCTTTGACCGCTGCATCGAGGTGCTGTCCCGCAACATCACCCTGGACACCGGGTTCCGCGAGTTCTACGACTGGACCCGCGCCAACAACGTGCCCATCGTCATCCTCTCGGGCGGCATGCGGCCCATCATCAGGGGCATGCTGGCCGGCTGGCTCGGCGAAGACGAGGTCGACAACGTCCAGATCGTCAGCAACGACGTCGCCGCGAGGCCCGGAAAGTCCATCAACGAGGAGGGTGGCTGGCGCATCAACTTCCACGACGACAGGTGAGCGAACCACCCCCCCCCCCCCAGACAACTGACGGCGAAGCCGGAGCCGGGGACCCTCTTTCAATTCTTAAGGGGTTTAGTTTCCAAAAGAGTTGAGGCCATGACACACACAAAGCTGACACGGATTCCCTTTTTTTTTTCTGCAGCCACTTTGGCCATGACAAGTCGCTCGAGATCCGGCCATACGGAAACCTGCCCGCAGAGGAGAGGCCGATTCTCCTGTACGCCGGCGACGGCGTGTCGGATCTGTCAGCAGCCAAGGAGACGGACCTGTTGTTCGCCAAGGCAGGACGAGGTAAGCTACTCCCCCCTAAGCCCCTCTTTCACCCCTTGGCGCAAAGCCCCTTTTTTACTAAAAAGTTTGCCCAAGACCTCGTGACCTACTGTGAGAAGGAAAAGGTCCCTTTCACCACTTTCGAGGACTTCTCCGAGATCTTGGCCACGGTGAAGGCCATTGCCGCTGGCACGCTCAGCGTCAAGGACGCTGCGACCGGCAGGAAATGAGAAGGCCGGGCTGGATTGGACGGCGTGGCCTTCTGGGAGGCGAGCAGGTGAATCTTGTTGCATCATAGAGGCATAGACTATTATAGACTTGGCTTTTGGAAAAAGCTATTATAGAATAACTAAGAATCTCACTGGATGAGATATGACTATGGGCACCATGTTCTAGGATCATCACACGCACATTGTAAACTGGTTAGTTGGTTAGTTAGCCTTACGATAATAGATATACCGGGGGCTGTACTTGCCGTAGCTAGAGTAGGGCATCGCGGTGGTGCAGTTGGAAAACAGAAACGCCATCCATTTGTCCCGAGAGAAACTACGACTATTAGGGGGATATTAAGTGATTGATGCCCAACGGAAGCCAAGCCACGTTTGATGCTCCAGTAAACAAGATCCGTCTCACCAGGTCCTCCGTACTCCCACCAATAAACGCCTTCCCAAGCATAACTTCGTCGTAAATAGAAAAGAGAAGTGAGAGAGAGTAAAAGAGACTGAGAGACTGAAAAAGACCGGCTATTCCGACCTCTTGGGCTTGCTGGGCAGTCCATACCAGCACCCCATCATGACGCCGAACAGCGCGATGGCGATGGGGTGCAGCACAAAGGTGCCGACGGCCTGCGCCAGGAGACCCGTCGTGAAGGGCGCCGCGGCGCCCCCCGAGCTCCCAAACGCGGAGATGACGCCCAGGCCGCTGACCTGCTCTGACCTGCTCATGCTCCGCAGGAACACGGCCGCGGCGCAGGGGTAGACGGGCCCCAGCAGCAGGCCGACGATGGCGACGGCGACGGCGGGGCCGATGACGTTGGGGACCAGCCAGACGAGGAGCTGGAACATGGCGGCGCCGGCGACGACGGCGTAGACGAAGCGCTTCTCGCCGACGCGGTGGGCGGGCGCCGACAACAGGAAGCGGCCCAGCGTGATGCCGCCCCAGAAGCCGGCCGTGACGTAACCCACGCTGGACGGGTCGCCGTGCCGGTTGGAGATGAGGAACGAGATGACCCAGCCCGAGATGCTGACCTCGGCGCCCTGGTAGGCGAAGATGAAGAGCGCGCCCAGGAGCACCACCCGCGACGAGAGCGCCGTCATCATCCCCGCCAGCGACGCCTTGCGCGGGACCGGCCGGCCGTCGGCCGACACGAGGGGCTGCCGCAGCTGCTCGCCCGTCTCCTTCTCGTAGCCCCAGAAGGCCCAGACGGCGAAACCGGCGTTGACGAAGGTCATGCCCAGCGTCAGGAAGTAGTACCTGCTCCAGACGGCGCCGGCGACGGCGACGAGGGAGGTGGCGATGAGCGGGCCGACGACGCCGCCGACGCCGTAGGAGCCGTGCAGGACGCCCAGGGCCGTGGTGCCGTTGGACAGGCCGCCGCAGAAGACGTTGCTCACGGCCAGGTTGATGGAGACGCCGAAGCCGAGGAGGAAGAAGGAGAAGACGACGACGGGGAAGGGCGCCGTGCACACGATCGGGACGTAGCCGCATGCTATCATGAGCTCGCCGAGGGCTATCATCTTGGCCCGGCCGAACCGCTGGCGGAGCGAGTCCAGGAAGCACGCCCCCATGATGAAGCCCAAGGCGTTGCCGACGAAGATGAGCGAGACGAGGGCGTATCCTATATCGTAATGCCTGTTCGCCGGATTTGTTAAAAGAATTGGACAGGAGCCAAGGGGTCATGACTGGACACGTACGCCTCCATATAGGGGATGAGAGCACCAGGGGCGCTGTCGTTCAGGCCATTTCTAAAATTCACCAAGCACGTCGCCAGGAACCTGAACCTGTTCATGTACGGATCCCATATGCTTGGCAGGGCCTCGGCACTGTCTGGCGGGAAGGTGGGACTGGGTGGCCGGCTCATCTCGAGATCTTCGATCTCTTCTCTTGGTGTTGTGGTTCCAGACGTGGCGGGCAGACTCACAGCCCTGGAAGCCCGCTGCAGTTCAATTGAGTCCTCCCTCTGCGGAACCCCGGGGTAGACACGGGGGAGTGCCTTCGCCGGGGCCGTGGGCAGGTCTGCTGGAGCGGACTCGACAGCGACGAGCTCTCTCAGCATCATGGCGTCCATTGCCATTTTTGTTAGAGTTCACGGAGTAATATGGGGACACAGTAAAAAATGGAGGCAACTGGGCACGATGCGGACTGTCAAATTTGATCAATTCTGGGAAAGAAGCGTACGTGGAGGGACAGGAGGGCAAAACAGAAGAGACAGATGAAAGAGAAAGAGAAATATGCGAGACCCAGGGCCACCGACAACGGTTTGCCAAGTTGGTCAGCATAGTTGCGGGGGCCTCAATAATCCATCGTGAACTACCTATGATAGGCTTTCGTGCCAGACCGTCAATCGTCACAAGGCTTCAACATTTGAGTGTCATTCTCCACCCCGGTGGCTGGCCGCAGGGTCCAGACCAAAATATACGAGGTACCGGTGCTCGGTGTGACAGTCTGGTGGGTACAAAGCTCTGATACTAGTGCCGTTGTCGGGTTTTAGTGATGCATCCCCAACGGGCCGAATGCGTGGCAGAAAAAGATCTTTCAAACTTGGCGGCGCGGGTAGTGGTTGAGCAGGCGTGGTTGAGCAGGCCGAGAAACGGAGCGCGGGAGGTTCCCCTGTAGATTCGGGTAAACCACGGGCATTCGGGTAAGATACCGGGATGGGCCCGAGACCCGTCGAATCCAATCCAATCCCGCTTTGATGCCGGCCACAGCTCGACCACCATCCCACCCTCCCACGACCCCGCCGAGCTCCCCAAAGTCGCCCCCCCGGAGGAGGCCACGAGATGCCTCCTCATATCGCCCTGCGGGCGTTTGCCCGTCCAATGGCGAGCAGGCTTTCTGAACCTCTTCGCTCCTCGATCGGGGCAACTCCAAGGACACCAATACCACACAGACTCTCTACTCGACTCTCTCGATTGCCCTCCGGCTTGAGCCGAAGCCCAATCTGCCCCAGCTGCACCCTCCAGCCCGGACTGCGAGCCTATTCGACCAACCCCCCACCGAGTAAACCCACAGACGACAACCCCAGCAGCAGCAGCAGCAGCCATGACAACAAAACCGACAGCCCAGACCGCTCCTCCTCCTCCCCAGCCCAACCACATGACCAAACCCCCCCACGCGCCGCAGACAACCGCCCGGACCCCGCCCTCCCGTCCACAGCCGAGTCCTCGCGCCACGCCCTCTCCGCCCGCTTCAGCACCTTCATGGACAACCTGCAGTCCCGCGTCTTCGTCGCGAGCCAGACGCTCAACGACCTGACGGGCTACAGCGCGATCGAGGCGATCAAGGCCGAGAACTCGGCGCTCGAGCGGCGCCTCGAGGCGGCGCAGGCGCGCCTGCACGCCGCGCGCCAGTCGTACAAGGACCTGACCTCCCGCCGGGCCTCGACGCAGCGCGAAGTGACGACGCTGCTCGCGCGCAAGGACTCGTGGGCGCCCGGCGACCTGGAGCGGTTCACGGCGCTGTACCGTCTGGACCACGAGCTCGAGGCCGGGGTGTCGGCCGCGGCGGCGGAGCTCACCGAGGCCGAGGCGGACGAGGACCGCCTGTCGGCGTCGCTCAACGCGGGGATCCTGCGGCGGTACCACGAGGAGCAGATCTGGAGCGACCGGATCCGCCGCCAGAGCACGTGGGGCACTTGGGGCCTGATGGGCGTCAACGTCCTGCTGTTCCTGGGCCTGCAGTTTGTCGCCGAGCCGTGGCGCCGGCGGAGGCTCGTCAAGGGCATCGCCGAGGGCGAGAGGGGCGTGCTGGACGAGCTGCGGCAGGAGGTCGCGACGCTGAGGACCGTGCTGGCTGAGAGGGTCATTGCTCCCGGCGGAGGCGACGTCCAGTCGTCCGAACCCGTTCCCGTCGCTACCCTGGACTCGCCTGCGGGCCTAGACGACGTGGTGGCGCTACCCGAGATGGCCCGCCTCGGCGGCGAGCAGCCCGCGCCATCGTGGAAGGAGGTGCTTTCGGATCCCGAACGGTGGCGGCCGGCGTTGCGTGACTTGTACAGCGAGCGGAGGATAGACTTGCGGATGAGGGATGCCACCGTCATCGCGATGGAAGGTGCCGCAGCCGGGGCGCTGGTCGCGGCGGGGGTCGTCTTCATGTTACTTAGGAGGACATAGCCATGAGAAATATGGCCAGAGCCGATGTCTATACTGTAAATAGAATAGAACCTGTTACATACCTGGTATCGAAACTGTAGAACTGCACCTGTGCTTTATCTGGTGGCTCCCTCCTACGAATCTAGAAAATAGGCGGGAACACGTATAACGGCCGGACGGGACACATTGAGAGATACTTGTATATTAAACGGTCGACTATGGACACCAAGACCGACCCTCCTCTTCAAGAGGCTCTTGATTCCACGGAACCGGAGCACGGCGCTGTTTGACCTTCGGAAAATCCGACCCATCACAAATATCGCTTCCAACTTTTGAGTATATTGTAATACCTCTGTCTTCCTCTGTGACGCCGGGCGAGTGGGCATGGAATCTATGGCCATGTCGGGGACTGGCTGGCAACTCAAATGCGGACGCTGACCTGTGCCAAGAAGCCCGGCTGGGTCTCCCCCATGGGCCCACTGTCCGCCATTAGCAACCAGACTCTTTTGAGGAGTCCCTATCTGCCGCCTGCCAGCAGTTCGCTCATCCACACCGGTATCGCAGCTAGAGATACTATCATCATCATCGGCCTCGTCGTCATTCTCCCCAAACGCCATCAGATGTGGCGAATTCACTCGAAGTCGGCGGTATAAGAGAACCCGCGGAACTCCTCCTGCATGGCCTGCGACAGCACTTCTCAAAGTCAGCATCAAGCCCCACGCTCGTCCCCGCACTGTCGATATCAACTTACCTGATTGCACCGGTGTCAGGACCGGCGTCACGCTTGTGAATTCGCTGTCGAAGTTGCTGGTGTCGGTCGCACTCTTGATCTGTGGCAGGAAGGGCGGCTGGACGCGCTTGTTGTAGATGTCGTCCCAGTTGATGTTCCTAAAAAATGGCTGAGACATGACTTCCTGGGCATCGGTGGGCCCGCTTCCCAGCCGTTGATCCGGCTCGCGAGTCAACAGTTTCTGCAGGATGGTGACGCTGTCGCGGGGCATCGAAATCGGGTACAGCGGCTCGTCGGCGAGAATGGCATCGTAGATCTCGTCCTCATCCTCGCCTCGGAATGGCGACTGCTGCAAGAGCATCTGGTAGATAAGGACGCCGAATGCCCACCAGTCGACGGCACGGCCATATTTCTTATCTAGGAGAATCTGGGGAGGCGAGGAGCTTAGTAACTCATTGTCTTTTTAGGGGGGTTATTAAAGGATAAGAAACGAACCTCGGGCGCCATAAACTCGGGAGTACCGCAGAACGTGCTCGTCGTCGACCCGTACCACATGTCTTCTTTGCATAGACCATAATCGGCAATCTTGATGTGGCCATCAAGCGTGAGGAGAATATTGTCAAGCTTGAGGTCACGGTAGATGACACCGTTCTCGTGGAAGTATTTCAACGCCAGACAGACCTCGGCGGCGTAGAATCTGTCAAACTGTCAGTAGAGGCCCAGCCAGGATTGCACGAACAGATCAAAGCAGAGAGAAACTTACTGTGCGCGCTTCGTACCGAACTGGCCACGCTGGATATGCAACATCAGATCGCCGCCACTAACGTACTCCATAACGAAGTAGACCCGGGTCTCGGTCTGGAAGCAGGCATGCAGGTTTGTCAGGAATGGATGCCGCTCCCGGTTCGCGATCAGGAACACCCGCTTCTCGGACCGGATGCTCTCGACCTCGTCATTCTCTATAATGAACTCCTTCTTCAGCACCTTGATGGCATACAGCATGCGTGATCGCTTCGTTTCCGCGAGCATGACCTTGCCGAAATTGCCCTTGCCGAGCACTGCAAGGAAGTTGAAGTGGTCCAGGCCAATGCGTAGACCCGTGCCCGGATCCGTGGCCGATGGAAGGGGCTTCTTCGCGGCAGATGGAATGCTGCCGGTGGGAGATGTCGCTGGCGGGAAAGGCTCCTCGATCTGGAGCTTCGGTGCGGATATCGGTTGCTGCTGATGTGAATACATTGACTGTTGTTGCGCCTGCACCTGCTGCTGCTGCTGCTGTTGTTGTTGCTGCTGCTGGACTGGCTGGGTCTGTACCTGGGGTTGGCTTGGGTATGCGCCAATATTGGCATAGTCAGCAGGGTTGTACTTCCGCTGCTGAGGCTGGCCGCCGTATTGAGCAGAGTATGCATCTTCTCGCTGATCTGGCCTGGGGCCATAACCTGCGGGACTTCCGTAGTGGCCTGGCCCAAAGTCTGGGATCCCACCCATCTGTTGGGGCTGAGGCAATGGTTTCGTGCCTGTCATCGCGGCGGCAGCGGCGGCAGATGCGGCACTCGACGAGGTGCGATCCGGGCCTTGTGGTCGTTGGGCAGCCTGGTTTGCATACATTAACTTGGCCGCCTCGGTAGCCTGGCTAGACGCCGCGGTCGGGCCATAAGGCGTAGGAGATTGGCCTTGGGCACCTCCGTAAGGAGAATGCTGTCCGGACGATGCCGTCTTTCGGTGGCTGGCCCGCAGAGTCCGGTCACTCATTGATGTCGCCTTCTCTTGCCGGTTTCGCTTCTGCGATCTTATGCCTTCCAAAATTTGGTTTGCGACGGCCATCGACATGCCACAAAAATCAGGAACGAGGTGAACGCATTGAGCGTGCGCAGTAAGGCTGCATTCTGCTCGCAAGAGTCAGCGACAAAGTCCACATAACATCCATGGCCGGAAGGGAAAACATACCTGAACATTTTCTCGAGTTCTTCTTGGAGCCAATCGGGAGCATATATCCGCAGTGGCAACACCAGTTCGCCGTGAGGTTCGAAAAGGGCTGGAATCTGTGCGGAATCCGGTGGTTGATCTTTTCCTCGTCAGGGTCCGTCTCGGCGTTCGACTTACTGATACACTTTGTGACGACGCCCGTGTAGCACTTAGTGTGGCAGGTATACTTGCAGTCCTCACATTGCATGCCTGCCGAGTACTTGAGGAAGTCTCCGCACAATGCGCAACGCATGATGTTGTAGAACTGGCGTTGCACAAACTTGTGGCCGTACATCTCGTGGACCTCTTCCTTGCGCTGCCGGATGGCGCCCTTTCGGCCAAGGCCCATGTCCAGCGGTTGACGGTCCTTTGTCTGCTTCATGAAATTGAGACTCAGGTGGATCTGGCCACTGGGCTCGAGGTTGAACCAGGCATCGACGGGCTGGCTCATGACTTGCATCGCCTGCGGTGGCTGTGGGCCTCCGTACGCACCGCTGCCGCCTTGCCCCTGGAAGTTCGGCGAGGTCGGGCCTGGCCCGAACTGAGAGTGCTGGGGGCTCATGGGGAATTGCGGAGGCGGAGCCCGGGGATTCGATCCCATTCGGTCGGCGGAAACCCATCCAGAGCTGTTGATTTCTGCTTCAATCTTCTTGCGTCGCAGCTCCTCGGCAATGTCGGATATCCTGACCCACAGCATCCCAATCGGAATCGGGTGCTCGCCGGGCTTGTCGTAGACGGTGAGCTCCACCTCGTTTGCCTTGTCGACCTCGACCGTGTGATACTCGGCTTCCCAGCGATCTGTGCGCGAACTCTTGGTCCGAGCCACCACATTGTCCTCCACCTTCACGGCAACGAACGTGTCGGGCCCGCGGCTGAATCTGCCAGTGGCGGCGTGGTCGACATCTTTCACGGCCATGACCCTGATGGAGAGTTGGCCGGTCAGGGGTTTTCGAAGGTTGGGCATGTTGATGCTATCATCTGATCACGGAGCGCATGGGTTAGTCAAGACAGCGCCAATGCTTTTGCCGGGGGGGGGGGGGCCATCAACCACATACCGTCCGGGGAATCGGCGTCCATATCGATGTGCAGTTCTTCGTATCGTCGGAGTGCCTGCTTTAGGAGTACGATCTTCTGCTTGCTCTCGATACGTCTAGCGGCGGCGTCCGCTCGGCTCTTCTTGTCACCCTCCATCTGGTAGAGCTGGACCATCTTCTCGACGCCCTTCAGGTACTGCTCCTCAACGTTGAGTTTGAACTGAATCTGGGACAGCATGAGCTGGATTCGGGGACCAAGGTGCGGAGTGTCGTATTTTATGAGGTCTAGAAAAGACAAGACCGTGTCAGCGGAAAAATAACAGGACAGGCAGTGTCATCAGCGTCAAAGAGGAGAGGGTCGTCGAATACACACCTAATTTGGTGAAATTGGGCCTTGGCTTTGGGATACTCGAGTTCGGAGGCTGGCCAGGGAAAGGATGGCGGCCAGGCATCAGACCGCCCTGGCCGGAGCCGTGCGGGGATGGATCACCATAGCTAGATCTGTCCTTGGGCGGCGGAGGTGGTGGCCCGTTGTTGTCCATTTCCGAACTCCTGGGTCGACCGGCAGAGCTGCCACCGGGGCCGAGGGACATGTTATCCATTCCCTGGCCCATCCGACGCATCTGGAGCTCGCGCAGCCTGTTCTCGAAGAACTCGAGGTTCCTCCTCCCCTCGTGCATCTGGGTGTCGAGCTTGGAGATGACGGCTTCATTGGTGGTCTGCTGGCGCATGACGCTGGCAGCCTGGATCAGAGCCTTCTCGCGCTCGATCTTCTTGTGGATGTCCAGGAGCTTCTCCTCGTCGTTCATCTTTGCGGTGTTGGTCCTGCGCGCCGAGGCGCACAGGAAAGGCGGGGCAGAAGCGACGAGCTGGGCGGGGAGAAGCACAGGACAGGCCGACTTGGGGCAGTCGGGCGTGTCGGTTGCGAAGTCTGGCGGCCCAAAATACCGTGCAGACTGTGTTTTGCGGGAGGTGGGAAAACGGGCAGGGGAGAGGCGAAGAGATGTCTGGTCGTCAGTGACGAATTATGGCGGGGTTTTTGTGTTTCGCATTCGGCAGCAACCAAGTCCTGCCGGGTGGTAACCGGGCAGCGGTCGCCTGATACGGAGGTGAGGTAGGTACTACAGTAAGTACCCAACAGTCGATAGTGATAAGGGCAGGGGCACTTTGAAGCTAGGTTGGCTCCTGCTAAATAGGTACTATGGGTGCTAGCTGCCCGCTGATGCAGCTAAGATGCAACCGATGGACCGGGGAAGGGCTGTCCTGCGAGCCTGCGTAGGTAGGTAGTATGTAGGTAATGAGGAGAAGGGAAATGGAAAGGACCTAGGTAGTGTAGAAATCAAGGATTACTTTCTTGGTAGAAACCTGCTAAAGGCTGCAAATTTGTCCTTCCAAACGGCAGGTATTCCCGACGTACCATACACCGTATCTACCTAATTGTGCTACTGGAAAGCCTCTAGTAATTCCCAAGAACCGCCCTCTCTCTTCACAAGGCGACGGGGTCGCACTGGGGGGGGCAGGACAAGCCACATTGCCACTGGACGCTAACAGAAACCAAGTATGACACACGTGATTGTCCCAGCAGCTCCACAATCGCGTCTCTCTTTCCCGAGTCCAACAATGGAACACCTCAGAATACAATACACCATTATTTAGATGTACGGGTGCGAAACAGTGCCTAGGCAATTATGAACCCGTCTCGCCGTCTACCGTAGTACTCTTCTTTGCAATCCGATCCTCCCGTTACCAGGTCATTATCCTATCAGCCGCGCGCGGGTTGTCTTCAGCTGCCGATCATTGCTCCTTCAGAACCCAGTTAGTTCATGAAGAATGAATATCCCGAACGGGATCAGCAAATCAGCAAAATGTTTAACAGTAGGTACATGTAATTTTCCGGCTTTTGAATCGGCAGCAAGGGCGAGTGCCGTCAGACCCTGATTACCATTTACTCCGTTTTTGCCCAAACGACGCCTGAGATGCTCTTCATTCGACTCCTAGCTGAAAGAAAAAGGACGCACGCATTCACTAGCTCGACAGGATATTTCAGCCCTACCATAATAAGATGTCGTCAGTGCGCCACAGGACGGCAGGGACCTCAACTCCTTGAGCTCAGTATATGTAATCAGTAACGGCCCGAATTGATTGACTGCCTCCGCCTCTGACTTCGATGAATCAGCAACCTTAGACTTAAGACAGCCTTGAATGCCCGTCACGTTGTATCAGGATTGAGTGGAGGCGAACGGATGAGCCTACGTCCAAAGTGGCAGGTAGTGAGCTAAGTTGCCCACGGGAAAGTTACCTGGTCCCCGTTTCTCAAGACCGACGCTCTGTCTCAAGCTCGAGTTCCGAGGGCTGAGCCACAAAACTTATCGACGACGGCGAACTCACTTTCTGCTGTTTGCTTCCGGCTACGGTGGCAAGACGAAGCCGTCGTGTCCTTGGTGGAGCTAATGGCAGCATTCCTCGATCGCCCACTGTCTCAACACTGGAATGCAGCGCCGTTTTAGGGGTTCGCGCTATTCCAACCCCATCACCACGGTAACTGATGTAATAAGGGTCTGTTTGCGTACACGCCAGGGCGATCTTCCCCCGAGAGATAGCTCTGGCGTTTACATATGCTCAGGGTTCCACGGGAAGATCCCATCCGGGACGCTAAACGAGGCCGTATGCTAGAGAGTTGACGGGGCGCAGTTCCCGTATGGTCTTCATCACGACAATCCACAGTGAACCGGAAAGGCTGAGCATGCTACTTTATGCTACTCTATGCATGGAAGCTATATGCAAGCCGAGGCTGCCCGGCAGGCTTTCCAAAACTAAGTAATAATAGATGCCGTACGCCTGGTACCCTTGCACCTAGTCTAAACAGTGTATTCCTTTTGAAGCGTCTTGGCGATGGTGTTGAGCCTGTCGGGTCTGTTAGCAAAAAGAGAAGGGAAGAAGAGAGCCAAGGACAATGTGCTTACTGGATGTTGCTCGTGCCCTCGTAGATGGCACCGATCTTGCTGTCCCTCCAGAACTTCTCCGCCAGACCCTCTCTCACGAAGCCCATGCCGCCCATCCACTCGATGGCCAGGCCGCTGACGCGGCCCGCGACCTGCGACGCGTAAAGCTTGGCCATGGCGGCGTCGGTGACAAAGTTCTCGCCAGCCTCCTTCTTCCGGGCCGCGTTGTAGACGAGGGCCCTCGCCGCGACGATCTCGGTGTACGACTGGGCGATCTGGTGCTGCATGCCCTGGAACTCTCCGACCAGCTGGCCGAATTGCTTGCGGTCATTCCAGACGTACCTTTGACAGAATTGTCAGCATACAACCATACGAGAGTGAAGTAAAGGGAGTCCTGCAGAGCTCTTACTTGACGGCGTTCTCCCACGAGCCCAGCGCAAGGCCGGTCATCTGCGCGGCAATGCCTATCCGGCCCTCGTTCAGGAGGCTGATGGCATACTTGTATCCCTGGCCCCGCTCGCCGAGCAGGTTCTCCTTGGGGATCTCGACGTCGTCAAAGTTGATGACGCAGGTGCTGCTCGCCCTGATACCCAGCTTCTTCTCCTTCTTGGCGATGCTGAAGCCCTTGGTGCCCTTGTCGACGATGAAGGCCGTGATGCCCTTGTACCCCTTGCTCGGGTCCATGTTCGCAAACACGATGAAGAAGTCGGCCTCCACGCTGTTGGTGATCCACATCTTGCTGCCGTTGATCTTGAACCCGCTCTCCGTCTCTGTCGCCTTGGTGGCGAGGGCGAAGGCATCGGAGCCGCTCACGGGCTCCGACAGGCAGAAGGAGCCGACCGTGTTAGTGGCCAGCCGGGGCAGGTACTTCTTCTTGATGGCCGCGCTGCCGTACTTGAGCACCGCCGTGTTGACCAGCGTGTTGTGCACATCCACCATGACGGAAACGCTGGGGTCCACGCGGGCGAGCTCTTCAATGCCCACAATGGCCGACGTGAAGTTCATGCCCGCTCCGCCGTACTCCTCGGGGATCTCGATCCCCATCAGCCCCTGCTCGAACAGCTGCTCTACGACGGTGGGGTCCATCGCCTCGGCCTCGTCCATATCTCGCACTTTGGGCAGGATGACCTCGTTGGCAAACTTCTGCACCGCCTCTTGCATTGACGTCTCAATCTCGGAGAAGTGTGTGATGGGCGTCGGCGGGACTTCAGTGAGGTTGGGATCCCGGAGGTGAGGGGTCGAGGAGAGAGGGCGTGCGGCGCTGAGGGGGCAGGTCAGCGCTTGCGTCAGTTGAAGAGGTAAATCTCGCCGAGTCTCGCTGAGTGAGGAAAGTATGCTAACCATTGAGCCATTGGGAGTATCCTCTGTGGCCTGCATCCTCGTGGTGTTGCTGCCGGCACGCCGGCAACCACTCCTTGTGCCCTTCGAACAGCAGGGCGAAGAGCCCGTGTAAGTGACCTCATGATGGATGGTGGTTGGCGGATTGAACGAGGTAGCTCTAGAAACAGAGAAATCGAGAGCAATATAGGACAGTTAGAGAAGATACAAGATCAAGGATTCAGTATGAAAGCAGCGAAGTGTAACAAATTGTCGTCGAGTGGGTAGAACCTGGGTGTTAGAGGGTTCGGTTGAAGATATGCGCCATGCCTTCTGCCGAGGGTAACCATCCGCTATTTCTAGTCTCCACAATTGGGAATCTGGCCAGCTCCGCACACGTGAAAGTACTCGGACAGTCGGAGACGGGACTGCAGGAAAGTCACGTGCAACAAAAAGTTCCACCACAGCCTTGTGCATTGGATATGTCGGACGCGCAGTGCAAGACATCCCAGGCAGGATCGACTTCGCACTCTTGATCTCCTTCCGCGCCTCACTGAAGCGGAAGCCATGGCGATGCCAATGCTGCGACACCTTCTGGCGCCGTCATTACGGCGGCCACTCACGGCCTCTACAGCACTCAGCCCTGCCATCCAATCCTCGACCTCCAGATCTTTCCCCGTCCCCCAACGGTCCCTATCGACAACCCCATCCGTCAACGCAACCCTGAACCAGGTCCTCCGAGTACGTGACCAAACCCACTCGGGACCCTACTCTCTCCCAAGCTAACCCCCCTCCGTCCTACAGGGCTGCCGCAAGGCCCAACGGGCGCGCCACGCCATCTCGCCCGCCCTCTCGGAGCTCAAGGCGCCGTCCAAGAAGGGCGTCTGCCTCAAGGTGGGCATCACAAGGCCCAAGAAGCCCAACTCGGGCGAGCGCAAGACGGCGCGTGTGCGCCTGTCGACGGGCCGCATGATCACAGCGTACATCCCCGGCGAGGGCCACAACATCCAGCAGCACAGCGTCGTGCTCGTCCGCGGCGGGAGGAGTCAGGACTGTCCTGGTGTGAGATACCATCTGGTTCGCGGTGCATTGGATCTTGTGAGTTACTTCCCCCCGCCGCTTTCCTCCCAATTCTGTGCGGGGGCCTGGTATCAGGTGTAAAGGGCCCGTAGGAGGTGTCGAGCGAGTGCGATTCAAGGGAACAGTGTGTCATGAACCTTGAACTAGCTGCTAACATCCACACCAGGGGGGAGTTGCCAGCCGCGTGAGCAGTAGGAGCAAGTACGGGACCAAGAAGCCAAAGAAGGCGTCTGTCGGTTGAGGGTAGCTAGGAAGAAGTCGCGGTTTGTCGAGCAGTTTCGTGCTTGAGGGCTTGAGAGACCCTGGACACTGTTGCGAGTCACATCTTGTACATCACCTACTGTAAAGCATATAACTGAAGAAGTGAATGATCAATTTCCACCTTGATGGGAACTGTAATCAGCATATATTTACAGGCCATCCGTGTGGTTAACTTTCCCCGTTTTCCAAGCCAAGTTCCTTTATAACCCGTACGCCGGTGTGCCCTGTTTTTCCCTAGCCAAAAGAGCCGCTCTCGAGGGCTTAAGGATAGAAGAAACGTCATTACTTTGATGATGGTACTACACTTGAACTCTATTGTCGTTTTGACATACGTCCGTTCTCTACTCTTGCTGGTTCTCCCATCCCTCGGGCTTGTCAAGGCCGGTGGCCTCGAAGAATCTAGATGTGCCTGGGAGATGGTTAAGTCGAGTCCACATTGGAAGAGGTGGCGAACAAGCAACTCACAAGAATATCCCTTCCAGTCAAAATTGTCCTTTGGATTGCAGTGGCAGCGGAGATCCGTCCGCAGCTTCTCGCCCGTCGGGCAGTGGGTGAATGGCACGTGGTAGTAGGCGATGTCGTTGAAGAAGTGGATCTCGTCCTTCTTCAACATGAGGGCCGCCGCGATGGAGTGGACCGGTGCGTCACCCCAACGCTCGTAGAAGAATCCACCGTCCTGGTCGAGGGATTCGAAGTAGTCGGTGTAAGCTTTAGATCGAAGCCATCTCAGGTCGCCGACCTCGAAGTTAGACCACTGGGCCGGTGTTAGCTGCAATCCAAGAGTGGGTGAGGGGATACAAACTAAAACTCACAAAGTGGCACTTGTTATAGGTGTTGCCATTGTCATCGCTGAGGAAACCCATCACGTTGTCCTCGGCGATATGTTCGGGGTGGTTCTTCATGAATTTCTTGACGCTGTCCCACAGCGTTGGGATCGTCTCGTGATATTCGTACAGGCTCAGCACAAAGCTGTATTTCTTGCCATTCTCCTTCATGAAACGGAAAGGATCGTAGTGGACGTCGCAGAAGAGTTCGATGCTGGGCTCGACGCGCCAGTAATAGTCGTAGTTCAGCATGAGTTCCTGGCGGAAGAAGAAGCCCGACTCAAAGCGGCACATGTGCCGGTAGCTGATACTGTCGCCATAGATGATCTTGCGTCGGGCCATGTCCTCGCGAACTTTCTTAGCCTTGTCCTGATCGATGTGCGGTGGAAAAGACCAGTGCTCCTTGGGAATCTCGCCGTAGTGAGTCTTGCCCGAGACAAGCGAGGTCGTGATCCTCTTGAATGTCTCATCGAAGGGCTTGTCGTTCAGGAACACCCAGTCATAATTGTATCGTCGGTTGAAGCGATCCTCGACCTGGCGAATCGAGCGCGCAATTTCCCATATGTCCGAGTTGCGAGCAAGCGTGACGAAGGTTGCGTTTGCGCGGGGCCCGGAAGCGATGCCACTAAGATCATTCCAGCCGTCGTCCATGGGGGACATAGCCATGGGGAACTCCTTTGGATCCAAGTCCGGGACACGGTTGGCGCTGCTGGTTGCGGGCTTGTTGTCGGACTGTTCATGTTTCGACTCGCCGCCCACCTGTGTCTCCTGCGGCTCCGGTGTCACCTTCTCAGGACGGCCACCATATTCTTTGGCTGGGCCGAAGGGAACGATGTCGGAGGACGAGCTCGTAACGAGGTAGAACACCGCTATAACCTAGGATGGTGTAAATGCCAATGCAATGGGATGAGGGTCGAAAAGGCTGCCACGGTCCACTCACGAAGAAAGCAAAAATAATATATCGCACATAGCGAGCACTGCCGGCGGCCATGATGGGTGAGAAATTGAGTTTGAATCGAAAGGTAGATGGCAGCAGCCCTGGCCTGGGCGGAGCGTTGTGATTTAAGGTGATCGGAGATGGGCTGAAAGATGATTCGGATTCGAAGGCTACCCCAGTTTCCGATATAGTTGAAGAGGACCTCGGCCAATCATGGAAATCGATTCAGGACTTTCAGTTCCTGATCATGCTCCTCAAAATCAGGTCGTCATGATCCGGGTTGACAAAAAGAACGGGGATGGGAATGAGAAGTGGAAGGGGGTCGACAAGAATATTGGCCTTGAAAAGGAGGGATGATATTGGGGTTCAAGCTAAAAAGGCTTGGCCAGTGGGCACGTTAAATGCGTTGTTCGCGTCAGAGAAATTCCATGCCAGGGGTGGCCAACTAGCGTGTGACGTAACCCACTATCATTTAATTACTGTCGAGGATGCATGTAGCAGATAACAGAGTACACAAGCGACGACGTAATACGGCATATGTCCCCCGACCTATAACCACCCATGCTTCCAGCTGAGATTTTAAAAATACGAGTCTGCTAGTCTGCCCATGAAACACCTCTGCTCCGTTTGAGGCGATCGACCTCGTTAAACCGTAGCGTTTTAGCGGTAGATCAGCATCAGATAGCAGGTCCAGCATCATGTCAGCCCATGAAAGGCTGGGTAGGTGCCTAAGCAAATAGGTGTATGTTTGGATAAAAATAGGTAGGATGAGGAGTGCAGGTGCAGGCACAGCAATGCAATGTTCCAAGGGTCGCTCTCCCTTTTGACTCCCTGACGCCCCTGTGGCACCACTGGAAACCTCATGCCTGCTCTCCTCAGCCCTGGGTTCCATCCCTCGCATGCATATATGATCTGCTGAGAGCCGCACCCCCTTCTCTATTTCCCGGTAAGATGATCTAAAGAATCTAAGCAGCACGATCTTGAGACTTGGCAATATGCACATCCACTACATAACAGGCGAGGGGCAACTAGAAGCAGCAAATGCAGGAGGTATTTTGTGTGGCTTTCTAATAAAAGGAGGACGACCCGAGAGGCGGGTGCTACCTACCAGCATGTGATGAAGGGCTACTGCACGGGCCACACTCATTGGAAAGGCGGCGGAGGCAAACCTTGGAAAACTGGAGGCGAGTGCAAGTTAATCCGATCTTCACCTGCCGATTCCCGTCGTCGCCTGTCTGTCGGACAAATATGAACTCGCGCAAGCCATCCCACCTCCACAGTCGCTTCTCCACAACCATTCGCCGTTGATATTCGCATCACTTCATTGCCGCGCCTGTCAGGCTCTAAGGTCAGGCTTTCCTCTGCAGTAGCAGAGCGCACACTCTACGCATTCCATTGGATTGGTTCCTTCTGTTCTTTGTCATACTCTCGATTCTCATCCTTCTTTACCACCGGTTTTGTTCTCCTCAACGCAGCTTTGCCGCATCACAAGTACCCGCGCCGACCTCGCATCATGATAATTCTCGCCAGCCTCAATAGCACCAACATATCATATCCTTAGGCCGTAAGTTTGCCTTTCTCTTCATGCCCTTCCATCACTCTCGTCTATCTTGATAGTGTTTGCACCTTTTACAATCACCACCATTTCACCTACTTGTCCTGCGCTCCGCTTTTTCCGCATCGTGGACTCCCCCGCTCTGCCTTGTCTGCCTCATCTTCATCCCCTCCCAGCTGCCTAGAAAACCTTGTGACTTGTGACTTGTGAAGGACCAAAGCAAAAAGGCCAGACTCGTATCAGATATGAGCCTCGGCAGATTCATGCTGCTTCTGCTATTCTGAGTCTGCTATTGCCTACTACTTCTCGTCCTGACCACAGTCACTGCGAAGGCCGAGCGAGTTCTTCTGCTGTCCCTCCAATTGGTGCAGCTTTCAGATCGCTAATTTACCCTCCAGGTGGTCCTTCCAGTTCCCACTCAAAAGCCACGCGGCTGCCATCCACAATGTCTTTCTTCGGCTTCGATGCGACGCATCACAACCCAGCCGCCCCCGGCTTCTCTCAAGCTCATGATCCCTTCGCTGGACTCTCCCACCGTGGCGATGATGGCGACGCTCTCGAGTTTGAAGATACTTATGATGGCTTGGGTGATCAGTTAGACGAAACTGATGATGCCTTCAATGACGATACCTTTGGTGGCGGTGGTGGTGGAGGTGGAGGTGGTGGAGGTGGTGGCGCAACCTCTGGGCCCGTTGGCAAGGATTTTGACTTTTTCGGCCAAACTGCCAAAGTTGCCAACGCCATCGAGGAAGAGCACGTTCGCTACCATCGCCAGCCTCCAACAGCCAAGATCACGTCTACGGCGGCAGCATCCGCTTCGACTTCGTCTTACTATGCCCCCCAACAATTCACCAAGCCAGCTCGCACTGGTTATGAGAAGTACAAGGAAGAGCCGGTTGAGGACCTCATGGTTGATGCCGCCCTTTGGGGGGTCGCACCGAAGAAGCCGCAACAGCCCACTGCTCCGGCTCAGCCACTGGCAGGGCCGGCACCCAGTCGGAAGATGATGAGCTTGGAGGAGGTCGAAGCCCAGATGCGTGCTCAGAAAAAGAACACGCCTCAGCCTTCAACCCAGCCTCCGGCTCAGGCTCTTCCTTCTCAGGCTCATTTCCAACCCCAGGCTGCGTTCGACAATGCTTATCACTTCGCGCAAGCCCAGCCTATCCCGGAGCAAATACCATCTCCCGCTGAGGCGCCCCCTCCGAAGGAGCACCATGGGCATGGACACCCTGTAACCATCCTCCAGCGGCCGCATTCGAAGCAAGCTCCTCACGCCGTTCCAAGTGCTCCGAGTCCTCAGCAGCGCCAACAGCCCGCGCCACCCGTCCAGCCGACTCAGATTCTGCAGAATCCCAACCGTCTGTCGGGCGATGCTTCACGCATTGGACCTCCTCACCAGCCTTCGCACCCTGGCCAGCCGACCCACCCGACCCATCCAACTCACAGGCAGCAAGGCTCCTTCTCCCGCCAGCCACCAACCCAGCAGCAGCCTGCACAACTGCCCCAGCTGTCCGAGCAGCAGAAGGCAGCATACCTGGCACAGGAGGCGAGACGTGCCAAGCGCAACCATAAGATCTTCCTCATGTCGCGTGATAATGGCATCATGACCCCGCAAGACAAGAACTTTGTCACGAGGATTCAACTTCAGCAACTTGTATCGGCAACTGGGAATCCCAATGAGCGTGGCACGGACGAGTCTTTGGCTGAAGATTTCTACTACCAGGTTCACAATCAGATCCAGGGCGGTCAGCGGCAGCATCCTAGCCAGCCATTGAACAACTTCGCTCAGACCTACCTCTTCCAGACGGGCAGCCGCCAGGGAGGCCTACGACGCCAACACCGGGGTGCCGAGAACCACATGCAGCGGATGGAGCAGCAAGTCCAGCGCGCCGTGGAGGCGGCCAAGAACAAGCCCAAGAACAAGCAGCTCATAATTGAAGGGAGTCTGGGTAAAATCTCCTTCAGCAATGCCAAGACCCCGAAACCCTTGCTCAATATCAAGCGCACCGATGGTCCCGGCGAGTCCCATCGGCCAGGTAGCTCCAGCCGGCACGCTGCTCCGGCTGGCATTGATTCCAAGAGCGTCTTGCGCTCCATCGAGCTCGTATACGACACGCTGATGAAGATGGAGGATCATGACCGCAACGCCCCTCCGCCTCCAACCAGCGAGGCCGATGTCGAGGCTGTCCAGAAGTTTGTTGCCTGGAGAGACGAAGCGCAGAAACTGAACAGCAAGCTCTGGGAGGCGCTGAAGGTGCATGAACCCCTTGGCGTCTTCCCTGTTCACCCCTTCATTGCCTTGCTTTCGTACAGCAAGGGCAAGAAGGCCATGCAGCGCGTTTTCAGACACACCACCCAGGAACAGCGGACCACTATCCTGACCCTCATCGTCGTCCACCTTGACACCCTTGACGTAGTCCGTGGAGCCCAGGTCAACACCGACGATACCTTGCTGAACTCGGCCATGCGCGAAAACATCGAGCTCTTCTCCCTGGCGGTCATGTCAACCCTCTTCAACTTCATGAATGAGCTTGACCTCGACATTGTGGCTGGTATCCTGGGTCTTGTGTGCACGCAGAACGTGGATATCATTGCCAAGTCGCGCGTTGGAGCCTCCATGCTAACCATGATCCTGAGCCGCGCCGAGATCATAAAGCAGAACAGTGGCGGCAATGAGCAGACGTGGCAGGTTTGGTACGTTTCTTCACGCTTCCCGAAACTTTTGAAGTGCCCGACACACCACTAACCATGACTGATCCTGCAGGGATGGTACTTACACCAAGTTCTTCAACCTTCTCGAACCCACTCTCCCTTACGTATTCCCCGGCACCGTGAACTCTGGCGAAGACGTTTACGTCTGGCAGCTTCTTGCGGCCATTGGTATTGGCGCCAGCCCCGATCAACAACAGAGGCTTGTTCTGGCCGTTAAGGATCGCGTGATGGATACTGTCACCCTTGCGAAGACACTTCCTCAGGAGATGGCAGCTCAACGGCTACAGAACGTCAATCTGTTCATGCGCTCCATTGGCTTGGACGTCGAGCTTCTCCAGTAGATGTGTTACTTACCTCTTGACGGATGCAGCGAGCCTGCGACGTGGGTGCCACCGGCGGATGCATCGAGGCTGGGTTGGGGTGGGAGGCAAACACCGGCTGAGACTTGGTGGCGGGTAGAAGGATTCTTGGGAGATGAAGGCATTGATGGGAGAAGACCACCTGGCGTTGGAGAATGGCCCGGCTGGCAGTCACGATTTCTGTGGCTTGGGAGAGGAGGACAGAGTTTCGAACCTTGTCTCGTGGAATTTGCGAGTTGCTTGTTGAAAGACAGCCCCTTGCGATTGACGACTTGGTCAGCGAACTCAACATGGTCACGAAGTGTTTATGGGAATGACCGTGGAATTGCGCAATTTGTATGTAAAACAGGATTCAGTTGGCTTTGAGCACAGGTGAAAGCTACCTAGCCAGCCGATTAATGGGCTAGAGCGTTTGCCATAAGAGTATCAGCTTGTTAAGTACCTAGAAAGACCATTTGGGTCGCGACACAACTCTCTCCACCACCTTCTTGTCGTGATGATGGTGCCTGAACACCCGAGATCATGCCCCTCGAGAACGCCACGACCATGCAATGCCGAAAGGGAAACGAAGAAACACCCGGATGCCTTAAAAACTCGTACAAAAAGGAACCCCATCGCCTAGTCTATCTCCATCGCATTACCCGCGCCGCCCCGGGGAGCCGCCTTTGCCCTCCCTCCCCTCCTCGGCGCGCCAGCCGCCGTGGCCGGGTTCCGTGGCGCCCTAGCGACCCGCTTCCTCGCATCGGCCGCTGCCGCCGCCGTCGGGGTGACGACCTCCTTGCCCTTGCCCTTCTCCCTACCGCCGCCGCCCATGGGCTCGCCCGGCTCGGTCACGGCCTCCTCGCCGGGCTTCTTGTCGGTCGCCTTGATGCCGCTGACGGCGCGGAGCAGCTCGTCCTCGCCCCAGTCCGTCTCGAGGCGCGGGACCCGCTCGTCCAGGTCCGCGGCCCCGCCCACGTCGGCGGGGGCCGGCGCGACGGCGACCTCCTTCTCCTTTCCCTTGCCCTTGCCCTTGTCTCTGACCTTATCATCATCTTCTTCTCCGCCCTCCTCCTCGTCGTCGTCGTCCGCGTCGACGGGGTCGGGAGCGGCGGCGGGCGGAGGGGGACCCGCGCCGGCGGGCCGCAGGAACAGGCTCTCCTGGTAGGCGTTCCACGCGTCCTCGGTGTCCTCGTCGGCGTACTCCATGCGCCGCCACCCCTCGAGCTGCACGGCGCGCAGCCGGTCCGCCATCGTCTCCGTCACGACCTCGTCGCCGTCCGCGGCCGTCGACTTGATCGTCATGTGGATCGCCCGCGCCGCCCCGCCGGACCCGCCGGCGCCGGCGCCGCCCTCCTTGCCGCCCGCTCCTCCCGAGGCACCGCTGCCGCCACCGGCGCGGCCGAGGCGCTCTTGCTCGGTTGCTGCGTCGAGGTAGTGCATCTGTGGTCGGAGGTGGACGAGGGATGACACGGGGGTTAGGTGGATGTTTTCTGTGGGCGAGGGGTTTCTTGTCAGCACACGGGGATCTAGGTTTGTACGCGTGGGGTAGCTTCGGGCTGGGGTGGTTGAACTTACTCCCCTGAAACACGCCGACCATGTATCTCGCATCCAAAGCCGGGGCGCTCAATCCCCCCAGCGTCTGCGTCCGCAGCACCCTGTCGACCCGCACGGCCTCGGCCCAGTCGCCGCCCTCGACGTCGTCGTCGTCGGCGCCGGCGCCCCGGCGCGCGCCGGCGGTCCTGGCGGCCGCGGCGCCCACGCCGAAGCCGCCGGCCAGGCCGAGGCTGCCGCCGCCCTTAGCGGCCAGGGACTTCTGCAGGGCGGCGCCCCAGCCCATGCCCTTGAGGCGGTCGTACTGGCGGTCGTAGTCGATGGGCACGTCGGCCTCGATCATGCCCGAGCCGGGCTTGAGGCGGATCTCGGTGATGGGCGGGGATTGGAGCATCGCCGGGTCCTCGGAGTGCGTGTTGGGGTGCTGGAGGACCATCAGCTTGCGGTGCGCTGGTAGCGGCGGCTTGACGAAGACGGAGTAGGTCGCCAGGATGGGGTCGTCATCGTCGTCTGCGGCGGCGTTGGTGGCCATTTCTTTTGGAGGAGGTTTAGTTGGGAAGTTAGGGGGGAGGAATGAATTGGGTATCCGTGGGTTTGTTAACGATCCGGAGCAAGATCAGTTGGTGGCTTGTCAATTGGGAAGTTAAGGTTAATATTTCAGGTCGGGTCAAAAACACTTGAAGTGGAACCCCGCTGGTGGTCTTCTTTTTTTCCAGTGCCTGAGATGTCATTGCAACCCCGCCATGCGAGGTCAAAGACCCCTGCAAGTGTGGCTCCAATCTAATCGCAGGTAACCATATCCTCGTCTGGAACTTTGGGTCGCCTGCTAAAAGCACCCAGGCAGGTATATATCGTTACGTGAGTTGGATCTGGCTCTTGTTGCCATTGCTTGTACAACAGCAAGAGCAACAACTACTGCAGATCGATCACCAGTCCATATCTGTCCTCGCCAGTCTACATAGTAAATGTCCTTTAGACAGCGTATTCTCGTAATAATGGAGAGTCAGTTGTCGACCGGGTGTAAGTAAAATTGGTGAATAGGATTTGCGAACAAAACTGAACGGCTTTCCCCAGTAACCCGCATTGGACCATGTCTTGCGAGGATCATGTTGTCTTCCTGCAATCTATTTTTTCACTGAATAACAGCCCCATCCGCGAGAATAACGCTGAGATCCATCCCAAACTCCGCCTAATCCTTCTAACCACCAGCCGAGAGACAGCAAATATTACCAGCTCCAAGTTTACGTCAGCTCAGGCACAAGCCTTGAGAAGAGTCGGGTGGGCCATCGCCAATGCTGATAAAACGAGCAAATCCGAATTCCCCCATCCGGGATAGGACACCTAGGTACCCATCAACACCCACAAATTTCAAACTTTTATCCCGATGAGAAAAGGGGGGAAGACGGGGTAGAGACAAGAAAACGGGGGCAATAAAATAAAAAAAGCGCCCGATGTTACTCCTCCTCAGATTCCTCGTCATGGTTGTTCTCCCCGTCGTCCGAATCCTCGGACACCGGGCTGAACGTCATAAGGGGCTGGCCCGCGGCCGGCGGAGCAGGCGTCGGTGTCGCTGGCGGGGCCGCCGCCGCCGCCGCCGTCGCCGCCGTCTGTGCCGGCATCTGCGGACGCACCCCCGTGGGTTGGTACATGGGCGCGGGCGGCTGGTTCTGTGCTCCCGCCGCCGTCGGCGGTGCTTGGCCCTGCGGATGCGGCGGTGGGGGCTGATACGCTGGCTGCGGCGGGCCGTAGCGTGGCGCCATCGAGGCCGGAGTCTGGGTCTGCCACTGCCTCTGGCGCTGGGGTTGCTGGGGTTGCTGGGGAGGCGACTGCTGAGCTCCGGCTTGCTGTGGATGGGCGTGCGGAGGCTGGGGGTGCTGAGGCTGAGGATGCTGCGGGTGTTGAGCGTGTTGAGCGTGCTGTGGGTGCTGTGGGTGCGGGGAGTGTTGGGGGTGCTGCGGGTGCTGCGGTGGGCCGTACTGGGAAAGGTCGGGAAGAGCTTGCTGCGGCTGCGGCTGAACCGTTGGGTGGACCAGCTCATATGGAACCCCTGCCCGACTCGGCGTGGAGACCGGGTTCAGGACCGCCGCAGTGAACGCCGTCATGGCCCCTGGCGGAAGAGGAGGTGCCCCCGGCGGGCGATTCGCGATCTCCTTCTCCTCGCCGCGCTTGATCTTGGCGAGCATGTTGCTGACGTCCGACTTCTTGACGAACTGGTACTTGTCTCCGAAAGATACGCGCAGCCCGATGGTCAGCTGGCGGAGGTTGCACTTGGCCTCCCGGTGCATGATGAGCAGCCACCTGATGCCATCAGGATCGAGCTTGCGGAACTGGGGCGGCACGGCCTCGCCGGCCTCGCCGGTGAAGGGCCCGTGGTTGTGCGCGCCCTCGAGGACTTGCACGTGCCAGCGGTCGTTCCAGGGCCACGCGCGGTTCTGGATGCACTTGACGCGCATCCGGCAACCGGTCTTGTGCGAGTTGCCCTGGCGCAAGCCGGCGCCCTTCTTCTGATACTCCTTACCCCCCTTGCTGCAGGAAAGATTGTACCGGCGGTAGAGCCCCTGAGCGTCGCGGTTACACGACGAGTCAATGACCATGGCGTAGCCTTGGGCCCGACCCCAGGCCTTGATGTCCTCATGGAGGTCCTGGAAGGTCGTGTAGAGCCGGTCCTCCGGTGGGGGGAGGAGGGCCGGGGTCGACGTGGGCGCCGCCATATTTTGTGACGAGTGCACGAGCCGTGCTATTCAAGCCGACTGTCCGAGTTGGGGCTGGCCGAGCGGAACGAAAAGGAACGGAGAGCAATAATGGAAGGTCTTGATGTGTGGTTAGTGATGCGTTGGCAAATTTGCTTATTCGCCGACTGGGTGCGGCTAAACCTACGGGGCGTGTCTGATAAGCCCACCTCGTCTGTGCGTTTGCCACCCCACTCGACCCCACTGCAGTTCAATATTACCCAAGTACTGCTCAGCTCTCCTCAATCCATCATCAAACGAGCTGGGTGTGCAATTCTCCATTCACAGAAATCTACCTGACCAACTTCAACCCAACCGGAAGTATGTGTATACTAATACATAATAAGTCATCCCGCGGCGTTGTCAATTCAAGCAATATCTGACTCCTAGACGGCAGGGGGGTTTTCGTCAACTCTCTTGATCTTCCGTGGATTTCTCAAAGGCACCAACAGTAAAGGGGCACATCTCGCCTAGGTGGTAATTACCTAGAGGTAGTTAGTACCTCGAAGGAAAAGGGTTATTCAGGTTGCTATAGGTAACTAATATTCCGCTTCCACTTTGCCTCTAGGTAGGCAGGGCTGGGGTTTCGAGGGTCTCCTTAACCACTTATCGACACAGTCTAGTTCAATATGCTGGGTATATATAGGGCGTTTCCAAGCTAACTACACAGACTTGCAAAGACTACAGCGACACCTTACGAGATGTATGGTACATGCCATACTTTAATTTTTGTATCCTTTTATATTGCCGCGAGACCCGAACGTGGAATGTCAGAATAGAACGAGGAGCAGTCTGAGACTGCAACTGAAAAGTCGCTACAGACGATGACCACGGCCAATGGTGAGATATAGAGACGCAGGCGCTTGCCTAACGATGTGCAACTTCATAGAGAGATTAAAAAGATCTCAGTCTCGTAACATCAGTTTTCATTGAGCTGGCTATTATGGAGAGTGGATTGGAAGTGAGAGGAGGAGGTGGACACAAGTAGTGAGTGGCTTGCATTCATTCTCGTTATTGGACGCCGCATTCTTTTATCGTCCCCCAGCTCGCCGTCTTACAGTTTTTGGGCTTCGTATGGCTCGTAAAATATTCGCAGAAACCGAAACGGCTTGGCATCATCCGCAGCGTCGTATTGGGCTGGTGCAAAAATGCCTTGTGGGGCACGCACAGCCTCAAGCCAGGTCGACATTGCCGATCGCTGACTTCTATTAAAGGAACCCCTGGCCTCGCCTCATTCACCTCAACTTCAGCACCATCAATCAATCCAACAATGACCATCTAGCCGCCGCCGTTTCTAAGCCATGATGGCCGTTGAGGACACCGCCGATGACTGGGGAGAGGGCACGCCGTTCCTAGACCCGGAAATTGACGAGGATGTGCCCGAGGTTTTTCGCCGTGCCTGGTACCAGCCTTCAACCCCGGCGGGTGTTGTTGGCCTGATGACCTTCATCATTTTCTGCATGACACTGAGCGGAACCATATGCTTGATCCCGCTCGCCAGATTGACTGAGGATGTGGTCTGCCGCAAGCATTACGGCTCGCCGGACCCGGTCGATGAGAAGCTATGCAAGGTCGATGAGATCCAGACACAACTTGCCTGGTTGGGGGGGTTATATATCGTGATCAACGCGGTCATTGGTAATTACACGTCCCGGCGTCCTGTGGCTTCGATAGAAATTGACAGGCCATGCAGGATTGATCGTCTCATTCCCATGGGGTATCCTCTCAGACAGGTAAATCAAAGCCACTTGCCATCTCTCTCGGGCTCGCAGTTCTGACCGGACTTCAGAATTGGACGCAAGCCGGTCTTCCGTCTATCATTTGGAAGTATGGTCATAGGTGGCACCTGGACAAGCCTTGTTCTCGCTCGATGGGACATATTTCCGATCCACTTGATACTGCTTTCTCCTGTTTCCGCCATATTCGGCGGCGGCCTATCCGTCACCGTCGCTGTCATCCACTCCATCATTGCGGACGTGACGACTGAAAGGTACCCATGATAGCCTAGTAGCGATCTTGGCATGGTTCGATCTAACTACTAATAGGTCATCCGGCTTCATATCCCTTTCTTTAGGTGCCGTTCTTGGCTCCGTTGCCGGACCGGCCCTCTCGGCGAAAATGATGGAGATCTGGAACCCGTGGGTGCCTCTCTTCATCTCGGGCCTGATCCTAACTCCCACTATCCTCATCTCCATGATCTTCCTCCCCGAGACGCGTCCTCGCCTCACCGGGGCACAGGCGTCAACCGTACCCGAGGAGCCACTCCTGGCTGCAATGCAGTCTCATCTGGTCCATGCCCGTGAACGCCTTGTCGAATCTTTGACGGTGCTCCGTAAGCGCCCTGTGGTCCTCCTCTTGGTCATGTTTTTCATCACCGATCCCGTCCAAATGGCTTCGGGGCATGTCCTCACGCAGCTGCTCAGCAATCGCTTTAAATGGTTGCTCGCAGACATCGGTTATCTGCTCTCTGTCCGTGGGATCCTCACTGTTGTCGTTCTCGCCGTCATCCCCTTTGTTTCGGGACTCATGACCAGCCGGTTTCGGATGCCAGTCTTCAAGAAAGACCTCATCCTGATGCAGGCATCGCTGGGTTGCCTAGTTGTGGGGAACCTTCTGACAGGAGGCGAGCGACCTACCGAGGTGATATTGGGCCAGGTGATATCTACCTTCTCAGCGGGCTTCTCATCCCTGGCGAAGGGCCTGATCGCATCCCACGTGGACAAGGAACACACGGCGAGGCTGTTCGCGCTCACGGGGATGGTCGAGACTACCGGGTCCATTTTCGGCGGACCGTTCCTGGCCTGGAGCTTCGGCCGGGGAGTGAAGATGGGGGGAAGGTGGATGGGCCTGCCTTTCTTCTGCATTGCTGCGCTGTGTGCCCTGGCCCTTGTCGCTGTATGTTTTGTCGAGAAGCCCCGGATGGAGAAGCACGAAGAGGAGTCTCAGAATAGAGAGTCTGTCGAGTTACATGGTTCTGTTTGAAGGGCGATTTAGGGAGTTTGCCATGCCGCCTCCTCAGCTGTAGATAAAGACGGCTACTCCGTCTCCTTCGAGGAAAGAATTACATATATTGCCGTTTATTGGGCACCAATAAACTTCGTAGCTGGTTTCCGAAAGGTTCGCTGATTAATCCGTAGTGAACATGGGAGACTTCGTAAAAGATATATGTCTTAGTGTCACCCTCTCCTCACTCTGTCGCTTGACTCCGTGGATTCACTCCCCTTCCTTTCCCTTGCGGCAGGGTTAATAAATAACTTTAACTGATGCTAATGATAACCTAGTTGTTAATTTGGTAACACAGAGGCATGCGTACTAGCTGTGGACTGGCTCTGCTCGATTCGAGTCTAAGGCTAGGGATTTATTTTTTTCCCCTTTTCCCTTTCCCACCCCTTTATGTAGCTTTCTATTCAATGCTGCGCCACACTCTTGGCATTCGTGGTCTCCCACTGCATCCCTAGGGTGCTGTACTACCACAGTAGTAAGTCAAGAGTGTTTTTAGCCTCGTTCGTCGCATAAAGTTAGAATCTAATTTTCCCTGCTATCCATTTGATCATAAGGTTGGCTTTAAACCTCGAAGAGTTCTCTTGGATGAATTGACAAACGTGGTGGAGGAGGTTGAGCCGCTTTCGACATGACTCAATGTTCCTGCCCAGACGCAGCCGCTTGATATCGCTGGGGACCATGACAGACTTGCTGACTTGAACGTCCAGCCAGCAGCGTAGCCCCTTGAATTCAGGAGCCATTATTCTAGATGCTCCTCACACCGAAGAACGCCCTAATTCCATGCTTCAATCTGAATATGGGCTGAGATACATATTCGGGACGCTCGAGGACAGCTACTGTCCGGCTTATAGGCTGCCATCTTTGAGATCATGGAGATTCTGGCCTCGGCGGATTAGTGACGAAGAGATGAAATGGCAAATTACATCCTGCACATTCACAAGGTGCACCTGGACATCTTGTACGCATCGGTGCCATCGATACTAGCTATTTTGAGAAATGGCCCGACAAAGATAGCCAACATCCCGCCTCGCTCATCCTGTGGTCCTCCCGACGTGTTCGACTCCAGGTCTCAAATTCCTGCACCATGGACCTAAGAAAGATATACTAGTCCACCGAATCCGCATCGATCCATAATCTCGAAGCCTCCCCAGCATCGAGCCCTGAAGTCCCAGGTAAAGCCGCCCCCCTGCTACCCATCCCGGCCAGGCCCCTGCCCAAGCTCACCGTCGTCACAAATGTCGGGATACTGTCCCGCTCCCGCTCTACTATGGCCGGAAGCGTCGCGTTACCCACATCCCCTCGGGCGTACTCGCGCCTCGCCGCTCGGTCGAGTACGATGCGCGTTTTGCCTTCGTTGGCCGCGCCGTGCACGATGGACACGTCCACGCACAGCGCTGCGTCCCGCGGTAGCCGGCTCAGCGTCTCCGTCTTGAGCCGCCCGTCCGTCCCGAGCGTGTTGAATACCACGGCGCCTTCGGCCTCGAGGTTCTGCAGCTGCGAGATGTGCGCCACGCCCGCGGCGCCGCCCGCGGCGCCGCCCGCGGCGGTGTCAAAGGCCAGGACATTGGCGCGCTGGACGGGCAGTTTCGTGCGCCCGGCCAGCTCGAGCGCCGCGGCCTGGAAGTTAACCAGGCGCTGGTCCGGGTTGGTCTGAATGCGCGAGACCCCCTTGCCCTTGCCATCCTCTGCGAACTTGGGGCGGGCCTTGACGCCCGGGGGCAATTTGACGATGAGCGGCCTGCCGAAGCGCTCGAGGTTGGCGACGGAGATGGGGCCAGGGCCGAACTCGATGCGCGCACTGGTGCCATAGAGATAAGTCCCAGTGTCGGAGAAAGCGGGGTCGATGATGGGCGGCTCGTGGACGGGGAAGGGGTTGAGGTGTTGGTTGACTTGGTCATCGTCGTTCAAGACCACGGGCGCTTCGAAGTCCCATATATAGGTCTGCGGGAGTCCGTCGAGAACCTGGGGAAAGGCTAGCCGGGCTGCGGTAGGATGGAAGGCGATGCCCCTGACTGGGGAGAGGAGCGACACTTCGGGAACTGCGAACAGTCTTGTAGCCGTCAGGGGAGCGTACCGCGGTGGCCCCGGAGTGTCCGCACCGTGATTTTCATCGCGGAAGATCTGAAGCAGCCAGAGCACCCCGTATCGAACGCCGTTCTTCTCGGCCCACCACACCGACTCGTGAATCACGGCGAAGTACTCGCCGGTCGGACTGAATTTGATGTGATAAAAGTTCTCAAAGACCTCGAATTCCTTGGAGAAGTGGATGATCTCTTGGCGGATGCTCGTCGTAGGCTCCGTGTCCGTAAGGTTCAAGACCTGATAGCTGATGGTAGACTGAGAACTTGGGTCTTCCCCTCCATCGAGATGGTCCTCGTCGCAAGGAAACGCCCCAGGCATCGAATTTTGCGTCCCTGTCTGAGGTGCCGTTTGTAGGATCGCAATGAGCGTGTGAAGAACGACGATTCGTCGTAGATCCTCGCTGATATCCAGGGGCAGGGACACCACCGGTTCTGATCTCTCGTTCGGTTCCTTCCGCGTCAGTCTGGATTGGTCCTCTTGGCCTGGGTATATCACAAAAGTCTCCATAATATCGCTCGGAAGTGTGATCTCCACGGCCTCGATGACCGTGTTGCTCGAAAGTAACCAGAGTTCATAGCGCACTCTCCAGTGACCGGAATCTGCGTCGTGGACAAGGTCTTCGAAATCGCTGTCACCGATATCGTTCCTACTCTTCCCATGCAACATCCAAGATCTAACAGCATCAGTAGATAGCCACCTTGCTAACGCAGCCCACTGCAGATCAAGGGACTTACAGTGTCGGGAGCAGCTTCACTACGCCCATTTGCGTTCCATCCTTCGATAACTGGGATCTAACGATGATATACTTCGATTTCGATTCAGAGACAGCAACCCTAACAACTTGTGCTTTGGTTGAAGACAGCCAGAAGCTGGACTTTGTAAAGGCAGGGATGCTCGGCTCCCAGATCTCATTAGGCTCCTTCTTCAGGATGTATGACCATGATCGACGTAGATTCCCCAGGTCTCTTCTAAACTCATTTAGTCGAAGTTGCATGCTTAGAAAGAGCTCCAGTGCTGTGGCGGATCCATCCAACAGCGCTTGGAGAGCGTTCGGGTCGGGGAGATGAGGGACATCAGGAGGCTTTCCGTAGAGCCAGGCCGCCTCGATCCACATTGTGATGGTCCGTTTGCGTGTAAGAAACGTGTTGAGGAGCTCAGAGAGCAGATCCCAAGATGCGTCTCCGCCCGTGATCGTTTCTGCCCTCCCATGAGATACCTTGAAGGCGTCCGCTAAGTGGTCGTTCCAGCTCTCCACCGAATATTTCAGCAACGGATACTTAAGCTGGACAAAGGCTGCATTCGGAACAACCTGAGTCGATCCTCCCAGAGGGTCAGCCGGGACAGTATGTATTATGTAGGAGAGGCAGGACGCCGCGATGTTGCGATGCGCCAGCGACCGACTCGTTAGGAGCTTGCAGGTTGCAGCAGCCTGCCCCTCTTCAGCGGAAGCTCCAGTGAAGTACTCTTGGGCCGAGAGATGGATGAACTGAGTCCTTCCATCACTCGAGAGTTCGATCAGCGAGCCAGAAAGCGAGCCGAGCGACCTGGCAAAGTTCGGGATAAGGTCGCGTCGGGTCTGTCGTCGGTCGAAAGGCATCGAAATGGCGTGCTGCAGCTCCGTGAGATCCAGAGCCCGCCGCGAGTATGCAACCAGCTGGAAGAGGCGGCAGACATTCCTCAAAGCTTTCCCCGGGAACTGAAACGCGAGGCCATCCAAGATAGCTTTGTACAGAGAGTCGAGCCCCTGGAGGCGAGTGAGGTTCCGGATCGCATCCACCCGATCATGGGTCGTCAGCGATGGAAGTCTTAAGTACTCAACCAGCAGCCGAACCCAGAGAAACATTCCGTTGGCCTTGCCTGTGATCTCCCTAATTGCATCATCGACGTTGAGTTCTTCCGGAAACAAATCTTCGTCCTGCAGGTCCTCCAGTTGAGGCTTTAGGAACCGTCTCATGTCGGCGCCATGCTGGGGTTGCTCCGATTCTAGATCCAATCGAAAGCAGTCCTTGCTCAGTCTTGACGGTATCTGGACGGAAGGCCGTCCGAGCAGTAAAACGGCCGATGTCTTGGATCGGGATGCTACCTCCTCGAGTTGCTTGAAAAGTCCCTGGGGGTCTGAGCATTCGTCCAGGCCGTCAAACACGAGATAGGTGAATTTTAGGTGATCTAGAAGCATCTCGAGCACGGCAAAGACCTCATTGTTCGTCGCTATAAATTCCCCCGTGGCATGTCTCGTGAAGAGGAAAGATACGACATCGATTGCCTGTTCGTCTTCCCGATGTAGGTGAAGGAGCTGCGCCAACATAGCTCTGATTGCGTGAGCCGGCATGTTTGCGTCTCGGCGTCGCTTGTCGAAGAAGTAGAACACGACGGAATGTCCACGATGGGTTGCTTTGCAGTCCGCGTCAATGGCGAAAGAGCCGAGATCCTGAATGATCGTTGAACACAAGATGGTCTTGCCGTAGCCGGGCTTGCCTATGAGTCATCAGTAGGAGACCACACACCACGGGACAAGAACTGGAACCAACCCTGTATACTCAGTGTCCTAGAGCCAAGGGAAGCCTCGGAAGTCTCGTCGATCTTTTTCCAGCGGTGATAGATCTCATTGTCGAGGATCCACTCGCCGGTTCCGGGCTGCCTCAGATATTTCGCTTGCTCGAATCGTTTCGTCCATCGTGGCGGGTCGAGCCATTCCTGAAGAGTCTTAACTCGTTCGACTGAATGACTGTTAGCCTCGGCCTATGGACCGTTATGTCGTTTCAAGACCACGAGGCGGCCACCTACTCAGTCTGCTCTTCTCTTCCAGTCTCTCTCGTTCTTCTTGCCTATAATCTTGCTTTCCGGGCCCTACCAGCTGCCGCTCGTTGTTCTTGATGCTCTCTTCATAACGGGCGAACAGTCTCATTGCCTCCTCGGTAGAGGCGAGGGAAACCTCCACCTCAAAGAGCTTACTGTGCTGTTGCAGCCTTGACACGAGGCCGCTATATTGCACGTCGAAGGGTCGCCAGAGGAGGCGCCCGATGAGACTAAGCTTGACTCTAAGGCCTATGCAACATTAGCCAGCACTCCCAATTACCGTCCCGGCATCGTACTTCGTTTCTTGTTGGCAAAGAGCATGTAAGCACTATGACAGAAGCGCAGGATGTCCACGTAGACAAATGCAAGCGCGTTGGCCAGTCTCGGGTGGGAGCCGTCGTGACTCGCCGCTCTTTCCTGCAAGATGGTGACGAACTTCTCGTATGCCGGCAGTAAAGAGGAAATATCCTGGAACATGTCCCCCATCTTCTCCAGAAAGCTGACGTAGTTCGAGCTCAGCTGACTCCAGGTCAGAACGAACTCTGGCTCTTCGGCCAAGCCTTCAGAGGGGAAGGATTACCTTGAAAATCATCTTCATCGAGCCCCATATCAGAGCCATGTACTCCGGCTTCACCTGCACGAATATTTCGACGACGTCAAAATACGGCTGCAAGTGATCGGCCAAGAGTTGAAACTTGCGGCTTACGACGGCCAAGCGGTTTCGATGGATTGGGTGACCACTGGCAATGGCCTCGATCGAAGAGATCATCGACTGCGCATTCCGATGCTCGTCGAAGTGCTTCCGTTCGGCCTCTGGAAGTGTCGCCGTGAACGAGCCCACGGCATCGTTGAATATCTTGGACACCTCATCAACGGCTCCAGCAGCAAGTTCGTCGGCGCCCTCGTTTGCCTCCATGGTCGTCGTTGCGGCCGCAAGATCCTGCGGCCCTGTTGTAGGTAAACTGGCGTCGAGCGTCCTTCTTGGTGAATAGGATGAAGTTTTTGATGAATAGGATGAAGTTTGCTGAGGCCGCACAAGAGCTGAACGAGGGAGGTCTCAGGGTATGCAGGTTCTCCAGCGGCCGGGGCTCATGTTGCTGTGATTCGCTGGCTGACCGCCACGTCGTCTGCGCCTCCCAAGTTGCTAGCCATCTGGCCGTGCTAGCCTGCCAGGAGTGCCAGGCTGACGAGGCTGTGTTCCCCTTTCTCGCCACTTACATTCTGCTACCGATACCTCCAAGCAAGCACGCGAGCCAGTTCTCCTTCAGCGTGGCCTTCAATATCTCTTGTTCACACCTGACGACAATATGGGTAACCAGGATGCGGTTAACTTCTCCTTTCAAGCCGACATCGTGAATGCGGGCTCGCTGGCACACCTCGTCGCCAGGCGGGCTTCAAGGCTATGAGTGACGGCATGGTGAACTTTGGTTTGGAGGCCGCATCTCTCTGACTGAGCAGGCAGATTCCTAGGCGAAGCTCTCTCGTAACACAGACTGAGCCTTGAGATGTAACAGATAACGCGCAGTAACCACTTGACCAACGAACCGTAAAAGATTATGCCAATCTGCCGTTATTGCCTAACGGCAGATTGCTGCGCATCCATTCCACCTCCAATGCCACGCCGCGTTTAAGTGCCGTATTAGTGGCTCTGTGTCTTCGCGTATCCGTGTCTCCAATCTCATATCCCGAAGCGTTCTGGCCAGAAAATGGACGACCACGGGACCCAGAGATACCCCTGTCAAGGGCATCCTACACTCGCTCCCTGTCTGGCATAGTAGGGACTTAAGATGCTGCTAGTATTGTGTAATTTGGAGTCTCAGTTAATCATATTCTGGTTGGTGCTCTCAGCTTCATTTCTGCGCGCTAATTAGATGTGGACCGACGTATGCTCAATTTTGTTTGCAATCCCCTGACCCCTATTATCACCGATTGTAGACGTCAGCCCCCTAGCTTCACATGATGCACCAGGATCATGGCTCTCCCTCAGAAGCCTCAGTTTACGTAGGTAGGCATTGCAAACCGAACATAAATACACATGCCCGGGCGAGTCCTGAAAATAAATGCAAACCCCTAAAACTGTGACATCTTTTTCAACACCAGAAGCCCAAGTTAACGCCTAACTAGTATTCAGCCCCTAGGCCACAACACCTCAACTTGGCGCACTGCTGTACGGCTCATAAGCCGTATTCATATCCCTCCTCTGCTTAACGCCCACTCCCAGCGATTTCAAGGGGATGCCCCGCCCACCAGCCGAATACTCATCCTCAGCAGCCCAGTTATCATCCAAGTGCCTCCCCCCGCCCTCAGACGAATCGAAAACAACCCCCTCCTGGTGCCGCGACCCCTCATACCCACCCTTCCCCACCAGCGCAACCCGGTCATCGACCGGCGCATACCGATGCCTCCCCCACGGCACGCGGCCGCCCAGCAGACCGCCAGCCCCCTTCTTCTCCCCCCCGCGCTGCATGGCCCCCCCGACGCGACGGTCGCGCCGCGCCCGCACGACCAGCACGACGGCGGCGAGTAGGGCGAGCGCGAACGCGGCGACGCCGACGGCCACGGCGGGCGCGGGCCTGCCGGTCGAGCTGGACAGGCCGGTCTCGCGCAGGGCGGCGTTGAAGGCGGAGTCGACGGCGCGGGAGGAGGCGGCGGCCGCGGCGGCCGCGGCGAGGAGGAGGAGCGCGGCGAGGGCGGATAGGGCCGGGGCGGCGAGGGCGGGGAAGGAGGGCGGGGAGAGGGTTGCTAGGAGGGGCGCGAGGACGAGGAGGGCGGCGGCGAGGATGTAGGCGGGTGCGACGAAGCGGGTGGTTTTGCGGTGGTGGGAGAGGGCGGAGAGGAGGGACTGGGGGTAGGTACCCTGTAGGGAGGTGCTGTCCAGGCGGAGGTCGGTGCGTGGGTCGAAGGAGAAGCTGAGGCTGGGGTGGGAGCAGGAGACGGCGCCGTCGGGGAAGTGGGCGCACGAGGTGAGCAGTAGGACCGTGTAGGTTTCGGCGAGACCGAGAGATGAGGCGGTGGAGGGCTGGCCGACTAGGTCTGCGCCTGAAACTGCGGAGAGGTCTTGTAGGTAGGTGGAGCTGGAGAGCTTGGAAGAGACCGAGAATCCAGTTGTGTCCGTCTGTGAGAGCTTGTTAGTGGGCAATCGGTTGGATTGGGTCGTGCAAAGCAGGGTGGCAGACTCGCCTTGATATAGTAGAGGCCGGAAAGGACGTTATTTGTTCCAGCAAGGAGGAGGAGGAGAACCAAGATGAAGGAAAGCAGAGAGGAGACGAGAGGAAGAAAGGTGAACAGCGGTTGTCTGGCCGCCATGATTTGCGAAGCAAGTATTAACGCTCAAGCTGGGCTGAATGGTGGAAAAGGAAAAAAAGAGAGGAAAAGGGAGAAGCTGCAACACCTTGAAGCAACAAGTAGCATCTCTCATGGAACAGTGCTGTGTGGAGATATCGAGCCACGTATGGTTGGATGGGTAACCCAACTGGACAGCCAAGGAGACGAGGCCTAGAAAGTCCTCAGCAAGGACGACGATACACGCAGATGCGGGAAGACATGAATTATTTGAGCAGCGGGGGTGATAAATCTCCAGCCAAGCTTATCAACTGGTGCAACCCTCCATTGCGGGCAACGGTCCAGGGTCAGTCCACGTTGCATGGAGGGAATAGGTAGGTAAATATAGCACAGAAAGGGTGCAGCCACTCGGCAGACAACCATGTGAAACGCACCAATCTACATGCCGTTGGTTAAAGGGAGCTAAGCGCCATCAATCCGTGGACCAACCAAAAGGTCTCCAATATGGCGGCCAGTGGTGAACCCGAGTGTCTGGGCAGTGGGCACGGCTCTGGTAGTCCCGGGAGGCGCAGTGTCAAAATCAGAGAATAGCCCCCGGGTTTGTAGCTTCCGCTTGTCGTTTGCGAGCCGCCATGTGCCGGATAGACCCTTCCACAACCAAGCGCGCCTCTGCTTGCCGCCGACGAGTTGGGATATTTTCGTCTGGCAGTGGTCGTTGTGGTGTGAGAGTAACCCCGAAATAGCCACCACCCTATCAGCAATTACCTTTTCCTATTCTTCCAATGCTCGTCGTGCGGCACAGCAGCAGGGATGCCACATGCTTGCAGCCTGGTCCAGCCACTTAAGACTCGACAAGATAATAGGTAATGCTAGGTAATGCACATGTCGAAAGATTTATTAATATGGAAAGCAAAGCTCGCTGACCGTTGGGACTGCAGGACCATTAAGACTGGCCTCGACCCAACCTTGAGGCCCTTGGTTTTTTGTTGCGGTTTCTTGTCATCTTCTTCCTCTACGCGTATCTTCTAGATCGCAAGTCATCCCCTGCTGCATACGGATTGTACGGTGACTTAAAATGCGTTCCTCATCGTGGTTGCTTCTCCCGGCATCGCTGCTGGCGACAATTGTCAGCGCCACGAACCATGTCGTGACGGTCGGCAAAGACGCGCAACTCAAGTTCGACCCCGAAACGTTGGCCGCTCACGTTGGGGATACAATCACCTACCACTTCTTTGCAAAAGTAAGCAAGCCCGAGTCTATCAGAGTCCTCCTTCTCACTCGCAAGTCACTGACAATTCTCCACAGAACCACTCGGTGGTCCAGTCCAGCTTTGGCGATCCATGCCATCCTCTAGCTGGAGGCTTCTTCTCAGGCTTCACGCCCAACCCGTCTCCAGATGTTGCGTCGGCGACGACGTGGACCATCACGGTCAACGATACGAAGCCGCTTTGGGTGTACTGCAGTCAAACCACTGGCGACCACTGCCAGAAGGGCATGGTTCAGGCTGTCAACGCGTGAGTTGCAGATCATCATCCGCGCCGCCCTGGAGCTAGTCGGGAGCTAGTCTCGAGCATGACCCAGCTGACTCTGTTATTGTCGGTAGCCCCTCGAGCGGGAACACGTTTGATGCCTACAAGTCAAAGGCTGCCGAGGCCTCGACCAGCTCTTCCCCCCCCGATGGCCTTCCAATCGGTGGCTTGCGGCTGCTGACGGTCGGTGTTGGTCTCGGGGGCAACCTGACCTTCACCCCGAATGACATCACCGAGCTTCCTGGAACCGTTGTCGAGTTCAGCTTCAATCCCAAGGTGAGTACCTAGTTCCCAAGGTCGGGAGAACGGGACTAGCTGCTAACAAGAATCATGTAGAACCACTCTGTCGTGCAGTCCAGTTTCGATGATCCCTGCCACCCGCTGAAAGACGGCTTCAGCAGCGGCTTCATCCCGACCGAAGTCTCTCCGTCCGGCGTCCTGTTCGACATTGTCATCGAGGACACCAAGCCGATCTGGTTCTACTGCGCCCAGACGGCCAAGACCCACTGCCAAGCGGGCATGGTGGGCAGCATCAATGCACCCGCGACGGGCAACACCCTCGAGGCATTCATCGCGAAGGCAGCCTCTGCCTCGGCGAGCACCATCCCGCCACACGCCCCGCTGGGCGGCACCCTCTCTGTCAACGGCACCATCATCGCTGACTTTGGCGGCGCCGTGCTGGACACCACCAACACGACCCTCGACCCCGGAGCCATCACCAACGTCCCGCCGCCGGGGGCCAACATGTCGTCGTACATCTGGGGCATGGCGGGCGGCGGCCAACCAGCCTCATACAACTGGGCGCCGACCATCTCCGACAACGCGACGCACATCCTGCAGCTACTGCAATTCCTCGACAACATCCTCCTCGAGGTCCTCTTCGCCGGCCACGCCAAGCTCACCGGCCCCGCCGGCGCCTGGGCGGGCCTCTACCCAGCCACCATCGTCGACGCCATCGGCACCATATCAGCGCAAGCCCTCGTCCACCGCGCCACCGCCACCGACAGCCTTCAGCACTACGACCGTGCACTCGCGGGGACCTGCCCGCTCCTCGCCGCCGCCGCCGACACCGCCGACGCCTTCCTCGCCGACGCCCTGGCGCTGCTGCTGCTCGAGATCGGCGTCCTGCTCGACGGCGCCGCCCTCGCCGCCGCCACGGACCCGTGGCTCGTCCCGGCCCTGGTCGCCGCCCTGGGCGCCAAGAGCCGCGCCGCCGCCCTCGTCAACCTGATGCAGGACCGCGCCGCCGCCGCCGCCGTGCGCGAGGCCGCTGTGCCGCCCGCTCTGGCGTGGAGCTACGCCGTTGGCAGGTGGGTCGGCGGGAAGGGCTGCCCGGATAAGATGGCCGGTATGCCGACGGAGCCGGTGCCGACCCTGAGGGTGGTGGCGTCGCGGAGGGTGGGGAGTGTTGATAGGCTGGCTGAGGTGACGGTGGAGTGGGATGCGAAGGGGGGTGGGAAGAGGGATGGGCATGAGGGGTCGCTCTTCCTGGCTTGGATGGGGCCCTGGGGGGGTGTCTTGTTCACGCCCGTTGCGGGCGATGGGTCGAGTCCCGTGCCGGCGGGGCTGTATGGCCATGTGTGGGCTGTGTTGGTTAACAAGGACGAGGGTCAGCTCGCGGATTTGGCGGGCATTGCCGTTGCTGGCCCGGAGCTGGTTTGGGTTGGTCAACCGTTTGGGCAGTCGAGGTAGGGAACGCCCAAGGCTGGAGGCTGTCGGTTGTAATGTCTGTTCATTTGAGACTCTGGTAATTTGCCAATATGGGTTGCCAAAATGGGTGGCAGGAAAACGGAGTACTTGGAGTTAGGGGTCAGGGGTATCATGCATCAAATGTCATTTGGCTTTTTGATACCACCAATGTCTTGACATCATATTGGCGTTCTTTGAAGACTTCAGATGCACAGTGTCTCTGGGGACAGGAGGTAAAGCCCAAGAATCTGTGTAGGATATTTCTTCATTCAGCATCTTTTTGTTTTCTCTTGTTTGGCAGTTCTTTTCTTTTCCCCCCTCGGTCTTTTGTTTACTTTGGGAGACCGGGAAAAGGGGAGATAAGCTATTCGAGAGAGGAGGGGCAATGTAAGAACGTTAAAGAAATGAAACGAACTCAAACAGGACTAGAAGAGGCTTGGGACAGAAAGAGGATGCTTACACTTCTTTGTTGACCCTGTGTTACCCCAGAGGGACAGGTGAGTTCACTGTCAAGTAACCTTAACCGACAATGGGTCGTTCGAAGAGATCGCAGTCCGGAACGGAGATTTTCACAGTGCTGTAAGCCCAAACCCACGTAAATTGCTCTCGAAACACTAAGCTCAACTGCCAAGTGACCCCCCTTATTCCCTCAATACCCCTCCACATCGCTCGCCCTCCTCAGCCTCCTCTCCCAGAGCAGCAGCGTCGAGATCCAGACCACGACGCTGAAGTACAGCATCACCCTCAGCTGCGCGTTGTACGCGTCGCAAAACGCCAGCCGGACCGCGTCCCTGGTCGCGGCCGGGAGGGCGCCGATAGCCCCGACCGAGTCAGCGATCTGCTGCATCTCGGCCGGGGTGAGCAGCGCCGCCAGACGCGGCGACAGGGCGTTGTTGAGAACGGTGGACCTGTTTGGAGGGCGCAGATGTCAGTTGGGTTGGGTTTCTTCCTTTCTCCATTCCCCCCTTTTCACCGGTCTACGGTGGTATTAGGGCTGGTGGATAGGCTAGGCAGGTGCTTACCCGATAGCCAGGCCAATGGTGCCTCCGAGGACGCGGATCTGGGTGATCGAGCCCATGGCAACGGCTGCGTTTCTGCCCGTCAGCGAAGTTGTCCTGCACCAAGTCAAGGTGCAGGGGAGCTTACCCATGTCCGACTTATCGACGGCCAGCGGCACGTAGATGAGCAACGTGATGAGCGACATGCCGAATCCAAAACCCATGACAACCTCGTAGCCGTACATGGCCCGGTCGTCCCCGACCCCCGCCGAACTGGCAAGCCCGACGCCCAGGACCTGTAGCGATGCGCCGGTGAACATGAGGTAGAAGGGCGGGACGTTGAGCTTGCTGGCAAGCAGGCCCGACAGGGCCGTCGCGGCGGGAGAGCAGAGGAGAAGCGGGATCAGGTGGATGCCGGCCTCGAAGGGGGAGCTGCCGTTGACGGCTTGGAAGCGCTGGGGGAGGTTGATCAGGACGGTCATGAAGGGGGGGCCGGTTAGGAGGGCGATTCTGGCCGCGATACATGGCCTGGTTAGCTGCCGTCGCTCTCTACAAGCAGTTTCGCGTGGAGGAGGGGACAAACATGGTCATGCCGACGAATTGGCGACTCTTCATCAGCCGTAGTGGGAAGATGGGTTCCTGGACGAAGTGGACTGCCCCGACGACCTTCTCCCAGCCGACAAAGGCGACGAAGAGGGCGCCGCCCAGGGCGAGGGCGCTGATCACGGCGGGGCTGGACCACGGGTACCGGGAGCCGGCCTCCTCGAAGCCGAAGACCAGGAGGATGGAGGAAGCCAGGAGCAGGAGGGCGCCGACGACGTCGAGCCGGGCGAGGGACGCCCTCGAGAACTTGTCGCGGAGCCGTAGCTGGCGCTCCGGGTTGCCCTGGTGGGGGAAGTGGGTGGGCAGGATGAAGGCGATCAGGGCGGTCGCCACGGCGCCGGCTGGTGCGCTGACAGGGAAGGGGTCAGTAAGAGAGGAGGGGGGGGCGGATGGCGGGAGTGCGGGTACTTGAGCAAGAAGACCCATCGCCACGATGAGTGGTCGTTGATGGCACCCCCAAGAATCGGCCCCAGGACGGAGCTGAGCACAAAGACCATGGACACGATGCCGATGTAGGTGCCCCACTGCTCGGGTGGCACCAGCTCCGGATTCATGACCGTGGCCATGGCGTAGATGCCCGAGGCCCCCACGCCCTGGAAGGCGCGGAAGATGATGCTGGGACCGGGTCAGCAATCAAGCGATCCAGCCGGCGGCCTGCGGCGGAGACGCTGCCACTCACAGCTGCAAGATGGAGGATATGGATCCGCAGACGATGGAGAAGACGGTAAAGAGGGCGAGGGCGAGCAGGAGCATAAACTTGCGGCCCAGGATGTCGCTGAACTTGGCATAGATGACGAGGAAGCCTGTGTATGTCAGGAGGTAAGAAGTCACGACCCAGTCGCGCTGGTCGAACCCTCCCAGCGCGTTGGTGATGGAGACTAGAGACGTGCTGACGATGGTTGTCTCGAGGGTGGAGAGCAGGAGGGAGAGGCAGAGGCTGGATGATCCTATTAGCTCCTAGTCCTCAAGACAAATAGAGATAGTGTACGGGAAAAGGGGGAAGATGCGCCGACGCACGAAAAGCTCACGACGTAAAGCCGCCAACCCTTGATGTACACCCGAGGAGGCTCCGACCGAGAGGCCGGATCAGCAGCACTACTACTAGCAGCTGCACCATCGCCAACCTCAAGCTGCATCAATTGGCCAGGCCGGGCCGAGTCCGAGTTGGGGCGGGCCTCGGCGTCGCGTGTTCCACTGTCCGGGCCACCGACACATGGGCCGCCGGCGCTGCCCGCGGTTCTGTCCGCGTGGATTGAGCCCATGCCCGCGACCAATCAAGGGTGAGGAATCGCCTTGTCTCCGGATCGCAGGTAAATGGCTGTATTTATTTGATTGCCACGCAGCCCATCGCGCCTGACGGGATAGGCCCACCAGGAATTGAAAGGCAAAGTGTCCTGAGGCCTTGCTTGGCCTTTGGGGGCGGCAATTTAGCTCTTGGACCCCCTGTGCCACAGAACCCATGATCGAGCTGCTGCCTGGACTCAATAACACGGACCATATTGCAAGAACAAGGTTGGCCACGGAGACAACAAAAGGTGCCATTTGGAGGTCCGAATCCCACCTTCAACTCCCTCCCTCGAGAATATTGTGGAAAGGCTAGCCCAAAGTTCAACATCAGGCTTGAGTGAAACGGCATTAGATCACAAACTACAATCCTCCATTCCACGAACAAAGATGACATCAACAACAGCCATACAATGACATCTGGGAGCCCTCGTATCGAATCTATTCTCTCTTCTTTTCCTTCCTGCCATCTCACCCCACCAAGTGATCCAGCCTAATAAGAACAAATGCCCCCATCCCATGTCTCATAACCTGCCATTTACAGGGCGGATTCGACCCCATGACTTCGGTCATGCTAGAGTGGTATCGAGACTTGTATCAATGGACAGACGAGAAAGGTCCAAACATGGACGCCAAACGCTATGCAAACTCCGACCGACCAAGAAGGGATAAATACAGACAATACAAGCCCCTGTCGAGCAGGTTCTGCAACTATAGACAGCAAAAAAGCCCAGGTACGTTTTGGGCAGGGGATACTCCGCTTTCTGCTAAGCAACCCCCCATTCTTCCTAGATATCAATTATGAAGCAACTTGTGTGCAACCAGCGCGATATATTCGAGGCACCTTATGGTGTCCTGGGCCGCTTCCAATAATATTGCTGCGCTCGAGTCAGCAAAACATTTCCGGCCACCAGACAGGGGGGAATCCCGAATGTGAGGAGCGACATCGGCATGGACGTTGGTTACTTACCTTGTGCTGCTTCCGGCAGTTCCTCAAGCTCGGCTTTCTCAGGCCGTCCGTGACGGCAAGCCTTCGGTGCTCGTCCGTGTCCATCTCGGGGACGTAGTAGTACTCGCTCTCGAGAGGCTTGCCCGCGGCGTCCTTGCCCTGCCTGGTGATGACGCCGATGCAGGCGGTCGACTCGATGATCAGCCGGAGCGTGTCCTTGGTCAGCCCATTCTTCTCCTCGGCCGGGAGGTTGTTCATGATGCCCGACAGCGGGTTCGAGGCGAGGCGGGAGAAGGCCAGCTGGTTGGCCACGTGGTTGGAGATGGTGGCCCTGTCTACGAGGTTGAGCAGTGCCGTCGTCGCCGATTCGGCTGTGGCGGGCGCCTTCGGGCTGGCGTGCAGCAAACTCGGTTTCGAGGACCGAGTGGGTTCGGCTGTGGCGGCGCCTGCTGTGACTGTTGTTGACTCCCCGGAGGAGAGACGGGACACCTGCGGCACCCTGGGTGATGTGGCGGTGATGGAGGCTAGACGGTTGGAGAGATTGGCCCCAAACGGACCAAACGAATGAACAATTGGGTCGTTCTCCTCATCAGGGTCATTCTCATCATCTGACTGGGGATCGCTCAGGTCGCTGGAGAAGCTATTGGTCACCTCGGTTATCTGGCTTGTTCCAAGTGGATCTGCACCCCCCGATAGCTTCGGGAGCTCCTGCTCGTCGGCACTGACATCCTCGTAGATCTGGACGGTAGCGCTCTGGTCGTTGGTGTCGGGCATGAGGTCATGCAAGCTTCCGATCGGCACATTTGCCGGCGTGGGCGAGACGGGGCTCGCGATCCTCGTCGCCCTTCTCAATGGGCTCCCATGCAGCAGCCCGGACGCGCCGGCCCTCGACCGCGGGGAGTCATCCCATGACGAATCGCTCAGGTTTCCAAGCGGTTCTCTATCCCTGTCTCTCTCCCTATCCCTTCTCGGCCACTGCATGAGAACTCGGGCGTCCTGGACGTCGATCATGATCTCGGCGCCCTCGGTTTCCGACGTGAACGTGTCCCCCTTGGACAGCTCCCACGTGCGGCCCTGACAGTGCAGCTTCAGCCCATTCCACCCGTTGCAGATGACCTCGACCTTGTTCGGGTCCGCGGGCTGTGGCGCCGGCACAAACCGGGCCTTGACATGGACTCGGCTGATCAGGCGGTTCGCCGAGAGCTGGTAGTGGCTGCTGTTGCTCGAGCGGCCCATGAGCAGCGTCTCCCCGTTCTCGTTGAGCTCGATTGAGGGCACGGCAGACAGCGGGGCGCGTTCGGACACGCTCGACTGGGTCCTCTGGAGCGCCGGCCGGGACCCGAGGCGCGGGGGACTCGAGGACAGGATTCCCGTGCTGGAGGTCGGGACCGGCGTGGGGTACTTGGAGTGGGCGTTCGAGGCTGCCTGCCGCTTCAGCGGACGCGGGAGACCCGGTGATGAGGAGAGAGGCTCAAACGGGGGCAGCAGAGTGGGAGCCGGCCGCTTGACGCCCGCCGTGGAGGGCAGCGACGGCTCCAGCGCCCTGATTCTTCCTGACGGTGGAGAGGAGTCCATTACTGCTGGCCGGTAGGGTTCATGACAGTTGCTGAGGTAGATAGAAGAGACCGAGGTACTTTTTTTGCAGAAGAGCCTGTCAATATATCGCGTGTTTCCTCCCCAAAGTCACGTCGCGTCCACGGTCCGGAAAGTACAGGGATAGTTCCTAGTTGGATAGGTTGCAAGTCGAGAGACGGAGAGGCAACAAGCAGGAAGAAAATACAATGCAACAAGGAATTTGGTTGTTGAGCTGCAAGCGAATGTCACTGGCCGTCTTGGATTTGAAGATTGGCCTCGTCGAGGGAAGCCCGTCAGTACCAGGGGTGGGGGAGAAATTGGTATTTAAGACGCTGGGTCACGGCCGTGTACCGCGGCCAGAAGCACGACGCGAGTTGGCGCATCGCGTTTGGCGTTTGGCGTTGTGTGAGACCCATGTCCAGATTTGGAGCTGCCATAAGGGGGGGTAATTAGTGCACACCGCCTTTGCACAGCTTCGATAATTCACTATAACCTGCGAGAAATAGTGCAGCTCGGCGCAGTTATGACGTATAATTTCCCTTGGAAGCAATCACGACAACATTCTTCTTTGTCGGTTTTGCCAGCAGAAATATAAATGCGGGCAGATAAAATGCTTCTCTTCCCCGCCCCTTTCTCACTACCTAGGCAGCATTGACTTCATCAACTATTCCGACCGATCTCCTTGCGTTCTGCTGCCACGCTTTTCTCCTCATCCCAACCTCCTTTTCTCACCCTCAGCTTGCCGAGTCGCGTCTCGAGACACCCCACCGACCCCACGCTGAAAATCTTCAAAAAAGCTGCTCCAGTCAAGACCCAAGAATGCACCGTAATTTAGCCGCCCAGTGGCTCATCCCTGGAGGTCGCGTTTTTGCCCGCATCGGACCGGGCCAGCTGGCTCTAATTCGCCTCGGTTCCCTTATAAATAGATGAGTATGCAAGTTGAATTTCATTCTTGTTGGTCGAGGCTACAGTCTTCGACAAGCACCCGCTTGCTTGCCTGTTGGAGGCAGTCGCACCATGATAACTCTGCAGGTCCAAAGAGCACACATAAAACGCGCTGAAGTTACTAGAGACAAGAAAAAGGAGGAAACACGGATTTCCTGCACCCAAGCCAACCTAACCTGTTGTACATACAGCATCCCAAGCCAACAAATCAACGAGAATAGAGAAAGCGGCTAGGGCTAGAGCTCGTCGTCGCCGAGAGTCGGCGCAGATCTCGCCTTCTTCAGTGTCCCAAAATACTCCCTGAAGGTCTCGTTGAGCACCTTCTCCGACAGCTGCATGTGATCGCCAGGCATCGACCTAAACTTCAGCCCGCCCTTGCGATCCAGCTCCCTCAGGCCGATCCAGTCCTCCGAGTACAGCTTCCTCGCCCTCAGCGGCGTGATCTCGGTGCCGTTGACCTCCTCGAACCAGGCCGTCTCCTTGGGAATCACGGTCGTGTCCTCCTCGAACAGAAACAGCACCAGGTTCTCCAGCGCCGCCACGTTCGCCCTGTACGTCTCGTTCTTGGCCTCCCGCTCGTTGTTGATGTCGGCGAGAAAGTTGGAGTGCTCGAGGTACTTATCGTAGTCGGCCGGGTCGCGGAAGTACTGCGCGGGGACGACCTGGGACTGCGCCCACGCGCTCCAGGTCCGCCCGCGCAGCAGCGCCACGGACCCCCTGCAGACCCAGTCGGTGGCCGAGCAGGCGCGGAAGGAGCTGATGCCGTTGTGCTGCGACCCGAAGGTGACGAGGCTGCGCACCGGCGGGCTGTTGCACCGCTCCACGTAGCCGCGCAGGAACTGCCCGCCCTGGCTGAAGCCGACGGCGTCGATAGCCGGCGCAGTCGAGAGGATCGGGTGCGCCGCCAGGGCGCCGCATACTTGTGCCAGCTGCTCCGTCACGTTGCCCAGGAAGGTTGCTGACCGGTCGCGCGAAGGGTCTTCGTCCAGCCGGATCGTGTACACCAGCGTGCCCGGGTTGATCTCTTCGGCAAGTTCGGCCACCTGGCGGAGGCCAGGGTTTGCGTAGTTGTCGCCAAGGCCTGAGAGCATAGGAGCGGTATGTCAGCGGATATATATACAGGTAGGTGATGATACCCAGGGCTAGGATCGTTCATCTCGTACCATGCCAAATCACAAGCGGCAGAGGCGTGTCATCATTGTCCTCAGCTCTCTTCTGCCGATTCCGATTCCGAGGCGCGGGATCGATCACAAGGGACGCGACTAGAGGGGCGACGGCGAGGATAAGTCTCAAATGTTTAAGCAGGGCCATGCTTGCGAACTATCACGGAGACTGAAGACTTGTTGCAACATGAAGGTGGGTGGTGATTCTTGAGGGGGTCAGTCGGTGACGATAAGGGGAGATGGATAAGGCAGGTCGTAGTCGCCAAGCATGACGAATCAAAGGCCAAGCTAGGTACCTACCTAGCTACGCATTGGTCAGGTAGGCCGGGACATCGGCGCTATCTCGCCGCCGATCATTTCACCTTAAAAAGCTAGGTGCCGTTTTCAGTCTCTTCACTTCCGACAGAGACAAGTTCCTTTTGACCATCTCGTTTATGTTTATGGGAAGATACTTGGGCCTTCGACACAGGCTCGCCCCGAGGTACGTGACATCTCCTTTTATTTCCACTGCTGCAGCAGCATCAAATGATGATAAACTGTCAAAAATATGTTTCAAGACGGGATTGAGAATTTATTCCATGAAACCACCTTCACAGGCTGAAGATGCTGCTGCAACATTTCCTTCCTGGCATCATTTCGATGTCACCATATCATATCAGGGCTAACTCTGATTGCAGCAGGCCTTTCTCTCTCTCCATGTCTCTCATTTCTTGGTGGCCCCTATCAGCAAGAATGTAGGCTTCACAATCTCGGTGTCCCAGCTGGGGTGTTCCGCTAGCTCTTCCGGGCTCGGATGCCACTCGTGAAAGTCTGTCAACTCAAACCCGGCGCTCAGCAAGATGTTGATATACGTCGCGAGGGTGCGATGCTGCTTCCTCACTCCATTTGCCAGCCAGTTGGTCACCCGCAGCCCCTCCTTCTGGTAGTCATCGAGCGGCCAGTACTTGCGCCCGGTCTCCGGGTTGACCTGCATGCCCTGTGTCGACGGCGCCGTGAAGATGGGGTGTTCGACCGAAAACACCAGCCTCCCCTTGGGCTTCAGTGCCCCGTGCACCTTTCCCACCAGTTCGGGGAGATGCTCCAAGTAGTGAAACGCCAGCGAGCTGAAGACGACGTCGTACGAACCACGGTCCCCCTCGGGTAGCCGCAGCTCGTCCAGGTCGGCCCGCTGGTATGTGATGCCGTCGTGCTTGCCGTCCTCGGTCATGCCGCGGGCCCGGTCCAGCATGTTCTGCGAGATGTCGACGCCGTGCACTGTCTCGGCGCCGTGCTCCTTGGCCCATCGCACGAACCAGCCGAAGCCGCAGCCGAGATCGAGGACGCGGAGGCCCGTGAGGTCCGGCAGGAAGGACTGCAGATGGGGCCACTCGGGCGCTCCGTCCAGGCCTTTCACCGAGCGGGGAAGTTCCGAGTACTTCTCGAAAAAGTCTTGCTGGTCGTAGATGTTTTGCGACATTTTGGAAAAATATCTGGTGCTAGTGCTCGGATGCTCTCGTAGATCACGGCAACCGACTGAGCTCTTATTTTAAGTATATGCGGAGTCCATGGCGCAATCGGTGTGCCCCCACACCAGACTCTCCGTCTCGCAACGTATGACTCCTCGCCGAAAGGGTTATGCGCAGCACCGAGCAGCAGCAATCGGGATGGAAAAGCCCATCTCCGCAACGACAGGCACCATCAGCCTTCGTATTATTCGTGTCACGTTGAAGCCATACTCGGACGTTCATTAATTATTCATTACCTAGGAGACTTGGAAATATAGCTACGTTTTGTGTCGTCCAATAGACAAAATAGACACTTGGTTCTTCTTCCGCTTTCATTCCTCAATCACAGCACCACAATTTCGAGACCAACGATAGACGAGCCTGCCGATTTACTGCGTTGCCTTGTGGGATATCATCGTTGAGGTCCCTTTGGAGTTTGGAGGGGAGCATTTACCGCGCCACAATACCCAAGTGTCAGCCACACCCTCTTATCTTATCAGCCGGGCTTCCCACTTCCTCCGAAATTCAGTCGAACACTTATGAGAGCCTCGTCTTCGACACGTTCTCACGGCATGGAACTCTTTGTTCTCGAGTAACCGCTGTACTGACCCATTTAAATGGAGAGTTGACGCGCTCTGCTGTTCAGGGGTCTGCTATAATTGCGCCGAATCGGCTGTCGTCCGTCGCGACAATCTCGCCAAGGCCTGCTCAACCATCGTGCCTACCACGACCGCGGCACTACAGCATCTCTTGGAGCTACATTGTCCGACGAGATCACCGGCTCCTCTTGATATGGCGCCGAATGCGAGCCGGACCTCGGCGCCAGTGGGTGCCCCGCCAACACCAGAGGATCCCACAGTTCCGAGGGGACCCAACCCGGGCCAGATATCCATCGCAAACCAGTACACATTGGAGCAGAAACTGCGGCAGATGCTGAAGGACAACGGCTGCGATCCAGCACGGGAGGACATATATCGTCTTCAAGGGGTACAGCTGATCGACAACGTTCGCCAAGCCCTCCAACTGTATGCTCCGCCGCCCTCCCCAATCTTGTCCCATACACTGCAGAGTCATCTGCTAACGGCAGCGCGACAGTCCCGTTAGGACCTTCGATACCGCATCAAATTACTACCACAAGTTCCGCCTCTCGTTTCGGGATGCCGAATACAACTACCAGGATGCCGCGCTTGCCTCCCTGTTTGTGGCGTGCAAGGTAGAAGATACGATCAAAAAGTCAAAGGAGATCCTCTGCGCTGCACATAACCTCAAATACCCAGACCACCCTCTGTCGCAAGATGACAAGGCAAGCTATACCGAGCTCCTTCCCCATGGATCTGGACGTGAAGCTGACAACCGCTTGACTTGGAAGAACTTCGAGCCCACCTCCAAGATAATCATCGGGCTCGAGCGTCTGATTCTCGAAACCATCGGCTTCGACTTCAGAGTGCGGTATCCCCAGAAGCTGCTGGTGAAGGTTATACGAAAGCTCGTCTCCGCGGACGAGGCGAGGGGCTTCCTCTCCGTCGCATACGACATGTGCATCGACATCTACAAGACCTTTGCTCCCATCAAGCAGACGACCTACTCCATGGTCATGGCCGTCGTCGAGCTGACCGCCCTCATTAGGGGGCGTAACACTGACGATATCAAGACACTCGACCCCTACAAGTGGCACACGAACCGAGGCTGCGTGGTGGAGACGATGCTAGATTTGCTAGACCTCTACACCCAGTTTGCAAAGTCCACCAAGGTGGGCGGGCAGTTCCCCCTTGACAAATTCATCGATGTTAAGATCAAGATCAACAAGGAAGTGGAGGGAAACCTCAGGTTATCTCGCTTCCAGACGTGGTGCGAAAGGTGTCAGGCGGAGGAGAAGGACATCCACCCGATAACCCCCGGGTCCGCGACGTCACCGGCAACCACGGGCTCGTATCCCGGCAGTGGCACGGTGAAGCGGGGCAGCAGGGGTAGTGAGAGCGCGATGCGATTCGTATTCGATGCTGAGCAGGCGCGGGAGGAGACGGAGATTGTCAGCGAGTATTTCAAGGACGAGTTTGAGGAGTACGAGGTGGAAGTGGAGGAGGCGATCCCCGAAAGCGAGCATCCTCGCCCGGGGCGGAATCATCCCCGCCATAATCACAACCATCGCGACCATGGCTGGGCGCCGTATCAAAGGAACCGCCACGGACATCACGACCGCCACCATAAGGGGCGAAAGGGGGGCCATGGGGGTTATTATTAAAAGGCGCATATCGTCCTGGGACTTGGCATCATGGATCGCTTAGAGATGGCGTTAATGGCGAGAATCGATACCCCCTGATCTTGAATATGTCTGCTGAAGTAGGTTACCATTTCCGACGCATCACATGATGCGGAAGTGTGCAAGTGGGTGGTGTAAGTAAAGTGCCCGTCTAGTTTGGCTGTTGAGCTTGTGAAAATGCAAGCCATTGAAGCGATGCCACTTCTAGACCCTCTGTGTATTGCCTCATTATTTCATCCCCTTGTGATGGCAACTCTAAAATACCTACCTATATATAATGCATCCAGACATGTAAGAGAGGTAACTCCTATGCAACCATGACGACGGACGTCCCCACATGCCACTTTTCACCTCAGCAATCTTATCAAGCCTCGGCACTCAACATCTCACCTGAACCTCTCACATTGCGGCTCCGAAAAGCACCCAGTCGGTGTTGACAGTTGATTATAATCCTTCAAGATGGGTCCCCGACCAGGCCAGAAGACAGTCTTGATAACCGGGTGAGCACTTAATCTTGGGGAAAGCGCGTTGGCGGAAACGTGGCTTTGGACTAACAAAGCTCGCCAGGTGCACGCCAGGCGGCATCGGCCACGCGCTGGCATTGGAGTTCCATGCAAAGGGTTCGTCCCGGGTTTCCAATAAAACTGGCTAGCCCTGTTGCCTGTTGACTGACAAGGCTACCACCAGGACTGCATGTAATCGCCACGGCCAGGAGGACTGAGGTCCTCACCGAGATGGCTGAGATGGGCATGAGCACCGTCGCGCTTGATGTCACCAAGGCGGACAGCATCAAGGCCTGCCACGAGGAGGTCGCCAAGATCACGGGCGGGAAGCTCAACATACTCGTGAACAATGCGTAAATGCCTGGTGCCTTAAAAAAAACGAAGCGAATTATTCCATGATATAATTCAACGACGTGTTTAGTCCATCCCACGCTAACCCCCCCTCCCCAAACAGCGGCCGAACACACACCATCCCAGCCACCGACATCGACATGGACGACGTGCGCGAGACCTTCGAGACCAACGTCTTCGGCGTCATGGCCATGTGCCAGGCCTTCGCCGACCAGCTGATCGCCGCCAGGGGCCTGATAGTGAACATCGCCTCCCTGGCCGCCGTGTCGCCCTACGTCTTCGGCTCCGTCTACTGCGCCAGCAAGGGCGCAGTGGCCTCGTTCTCGCGCACGCTCCGCGCCGAGCTGCGGCCCTTCGGCGTCGGCGTCCTCGTCGCCATGGCGGGCACCGTCAAGAGCAACATCGCGTCCCACGCGCACCGCCGCCTGCCGCCGGGGAGCCTGTACGAGCGCGTCGGGGATGCGTTCGAGCGCCGCCTCACCTACTCGCAGCAGAGCGCCAGCATGGGAACGGCCGAGTACGCGGAGAGGCTGGTGGGCCGCGCCCTGGCGGCCGAGGCGCCCGTGTCGGCGCTCAGGGCGTGGTTCTGGAGGCCCGACTGGTTCTGGTGCGGGGGGATGGCGTCGTTGGTTTGGCTTGGGCACACGCTCGGCGAGTGGGTCATGGACGAGGTGGTCTACAGGATGTTTGGCCTGTACAAGCTGGAAGTGATCCTTAAGCAGGAGGCTGCGCAGAAGAAATTGGAGTGACGGATAGGCTTCTTGTGGAGTTGCATCTCTCTGCAATTTCTGTCGTTGCAAAGTCACTGATTTAGGCCGCTGTCGAAATGGAAATCATCGCAGCTCTCCCGCTGTAACTCGCAATGTTCAGATGCGCTTCGCTAGGCTTGAAATGCGTATCCCCCAAACCACCACAGATGCGCGCATATATGTTCCACACCCTCCATGGTATGCTATATCAGTCTTATCTACATCAGAGATGAAGATTTATGAACGGGCAAAGACCCAATAATGCGTGCATACTCGTTTTCGCTCCATGCCTCGCCCTTATGCACCTGCCACGCTTTGTGCCGTCCGTTCCACTCGCCTCTGCCGGACGGCCACAACTCGCCATGTGGCCCCGTGAACCCATGAAATGCTAAAGTCGCTACACCTCTCTTCAATTCGATCCCGGCTTCTGGGCATACCAGAAGTAGTAATTGAAATACCGATGGACGCTCGAGTCCCCCAAGGCGTTCCGCGCCAGGGCCAGCGTCACCTGGCTTTCTGCCTCCGACATACCCAAAGCCTTGAACGGCCGTCCAGCAAGGGCCGGCATGAAGTCGAGAACAGCAGTCTTCTGGTACAGCCCGATGAGCCTCAGGGTCTTGTCTTTGGCCCAGACGCCGATGGGGACCTTCTTGACTATGCACTGGATGTTTTCGAATCCGGCGTCGCGGAGCAGGGGTTCGAGCTTCGCGGGCAGGACCACGTCCATGCCGAACTTGGTGAATGCCTCTACGATCAGCTCGTACATCCGCTTCACCGGGTCGTCGTCGGGCATTGTGCCGTCGTCGCAGTGCAGAGAGCTGTTGAGCTCCTGTAGCTCTATCCAGCCACCTGGCTTGATGCTCCTAGTGCAGATACGCGCTTAGAAAAGACGGCAGAGGGTGTGAAGGACCATTCCTAGGGTTTGGAGGATACATACTCGTATGCATTGCCTAAGATCTTGGGGACGTCCTTCAGCACTGGTATCGTGTATCGGAAATGGGCAAGATCACAGTCGCGCATCAGCCATTCGTTCTCGCAGTTATCCACTAGGAATTCGACATTGGGAGGGACCCAGACTGGCTGGATCGGAGACAGATCCATGCCGCGCACGCGAGCGCCCGGGTACTGGTCGCCGACTGGTGTACATCTGATGTTGATCAACCCGGGTAGCAGAAGGACTGTGGTGTACACGAACCATCAATAGCCCATATGCCTGTTTTTGTCTCTGTCAGATCCCAGATGGTCAAGCGAGCGGAGGAAAGTACGTCGGTTCCTTACCTGTCCCAGTGCCAATATCTACAATGAGCTGGGGGTTCTCGACAGGAGCGTAGAACAACCTCCCGTCAGTGAGCTCCAGCATCATGGCATGCTTCATATCCTCCCTGTTCTGCTCCATGTCGTCGTTGGGAACGGGATAGCGACCATTCTTGAAGGACTGGTAGCGGCGGCCATGCTCGATAGTGTGGGCGTAGATACTCGACGTGGCACTCGTGGACAGCGCAGACGACGTCTCGTAACCCTCGCTGAGGAACTCGTCTTCTTCGCCGGCTTCGCTGGCGGCCTCGATTGCGGGATTCTCCGAAGCTTGCTCTAGAGCTGGCGATGGAGCTGGCGATGGAGCTTCGGGGGTTGGAGACTTGGCCGGACTCTGGGCTGGAGACTTGGCCGGACTCTGGGTTGGAGGCTCTGCCATCGTGTCGTCTCAACTGGCTGAAGTCTAGTATACACACGGGAGGGGTCAGACTGGAGAAAGTTAAAAGGGAACGTCAGAATAACACACCGCCTTGGGCCGGGCGGTTTTAGTAGGTAGTTCTCGTTGATGATCATTTTCCCCGCTTGGTACGGTGGGCCATAAGGGGACCTGGCTCATAACCACTTGTGGGGCATTAGACTTACCCTATGTGGGTTAGGGCGTATATCCCAACTTCACTCTTTTATGGCCCACCGTAGCTTGGCTCTGTGAGGATGCTGGGTACTGCGTAATTGCTGGGAAACCCCCACTTTCCCAAGTTGGGTGATTCGCTTCGCCCTGGATTTGGTGACACAAACTTTCCCCATGGAATGCATGGAAGTCGCGCTGATTTATTGGGCCGGCTGCACACCGTGCTAATGATCATGCGGGAACGTTGCTTCATGGAGCTTCGGTAGCACAAGGACATTTAACGGCAGAGACACAAAGACAACGACATGTGCATATTCAAGCAGATCTGCCATGCCCATGAGTTACCATGAGCATTTTCCCAACCGTTTCCACGTCCAGCGAGTACTCGGCTTCCTGGAGGGACTGCTTCACAGCTTTCACGCCTCTCTCAACCATCTCGGCGTCGAATGCAGTCATGACCTTCTCCCTCGGCCCAGCATCGGGAGAATCGCGGAGCTGGAGCATGACATCCACGTAATTGCTAGCATCTGTAAGAGCATGCTGCAATCCCTGGCCACGGACTTCATGCAGTGTTAGCTAGTGGCGCGAAGCGAGCATCAACGAATCGAGGCATCAGGGGGGTGCTTACAGGGCAGCATCGGATGAGACGCGTCTCCCAAAAGTGTCACCCTCCCAGAATGATTATCCCAGGGGACGGGAACCCAGTACTTCATCTCGTCGATGTTGCATTGGGCGTCCTCGGGTGTCCAGTCGATGGCGGATTGAAACGGCTCGCAGAGGTTGCTTGTGTTCTCCCTGACGTAGCGGACAGCTTCCTGGCCCTGGAGGTTGACCGACGTTCCTTTCCAGATCTTGACCCAGAACGTTGTCCAGGTCGATGTGTCCTTGGGATCTTGGACATACATGACTAAGGAAAGGAACCATCAGCCTTCGGGGATGTTACGCTGCTTTCAATGGTTAGTCGAGGAGAGACATACCGCCGCAAGCGCCTACAGCCTCGGTGCCCATCATGATAGCTGTTACTGGATGTGCTTTCACGATGAAGTCGGTTTTCTCCGCGTCGCCGTAATTCACCACGCCGGTGGCAAACATGAAGCCAGATAAGGCGGGTCGGGCTGCTTCAGGTCCCAAAAGCAGTTGGCGCAAGGTTGACGAGACGCCATCAGCCCCGACAACATAGTCCGCCACGTACGTCTCTCCGTCCTCAAACTTGAGCTGTATCGAGTCTTCAGCCGAGGACAATTGGTCGAGCTTCTTGCCCCATCTGACCTCGAACCCTTCGGCCAGCACTTTTCGCAGCCCTTGTCGGGTGATGCGCCTCGCTCCCGGGGTCGCGTTCTTGAAAAGGATCTCGCCAGTCAGGCCGTTGAAGCAGGGCAGGCTTTCCACTTCTTCGTTGAACTCGAGATGGGGATTGCAGATCGCCTTGGGGAAGTTATTGAACACGTCCTCCGGGAGCAAGCGAGCCAGTATCGGCATCGCCCAGTGAATGAGGATCGTCCAGTCCCGGGAACGGACGTCGATGTCGGCATCCCGCTCGAACACGGCGACCTCGAAACCGTTCTGGTCCGTGTTAGTGCCGAAACAAAGTGGATTAGAATTTGACAATCCCTAATCGAGACCTTTTGCAAGCCATGTGCAGTGAGCAATCCGGTCAACCCCGCACCGATGATGGCGATTCTCGGTTTGCGCGGTTCACCAATATCACCCATGATGAAGATCTGATTATGAACAGACAAGAGCAGGATCTCTGACGGTGATCAAAATATATTTCAAGTTCAGGAGAACTATTCAGTTGCAACCCAAATCTCTCCACACATGCAGCGAAAGCGTTCCATGGGAGCGGCACCGCTCGTTTTATCAAATCCATGGAGCATCCTAGTCCTTAGCATGGAGCCCCCCACGCCTAGTTCGCCCTCCGATGTAACCTCTCCGGTGATAACGGCGGTAGGTCCGAGCTAATCAACTACAGGTCGGTCCAAGCAATACTCAGTAAAACCACACAATCTGGCGATACCCACTGCCATGGATCTCAGCAACCTTATTAAACTCTCAATTCCGATGTCCACCATGGTATGCGCAACCTCAAACTCAACCTCAAACTTAATGCCACATCATGACGTGTTATACATGGCCATTTGGCATCTGCGACATATATTTCCGAAGCTGCATAAAAGTCCTGGCCCCTCACTGCTGTCTGTGCCTATAAAGGCCGAGAGATAGTTCTCAGACCAATTTCATCTCTGTCCCACGCGCCAAGTTTCAACTATTCTCGAGCAAGAAACCTCTACCCACCTATTATCGTCCTCAAACCACACCAAATTATCAAACCCTCAAATCTAATATTGATACACCCAGATCATACTTCCAAAATGCCGGTGTTGGCTGTCCAGGGCTTCAGGATGCTGCGTGACGACCTGAACAAATTCCTCGTGGACAACGGGCTGTCAAAACGTTTGGCACACAGACTCAGGACCTCTGAAAGGGGATGACGATGGGGTTTCTGAAGAGGAGGAAGAGGAGATTGTAACGGTGTTTAGACAGAAGGGCATAGACTGCAACCTCAAAATTGTGCTCCCCTAGGTCGACGACGACTGGAATTTTGACCCCTCGACATAGGTCTTCGTTTGCTTCCACTGGGTTTACCTTCTCTCCAACAAGAGGATCGACAACGAACTGGACAAGCCAGTTCCCACGTCCTTTGAGCATCTCCGTCAGATGCTCCAGGTCCAATCGCCTATCTGCCAGTACCTCTTGAAGACTGATAAACCGACTAAGTGGAATTTGGAAGGGCTAAATGAGCAGCTAAATAAGGTAAGCAACTCCTCCCTTAAGAGAACGTTTCGTTCTAGACCAACATGCGATGCAGATTCCGGTTACTTGCGATAAGTGCGGTCTAATATTTACCACCGACAACCCCGACAACCCTGAATATTCTCCGCGCAGAGCAAGGTATCACCACCGGGCCAAGATTCACGGAAGAGGGGGATATTGGCCACTTCCTGACAATATTTGAAGGAGGCTTAGTGTAACTAGCCTGGCGACAACAACGGGCTGTCACAGGTAAGAATACATGACACTTGCCTAAGTTTAACCAGCGTCGGCGCCACCCACAGTGCAGTAGATAGCTACTAGGAAATGGAATAGGGATATGACTCCACTGCTTACAATTTGATGCTTCTGCCCGCGACAATGATTAAGCCTTCGCTGCCTACGAGGGCATGATGTCGCCCTTTAAGTTCTCTCGTGTCGGGTCCAATCCGCAAGAGAGTGCGACAGCCTTATACAATGTCGCGCCGGGAGGTGTTGCGAGCCAGCGTAGTTCGATAGTTGCGATCAAGTCATGTAACACATCAGGAAAAGGCAAATGGATACGTGAATAAAAGGGAAAGTAATATGACGAGCAACCGAGACTTCTGGTCCGGGCGAGGATCTGCGCTTATGATGAAAATATTTAAATTTCGTATTTTCGCCTTCTAGAACACCTAGGGCTTGAAGAGCATATAGGTGGCCAGTCACTTGGAATGGAGTCGTACTGGGAAACGGGTCAGCATCATTCAGCCCGGCTCGATGGATGAAGCATCAACTATTAACCACTTCTCTGGAAGTAGATTGGGTAGCAGTATCATTGCTTTCACGGTTCTCGCTCTAATCGTGATCACCCATGCCTCAATAGAAACGTATTCAAAACGAAATTAATTTTTTGTACCGCGTCAACATTATAATGGATTCCGCAGGAAGGGAGAGCCTAACGCAGTCAAATCACTCCACGAAATCGTCTCAAACAAATCCATGGCCGCCCAAAAAGACATCAGCGTGCCCTGTACATGCTCCCCAAACTGCGGCGAGAATCCGGCGAATGTGGCGATGTCGAGGAGCCACTTCTGGCGCCCAGTCTCCTTCAGCTCGAGACACGCGACCAGCAGCGCCAGATCGATGCATCGGACGGGCTGCTTCGTGGCGGCGAGGGTCATTTCGAGCTGAGTCAAGATGGTCATCGACAAGACTTGCGCCGGCCCATCGTTCACGCCAAACGGGTACCGAAGGCGATGGGTCACCAGCAGCGCCGCCAGCCGCATGACCTGCGCCTGGCAGAGCATGTGGGCGACCTCGATCGCATTGAAGCGGGTGGTGAAGTCCTCCGGCACCTCCGGCTGCCACTGGCGCACCGACCGCTCGACGGCATCGAGGTCCTCCAGGACATCCGCATCGCCCGTTTTGCCGTGCGCCAGCGCGTGGCTTACCTTGCAGATGTCGTGCAACAGCGGCAGCAGGGTGGCGCACAGGCCGGCGTGGCGGTCGGCGTACGCCTCGGCGGGCGGCCGGAAGCGCAGCGTGGGCACCGCGCAGCTGAACAGACAGCCGCGGAGCTCCCACATGACCATGCAGCCCAGGAACACGCGCAGCTCGGGCGGGGCCGGGTCGCTGGCGGCGTAGACGGGCTCGATGAGGCCCAGCGTCCGGCCGCAGATGGCCAGGATGTCGTTGAGGCGCAGCCTCACGGCAAACGTCGAGATCAGCGCGCCGAGCATCAGGCAGTCGGTCATGGTCTGGGAGTCGATGACCTGGAGCGACGCCAGCGTGGCCAGAGCCGACGAGGCGTACCGATAGCAAATGCTCAGGCGGCCTGGGTTGGCCTGGCCGTCGTCGACGTCGCCCACCCACGAAATGGCGCAGGCTAGAAGCCCGTCTAGGAGCGTCGTCTTGGACAGCAGTAGGTGTGGGATTATTTGTTGGCGCGCCCTGTCGCTGAAGCTGGAGCCTACCGAAAACATGTCCAGCAGATCGCCCTGAAACAAGAGGCGCTGGACCAGCTGCTGGTCGCCCGTCGGCACGTCGCTTAATTCCGAGATGCACTTTGGAACCGTCGCGACGTGGCCATTGCTCCGCATTCGGCGTCCGGCCCGAGCGTACAAGAGGCGGCCGTCGTCGGGTCTGCCATTTCGGTGTGATCGGAGTTCTGGCGTAGGCCGCCACATACCACGTACTCCTGGCTTCCTCCCTGGTCTGCCCTTCGGCCTGATGGTTTCGCAGACGTGCTGCAGTCGGAGGCAGCGCTCGCACTGTGTCCCATCTGGCATCCATTCACAGCGCTCTTTAATGGCGTGGCATCGGTCGCACGCTCGCGGCGGTTGCAGTTCGCCGTTGATCACCCACGAAGACATTTTTGGTTGCTTTGTTGTGTGTTAGGTGGTAGTAACAGTGGCTCTCTGCTGCTAGGGTACGGTATTCTCCCGGGGACTCCGGCGCTAGTCCCATTTCCAGTCATACTGTGTAGGTAAGGTATACGCAGATCCAGTATTTGTAGTTGAGTTGAGTGTTTCTTAGTGATCCTAGGCGTCAATGAAACGCGGAACAACAATGGCTAACTGTTCGCAAGTCCAGATTTTTTCGGTGTCAGTTGTCCGCGCCACCACCGTAGATATGGACGCCACGAATCCCAAAGTAGGTACTGTACATGTACCACAACAATCTACGTCAGGTAGGTAGGTATTCATCTGATCAAAAACTAGGTAGGATTAAGGGGTCTACGACGAAAAGCATATCGGCTGCACGCTGCCATGCAAGGTACGACACTAAACTTGTCTTATCACCGCCATGCCACGGCATACTTCTTACAGTATATGGAACCGTCAACACCGTGGACTTCAGTGTGCAGCTTCCCTCAAGCACGCATCAACGACCCCCGCCACCGCTAGACACTCTTCATCGCGCATCCGACTGGTGAATATCTGGATCGAGCAAGGAGCCCCCTCCACGACTTCCGGGTTATCTAGACATGTCTAAATCAGCGCATGGCCTGGATCCAAGACTCCTTGGTCCGGGAGTAACTCACATGCAGGGGTGCCTTGGCCTGGCTTCCTGGTAAATTCCAGTTCACTTTTTGTCGCCTTACCGAAGGGTATGATGCATGCCGGATACTGTTGCTTGCCATTAGCCACCATCCAGGGGATGTGTGTCGGCCACTCTCCTTGGGCGTGAAAAGCTTACGTCGAGAGCATTCAAGAAAGTCGAATACGCTGGCCAGCTATACCGGTCGTGCTCTACCGCTGTGTTCTGCGCCGACGGCGAAATCACCGCATCAAGGTCGTGCCTGGCCCAGAGTTTCCGCCAAGCCTCGACGATTTCTGCCCGCTTGTTTTGCAGCGTTCCGAACTTTTGGAGCCCATCCATCGCGCTGAGGTCCGGTACAAAGTTCCAGGCAATACTTCCCATTTGTTCGGCGAGCATTCCCATCGATGGCACGGCCGGTTCGCTGCCGGATGCTATGATCTCTCTGGGGGTGTTGTCTAGGGAGAGAAGCCCTCCAGCCACCTGATTCGCCGCCGCTACGTGGCATTCGGCCGCGTCCAGAACCATCACCTCGTGCCCGTGTGATTGCAGTATCTGTACTGCCTTTGCGACTGTTTCCTTCACGGGCGGGTGGAGTGGGAAAAGCGGGTCTTCGGGGAGGAGCCCCAGGCGTAGCTTGGGTCGCAGTGGTCCGTTGATGCGTCTCCATGGTACGTCAATGGCTGTGGCATCGTGGCGAAATGGCTTGGCGTCGATGACAGCTTTCATGAAAATTTGGAGGGCCTCCATGTCGTTCGCGAACGGGCCAGCCGACGGCAAGATGGCTCCGATGCCCGCGTTGAGAGGCATGACTTGTCTTCCGTACGCAATTCTGCCAGCCGATGGTTTGAATCCGTACGTCCCGCAACACAGGGACGGGATCCGGATAGACCCTGGATCCAGGTCAGAGCTTGTTGCCTTATATAGATCTCCTTCTGTCGTTCACTTACCCGCAAGATCGGTGCCAACCCCGAGCGGCGATCCCCGGAATGCAACCAGGGCGCCTTCTCCACCGCTTGATCCCCCAGCCGTAAGCATGGTATTCCACGGGTTCAACACGCGCCCAAAAACATTGTTATCGGAATCCACGGTCTTCAAATTCATTAGTTGTCTTTTCAACAAGGAACGCACCATCGAAACATACCATCAATACCTGGGATATGTTGGTCTTGACGTAGAGGACCGCCCCTAACCCGAGCAGAATGTCCACCAAGGCAGAGTTCTCCTTCGACGTCCGATCTAGATAGGCCACGGCACCGATGGTCGCTTGCGTACCCTCAACCTGGTATGTGTCTTTGAGACTCACCGGCAGCCCGTGAAGGGGCCCGGCCAGCTTGCCCTTACCGCGCAAGTCATCCAGGTATCGTGCTCTCTCCTGGGCCTGTTCGAAGAACGTTTCCGTCAAACAGTTTGTCTTTCCAACTTGTCAGTAACCCTGCACATACAGACGGCTGCCTCTAGCGACTTGTTATGGTGGGAAACCTTTTTGGGGTATGACTTACCAGTTGCTGCGCAATTGCCGCTCGTTTCGAGAAAGCCAGCGTCACCTCGGAAGACGTGAATTTGCCGGATGCAAGGCCTTCAAGTAAACCTGATACGTTGTGCGATTCCGTGATTTCAAGCTCCCTCTCTGTCAAGATGCCGGAGCGGCGGGGTATGTCCAGCGAAATCATGTTGACCTTGGTCTTCCACAGGTCCGATCGCTCCGGCAGGGTCTCTAGGAGCGACTGGGGGAGGGTCCATGCTTCCGGTATGGCCTTCTGGCAACTGGCCCGTTTCTCGGCCACCTTGCTCTGCCAATCTCCAGCCGATGCAGAGATAGAGGATTGTGAAGCCATGGTCACTTCAAGATGATCATGTGTTGATGCCAGAGATATTGGGTCAAAGAATCCTCTCATGATGTTCACTGGCAGGCCTATATATAAGTGTTGTTGCAGCGTGCCCCCAGAACGTGCACTATGCCTCCGTACAGCCATGGCCAGTCAATCAGCGAGGACGGCTCCGGAAGCCGACCCACTCACGGCAGCAGCCGGCAATATCCCGGTGGGGCCTAGGCACGAATTAGGAAATAGGCCGGCCAGCAACCTGCCGGTCCAGACTTCAAGTCGAGTAACGATACGCCAGGAAATAGACCGGCTGCAACCTGCTGGTCTATAGACTTGCCGGTAATCAGAATACCGTATAAGCACAGGCAGGTGGTCCACCGGACGTTGAAACGTTGATTTGAAATCTGTCTAGTTGCATCACCCGGACGGAAGCTTCTGGCTGAAGAAAACAGCGGGTCGCGTGGGGCAAAAGGAGGAATCAGAAAATCAAACCCTCCATCTTCTACGTCCGAACCCATTTTATAATTTGAACAGCCACATCCCATGCAGCACAAATCCCGCCCAGTGATATGGTATCTTGTTCCGCCTCCTCAGACCCAGCACCGCCTTCTGCATAGCAATGGCCAAATTCACCACCCTAGTGCCCTTGCCTTCGCCATCATCGCCCTTCCCAAGACCATCCTCCTCTCGCCAGAACTCGTTGTAGAACAGTTTGGAGAACTCCAGCCCGTCATCCGTGTCGATCTTCCACAGCGTCGACAGCACCGAGCTGGCCCCGGCATAGTGCAGCGCCGTTGTCAGGCCGAGGTGGTCGTCCGCGCCCGTGATGACGGACCGCCCGCTGCGGCAGCCCATGAGGGTGACGTGCGTGGGCCTCGGCAGGCGCACGTCGAAGATGTCGTCGGCCTCGAGCGTATCGGCGGCGGAGAGGTCCCCGGCGCCGTCGTCGTCGTCGTCGTCCGCTCCACCAGCATCGCCGTCAATGGTCGACGGCGCCGGCGGCCGGACGCGCAGCTCCAGCCGATGGTGCAGCGGGCCCGACTCCTCGAACTGCACGTGCCCGTGGAAGTGCACCACCGGCGCGCCCCGGCCGCCCAGCGCCGCCTTCACCCCTTCCTTGGTCATGTCCGCCTCAGCCACCACGTCGCCGCCCAGCAGCGCCGCGATCGAGTGCGCCTGCGAGTGCGCCGCCCCGCCCACGTGCAGCGGGTGCAACACCAGCGGGCGGCCCCGGGGTGCCGAGGCGGAGGAGGCGGTGGTGGTAGTGGCGGCCATCTGGCACAGCCGTAGCACCGATAGGCTCTGGCAGTAGACGACCGGGTTGCGCTCAATCAGCAGCCTGCCGTCCACTTTGAGCGCGTGCAGCGGGATGCGGTGCAGCGCACGCGTGGGGCAGAGGACGAGGACCTGGCCTGGTTCGGTATAGGTTGCCAGAGGCGCCACGAGCGGGTGCATGGTTCGCAGCTGGCGCTGGGATGTGTCGCGCAGGAGCGGCAGGTCTTCATCCAGCTGCTCGGCGACCCAGCGGTCGACGTCTCTGAGCTTCAGCGGGAGCTGCGTGGTCTGGCGGAGCCTGCCGTCGGCGCAGATGACCATGAGCAGGTCGGCGCCGCTCTCGAGGCCGACGTGCACCCAGTCGACGAAGACGACGTTGCCGCCGAGGCGCTCGCCCATCTGCTCGACCTCGGCCAGACTGACGGCCTGGCCCTCGCGGATCTGGTTGATGGGCACCAGGGCCGGGTTGGTGCGCATCCTCTGCCTCAGCCGCCCCAGCTCCCCGTTCAAGGCCAGCTTCTCGGATATGGACTCGACGCTGGCGATCCTGCCGCGCAGCGCCGTCTCCTCCTCCAGCATGGCGCGCGCCTCGGGGTCGTCTTCCACGGCCTGCACCAGGGCCGCCGGCAGCTGCGCGTTGATGCCCATCAGGTCCGTGAGCACCCTGGCCTTGCACTTTTGCACGTGGTCGTAGAAGCCGGCCCGCAGCAGGGTCGGGTTCTGGAAGTAGTGCAGCCACTGGCAGGCGCCTATGGGCTGGCGGAACCGCGCGCTGCGGATGTGGTCCATCCAGACGTTGTACGAATGCTGGACTCCTCTGGTGAAGTGGTACGGGATGTCATGGTCCTGCGCAAACGAGGACCGGACCATCAGCGCGCGGCTACCCTGTAGAGACGAGTGTTGGTCGCGGGCGAGCTGGTAGATCACGTCGCGCTCCTGCCAGTCTAGGTAAGCGGCCAGCCTTGGAACGCTCTTGAAGTGGAAGCGTCGGTTATACAGGAGGAATTCTCGCGTCTTCATCGCTCTTAGAAGCCTGTCGAGGTTGCTGGCGATCTCAGGGTCAGCTATGTCGTCACTTATGTAACCTACTGCGTCTGATAACACGTCGTCAGTGACGCGCAGGTCCTCAGTGGCATCGCCTCGCGTGCAGAGCAGGACCAGATCTGAGCAGTATTGTATCCGCTCCGTGCGGAAGATCCGTGACACAAAGAGAGATATGTCGAGTTCAAGCATGGTCGACATGAAGCGGTGCCTCTCGACGGCCAGTTCATAGAGAAAGTCCCGGTCCGGAGCCACGAGCCCTTGCTGGTGGGCGCAGAACAAGAGCTCTACGCGGCATTGTTGCAGCTTGCTCAGCAATCGATGTCGTTCCTCGACAGTCCGGCCTAGGACGGGGGTATCCCTCAGCCATGCAGTGACGACAGCGTACCAGGCGCCCCATTCGTCAGATGATACGGGAATCCCGTCCTTGCCAAAAATACGGGTAGACAGCCTCTGGCAGTCTTCCTCTGTAGGTTCGTGGTAGAGTTCGGTGATCTCGGCGAGATGGTCAAGTCCACCGTGCTCGTTTGTGGTACCTCGGAGTCCGAGGCAGGTAGAGGCTATCTCAGGACTGCACTCTCCTATCAGCACTGCCTGGTGGAGCCAGCGCAACAGGATCCTGCTGGAAACCGGGATCATGTAGTCCCACGCTACCTTGCGCGACATTGAGACGCAGGCCGCGTTCCAGCTGTGCCCGAGACTTTCCTGCTCAGCCTTTCGCACGTTTTGCGGTGCGTCTTTCGGACATTGGCTTGAAAGCATATCTCGCTCGTCCGTGAACTTGGCAGTCAACCTGTCGTCGCCGGACCACTTAGTGGCCGATATGGCCGAGTGCAGCAACAGATGCAGCAAAGTCGGCACGTCAAACCGGGGGAACTTGGCCCGAAATTCGGAGTAGTACTTCAGCACCTCGGAGGACCTTGTCCCGCCGCGGTATACCAGCTTTCTTAAAGCTGAACTTAGTGCAGCCGCCATGAAGTAGGCCGCGCGCATTTGTTGCTCCTCGAACTCAAGATAGGAGCTTGTGACATCATCGTGCCACTCCCACGGATCGCCCACGTCTTCTTGCTCCTCCGCGTCCTCTCGATCTATAAGCGTGGTCTCCGCATACGTTTCGCTTAGTTTGATGAGTTTGTGGCAGATGACGCGGACCATGGGGAAGTCTCCAAGCTCCGCAGCCCGCTTTTGGAGGTCAGTTACCCGTTCAATTGTGACGACGGTGCCCGGAACTGCGAGGTCTATGAGGATGCGGACCCACTCCATATACACGGCGCCACGCGGATAGGATGTCTCGAGGTCGTCCAAGGAGCGGCCGATACTGGACAGGAGGGTTACCAGAGCGCCAATTTCATCGCCAGCCTTATCAGCAAGCTGCTGATCGGCCAAGTTCCAAGCAGCGAAGATGTGGTGAAAGGCCATCTTCGTAATGATCACCTCCGACTTTGCGTCTCCGGTGCCTTCAATATACCGCAGCCACTCGCGATAGGGCATAAGAGATAAGTCACCCTCGTACATGTTAGCCTCGGTCTTGCAGAGGCGGTATGCCAGGAGGGGCTTGTTCTGCGCCTGCAGAGCCCGGCGGACTTGTGTCAGAATAACCCCCTGCCTGTAGATAAAAACGTCATCCTGACTTTCAGGCATTTCGAGATCCGAGGGAGCCGCCGAAGCAGGTAGCAGGCCGTCGGCGTCCATCTCAGCCCAGCAGGATGACAGGCGCACGCGATTCATGAATGTGTGGTATGCCATCAGACATTCAACCTGGACCGAAGTCAGCCTCGGCAGATGTTAACGTGATCATAAATAGAGAGAATTGGCTGCCGTACGCAGAGATCGTCATACTCATCGATACTTCTTGACTGCAGAAAGGCCTGCAGCTTCCTCGCCTGCTCCAAGGCGTCCCGCATGGTACCGAAATTGAGGAACCTGCTCTCCGCCCGGTGCATCTCAAGTAGCTGCAGAATCGTCCGGTCTCTCAAGCTGTCGTTGCTCTCACTCTTGGCCTGGTCCAGGGCACCCTCAAGTACCTCCAGACGCACCTGCTCAAGGCCGGAACGACCTAGAGTGTCTGCCGCTTCCAAAAGATATGCTAGATGGGCAGATGGGTCAAGCGTGTCGCATTTGTCGTTGTAGATGTCAATAGCTTTCAGGTAATTGCCGCATTGAGCATACTGCGCGGCTTCCTCCAATAGGTCGATGTCCTGTGCCCTGCATCCAACGTAGAGGGAGCTGTGGATGGCCCAGTACGGCCCGCGATGTGGGCGAGACAGAAGTTGGCCCATCTTGACCCAGATGACCCGGATTCCAGACGCTGACGATGCTGCATCAGCGACGATGGACTGTGTTTAGAGCCGAAGCTGGCGCGGCGACTTTGGGGCCTTGCGGCTTTTTATTGGAGATGCCATGCGGGAAGCCAGCTGAAGTGAAAGCTACTCGGCGCCAAGTATGGTGATAGTTGATGGGCGCTAACCTCAGTTGGTGCGGCTGAACTGGATCGGCCCGTGGCAAAACGACCGTCCCGACGGGATCTAGTGATGCCTGAAGTCAGCGGACGATCCCGCACAGTCAGATTAAAGTGATTGAACCTCGTCGATTCCCAAGCCCAACTATCAGTATTGCGTCCTCCTTGCAGATCAGAGAATCAAGCGCCTAATAGCTACAGCCGGCGACAATGGCAGAATCCTCGACGACGCTAAACGTCCAGGAATGGAAGGAGATCACGTTCGAGCAACAAACCCCTCAAGACGACGATGCAGCGACCGGCCTCGACCTAGAGGTGCCGTTGGTCCTAGACAAGCTAAAAGAGCAGCAGCTCGGGAGCAGCGAGTATCGCAACACGGCCAAGAAGCATCTCCACGAGCCGCGCTCCCTGGTCGCCGCCTACGACTCGCGCCACTTCTACTTCCACGTGCACTTCTCCCACGCCACGTATGGGCTCTACCGGTCCAAGCCGGCCTGCCTCGTGGTCCTCGACCTATCCTTCCAGAAGAGGGGCAAATCCTTCTCACGCTTCCAGGCTGCCGAGGTCGACATCGAGTTCCGCGATGCCCCTCTCACTCCAACGGCGACCAAGACCAGTGGAGGTGCCCACGGCTCGGACTCCGAGGACGTCGACGACGACGACGACGATCTGCAGCCGACGGTGCTAGCATATGAGCCACGGTTGTTCTACGGGCCCGTGGACGTCGAGAAGGGCAGCGCGCACGCTACGGCCAAGCTGGGGCTGACGCCACCGGGGGGCATCGCGGCGCTGGGCCTGGAGCTGGGCCGGCAGTTCCACTACCCCGAGGAGGGCTTCTTCAAGGCGCACGGGACGCTGTGCGACAACCCGCAGTCGCGGGTGCACCTGAGCCTGTCGGAGAACGCGCTGCGCCGGAGCGGCATCCGCGAAGAGGTCTCGGCCGCGCTGGTCGTCGGCTACGTCCCGGGCCGCCGCTTCTCGGCGCGCGTCACCGTGCGCGCCGACCTGTACCTCAACCCCCTGACGCCCGTGTGCGGCGAGAAGGATGAGCCGATTTACTTTGATCCCGAGTCCATGATGGCGTCCGCTGGCGGTAGTAAGAGAGCGAAGACGGTCCCCGGCGTGGAGGGCGACCTGGACAATGTCAATCTGCTGCAGAAACTGACACGGCTCGGCCAGTACGGAGGGGTGTTTATCAGAGAAATAGACCCCTAAAGACATTTCTCTTTCGTATACATAAAAAGGAATTCGGCAGCAGTAGAGGGACAGAGTGAGAGGTTTTGTTGTCTAGTTTTCCTCAAGGCCTCCCTATCGATGGCAAACATGTCCATCCCGTCTTGCGCACCCTGTCCACCCTATATCTAATTCCTAGGTACCTATAGTGTTTTAAGAGCAATCCCACAGTCTGTACTGCCTCTGTCCCAGCCATTGACAAAATTGCATCTAGCAATGAAACTGCCAACTCTACTCCTCTACATCCTCTTTATTCTCACGTCGTTGTCATGGTAATTGGATTAATAATGGCGCGTCTCTCTCAATTACAAAACCATACAGATCAAGCGCAATGCTGAAACGGGACTTACCTTCCATTCCTCTAAATTGATCGCTTCGGCTAGTCATATTCTACCCCGGTATTTCTAGCCATGTGTGGCTTTTCATTTTTTTCTTCTATTATCGCCGGTTTATTTGTGACGTCTCACCCCTAGGCAGATAGCACTTTGCATTGTCTCAATGGCATTCTCTTTTTCATCTTCAGCCATTGTCTTCAGCTACTTCCAATGTCAATCAAGCGATGCCCTCCACAGTTTGCGTTGTGGTTGTACTACCTATCCAATATGAAGAATATAAACAACCTCCTCTATGTGCTTATGCCTTAAGGCCGGCTTCAAGTTTGATCCTTATACAATAGGACAAAGTAGTCCTTGTTCTGTTTGGAACAATATGTATCCATTTATGTTCTAGGGAAGTCATTAGTTTTGTCATTCTCAAAGCAGTTGGCTATGATTACAGACTTTGTGTAATTAACTGCTTCTCAGAGGACTAAGAGCCTCCAGGGTCTACTAACCTGGGACTCCAAGCTGCAGGCCTTATCACCAGGACCTTGATCATAACATGGGTGCCTGTTATCCTACAGTGTGGCTGAATGTAAAACCGTGCAGTTGTTTGACTTGGAGACTCAGACCAACAGGTACAAATAACTATGGAAGACACATGCCTTGAGTCCCTCGGGGAACAACAAGGATGGAAGTTGGAAGGTTCCATGAATCTCGAAGGTCCTTTATTTGTTCTACATGTCAACACCTGATCTGGGTTTCATAGGAGGTCTATCAGGCATATCGGCCAGTCCCTGTCGGCATACCCTCTTGGCGATATAGCACGATGTGGTGTACCTCTTGCGAGTATACTTGAAAAATCAAAACATCCTGGCTTGTTTTCTTTTCTCTTTTTCCATCTTCTTCCCACTTTTCCTTCGGAGATCAAAACCACCTCAACCCACCTTGCCAATTGCCTGGCTGCCCACGCTCCAGCCATCACGATGAACATCGAGATCATCGACCTCTTGGGCAACGTGGTGACATCGCCCCAGTCGCTGATGCGCCCAACCGGTTCTCCCACCTTGTCCGAGGATGCCGCGTACGGCGACAAGAACTGCGCCAACTGCGGCCAGAGCGGCTCGACTCACACGTGCACCGGCTGCAAAGTGACCGACGTGGGCCAACTGCGGGTTTTCTACTGCGGAAAGCAGTGCCAGGAGGCTCACTGGAAGGCTCACAAGGACAGCTGCCACGGGCGTCGCCGTCTCGCCCGCGCCGTCTCTCTCTTTGGCGAGATCTGGACCGCCTTCGAAGAAGCGACTTTCACGAGCAACGTCGTATTTGTCGGCCAGAAGGATGGCATAATCTCGCTCAATCTGCGCGAGCCAGGATTGGACCCTCGAGGATGGGCCGGCGGGTCGGTTATCAGACCCTTTCCGGGTGAGATGTTCCCAAGCGACACCAGCGAAGCGATCAAGCAGGCAGTTCTCTTCGACAGCGAGTGTTGCGACGTCGCTACTGTTGGGTTACCGCTGCTCAACGTCTTTCTCAAGCGTACGTTCCAGCATCTAGGGTGAAATGAGAATAATGTCACTAACAGGTACATATCTAGCTATCTGTGCAGAGCTCACAGAAGCAGCCGTCGAGCCTAGAGATCCAGCTTTGATCGTCCATCTCCGGGGAACCGACTATTTGGACTCGGATCACAGAATCCTCCGAGTCACCCTGCCGACTGGAGAGGTCTTCGCTATCGACTTCACCGGCGCTCAGTATGGATGGAAGGAGACGCTGTACTCGTGGGACACGTACGTGAAATACCGAGTCCGCAATGTCCAATCGGTCGGACAACTCGGCTGGGGGAGGGAAGCCTTGGACGCAATGCTATCGACGTTTGCCCCCGATGGGCCGGAGAGAGCTATCTTGGCCGTTCGCAAGGCCGCCATGCAAGGGCTGAAGACTCAAGTTGACGCCCTGTTGGCATCGCAGGAGATCAGCGCGAGAAAGGTCAGGCCCTGGCCCGACAGCGCATTCACGACTGCCCGCGAGAAGCTGGTCACCGAGGCCAAAGCCTACCTGCACGGAATTCTCCGGGGCCTCAAGGAAAATGGAATTGGCCGGCTCTACTATAACCGTCTGTATCTCCACCGCGTGACGCTGTCGGCCGAAGTTGCGAGCAAGTACGACAGCGTGTGGCTCTCCGACGAGGAGAAGGACGCGGAGAAGGGCAATGTGGATGCCCTCAAGCGCATCTGGGCTGAGAGAGTGGCCAGAATCAACTAGGGCATCGGGATCATGACGACCTGGAGCTGGAGATATCAGCCACAGGTCTAGGTACCTATGACAAGTTGGCAGTATGTGTGGTACTCGAGCAGATTACTAGGACAGCTCCGGCAATAGGCCGTTCCCAGTCAATAGATCCAGCCGAAAACGGGAAATATGCCCTCATTTGAGACATGGCTATTCTCCCGAGGAGACACATCCCATCCGTAGTCATCAGTGATTAAAACATGTCGACAGTGAATGCAGGCAACGTATCCTCATTTGGGCTATATTGAAGCGTACTAAAAAGGAAAGAAAGTCAGGAATCCCTACCAGGGAATCGTCAAGTAACCCAGATTCCGTGCCCCTTTGGCTCTTCCTTGTTTTACGACACGGCTTCCCAATGTTCTGGTCTCCATCCTCGTCGTTGTCTCCTCACAATTTGTAGGCTACGGCTTCGTTGGCCTCTTACGCCGGGTCTTGGTATATCCAACCAAAATGATACGGCCGAGTCTCCTGCCGATGAACACATTACTCGAGACACTCTACCGCGATAGGAATGAAACTATGCAACGCTTACGATTTTTTTGGCTGGTTCTCGTTGCCATGCCAGTTTTGACCGGCGTCAGCGTATTTTGTTTGGCAAAACGGGACAGTATGATCTTCACCAACATCTTCGGTGGCTCAAACGGCAACGAGGGTCTCGGCATTCTATCACCTGGCTGGGTTTCTTCTGGGCCGTCTACAATCATTTTCCTCCCCAGTTACTGTTCGCGCATCACCCAAGGTATCATTGCCGTATCGCTAGTAGTACTGTTCATAAACCGGCGACGAACTAAGAGATTTGTAACTTCCAGACATCGCCAAGCCGAGAGTTGTCCTCAGCAAGTCCTCCATGGACAATGATAGCGTGCTTGCCTCCATCTTCTCGCACCATGTCCGCGTCAAACCACCCCCGCGGCGGGGGCGCATCTCCCACAGGCTCAATCTTTGCCCACTTCAGCTCCTGCACATCGAAAGCCCAAACATCGGCGAGCATCTTCCCAGCTCCGGCGTGGCCGAGAGAACTAGGGTCCCGCTCGCCAAACATGGTGACAAGATAGCCCCAGCCTTTTGCCTTCACCGCGACGAGAGTCAAGACACTGCAAGGACATGCATCGCAGTCATAGACGTCTAGGGAGCCACCCTGCTCCGTCGTGCCATTGAAGCCGTTCATGCAGTATAGCTTACAGTCGAAAAATGCGATAGATGCTCCTCCGCATGCCGGCAACGGGGCAGCGGGAAGCTCGGCCCAAGCCCTCGAGTCGAGGCTGAAGGCCCAGAGGTCAGACAGCCGACCCGTTTCAGGGCAGCCAGCGTGGACGAAAATGTTGTTGCTGCCGTCAGAAGCGCTGCAGTGGTAGCTACAACCGGCAGGGAACGCCGCCGAGGGATCCTCTGGCTCGACGAGGTCCCAGAGGTCATAGCGCGTCACAACGCCGACCTTGGTAGCCCCGTGCTCCGGGTCTTTTTCCATTCAGTTGCCGGGTTATGTTGCTAGCACGTTTAGGTTCTACACTGTGTCTGCGCAGAGATGTACGTCTGCACCAGACAAACTAGGCATTTGAGTGTACTGGGACTTCATGGACGCCTCGGGCGATTGCCAGAAGGTCCCGACATGCTCGCCTAGAATCACACGGAACCAGCAGGTATACAGACTTTGATATCATTTCGATTCTATCCCATTACGGATCGACTCCAGCACCTGGAGCGTCTCGCACATTCCCAAGGACATCAGCCCCTTAAAGATTTCTAACCCCCAGTATGGCAACAACATCTGCATCGCCAACGTCTATAACGAAGTGGCCACAGATACACTCTGGACACTGACCGACCCCGGGCACGCCGGACCACATGGTGGAACCATCGTCCTTGGAGACTTTAACTTACACCACCCTCTTTGGTCCACGGTAGATCGGCGCATCGCGAATGGGCCAAGCGTCCGACAGCTCCTTACGATCCTCGAGTACTTCCAGCTACAGCTGCTCACAGTACGTGGAACTCCGACACACCGATGGCAGGAAAGGGACACCACGATTGACCTAACCTTCGCCTCCGAGGACGTAACGTCCCGGGCCATCCACTGCCAGATTGATGAGTGCTTGGACTGCAACTCAGACTACCTGCCGATCGCCGTGGGTATAGACTGGACCTGGCAATCGGCGACGCCGACAAGAAAACGCATGTGGACCAAGACCGACGACGGGGTACTCCGGCGGACCGTCCAGGAACACCTCTCCCGAATTGACGAATCCCCAGAGCTCAGGAACGAAGAGAGCATCGATCGATTTGTCTCCATCCTCGTCGAGGCGCTCAGCGCCGGTATCGAGGCGTCCACACCATGGTCCAATCCATCCCCACGCTCCGTCCCAGTATTCAACCAGGAATGCAAGGACATCTGCACAGAGGTACAACAACTCCGTCGCCGATTGCAACGCACGCGGCAAGACGAGGACTACGAGGCCTACGGACAGGCATGCAACAAGAAGAGCCGAAATATCCGGAAAGTCCTCCGCAACACTCACCGACAGAGGGTAGAGGAAGCATCCGAGTCCCCGTCCGGCCTCTGACTTCAATTGGGAGGGTCAGGCTTCAATTCACGAGGTTGACCGGTGATGCTTGCGACGTCACTAGGAAGGAACGGAAAGTAATTAGCAGGGGGTGCCAATGGGCACATCGCCCACGTGACCATACTGGCCCTCAATCAACCTACCTACCTGCCTACGTACTTGCTTTACTTTGCTTTGCAAGTGTGATCTCGCCAGTCGCGCCATCAATCCTTTTTCATCGCGGACATACACACAGATACATCTTCTCTATCAACCAAGCAGCCTAAATATTCTCGCCGTCTCCATTCAGAACTTTTAGCGTTCCCAACTCTCAGTCCGTCACCATGCTTTCCGCAAAAGAAATCGCATCGAAAAAGGCGCAGGTCTTTGCACAGCTTACTGCGGGGGGTACGAACGCACAGATGAAGGAGTGGTATCAAGAGTATAAAAAGCTCGACGATGAATTCAAGGCGGCCCAAGGCCACGCAGACGACAGAGCCGAAGACCACGGCCAAGGACCCGCAGAGAACAGCACCTAGAGAGCCCTCTTGCCACAGTAACCCCGATGACACTTAACGTAAGCCTAGTTTCAGAATGTCTAGTGTTGTGGATTTACCTAAAATAGAAACAGGTTAAACTAAATTTCGGCGTGGTGGCAACGACAGGGTGATGTCAGTTGGGGCAGGCTAGGGTGCAGGCATGCTGACTCTTTCTTGTCTTGATTTGCAGTCGACCTCGCGGTCAAAGCAGGCGGTACCTGGAGCCTCGGGTCAACGAACAAAATAAGTCTCGGTTGCCGTTTTGGTAGGTGACGAGGATGTCGCAGGATGTCGCAGAGTTCCGTGTCATTCTTCTCGGATATATCGTGTAGGAGTAGCGCAGGCGACATCCCGGAAGAGCCCCAGCTCGACCCGGTGCAACCTGGAGCGGCAGCTTACCCGTCGCAGCCGACCCGGGCGGGACCGTCCCTGCCCGTGGCGACCAAGAACCCGGGTACGAAATCATCAACCCGGCGCACTGTCGTGATCTCACCCCGCCTCTCTCGTCTAAACACGCCGCCGCCGCCGGGCATAAGCACAAGAAGAAGAAATACGGATCACCGTAGTTCCATCCCACAGTCGTCAAAGGGACAGTCATGAGTTATTTATGATGATCGAGATGGGACATCCTGTGGATCGTTCCTCTCTCTTTTGCAACGGCGGGTTGAATAATTAGACCGCTTTTTGGAATTTTTTTGACGACATGCCAAAGAAATACAGAGCCGTATTTAAAAAACTATGAACATTGAAATGGGAAAAGAATCGAATCCCAGAGCTCCGTCTTGAAACAATGGTACATGGAGAGACTACCTTGGAACATCAAAAACGAAAACGCCTGGCCGCATTCGGTCCTGCATGCCCAAGCGAACCCGAAATCCCTCTCCCCCCCCCCAAGTCTCACCATCATCCATCAACCTTCAAAACTCCACCTACGGGGCCGCTGTTTCGGACGGGGCAGCGACGCTCGTCGAAGTCGGCTCCGCAACACTCGTCGAAGCCGGCGGCGGCGGCGGCGGTGGCGCAGCTGCGCTCGTCGTGGTCGGGGCGGCTTGCGTCTCGACCGAGGTTATCGTCGTGGTGCGCGTGACGAGCACCTCGGCCGTCGAGGTGACGCGGACGCTGGACGTGGTGGTGCGCGTGACGAGCACGTTGGACGTGGTGGTGTGGGTGACGAGCACGTCGGACGTGGTGGTGCGCGTGACCAGGACGTCGGATGTGGTCGTGTGGGTGACGAGGACGTCTGACGTGGTTGTCCGGGTGACGAACACGTCGGACGTGGTTGTGGCTGTGGCTGTTGCGGTGGCTGTCTCCGTGACGAAGACGTCCGACGTCTTGGTCAGCACCGTCGTCGATGTTGCGAGGGCGGTGCTGGTCGCGACCGAGGTGCTTGTCTTCACGGCCGTGGATGTCGTCACCGTTGTTCTGGTCTGGACGACGGTGCTTGGCACGGTCGTGACGGACGTGGCAGTCACGGTGCGGTCGATCACGTTTGTGACGACCGAGGTTTCCAGTACTGTGCTCGTTTGCGTCATGACGACCGTGCTGGGGAAAATCTCAACCGAGGTGGTTACGCAGGTCCGGTTGGAGACACCCGTTGTCGAAGTCAGGGTAAACGTCGAGGTGGTGTTGACGACGCCCGTTGAAGTCACAACGACTGTGCTTGTCGCAGTCTTGGTTTGCACGACTGTGGTCGGCACGGTCGAGACGGAGGTTGATATCCTGGTGCTGTTGACCACGTTCGTCGAGGTTGCGGTGATCGTATTGGTCGCGGTCCTCGTGACAGTGACGCTGATGCTTGTCGTCTTGGGGATGGTGGATGTTGAAAAGGTGGTCTCTATGTCTGTCGTCTCGATCGTGACCGTGGTGTAGATATAAGCCGTCTGTGTCAGAGTCGATGAAGGCGGAGGGCGGGTAGACGTAACAGTCGCAGTCTTGGTCTCGGTCGCAGTCTTAGTCTGAGTCGCAGTCCTAGTCTCAGTCGCAGTCTTGGTGACAGTAATGCCCGCTCCCGGCCCCCCGTAACAGAAACCAAAGCCAGCGAGGCAACCGGTTCCGCAGTGGTCTGACGCGCTTCCGCACCACCCTTCATCCGAGCAGCAGTCCCCGTATTCCGAGTCTGGGCACACCTGGTTTCCACCGTCCGGCCCACAACGGCCATCCTCACTAATTGGGCCCGACGCCGTTGGTATCCCGACAGGGGCGCTGGCGGTAGCGGTGGGGGTATTGGGGGGAAGGGAGTATGTATCGATCAGGTCAACACAATACTCCTGGCCAGCGCTTAGCACGCAGTTTGACAGGGCCGGGTTGTTGCGCAGGAATACATCGAGAGGGATGCCCCAGCGTGTCGTAAAGGAATTGCAGGTATCTCCTTTCTCGGCCGGCATGGTGTATTGGCACACGGCCGCCGCGGCCGTGGCGGACCGGACGAGTACCGCGAGAGTGAGTGCCAAGGCAACAGATGCCCTGACAAAGTACGTGAGGCTCATGGCGGCGGACTGGAAGCTGCGATTGGGGGCTGGGATCCGGTGTCAGGGCTGTGCCGCGTCGATTGGGTGACAGAGCTTCACGGAGGGAGGCAATGGACTTCTCAATGCCACGGCCGCTAGCCAAGGATGGGGTGAGGCAAGGGCCCCTTAAGTCCCATTTCAGTATTTACCAGCGAACTCGACAGTCTGCGTGGCTTCGTGGCAGGCAGGGCCTGGCGAGACCCGATTCATATTGAGGTACCCGCCCGGACATAATGAAACGTTTGCGCCAATTCAAAGAGGGGAATGCTGAATATCCTTCCTATACTCCATTCATGTAAGGTAATATGAAAGCAGGCCTCGGCATCTGCGAGCCTCCCGCTACGTTGGATGTTGGATTCCGCTTGTGGTCCCCCCTAGCCACTACCGGCATGCGAGAGAAGTTTAAGCTTTGGCCTTATAGAGCGGTAGAGTGGGATTTTAATTACCAGTTACGTGGCAGTTCTTCCGTCGGTTCTTCCATTCTTTCTAGCCTAAACCAGGTTCTTTTCGGGATATTTCGTGCTGCCGGTCGGCCAAGAGATCCCAGGGGCGATCCGGCTCGCCTCTTTTTGTTTCACATAATGGTAAAGAAACAGAACATAAAAAAAAGGAAACGAGGGGGTCAATTCCCTCAGCAGAAGCGGAGGAGGCAGTGGTCCAAGGTCCTCCAGTCCTGTAGCTTGGCCGCGAGATGAGGTGTGCCAATGTCTCCTCTCGGAAGAGCCCGAGTCTCCCTGTTGATTCATCTATCCTGGCCCCTGCCCTAAATTTTGCCGGTGAAGAATCAAGCAGCGTCATCACTCATCTCATGGGTAATTCTGCACTGGTAGCCTCAAGTCTTGAGCGACGATGCGGGATTGAACCTTGCCCCCTTCTAGGGCGATCTGGGATACGCCTACCCCTCATTTGCAATATCCTCACTTATATTGATCGTGAGGAAACATCCAGTGGAGAGTTGGAGCTCCTCAGAGGCTGTAACGTTCGCTTTATGATACGGTATATAGCCCCAGGACCCGTTTGCCTCCACCTCGGCGGGCGAGCTCCCGACCCTGCCAAGAACATCCGAGCTTTCTATGATTGAGAATTGAGCTTAATTGTCTCGTCTCATGGAGGTTTTTCGGAGCCCCCCGGTCTCAGCCTAGACTGCCATAAGCACCCTAGGAGGATGTTGATTCGATCTCCAAGAGCTGTCCATCAAGATGATGACCGAAGCCAAGGATACGTCGTCAATAATACCTTGTCACTCCACTGTGAGACACTTCATGAAAGTGCATAAGGAAGTGCACAAGAGAGTGCAATCGAGCTTGCATGTCTGAAGGAGTTGCTATACAGAAAGTCAAAACATAGAAGGCCAGCACATGCAACCCCGTTCTCTTCCCCACCTTGAAGGATTCGGGGAATGTCCTTGCCCCATGTCTATGAAAAGGACAGGAGCCAAAGGAATGGCTGTAGCGCAAGAACCTCTTTGGGGCTCACACGTGTGTCGGACACTTTTCGGAGACTTGAGATCTAAACCCTCTCTTGGCTTGTTAGTGAGGTACATTGTAAGTAGAAAACCGACCCCAGATTTAAGGCAAAGCTCCAAATTCTATACCAAAATTCCTAGAATGAATTGCCAGAGCGGAGTCTCCGGCTTGGGATCAATGTAACGAGCTAACCAACCTCCAAGTGAGATTGGAGGAGCAGGAACTCACAACCAGGGTCATTGACCACGGAACCTTTTCGGAAACTTTCATACAGGCGTGTATATTGTGTATATATATGGCATATTTCAGCAGTTTTGAAGAGTTATCTGCATCATTCATCATCCCCAAAAGTGACTCATTGACAGCAGCCCATCTCCCTGACAAGCACGGAAGTGATTGAGACATCCAACATGGATCAAGAAAAATCCGAACGAGAAATGCACAAGTTCTACAAGAAGTTTGGGAACGAGGGCTACGAGTACATGGCAGACAAGGTCTTTGAGTTCATGCGACTCGTCAGCGGTCCCCTGGCGGTCCATATGCTAAGGCAGATCGGACTCGACGAAAACACCAACGCGCCTTTCGAACTCCTTGATAACGGCGCCGGGTCTGGCATCGTTGGGGCCGAAGTACAAAGCAGGATCAGCCCCACGATCCTTGCCCAGAGCAAGATCGTTTCGGCCGACTTTGCCGAGAATATGGTCGAGATTGTCAAGCAAAGGATCGTGGAGCAGAATTGGGTCAACACGGAGAGCAGAGTCATTGACGCCCAGGTCTGAACGAACCAATGCCACCTCTTCAACTCGGTGCTAACAAAATAGACAGGACATGCAGCTGCCTAGTGCATCGTTCACGCACGTCACCGCCAACATCACCTTCCACGTGATACCGGATTCTGAGGCAGCCCTAAAAGGTGAATCCAAATCCCAGCAGAGAGCGGTGCCGGATCGGGAGCTAATAATAGCGAGACAGAGTGCCTCCGGGTCCTGAAGCCGGGCGGGATGCTTGGCTTTACCACTTGGCACAAGGGGGGGATCGGATGGGCAGAGGGCGTAAGGGACGCGTTTGCATCGTTCCCGTTCGAAGCTTCCTGCTCGATGAAAATGCAGACAACAAAGTGGGGAGATTGGTCCGATGTCAACTGGATCAAGAAGACGCTGCATGACCAGGGCCTCGAGGACGTCAAGGTGGACGTGCTCTCGCACCTGCAGCCCATCGAGAGCGCCGCCCAATTCGTGAATAACTACAGTTCAATGCTTGAGTGGCTTATCAACGCACGCTGGAGTGAGGAGCTCAAGAAGGAGCATGGGTTGGACGAGGTGAAGAAGCTGGTAGAGGACTATTTGGGAGAGAAATATGGAGGAAAGGGCTGGGATTTGACCTGGACATCGATCATTGCCAGTGGACGCAAGCCTTTAGAGTGAGAGGGTGGGATCCAACCTAATGCTTGCATTTAGTAGTGCTGCAGAATGTACGGATCCGTAGGCATGTATCTATGTATTCTCCGTATGTAGCCGCATAATTAAGGTAGCAAACATCCATGCCTTCCCGGAAAAAGTGGGTACAAGTTTCACGCAGGATAGGACGATTCATGCATACCCACGTGATAGCTTCGACCTCTCTCTCCTCAATCCACCAACACCAACGTCAACATCCGTGATTGGACTTTCTTAAGGTGTACAGCGAACCATCTTTGTACACGCACCGTATTTGAGCCCGATTTACGACGTGGCCAACCTTATTTCCCAGAAACTATAGCCTAGGACAGCACCAACCCCACGCGTTGCAGCCATGGCGGAGCTCACTGGGCTCCCGCCCAGCCAGCTCACGACGCTCCTCAACACCCTCGCGTCGATCGAACAACGACTTCAACGGATCGAAACTGCCGTTCGGGTCCAGGCATTCAATCCCATGTCGCCGGATCCCTCCGCGGCGCCGCCCGCCGCGGCAGTCACGCTGGGCAACACAAGCACGCAGGCGATGCTGTTGAACCACCCCGCCAACGGCCCGACCGCGACCAGCCCCGGCTCCGGCCCCGGCCCCAGCCCCGGCCTCGGCCTCGGCGCCTTCACGCCGCTCGAGGCGCCCCCGCAGGGCTACACTATATCGTCGCGGGACTCGATGCAGGCCGAGCTGGACCAGTGGACGATCCCGCGGGGCTACAGCATGCGCATCGCGGGGGCCAAGGTGCAGGGCAAGAAGAAGGTGCGCTGGGTGTGCTACCGCGGCGGGGAGACGCGCCACCACCGCGGGCCCGTCGACGAGTCGCTGATCCTGCAGGCCAAGGCCGAGGGGCGCCGGAAGCCGACGACGGAGCGCGCCTCCAAGAAGTGCGGCTGCATGTTCAAGTTCGAGCTGGTCGAGACTACAAAGGGCTCCGACCTGTGGGTCCTGCACTACCCGAACGCCGCGAACAAGGTCCACAACCACGGCCCGTCCGACGAGACCTCGGACCCGAGGGCGAGGAAGCTTCCCGCTTACATGGCCGCCGAGGTTGACAACTGGTTGAGGGATGGTCGCCAGGTCAGCAAGATCCAAGAGGACCTGAAGGCGCGCGGCTTCACCAACGTGCTGAACACGGATCTCTACAATCGGAAGCGGGTGCTCAACAAGACCAACACCTAGTCAACTCCCGGTTCGACGTAATCCTTTGCCACCATCCTGTGGCAAAGGACTATCCGGAATACTTGCTACCTGTCCGCATATCGATCCACTGTCATAAGCTTGGGGGCTCCTAGTGCAGGCCATGGAGGCTTCAAATTATTTTGGCCCGTTTTTGGCTGCATGTGCGAAGATATGCCGAGATATAAAATTGGGCAGGTCAGTCCATCTCAGTAAGCGTTCTCCCGGCTCCGAGTTGGCTTTACTGCCCAGATGGCCAGATGCTAATCCGAAGAGGATGTAGATACGTCTCAGCCCCGAGCTCCTAGCAGATCGAACGTCATGGTTCGTGGAGCGAAATGAAAGTCCAAGGGATATGCAACCACCTTTTGCACCCAGGACATCACACAAAATGGCTGCAGCATCTATACCAGTCGGCTTCTGAGCCCATCTGGGGCCCTGCCTAAATGGCGGGCTTCCCAAAGCTGAGCCCCGTTGGTCGAGGCCTTTGGAGGTCGTTGGGCAGGCGTGTGACATGGTCTTGTGGACATGTATTGAACGTGCCAGCATTTTAAAGGGAGAGGAAACGGGAACGAGGAGCTACGAGGTGAATTAAGGTCTGTCTGGGGAGCATGGATCTCAAGAGGGTTATTGACCAAGCCATCGTTACCTTGGGGGTAGATAGTGATTCGGTTGATATGTCCTGTCGGATAGACTCTTTCACTCCCCTGATTTATTTCTCGTGGCTCTGCCCTCACTTGCCTTTCTACTTTCCCGGCCAAGTTTCGCCCATGGTTAGCTTCGCTGCAACCCCCTATTTCTTTGGTCTCCTACACCCAAGAAACAGCATCTAAGTCTGAGGGTGACGTAGCCCTCTTTGTACGGATGAGGAAGCAGCCAGGGTCATGTCCAATCAAAAGTCGGATTGTTTCTGGAATCTTCTGAGACCCGACCTCTGACAAATCATCTTCGCCGACAGTCTGCTGCTCGGGAGCTAAGAGGACCCTAGCCAGTTGCCCCGCCTTAAGAGCATCCCGAGCTCTGGCCTTCAGTGATCAACGCTTCCATCTTACAGATATAATTGCCCACCTGATTTTACTCCTTTTCTGGAATCTCTAATACCCCTCCCTAGGTTCTGCTTTCCCTTCATTCTTCATATCTCAGCTACCTTCGCCTTGCTACTTGCCTTCAACCGTATAGTTAAATCACCTCCAGCACCCCCGCTATCGGAGCTCAGTGACCATGTCCAAATCTCTTCTCCTCAAGGAGGAGGGCAATCGCTACTTCCAGAATCACGACTATGTGAGCGCCGAGGCTCTCTACTCCAAAGCGTGAGCTCTTTCTTCCCGGCGCACAGATGGCCAACTGGGCCGGCTGATAGTCCCCTCTTTTTTTTGCTGTAGCTTGATAGCGGACCCGAAGAACCCGGCGCTCTACACCAACCGCGCCATGGCGAGACTTAAGATGTCCCTGTGGGACTCGGTGGTGTCGGACTGCAACGACTGCCTCGAGCTCTCGCCCGACAGCATGAAAGCCCATTACTACCTCTCCCAGGCGCAGCTCGCCCTCCACAACCCCGCCGACGCCCTGGAGCATGCCAAGCGCGCCCACGAGCTGTGCGTGGTCTCGGGCGACAAGTCCCTCGCCTCCATCACAGCCCAGGTGCTGAAGTGCAAAAAGGAGCACTGGGACGACATGGAGCGGCGCCGGAAGCGGGAGGGCGCCGAGGTGGAGAGCGAGGTCCTCGCCCTGATGCAGGGCGAGCGGGACGGGATGCTCCGGGACGCCGCCGGCGAGGCGGACAGGCGGGAGATCGGGCTGGAGTGGGAGCAGAAGATGGCCCAGCTGCGCAACATCTTTGAAAGGGCTCGCGTGTCCGAGGATAGGAGGAGGACCGTCCCGGACTGGGCCATCGACGACATCAGCTTCGGCATCATGGTCGACCCCGTAATCGTGAGGATGGCCCGTTTGCGCACGAGTGGGGGGCCGAGCATGATTTGCTAACTGAGAATGGCAGACCAAGACGGGCAAGTCGTACGAGCGCGCCTCAATAATGGAACACCTGAGGAGACACCCGACCGACCCACTCACTCGGGAACCCCTCTTGGCTTCTGAGCTCCGGCCAAATCTTGGCTTGAAGCAGGCTTGCGAGGAGTTCCTTGACGAGAACGGTTGGGCCGTCGACTGGTGAAGAGCATCCGTACAGAACAAGGCTTATGTTTGCATCATTTGGGAACAACACGGAAATTGCATAGCAAGGCGTTGCAGGGGATAACCATAGCTGGTAAGGGGTTATTATTTTTGGAATTAGCGAAGACATGACTAGGTAGGACAGGTCCCTATGAATGAGGACAAAATATTATAATCCATTCTATTAATCCCTTCCTCAGCCTTGCACATCGGCAACCATGACGGCGGACTTCCTCGTGAAGACCTTCCTAAACCGATCCAGCATGCTCTCGCGCCGGCGTACGGTATTCTCGCCCTCGGCGTTCAGAGACACCTCCTCGAAGGACATGTCGAGGGCGATCTTGCTCCGCTTGAGAGTCAGCCGCCGCGGCTCGGGCACGGCGGCCTTGGGCCAGGCCCCGTCCTTATCCTCGGCGACGGGCCTCTTGACCTCCTCCCTCTGGCCGTGTTTCCTCCTGCACTTGTTGTACTCTGCGGGGCCGACCTCGCGGCCCATCTCCCTGAGCACCTCGCGGACGATGGCCTCGAAGGCCTCCTCGACGTTCTGGCCCGTCTTGGCCGAGGTCTCGAAGAAGGGCACCTTCAGTGTCAGCGAGCGCGACAGCATCTCGCCCTCCAGCCTCGAGACCTGCCTCTTGCACGCCGTCGTCGCCTCCGAGTCCAGCGAGTGGGCCCGCGTCATCTCCCCATCCTCAACCTCGTCCTTGCCCGCGCCCGCCGGGCTCCCAGTGCGGATCCACCTTTCGATGGCCTCCGTCTTGGGCGCCCGCGCCGGCATCCGCGGCAGCACCCTCTCCCTGCCCTCCTGCACCGACCTCACCGACCGCCTCGACAGCGTCGACATGCGCTGCTGCCCACTGCCCAGCAGCAGCTCGTGGTCCGCCGACATGGCCGACCTCCGCCCCGCGACGTTGCCCGTCGAGTTCCGCATCCCCGGCCACCTCTCCTCGGGTATGGCGGCGACGCCCGGGAACCGCCGGCTGCTCGCCCGCCCCAGCGATACCGGCGACAGCAGCGGCGGGGCGGTGGCGTCCACCGATCCGTCCCGCCGCGGGCCCGCCCCCGGCAGCAAGCCCAGGAGCATCAGCGCGTCGCGCGTCCTCCTCGCCCGCCCCTCCTTCTTCCTCTGCTCGTCGTCCGGGTCCCCGCTCCCGCCCTCCTCGAAGACCTGGCTCCCGCGGTACAGCGGGTGCAGCAGCCCGCGCTGCTCGACGTCAGCCTCCTGTAGCGCCCCGCGCTTCTCCTCGAGCAGCAGCTGCTCGTCCTCCTCGGGCGGGGTCGCGCAGCCGCAATTGGGGCCGCGGTCGGGGCCGCCGGGGCCGCGGCAGTGGCAGTGGTGGGGCGACGGGGGGTCGTACTCGGCGTCCACGTCCGCCTTGTTGCCCACCAGCGCAACGACCGTCTCGCCGCCGCCGAACACGCCCCCGCCGCCGCCGCTGATGCTCACGCTGTAGCCGTTGTGGTGGCTCCCGCCGAGCGAGTTGCCGCCCTGCTGCTGCTGCTGCTGCTGCTGCCCGTCTCCAGCCGGGAGGTTTCCCCCGCCGAGCCACAGGCTACTCCGCCTGCGGCTGAGCCCGGACCCCCTACGGCGGTGGTGACCGCCGCTGCGATGGTGGTGGTGCAGGGGGATCTCGGCGTGCAGGGGCCGCACGGCCTCGAGGGAGGCGCGGCTGCCGACGTCGTAGACCAGCAGGACGGCGTCGTAGTCGCCGCCCGCGAGGACGGCCGCGCGCGTCTTGGCCCGCTGGAGGGCCGGGTAGTTGGTCAGCTCGACGAGGTAGGTGTTGGCTTCGCGGAGGCAGTCTGCGCAGGGGGTGGGGTCCGCGTCTGGGGTTGGCGTTGCGGTTGCTTCTGGCGTCGGGGTTGGCGTTGGGAGGGGCTCGGTTGGCGGAGATGGGGGGTCTGGCTGGGGTTGTTGCTGCGGCTGGTTGTGATGGCCCTCCTCGTTCCGGTGGCGCGAGGCCGGATTCGAAAACGTCGACGAGGCCGACCTGGGGCGGGAGTCCGGCTCGAAGCTTAGGATGGGGTCTTCCTGGTCGGATTGCCGGACCAGCGGTAATCTCGCTGACAGCCCATACGAGGTGTTCAAGGGTCGCGTTATTGCCTCCGGAGGAGTCGGTGGGCGGGGTGTCAGAGTGAAGAATCTCCGGCTGCTGATAGTCAAGGCCGGGTCGTACAATGGCGGGTACGTGGTGGTGGTGAACTTGTTTTCTACGAGTCAGTCTCTTCCCAAGACGACGAGATGGAAACGGATCGAAATGAGGCCGAGGCTGTGTGTGTGTGTGTGTGTGCTCACTCGCGATTCCAGGCAGTTCTTGCCCACCCCAGGAGCCCCTAGCATGAGGATTCTGATGGTGGGGTTTCCGCCTTCCCGACCCATCGTGGAATTACGACCAGTTGAAAGGACAAAACTCCTCCCGTATTAGTCTTCTGTTGAGATACTGCTAGTCTCCCCGGGAAAGCTATCTCAACCGTAGTCCGGGTCAAGGTGGGAGCTGGTCGTGGTGAGGGAAGGTTCTATTCAAACGAGTGACAGGCCTGAGCAAGACCCAAGATGCAGAGGCGAGCAAGTGAGCCGGTGTAAGGCACAGAGGGAAGAAACCTTCAACCCTCGACGAGATAAATAACAGTCCAAGGAACACGACTGGCCCAAGGCGCATTGACGGGACCATGTTGGCGGCGATCATCAAGCGTGGCTGGCAGCCTCTAGATCCTATTTGTTACGGGTAGAAAGCCAACTGGAGGTACATCACCTCTTGGTCGGGCCGTGGGTGTTTCTCACCAACTACTGGCAGGCAATGCCTTGCAGTTCACGTCGCACGTCTCGGGATGGTTTGGCTACCAGTCCGGCATTGAGTCGCCTGGTGAGCCACCAAACAGGCTAAACGGCAGCCCACACGGGCCGGCAGTCTTCGAGGTGGGACTTTGGCAGAGTTGGAAAGAGGCTCTGTGTAGAACAATCAATCTGGGGAGTAAGATAAATTGCGCCTGCAAAGCCGACGGTCAGCAGTCACTACCCCTGATGTGCATTGGACTTGGGAACGGGATATTTTCATTGTGGAGAAGAGGAATCTGGGGAAGAGGGACAGGTTCTCCTGAAGCAAGACAAGCTGGAGAACTGGGAGATCCCCCCCTGCCATTCTTGCTGCAAACTGACAGCATGCCGGCGGCGCGACATTACAGAATGGCCTGTTGGAGAACTCGATCCCGATCCGTCGGTATCGCCGAGGAGGGAGTGTGCTCGACCTTGCCGTCACGCTCAGACTCTGTATGCATGGGGAATCTGGTAGCGGGCCGATCCTTTTTCCAATATCGTGATTTTCTGGGCGGCCAAGGCCCATCACCGCGGCAGAACTCCTATTTCTCCTTCCATAGAAGCTAAATCGGTCCGGGACCGAAGATATAGGCCATCCACGAGCAGCGCGGACTGAACCATGATGGGGGCTCGAAGCGGATGATAGTGTGAATAGATACTCTATTAACTCGAGTCTGCAACCCCCATCGTGTCTCCGCTAGGTGGTGCATTATCCCCAGAGATAAAAAGGTACATACACAGCGCGCCGGTGTGGTTGTCTATTATACAAAAACATGCCAATGCAAAATGCGACGTCCCAATCATGTCCAATCATCCCTCATGGCAAGAATCATGCAAGAATGCTGAACCCCAGCCAATGCCATATATATGCGCCCTCCAAGGTAAATCGTACATGCAATGGATCATCAACTCCTCGGCGAGCAAGAGAGCTCTTGCCGAGGAAAAAGGTGAAACGTGGTCGGTCACCTTGCATCATGAACGCCTTCGCCCGTCGCTGAATACCATGTAATCAAATGAACGCCCCGCCGTTGCCACCTTCGGGCGGACTATGCCTCCTATACCCCGGCGGCGGCGGCGGCGCGGGACCGTCTCTGCTTCCTCCGCGGCTCTCGTTCGACCGGCCCCGTTGCCGCTCGTAGTCGACGACTTCTCGGTCCGAGGCCGCGGCGGCCTTCTCCCCAATACCCCTGGGCGGGCTGTTGGTGATGCCTCGGCCGTATCGAAGCCCCTTGTCGTCCACGTACGGCTCGACATTATCCTCGTCGTCGTCAAAGTGCTGCAGCACGGGCATCGAGTGCGATTCCGAGTCGCCCGTAACTAACCCCAACCTCTCCTCTTCAGTCGACCCCTTCACTTGAGGGCTCGAGTAGCCGCGTGGCGTGATGCCCGGGCGATGATGGTGCGGAGCGTCTCCCTCGTTGAGAGGGTCGACACCATGGGCGTGTTGCTGGTGGCGTCTGAAGACATTCTGGAAAGAGAACTGGCGCCGGGCGCCATGTGGTGGTGGAGTCGGCGGCGGAAGATTGCTGCTGGAATCGCTGCCCTGGGATGCTTGTCGATTGTCACCGCCAAACTGAACCCTCCTCTGGCTGCTGCTCATGCTGGCCCCACTACCGTCGTATGCAGTCTTTCCGGACGGGAGTCCGTACCCTCCTCCGTACATGTTCGGATGCTCGTCCCCTTTCTGGCCACCAGGAACCGAAATCTCGGTCAGCTGGACGGGATGCAGGGGGCTCTGGATTTTGCCGAAATCCTGGCGATTGATCGGCATCTCCGGGTAATTCGGCGCAAGCACACTGCGTGCCCGGGACCGGATCGTGCCAACGATACTAGACAGGGCTCCTGGGGAGGTGGGCCGGCCATTCGCGGCCATCTCCTCCTCGGTGGGGAAGTATGACATTCCCAAGGGTGGGTGTGGTGTTCCTGGAAGCGGAGTGAAGGGGGCCGGAGATGTCATGGGCCTTGACCTGTGGACGCTGCTGATGGTGGTCCTCCTCCTCCTTAGCCCATCCCACTCATACATCTGACCATCCTCGCTCACCGGGTCCAGTTCTTCCCTCATCTTCTCCTCGCGCAGGCGCCTCATCTCTTCGTATTCCATTTTCTGTCTCGCGGTCGAGAACCTCCGCACAATGGCGGCTGCGCCCCTAATGGCGTCCGCCTTCGGCTCCGTCTCAGGCTGCTCCTGTTCAGCAATGGTCTGAATCTGATCCAGATTTCCGGCAAACAACGCCGCATCGGGAACGTCCTTGGCGGATTTTGATAGTTGAAGAAGCACAACTCCCGAGCAAATGGTCAAGAATCCCATGACAACCGTCACGATCGACGTCGCCGTGCCCTTGAAACCCTGGAACAACACCGCCGAGGTGATGATAGTAGTGCTGGTGAAATAAACATAATACGTGGGTGTGACCATAGCTGCATTAAATAGATTAAGCGCTTTCTGTGTGTGGTCGTTTGGTTAGCAAAGAAGTTCCAACGGGGAGTTTTCTCGGGCGGGCAAGGGGGTTGCTCACATTCAGGTAGATGATTTCCGTCAACAAAGTTCCAATGATAAAGACCAACAAGACATATATGAACCACTGGTTGAACTGCGGTTTGCCCCCAATCTGGGCGACAATGGCGGCTCCGAGGCCCTGGGTGGCGACCACACTCAGCCCTCCAACCCAGCTGCATATGGAAATGTAGACGAGCATATTCTTCTTGCCCCATCTCGGTCCTGCGTAGAAGGCCGTGATTGCGGAGCCAATAATAATGACTCCGGTATAGGAGAGGAAGCCTGGTGTGATGACAAAGGCCTGCATCTGCTGGATGTTGGCGACCGAGGACTCCTGCGGAGCGTTCATGACAATGACGACCGATCCTACGATGCAGAGGAAGCAGGCGACTTTCCCAACCATGCTCAGCCTCTCCTTCAGGAATATGGCAGACAGGACGGTCGTGATGACGACCGAGAGCGCTCCCAAGGGGGTGACCAGGATGGCATCGGTGAAGGCATAGGCAACGAAGTTGAGAATCTCGCCAAAGATCATGAGCAGCATGCCCCCCCACCAGAAGCCATTCTTCAGATATCCGTAACCTTCGCCGGCGACCTCCTTGTACTTGTCGTTCGCCTTCAACAGGCCCAGCTTTTTCAGGACGAAAGAGGTACCGATGAATGCGCCAGAGCCTATCGCCAATGATATACCAATCGCCTTGAAAATCGGGGGTCGCTCGTCTGTTGACTGCTTTTCCTCGTCGGCCCGGGAGTATATTTCGTGGGCTACCCCCAGGACTTGCGCTGCGTGGTCCATGATAGCTCCGGCGTCTGCACACCGACGACGACGGCTCGTCGTCGTAGTTGCGCGGGAACTGTCACTGTTTGCGTCGTCAAGCCCGTCCGATTATTTCTTGTCCGTCTATTTGTTTGTATGCTTGTTTGTTGAAGGTTCCTCAACCAAGCATGGGAGGTTCGTCGCAAATGTTAGAACGAGCTGTAAAAGAGCTGCCGGGTCGAGGACGGCATAAACGTGAAGGGTGCGAAGATCTGGTGGCGAGCGACGGGGGCGTGTAGGGTGTAGGGGAGTGTGGGTGTCGGGGGGGTTGAATAGGGTTGGCTCGGTTGACGGAAACTGCTCGTTCGCAGGCAGCGAGGGTGTGTGAAGTTCGGGCCCGAGGTTTCTCTGTTCTTCTGATGCAAAAGAAGGACAGGATTGACCGGGTCGCTGGCGATCTCGGAGGTTTAGCCGACTCGTATGGGACACCAATTGTTTGGGATATTGGGTCAAGGCCTATTTCGATCTCGAGTCGCCGGAGAGTCGGCCAGAGAGGGACAGGAATGGCTCGAGTACCGTCTTGGTTGACCAGGGTAACCGGGGAATTTGGCAGGTGGTCGCGAGAGCGGGCCCCCGACCTGAGACTTGAGACGTTGTTTGTTGCGACAGCCAAGCGACCACAAAACAGGTCCCCTGATTTCGGAAACCTGGTGTCCAACCGGATAAATTCAGGGTGGGAGAGTCCCTAGTTGCGTCCTGTTTGTTGCTATATAGAGTTATGTCAAAGGAAAAACACAGCGCTTAAGTGTTTACAGTAAAGTATGAACAGCAAAACATCGCTTCCCAATATCTTGCAAGACAAGAAGTTGGCAGAGCTGAGGGACCAGGATGGGGTAGTTATTTTGGCGGGCCTCTCCACCTCCTTCTGTTTCACGAACTGATGACACCCCGCCAACCAGCCCCCCTTTAAACATGGTTAATTGTTAGTTAGGCGGCGCAGTCTAGCGTGTACCTACATATAGATACGCTAGATACGACTAGATACCCTAGTTGGGCCCAGCCCTTCGGGCCTTCATCCGGCCCCCTTTCTGTTTCTAGACTCTCAACTGCTGGGCCGTATCTGCACGTTGCTGAGGGAGAATATCGAGGATATGAATATCGCGAGGTTTCCATCATTGGAAGATGCCAAGTATTTTCTCCACAGGACATGGTGGTCGCAATTGTAGCCTAGTGCGGAAATGATAGCCAGCTCTGACGTCGACCCTCTGTGTATCATCTTCCTCCTGTGAAGTAACCTCTCCTCCATCTCATTGCGCCTCCGTGCCGGGCTGAGACAGCTGCGTCCCTCATCAACACGCCCGGCTAAAAAGCTGCAGGTCAATGACGTTTGATCCAACCACTGACTTTCGAGGCCCACCCTCCTCGGTCGCTCTCAGCTGCGCTTCCCGTATCACAATTCCCCACACGCATTGGGATTGCTAGTTGTTGGGGGGGTCGGGTAACGGCCTGGTGCACATCAATACATCCATATACTTGATTCAACGATTTACAGTGCAGTATCGGGAACAATGTGGGCACCTAGTTTATTATCTGATCGGCATTTCTTCTTGTGGGCTGGAAACTTGGAATGAAGGCGTTGCTGGGTTAAACTCATAGGTCCCGCAACCATAGCTCCCAAATATCTCTCTTGAAGAAAGGCTATCGAGACGTCTCAATCAAGACATTTGGCGCTTTCTTTTGCTTCTTTTTCGTTTCGGCGACTTGACCCAATAGAAAAATTGCCGCACTGCACTTAGATATAGCTAGGCTACGCCGAATATAGATGCTCACGATTGACGCCATTTCTTCAGGCGAGGCGTTTCGTAGAGACTGGAAGTGGCAACCCTTGCGAAGTCTAATGGCGATGCATATTATGAAAATTGATAAGTAATTAAGTCGTATACTTCTCATTAGAGCAACGATTAGGAACATTGCTGGACTTTGGGAAACCAACCCCCTTTTTTATCGTCAAGGCGGAATTCAGCAGAGAACCTCCTTGTCTACAGAACAACAGTTGGTATTGCCTCGGAGGACTTACAGCTTCTGTTGCTTGAGACTCGAGTAGAGTCTGCCTAGGAAGGCAGTATGGCTTAAAGGCACAACCTGGACTATAAGCTATACACCTTGGAAAAGGGACAGAGGCGAGCAAGAGTAGTTGTGCCTCGATAACCTAGACAAGCAGTCGCAGCATGCCAAACAACACTACTCCTAGTTAACCTACTGCTTGAGGAACTAGATTCTATCATCAGTTCTTCAAATAGAAGTCCAGAATTTATGTTTCGAGGACTGCCTCTTGCTCTTCCCCAAGGGCAACCTCAAGGTACATTTTATTCTAGGTTGTCCGTATCCTCAACGACCACTATTGCTGCAAGATACGCGTTCTAATTGCACTTGTTCTCTTATCTAGAGATATCTTAATGCTTCTCTTGCTAATTTGCAAGCTAATTTGTTTCCAGGAATATTCGAGTGACCCGATGCCAAATACAATTTGACTTGGTCGCTGGACTTCCCTCTCTATCGCCCCAACAACTTCCATGACTTCTAAAACACCACCTGACCGTTCTAGCAGTTATGATCCTACCAGGTGTGTTGAGTGTAGATGCCAAGTTCCGGTCCTTCGTTTGTGAGCCAGTCAAATCACATAGAGCCGCAGAATGAGGGCTGAGAATGCTTGGCTTCTGACATGGTCCATGGTGACCTCTTATGTTCCTCATCGCTGCTCTTGGTACCTGTCGACAAAAAGAGTCTCAAGTTTCACTTGATAATTAAATTTGGAAACATGTACATTGTTTGTACTCCGCCAGCCCTGTAAGTAATATAAATACACCTCAATCATTCAAACCCGACAGCCCTGATCTTCCACCCATGGTATAATCCCGTTTAGTCCAAACGCCAGCGCCCAATCCTTCATGATGCCAGCTCATCAGCCCTCATCAACCCATTCAAAAAACTACCCCATCCACCATGCAGGCTTGCATATCCGCCCCCGACTCCATTCATGGGCCTGCCACTCACTTAGGCAACGACGGACAGTGTCAGGCCTTAACAACCCAGCCGGCGTTGACAAAGAAATCAAAAATTCTGCTTCCCTTCTGAGGGTCTAGACGGCAGATTTCCTTGGCCTGCTTCTTCCTCAGGCTACCATTGCCCTTGACTGCCTCCTTGAGGATCTGCTCCTTGACCATCAAGTAAGGCTTGGGCTGCAGCCGCAAAATTTCGCAGAGCTTGGCCTCTTCAGCAGTGAGCAGGTGGAAGTCCGGCGCATTCTCCTGGCTGAGAGGGAGCGGCTGGATGCCCGGGATGGGCTGAGGGATGAACTTCTGCTTCTGCGGAGCTCCGTTTGCGACGACCACATCGCCGTCGTTGATGTGATTCCCGTTTGCGAGGCCCTTCGGATCACCGTTGGCGGTTTCTCCGTTCGTACCACCGACAGAGGCTGCTGAGCGGATTGGCAGCTCAGGGGCAACCAAGAGCGCCGAGCCACTTGGCGGGTCTGGCGGCGGCTGTTGCTTGTTACGCTGCGTCGTCGTCGCCAGCCGCTCCCGATCCATCGATCCCAGTGGCACTGCTTTTTGCATGCGCTGCGTCTTTTCTTGTTCATATTTCTCGCCGCTCCGCAGGTCGCCGATACGGAGGGTTCTCCACTCCTGGAGCTGAGTGATGGCCTGGCGAAGATTGAGCTCATCAATTAGCCCCTGGCAGAGAGCTTCGAAATCGGTGCCGTTCATCATCCGGGCGAAGGGTTTGGCCTTGTTAAGCAGATCCCTTTCTTCCTTTGACCGTTTCTTCTCCGTCTTGCTGTTCTCCCTATAATCGAGAAGATTATGCTCAAAAACGACCTTTTTCCGCTCCACGCGTTGCGTCAACCTGCAGTTGTAGATCTCCATCACTGTCAACTTGAGCTCCATCTCAGGCTCCAGCTCCCCCGTTCGAGGGTTGATGCCGTCTCCGGGGTCGAATTGCATGAGCTGCACCGCCTCCTCGGCTTCATTCGCATACTCGGTCTCGAATTCCAGGCGACCAGGCATATACCCCTGAATCTCGTGACAGGCGGGAACACTGGCCGTGGGCTTCGTCTTGGGCTGGAGAACTGGGGCATTCTTGGCGGCCTCTCGTCTCTCCTCGATTCTCCGCTTCTTCCGTGCCTGGAACTCTTCGCGCGAGATCTCGTTGGCCAGTTCCATGTCCTGTGGACTGCATCGTTCGGGGAGAGGGAACTTGGAGGATCCGACGTAGACCTTCAAATAATGATCCCTGACCTCGTCCTTGTTCCGATAGCCGCCGATGTGGTTCGCAATGTCGGCCCATGAGCCTAGCCCGTAGATCTCTGCACCCTCCAGAAGCAGCAATTCTTCGTCGGCGCCCCATTCTCGGTCGAAGATGGGGAACGAGTTCTGCTCGATGACTCGGAACGGATGCGTGGCGGGTTGGTGGTTATTGCTGGACTGGCCGCTGGCGAAACATTGAACGCAGAGGTCGTATTCATTACAGGCGCTGTGCGCGCATCGAATTCTGACCTATTTGGTTATGTTAGCAGGTGGTCGTTAGGTGACGGGATGGCTCGCACGGTGGCGTGTGGTTGGCAGGGTGGCGCGGGCGCAGGCTCGGCACCGATTCCGGCGCCGGAACCGGCAACCCCAAGTTGACCGCCCGCCGGCGAGGTGGAGAATAACCTACCGTTGATGTTATATCTGCTGAACACGCATCGCAAACATATTTTACGCCTCCTTCGCCGCCTCTCGCGGCTACCTTCTTCCTGATGACGCCCATCTCCCCTGTCGCGAGCAAGTGGGGGAAGCGCGTGCTGACAGCGCCCAGGCAAGGTCAGGTGGGATTTCCAGGAGCAAACCGACGCCAAGTCAGCGCATAAAAGACGTATCTCAAGAGTTCATGACAAGGATAGATGATTTAAGGGGATATTTCGATGCAAAACGACTGGGAAGGTTGTTGATTTGGATGGAAAAGCCGTCGTTTGAACAGTTGATGTCGAGAACTAGGCGCGGACCACTGAATGTGGAGGTCTGATCGTTGTAGGTACGTACCCCTGCACATTCTGCCGATGTTTCCCCGGACTTTTGCAAAGACCCGCACCTAGTGACGTAATCATATAAAAGTCCCGCCTAGCTCTCAGTGCAAGGTACGATGCTTTAGCGTTCAAGCCTCTGCAACTCTTCGTCGGAGCCTTTCTTCTGGGTACTGGAGGTACTGGAAGGTCTATAGGTAGTTGGAAAGTGCGAGGTTGCGACACTCACGTCGCCAGGAAATCATAAATGGAAACCGCCGAGCGGTGTCGCCGAAGCCAACCCACCGTCAGTGGCTCTCCATAGATAGCTCGATGCAACCACCTGCATGGATGTTGGATGTTCCGCCGGACGGGCCTTTTTTCTCGCCCCTCCACGGATAAGCCTTTTAGGTACAAGCGGGGCCCCGCGCGAAACATATCTCGCGATATCTCATCCCGATCCCCTCAAGTCTTGAGCCCTAAAAAGTTCTCCTCCCTCACGCCTTCTCCGCTCGAGACATACTCGTTTTGTCTTACAGCAGACCCCATTCTCCAGCCATGGCCGAGAAGGTCCTGAACGATATCTCCCATCGCCGATACAATCCGCTCACAGGCGGGTGGTTGCTCGTATCACCCCATAGAACAAAACGGCCATGGCAGTAAGACCTTTTTGATATCCGCCCACTGCTGCTTATGGCGACTGTCCCTAATTCAGAGAAAGAGGCCAGCAGGAAGCTCCTTCCAAGAACCAATTGCCCGAATATGATCCCAAGGCGCGTACACCAAGATAGTTAGTTGATGACGAAGAGGCAGCCCTGACAGATGAGCAGTGCTATCTCTGCCCGGGCAACCAGCGAGCGCAGGGGGATTCGAATCCGCAATACGAGAACACGTTTGTCTTCGTCAACGACTACAGCGCAGTCAAGGAACAACAGCGGGAATACAAGCCAGAGGGCTCGGGGGATGACATTGCATCACTTCTCCTCCAGGCGCAGGCCGTCACCGGCCAATGCTATGTGCTGACCTTCTCGGCGAAGCACCACCTCACCCTAGCCGACATGGCCGCGCAAGATATCCTGCCCGTCATCCAGACTTGGACTCGGATCTTCGCTTCTCACATGTCACCATCGCACCCGCTGGCCGCCCAGGCTACCGAAGTTTTGAGGACACTACCCTCTTCGCAAGAAGACGAGGTCCCCCGGCCTGTGAACCAACTGCGGTACATGCAGATTTTCGAGAACAAGGGCGCCGCGATGGGGTGCTCGAATCCTCACCCCCACTGCCAGATTTGGACGACGTCCGCCATGCCCGAGGAGCCTGGTAAGGAGCTGGCGCAACTGGGCAAGTATCGCGCGGACCACGGTGGGAGGCATCTGCTTGCGGACTACGTCAAGCTGGAGATTGAGAAGAAGGAGCGGATTGTCTGGCAGAACGACGCCTTTCTGGTCGTCTGTCCGTGGTGGGCTGTCTGGCCATTCGAGGTCCTGATAATCGCGAAGCGCCATGTCCGCGCCTTGGTTGATCTAAGCGATCAGGAGAGGCTGCAGTTTGCCGAGGCTATCCAGGAGGTCACGAGGCGGTATGACAACCTGTTCAAGACCAATTTCCCGTACAGTGAGTGTTTTCCCCCTTCCTTGGGCAAAATCGCATGTGTATCCGCGTCCTGACGACGGGCTAGGCTCTGGAATTCATCAGGCGCCATTGGAGTGCACGGAGGAGGAAGCCGAGACAAGCTACTTCCACATGCACTTCTATCCCCCGCTTCTTCGGTCCGCGACTGTTCGCAAGTTCCTCGTTGGCTACGAGCTTCTGGCCGAACCACAGCGAGACATCACGCCGGAGCAGGCGGCTGCGAGGTTGAGGGATTGTGGAGGCGAACTCTACCGCAAATCGATAGAGTGAGCGCATGGCTGACCAAGATGATGGAACGCATGCTGCGACACCTCGAATTGGTTAGCTTGGCAATGTACAAATGTACATTTCCCATTTTTACGTTGCTCTCGATCTAGCTCTGATAATTATCTCCAATATGACTATTTTGGCCGGCGGAGTCGACCCCCTCCTCCCTCCCCCTTTTGATGTAGATATATACCCTCGAAGCGACACGGGTTGCTCAGTTGGCAACGTAGTGACCATATTGCATAATCATCCACAGCGACCCGCCATACGCAGCGGCGAAGGGGAAGGCCTGCGGCCCGGTGAACCTGATGGTCTTGAACACGAGCATCTCGCTCGTGAAGTGGCCCGCGGCGATGAGGTGCGTCCAGATGGCCAGCTGGTACAGCGAGGGGTTCGCCAGGTCGTAGCACGCGTAGAAGCGGATCACGCCGGCCATGAACGTGTAGGTACCGAAGAGGCGCGCCGCGAGGGGCGAGACCTGGTCCTGGGCCTTGTCGGCATCCTTGGATCCCGGGGTCGCGGGCACCAACTTGGCGACGCTGTCGTCGGGGTTTGAGCTGGTGGTCGCTTTCGGGAGGGACTGGTTTCGCACGAATCGGCCGTTGTAGGTTCGTCGTGTGTAGTGGAGCGTGGCGAGGTTTTGCAGGGCGTTGGCCACAGCCACGACCGAGACCTGAAGCAGGGAAATATGGGTTAACAACAAGGTGGCCAGCAACGAGGTATATCGGTCATGGTTGACACTCACAACCAGGAGATAGTAGGGCAGGTAGCCCTTTTCGGCCGATGGGAGGAAGGAAAGAATGCGATCCATCTTGCTAGAGGAGGCAAGAGCTGGAGAGGAGTAGAGTCGTAGAGGAGGCTCGAAGGAGATGGCTGCAGGTACAGGTACTACGTAGGTGTGACTGCTCACAGCATCCGTGTTACGATGCCCAGTAGTGAATTGTTTTACTTGGGCCAATGTCAGTGCCAATCATGGGGCTTATCGGCCATCGCGAGCATGGATCCTACGTACCTAAGTTATTTACCAGGTGGTTGCCTGTAGACTGGTAGAAACATCACGGTCTGGAAATTTACCTACTTTCGTCCCTTCCTGCTCTGCAGGGGCAGGTTGAAGTGAGCTTCGATTATTTCGAGTATTTTGTATGGCTTTAATTGCCTGTTAGGGTTAATACAAAATCTTAAAGCTTTTATTTATCAATTATCTTGGTACCTGGATCCCCTTCTTTTCCAACTGTTGAGCTCAGCATTGTTGTCATTGGTCAGAGCTGCCCAATTCGTTCCTTGGCCCCAACGGCGATGACAGCCCCAAAATCCTTGGTCAGATCTTCTGTTTTCAGCGGTAGAACTGCAAAATTCATCCTCGTAAGGCCAACAAGCAAACAAACACGTCTGCTCCGTACCTCGTGGGGGTTTCTACCTATTCGCTTCTGCCGATACAAACCGCGATGGCCACCATTTCGGAGCTCTTGGGCCTTGTCCCACAGGGTGTGCAGTGGGCATTGGCAGGTATTGGTGCTCTGTACATCTCTACCAAGGTCCTCGGTTACCTGCAACTGGCCCTGAACCTGTTCGTGCTCAGTGGCACCAATGTGAGTACTCGGCCCATTTAAAAACGTGCCTCGCTCCTCACTAACACCAGACTTTCGCCAGCTCCGCAAATATGGCAAAAAGGGCACCTGGGCAGTCGTTACCGGCGCATCCGACGGCCTGGGCAAGGAGTTTGCTACCCAGCTTGCCGCGCAGGGCTTCAACCTCGTTCTCGTCTCGCGGACACAATCGAAGCTCGAGGCTCTGGCGACAGGGCTGGGAAACAAGCATGCCGGTTCGGGACTACAGATCAAAGTCCTTGCCATGGACTTCTCCAAGGACAGCGATGCCGACTACGACCGCCTCGCGGAGCTTATCTCGGGGCTTGACGTTGGAATTCTAATCAACAACGTGGGCCAAAGCCACAGCATTCCCGTGCCCTTCCTCGAGACGCCGCATGAGGAACTCCAAGACATTGTGACTATCAATTGCTTGGGGACTCTGAAGACGACACAAGTCGTGGCACCCATCCTCGTTCGGCGCAAGAAGGGCCTCATCCTAACCATGGGTTCTTTTGCCGGCTGGATGCCCACCCCGTATCTTGCCACCTACAGCGGCAGCAAGGCCTTCCTGCAGTACTGGAGCAGCTGTCTCGCGGCGGAGCTCAAGCCCCAGGGTGTCGACGTCGAGCTGGCCGTGAGCTACTTGGTCACGACGGCCATGAGCAAGATACGGCGGGCGAGCGTGCTGATCCCCAATCCAAAGCAGTTCGTTCGGTCAGCACTAGGCAGGGTCGGTCTCAGCAGCACTCAGAAGATGGCGCATACATACACGCCGTATTGGAGCCATGCCCTCTTCGTCTGGATAGTCGAGAACACGGTTGGTGTTGGGAACAGATTTGCCATCTGGTACAATCTTAAGATGCACGCGGACATCAGGACTAGGGCATTGCGGAAGGCGGCGCGGGAGGCTAAGAAGGAGTGAGGGAGCTAGCCTACCTGGCTGCTTGGTCATTCGCATGCGCATCACATCTCCCAATCCCTTCCAACGTCCTATCCTACTATCTGGGGGTTTCCCCTTCCCGGTATTGACGTGGAGGGCATTGTGGTGTATTAAAAAGGGTTGGACATATATATGTTAAACCGTTGATGTACGAATAGCTTGACCATAACGTAGACTTACCTATGTGACACTTAGGTTGCTTAATGCCTAACTGAATGAACAATGGCTGGGCAATGCCGGCTTTTCAATGCCAGTTGGGAATCTTTCAGCCTTGTCGCCAAAATAGGCTTAGCGCCTGGATGTTGGATCTCAGGCGCGAGCAGTTCGCGTCTTGACCGCAGGTCCAGTGGCCCCTGCTCAGAAATTGTTGACAGCCTCCTCCACATTTTGAACCAGCTCTTGGAGCTTCACCTTACCCGAAAAACCAAAGCATCGAATATTCGGCAGAGCAGTCACCACCAACTGCCATCGTAAAGCACCATTTTCATGGGACAATAGCAAATACCGTTTCCGTTTGAGCATCGGCTCTGTTTAAACCGCCGAGGAGCCGTCTTCCTGGCTCCAGAGAGCTTGGTGCCACGGTCAAGGTGAAGAAAATCAGGGCGCCCGATTGCGACAATGGCTACCTTTCAGCCGACCGCTACGCCCATGCGGCAGGTCCCTGGGGCCTTTTTCAATACTCCAGCTCCTGCACGAACCGACACCGTTCGTCGCCGTCTCTTCGGCGAGCAGCCAGGCGCAGGATCAAGCACGAATGGCGGGATCCCGTCTGGCGCTGTCACTGCCGTCGCTAGCAGCACTCCTCTCCAAACCCTCGGCCAGACCCAGTTGCCACAGTCCGAGGCTCCCCTTCCCCCGATTCTCAAGGCTGCAAGATCGATCAACCAGGTGCTGCAGCTCGATGATAGCTACCCGGATCTCGATTCTTACTGCCGGCGTGAGTATTTCCAGACCGGTCCAGTCCATGCTTGCTTTGCTTGCCATGATTACTGATCTGATTCCCCAACAGCTGGCGCATCCTCCTCCGACTATGATCTCCAGTCTCCCGACTCAGCATGGGCGCCGTTTCACAAGGTTCAGATGTACCCAATTCCCGACCAGATCTTCGAGAAGTTGAATGGTGGAGAGGTCGTGACCAAGATGGGCCTGTTCGCTGGGATCAACCATGCTTGGGCGACCATCGACAGCTCTCTCTTCTTGTGGGACTATACGCATCCCAATCCCGACCTGATCGGCTTTGAAGAGTCCTCGCATACCATTACCGCGGTAGCTCTACTGCCGCCAAAGCCGGGTGTCTTCGTCAACACCATCACCCATATCCTGGCGGTGGCGACCACTTCTGACATCCTGCTTCTTGGCGTCTCCGCGGCTTCCACCCCGACCGGGGCCAAAACCATCTCCCTGTATCAGACAAAGATGGGCGTCCACAGAGGAAGCAGTGATGTTAGTATCATCGTTGGTACCGCGACTGGTCGCATATTCTTTGGGGGAGACAGCGACACGGATATCCACGAGCTGTACTACCAGCAGGAGGAAAAGTGGTTCTCAAGTCGGTGCGGGAAGATCAACCACACCCATCCCGGATGGTCATCCGTCGTCCCCACCCTGGCTGCGCCGATCGACTTCTGGTCACAACGGCAGCAGGAACACCTAGTGGACATTGTTGTTGACGATACGAGGAATCTCCTGTATTCCCTGTCCTCCAAATCCACCATCCGAACTTACCACATGGAGGCATCGGAGAAGCTGAGGGAGGTCATCGCGAAGGACAAGACTCAGTGTCTTCGCGAAATCTCACACATGGTCAATGAACGTTCACCCCTCCTCGACGAACGCGTGACTATCGTATCAATCAGTCCCATCTCTGCTCGCGAGGCTTCCAAGCTCCATCTCATGGCCTTGACCAACACGGGTTGCAGGCTGTTCCTTAGTGCGACAAGCTCGGCATCATACATGGTCAACACCTCATCTAATCTCGCTCCTCAGAGCATGCAAGTCCAGTTTGTCAAGTTTCCCCCACCCGACATCACAGCGGGAGATAGGCGAGCGTTGGGACAGGCGAACGGTAGCCCGGATAAGCTCCAGATCCAATCGACGTCCTTGACAGCCAGCTTATTTGGCCAACGATTCGCCCCTGGCTATTTTTTCGACTTTATCAGAAAGGAAAACAACCCAGGTGCCGATCGTCTCTTCATCTCCACCCCCGACACTGGCAGGATCAAAATCACCACACCCGCATCGGCGTTGAAGTATTACGAGCAGGGTAATTGGGTCGATCTCGGTGAGAACAATCGGGCCTTGGCAGTTGGCTCCATCACGAAGCCCTTTTCTGCTGCCACGCAGCCTCTCGGCTTCGGGAACGAGCTCGCTGTTCAGTTTGACGATGCTCCGGGCGAATTCGCAATCCTGACCAACACTGGAGTCCATGTGGCCAGACGGAAGAGGTTGGTCGACATCTTTGCCACGGCGATTAGGAGCGCCAGTGGCGATGAAGGGTTGGAGAAAGAAGTCCGGAAGTTCGTTATACGCTATGGTCGGGTGGAAACCATCTCCACCGCCTTGGCAGTCGCTTGTGGCCAGGGCAGCGATCTTAGAACTGGCACTGGCAGGGCAACCGACCGGGCAACCGAGGATCGCGCCCGGACTGCCTTCGTCGATTTCGGCGGCCAGCCTACGCTCTCCGAAATGGATAGGACCTCGACTGAATCCGTCACACTTTCCGCACGACATGATGCACTGGCTCTGTACATCACTCGGCTTATCCGCACGCTCTGGAGATCAAAGATGGTCTCTATCGGCATTGACCCTGCCGGGGGCATTGCAATCAGCTCCACCGTGCCGTCAGCCAAATTGGTCTCTGTCCAGGAGAATCTGGAGAGACTGAGGAAATTCCTCGACGCCAATAAGGGATTCATCCAAGGATTGTCTGGCCCTGCAGATCTCCAACGGGTCGCGAGCAGGCAAGAAGAAATCGCCCTCCAAGCCGAGCACCAAGCCCTCCATGCGCTACAAAAGCTGATGGAGAGCATCTCGGAAGGCATATCTTTCGTCCTGATGCTTTTCGACGAGCGAGTCCCTGATATCTACATGCGCCTCGACGTAGCCTCCCGCCAACAACTGAAGGAGCTTACGTACGAAAACCTCTTCTCTCAGTCTTCGGGCAAGGACCTCGCAAAGCTTCTGGTCAAGGCCATCGTCAACCGGAACATCGAAAGCGGTTCAAACGTTGAGACGGTCGCGGATGCGTTGCGAAGGCGATGTGGAAGCTTCTGCAGTCCGGACGATGTTGTCATCTTCAAGGCTCAAGAGCAGCTTCAGAGGGCCACTGAGCAGGCGCAGAACCCCAACGTTCTTCGTGCTTTGCTGAACGAGAGCCTGCGGCTCTTCGAGCGTGTTGCAGGCAGCCTGACTTTCGCCAACCTCAAAGCGGCGATCCAGCAATATACGGACCTAAAATATTACGCCGGCGCCATCCAGCTTTGCCTGGTTGTTGCCCGGGAGAAGGACCGTGGCAACTCGGCACTCTCGTGGATTAACGAAGGCCGGCCGGCGAACGATCCGCGACAGAGGGCGTTTGAGGAGCGGAAGCACTGCTACGACCTGATCCACGATGTCATGAACCAGTTGGATGCTGCCTCCGGGTCGGAGCCCGAGATGATCGACGGCAGGCTCACCCTAGCGGCGACAAAGAAGGTGGAGGCTTACGATGTCGTCAACGGCTCCGATGACGAAGTCTTCCACTTCGACCTCTATGAGTGGTACATCAGGCAGAATTGGACCGACCGTATTCTAGCCATTGACTCGCCTCATGTTGTCACCTTCCTCCAACGACTCGCAGACACGGATGCTCAGCATGCCGATCTGCTGTGCCGGTTCTACACACATCGCAGCCGGTTCTTCGAGGCTGCCCAGGTCCAGGCCAGCCTCGCAAAGTCCGAGTTCGCCATCGGCATCAAGGACAGGATCACTCTGCTCAGCCGCGCCAAGGCCAATGCGAGCGTGGGCACAGCCGGCATCAGCCGGCAACAGCAACAGCTTCTGAATCACGAAGTGACAGAGCTTCTCGAGATTGCACACATTCAAGATGATGTGCTGGAGAGGCTCCAGGCAGACAACCGACTCCCCGACGACCGCAGAGCCGTGGTCGAGAAGGAGCTGGACGGTCCTATCCTGGACTTGACTGAGGTGAGTTGACTGTCGGTGAAGTTGATTTTCCGGGTTTGGCTAACATCGAGGCGCAGCTCTTCAATACCTACGCAGACCAAGCCGGCTACTTCGACCTCTGCCTCTTGATTTACCATGCTGCTGACTATCACAACTCCCGGATTATTGCCGAAACATGGGATAGCCTGATCAACAACACGCATTACGAGGTCGAGCAGCGTCAACAGATATGGGACGAGCACCGGGCCGGGCGGCCGCTCCCCAAGGGTGTCGAGGTCCCAACCGCACCTCCTCCCCAGCCCTACGAGATGGTCTCGGCGCAGATCCAGAACATCGCCCATCGGACGTCGTTGGACAGCCTCATCTTCCCGATCGACACTCTGCTGCCAATTGTCTGCAGGTACGCCATCTCGAATGGCCAGGACGTCTCGATCGGCGCCGACCCTTGCTGGCCGGTTCTGCTCTTCCTCCAGCTCAGCGTCCCACATGCCCTGATTGTGCGCATCCTGGAGCAGATCTTCGACGCCCAGGAGACCCCCTTCACCGGCCGGCGGAGGAAGGTCGTCGTGCAGTGGATCAATGTCGTCGTCGAGTCCTGGGCCCGCGAGGTCGAGAGGCGCGGGGGTCCGGCCGCCGGGTCCGCGGGCGGCGAGGGAGCCCTGGGTAGCTGGGTGACGGAGCTGCTGGGCCGGTGCGACGAGTTCCTCGGACAGGTACTCGGCAGCGCGAGGGGGATGGCGGATGGCGAGGAGCTCGCGGATACCCGGCGAAAGACAAGGTTGTTGCAGAAAGCGGTTACCAGCTTGGCTGCGTCCTCGGTACAGGGTAGTCTGCGCTTTGGATGAAGAGGCCAGCTTCCAATAGTCCTCGTCTCTTTTTCCTCTTTCTTTCCCCGCCCCCTCCTCTCTTGTCTTTTATTCTCCCAGGCACAGTACAATCCATGGTGGATTAGACGAGACCGTCTGTGCGACTACGAGTGGGGCGATCATGGTTCAGGGAGGCATCATCCAGAAGGAAGCGTGCATTTGGAGTTTTCCCTGCTAACGTGTAAATACGAGCTCGCGGGGGGTGTCAACAGAACAAAAATAGAAAATTTTGAATTTCAAAATTCGCTCGAGAGTGTTCTTGTTTGTTTGTTTATTTATTTTACAGCTGAACATGTCGAAGCTCAACTAGTCCAACATCTCCTAATACAGTTCCCTCCCCCCCCCCCCCCCCCACCCCCCCCAAGCCCCGGCAGCTACCCCCTATTCCCCTCCCACCTCATCATCAAACTCAGCCATAAGCCCATTCCCCAGCACGGCGGCCGGGAACTCGTCCACGCCCAGCGCCGTGGTGTGCGCCCACGGCTTGAGCCCGACCTCGTCGCGCACCACGCCCGCGAAGCACCTCGCCCACCCGTGCCGAGGGAAGGCGGCGTGCGCGTCCGCCCGCGTCGCCGCGTGCACCAACCCCGGGTTGCCGCCCACGTTGTCGTGCAGCGTCGCCAGCTGCAGGAGTTGGCCCAGCAGCGTGATGGTGCCCGTCATGCCTAGGTCCTGGTGCCGCCATATGGCTTCCGCAACGGACTCGGCTTGGGCAACTGCGGGGGCGGGGGAGGAGGAGGTCGCGCGCTGCAGAAGAAGGGAGTGGGCTAGGAGGCCGCCGTGGAATTCGAAGGAGAGGCGGGTTGTGCGGAGGTTGGAGGGGGTGGTGCCGATGTCGTGGAGGAGGGTTGCGAGGGCTAGAGTTGAGGGGGAGAGGGTTGTGGCGTGGGAGGGGAATTGTTGGTGGAGGATGGCGGTGGCTGGTTTTGTTGTTGTCAGTTTCTTATTTTAATGGCATTGTCGTGTATGGGTGATGGGGAATACCGAAATAGTACACCCTCATGGAGTGGTTGTACGTCTGTGGCGGGAGCTTCTCCCGGGCGTATTCCTGGATCCTTGTGACCAGGGGATCCTCTGATGGGAACTTCATGTCCTTGATGAGCAGCGGCTCCGGCTTGTGGATGTACTCCTTGCCGCCCAGGAGGATGCTTGTATCCCTCGGCACGGCAGTCCAGCCGTGTACGGTAATGGGATCGCTTGATGAAGCCATGTTCTAGTAGACGGCTGTCGAGGTTTGGGTTCCTGTACGTCTTTTGACCTACTCTGGAGCTCTGGAGCCCGGAATCCCGGATTGTAGGGGAAGGGGCTTGATGCCTAGATACAGCGGGGGGACCGCGAATATTATATATTAACCTCCAATGGCATTATGATGACAATCGTATGACTCTCGTGAAGACTGCGTTAGTGACGTACACCCGCAAGACGGAGATCCCGAGCTTCCTCCTTCCCAAGGCTCTCTGACTCCCACTGCAGCATCCTGGACAATACTAATCTGATTTCACCGAGGAGATCAGATAGGCCAGTATGTTCCTCCCGATGACAAATGGGCAGATTAGCAATGGATGGGAATACGGCACAACGCTGCCCGTAGCTGCCTACCTTTCAACGTGCTGCAAGGTGCTTACGGTGCAGAATGGGACCTAGCTAAGTGGCACGGGATGCAGCAGCAACCTAAACCAACATCAGCAGATACCACAGCTATGACGACATTTGGCCGAATTCGCAACGCAACTCAAAAAGCAACAGACGGACAAGAAGATCATGACTCCACTCAATTGTACCTATCCTTGACTGGTCTGGCCTCTTTCTGGTCCACCGTCTTCCAGAAGGGTTAGGCACTACCTATGCTATACGTGTAAAGCCCCTTCGAAGAGGTTGTCTCCGCTGGCAGGGGCATTTAGCTATTCGGGTAGGGGCATTTAACTGTCAAAGTAGGGGCATTTGGCTAACCGTCGCTATCGCTATTGCCAAAGCTCGGGTACTCTTGCTGTCGCCGTCTCTGTTGTTGTTGCCATCGCCGTCGCCGTCGCCAAATGCCCCTGCCCGCGGAGACAAGCTCCCCTCGAAAGGCTGAGCTCACCGAGTTACGGAATCTCGGAGACCCGCATGCGGGGCTGCCGTCAAGCATAAAGACGGACGCGGGCGGGGCCGACCTCCCCGCAAAATTAGCTACCTTGGCGTGCTTGGGTTGGAAAGTTGAAGGACATGATAGTACACCAATTTTACACTAGGAGTGCTATCAGACTCTCTCACAATATCCTCTCGTATTTGTACCCTGTAATAACTGGATCCTTGGCATCCAACGACCCCAATGCAAATGTTCTGCTTCCCCTATCCTATGCTCCTGCGGGTGGAGATGCAATAATGAAAGCAAACTTGCCAACTCCCAAAAACGCCGGTTTGGATGTGTGATGCCAAGCCCAAATGAATGGGGTTCAAGAATATTCAACGTCCAGCCGATTCGCCCTCGTCCATTTTTGTCCCTCTACAAGTGCCTGGCAGGGCGAGCGTCTGCCGACAAAGAAAAGCAAGCGCGCCTCACAGTGGAATGTCGAGAAAGGAAACCGCCAATCGTACAGGCAGGCGCCGGAGGGGGCCGAGGAGACCTAGGCGCACCTTCCAGTGCAGCCCGAGCAAAAGCATCGCGAGCAGCTGGCCGGAAGATCGTTCTCAAAGTTGCCGTTAACGCATCTAGGATTGACGTTCATCGCGAGGCAAGCGTCTCGGTCGGCCCGGGGGCAATCCGGCTCGGTAGCGAATGCTTGCACGGCGTCCTCCGACGCAGGAAGGGCGCTGACGCTGAGAGCGCCCGCAAGCAGGACAACGAGCTTGGATACAATCTGATGAATGGGCCAGTGGTTAGTAGGTAAGTTACTCGGGGCACAGCAAAGCGGGAACGGAACGCTTCGTCAAGAGATCCACGGATAGTGACCGAGACCGTCCAGAAGAGATGGTCCTATCACCCCCCACCCCCCCAAGAAAAGGAGAAAAAAAGAAAATTTTGATGGCAGGATGGGGGAAAAGATGGATTTGACGATAGGGAAAGGCGGGATAGGATGGTGCACAAACCTTCATGATTACCAGTCCAGTGGAAGCGAATCAAGTCGGAACACGGAAATTTCGTACGGAAATTTCGTGCAGCAAGAGGCAAGGCTTGAGATGGATCTTCTTGGGATGCGGATGCCAAGAGCGAGGATCGAGGATCACAACGTTTGTGCGACCTTCCCGGGTGAAATGATGATAAGGTCCCAGTCCTGCGGGTTGGAGAGTCGGGCGGGAACGGAAATAGTAGCAATACGAAGGTGGTTGGTTGGTTAGGAATACGGAAGTAAGTGCTGATCTGTTGGAGATGTTGGAGAATATATCTCGAGTGGGCCAGACGATCAACGGCTGCTCTTTATATGAAAAGAGAAAGTTGCTAGCTAGGATAGGCGAGCCAGGAATTCAAACCTGGTTTATGAACTGCCCATTGTCTGTGCTGGGCATTGTCTGGGCAATGGAAGCTTGCTAGGCTTGAATCGGCCTGGGCGGATGGGGGTTCGGTGGTGAATTGGTGAGTGATGAATGGTGAATTGAGAGGGATCGCCAGGTGGAGAGAGGATCGCCAAGTGGTACTCCCAAGAGAGCCGCACCAGCAAGGGGCTGGAGGCTAAAAGAGGAAGGTGTGAATGTGGAGACAGGTTCGTCGCTCCGTCGGGATCTTGGAAGAACACCGGGCAAGTTGGTAGGAATTCCTTCTTCAGTCACTCATTCAATGACATGGTGAGCAGAATGGGCATGCTATGGATACCACGGACGGACCAGAACCATGGGGCTGGCGGAGAGGGGGGGGGAAATCTGCGGGAACATAAAGCAAGAAGGCACGCTAACATTCCAGAATTAGTACCACGTAAGGCACGCCGAGATCTCCAAGATCGCTCGGCACCACACTTCCTATTAGTGCTTCCAATTGACCCGTGGGTGGGTGGCCGGAAAGGGAAATTCCCATGGCTCGGCTCCGTCCTGCTTTTGGTGCACCCGCCGCCCAAGTTCCTGGCTTTTGATGGAGCGACGGCGCTGGATGGACATATGTTTCCCGGTTATTAAGCACCAGGGATTCAGCCGGATCCGTCAATGTAGGTGGATGCAACCTCACTTCTGGAATGTCACAGAAGGGGCAGCAAGACAGACACCTAGACAACCTCCTTGACTGGAGCCACTGGGCTGGCCGGAAGCTCAGGAGAAACAGATATTCGGGACCGGAAGGTCAGGAGTCGCCAGAACGACGGCCAAACGGGCCACGGGAGTGACCAGGCCGTAGAATTGAGCCCTTCCAAAAATACATTTCCAAGACCCAAGCCAGCTTTCGTCCCAGCTTGTCCCAGCTTCTTGTCCGAACGGCCGTGCAATTGCCACCCCGGCCATTAGCAATGGGCAATTAAGCCAAATCAACCTCGATATTAATTAATTAACTGACCACCATGATCACAAGCCCGCTCTTCCCGGCCTTGTTCCTGTGCCGCCTGTGCCTTTTGTCTCAACTTCGACGTCCTCGTTGGCCGACCATGCTTGACCCTGGCCTTGATGGGCTTTACCCCTCTCAATTTCGGAAACCAGGAACGTGGCCTGCCATCAACATCGTGTCTGCATCAGCTGGAATGCAAGGGGCTGTAGAGCTCCAAGATATTTTATGTTTGGCCGAGGGGCTTCTTCTTATACCAGGGTGGCGCCGCTCCCTTTGTTCAAGTCCTCGTCTTCTTCCCCTTCCCCTTCCCCCCTCGACCCCCCTTCGGTTCAAGCGTTGATTGGCGCTTGAATTGCCATCCCACCACTTCATATCTGTCCTCTCTCAGCCGATCACCTGATTTATTGGTTTGGGGGGAAAGGGATATCGCAAGAACAGCAGTGAGCTTTCTAATCTCCTCGATGCTGGAAAGCAAGAGATCTGCCTATCTCTGAAAAAAGACGGGACCTTGGAACTCGTTGTGGCCTGAGGCATACATAGTGTATGTTCTCAGCCCTCTTTCACGGCAGTCCTCTCTTGGCAAGGAGGAGATGCAGCTGGATCGCTTAATTATAGTTGCTGTGCCACACCCCATCCTTGCTCGGCATATGCCCAACTTATTACCTACCGCAGTCCACATTCACATGCACTGGCCAGTGGCAATTCCTTCCCAAGCCGCTGGGTCAACTCGATCCACATCGATCCAACATTTGACAATCCAGCGTTGACAGGTGGGCGGAGAGGAGCGTCCTTTTTGGCATGTGCGACTTTCCCAATTAATCCTTAACAAGGAAACAATTAGGACATGTCTAATGCAAGCAAATGCACTAGTCAAGTATCAGCTGAACTTCGCACAGACTTGCCAAGATATGGCCGCCTCTAGATCTGGGGTTTGTTAAAGGCCAAGCGGGAATGGAACTTGCCGGCATACTTTTAGAACCACGAAGACAGCCAGAACGATGGCCCAGGAGGCAGCCTCAAGGGGAACACTAACAGGGCTGAACCAACCGCCAAGCAAAATCTCGCTAAAGATCGCGGCTGTGATGGCAAAAACCAAAGAACAACTCCAATGAAAAGCGCCACCACCAATGAGACACAATCCAGCCAGAGGAAGATCCCAGTCCATCACCAGTCAGACGCTGCCAAGGACGCCCTGTGGCTTGTTTAAAATCATGCCTAACCATCGAGCATTTCAGACTCTTGGGCCTAGACTCTTGCGCTATAGCCCTGTGTGTGCCGTATATAACTCAGGATGCCCAATGAATGTGCAAGATCCAGATCTCTGTAGGCAATCGCAGATGCTGGTATCGAAGACTGGCTGAAAGTCTGAAACGAACTCGAATAAAACCAACGCCTCGTCCGACTCCGGAGGCCGGTCGGGAACATGCCATCTCAGTGAAAGATTGGCAGCAGTAAAGGGGGTTTGGTATATCAACAACTCAACAGCGGATTTGGCAAATCATGGCCTACCCCTATTCGGACAACAGCGAATATAATATTCGGCGGAAGTCCGTCCCCGTCCCAGACACGTACATCACGCCTCTTGTTGGACACGGGGATGGGCCTGGCGAGTATGAGACGACGTATCGGCCTGACGCGCAGTCGTACCACGACAAGACACCGCACTTGGCCGTCCAGCCGGAGCCACCGCAAGGCCCCAAACCAAACTATAAACCGTCGCCCCTGAGGTGGCCGTTCCTCTGTGCGCTCGTCGCTATCCTCCTCGGTCTCATTGCCTTGACCGAGTACGCCTGCCACGTACTGCCGGCCGAGGATATCCAGGTGTTTCTCCCAACCACGAGATCGGTCGTAGCCGCGACGCCCACACCCACGCCCACGCCGACTGTGGGAAAACGGCAAGACCCGCCCCCAGGATCGCCAGGTGATGGCAGCATTGCGACACCATCTGTAAGTTTGCCATCTGGCGTCCATGCAAACATGCCGGCCTCTGCGCAACCCAATACCCTCGAGCTCAATGCTGACGTCTGTTGGTGGTTATTTAGGTAGGAGATGAAGCCGGATCGATGACAACTCTATCGGATGGTCGAACAGTAACGGCAACAAGACCAAAGCCCGACTTCGGCACTGTCGGATCCGTTATACTGACACCAAGCGGCGGCGGCGACAGCACGCCCAACCAGGTGCCTCCAGAGTCTACCCGGCCGCCGAGCGATCAAGCCAGCGGTGGACTAGTCACCGTGACCGACCCGCTAGTCCTGCAGACGCCCGAAATTGTGACCCTCACCGACCCCCAAGGGATCCCAACGGCCACATCGACGAGCACGCCGCCGCCCCTCTCGACTCCGACCGTGGTAACTCTGACGGATGCCAACGGCAACCCGACGACGGTGTTGACGAGTGCTCCAGCACCCCCAGTAACAAGCGTCTTCACCGACGCCAATGGAGTGCCCACCGCAACGGTGACCCAGTATCCAGTCGCCCCGACGGGCCCAGCGGACGGACGCCACGTCTTCTTCATCTCCCAGGCCGATTACTTCATCGGGTACTTCCTGCCCGCCATACTCTGCGTGCTCCTCACCATCCCTGTCCGCATGATCGAGCTGAGCGCGAAGCAGTTCCAGCCGTTCCACCAGCTGACGCACGAGTTCGGCGCGCCGGCGAGGGATTCTCTCGTGCTCCAGACCGGAGGCTTACAAGGGTTCATGACGAGCGTCCGCTCGCTCTTCGGCGGGCAGGCGCTCATCTTCCTGACGACCATGCTGTCCATCTGTTCCATGATCCTCGTCCCCGTAGCAGTCGAGGCCGTCAGCTTGAAGCTGCACGGAAGCTGCAGCCAGCTGAGCTTCAAGGGATGCGCCATGACCCTCGGGGTCTTCCTCATCCCGGCCAGGGTTGCCATCGGCATCCTCGGCTTCATGGTCGTGACCCTGCTCCTGATGCTGGTGGTCCTCCGGGACTGGCGGTCGGGCGTGGCCACGAACCCGTGGAGCATCGCGGGCATGGCCGTGCTCTCCACCAACCCGGACGTGCGCGCGCTGTTCGCGTCTCTCCCGACGGGCAGGTCCGGCAGGATCGGCGACGGGCAGCTGGCCGACGCCCTGGACGGCCGCATGTTCAAGCTGGGCTACTTCGTCAACCGGCACGGCCAGCCCGAGTACGGCATCATGGTCCACAACGAGGCGGGACGGCCGCTGCACAGGCCGGATGATCAGGCGGGCGAGCATGTGCGCCACGTGGACTTTGGGGAGGAGCCGTACCGGATGAAGAGACAGCATTACCTGCCCTTCCTGATGCTCTCCTATGGTTGGAGGATCCTCTTCCTACTGCTGCTGAGCGGGGTGTTGGCAGTTATACTGTACTACAACAACACGGGCGGCGATACGCCCTTCGAGAGGTTCATGGACATGCAGAGTTTCGGAGTGCGCTTCCTCTTCACGGCGCTGGGTGTCATCACCACATTCTTCTGGTCGTCGTTCTTCAGCAGTGAGTCTAGCCCAACCTCTCTTCCTTCCTCACATAAGATCCATCCAGTGCTAACCAGAGTGGGGAACACCAGGCCTGGCTCTACTCAGCCCGTACCACCAGCTCTCCAAGTCGCCGCAGCCGGCCGGGCAGTCGATCCTGCTCTCGCCGCCGATGACGGCGTTCACGGGTGTTTTCAGTGCGATGCGGCGGCGGCACGGGTTCCTCGGGCTGGTGGGCGTCACGGCGATCCTGTCCGAGTTCATGCCGATCCTGCTCAACAATGTGCCGTTCCGGGTGACGCAGACGTGGGTGGCACACATGGTGTGCACGTGGCTGTCCGTCGGGATCCTGGGCTTCATGTGGCTGGTCGTGGTGGGCAGCTTCTTCGTCCGTTGGCCGCACATGCCCGTCGACCCCAGCACCGTCGCCGGGGCCATGTACTACCTCTGCGACTCGTGGATTCTGTGGAGTCTCGAGGGCATGTCGACTCTGAAGAAGAAGGAGAGGGACTGGAAGATCAGCGAGACGGGGCTGAAGTTTAGGTTTGGCGAGATCGAGGGCCTCAGCGGGCTCAGACGGGTTGGTATTGACGGGGTTCGTGATTCACAGCCCTGACAACGGGAAAGAAGTATTGTGTTATACTACCGTTGTTCTGCCTACTGTTGTAATGGAGGGATTGCGTTAGGTACATATTATATTTGCTCGGGGGGAGTTGAAATAGGAATACTTGGAAGCTGCCAGCTGCCAAATGCAAGTAAGTTGCAGCACCGCCTGGCACGTGAGGTTTATGTCCACGGACCACTCATGATTGCTCTTTTCTCAACCAGGCAACAACCGTGACTTCTGTGACTTGTGTACAGATGTGTGAACAATCCAATAAAAACTTCGAGTGTAACGCATAACAGTTAGACAGGTACCTATTTGGTACTACCTACCTACCCCTGGGTTGGTAGGTGCGCCTCGAGAAAAGTAAACCTCGAGGTGGCTGTCACGAGCTCTCCACCAACCTCACATATCTGCAACTTGCCTAGTAGAGCCCGAGATGGAGACAGACAAGATCAACGCGCACGAAAGGAGGCTGAAGTCGAGTCTCCATGGTGATAATGATCAAAGGCCACCTAATCCGGTCGCCCATCCATTGCCGGCTCGAAAACCAGGATCAGGCGCTATCATGCCAGACGAGCCCAAGAGGGTGGCCCACTACCCGCTCGATATACCCCTTCCTTTTGAGCGCTACGAACACCGACGTCTCGGCGCTAGAGACATCATGGTGAATCGCATCATGACCGACTTCATGAACCCATCCCGGGTCAAAGGTCGCATCTACGACGAGTCCATAGCATACCGCTCTGACCGAGAGTTTACCCTGATCAGGGCCGAGGATGACGAGCTAGGCCTGGACCTGCAAGTGCTCCGGAGGATGCTCTTCACATCCCACGCCCATCATCCGAAGTTTCCCGACAAGCCTGTCGTGTCGTACATCTGGTGTCCTGACCACATGTCCATTCACGCTGTGTTCGGAGGACAGAGCATCACCCCGCCCTCGTTTGGAGACCAGATCCTCGATCTTGTGCAGCGTTATTACTTCGAAACGGACGACTCGGCCGTTCGGCTGTGGATAGAGAGGGTACGACCGCCGAGGTTGACCGCCGGGCCAAGTCAGTCCGTCTCCAATCCGCGCAACCCTCGTTCACGCAGGCGCGTAGTTGGGGAATTCAATGAGCTGGTAAAACAGCAACGGTCGAGAGAAACAAAGCAGTGGTGGGTCGAGCACATCGAGCATTTGCGGAGCTTCCGAGGCCAGGTTTCAATACAGGATGAGTATCCCCTGTACGACGGTGGCTCGTTTCTCCCCACCCTCCGACAGCCCATGTATCGCGAGTCCAACGGGGAACACGGATCACGCTCGAGTTGGAAGGGCTCTCACTGGGCGCTATCATCAGGCCGGCCATCCTGTCTTACTCAGCCCTCGCCGACGTTGGAGAGGAGCCCCTTCATGCGGTTCATCCTCCAAGCCAACCGGGCCGATTCGATAGTTGGCTCGTTGCGCCCTTGCAAAAAGACACGGCTGGCCCTCGACCTCAACACGGGCAGGGGAATGAAGGGCAATAGTATCTGGGCGACAGCGTCAAGCGGCAAAACGAACGGGTGCACGACCCATTGGGACGAGCAGCCAAGGGGGCGATCTGTCCAGCGGCACCGGCGCGCAACAAGTGAACCTCCTCCTGGATCGTTCGCCATTGCTAATTTGCCGTCTGTGGGCAATAACTATGCATTGGTTAAATCGCTGCAGGTGATATTCCCGCGCATGAAGCTGTCGCAGCTGGACCGGCGGTCTAGACGGCGGAGCCTTAGCCGGACGCGGGTGGCCGAGATGTTCGACTGGGACCTGGACTTGGACGAAGCGAAGCCGGCCACACCGGAATCAAGGGGCGCGACCAAGGCGGACCGCCAGAATGCGAAAGAACAAGATAATAATAATAATAATAACCCTACACCAGATGCTCCAGTCTCCTCCCGGCGGAAGCCCAAAATCCCCAGGCCATGCGACAACTGCGGGGAGACATCCCACACAATACGGACATGCACCGCACCCTGCGGTCACTGCGGCGCACCGAACCCCAGGAACATCCGTCCCCGCTCTCCGACTCTCCGCTTCATAGGCTACTCATCCGGTTCCGGCTCCTCTTCAGAAGACGACGACAGCGACAACAACAACAACAACAACAACCACGCCAGAAAACCCCCCACCGGCCGACCACCCAAGGGCACACGCCGGCACAACAACCCGCACCTAGCGCCCTCGTGCCCCCTCCCGCGCGCCTCGCGCTGCAAGTGCGTCCCATTCCCGACCTTCCACGCGTCCTCCCGGTGCGCCGTCTCCTGCTCCCGGGCCTGCGGCGGCAACGGCCCCCCGGGCTCCTTCGGCCACCGCAACGCCATGACCTGCCGCTCGCGCTGCTGCATGTGCGGCATCCGGGGGTCGCACTCGGGCCGCGAGTGCCGCCTCCGCGCGTGCCGCTGCGGCGGCGCCCACCTCGGCCAGGACTGCCGCTGGCTCGTTGACTGCCCGGCCGAGGGGTGCGACCGATTCCTCTGCGGCGTGCACTGCGGGCGGTGCGGGGGTAAGGGGCCGTTTGTTGGGAGGAGGTGCGCTGCTTGTAGGGGGGAGGAGGTCGTCGGCGAGGGGGTGGGAGGGGAGGGTAAGGGGGGGAGGAGGCGGGGGAGGAGGGGGAAGGCGAAGGAGGATGCTGAGTCGGGAGAGAAGATGGCTGGGCAGACTGCTGTTACGGAGGACGGCGGCGGAGTGAAGGAGAGTTGCGGAGTAAAGGAGGATTCAGGTTACAAGTCACTGTTCGGGCCGTAAGGAACCGATCGGTAGATATCACGAGTTAATGAAGGTGACGACGGGAGGCTCATGCCAAAGGCGTAATGTCAATTGAACTTGAACCCATCATATGATGATAGGCTGGTGTCTCCTGAGAGAAACCACATATCACGCCAAATATTTAGACAGCGAATGATGACCTATCAACTTAACAGACCTGCAATCTCAGCCGCGCCGAACCTGGTCATGAAGTGGTCATTACAACAGAAGTAGAAGGATGGTACACCGTAAATACAGCTCGTAGCAGATAAGAGCCAACCTCCTGAAAAGCGAAATCCCTCCACTCCAGATCATAATCATGACGCTTGCGCCGATAATTTTTGATATCACGGGCGCTCCATCCAACCCTCCATCTCTTCCCCTGTTATTCATCTCGTCAGAGCAGGTCGGGTATCATCCGCGGAAGCCAAAGCACGTTCAGAGGGACGTTCCCAGAACTCCCACACTCCGCCCTCCCACCCCCCCGCGGCCCGCAAAGAGCCGCAAACTCGGTAACAAATGCGGGTACTAGAACATATCCCCGTTTGGGGAGACCAGCAGCAGGGTGGCTGGGGGCGAAGGCGACGGGGAAAGAAAATGGTAAACAAGGATAACAAGAATAGACAAGAAAAGAAAACAAGCTAAGCAAGCAAGCAAGCAATCTCTCACTCCTCCTCATCCTCCCAACCACCCCCACAGTCCATCTCCACCTCGACGGTCGTGCCAAGCGCCTCCTTGCCCTGCCGTATCATGGCCATGAGCCGCTTGTTGAACGCCTCCATGCGCACGTCGGCGTCTCTCTCCGCCGCAATCTTCCTCTGCGCCAGCTGCCTGGCCTCGGCGTCCAGCCGGGGGCTATCGACTGCGGCGGCCCCGTCCTCCGCGCCGGCAGCACCAGCGGCCCCTCCCACACCGCCAGCGCCGCCGGGCCGCGCCCCCGCCGCCGACGCCGAAGCGGCCGACGCGGAGCTGCGCGTGCGCCCGTGCGACGCCCGCACAGGCGACGAGACGCGGCTCTGCAGGCGGGACGAGGGCCTCGGCACCGAGTTTGGGTTTGTGGCGAAGGGGTTGGGCCCGTGCCCGACGCCGGGCGCGTACGAGGGGACGGGGATGCGGCTAGCCGGCGGCGGCGAGGTAGGAAGGGTGGCGGCGGTGGTGGGGGAGAGGCGCGGCTGCGCGAAGCTGGCGGGGGAGCGGGCGCTCAGGCCCGGGGAGCCGGCGTGCGAGATGCGCAGGGAGGCGCGGCGGGTGCGCGTGGAGGAGGGGAGAGGCGGGGTGGCTGCGGCGACTGCGGCGGCAGGGGCGCCGCCGAATGAGAGCCGAGAGACGGGTACGCTGATGCGCCTGCCGCTGCTGGCAGCCGTCGGCGTCGAGTAGCGAGGGGGTTGTCGGGAGCGGGTCGTTCCCGGTCGGGCCGGCGCCCTGTGCATTACTGGTGGCGTCTTCTTCTCTTCCCGCCCCGGCACGGGCGGCGGCGGATCCTTGACGATGACCCAGTTCCGGCGCAATTCGTCGTTTGTCTCCTCTAGATGCCTGCGCTTCGCCGATGGCCTGGGCGTCGTTTCGGGGGTGCTCATCTCGTGGCAGTCGGCCATGTAGGGCATATAGTCGGATTGTGGGAAGTTGCCGGGTATCGAATTGACCATCTGGGTGGGCTCGTATGTTTGGAGAGTTGGTATATCGTGCTCGTTGCACCACCGTGTTCCCCCGCGGTTCGCATCTGTTTCTGTCACACCGTTAAATTCGTAGCCCCTGCCACCACCGGCGTGGAAGCCCCGGAATGCTCCCGCTCTGCAAAACTCCCACACCTTGCCCACAACCTCCCCAATGGTATTGAGCGCCACAGCGCTCCAGCCAGCCGAGCCCGGGGATTTCGGCGTTCCAGGGTCGATATGGAGGCTAGACAGGCGTGCAGCCGGTGACTCGGTCTCGTCCCTCAGTCTTTTTGGACCTAATGCTCGTCGGTAGTCGACGTCCGAGTAGACGCTATCCTCCAACATGCCGCTCTCAGCGTTGGGTGCGCCGCTACCCGGGGTATCAATTCGCCCTGCCAAGGTATATCGAAGGTGCTGAGCGCCGCCGCTCAACCGGCCATCCTCTCGAGGCTCGGTGACACCATCCATGTTCGTGGTCCAGTCTGTCATGGGAGTCGACTCCCGTTTGGTATCGGCTCTTGCTCGCTTCCTCTTGGCCCCGGATAGAGGCGTGTTTGCCATGGAGATGTCCGAGTAGAGACTTCCGGTGGATTTGGCTAGGTTGTACACAGAGCTAGAAGCGGAGGGTGAGATGGGCGGTCTGAAGATGCCAGCGTTGAGAGGTTGGCCGGAGGTGTTGTTGGGACCATCAAAGTGATAAGCCCCGGGCATGTGAAAATCGGCTGGGGGCGACATCTTGGATGACGGGAGTGGGAGCTCTTGCGAATGCCGATGGTGTTGAGAAGAAAGTTGCTGTGCGGAGGTCGCTGTGGCTCGTCGTACTCGTCGTACTCGTCGTAACCCCCAGTCTGCTCTACCTTAATGCTAACAACCACGCATAGTTCTCCGTATGCACCTCTCGTAGACGTTGGCGATCGTGCCGGCGATTGTGGTTGTCGGTATTAGACGCAAACGGTGTCGGGTCTGTGAAGGTCGGCAGGTAAACTTGGGCCCGCCAAGCTCGTGATTGCCGGGTTCAACTTTCGGGGGTAGAAAATTCCGCCGCAGGCAGCCGGGCATGCACTTCAACCCGTGATACAAATTGACGGCGGGGGCAAAAAAAAATGGCAGGTACACAGCGCGCTTCTCACCGCGACTGTTGTTGTTGTCGTTGCTTGGATAAGTCGTTTTATCCAGCTCTTTTCCGATCCAGTTGCGTACGGTAGCAAAATATTTCGTTTTTTGCGACTTCCAGCTCCCAGTTTCGCGCCTGAATGCCTGGAGCGCAAGGTGTTGATTGAGTGGTACTTTAGGTGAGACCCTCGACCAATACGCTTATGGGGGGCAGATCCTGTGACGTAGGTTGCCCGTACCCGAGTAAAAGCACCCGCACCCGTTGCGACGGAAGGTCCGCGTGGCGCGTGCCGTCTGTAAACCAGTCACTGAGAGACAAGTCGGTGTCTTTGCTGGCTTTGCAGAATATCCACAAGCATTCTTCAACGATCTGTAGCCTTGTGTTGACCATCGGCTGCTAATTATTTTCCCGTCGTTGCTAGGCGACGAAGGCCTCGAGACTGATTGGTTGGGGGCGCCGTATGGTGGGGTTCGCGAAAACACACGAGGTGGGGTGTGAAGAGAATATCTACTACGGCACTGTACAAGTCGGGCAAGCATCACTACCATAATCGAAAGAGACTGTGTTATCAGAAACTCTCGTCTATTGTGGGCATCAAAGGAGATAATGTTACCTAGATATTTCCCTGTTCCCCGTGCCATCCGTTGCTGTGTAGCATCCGTTTAGAACCGCTGCCCAGAGAGTCAACACTCGCTGTAAAATGAAAAGCAAACGCGACAAAAGATCATGATATCCCAGTGCTTGGACATGGGTCATTAAACATGACTTCCTCCCTCCTTATTCCTTGGAATAGTACTCATCCTGCTTCGCCAGTTTCTCCGGTTGGACGCCCCCCTCGACACCTTCCTCGCCGTGAACATGCTGCTGCGCGCCCCAGAAATCCTCGCGCTCCTTCAGGATCTCAGCGGCCCAAGCCTTCATCTCTGGGAGTACCATCCTGGTCGCAACATATGCGAACTCGCCGAGGTCGACCTTGCCCTCTCCGCGCTTCTCGTACTCGACCATCTGCACCAGCAGCTCCATCTTGTCGATGTCGTGCACGTAGTGGCTCTCGAGAGTCTCCGAGTCCTCGTACTCCTGCCAGATGGCGCGGATATCCTCGCCAGCGCCCACCCCGCCGTATAGATTTCCCAGCAGCGTCTTCGTGATGTAGTCCATCGTCGCGGCCTCGCGCCGGTTCTTCTCCGGCTTGGCCACGCCATCCACGGGGGTTATGTCTCCGACGAGGGATTCGGCCATGTCGTGTATGAGGCACATCTTCATGCACTTGTGCAGGTCCAGTCGCGGCGCAAGGGTTGGCGGGGCAAGCATGGACATTAGCGACATGCGGTACATGTGGTCGGCGATCGACTCTCCCCTTTTAATACGTCAGATAGCCATTCGACGAGTCCCAGGAGAGGAGCACCGCCAACCTACCGGTTGATTCCAAACCGTCGCCAGCCCTCCCGCTTGGTGGTCTTTAGCCGCTCGAGAATATGGAAGTAGGGCAGGGGGGAGCTGGATCCCTCGACAGGTTTCCCTCCCAGAACTGTAGCGAGGACCTTGTCAACGGTCCATGGATCGGCGATTTTGGGGGTGATGACAGTGGCGATGTCTAACGATGCCCTCTGGACGTCATCGTTGGTACTTGGGCCGGCGGCAGCAGCACCACTCTCCTGTAGAGTGACATTTGGAGACATTTTGTCCTTGGTTATGCCGTCTGCAAATGAAGAACCCATGTAGTGTGAACAGCTTGGCCAATGTCTCCACGGCCGTTCTGGAAGTTATATCCTCCAATACCACCAAAGCTGCTGAGCCTGAGGCGCTGAGAGGAGACGCGCGACGTGTTTGTAGAAAGCTTTCACAAATACAAATATCTGCAGGTTTGGTGTGTCAGAGAATGGTAGCGGTTGCGGGAGGTCCCCTAGCGGATGCCAACCCCACGTGCATGACACTGAGCTTCGTTTTAGAGCCTTTCTAATTGGTCCCAGGAACTTGACAGGAGATGTTTGGTACCTACAAAATAGGTTGCTACTTTCACTCCCGATGGTAGGGATACAGACCTCAACACTGCCTCTGGTCCTCCTCATTCCCAACACAGGGTAGCAAAGAGCCTCAACCATCACGTGGAAATCAATTACCAGGCCTTCTACCGCAGGCCGAGAGGTGAACAATCAACAGCAGCACGGACAAAGACTACTGTCAAGTGTCAATCCCCTCGCATTGAAGCCAGAATCAATACTCCGAGCATTTGGGCCTGAACATTCAACGGGATTCATGCCCAAGTCACCTGCCTCCGCCTCAGCCTCCCGCAATGGGCTGACCGTGTCGAATAGATGTGCTAAAATAACTATTAGAGTGACTCCGTGTACGGATCCGTATTCGCCTGGCAGTAGAGATGGCGCCCGTCCCGCCTTAATCGCTTGCTGCCTCCGAGCCGCTCAAACTAGGTATAGCATTGGGAGTATAGATCCCACAGTCCAAGCCGCATCTCGGATTTTTGTAATACCCAATCAAGTCCGCGATACTGCAGATCGTACTATGTCAATCCCATGGCCAATGAGAGCCTCATTGTCGTCAGAATGAGCCCAAATGTGAGCTTCACAGATTGACGAGTGTAATGGCACGCGAACGGAGATCTCTGCGGCCTCATTTCTGCGCGTAGATCCCTCATATAGGAAGAGAAGCACAATGGATCCGCCAGGGGCGTTGAAAGTGTATATAACCTGCTGGGTTGGGCTGCTTCCCAGGGATAGATCAAGATCAGCAACTCAAGATCCTCCCTTCTCCAAGTCAAGAACCTCACCTGCCTCCCTAGCACCAACATACTCAGGACAGTATCTATATTCAACATGAAAGGAGCCGGACTCGCCTTTGCTCTTCTCACTTCGGTGACATCGGTCGCAGCACATGCCACCTTCCAAGAACTATGGGTCGGCGATGTCGACCAGGATCAGAAATGCATCCGTGTAGTAGTAAGTCCAGATAGGGGATGGAGCAGGGCATACAATTCCATGTGTAATACCCCCCGGATATTAACGTGCAATTCCAGCCCAACAACAATCCAGTGACAGACGTCGCGGGCAAGGATATGGTCTGTAATGTGGGCGGAAGCAAAGGTGTAGCAGGAGTCTGCGAGGCAGAAGGTGAGACCCGCCGCTCTATTCAAACCACGGGAGCGCTCAGGGTATTGACTGGACAACCCCTGAACAGCCGGCCAGACTATCTCGGTAGAGATGCACCAGCAACAGCACGACCGGGCTTGCGGCACAGAAGCCATCGGGGGCAACCACTTCGGCCCGGTGATGGTGTACATGAGCAAGGTCGAGGACGCCACCACGGCAGACGGTTCGGACCCGTGGTTCAAAGTCAGCGAGTTCGGCTACGACGCCGACAACAAGACGTGGGGCACCGACATGCTCAACCAGAACTGCGGCAGGCACACCTTCACCATCCCCAGCAAGATCCCGGCGGGAGACTACCTCATCCGGGCCGAGGCCATCGCCCTGCACACCGCATCACAGCTGGGCGGCGCCCAGATGTACATGTCTTGCTACGTAAGTCAACCCCGAGGGCCTCCAGGGGGCAACAGGGGCAGAACACAGCTGACAATATCTTCCTCGCGCAGCAAATCAAGCTCACATCGAGCGGCGATCAGCTGCCGGCCGGCGTCGCACTGCCTGGAGCTTACAAGGCCACCGACCCCGGCATTCAGGTCGATATCTGGGGCAACGATTTCAAGTCATACACCATTCCAGGACCTGATGTGATCGACGCGAGCTTCTTTTGAGGCAAGAGACGGTGGCTGGGGTGGTTCAAGGCATGTGTTAATGATGGCCTCTCTGTACATGACTTGAAATAGAAAGGTGTTTACAATCTTGCGACGCGTAAGCCATGATCCTTTGGGTTGTAAACCTTTGACCATCAATCTTGGCTCTCAAGAAATAAGTTGGCAGCTGTCAGTGGTACCTGAATGTGCACTGCAACGCACTGACCCCACCCACAGAGAGCCGATCATGACCGAAGCTGGCGGCGATACCGGACGAACCCTATGTCTTTCATCGCGCCCCGCGGTGGCTCGATAGGCCGGGAAATACACTACGGTATCTACGATTGATATCCGGATCGGCGTGCAGGCTGGTTCCCCTAGAGTCCTCGACATACCATGAGTGCCTGGGTCACAATGCCACCCATCTTCCGGCGCAGGCCAGCTGCTCTCGACGAGTAGCTATGTCGGTTAATGACGTATCCCTCCCCAATCCTCCTTACGACCTCCCTACCCAGAACGAGATGGCCTCACCAACAGGCATCGACTCCTTACCCAACGAGGCATGTATCTACCCCCGCAAACCCAGCAGCAACCCACCTAACCAACCCCCCCCTTTCCAGCTCCTCCTATCCATCCTCTCCACCCTCCCAACCCGCGCCCTTCCCCGCCTCGCCGCCGTAAGCCGCCGCTTCTACTCCGCCGCCGCGCGCCTCCTGCGCGACCGCCTGTCTCGCGCCGCCCACCTGCCGGGCCACCGCCTGATTCTCGAGTGCTACCACCCGAGCGTCGCCATCTCCACCCCGTGGCTGTACTGCGACCACATCGGGACCGACGAGCCTCCCGTCTCCGGCTCCGCCCATCCGGAACCGGACCTTCCGGCCCTGGCGCGCCTGTACTCGCACTTCCGCCCCGTCGACCAGGACGACGGCCTGCCCCCGCGCCGCCGCCGCCGCCGCCGGCCGCTGGGGTCGGACGGGTCGGAACACCAGCAGCAGCAGCAGCAACCGCCGTCGCACGATGTCCACCTCGACGAGAGCGAGCCGTTCACGCAGCTCTGCACCGTCACCAACGTGGTCAGGGTCGGGCCCAGTCGGGCGGGGACGCCGGCGGCGGCGGCGGGGCAGCCGTTCTTGGGCCACGTCAACGTCAGCGACGGCGTGATCCGTGTGTGGCGGGACTGGCTGGCAACAGCAGCATCAGCGGCGGCAGATTCGGAACCGGAGGAGGAAGTCCTGTGGGCGGACGCGGCGCAGGACGTGGGGCTGCGGTTCCGGGTGCGCGAGATCGAGCCGACGGCGGCGGAGAGGCCGGTGCTTGTCGCGGCCGACGAGGAGGCGCCGGTGTCGTATCGGCTGGAGCACCGCGAGCTGCTAGTGCGGACGCGCCGCCTGCTGCTTGTGATGGAGGAGGAGGAGGAGAGGCGGCCTGCCATGGGCAATGCGCTTGTGATCATCGTCGGCTAAAATGGGAGCTGGCTCCTGCGTCCTGGGTTTGTGTTTGTGTTTATGTTTGCGTTGCATTTCACGAGCACAGGCGGTCATTTTAGCCGCAGGAGGATCTGGTGATCGGGGTTCAAAGGCATGCTCTGCTCACGATGAAAACATGTTTCGGCGTTTTACCGACGATCCCGATCCGTCTGTTTTGATGCAGGAAAGGTATTGCGTCGTGGGAAGATGGTCAATGGGGGATTTGGCAAACAGTCGCTAATCGACGATCTATTTTGGGAGGGTGGTCGAAGGCGACGCTTTGCTTGAGGTCTACTCCCTGTGCCCGGACGTCTTACGTGACCTTGGCGGTCTACTTAATCCTCCTTCTGGACGAGTGTTCAGTACCAAACCATGAGGGCCTCGTACGCACACATGGCTAGCTACGTTCGGAGAGAGAGCATGGGAGGGTTACGATGCTTAGACCAGGCAACTGCACTGGTATTCAGGTTTGTCCACGGAGATGCTCCTCAGGCAGACCGTGAGATAATGCTGTCTCACTGGCTTCACAGGCATTGTTTTACAAAGGCGAGAAATAGTGCTCAACATGTGTTTGGGTGGTGGGTTGATCGGGCTACTCCATGCGAAGACCACACTCAACTGGTCTCAGCTGCGGGAAGGGGGCAGGGAGGGCGAAGGGGTCTTCGTGGATCATGGATGAGCACATAATCCCAACGGATTGCTTGCACACATCGACAGCGCGATAGAACGTAGACTAGCAGAGATTTCTGGGCCAAGTGGCGAGACCCAACGTCCGAGTGCATTCATGTTCATGCGGCTGCTCAACAGTCCGTCATTTTCCTGTGTGTTTCTGGGCTGAGGCGGTCGGACACCCGGCGAGCAGCTTGCCGGACGCAGCGGGTGCATGATCCTCCCAGGGGTCTGACCAGGACAACCAACCATTTTCTCGGATTTTCTTGGAATTGCTTGGAATTACCTGGGACCAAGTGCCCATGTTTCCTTCTCTTTTCTCTCCCAATCCAATCCAGATGGGGGGAACCCTTGTTTACGTGCCGCTTCTATTTTGGCCGCCCGCTCTCATCCCGCTCTGCCAGTGGTGACTGGTGACGGTGAGTCGGCAAAACCGGTCGTTTCCCAGCTCACCCGGTTACTTACTATGCCTATGGCTCCTCTGATTCCCAGCGTCCCGGATCACCAGCTCACTACACATTCAGCCGCGAAACCTAGAAACAAACGTCTGCTTCTTTTCCTGGGAACAGCTGGATAATGTCCTTGTATGAACAGCACTTGGGGATCGTTGTTTGGATAGGTAGCGACTGCCGTGGCTGAGACGAAAGTTGCAAACAACCTACCGCAGAATTCCGCAGAGGTGAATAAGAAGGGAAAAAACTTGAAATGCCGAGTGAAAGATTTTCATTCTCAACATCCATCCATACTTCTCCCGTCCGATCTCGTAGCAGGTGCATGTGGATGGCGCGGCCCCTGAGCCAGCCAGTGGCGCTCCTTGGGGCAGAGGGAGGCTGCTTCCGGCGGTGTGGTAGCGGTGCGGTAGCGGGATATATTCACGTAAGGGCGATGCAGAGGCAAGGAGGCGAGCCCATTGCAGCGGTAGATGTCGGTAGATATAGCAGCCATGATGATGTAAGGTGCCATGTATGGTACTTTGCCTGCCGTCCCGTGCAGAAAAGCAAAATGGAACCTGAGGAACCCCTCCCATAACCCCTCCCACAACCCCTCCCACACGGGCCACACTCCCAAGTGGAAGCTTGAGCCAAAAGTAAAGGAAACCTTTCTTCGCCCAGAAGTGGTTGGAGCAAAAGTGTAACGAATATGAATACTCAGTAACTGGGTCAGGATGGGGCCATCGAATCGATCCTTGACAGAGCTGCGTCGCATCTGGATTTTTGGTTATTTTTTAGATGGGAGCCTCTTGTGATCTGGCGATCAAGACAGGCTTCAAGACAGGCTTTTTCGCTTCACACGGGTTTCAGCCTCGTGGGGCCTGCGATCAGGTCCCCCGCGGGTGCATCCAGTTTTGACAGGGATGGAATTGGCCAATGACGGCCCCTAATGTCTTGGTCTTTGACCTCCTAGCCCCACGTCACGGCGACCAGGTGCATAATACTGAGGATCTTGTATCCCTGTACTGACATCGCTACCATTAATGCCCTTGCGGAGGGGGGAGAGGAGCGAGAAGAGTCTTGGGACCGGGCTGAGCACGACCTATCGGAAGACAATCGGTCTCATGTCTTTCCTTTACTAGTATCTCCTCCCTCGCTCTTGCATGCCCTGCGCTGGACTCGCTGCATCATGGCCGTCTCTTCGCCACTGTGACCTTTCTTTTTCAACTCTGATTCTATCCACTCCCTTGCCCGCTTGGTCTTACCCTTCGTTTTCCTTCTGCTTCTGGACTCTCCCTTGCGGTGTCTCTTAAGAAGCCCACGGTCGACTCGTCTGCTGGACAACGACGACGGAACAGAAAGGCCCACCATCTCTTGACAGCGCCTCGCTCTTTCGCGGGTTGATATAACCCCACCGGCACCGCCTTATATATATACCACATAATAATAGCCCCAGATCTGGATCTGGCTATAAAGATGGAGCTGGACAACGAGTTTGCCCGCCCAGGGTCAAGAGACAGCGAGACAGCACAAATGAACCAGAGCCTGTCAGCGACAGTGCCACAGTCAGAAGTGGGGAGAGAACAGGAAACAGCAACACCAACAACGCCAACAACACAAACAACACAGGCGAGGCTAGGCCTTTCCCTGGTGAGGCCGCCCTCACCACCCGCAAAGGAGCCGCCGAGGCAACCGCCGCCGATGGAGGCACCACCACCCCCACCGCCGACGAAGGAACTGCCGAAGAGACCGCCGCCCCTGCAGCTGAGCTCGCGGCCGGGCACGAGCGCATCGGACGGGTCGGTGGTGCAGAAGGCCCCGCAGGCGCCATCCCTACGCGCGCCACTCAACATGAACCCGCCGACGCGGCCGTCGACGGCCACCAGAATCGTCGGCTCGAACAAGCGGCTGTCGTGGTCGTCGATTGCGACGAGCAGGAGACCCATCAAGTACGGCAAGGGGAAGTACAGCAACGTCGAGTTGGTGCCGCAGCCGAGCGACGACCCGGACGATCCTCTTGTAAGTGATCTACCTGCTTGCTTCTAGCAAAAATCCAAAGGATAGAAATGCTGACACCAGCTTTTACAGAACTGGCCGCAGTGGAGGAAAGAGCTCAACCTGGGAGCGCTGTTGTTGGTCGTGTCGATGACCGGGGTAATGAAGACGGCGTTCCTGACCGTAAATAGTGAGCTTGCCGAGAGCTACGTGGTGTCGTATACAGCAGTAGCCGCATTGACCGGCGTGCCCCTCATGCTCTCGGCCATCACTGGCTTCGCCAGTCTCATTGCGGCGAGGATATGGGGCAAACGGCCCCTGTACCTGATCTCTCTGGTCCTGCTGTTCATCGGTGTTGCGTGGAGCACCAACGTGGCGACCAGCTACGGGCAGTGCATGACCGCGCGGGTCTTCCAGGGGCTTGGTTGGGGTGCCTTTGACACCCTGGTGATGGGCTCGATCCATGATACCTACTTTGTACGTCGAAGCTGCTCAGCGGTCTCAACCTCGCACACACATTGAAGATGCATACTGACAACCTGCAGGATTATGAGCGCTGCCGCCGTGTCGCGATCTACTCCATCGTCTCCATCGCAACGACATGGGGGCCCCCACTGATTGGTGGTGTCGCCTCGCAGACGGGGATGGGCTTCGGCCTGCAGTTCACCGTCCTCAGCGGCTTGTTCGTCTTGGCCGTGCCGCTGATCACTCTGGGCGCCCCGGAGACGTGCTTTGACCGGGCCTACACCCTTGCCCAGACACCAGCAACCAGCACGAGCTACATCAAGTCTCAGCCCCTGCGTCCCCGCCAGACCTTCTCCGTCGAGGCCTGCAAGGACTACGTCGCGAAGATGAAGCCGCACTCATACTCGGGCATCATCCACCGCACGACCCTCCTCCAGGTGCCCCGCGCCGTCATCGCGCCGACCACGGCACTCCTCTTCGTAGCCACCGTGCTCCCCTCCGCCGCGCTCTGGGGCCTCTCCAGCTCCATCTCGCTCCTCTTCGCCCCCATGCCCTTCATGCTCTCCCCCTCCTCCCTCGGCCTCCTGCTGACGGGACCCTTCGTCGCCGCCACGGCCACCGTCGCGGCCTTTGCCCTGACCCCGGCCTGGCACATCCGCTTCACCCCGAAACTACACATGGTCGCCATCGCAGCGGGCACGGCACTCGCCATCACGGGCATCCTAACCCTGGGCATGCATGTCTCGACGAGCATGACCCCGCCCGCGAACCAGGCCGACGCCGACGCGTCCGTCTACGCGCTCGGCTACCTGGGCGAGCGCGTCAGTCTCCCGGGGGCGTCCGCCATGCTGGCGTTGCTGGCGGCGGGCTTGCACGTGCTGGACGCGACGGCGCGGCCGGCGATCCGGCGCAGCACGCAGTTCACGAGCTCCAACCTGGGCGTGGCGCTGCGCAACACGGCCGACATGGACGCCGGCGCCGCCCTGTGGCGCACCCTCGCCGCGGGCGCGTTCGTCGTCGCCGTGCCAAACGCTGTCTGCTCGTGGGACGGGCTGCGCATGGCGTGCGTCGGCATCGCGGTCGCGCAGGCGGTCGCTGCTGCGCTCGTCGCGGCGGTGTGGTGGTTTTGGGACGAGGATGTCCTGAGGATGGATGGGAGGGTGATGAGGTTGGTGGATTTGGACATCTTGAAGACGTCGGGGAGCTTCTTCGACATGGATTGAAAGGGATGCTTTTTTTGGCGGGCGGCCAATACTTACTTAAACTTACGGAGTGGGACGATTTCATGTTATATACCAAGAATTGGACTTGGGGAATTGGGATGGGCGGATCATGGGATATATAAGTAGTTTCTTGCCGGGATCTGGATAATAGCAACTGCTGCCATCAAGTACATGCCTTCTCTGCAAAGAAACCGCCGTCTCTGGTCTTCCCATGGGGCCTCGGAATGCCTCCACAACCTGTATAGCCTGGTCGCAGAGCACCGGCGGATAAAGACCTAGTGCTACACTGCTCGCTGGTCGCTGCAGCGGGACGTTCTGGAAGCCTTCCATGCCGTCCGTCTGTTGTTCTCCTGCTGGTTCCCGTGCGGATCAAACCCGGGGGAGCGACTTGATCCGCCCAATCACCGACATCAGACGAGGAAGATCGCCATCGTTCAGGCCTCATTAGCCGGCCGCATGTCTGAGTGTCGTTCGAGAAGGCTACCGTATTTGAGAGCCCTTTCCATTCTGAGCATCGCAGGTGCCGTTATTGAAGGCAGGGTAAGTCTCTATCTTGCCACATGACCAACCCCGGCAGCAACATCATCCAGGAAGTGGTCTAGGGCCAAACGTGGTTGTACCTCAAGTGATAGTTTGCAGCCACTTTTTGATGACTTTATGGTCGAGAGACTTAACACATTCAGTGCTCTCTCGCACCGCATCGGGTCCAGAGCGATGCTTCACCAAAGTGCCACCAAACCCCTGTTCGACTTGGCTACAGCACCACCAGAAGACCGCTCTGTGGCCAACTTTGAGACGTCACAAAGATTCTTGCTCTCCAGGATTTGGTGGCATGGTCACAACTGATGCCCATCCGCAACCACGTCTTTGGATGGCAGAGCAGTCAGGCAGTTGGTCGAGAATCCAGCATCAGTCTTGTCCGGCAACCAAGTCCACCATGCATATTCCCACCGGTGGGAACATTGTAGATGGTTACGTATTTCCAGCTCAACGTCTTCAGCTCGCATTTTGTCAAAGGGAGGCCACCCATACGCTGGACTATACGCGAAAGTGTTGTCCTCGTACTCCCTGTTGCAGTCGTGACGCAGACGCCATACATCTGATCGAGATACCATCCCGTCTCGAAGGTATGGCCCAGGAGGGTGAAGGTTTATAAACGACTGAGGCATGCTGGTCCAAGCGGCAGAATCAACAGCAGGCTGCGCATGCGGGCAATCTTGTAGTTTGGCAAGTGATGGCAGGATGGACTTTACAATTGCCCGTGGACTACATAGCGCAACACTAAGCCATAGCGGTGCAACTACTGTGAATGACAGGATCTTGGCCAGGAGTTCTAGATTATCGTTGCTGATTATAGGGTTGAGAATAGAGGTAATGGGTCCTAGCTATGCCCTAGCAAAGTTGCAGGGCACTTCTGGCTCTCAAAACACGCTCTATAGAGGAGGACCAAAGATCCAGGGACAGAGGCTTAATGACATGTAGTAGCCGAGGTGGCTAAACTCGGCTGGGAAGTCCTGGTAATCCAGCTGGCCTGGGGAGGTAACACGAGCTGGGAACGACGGCCTGGGGAGTTCGATTGAGGCAGACTTCAAAGGCGCCGTGCTAGCGTGAAGCGGGAGGGTGAGAGCTGCTGCAAGCACTACAGAGCATTGGCTACCAAGGTCGTAGGCATGGTATAGCCTTGCAAGGTAACATGCAGCTTCTCTGGCTGTCGGTGGGCGCTGATAGCCATCAGCTCCGCGAGCAAGAATGCAGAGCCCAATGTCCTCGACGCGAACTGCCCACGGCGAGACCTGACCATCGGCAATGGTCCATCCAACTCCACAAGAGGCAATCGCCTTCCAGGCAAGCTCTTGCGGCAGGGCGTAATCAAGATCGATTTCTAGACTGGAAGGACTGTCAAGCACTGGATTATAGGCGATGGAGAGGTTCTGTCTCTCTGCAAGGCTTGAACTTAATATATAGGCCCAGCCTAACATCAACAGTGCAATGCCATTGTTTGGTCAGCCCTCCCAGTCTAGAAAGTTGCGCGACGAAGATATTGAGCATGTAGTGGGGTAACGCTTTCTCAGAGCAAACCTGAAGACTCTCTCGGTTTTTGCTAAGCAGCAGGAAGCATCGGTATTTCTCCATGTGGAATATCCCTCGATCGAATTGGCATCGCTAGGAATATTTTCGGGCAGAGAGGGTGTACGGGAAAGAACCCCTTCAAGGTTAAGGCTCGCCAGTAGAATACCCTGTATTGATTCTGCGGCACCAAGGGCGGCTTGCCATTGAGAAGCACTTCGGGAATGAATCAAATCGGCTTCCGGGCCACTGTAAGATATATTGACACGATCAGGGCAACCAGATGCCATGCCTTGCCAAGATTGTTATTGCAGTGCGTAATTCATTGGACATTGATTGTTACCTACGTAGTACGTATACAGAGCTTCTGGCCAGAGAGTTGTGCAATGGAAAGTTGTGGGGTGCATACCGCACATCATCTCGAAACCCCGGACTTCCGACGTTTTCTTTGATAAATGTAAGATTCAAGCATATCGTGCAATGGTTGTCCCGTCTGCTTCCAACTGCATGCCCACTGGGCTTGAATAAGAAATTCCTATTCAGTGCTTCCAGGAGAACTTGTGTGGATCCCAACGCAAGACGGACATGGGCCACACGTGTTTTTATAATTCATGCCCTGTCGATCTCCACTGAGCTCAGGGGATAGTAATGGCCCTCGGGCTGAGGACAGACCGGCTTATTGAAAAGAAAGACGGACCTTCTTTGACCGTCTTACCTAACTTTCGTACCCATTCGCTTTCCCTTCCTGAGTCCTCCTGAGTCCTGCAGCTGGACGCAGCAGGACGATTGGGAAAGACGAAAGGTCCAACGCAAGTGTACGCAGACACGGGTTAAGGCGGGAGGGATGAGACCCCGCAATTCAAGCATTGACGGACCCTGTAATCCGTACCGAGTAATGGAGCCACGCATCATGAATTTATTCGCTCGGTAGTTTCCGTAGTGGCTGTGCTGCTCAGGGCTGAGTCCGATAACACTTTCTTCGGTTAGCTCTTCTGAGCGGAGGGATTAATGATTAAACAGGCGAGTTGTGGCTCAACCACTGGCCTCCCTTATTATACTAGAAGCGTCGTGTTTGTTGTTGAACGGCCTTACGCTAGCACTAGGTAGCGCAGGGCAGGTATTGAGATCGACACACAATGTCAGTGGCTCCTACACGACCTTAGCATAGAATTAGAGTTGTCATCATCCCTATGGGAAATTCCAAACATTGGAACAGCCCATCAGGTGCATTTTCAGCCCTGGCGTCCTCCCATCTTGGCACATGCGGGGGATGGAATGCAAGTCGCTCGACCAACCAGAAGCGAGATGATTGAAGACGTGGGAGCTTGGGAGCACTCTCATCTCGCTTTCTTTTCAGCCCATGAAAACCTTCTTCCACGCCGGCCCAGAAGGCTGAAATCTGGCATACTAGGGGCCTATCAGAGCGACGCGCCATCCTCGATTCGGCTAAGCCATTGGGGCTTGGTAGGCGTTCTCGACTTTATTGAGATGGGTGACCCCGGCTCGCTTCCGTGTGCGCTGCAAGGGTTGGTAATAACAACGGGTTGAGAGGCATCCTTCGTTTGCCGTAAAGGGGAATACGTTGCGAGAACAGGGCCCGCACCTGCGAGGGATAAGAAGCACCTCTTCCTCCCTGAAGCCCCCATTCACCTGGCTCCCAACCTCACCCTTTCGCTCCCTACCACAAGGCAAGACCCTAATAATAACAACACCCACCCCTCCCAAAAAAAGCCACCCATCTCCACCAACAACCATGCATGCCAAAACCGCCCTCCTCGCCGCTGCCGCGGCCACCACTGTCTCGGCCGACCTCAGCGCCCTGATGCCGGGCTCCCTCGCCGCCAAGCGCGACCTCATCGCCCGGCAATCCGGGTCTGCCACCGACGGCGGCGACACGGCGACGGCGTGCCTGACGGACCTGCTGTCCATCTACTCGACCATCCCCACGGCGCCGCCCGAGATCATCTCGTACGAGATGACCGCCTCCATAACCGACGCGTGCGACTTCTCCATCCCCGCCTCGCTCTCCAAGGCCTGGAACTCGTACACCAGCGAGGCCTTCAGCTGGTTCGAGGCCCACTCGTCCGAGATCTACAGCGCCTTCTCCCAGTGCCCCGAGTACAGCTCCCTCGCCTCCAACGTCGGTGACTCCCCGCCCCTCACCGTCAGCTGCGGCTCGGGCGGTTCGGGCTCGGGCTCGGGCTCGGGCTCGGGTAGCTCCCACACCACTGATACCGGCAACTCTGGTTCGAAGCCCACTGGGACTGGCAGCTCTGGTTCGCAGCCCACTGAGACCGGCGGCTCTGGTTCTGGCTCGGGCTCTGGCTCGGGCTCGGGCTCTGGTTCGGGCTCTGGTTCGGGGTCGGGCTCTGGCTCTGGCTCTGGCTCTGGTTCCAGTTCCGGCAAGGCCGGCACTTCCTCCACCCCCTCCGGCAACGCTGGCCCCAGGGAGACCGGCTATGTTGGCGCTGCTGTCGTCGCCGCCGGCTTCCTCGGTGTCGTCGCTGCTCTCTAAGGAAAATGTGTGCTGGGGAAAGAAGGGGATATACCATGTAATAGGCTGGAACGCGCTTGGATGGGGGTGTTGTGGATGACTTCTATATAAATTGACAGGGCATGTTGGATAGCACCCTTGGTTGGTTTGCCAGAACATATTAATCATTGATAATGAAGGGAGCATTTTTCCATCCCACCCAATCTGTTTCTCCGTCCCCAACTCCCCCCATGACATACTCCATGCACCCCAACTCTGTCCCCTTTTAAGCCCACCCGCTTCTCCAACTTTGCTTACCAGGGCGTCGCCGAAGGCAGCACGGCCATTGAGGTCTTGCACTTGTCGGCGAGGGCCTTCTTGCCCTCGGGGCTGGCGGCGCCGAAGCAGGGGATGCCCATGTCCTCGCTGATGCCGTCGCAGATGACGACGGCGGGGCCGCACGGGCTGGTGACGTCGAAGTTGCTGAAGCGGATGTTGCTGCACACGGCGTTGGGGCTGCACGTCAGGCGCGCCACGGCCCGCCCGTACTTGCCCGACGTGTAGCCCGTGAAGTTCTCGAAGAGGACGTTGGTGATGTTCACGTTGGACGGGTGCGCTGCGCACTCGGCCGAATTGATCTGCCAGAGGCGGTTAATATCTCATGTCCTTCCTTGCCTTTTCCCCCGCTGCTTCCCCCCCCCCCCCCCCCCCCCCCCCTTCTTTCGTGTTCTTTCTCGTGGGGAAGTGGTAAGACTCACATTGAAATAGCACGCATCCAGGAAGGCGCTGTACTCGTTGTTGGCGTTCCAAAAGTTGCGGAAGGTGATGTTGTCGATGAAGCCGTAGCCGACGCCCTGGCCGGCCCAGGTCTTGAGGCGGGCGCCGTGCTGGCCGTTGAGCATCCACACGTTCTCGACGACGACGTCGCGGATGAAGCTCTTCTCGCCGTCGTACTGGCCGATGGAGCCCATGGACTGGCCATGCGTGCCGTTGCAGTACATGGTGTCGACGTGCAGGTCCGTGGCGTTGGACTTGGGCGAGAAGCAGTCGTCGCCGATGTTGACCCACGCCCGCTCCACCGTGACGTGCTCGACGTTGAGCGAGTCGAAGAAATCAGTGTTCTTGGGCAGCGCGCTGGCGTTGTTGGACTCGGCGGTGCAGGCGACGTCCTTGTACGAGATGTGCTGGGCTGCGTGCCGGTGGTGGCGATGTCAGTCAGGGGTTTCCCTTCTCTCTCTCTCTCTCTCTCTCTCTCTCTCTCTCTCTCTACCAGCAAATTGCATCGTCGGGGGGCTTGGCTTACACGTAACGATAAAGTTTGTCCAGCAGGGCGAGTCCTTGAAGTGGATGCCCTCAAACGACAAGCCGGTCGCGTTCTCGGCGTAGAACAGAACGGGCCGCAGATACTCGTTGTCGGGATCCAAAATCTCCAGGCCGGCGAACTCGTTCCACCATCGCTGGCCGTTGCCGTTCAGCACGCCGTTGCCGTGGATCTTGATATTCTCGCCTCCCCACTTCCAGAACATCAGACTGTTCTGGAAGGGGTGGTGGAAGGCATTGGCCTGCCAGTACGGCGTGTCGTTGGTGAACTTGATCTCGCCGTCCAGCCGGACGTGGACGTCGTTGAGGAAGGTCAGGTCAAGCGGCTTGCCGATCATGTACGTCTGGCCCTTGGGCAGGTAAAGGGTGCCGCCGTTGTTGGCATCCTTGAGGCCCTGCAGGAACTCATCGGCGACGTCGTCGGAGTCGTCGGCCGACGCCCTGATCCGCACCGTTTTCCGGGAGCAGGTGCTGCGCGGCTTATACGGGTGCTTCACACGGAACTCGGAGAGCGACCGAGGGACACCGGCTGGGAGCTCGACGGACGCGAGCACACCAGCAGCGGTGGCGAGCAGGGCAATGATTGAGGCCTTCATGGCAACGGGGGTGCAACTAGCTGGAGAAGGCAAAACCCAGTTTCTCTATCCGGAAATAGAAGGCGAAGGAGTCGGGCGAGAGACCTTGACCTGGTGCTGGTGAGAGTCCAGAAGCGAGAAGAGGTGACGCCGACATGATGCCTTGTCTTTATACCGAGATCGCCGGCCCTGATACCCTGGAATTCCGTCAACTTAGCATGGGAGGAGCTGGATATTGGAGATCCGCCTATCAACGAGGTTTCTGGGGTGCCATCTAGAATGGCCTGGGGTCTCGATGGGGCTTCAAATCAAACGCACGAACCCTTGTGCAGCAGGCATACCGTTGCCCAGGGACCTGGTATATAAACAGCCTTGGCACTGGGCGGGTTAGCATGTCATTGCCGGAAATTCTCATGCCGCCTGCAGCCTGCCGGAGAAATCTCCAACATGGCGATCGCAGCGAACCCCTCCTTTCCCCATGTTTATTACCCCACAGAAATTCCAACAACAAAGTGCGTGTGTTTGGCCTGTTGTTTGGCATACATTTTGGGCAGCGCATATGTAATACACTTCTCAAAGCTCAAAGCTCGCCATGATACACACATGATTGAGATAGGCTAGAGTATCGATTAGTTGAATCTGTCTTGTCATTTTTGTTGTGCCGTTTCTGGAGTGCCACTTGCCTTGCCCAGAACTGGATTATCAGTTAGCACCGCGCATGCTTAAAGCCTTAAACGTATATATGCACCTGCATGGATGCCTGGGATATTGGATGATGAGCAATATTCTCTACGTATACGTAGTAATCAAGGTGCACCTCGCAAGGGGAGATCGCCATCAGTCTTCAAAGGCATTCCCTGTCCACCACGTTCTCCACGCTGCAAACCTCAATATGTTAAGCTCCCATCAATCCAAATCCAGCTCGAGCAAGTCCAAGGCGAGCAACTCCAAGGAGAAGGCCAAGTTTGGCAAAGAGAAGGATAAGAAGTCTGGCAAGGAGAAGAACAAGACCAAAGCGAAAACGAAAATACAACACATCAGCCTCTACTGTGCCGTTTATACACCACAGTTTGGAAACTACTACCACTGGGCCTTTGCAACCCACCACGAGGCAACCGACGAGTAGAACGTATTCCAGGTTGTACAAGACGAAGAAGATGGCCCTTTCAGCCCTGACTGTCGTGAAGTCAATCCGTTGGATTCACAAAGGTGCCGTCAGCCACTTACAGTTCTGGGGCAGATGCACCCAGGCTGGTGGGACACCTGCATCGGAACTGTTCGGACGATTCCAATTCCTGGGGAGGGTCTGTCTTGGAACTGCCAGGACTATGTTATAGATATATGGGATGCCATGCTTGCTGGAGAGATGATCAACGAGGAAACATGGGCTGAGGGCAAAGAAAGGATGTTCCCCTTTTACGGTCAGAAATTTGGTGGCCAGGAAAGTGAAGATGGCAGTAGCGAGGAAGAGGAAGAAGGACGGCAGGGACAAGCACCATTGTCAGAGGAATTTGTACTTGATTCGAGTGAATGAAGTTTGGTGGCCTTCTTATTTTCCCTCCTAACACCATCCTTGCCTGTTTATGTTATAATCCTCTGTTGTCTTGGTTAAATGAGAGATGATTCCATGAGAGTTTGTCATAGCCGGGAACACACATGCGAGTGAGTTTGGAAAGGGACAACGTCAGTCCCAAGCTTTTAGGCTTGGATTCCACCGCCTCCCTCGTTTGTCGTTTTCTGATGACTCTAAGCTGACAACAATGCACGTGATACCGCGCCATCCTGGAATATTTTAGCTCCACTGCTCAAGTTCGCGTCCTCAGGAAGAACCAACTCGCGGCATTCGAAATATTCGTGGAAATGGTGTTGCCCCCGTCAACCAGCTCTGCGAGCCGCCTGATCCAGGCCAATACGAATACCACCGCAGCAAGATTCAACCGTAAAATCATCCGCGCTCTCCAGGCCAAGTTGAAGACCGATCCTGAGGTGGACCTGAGCACCCTCCTGAAAGCAAATTACTCAGAGCAGCTACGGTCATTCAAGGCACCCAGTAAGCACTTCTCTACACGCTTCTCGATCTGCATACTAATTTCCACTATTAGTTGCCCAGCGCACTACTACCACAACCGTCCCAGACAACGACATACGTTCTAGACTTTGATGCAACTGACCCATCCACGGTCGTGTGTGAGCTGTCGATCGAGTTAAAGCAACTCCTTGAAGATGAAGATGGCGACGACCTCTCAAGGGCTATCGTGGATCTACTAGCGAGAAGCGAAGTCCTCTACAGAAGTGCGTGGGCAGCGTCGTCAAAGGTCTACCGAGTTAGTGACCAGGTTGTCGTGAAAATCACAGATGAGAGGTATGCTGTCACTGAACACAGCTCTCTCTTATACCTGCAAGAACACCTACCCAGCTTTCCTGCCCCTAGATCGCATGGTGTGGTACGAATCGGTATCTTCTGTCTCTTGTCTACGACTTTTGTTACCGGACTCGACTTGGAGAAAGCATGGCCCCAACTAGGCGATATCCAGAAGCATAGTATCAGCGGTCAGCTTGATGCACTCTTCTCTCAGCTAAGGTCACTTCCCTTTCCGGAAAACATGCCACTTGGTGGCGTTCAGGGAGAGGGTTGTAAGGATGGAAGGCGAGGACTGCGTGTGAATTCTGAGCCAATTATGAATGTCAAACAGTTTGACGAATGGATCTTTACTGGATCCAAGACGGCTTCACCTGTATACACGCGACTCTTGCGCAGCCTGGTGCCAGCCACTATACCAACATGTGTCTTTACACATGGAGATATTCGCTCAGCGAATATTATGGTAGATAAACAGGAAGATGGGACTTGGAAGGTTATTGCTGTTATTGATTGGGCAGCTAGTGGTTTCTATCCTGCCTACTGGGAGTCTGTGAAGGCTACCATGACGCCAAGGGACGATTTTGACTGGTATGACTACTTGCCAGAATCAATATCCCCAAGCCACTGCTCGACCCGGTGGCTGGTAGATAGATTGTGGGATCGCAATATGGAAAACAGTAGCTAGACAATAGATTATCTATTAGCCACTCTCCTGCTGCACACTTGCCCTCTCTTGTGAACAGCGATTGCAGGCCTCCATTCTGCTGAGCATCAAGCACATGCGCGAATACAACCGAGGAGCCAGACACCTATGTGCAGCATTTACTGCGTCGCTTCCTTTGGCTAGCTTGTGGGGGCAGAGGGCGCTGAGTTGTCTTGGAAGATTCACCTTTGAGAGCTGGATTTGCGAGGACCGGCCTGCATTATGGCCGCAATGGTGGCCATATCTTCCGTAATACCACTTAGAATCCCAAACAGCACATACGAATTCCAAAGAATGGGCGACTCCGTAGTCATACACCCAAAACGAGCCTTCTTATAGCTTACTGTCCTTCCAAACCGCCTTCCTCCTCTCCACGAAACTCCGGACCCCCTCCTTCATATTCTCCCCGGCGTCTATCCGCCCGTACAGCCCCGTAGCCAGCAACTCGGTGCCCAGCTCCGGCCCGACGCCCTCCCACCCCAACCTCAGGCCCTCGCGGCTGACAATAACAGCATCAGGCGAGTTCCCCGCAATCTCCTCCGCCAGCCTCACCGCCTCCGCAACGACATCGCCCCCCGCCGGCACGACGACATTGACGAGCCCCCACGCCTCCAGCTGCGCGGCCCCGTACCCTGTCCTCCCCACTAGCGCCATCTCCGCCGCGCGCTGCCTGCCCACGGCGCGGACCAGGCGCGGCAGCGCCCCCGCCACGGCCACGACGCCGCGCATCACCTCGGGCAGGCCGAAGCGCGCGCCCGCCGCCGCCACGACGAGGTCCGCGTTGATCGCCATCTCCATGCCGCCGCCCAGGCAGAGCCCGTTGACCGCCGCCACCACGGGCTTCTTGCCGGGCCGGTTGGACATGCCGCCGAACCCGGCCGCCGTCCAGGCCGCCTGGCGAGTGCCCGGCTGCGGCGGTGGTGAGGAGGAGGTGCCGTCCGTGTTGTTGCGGCCGTGCCACTCCTTGAGGTCGGCGCCGGCGCAGAAGGCGCGGCCCGCGCCCGTCAGCACGGCGCACCGGAGCCACGGCTCGGCGTCGTACCACTGGTAGAGCGCCTCGAGGCGGGCGTGCTGGGCCGACGGGATGGCGTTGAGCTGGGCGGGGCGGTTGAGCGTGATGAGGAGCACGTGCGGGGAGGGGAAGGTGATGAGCACATTTGGCACTTCCGGGGGCGCGGACCTGAGCGCCTTGGGAAGAGACGCCATTTTGTTTTGGGCCTCTTTCTGGCTTTTATCTGGGATCAAATCGTCGCCGGCTAGATCACGGGCCAAATGTTTACTTGCTAAAACATAAAGCAAGAACACTGACGGACAAGTATGGCTTCAATGGGTGGTCGCGATGGCTAACAGTGGTGGAGATCTCGGTCGATCTCATTGCGAGTGTGCCGAGGCTGTTCGGGTTCGTGTTCCCGTAGCGAGCACAGGGATCCTGCAACTCCGCTATTCTTCTAATGCAGCATGTCGTCACATACCTAGCACAGGTTTGACAAGAAGAAGAGAGCAAGCTTGAGATCCACTTATTATTTGCCCTGTTGCTAGGCATATACCGAGCGTATACTACCTATGCTATGGATAGTTTTCTGCACAGGGCAATCAGCTTGACCAAGGATGGTAGCAACCGTTATGACTCGGTACAATACAATTGCAGAACAACTCAGCTCAAACCCCCTCGTCTTTACCCATGATGCTGTGGCCAACGTCGTGTGAAGCAACCTATTGATGCACCTATTGATGCACATTGACGGCCAGCCAAACACGCCTCTTCTCTTGGCTTCCCAAAGCCAGGCGCGCTCAAGCAAACCAGAGTTCACAAAATAATAGTACATAATGCCGTCATGATGCCGTGCCCCTATCTCCGTGGGCCGGCTGGCTAGGAGCCAAATGCGTCCGCAGCCCTTTTCGCCGATGCCTACTTAACCGTCTGTCTGGGTCCTGAGCGTACGTACTAAGCGGGCAGGCCTCTCTTCTCGCTCTCGGTAAAGAAGATGACCATCCGCCAGAGCTTCTTGACGAGGTCCTCGGCATCCTCGTCCAGGGCCTGCGCCAGCGTGTCGACGAGCTCGCCGGGCTTCTCGTGCTTGCGCAGATGCTCCTCCACCACGTCGACGAGGAACTGCTCCTGCACGCCCAGGTACTCGACGACCTTCTTCTCCACAAACGGCCGGAGCTTCTCGCGGATGACCGACTCTTCCAGGTAGTCCCACTTGACGGCCCACGCCCAGAGGCCGTCCTTTTCGGTCGGGATCTCCTGGGCGAGCGCGCGCACCGCCTTCTGGATGTCCTCCTCGGACATGGCCTTGGCATCGGTGATGGGCTCGAATTTGATGGGCACGAGCTGGCGCTTAACTGTCTGCTCCTGCTCCTCGTCGTCGAGGAGACCCTCGACTTCGGCAATGGTGCGTCGCTGTGGCGCCGCACGTTGGGCCTGGGCCTTTGCGGCAGCCCCAAACGAGATGGTGACCTTTTGGGGAGCAACTGGTGCAACCGGTCGTCTCTCCATCTCCTCCGCCTGTCTCTCGAGGAAGGAGTCGGCCATGCCTCTTGCCTGCTCCATCTCGGCCTCGGCCTTGCGGCGCTCGTCCTCCTCCGCTCGCTTGTCCACCTCGTCCCTTGATATTTCGTCGGCCTTGTCCGCAGCTCGCTTCCTGGCCCAGGCCGCATGGTCTCGGTAATACAGGTGGTGCGCGAGCGTCGCCTCCCGATCATCATCCCAGTTCCGTTCCCGGTCGAGTTGCTCTTCCTTTCTTCGGCCAAAGCTTTCCGTCTCCGACTTCTCGCGTCCCTTTTCTCTATCAAGAGCAGCCGCGCGCTGTCGTTCTCTGTTGACCCACTTCCGTTCCGCCTCGAGATAGAGTTTGTCCTCATCGGCCTTCTGCCTGGACATATCTCTGCGGTGAAGTTCCTCGTCGCTAGCATCGGTGTCGTCCTCTTCCTGGTTCGTGTTTGGATAGCCATTCGTAGAACCCCCGTTGACAAACTCCACGCCTCGACCCTGTCCACGTGGACCGGACGGCGCGTTCGGTACGCCGCGAGGACCGAGTGGGATTTGATTTGAGCCTCCGGCACCAGGCGAGTCCAGGCGGGATGGGCGGGGCGCACCGCTGCGCAGCCGCTCCATTTCCTCAAGCTCCTCCTCCCTTCTCAGACGCTCCATATCCCTCCGAATACTCCGCTCTCGGAAGGCTGCAATTTCCTGCGCTACCACTTCGCGCATCTCTGCCGGAATGTCGGCGAGCTCGTCCTCTTGCGCCAAGGGAATGTTAATCACCTCGACGTTCTCTCCAAGAGCCCCTTCGGCCATAGTCGCATCTCCATCCGCGTCCTGAGCGCTCTTCGACCGAGGGTAGAAGAGGGCTCGGATATACTGCTTCAGAGCATTTCTCGACGTCTCCAGCCGCGCGTCGGCCTCGGTATCGTCGCCGCGATTCTCTTTGTAGGACTCGAGGTACTTGATCGTATTTGGATCGACCGTTACCTGAAGTTTAACCTTCTCAATGCCCTCAAACGAGTCGGTTTCGTCGTCAGGTGGTGCTTCGGTCGGTGATTGCTTCTTCAGCGGAACCTCGAGATCTTTGAGCAATTCGACCGCTAGGCCAAGAGATTCGGGATCTTCGTACTGTGCAAAGCCAAAAAGCTCCCCCTTGTGGTCCGAGAGCTGAGACTTGCCCGCGTCCCACCGACGCAGCCTGCCCACTGTATTCATGAGCCGCTCCACCCCTTCTTCTCCGCCGATGCTCTCGGGGATTTTGTGGATGAAAATGGTCTGCAGTCGCTCCTCGTTTGTTGCGGGCACTAGGGCTTGCATGCTCTCTCGCAGCTGAGCCCGCGTCTGCTCAAGGCCACGCTCCATGCCAAGGCCAGGCCGGTGGTGGCCGGTAGGGGCTTCCGAGTCCTTGCGTCCCGGGCCGGATGGCGTGCCCGGTTTTGCTGGAGGTGCCGTAGAACCAAGGCGGATCACAGGCGCATTGAAATTGATATTCGGGAGGTTCGGCGGGGTTTGGAAGGAGGCAGGGAGCCCGCTTGGTCGATTAGCTTGTGCGGCATTACTGAGCTGCTGGACACCCGGGGGGGGTGCCAATCCTGGGGCAGAGGACATGCCTGGTGGAGGACCTAGGGAGAACGAGATGAGTTGTGATCTAGCAGATAGAGAGGGGGCGAGAAACGTACCTAGACCCGGCGGAGGAGCCATCCCAGGGGCGCCACTTGAACCCGGGAAGGACCCAAAGCCCGGAGGAGGCCCGTAAGTTGGACCTGCCGATTTGTGATTAGCATATTTCAAATTCAACTCGACGGGCGCCGCACTAAAGTGAGGGTAGGTGAGGATGGGACAAGGCTGAGTTTACCTCCATAAGGGTTGTACGACATTGCTGGCGATGGTCAAGTCCAGTGGGGCTGGGCAATTTCACAACAATGAATGTAGATATAGGTTGGCAAAGGGCAAATTCGTGGCGATATGTTTGTTGTGAATTCCTGGTTGGACTGATGTTATGGCCAAGTTGACATTGGTACAGAGTCTGGAGTGACCACAGATAAGAGTTCGCGGAGCTCAAAAGTTGATGAACAATAGCGACGTGATCTGATTGGCCGCACCAAGCCGGAGGTGGAGTAATGATTTGCCGATACAAAATTCAGGACCCGCCCAGACCACTTCAAGCAATTGGCAAAGCGTCGCGTACCAGGCATCGGATTTGGGGAAAAGTGATCCTCCTTCACAGGAAATACTTGGGCAGCAGGGTTGTTCTGGTATCTCATGGTATGTTTCTATCTCTACCATATGCATTGACTTGTATCAAGCTCAACACCAGGCCCAATTGCTAATCCTGCCGCCCAGCTCATGGAGTTTCGTCAACTAGCTCGATGCGCCTACCAAACGGCGACCAGGGCGTCGTCTACACTTCCGGTCAACGGGGTCCGGCGCTGCCAGGCGAAACCCAGCCCATTGCTTTCCTTGATACCGTCTTATGCCCGACAAGTCTCCAATAGCTCCAACAATCAAGCCCCGCCACGCTCCCTGGACGGCCACAGCCACGGCCACAGCTCGCCTGCCAGCCCGACTGGCCGAAGTACTCGGGCCGCTACGCCCCCAAGACCGCCGACAGTCAAGTCGCCATGGGCGAGCCGAGAATCCACCCCGTCAGCTACCCCGGCACCCCCTCCTGACACCCTACTGAAGGACTCGGCCGAGCTGCCGGGCCTCATCCGGTGGGACGTCAACGCCTTCCTGCAGCGGAACCACATGAGGTCGGGCCCGCCGCCGGAGATGAGGCTGCGGCCGTCGACGGGGCGGACGGTCTACAAGACGGGCAATGTGGACGTGGCGCGGTGCTTCCAGCTGCTGAACCGCGTCGTCAAGGTCAACAGGGTCAAGCAGGATGCCCAACGGCAAAGGTTCCACGAGAGGGGCGGCCTCAAGAGGAAGAGACTGCGGAGCGAGAGGTGGCGGAGAAGGTTCAAGCACGGGTTCTGCGCTGTCGTTAATCGGGTGACCGAGCTGCGAAACCAGGGATGGTAGGGTAGACCATCTTTTGTACACCACGACCATCATCAACACTGCCACAAAATACGGAATTGTACATTACGAGGCTATATAGACTGCATTGTCTTTCCAGCTACTCTTGTCCCAAGGTGCCTGGCTTTCTATCCAGCCTAGGCTTGTAAACTGTGATATGGTTGGGAGCGGTCTACAGAATCCCAAGTTGTTTGGTCTGCGGAGATCAGCAACCCATATGGGACCGAATCACATTTCATCTGTACGAAGATGAATGTCTCGCGGGATATCCACGTGTGGCGGTTCTGAAGAAGAATATAGATTACTGCATGGAGTTGTACCTTGGTGCGAGTTCTAGATCTAATAGACGAAAACCCATCCATCAGTCCCCCAACCCCTTGACTGGTGTTCCGACCGGACTTGTCTTGATCTTCGGCCGGCTCTTGAAAATGGCCTCGGGGTCATCGCGCTCATTATTCATTAGCTCCTCGGCCAGCAACAGCGTGGTGTCTCCTTCCTCGTCCACCGAGGGGAAGTAACTGCTGCCGTCCCGCCTGTTGACAGAAACGGCGAGCTGCTTCGACTTGCGCTGGGAACGCCTCCGTTCCAGCTGCGCCTTCTGCCGCACCGCCTCGAAGCCCGCCATGCTACGCCTCGTGCGCGCCACGAGGTCTTCGTACTGCGGCTCGTCGTCTTCGGGGACGTCTTGCATGCTGGGTCTGGGCGCCTCGACCGTGACTGTTGGCGGACTGCGTGGCGAAAGCAGCTCCAGCTCGGGCTCGTCGTCTTCGTCCTGGCTGCCGAGTCCGGGGGCATGGGAGCCACGGCGGGCCATTGAGAGTCGGGTTCGCTGGGCGAGGGAGAGAGTGTGCCGTGGTTTCTTCACAGGGGATGGGGAGGCAGCGTTCATCGACGCCAGAATCTGATCTGCCATGAGCTGAGTTGGGGATACGGGCCGTTCTGGGGAAATGTTTATGGATCTGGGAGGAGAATCATTGCGGGCAGGCGCTGTGCGTTGTGCAGGAGGTCGTGCACCAGGGGTTGTAGGCCTCTCGGTTTCGCTGGTCAAGGTTGCCTTTGGAGGTGGCGTCTCAGGGGACGCGACTGGTTCATTCTGCATGGAGGAAGACTGTTGTCGTCGATGACCTGCCGTTTTCATCTCGGTCACCTTGGGCTTGGGCTTGTTGAGGTCGAAGGCCTTGATTTTCCGGATGATGGGTCCGAATTGGGGTTCCGAGTCCATCGCCCTCGCAGGTTTGTCGTTGACGACTGCAGGCATGACAGGTTCATCCTCCAGCTCGCTAAGCTCCGATATTACATCCTCTCCCGGTGTTTCTGGTCGATGCTGTGGGGGATTCTCGCGATGGCGAGCCCTAGGAAGTACAGCGAAAGTCTGATTTCCCTTGTCGAGTCTGGCCAGCTCCTCACGGAGCCCCTCAACTAAGTCCTCGTATTCGCCAGCTAACTTGCGGGGCTTGCTCAGAGCCAGTTTCCTGGGGCTTAAGCGGCCCAAATGGAGGTTTTCGTGAGCTCCAAACCCCAAGTCAATGCCCCTTTGCCTTCTTGACGGTTCGGCGGGCTTGCCCATGGGCTCGCCTGCAACCTTACCGAACATCTTGACCCGGAAGTCCTGCCACCTCTGTAGGCGGTCTCTCTGGACGTTGACCCGCCTGTCCAGCTGCTCAAGCAATCCACCGGCCTGGTCCTCCAATTCCATGAGGCGGCCCGACTGGACCTTCCGCCATACCCTGTCGAAGGGGGCAGACAATAGGCCGTCCTTTTTTGAGTTGGAATCCCCGTAGAGCAGCGTTTCCATCCACCGTTCATTGCCGGACCAGTTGTGCCGGACTGTCCTCCACACGTCCAACTTGACGTCGTCCGTAATCAAGTCTTTGCCGCTGTCTTGTTCCTGGGACTCCAGCACCTTGGCCTGCTCGCGGCGACGGACCAAGGACCGCTCCTTCAGATCCAACACCTCAGCAAAATCACGGAACCGGGCCCGAGCCGCATTCTTGTCCCGCAGTAACCGGCCCAGCGATGCCTTGTGGGCGAGGACGAGCGTGTTGAGTTCGGTCCTCTCAGAGGAGTAGCCACGATGCTCGAGGGCCAGCGTCTGCGCCAGTGCAGGGTATTCCGGTTCGTTCAGCTGCTGCTCGGCAACCAGCTTCTTGAGGACGGCAGAAGAAAAGACGGCAAGCACCTCCTCCAGCCGCTCACCCTTGCACTCGTCGAGCATTGTCTTGCGCACAACCGCGTCTCGGCCGAGGACGCCATTCTTCTTGGCATGTTCGAGGCCGCGGAGGAGGGCCGCGCGGAGGTTTAGGGATTGGACCTGGTCGAGTGGAGGGAAGAAGGGCTGCAGCTTCTGGGGGAGAGGGATGGGAGTTAGCACATGCCCAAACAGAGGTTCCACCAGGCATGTCGTTACGTACATTACGTGCTTCTTCCGGGTCCCAGAGCGTAAACAGTTGGTATAGCGCCCATTCAACACACTGGATGCGCTTCTTCTGGCCCTGCGCAGCATCTTTGGCGGTGAAGGTCAGCGGGTTGATGCCAGGCCAATCGGGGTGCAAGTCGAGGTCTAAGAGGCGCAAGTTTGTGAGAAATAGAGAGACGTTCGAAGCGGTCGTCGGGATTGGTGAGGGAGCACCACCGGCTGCTGTACTGCTGGCTGCGGAAGCCGCTGCGGCGGTTGCCCTTGTGTTGATGAACCTCTGTGGGTTGGTTGTCGCACGAGTCGGTCTTGAGCGGGTAAGAGATGTGGGATTGGTCTGAAGGGAAGTCATAATGGCATTTTCGGGATTCCTAGGGCATTGAGGTGTGTCCGACACGGGAGGCAAAGGGCAACGGCGAGGGAATATTGTTGTGCTTCCACACCAGCCAAGAGAAAGTCCAGAAATATTCACGATAGAATAAACAACAAAGCCGGGCCTTGTCAGGGTGGTTCGGGAATCGGGATGCAGCTGCCGCAGCGGCAGGATCCCGCACCATGCCGTGACAGCTGATTGGCGAGTGCCTGGCCCTGGCCAGGCAAATGCTTGGCATCTTCAACCTCACTTCTCCCTCAGTTTATGGAATTTACAAGTTACAAGTATACTTACCCATTATTTCACATATTGAGCGAGTGATGTAGGTAGGTAGCCAAGTACGGAATGCAAGATTCCTACTAACCGATGCTAAACAAGGACAACTGTAGCTTCCGCGACGTTCTAGCTGCCACCCCAATCCCACATGCGCCGTTGCCATGTGGTTACATCTTAAAAATGTGGACTCCCATCCACCAGTACCGCCATTGGCCATTTCTATGTTGACAATTGGCTGTAGACGAGATACCTTAAGGTAGACTACTCTCTGAGCTCCTGATCGTGAGACAGGAAGACCAGGATGGGAGGACTATTTACATCGTGAAGTACGTCCATAAACCTGGGAAATAAATGTGCGTCGAAATAAGATGTTGAGTGGCTCGAGCGGCGTGAGGGAATCAAAACATGGAAACTCCCCTGCTTAGTCAACCACCCCACCATGGACATCCCAGCTCATTTTCTTCCATCGGCCAACTTTCGCGCAAACGATGATTTGTTCCCGTCCTCAGTTCTCATGCAAAAGGCCCCGTCGGATCGCACTCACTAATGTTCAATGCGGAATGTCCTGGTGCGGCCGCCGCATAGATGCCTGAATCGTCAGGCGCTCCACAAATTTAGGGTCCTTACCCCACCATCTAACGCTTCACCCGTGAGTCACTTTGGTGCTTCAAACTTCTGCTTCCGGCCTCCACTGCCGACTAGATTGGTGTTTTGGAAGTCGACACTGCCCATTTCCCACCATAAAATGGCTCCATCCGACGAGACGAAGCCGGCAGATGGCCCTGCTGTCCCGGCAGCGAAGGCTGACCGGAAAGGTGAGACCAATCCCTCTCTTGTATTACCCCGCTGAGATGTGCTAACAAACTCCCGCTTGACAGCCGAAAAAGAGCGACTGAAGGCAGAGAAGGTCAAGAAGCTCGCAGAGAAGAAGGCGAAACTGCAGAACGCCGTTGCCGTTGCCGCGTCCACAAAGGCGACAAAGGTTGCCAAGACCACCGAACAGATCCCGAAATACGTCGAGACGACGCCCGCGGGCGAGAAGAAGGGCGAGTCGATTCGTTCCAACATCGAGACCGGGCTTGTTGTCGCTAACCGAACGTGCTTTGACAGTCTTGGGACCACTCGATTCGCCTCACCATTCCGCTTACATTCCGGGTGTCGTCGAGTCCGCGTGGGATGCATGGTGGACTAAGCAGGGTTTCTTCGACCCTGAGTTCACCAAGGACGGCAAGAACCTGTCTCGCGGTTCCTTCGTCATCACCATCCCTCCTCCAAACGTAACCGGCGCTTTGCACTGCGGCCACGCCTTGGGAACGGCCCTGCAAGATATGCTCATCCGATGGCAACGCATGAGGGGCTACACAACGCTCTATCTTCCTGGATGCGACCATGCCAGCATCAGTACGCAAAGCGTGGTGGAGAAAATGCTATGGAGGCGTGAGGGCAAGACACGTCATGATCTTGGACGGGAGAAGTTCTTGGAAAGAGCTTTGGAGTGGAAGGACGAGTGAGTGATCCCGTTCGTCGCCATTAGCTTTCGATCACATTGCTCATCAACAATAGATACCATGGAAAGATCAACACGGTATTGCGTCGTCTTGGAGGTTCTTTTTCGTGGGATCGCGAGGCATTCACCATGAGCCCCAGTATGAGCGAAGCCGTCATGGAAGCCTTCGTCCGCCTTCACGACGATGGCCTCATCCATCGAGCCAACCGCTTGGTCAATTGGTGTGTCAAGCTCAATACTACTATTTCCAACCTCGAAGTCGAAAGCAAGGAATTGGCTGGCAGGACATTGCTCGATGTTCCCGGGTATGACCGAAAGGTGGAATTTGGCGTCTTGACGTACTTCAAGTACGTTGTCGACGGGTCGGAGGAGACCATCACTGTTGGCACGACTCGACTTGAAACCATGCTCGGAGATACGGCGGTTGCTGTTCATCCCGACGACGCCCGCTACAAGCATCTCGTGGGGAAGTTTGTGCGGCATCCGTTCTTGGATCGCCTGATACCCATCGTTGCTGACTCGGCTGCGGACCCGGAATTCGGAACTGGAGCTGTCAAGATCACGCCTGCTCATGACGCCAACGATTTCGGTGTCGGTACTCGCCACAACCTGCCCTTCATCAACATCTTGAACGATGACGGTACTCTGAATAGCAATGCCGGCAGGTTCGAAGGACAGAAGCGGTACGACGTGCGATACGCGCTCTTGGATGAACTCACCAAACTGGGTCTGTTTGTCAAGAAGGAACCCAACCCAATGTCGATCAAACTCTGCGCAAAGTCCAAAGATGTCGTCGAACCAGTGCTGAAGCCGCAGTGGTGGATGAAGATGAAGGATCTCGCAGCCCCTGCCATCGAGGTCGTTCGAAATGGCGATATCAAGATTCGCCCCGAGACGGCCGAGAAGAACTATTTCAGATGGCTGGAGAACATCAATGACTGGTGCTTGTCGCGTCAGCTCTGGTGGGGTCACCAAATCCCAGCGTACCTTGTGAACATCGCCGGCGAACCTGCAGCGGCCGACTCCAGTGATCGCTGGGTTGTTGCGAAGTCCGAGGCCGAGGCGAGAGAAAAGGCACAGAAGAAGTTCCCCGGTAAAGAGTTTACTCTCGAGAGGGACCCGGATGTTCTGGACACATGGTTTTCATCTGGGCTATGGCCGTTTGCCACCTTGGGATGGCCGAACAAGACCCATGACCTGCAGAACCTCTTCCCGACTAGCGTCCTGGAGAGCGGATGGGACATCCTGTTCTTCTGGAGTAAGCTTTCCTTAGTGCCTGAGATGTTGAACCGTTGGGCCGTTATACTAACAAGGTCGTAATAGTTGCGCGCATGATTATGCTGAGTTTGAAACTGACTGGCGAAATCCCCTTTAAAGAAGTATACTGCCATTCGCTGAGTACGTGAAATAGAGACGAGTAAATCCAAACAGTTTCGTGCACACATTTACTAACATCACTTCTAGTCCGAGACGCCCAAGGCCGCAAAATGTCCAAGTCTCTGGGCAATGTACTCGACCCCATTGCGATCATGGACGGCATCACCCTCCAGGAGTTGCAAGACGGCCTGAAACTCGGGAACCTTGACGAAAAGGAGTTGGATATCGCAACCAAGAACCAGAAAGACTCCTTCCCTCAGGGAATCCCCGAGTGCGGGGCGGATGCGCTGCGCTTTTCCCTGATCAACTACACCACTGGTGGTATGTCTTCCATCATATATTGATCTTGGTTGGTTTTGGCTTTCCGACTAACATGGCCAGGTGGTGATATTGCCTTCGACGTGAAGGTCATGGCTGGATACCGCAGGTTCTGCAACAAGATCTATCGTAAGTGGCTTCCGCAGCAAGATGAACGGCTATGGGGAAACTAAAACCTCGTGTAGAAGCCACCAAGTACGTCCTGGGGAAGATCCCGGCCGACTACCAACCCCCGGCGAAGCTGGCCAAGACGGGCAAGGAGACCCTTCCGGAGCGTTGGATTCTGCACAGGCTGAATTCAGCCGCTCGGGCGATCCACGAAGCCCTCGAACAACGAGAGTTCTCGCGCTCGTCACAGATCGTCTACCGGTACTGGTATGACGACGTCTGCGACGTCTTCATTGTACGTATCCAGTCTGCAAATGTGTGCTCTAGTCCTCCGCCATTCTGACCGACTTAGGAAAACTCCAAAGCCATTCTCCAGGAGGGAAGCGATGAGGCCAAGGCAAGCACAATCGACACGCTCTACGCTGTGCTCGAGGGAGGAATCACCATGATCCACCCATTCATGCCTTTCCTTACCGAAGAACTATGGCAACGTCTTCCTAGGAGACAGGGCGACTCGACGCCATCGATCGTGAGGGCGTCGTACCCAGAATACGACGCCCAATTCGACGATGTAAAGTCGGCCGAGCAATACGAGCTTCTGATCTCCTGTTCAAGGGGTATTCGGTCTCTGATGGCCGAGTTTGGCATCAAGAAAGATGGGTCAGGTGAGTTAAGATTCCAAGGTCATGATCCTCCTCCCCTGTATACCAACTAATCTTGCCCAGCCTACGTCTTTTCATCAGACGCCGCGGAATCCAGCCTGATTCGGACTGAAATCCAGCAAATGCAGGCGTTGGCGGGCAAGACACTCGCCTCTCTGACTTTGTTGGATGGGCCAGATTCGCTGCCGCCTGGCTGTGCCGTCTTCCAGATCTCGACACATACCACCGTGTACCTGGATGTTGGCAGCCAGGTTGATGCGTCGTCCTTGGTCGAGAAGACCGAGTCGAAGCTGGTTAAAATCACCGACGCAGCGGCGCGGCAGCGCAAGCTGATGGGAGCCGAAGGTTGGAGCGACAAGGTCAGCGATGCCGTGAAGGATGCGGAGGAAGAAAAGCTGTCTGTCCTGGATGCCCAGGTGAAGAGTCTGGCCTCGAGCATCGAGCAGTTTAAGCGGTTGACGCTTAATTCGTAGAAGACCTGGGTCTCGTTTTTAGTGAACCTGGGTAAAATTTCTGTCTGAGACTGTACCACATATGCATTGTCGTCGCCATTCTCATCCCCCTTGTCATCGCCATTGCTGTCGCCGTCGATACAATACTTACCTAATCATTCACTGTAGATCCTTGAACTTAATTATTAGGCAGCTGCAGGGTATCCCTTCCAAGTCTCGGCATATTTAGGCGAGATGCAGTACCTACACGCGCGCTAAATGCTCAGCTTTCCTGCTGCGACGCGTAAAATTGAATTGATAGTTCTACCCGGCGCGTTTAGGACATCCACACATCCATTTCAAGCAACCGGCAAATTGGAAGCGGAAAAGATCTGTTATATTGTCCTTCTTGTCGGCACACAATACACGCTAGATCGCTGGCCTCCCCGGTCGCCAAGTACGGGCCGGCATCTACCTGGTACTTGGACACCACCGTCGCTCGGCTTCATTTTGGCAGAGCCTCTCCCTATCGGATGAGCTGTGGCCTCGAATGAAGCTGGTCTTGTCAACAAAATATTTTCTATTCGCTCCTTTAGCTCTATCATTGTTGACAACACATCATCTTTCTTTATCTGCTCCTCTCGTGGCAAGGCCATGGCGAGCAGCGTATCCGTGGGGTTGCCACCACCCACAGCCCAAGGCGAGGGCGTCTTGACAATGTCGGCTGGGGGACAAAACACGAGGGAGAATGGGATTGAGAACGAGAGCGAGAGCGAGGATTACCTGAGCAATCTATCAGACCTGAACACTCTATCAGACCCCTCAAGCGACATGAGCATCCCAAATGTTCGGCCAGCTGAGAAGGATGGTTCAGTTGATGCTGCAGTTGATGCTTCAACTGAGGGCGGCTCAACTGCCCGCCCGGTATTCAAGATGAGGAGAACAGGCCGCATCGGTCTTCTCCAACCGTCATCATCTCTACACAACTCAATTCCAACACAGCACGAATTCTCCTTTCCCAAGTCTGCTCATTCATCTCAAAGCAAGCAAGCCAGAGACGGCCGTGCCGGCGAGGAACCGGAACCCGCAATGGTCACAAGTGACATTGTGCTTCTTGCAGCTGCGTCTGTCCCCGCACAAGACGGTCAGGATCATCCGCCTGCCGGCTCCAAAGGTTCATCGATGTCTGTAGCGGAAAAGTCACCAACAGGGAAACAGCCACAGGCTAGCGCTGGCCCCGCCGACGAGGATGAGGAAGCCAAGAAGCAGAGAAGGATTGAACGTCTGCGAGTCCAGATGAAGGGTAGGCTACGACGAACCATGACTCAGACTAACTGCAGATGCTGATATTTTGTTCCTAGAGAGATGGGCTTCCGGGAGCATGGATCATGTGGTCGCGAAGAGACAGGCGACGTTGAAGAAACGGAAATCAGCTCCGTTACTGACTGAAGAAGCGCAGCGGACGCCCAAGAGACGACGTGTCGTCCCGGATCGGAATCTAGATGTCGGCCAACGGTCGGCCCAATCTGAACCCGGCAGCACAGTCGCCCCGTCGAACGCCGCTTCGTCGAGCTTGGTCTCGGAGGACAAGACGGCCAGCGGCCCTTCTACTCGTAGGCTCCGGCGCTCGTCAAACCCCGTTGTGGGAAACGCCCACGAATTGTGGGAATATATTCGACCTCACCTGGTCGTGTATAAGAAACCTGAGTTGCCCCCGTCAAGAACGGTTCGTCGACTGATCGTTCTTCCCTGGATCCGGGACATTCATTGGAACCATGACCTTGTTGACAAACACCCCTTCAAGGACCTCAGAGTCAAGGACATTACAGCAATGATCATTCAACTGACCGGAGAAGAAGCGCCACAACCCTGCAACAGATGCGCAAAGGGCCGCGGGCCTTTCAAAGGGTGTGTCATGGTCTCCCTGGAAGCGTCGGAGAAAGATGTGGCTACCACGGTGAGCTGTGCCAACTGCATCTACCATTTCAATGGTAACTTGTGCAGCCACCGGGCCTGGGGTCGTGAGCGGCAGAATAAAGGTGGTATCGCCCATGATCCAGGTGCTGAGGATCATGGTGTGGAGGAACAAGACGAATCGGACGGAGATGGTGATGCTGACATCGAGGATGGAGATAGCCTCGCTCCATCTCAGCTTGCCAAGGGAAGCAAGGGGCGTCGCTGGAAGGAGTCTTCGGCCCGCGACGTTGATGCGAAGGCAGCTACACGACCTGACGTACCCGTCATAGAGACGGCCCCGTCTGGCAGACCGTACGCCATGTGGCCCGGTAAGTCGAGGGGCCAGACCGACTCTCTCCTATTAATCGTCAATACCCCCCTTAATAAACGCATGCTGACTTTTGTTCCAGATGATTCGGGGAAACTCGAGATGATGCGTGGTGCTCTTCTCCCCGATGGCTACGAGCTGGACTACACAATGCCGGGCAGGCCTTGGATTTGTCCGGTTGACGTCTGCCGTCGAGTGTTCATGACCCAACATATTCTAAGCTTCCACTTTTCTGTCAGTTCTCCCCCCTTCCCGCACAGATGGATATCCCCCGGCCGGCGTGCTGACCACTGATGTATAGCGTGTGCACTATGCGAGTCTGCTGAATGACAACGGTGACGCCACATTTACAGTCATGGGACAATACGACGTAAAGAAAGTAGCCGGTGGTGGCAGGTTTCTTTCGGAAACGCCGTCGCTCCCGGTTGTCACATCTAGGAACGCGCGTGGGGACGCGAGCCTTGGCCAGCTTCAACCCAGACTTCCCAAATACCTCGAGCGCGATGCAGTGTCGTCTCCTCAACTTGACCCAGCGCCTTCACCGGAGGAGGTAGTGGAGGTAGGGGATCCAGACGAGTCGGAAGACGAGGAAGCTGAAGACGAGGAAGTTGAAGACGGGTCAAGCCCGCCTCGAAGATCCGGTAGACTCATCCACAACGTGCACCAGTCCGGGAATGGAAACGGGAACGGGAATGGAGTCGCGAAGTTGTCTAGGGCTCCCGAGGGTGACAATTCGTCCGGCTTGGTAGGACCGCGACTGAGATCACGCTCATCCGGCCGAGGTCTTGTGAACGGGACTAACCCCACAGGAACATCGACTGCCCTGATATCCGCCGGTCAAATCCAGTCCGCTGTCGAGATGCTAGAGATGGAAGAATGGGAGATCGCCCCAGGCCGCATCCGTGCCGAGGCGTCTGACACCCCTGACAGTAAGTCGTCGTCGTCCCAACCTCCCCATTCGAAGTAAACAAGGCGAGGTGCGCAGTTAACTAACCACTTTTTTTCTTCACCCCCTCCCCCCACAGACGTCGCCCTATCCAACGCCTACCTGACGGCCAACCAGAGCGTGCCGATCTGCAGCGGGCTCTCGTTCCGGGTCGACGTGGTGCGCCCGGGGGCGACGCACCGGCTCGAGGCGGCCGACGGCGAGACGACGCTGGTGTGCTCGGTCGCGGGCGGCAAAGTCCGGGTGCGGATCGATGGCGAGCCCGACTTCGCCATCGGGCCCCACGGCCTGTTCAAGGTCCGGCCCGGCGCGGCGTGCTCGGTGCAGAACCGGCTCTACGTCGACGCCGTGCTGCACGTCACCTCGCTGGCCGAGTTTGGTTGAGTGTCTGTCTCTCTCTGCTTCTGCTTGGGTGCAGGGGCCTTCTGGGTACTGCGCTTTCCCCCCCCACCTTGCTGTGCGCCAGTTTGTTGGTCTGGCGTGACGGTCTGTCTTTATGTGATGTATTCGGCGTCCTCGGGGGGCTTGTATTAGATTATGTTGGTTGTGTTTGGTAGCTGCTTCGGCTGCCCCGTTTGGCAAGGTGTAGAACGGATGGAAGCAATTCCTGTCAACCCATTGGCCTTTATTCTTGGGGGTTTCTAATAACAACGAGGCCACGGCACTCGAGAGATACAACGCAGTGGGGGCTGGAGCGGGATATTCGCAGAGCCCCCCGATGAGTTGGATGGATCGTCTCTCCAAAGCGGGAGCTTGACGAGATGTAAATGATTAGTGTACCGAATATTGAACCCCTTAACTGTGCCAGATGGCCTCGCCCTTTGCAGGCCTATTAGGAACGATCCCTTTATGCATTGTTAGTGAAGAGCAACGAATGCTGTCTGAAACTACGCCATCTTTATCTCTTCATCTCTTACCAGTCTGGCTCTGGGCCTAGATGATGATCTCAACCGGCGTTCCAAGACTAGTTAAACGCCATCGCTAGGTACCGTAGAAGCACCGTAAGCACAGCATATCGCGCTGGGTCTGGGTCCGCGGGCCCGACGGCACCTAGATTAGCGACTGCGTATTCCACAAATTCACGACTGAAAAGGTGGGAGTCTCGATTACGTCGTGCAAGTACTGCCTCGAGGGAAAATTCGACAGGTAGACAGGTCTAATATGTGAAGAAACAGGGCGGCAAACCTGGAAAACTAATGACGAATATTTGATTTTAGATTCTAAATGCTAGAGTAATGGTCTGGAGGATGGGGGATTGGAGATATTATAATATGACACTACACAATACTACATCGCAAGGCGTACCAACAGAGGCATAATGACGGGTGTGGCCACATGTCAGAGTTGAGGAGCAATGGAAGTAAGGTATGCAGATTTCAATTCTAGGAGTCAATGAGATACATGAATTCCTAGTTACAAGCTTCGCTCCGAACAAGCAGAAATAAACAATGGTTGGTCTAAGGCTGAGGACGACTGAGAAAGGACTGAGACTTTACTACGGTCTTCAACCCTGGGACTGAGTCCATCCCAAATTTTCTTTTAGTTGAAGTCAAACTGGTATAACCTGAATGTAGAAATTGGCATTCCAAAGGGCAGGCTTTGATACCAGGACTTCCACGCGTCACATCAACCATGCCAACCCCAGTGGCTTTCCCAACATGAAGTGACCTCCGTTGTGCAATTTTGGGAAGCACACCTTTATACATGATGTCCTTTCCCCTGAATAGCTTTGTTATGCCATTAGAAACATGGTTGACCAGGACAAGACTGCACCGCGTGCGGCTTTGTTGTGTATGGACTCAAACCCCCCTTGTGGCTCGTTGAGTATCGTCACAACTCAAGCCGCCTGCGGCTTGTTTACCACTTTGACGACTCAGCAATTGCGGCTTGGATTAAAACCCTCAGTGGCTCAGCGAGCCCTGAGATAGAAAAGCCCTAATGAAGGTTGGAAATTCAATATCCGACTGAAATATTTTCCCACCCTCACCACTCCAACCTCCTCACCCAACTTGTATGCGGGTGACGGGGGGAATTGCTTCTCAACTTGCTACCTCGTCCCTTGAATCTAATTACACCTCATCAAGTCAAGAGTAATCAAATATCGTTAGACAAAAGGTTTGTGCCGACCTTGGCGGCGCTGCGGCTCTCCCTCACCTTTTCTGTCCACGAACTAACCCCGAACGCCCAGCCAAACAGGTATCATGGCGGACCAGCAAGAGAGCATCAAGACTCCGTCAACGAATGGCAAGGCTTCGTCAGCAGATGGCCAAGATGCTTCGATGAATGGTCAAGAGCAGGCTTCGCCAACGGATGACCAGGCTGTTGCGCCACCTGATGGCCAGGATGCGTCGACGGTTGTCCAAAAACCGAAAGAACCCATGGCTCTACTTGGCTTGCCCCAGGAGGTCCGCAACTTGATCTGGGAAGCCGCCGTCCATGATTTGCCCCGGGTAACCGGGCTCCTGAACACATGCCGCCAGATCACCTTCGAGGTGATGGCCGTCATATTCCCCACCCGCCGACCAGGAGCCAAGATCATGCTCGACGTGGACATCCCACGCGCCATCAACGACAAGTGGCCGCTGGTTCGGGCCCGATCGCTCGACGGCCGGATGGCCGCCCCCTGGGTCGTGAACGGCCCCAACGACGTGACGCTCCCGTATCTGCGGGAGACGACCATCCAGGACATGACCATCAGTCTGTGTCCCCCGCAGGTGGGCAACTCGTATGACCTCTACCGCACCCTGGTCAACATCGAGAACATGTTCGTCGTCCTGAGCGGCATATTGATCAGCCACATCACCGTCGAGATCTACTGGATGCCCGACGTCACCGATGCCAAGCCCGAGAACAGCACCGGGTCCTGGCCCTTGGACGTCAAGGTCGACCTCGCCGTCAAGGGCGTGCCCATCCGCCGCACCGTGATGGAAGTCCTGCTCTCCCCCTTCGAGGCCCTCTGGGCCAAGACCGACGTGACCGTCGCCGGCATCGGGGAGTCTTGGATGGACAACCGCGACTTCATGCGCACCCGCTCGGCCCTGGCGAAGGCGCACGTCGACAACAGCGGCCGTGCCGGACTGGTCAAGGTCCACGAGGAGGTGAAGAATTTCATCCGGGAAGCGTCGTAAGTTGGTTGGCTGAACACAGCCATGGCAATGGCACGGGATTGGATTGCCTCTCACCCCCGGGGCGTCAAGATTTGCGATTTCGACGGCGGGTAGACTCTGGATCGAGCGAGAAACAGAGTTAACTGGCGCAGAATGGCGTTTCATGGGAAATAGACTTCTCTTTCAGTAATGGAATGTTATACATCTGCAAGTCTCTAAAGTGGTGATTGTATGGGTGTCGACGCATTTTGAGTATGGTCTTGCGGCACTAAACCAAAGTCAACTTCCCAGTCTATCTTCGTTCTAATAACCCAATTACCCAAATTCCTTCCCAGAGAGTCGCCTGAGCAACACCTTGGCAATGTTTATAAGTCGATCAGTAAAGCGGCGAGAGGGTGAATGGCGGGGTTTCTCGATGACGTGGGACCACGAGATCATCATCTGATCGGGAATGCGATGGGACACATTTTCCTCGGGAAAGATAAATATCAGCGGTCCCTCGCCTATATATTCCCTGCTGTCTCCTGCATATCACACAAGCAAGCACACACACGCCCACACACACACACACACATATATACACACATACACACACACACATACAATCGTAAGTTCCTATATCACCACCAAAGCCAGTCAGCCACACCTCCACAAACCTAACACCCTGACAGCCAAAACTGCCCACCCAAACACCTAGCAACAATGCCCTCCACCACCCAGAACCCACCGCCACAGCTCCAGCCCAAGAAGCAACAGCCCACCCCCCACAGCGCCGCCGACGCCGAGCGCGCCATGAGCAGCACGGCGGCGTGGAAGCCGTCTCCCAACCGGCGGCAGAGCTGGGACAAGGAGGAGCTGAAGCACGACCTGCAGATGAGCCGGGTGGGAAACGTCGGGGCGGGGCAGCCGGGGTTCACGGAGAAGGGGTGAGTGCCAGGCCTGGTCTTTGGGTTGCGGATGGACATGGAACGTTTGAGAAGTGGGCATTTATGGGCGGCCAGCCGGGAGAGGACGGGAAAAGGGGGGAGGGGCGGAAGGGGGTTTCCGATAATCATGGAGCCGGGTTGACGAGCAGGGGATGCCCTAGAATGGTGAATTGAGGGCTCTCCCTCGGGAGAAGGGCTGCGGTGTCCTGCGTAGCTACGAGGTCATGGGCACGACAGTCTGGAAATGGATGGATCGATGGCCTTGGTTCTCGAACCCGGCTAGGTTAATTAACTCGTTGAGTTGATTTGGAGCTTCAATTGATCAGAGTGTTCTCTTCCTTATGACCCAATGACATGATGATGACCCTGGTGATGCAGACGTGGTGCTGCGTCAACGCCTACGGAAGGAGAGGGGAATGGTCCCATGCAAATATGTAAACACCATCGTGTCCAGATCCCAAAAAAGAAACCATTGCTCCCCCCCGGGTATGGGCCTCGAATATCCCCTGTGATGATGAATTCCAAAAATAAAAATAAAAAATACCACTTGTTCCAGCCAATGCAAAACGAATGTGGTCTGGCTGTTGTAAAAAACCAGAGGCTGGAAAAAGGAAGGCGGGCGTCAAGCCTCAAACCCTCATAAGCCCCTCGGCCCCTTCCCATCAACTCCGCCAGTCTTGAAATACTCGCCCATCACCCCAAGGGCATACGATATGCCGGCAACCCACGCGGCCCCAACGACGATTCGCTTCGGCAGCTTCCTCTTGGGTTTGCCCTCCGGCTCCGTCTTCGAGCCGCTGAACACGGGCTCCTCACGCCGGACATCAATGCCCGAGACGAAGCGCGGAGCTGCCTCCGAGGGCGACTCCCTGAGTGGCGGGAGGTCGTAGTTGACGAAACCCGTCGGGCTGGCAAACCTGCTCGTAACGGGGCTGGGGAACTCGCGCAGGCCACCTGTCATGTCGATGGGGTTGATGGACGGCGCCGACATCTCCTGCTGCATCGGTTCGGCCGTTGCTGGTCGGACTTTGCGGAACACGAGGACATCACCGCTACCGGACACAATCTCGAAACCCTCGGCCTGCAGGGGACCGAAGTGCGGGAAGAATTTGGCGGGGTTGGACAGACGGAGAAGAACCTCGGCCGGGGTCAGAGGGGACGCACTGTCGGAAACGATGGACGTTGTCTCGGCAATGTCTATTGCCTGCATCGTGGGATCGTAGGCGAGAATCTTATACAGCGTCGGCTCGGGCGCTGCCGTGTCGACGGATCCGGTCCTGTCAGTCTCGGTTATTCCAGTCGTCGACTCCGGCTTGGCCTCGACGCTGCCGTAATTTCTAACGTAGGTGGGCCAAGTCGATTGCCCAGCGCATTCCTTGGAATACGACGTCTCCAACCCCTGTGGCTTCTTCGAATACGGGTCAAGTAGGGCTTTTTGGAAGGCTGCCTGCCTCGAAAATGGCCGGCTGCGCTCCTGCTGTCGGTCTAGGGCCGGTTGGAGTGCTGCGCGGGTGTCGAAAGACGCTCCTTCGACTTGTTCCCTCTCTGCTTTTTGGATTTGCCTCTCCACCGAAGACCCGAGCGACTTGGTGGCCACCGGGAAACACGGGGCCATATCTGTCATGTCTTTTGGGAGGAGGCCAGCATTTGATGCTGTGTCGGCGCCCCACGACCTTGCGAATTCCTCAGGGAAATCTCGAACATAGTTGCCAGTCAGCTTCCTCTCGGGTTCTGTCTTCAGCTTCGATTCCCTCAGTGCAGAAAGGGCCTGCGAGTCGATTGCGTCTGAGCTTGTAGCATGTCGAGTCATCGATGATTCCAACATGTTGCGGTGGTTCGTCTTTTCTTCTGGCGTCTCGCTGGAGGATTGCACGATACCAGCCGCGGCTCTAACGTCACTTGCTCGTAAGAGGTCCAAATCTTCGGCCTTCTCCTGTTCTGAGACATATCCTGCCGGGTAAGTCCGAGCGATGACAGGCTTTGAGTGCTGCTCGCCTGAGATCGAGCTGAGCTCAAACTCCTCGAGGCTCTGGGCAGTAAAATCATCTTCCGTCGCTGGTTGGCCGTCGGGCTCGTTCCACCTTACAGCCTCGTATCTTCTCAGCTCAGCCGGATCAGGGCTCTCCCTGAGCTCCGTCGGTGGTTTTCCATCAGGCTCGTTGTGGCGCACAGCCTGGTATTTTTTGAGTTCGCCAGCGGGTGCCTCTTCGGATCCTTGCTTCGCTTCGAGTGGGGGCTTGCCGTCTGGTTCATTGTACATGAACGGCCTGTATTGCTGCAATTCCTTGGGATCATACTCGTTCCCTTCTTCGACATAGCCAGGAGGCTTCCCATCGGGCTCGTTGTACATGAATGGTTGGTACTTCGCGAGTTCCGCAGGATCATATTCGTTGGTCTCCTCAGCCATTGGCGGCTTTCCATCAGGCTCGTTGTATCTGACCGCTCCGTATTGCTGCAGCTCGGCGGGGTCATAGCTGCTGCCCTCTTCGGCGGTCATGGGCAATTTTCCGTCGGGCTCGTTGTACCTGAATGCTTGATACTTGCTCAGCTCTGCAGGGTCAACTTCCGCCTCTTGGTGGTTCGCCGGTTTTCCGTCTGGTTCGTTGTACCGGACCGGCTGGTACTTCTCCAACTCCGGCATTGGTGCCTGCTCTTCAACCAAGGGCTTGCCGTCCGGTTCCTGATATTTGAATGCGCCGTACTTGTCAAGATCTTCATAGATCTGGGCGGGCTCATGTTGGGTTCCTTCGCACTCGTCTACCACCACTGGTTTGTACTTGTGTAAGTCGTCATACTTGGGCGCTCGTGTCTGGGTGGCCGCATTCTCATTATGCATAAAGGGCTTGTATTTATCCAGGTCTTCGTATCCGAAATATTCTGGGTTGAGTGACCAGGTCCGAGTTTCCACTTTATCCTGAAGAACGGTGCTGGGAGAGGGGACGATGCCATCACTCCGATGCCAGGATATGCCCTTGTGCTTCCAACTCAGTGACCCATCTTCATGGTTTCGTACATATTCCTCGCTCTCAAGAACAGGTTGCCGGTTTGAACTGGTGAAAGGTTCCTGCTCGGTTGTAACTTGGATCTGAATTGGATCCCAAGGCTCGGGGTCGAGATCGAGATGAAGTTGATCATACTTCTGCAGCTCTGCTTCCGGCGGAGGGCCGTCGTAGAAGATGGGCGCTTGTGCTCCACCAATCCTGGACGCGCCGTAGGCCGTGAACTGTGACCTGTGGGATTTGAAGAATTCCTTGCCGGGGGTTGGATATAGCGGATCAGAGGGCGTTCTCGGCCGCTTCCGGTTGGTAATCGGGTCGATTATGTATTCCTCCTGGGCCGCGTACGTGGAGCTGTTGTTGCCTGAAAGGGTACTCGATGATCGTGCCGGTGAGGCTTTCTGAAAGGGGGAGCCAAATGGGTCACTGTCGCCAAAGAGAAAATGCGCCATTGGTCCCCGCTCAACATCCTCAATGTTCCGTCCAGGGCGTGCGCCTGTAGGATTGTCCGGGGTCTTCCGAGGCGCATCCTGGTTCACATATCTGCGCCCGGGCCGGGGGTCTTTCAGGGGATGCCAGCAGTCATGGACCATCCGTTTGAAGGCAGCCTTTGCATCCTCTGCAAGAGGATGCTTGTCGCCCAAAAGCCGCCGGTTCAGAGTCTCAGCGTACTTATAGCGGAGCTTGCGATTGCGGCGGCAGGTGTCGCGATGAAACTCCGAGTCGAGATGCGATGACCAGATACGCCCGAAACGGAAACCGCGGACCAGTTGTTGTCGGTGCCGGATCAAGGCACTACTCGAAGAGCCAAGGGCCCCTAGAGCACTGACTCTCGCGCACCGGGCGCGGGCAGTGAGTTGGGAGGCGGTGGTCAGCATCATGGAGGATAGATCGATATGACCAGCAGCATGTCTCTCGCTTGACTACCGAGTATCCTACAACGCGAACGATTAGAACCATATCGCCAGAGGCACCGGGCCAGGCAGTAGGAAGCAAGCAAAACGGGGTCATTGGGGACCTACAAATCCAAGGGGCATCGGTCTGCAATAGAGCGATCTCATAGATGGGGATGATGCTGTGGGTGGTCGTCGTCTGGCTCGACTTACACGCAAGGCGGGACTCGCGGGAGAGAGTTGAAGCAGGATGTGGAATAATGTGAAGCCGTAAGACCAGATCACAGGATGGTTGAGAAGGAAAAGAACAAGTGACAGGTGAGACAGAGCAGGAGATAGGTTCCTCATTGGGAGTGCCTGACGACAAGCACAACGGCCATTGAGTGGGGATGTTGGGGCCTGGGGTTGGATGGGGGTGCGGACCCTTGCTGGCTCCCAACCTATCAGCGCCTCTGGCGTGCCACCCTGCCTTGATCTCCATGCGGGGTAATTGGGATAAGCCTAAAAAGCCCCCGAGAAATCCCGGAGCCGATGGAAAGCCTTTAGCCCAATAGGCACTTGATTTCTATGTACGCATACTTACTGCATTATTAGACTTCGAGCTTGTTGATAACACATGTCTGGGCAACCTGAGTGTCTACTGTGGACTTCGCAGTGAGTGCGTGGCGGAATCCAAATCTCGCCGAGAAGGAAACGTACTTTAGATCGTGTGACGTCCTCATACTTACAGCCAATGGCAAGGCCAGGATTAATGTTAAGCCGCGCTCTTGGCAATTGGTTTTAGGTCGGGCCGGCGAACGTATCTTCGGTACTTAGGTACATACCAAGCCATCCACTACGTCATTTCTAGACCCTTTCGCCGAATGACTGTGTCGCCGATGCCCCGCATCACGTGCTATCATCAATTTTGGAACAATGGGATATGTCTACTAAGCTACTTTTACTGCTTGAGAATGTTTGCGACAACATCGGGAGGGATCGACCACATCATGAGCAAGCAAGGGAAGGCGCGTGCCGCTGGCGGGAAGGGCTTCGGCGTCAGCTCCCCTCGCCCCAACTTTGGAGGCTTCGCGACTTTATCGAGTAGCCTCTCCTACGTCTCCAAACCGCCCGACTTCTCAGCTATCTCCGATGCCAACGTGGTCGTGTCGCTGAAGAACTTGCTGAAGAAAGATAGCGTCACGAAAGCGAAAGCTCTCGAGGACCTTGTTTCTTATGCCCGGGCCCATCCGTACGACCAAGATGGTGGCCCAGAAGAAGCCGTCCTGGAAGCATGGGTATGCCCGATTCTCAACCTTTTTGGCCCTGAAACGACTAGCTAAGCTCCCCTCCAAGGTCCAATTGTACCCCCGCACATCGATCGACAATTCCCGCCGAGTTCGCGAGCTGTCACATGTTCTCCAGCTCGAATTGATGAAGTCGGCCCGCAAGCGAATGGAGAAGTATATCCCTAGGGTTGTTGGAGCTTGGTTGGCCGGCACTTTCGACAGAGACCGCGTTGTCTCTCGCGCTGCGAGCGACGGCCTGTCTTCCTTCTTGAAGACAGATGAAAAAACGATCCAGTTCTGGCGCAAGTGCCACGTCCAGATTCTCGACTATGCGTCCGAGGCGATCCGGGAGACACCAGACAGTCTGAGTGACGAGCGGTCCACGACGAAGGAGGATGCCGAGGCAAAATACTATCGTGTCATTGGTGGCAGCCTGTCTCTCATTATAAATCTGCTCCAGAAGGTGGATATCGAGAAGAGTCGGGACCAAATCGAGCAATTCTTGGCAGTGGACGCAACCTGGGCGTGCGTGACCGCTGAAGATTCCTCTGTTAGGAGAGCTGTCTACCAGCTTGCCCAAGTGTGCCTCCAGGACTACCCCGGCTTGTTGTCTTCGCAACTCCCTAAGGTTGGGAAGGCCTTGACATCGGAGGCGCTCAAATCCAGGCAGACAGGCTCTGCGGGGGATCTCGTCCGAGTCTTGACCAACCTCACTAAGCGCCATCCGGAGGTCTGGGGTACCAAGAAGCAGCCGTTACCTCGACTGCAACGGCTGGTGGAGAAAGGCTCTCAGGGCGGTTCTTGGGCTTTCTGGCAGGACTTGAGTCGGTTAATCGCCGTTCTCCCTCAGGATAATGTCCCTTTTGAAGCGGCGACAGGTTTCATGAAGGCTCTGAGACTTGGTATTTCGAGCAGGGAAGAACCCAGATCCCATGCGCCTTATTCGTGGACATGTTATATCGGCACTCTCCAGCATTTACTGCGCCTATTGGCCCCTGTGGACTCTCGTACCGAGTTTATCAAGGACAACTTTTATCCGCTCACCGATCAATACCTATTCCCGACTGCGGACAAGTCATCATGGACTGGTGGGGGCCAATTAAGAATCCTTTGCCAAGGATGGACCAGTTTGGCATCTCATCCAGATGCATCCATACGGCAATCCGCCGCAGACGAGTGGCAAAGATTGGGCGAAACGCTTGTATCCAGGATGGCGAATTCTTTGCCAGAGGTATCCCAGGACTTCCAAAAGTCACAACAGGGCGTAGCAGACGAAGGCACTCGATGGTTTGCCTTGGTAGGGGCGGTTCTTGAGCATATCAACGGGACGACGAAGGGACCAGAAGACACTCCCAGCCCACTCCAATCCACTGTCCTTGAGGCATCCGACAAGGTTCTCCACGGGGCTCTCGACCTTCTTGTCAAGAGGAACTTCAAACCGTTCGGTGCAGCATTGATTCTTCAATCTGCACTCAAGAAATCACCGAACCTGTTCCGGGACAGAAATGGCGATATTTTATCGTCTCTATTCCTTCCTGCCCGTCCGGAAGAGCTGAAAACTCTACTAGGATCACCGTCTGCACCGTTCCTGGTCGAATCTGTCACCTTGCTTGGAGCTATCCCCGAGCAGCGAGAGCGGTACGAGGCCATCTGGAATGCGATCGTACAGTTCTTGATATGCTCCGATTCTTTGGAATCCGACAATCTAATGGCGTCACTCATCTCGAGTGAGGCGGCAAAGCCACTCGCACAGAGGGATGAGGGCGTCCAGAAGTTCCTGATCACCAGATGTTTCCTAAGTGCAAAGGGAGATGTCGAAGCCTGGAATCTTTTCGAGGTTGCCCTGACATTCAGCGTGATCAAGGACTCCCACCTCCGGGCGTTGACTTCCAGGATCGTACAGCTCCTAGGAAGCCCGCAACAGCCCCAAGAGACAGTTTTCAGAGGCCTCGAAATCATCATGCAGAAGGCACCATCTCTACTATCTCAGACCTCGGACTTGCATGTCGATCTTGTCGCAAAGTTGCTGGCATTGACAGAGATATCGTCTCAGAGTATCGCAGACAGAGCAATATCTCTACGCAGCCTGCTCGATAAGCAGGTTGACGGACAATCACCGATGGTCGGAATCATACAGCAGAACTTAGACAATGCTGGGATCGCATCACTAGGGTACGTCTTACCGGACACATCCCCTCCCCCTTTCTACCTTGGAAAGCCAATACTGACGTGCGGATGCTCAGCATTGACACCCTCGTTGAGCAAGCAACTTCTGTCTTCGCCTCGAAATGCGTGCCTCTCGAGCAGCTGTTTCCGAACACGAATATCTGGATGGAAGAGCTCTCGCTCTTTCTGCAAGATCCACCCAATCCCGCCCTCTCAGTGACCAGCAATCTGGCTGGAGCTTACTTCTTAGCGAAGAAGATACCTACGCCAAGAGGGCACAAGCCAAGACGAGATCGGCAGGGCCTATCGATTCCAGCCCGCATGGCCGCGTATACGGCGAGAGTATTTGGTGCCGGATTCGACCTCTCCTCACTTCCGCAGGAGCTCAAGGTTGAGCTTTTGTTCTTGCTATACCTCGTTGTTGAGGTTGCATCTGACCAGTTGACGCTTATGGAGGACGGCAGGCTCTGGGGGACCGTCGCCGACGAGCGCACTGCAACTGATCTGGAGGATTTCGTTACATCGGCAAGAAAGATCCTCCAGACCACCGTCACAGATGCGAAGGGTTGGGGAGATGGAACAACGGGCGGACAAAGCCTGGTGGACGATCTCATCGCGATTGCTCTTCAGCAAACAAAGGACCTAAGTCCCATGGCGCTGTACAGTGCCAAGGCTCTTAGCGATCTATTGCAGGCCATGACGGAAGCCCATGGCCTCCCATCGGCCGTAGAGCAAAGGTTTATCAAGCTTGACGTGATGAAAGCGACGCCATCCACCGTCTTTGGCGCCATTGCCTTTCTCACGGGCTTCGGCGAGGCGTTGGCTACATCCAAGACAGTCAATAGGCTGTGCAACGGCCTCGTTAGTGACATCACGGGTGCCTTTCCGACGTCGGAGAGGGCGCTCCTGGCTATAGTGCTCCTCAATTCCTGCGTCTCCGTCTACGAAGTTGGTGAGCTGCCGGTCGAGAGCCGCAGGCAAGTCTTCGCCGTCAGGCAGATAACGACATGGACCGACACGCCGGACGAGATGGATGCCAGGCTTGCTGCAGAGTCGTGCAGAGCTTTGCAGCGGCTTTTCCCGAGCCTCGAATCGATATATGGTCCGTATTGGGAGCAGGCGATCGAGTACTGCATCCATCTCTGGGACAAAGCCGTCGAGGATCCGCTCGAAGCCCGACTTCCGTATCTTCAGGCATCGCTCAAGCTGTCGGCAACTCTGGAGTCCATGGCCGGCGCCAACGACGACCTGGATGAAGCACTATCAACCCATGCAGAGCGCAAATCCTCGGCTTTGATCGAGCTATTGACCATTCCACGAGACGTCGGCAATCAGCCGTCCGAGATCGTGGATGCGCTCCTCTGCAGACGCATTGGGAAGATACCACTTGAGCACGTCAAGGATATTTCCAACCTATATGGGTTAATAGCTTCCGAGTCTCGGGAAGTCCAGACTGCTGCGTTTGGTCTCCTGGATAGGGCTCTTCCGGCGGCCCAGCAACAGCTCTCGGTCGACGTCCTCTTGGACAAGAGAGGTAAGCGCCGTCTCATGACTGCCCATGCCGGAAATTGCTAACCCTTTTTTTCTTCCTTAGACGCGCAGCTTCCGGACGAGCTTCTCTCTCTCCTGTTAGAACCCCCGACGTTGGAGAGTTATCCCGATGACCTTCTCGTCCATTTCCCGACGCCGGTCCGCTCGTACCTCCTGACATGGCTTCTCATATTCGATACATACCGAGAAGCTGCTTTCAAGCTTCGCGCTGACTACACCAACAACCTGAGCGCATCCAACTCGGTGGGGCCATTGATGGAGTTCATGTTCGATGTGCTTGGTCATTCGGCGGCACTTTCTCTGAACCTAGACCGGGAAGGGTTCACGACCGATAATATCCGCAACTACACCATCGAGGTTGCGGACGCGGAGGCGCAGGAGCGGAACATGCAGTGGCTGCTCATCCACCTGTTCTACCTCACGCTGAAATACGTGCCCGGCCTGTTCAAGGCCTGGTTCCGCGACTGCCGGTCCAAACAGACCATAATAGCCGTCGAGGCCTGGATGACCAAGCATTTCTCGCCCCTGGTCATCTACGAGAGCCTTGAAGAGGTGAAGGACTGGGCTTCCAAGCAGGAGCCTCCGGAGCAGGACGAGAAGGAACTGCTGGTCAAGGTTAGCAAGGGAGCCAACGAGGTGACGGTCGGGTACGAAGTCGACGAGCTCCAGGCCTCGATAGCGATTCGCGTCCCGGATGCGTATCCGCTCCAACCGGTCACCGTAGCCGGCCTTAACCGGGTCGCCGTCAGCGAGAAGAAGTGGCAGAGCTGGCTGCTGGTGACCCAAGGAGTGATCACCTTCTCCGTAAGTACTTCGTTTATGAGCCATCAGACCCGCCCAAGTACTGACAACCGTGGCACCGCAGAACGGCAACATCATCGACGGGATCATCGCGTTCCGCCGGAACGTCGTCGGCGCCCTCAAGGGCCAGACCGAGTGCGCCATCTGCTACTCCATCATCTCGACAGACAAGAAGATGCCGGACAAGAAGTGCAACACGTGCAAGAACATCTTCCACCGCACCTGCCTGTACAAGTGGTTCCAGGTCAGCAGCCAGAATACGTGCCCGCTCTGCAGGAACCCGATCGATTACCTCGGGGCAGTGAGCGCATCTCGGAAGGGTGCCGGGCCGGCTGACGACGAGGCCGTGTTTGCTCGTGATGTGCACGGGTGATTTTAGCTTCCTTGAACGTCGCATATCTCATGAGATTGGAAACCGGTCATGAGGAAGGGCCCATGGCTTGTAGATGGCATGGAAATAAGCATGGCGATAGACCTAGACTTAGACCTCTGGGGCGGCGTTTGTAAAAAGAGCTAGGACATGTTGTTCGCCTTTCGCCACATGTCGATTTACATTATGAATGCAAGAGACCCAGTCGTGTGAAAGGGATATCGATTGATCCCAGCAAGACCTCCTTATCTATTTATATGGCGGAGGACCCTTGATACTGACCGAGGGGCGCGCTAACGCTGCGGCCCGCCTTGCATGGGTCAATTTCTTGGGTCCGGCTTTTCCAGCCGTCAATTCTTGATCCAACAACAGCGTACATACATCAAGACGCACGTAAGATCGATTTGATACCGGTTGTTTCTGTTGCAGCGTCTTGCTTCGGCCGTCGCTTATATTTGTGCTCCAGCCCAACTCTCGTGCACCATGGCTTCGTCAAAGAACAAGAACAACTGGAAGGACTATATCTGGCTCGCCTGGTTCTCGCTTCAAGTCCTGGTCATCATCTGTAAGTCGTGATTCCGCGTTCCATCAGCCTCCTATCGACCCGCCATAATGAAGCGGCTCTGGACGCCGGCATCTCCTTCCCCTCTCTCATCACCAACCCGCCATTAACCAACCCCCTCCCCGGCCCCGTCCAGTCGTCGACGCGGTGCCCTTCTACCCCAAGCACCTCTACGAGCCGCCCGGCAGCCCCCTACACCTCCTCCAGCGCATCCGCACCTTCTACGTGGCGACGTACAACGACCCGATCGTGCAGTGGACGCCGGCGCTCGGGCGCGACAGCTGGATCCCGCTGTTCACGCGCATCGAGATGCTCTTCCAGCTGCCCGCCGCCGCCTACGCCGTGCACCGCCTCGGCCGCCGCCGCCGCGCCGGCACCACGGGCGCCGACGAGCTGCTGTACCTCGTCTACGCGCTCGAGACGGCCCTCACCACGCTCGTGTGTCTGAACGACGTCTTGTGGTGGGACGACGTCGTGTATCCCGCGGGGCTGAAGCGCGTTTTTATCTTCCAGATTTATGGCCCGTGGTTCGCCATTCGTAAGTAGACCCCTGAACCCTTGGGAAATGGCTCTCTGACGAGAATGGTCTTAGCTGCGCTCATGTTTGTGGACATGTACTTCAGGTTACTGAGACGGGTGAATCCTGACGCGGCGGGTAATGCGGTGAAGAAGACACAGTAGAGTCCAGTGTATGCGGTAACGCAAGGGGGTTAATAATTGCCCAACAACTCCGGTTTGGGGATGGTGTTTTTACAAGCTGTATTGATAACTCCGCTGCCCAAGAAGCCCCCAAAATGTCATGCCATCCATGTGCAAGCTCGAGACCCAGTCCCGACACCCCAATTTACCTCGTCGGAGCCCCGAGAAAATATGTACAAGAAGCCCGCGAGCGGTTGATCGTAAAGTCATCAAGCCCGCGCTGCCTTCTGCGGAGCCACAACACCAACCCCCCTACCCAGCCACCCTCAGTCGAGAGCCCTCTTCTGGTATCCCCACCCATTCCCCACGCCATTCAACCCATACGCCAACGGCGTCGCGCCCCCCAGCGCCCTCCCCCTCAACCTCCTCGGCAGCACGACCCCAAAGAAGTACGCCCCAGCCATAAGCATCCCCGCCATGAACGACACAAGGCTGTAGAACACAGTACTCGCATAAATATGGCCCCCCATACCCGCCCACTCGACGCGCCCCTCCGTCTTCGGCAGCGCAGGGGTCGGGAACCACCGCACGCTGAAGCTCAACGGCAGCGGGTCGCCGATGGCCAGCCTGACGGTCCGGGCGGCGAAGACGCCGCCGGCGGACTGCAGCGGCGACGTGCTATACGCAACGGCACTGTCGATGACGCCGCTGTCGTGCGGGTGGATGTGGTGCTTGGGCACGCTGTGCAGCAGCACGTTGAGGTGGGTGCTGACGTGCATGTGGCTGAGCTGGAGGGTGCCGGAGAGGGCGAACACGAGGGGCACGTGCTCCGCGGGCTCGGGCTTGGCGCCGGCGTCCGATGGGGGAGGGCGGGCGGCGAGCCGGCACGAGAGAGGCGCGTCGCTGTGGACGTAGAACTCGAGCAGGTGGAAGAAGGGGTCGCTGACCATGGGGATCGTGCAGTTCAGCTCCGTCTCGATGCCGTAGTGGAACTCGAGCGGCTTGCCTGTCTCGTTACACACCGGGAAGGGGACCCATTGGATCTCGTGCGCTGAGTTCTCGATGTGCTCGCCTGTCTCTCTGCGATTGGGGGAGTATGTTAGCTCTGCTGTTTCTGCTGCGGCCAAGGAGGTCGGAATCGGGAGGAAACCGAGGTATGCCGGCCATGTATGCCCCATGACTCGTCATGCCAAAGCAAATATCCGGTAGGGGAGAACGTACGAGCTCCGGTTCATACACTCGATCGGGATGGGTGCCCCAAAGAAGTATGAGGGTCGAGCGATGCTATTGCTTTCTGCGCCGCGGACGCTGGTGGCAAGCAGGGCGACCGCGGCCAGAAATTGCGCTGCACGACGCATCTTTCGGTTTCCGCTTTATGTTCTCCACGCAGCGATTCTGGCATATGCCAATTGATTATGGGCCGAGCCTGGTCATGGCGTGGTGGTTTCGACGTTTCGTTTGGGGCCTGACCTTTGAAATCCGTGAGTTGGCCGTTTTTCGATTCCTCCATTTGCCCCACGTGATCCGCGAGGCCACAGGGGTATACACAGATTTCAACAACTGAGCTCACTAGGTACCCAGAACTCACGTCCCACCCGCTGTTCCCCAGTCACAAAAAGATCGGGAACTCCAAAGTAGATGCATTGAAGGCTATTCGTCGAGGGCTCCGGCTCTCGACATATATTCACCCTATTACTGCATAGTTGCCAATCTGCACATCCTTTCTACTATGCAGTAATTACAACCCCCTGAGCGACAGCAACAGCAGTGGCCGCAACAGCAGCGACAGCGGCCACAACAATGGCAGCAATAGCAGCAACAGCAAGAATTACACAACAACAACAACCAATAGCAACCACTTGTAAATAGTATCGCCGACAGCTCTTAAGATAATTGTCCAACAATAGTTTCTAAGTTGCTACGGGGTCTATGGCAGGAACCGACAACAGCCTTAACTTTGAAACCATCTGCCCCCTCCCTTACCTACCTAGCTAGTAGATAGGATCCCAAAAGCCTCGTGTGTTAAAAGTAGCTGGGGCCGTCCCGTTCTGGATTCCATGGGGATCCTGCCGCTGCCTTGCGGGCCGCGTCCTCACGAGCTCCCCTCCTCCCTTGGTTGAGGGTCGACGCTGACGAATTCCACCAGAACACGCGATCCCACTTATCTCGATCCTCTTCGATGCAGCAGGACCAGGGACTTGGCGTCTGTCCCTGCGGTCTGCGAAACCAAAGGTCGTCTAGCAAGCTGAGCCGGATGCGAATCCAAGGCGGCGCGTCCGGCTGGTCCTCTTTCTTCAGCGGCTTCACGCGCTGCGAGTCTGGATCGCGGTACTCCATCTCTTCCCGGTCCAATAGCCACACCCAAGCATTCCTCAGGAATCTATTGAACTGGGACCTCTCGGGGTAAGTCGTGGGTCTTGGCCTAATCTCTGGCAATTCAGCAGGCAGATCCTCAAGAGAACGCAGCGCAGCATCGTCAAGGACCAGGCAGTGGTCGTAGCGCACGTTGAGGCCCGAAGTGTCGACGTTGAGACCTTTGACCCACGCGACGAAAGCGCGACCCACGGGACTGAAATCCTCGCTCCCTTCTTCTCCCTCGGGGGCAGAGCGAACGGCGAGCTTGTCCGGGTAGTCCTCCACGACCTCATTCCACAATCTCTCGGCTAGGTCATCGGTCCCGTCACGGTCTCCCGGCTGCGGCATGTACTGCGGCACCCTCTTCCAAGCCCGCTCGCTCGCAAGGTTGTAGCGCGACTGCCGGACACTGAAGCGCACCCAGGCCTCTAGGCGGGCTAGCCCCGCGGCAAACCGCTCGTCGGAGCCGGGGCCGAAGACGGCGCGGTATATGGTAAAGCCCCAGACGTTGGAAGCGTAGCTGTTGTGCCGCATGGTCTGTAGATACTGGAGATCCCGCCGAGCAGGACGTGATCGCTCGAAAGACTGACGCGCAGGGTCGGAGGGGTAGCTGGGGTTCGCTACCTCTTCGGGGATGGGCCCGAAGGGGACAGAGGCAGTGGCGCTCTCGGATAACATGGTTGTTACTGGCCTCTCGGAGCGAGTAGGTGAGGTGAGGCGAGGCGAGGTGGGGTGGGAAGGTAGAGCGAGATTTATAGTTGCGTAACAAGCCGACCTAGTCCCTGCAAGCGCTGGGCAGTGCGCTTTCCGCAGCGGGCAGTACCACAGTAGGTAGAGTTTGCTCCGTGGGCAGGGGTTTAGCTCTGTGCGCTGCAGATTGCATCTGCATCACCCACTGAATACCCAGTCACCTCATCATGGCCACGATGAGCCCACAGATCACTCGCCTGATCCTCTTCTTTTGCCTTACACTTTCGGTCTTGGCCGGGAGCGGTGCGAGCCATGATGCACACCATAAACTCCACCACGCGCGAGCGAGGAACACAACATCCAGTGCCGAGGATCTGGTGAATACGGCTCTGGTCGAGCTGAGGGCTCGGAACAAAGCTCGCTTTGAGAATCCCAAGTTCAACAAGGATGAGTTTGCTCCCCGACCTCGGGAACCCCGGCCTGCCCCTCCGCTGGACTATGGTGCAACTAACTCGACCCTGCCGAGAAGGCAGTCGTCGAAGCTGGGTTCAAACTCAACAACATCTTCGTCAGGCTATTCCATACCACTGGAACTGGTCGAGGCGATGAGACTCGTTGCTGAGTCGACCCCCCCAGTCGCCGACGGGTGACCATGAGCAGGTGGCCGCCAGCATTCGCAACAAGTACGGACACAAGCTGAATGACACAAACGCCCCCAAACCCCTTCGTCCGGGGGCCGTCTCCATGGCTGGGCCCTTCCCGACGTGGTGGCGAATGCATCTGATTTCCAGAAGCGTGAGTCCGGTTACTGGATGGTGGATATGCCTCATCGTGGCGCCAGTCCGTTTGCCCCTGCGGGATACAAGGTTTGGAGAAATGTCAAGGACTACGGCGCGGTGGGGAATGGTGTCCATGATGATACGGCCGCCATCAATGCGGCCATCTCCGAGGGTGGGCGATTCGGGCCGAACTGCGGATCCAGTACAGTGTATCCTGCAGTAGTCTATTTCCCCCCGGGGACGTATCTTGTGAGCACGCCGATCGTCCAGTATTACAACACTCAGCTTCTTGGAGATGTAAGTTTCCCTTCGTGTTTACTATGTTGTCTGTCCATGGAACTCCATCTGACCCGGCTCTCTCAAGCCACTTGATCTTCCCACAATCCTAGGGGCGACGAGTTTTACAGGCGGAAGTCTCATTGCCAGCGATGTCTACGTCAGCGACACCGAGGAATGGAAAGTACCTTGATTGCCATCTTGCCGAGATCGTGGGCTGACAAATTACGAATTCAGGTATGTCAACACCAACAACTTCCTCAGAAGTGTCCGGAACTTCAAGATCGACGTGAGAAATACCGATCCATATGCCTACATTTGCGGCATTCACTGGCAGGTAAGCAATTCTGGCTGGCCCGGTTTCTGGGGAGTTTCCGCTGATTGTTTGTTCTACGTGAAGGTAGCACAAGGAACCTCTCTTGAAAATATCGAGTTTTACATGAAGTACAACTCAGATGTTTCTGGAAATACTCAGCAGGTATGTGATTCTCTCAATCCCAATCCCTTGGCGGCGGAACCAAATTGATGGCTAACACGGAAACTTTCCAGGGTATGTACATACACTCACCGTCTATTAAAGTCCCCGGTCATCTGGTGTTGAGTTGACTCGAGTTCAGGGATCTACATGGAGAATGGCTCTGGCGGCATGCTTGCAGATCTGACCTTTGTCGGAGGAAACTTTGGGTAGGTGCCTCCGTTGTCTGAGAAATAGATAATCATCGAAAAACATGGCTAACACAAAGTTGATAGAGCGTATATGGGCAATCAGCAGTTCACAACAAGCCATCTTGTTTTCGTCAATTGCGAAACAGCGGTCCAAATCCACTGGGATTGGGCATGGACCATGCAGGACTACATTATTGAGAGCTGCGGCACAGGACTGATGATAGTTGGTGGCGTACGTACTCTTGGCCCCCTTGGAGATTCATTCTCCCTCATCCAGAACTACAACTCACCCCTCCTTTCCGTAGGCGGGCGGCGCGGGTAGCACCGGGCAGGGAGTGGGATCCCTGCTTTTAGTTGACGCCATCATTGCCAATACCCCAAACGGAATTGTCACCTCCCTGGCGGCAGAAAACTCAACATCGTTCTTGCTTCAGAACGTCGGCTTTTTCAACGTCCAGACGGCAGTAAAAGACAGCTTCAAGGGCACGACATTGATCCCGGGTGGGACGCAGGTTCTCATTGACAGCTGGGGGTTTGGCCAGATCAGCGATGCAACGGGTGCTGGCGTGTTTGTCAATGGCGCCAATATCCCAGCCATGACGCGCCAACAGTCACTCCTTGGGTCTGCTTACACGAACATGAACCCGAACCTGTTCACCAGACGCCGGCCGAAATCTCACAATGTTCTGGCTAGCAAGGTCATGGATGTGAAGGCTCTTGGCGCGAAAGGGGATGGTGTTACCGACGACACGGCTGCTCTGAACGCCATTCTGGACGGAGCGGCAAACACCTCGTCTATCGTCTACTTTCCCTTTGGCGTGTATATCATCTCCGATACGCTGCGAGTCCCGGTGGGGTCCCGTATCATCGGCCAAGCGTGGTCCCAGATCATGGCCAGTGGGAGGGAAGTTTGGCGACGAGATGAACCCCCGTGTGGCTGTTCAGGTGGGAAAGCGTGGCGACATTGGAATAATCGAGATTCAAGACATGATGTTTACAGTGTCGGCCACTGCTGGCAGCACTGCTGGGGCGGTTCTCGTCGAATGGAACGTTCGCCAGTCCTCAACTGGCTCGGCGGGGATGTGGGGTAAATATCCATTCTCTTTCTTCCCTTCCTTGCATCTCCTTGCTTATTTCCTTGAAAGGCGACTGACATCGATGCCAGATTCCCATATACGCGTTGGAGGTGCCGTTGGTTCGGGTCTGCAGAAGGAACAATGCCCCAAGAAAACAGGGAGTGTCAACCAAAACTGCAAAGCTGCCTCGCTGCTCATGCATCTTACACCATCCTCCACCGCATACTTGGAAAATATCTGGATTTGGACTGCTGATCACGATATGGAGTAAGTGTTCATCCTGCCCCGATCGTTCACTCGGTTTACTAGCAAGCTGGCTGACTCGGTTATTTAGTAAAGTGACACAAGACCAAATCGACGTCTACGCTGGCCGTGGCCTTCTCATTGAGAGCGACTTGGCATGGCTGTGGGGTACCTCGGTTGAGCACTGCGTCCTGTACTAGTACCAGATCTCGCGGGCGAAAAATATCTTGATGAGCATGATCAAAACAGAATCACCTTACTTCCAGCCAGTCCCGACCGCCCCTCACCCCTTCACCACTGGCCTCTTCCCGAACGACCCACTATTCAACAACTGCGTTGGCGTGGGCTGTGCCTTCTCGTGGGCCGTCCGTATCATTGACTCGTCGACTATCTATACGTCCTTGGTAGCGGACTCTACAGTTGGTTTACCGACTACAGCCAGGACTGTCTAGCCACAGACAGCTGCCAGCAACGTGGCTTTGAGGTCGTGCAGAGCCACGACTTGTGGATATACAACCTGTGCACCAAGGCCATCATGGAAATGGTCTCACCTTTAGGCGCAACTCCGACCTGGGCCTGTGACAATGTGAATGGCTTCTTGTCTTCGATTCTCGCCTGGCTTCAGGGGGCAAACCAGAGCAGCGGGAAACGCAAATTCCCGGGCTTCCAGGTGTACACGTTGGACGACTTGGTTGAGATGATGAAGCAGAGATATCCCGATACCTGCCGGACGGCTCTGACTGAGGTTCTTGAGTGCGACGACTACGTCCGTACCTTGCTCCGCCTCGGCTACCACGGGTCTCTGCCGAACACCACTTATACCGACACCGTTTGTGACAGCGGATGTGGCGAAAGTCTAGAACGCTGGTTCGACAACGTCCAGGAATCCTGCGATGGCTTCACCCTCGACGACGGCATTGCTCCCACGTTGCTAGGCGGTCGCATGCGGACTGGTTTCGACGAGACCTGTCTAAAGGACCCACAAACGGAGCGATATTGCAATGGTAAGTTCGTCCTCCCCTCCCCCCCCAACCCCTCCAGACCGGGCATTGGCAACGAATGTGTCTCAACTAATGATGGGATGGCACACGCAGACGTCATTGCAGACTTCACAGAGGTTGAAAAAAATCTCGGACATGCCCACTGCCGAGATCTGCTCGTTTTACTACACCGAGAGAAACGCCATGATGCAACGGACTGCATACTCCCAGTATGGCAGCTTCTTTAAGCCTCGGCTGGAGTACATCAACACACGGTGCGGGAAGACCGCCAACACAACCATCCCGGCGTCGCTCGTACCCCTCCCCGACACCTCGTCGTTCTGCGTCTCGGGCCAGACATATACCACCGCTGCAGGAGAGACCTGTGATTCGATTGCCCTGGCCCTGTCACTCTCCTCTGCCGCATTGCAGATGGCCAACAATCTCCTTGTTGCGAGCTGCAATTTTATCCCGGCGGAGACAACACTATGCTTACCCCTGGGCTGCGCCAAGACCTACACCATACAACCGGACGACATCTGCTTCACGATTGAACAGAATCGCCTGAGCGGTGGGACAAGGTTCGGGGATGTGCGCAAGTTCAATCCCTGGGTGGACTGGGAGTGCAGTGACCTGGTAACGGCTAGCGACAGCACGTATGGCCATGTCATCTGCCTGTCGCCGCAGAATGGGCAGCACGAAATCACAGGGGGTGACGGGTCGACAACCACACCGCCCGCCACCGCTGGGTACAGTAGAAAGATCGCGGTTCTGCCCGAGGACGCGGTCCTCGCGCCGGGTAGCACGTGGAAGTGTGGTGTTTTTTACACGGCGATCGGGGACGATATTTGCGCCGCCATCGCCGTGGCGGACCCGACGACAATCGACATCCTGATGATGGTCAACCCTTCGCTCGGCACCGACCCCTTGACCTGCAACAGCAACATCGTCCCCGGCCTGACGTACTGCGCGCTCCCAGCATCCACCTGGAACGACATCGATATTCCCGACCCGTCGCCGACGACAACAATCACCATTGGCGGACCCGACGCCACGCCCACAGACACGTCATCCAGCGCAACACCCTCAAGCGACCCGACCGACACCCCAACCAGCCCAACCATCCCAGACCCCACCAGCACGCCCACGACCCCCGGAGCCCCAGTCCACCACGGGTGCTACACCGAGGCGCGCAACTCGCGCGCCCTCCCGGGCGCCACGACCTCGGACTTCGAACTCATGACGGTCGAGTTCTGCGACGCCTTCTGCAGCGACTTCCCGCTCTTCGGCGTCGAGTACGGCGGCGAGTGCTACTGCGGCCTCGCCCTCGGCCCGGGCTCGATGCCCACCTTCGCGTCGCAGTGCAGCCTGGCCTGCCCGGGCGACCCGGCGCAGACGTGCGGCGGCGGCGGCGGCAGGCTGGACGTCTACGGGCGGTCGGGCGATGCGCCTGCCGTCACGGTGCCGGATGACGTGCCGGCCGTGACGGGGTATGCGTACTGGGGGTGTTGGACCGAGGGGGAGGGGGTTCGTGCCTTGGACGGCGGGTCTGTTTCGGATGGTGGGGGGATGTCGGTCGAGGCGTGTTCGAGCTATTGCATCAATGGTGGGTTTGTCATGTTTGGCTTGGAGTACTCGAGCGAGTGTTGGTGCGGCGACGCTCTTGACGAGTCCAGTGTCGTTGCGATCGAGGAGGATTGCAGTATGGTCTGTAGCGAGGACCCGGCGCAGAAGTGTGGAGGTCCAAATAGATTGAGTGTATATCTTTGGTCGTGATAGAGTAGATATAATATTTGTGCTCGGGTCTGACCGCTTGGAATCTTAAATCCTTTGATAATGTTGATATATATATTGTAGAGCCACCCATGGGGGCTGGATAGACGTGGCGTATACTTCATCCTGGGGTGGTTACTGGAGCTGTTATCGGTTCAGTCATCCCCCCTTTTCACTTAACCAGTCTTCAGTACCGGTTGAGATCATCATCCAGGCCTGGAGCCGGACTAGTCAGAGATGAAGAGATGAAGCTGGCGTAGTTTTAGACAGTAATTGTTGCTCTTTACTAACAAAGCATAAAGGGATTGTTCGCAAAGGCCTGCAAAGGGCAAGGCTATCTGGCATAGTTAAGGGGTTCAATACTCGGTACACTAATCATTTACATCTTGTCAAACTCCCGCTTTAGAGAGACAGATCCATCCAACTCATCACAAGGCTTTGCGAATATCCCGCCCCAGCCCCCACTGCGTTGTATTTCCCGAGTGCCGTGGCTCATTAAGCGCGGCTTGCCCCGTGGTAGCCTTGTAATCCTCACAGGCCTGGATGGGGAGGATAAGTTGCAGAGCCGAGATGTTGTTCTGGAGAATGAACCTAGCTGGGCTGGTCAGGGGCCACGCTCGGAACGCACTCTCTGCGGGACCCCGGCCAGAAAATGGCGCTCTCCTAGTTCTCGTCATTTCAGAATCGCGTAATCAAGTGACTCCATTCAAATGTCGACCTTGATCGGCCTTCTCCGTTCGTCGTCGCGCAGCCCGCCGACCATTGAAGGATTCACCAGCAGACACCTCGCCTCCGTAGCAGGCCAGAACAGCCCGCGAACAAACTCGTGCAAAACCCGCGCGAGATTCCACACGCCACCGCCGGCGATGATAGTCCGCTCATACGCATCCTGCAACCCGTCAAAGAGCAGCCACTCCCGGCCATATCCCTCATGAACATGCCCAAACACGTGCAACGCGGGCTGAACCCTCCACAGCTCGCGCAGGAGGTGGCGGCACCCAAGGCCCAGCGAATCGAGGTGGGCGCGCGGCGGGCCATGCGTAACAAGCACATCGACGCCCCCCGGCACCACGCCGGCCCAGACATCCTCCTCCCGCGGATACTGGAACGCCCAGTTGCCGTGCCGCGCCGACCTGGGGCTGCCGTAGACGCGCAGCCGCCGCCCGTTGGCGCACACCACGGTGGCCGCCGAGTCGCGCAGGTAGACGACGTCGCCCCAGTCAAGCAGCGCGCGGGCCGCCGCCTGGCCGCCGTCGAAGTCGCGCTGCGGGTCGAGCAGCAGGTCGTGGTTGCCCGCGACGACGATCTTGTGCGGGTGCGGCTGGGCGGCGAGCCAGGCCAGCGCGGCGTGCAGTTCTTCCGGCGAGCCCGATTGCGTCAGGTCGCCGGCGTGGATCAGGACGTCGCCGTCGGGGAGGTGGGGTTGGCTGTTGTGCGTGTCCGAGATGCAGACGACGGAGATGGCGTTGGCGGGTGGCGCTGCTGGGATGGGGCGCCGGTGCGTGTAGATCTTGCGCGCGAGGAAGCTGCACGGCGCGCGCAGGAACTGTTGCAAGGCGCTTGGGCGTGGCCTGTGTAGAAGCGCGTCGAGGGCCGTGGATCGCTGCCCGAACATCATGATGGTGGGTTTTGGGAAGTTGGGGATCGAGGAAGAGGCGCTGGTACGTGCGGCTATACCTGGACGGGCTGCTAAACTGACAGCTATTCATTACGAGCTTCCTTGACTTAAAAAGCCATATCCACCACGACTCGACCACGTTATTGATTTACCTTTGGATTTTCTCATTGGAAACGTGCTGCCTAGGTATACCAGCACGGATATCGGTGCTTAGCACAAGGGACAAATCTATCCTCACATCACATAAATTTGCGTAATTAGTCTCTATTCATTTAATGCTTGGTAACTTATAGCCTTAGGCTTTCTAGAGATGCATTAGGCAACTAACTACCTTGAGGCTTGTAAGCCAATTCCTATTCTACCTAGTCAAGTTGCCTACATGTAAATCACATTTTAATTTCATTTTTGTCTCTATTGTTCTTATCGCTAAGCTAACCTCGACTAATATGATTAAGCCAACTACCCTAATAGGGCATGTAATTGTTGCCTATTGCTAACTAATTATATAAAGCAACATTCTCTCTGCTTAGGGGGGCACATTAAGACGATTTTAAGAATCCGAATTCTGCAACCTGCAAGAAAGTTCCTGCATACAGAGATTGAAAGGAGAAGTGCTGAGAATGGTTGAAGTCTAATGTCTATACAAGAGCATTGTCTACTCCAGCAACTGATATTAATAAGAAGACTTTGCTTGGTACTTTTGAATTGTCTCGTTGGACCAAGGCACGTTGGTTTTATGTCGAACGTTCTTCTTATGCCTTTGTAGAAGATCCAGTCTACTGAACCCCTTGTTCCCGTTGGGACATCCAGGTAGATCGCATGTGTATGGTTTGTCATGCCGTTCCATGTGCATTCTGCCGTGTTTGTAAGTGTAGTCCCATTGAGCGAGACGCAGAAACTAACTTACCTGAATTCGCTATTTCGCTTGAATACTCTCAGCTTGCCGTCCTCGACACCGCCTTTCTTGCAACTCATGCCAAAGGTACAAGTGTAGGTCCCAGAGCCCCGCGACCTTAGGTGCTCTTCCAGCTCCTTTCGCGCCCCATCAGGGCCATCGAGCCCGGCGGAATCGGTGTCCATCGAGTCGCCGTCTACGATACCTGAGAGTTGTGACGAAGGTGCAGTCGGCATGGACGAAGCGGGGACCCCGTATCCAGGGTGAACTTCGTTCTGCCCCGTCTCTTGGCAGTGGAGGCTGGGATGAAGGGGACTCTCATCCCACGCTTGTTCACAGCTCCTCGTCACATCTTCTAAGCTTGTCACAATGGCCCTGCAGAATCCCAGGATCGCCATCAACCTTGGGACCTGAAGTTTATGTAGAACGGAGACCGGCGCGACTCACTTCAGAGTGGTATGCTTGTCATCCAAGTATCTGGTCAGCTTCCCATTGTCGCCGTGCACCAGATAATCCAGCTGGTTCTCGACGACTCTGCTGACGAGGTCTCCGCCGACGACCCTCTCTGCGAGACGGCATGTTATATGCAAGAGGCCGAGGATATCCTCGCCCACGTCGGCCAGCAGACAGGTCCCAGTTGCGGTCCGTGGTGGCCGGCGCGACGCAACGATGCCCGGAAGCTCTTTTGCGAAGTGCTCCGCGATTAGCGAATTCCGCCCTCCCTCGGCAACAACGCTGTCGAATAGGGGGGTGGCGAAAAAGTCCTTCCTGCTGGTTGCATGCCCCATCGTTTCGTACCGTTGCGGCTCTCTCTAAGGGAACACCTCTGTTCCTCCCTTGCCGATGGGCTTGTGTTGGTATTTCATCTCTCCTCCTTCCTTGTTACTCCCATCTGGTGTGCACCATGATTGGTCCACGACAATAACATGGAAGCAGGACTCGCCCCGTGTTCTCTCCCCTCTTTCCTCCCTCCTCCTTTTCTGTCCTCCGAAGGCTTAGCGCTGCCCAAGAGCTGCAGTTGGGCGGCAAGGTTGATTGGCTAGATTGGAAACTGATAGATGCATCCCGCGCGGTGGACAGTGGACGCATCACCGCTGCCAACCAATCGTGAAAGCGAGGCTGCTGCAACCTGCCGTTTCCTGTTGTGCCACATGGGGGGACATCGAGGCAGTGTGCATCTCGGGGAGCCGTGTTGCTCTTCCTTCGTCCCCGCTCCCCTTCGTCCCCGCTCCCCTTCGTCCCCGCTCCCCCTCGTCCCACATCCCTCTCGTTCCACATCCCTCTCGCTCCACCTCCCCGTCGACTTCCGGTTTCCACCATTTCCTTCCAATGGTCTGCGACGAGGTGGTGCTTACATTGAAGTGGCATCAAGCATGGAGCCTAGCGCCAAGCGGCGGCGACTCGGACACATCGCCGACACAGTACCGCGGGTTACCGCTCCGAGATCACGCGATATACCGATCGAGCCCAGCTTGAACGACGTGCACGATGTCGAAGACGATGTATTCGACCCAACTCATGCCTTTTTCGAGGCACTGCCCAGCGCCGTTCAGCGGATCGGCCCTCGGCACCAAAGTCAGTCCACCCAACCTGCCTTCCGTCCAACAACCATTCCCCCTCGACTTACACACACACACGCACGCCCCACAGGTAGTTCAAGCGACGCGGAAACAGCGCAGTCTGACCTCTCGCCGTGGGTGAAGGATATCTTTCCCCACTTTCTACCCTTCATCCCATCAGTGGATCGCAATCCCGTTGATTTGCAGTCCCCGAATCCATTCCTCGAACCCGATGAGCTTGAGGTCACGCATCCCGTGCTCCGTAAGCCTGCTACTACTACTCGTCCGCCACCCCTGCCTTCAGGGTCCGTCAATGGCTTTCTCAAGTTCAAATTCAGCAACAACAAGAGAAAGTACTCCGAGTCTTTCTCTGGTCCACCTCCTCTGTTGCCCGCTGCGGTAGACCACGCTGCCAGTGCCAGTCAGCATAAAACAACATCAGTCGACCCACGTGTCTTGGTCTTGAGAAACAGCAGCCATGTACCCCCTTTACCTCCTAACTTTGGTCATGTTTGTCTCCGTGGGCACACTGATCGCGCGCTATTTGCCTTCTGTTCGTATCGCGAAGTCATGGCCTCTTATCATCCACCGCTGACGAAGCATTGCAGTTCTACGGGCCATTGTACCTGGAAGGACGGTCATCGAAGGCGACAATACTTACAAGACCGAGATCGCCCCAATCGCTGCCGAAAACGATCTGGTCAAGTGTTGCATCTTGTCCTTGGCCGCAACTTATGTCTTGGATTTCGTCCAAACCCCAACTCTCCTCCAGCGTGCAGGTTTCAATCACAAGAAATCCATGGTGCTCCTTACCGAGGAGTTGAACAAGCCTGATACCTACAAGCCTGGTCATGAAGTTGCCGTCTTGGCGGCTCTCACCTTACTAGCTCACAACGAAGTATAGCAGTCTCCTCTCCGAAATGCACCTAATCTGACTGTGTAGGTTTTTTGGAGGGGGAACTAATTATTGCTAACAAATGTTCAGGTCGTCAACTGGGAAATCGCAAGCCGTGAACCCTCCCCGAAATGGTATCGTGCGTCGAAGAAGGCCGAGTTCATCATGAGCAGAACCAACCCGGGTTATCGCTATTCCAAGCCCATCAACGTGCAATGCACCACTGCACGGACGCAGATCGCCCACCTGTTCTGCTACTACATCGTCATGAGCGACTGCGTCTGTCCCCTTAACTTGGAAACGACCGAGTGCTCCTTCTCGTGGCTCATGAATGGACAGGACCAGGAACAACGCACCATTGTCGGCATGGCTGGACTGTCGCCCAAGTTGACCCATTTCATCGCCAAGATTACGTTTCTGGCTGGCACTCTCCTCAAGGTGATAACGGGGCTGGACCGTCAACATGTCTTTCTTCGACCCTAACTAACAAAACAGAATCCTACTGCCGTGGCAAGTCTCCTTGTTGCTGGGCAGATCGAGAAGCTCCTCCAGAGCTTCCCCCAGTCATCGCTACTCTCCAAGGGATACCCTACCCTGGAAGCAATGCTGGCGGCATGCACGCTGAACGAAGACGGCAAGGTCACCACTGCCGCGGAAGTGACAGACCTCATTGCAGGTTCTTATGTCGCCGCGGCGCAGATATATCTTCAATGCCGCGTTTTCCGGTTAGTAGTTAGCAGAAGACTCCTTAACCTTGGATTGTAATTATGTACTGTATGTACCTACCGTACATGTACATTGCGCTGATGACTTTCAGCCGGACGAGATCGCACCCCTTAGTGCAGCGTGTCCTGGACCAGCTGCTGTCTTGTATCACCCGACAACCCACATCCGGAAACCTCTTCACTGCCCAAACGCCGTTGTATTCTGTATTCGTAGCCGGGATTGTTGCCTACAAGCCTCACCATCGTGACGTTGTGAGGAATTGGTTTCTACCAATCTGCCCGGATGCCCGAGGTGTAAGTGCTGTACCTAATATATCTCAGCCTCGTAAGATTCCTGTCCCGCTAATTCGAAGTTGGAAGAACGTGCCACCCGCCTGGAGGGCGATGCAGAGTGTCTGGGAGTGGATGGACACTCGGGACTTTGGCTTCCCCGAGCCGACTTTTGGAGACCTGATGGACGAGGACGGCCGTGTTGCTGACCGCCATGCGTGGTGGGAAGATCTCGTGGCGGTCTTGATGGAGAAAGAGGGAAGGATGAACCTCTCTTGAACGCTCTTTATGGTAAGTATGCCAATTCCATATCCCATCTATAGTCCTGCTTTGTTCAAAACATGTATCGTACCGACACACTAATCTAGACGAACAAATGACCCTGCGAAACTAGAAACAATATAGAAACAATGCCCGCCCCCTTTTGTTTGCCGAGATGTTCTAGCCAGCATCTAAGCTGGCCCAGTCGGTTTCTTCAGCCATGCCTCTCAGTGCCACAGTCATTGTCTAGGCAGCCAGTTTACAAGTTATCGATAACTCCGGCGGGTGCTGGCCTTTGCTACGCATGAGCCAAAACTCAGTGTTTTTAAAAAAGATTGCTGGCCGTGAGAGGGGACGGACGGCCCAAGTACTTACATTGTCTTCGGAAACGAGGCGCCGATACCCGACAACTGCAGAGCCGTTTCGTCCGGCGTCAGAGAAACAGCATGGTCATTTGCCTGGCATGTCATCTGCGACGTGTCTGGTCCGGCGGCGGATTTGCGGGAGAGACTAATACAGTCCAGATTGGGGGATGGCAGCAGTACCGGGGAGGTGGGCGGGGACAAATGCGAAGTATCCTTGCAAAGCCAGCGCCTGATGCTATATGGTAGGGCCGCAGTGTTGGGGGTGGGGTTGAGATCGAGGTCTGGGCCGGGGCGGTTGCTGTCCTGAGGCAGTGTGGTCGCTCCTTGACTACGGCATGGCAATTCAGCAAGTTTGGCGGTCATGGGGTCGCCGTCTGCCATTGGAGAGCCGCGATGGGTTGAGTTGAGTCCGAGGTGGCAGTTGAGCTGAGGGTCGGAAGTGAGCAGAGTGTGCTGGGAACTTGGATGGGTAAGCGTCAACGGGCAGGGTCGACAAATATATCCTCACTGTCGCTCATTGAGAGGGCCCAACTCACTTTTGGTGTCCATCTTGATGCCTGGCCGAGGCGTAGGCTTTTCGGCGTTGTCCATGTTATTTACAGCAACAAGCTGGTAGTTAGATAGAATGAAGTAAGAGTTTCCTCCACTTGGTCCGCCTTGAAAGAAGCACGGGAGAAGCACGGGAGGCAGAGGAGCCCAATAGAAGCTTGATTCGGCACGGGATTCGGCGCCATTCCTATTTGGGAGGAGGGAAGAGGAAAGAGGGAAGAGGAAAGAGGGAAGAGGAAAGAGGGAAGAGGAAAGAGGGAAGAGGAAAGAGGGAAGAGGAAAGAGGGAAGAGGATAGAGGGAAGAGGAAACCCACCAACCATAAAAGGCATCAGCTCGTGCTGCGGACAGGAGGGAGACCTGGATTTCCAATATCAACTTATTCCCTCTATTGGCCGGCAAGGCCCAAGGACACACTTCGTCAGCCTCCTGCCACCCTGTCATATCTGGGCCAAACCCCTCGTCAAGTACACAACACTGATAGTGCACTGCCACCATGTCCACGGCCCAGCCCGAGCTCCGCGCCACGTACGCCATCGTCGGCGCGGGCGTCTTCGGCGCCTCGACAGCCCTGCACCTCTCCCGCCAACACCCCGACGCGACCATCTACCTGATCGACCGGGAGCCCCACCCGAGCCGGCGGGCCGCGTCGTGGGACTGGAACAAGGTCGTCCGCGCGGACTACGCCGACCCCGCGTACATGGCCCTCGGCCTCGAGGCCGCGCGCGCCTGGGCGTCGGACCCGCTGCTGGCGCCCTTGTACCACGAGAGCGGCACCCTCTGGATCGCCGACGGGGACTTCGCCCGGGTCATCGCCGGCAACTACGCCAGGCTAGGCGCAACCACCGACCACCACCACCGCCCGGAGGTCGTCGACCCAGATGAGGCGCGCCGGCGGTACGGGGGCCTGTTTGCCGGTGCAGACTACTCGCGCGTGACGCAGGTCTTGGTAAATCCCAGCGGCGGCTGGGCGCCTGCCAAGGAGGCGCTGCGGGCTGTCGTCGACGCCGCGGTTGGCGCCGGCGTCGTGTACCTCCAAGGCAACGTCGACTTGCTCCGGTTGGATAGCGACGGGTCCTGCACGGGGCTGCGGCTCTCCAACGGGACGACGGTTACTGCATCCAACGTCATTCTCTCAACGGGGGCGAATACGGCGAGGCTGCTCGCCGACAGCGCCCCTGATAGCGACGACTTCCAAGTCGGCGACAGGATGGTCGCAGCTGCGATATGCACCGGCCTGGTGAAGCTAGGTCCCGAAGACGCCGAGAAGTATAGGAGAGGCCCGGTGTGCTGCCAGCATCTCCTACCTGGCCGAGGTTAGTTCCACCATGGCCGTCGGCTCTTTTTTTGGCCGAGACATGAAGGTAATGAATGCTTACCGGGGAGGGGGGCAGGGGGGAGCCTACCGCCGACACGAGAGAATTACTTGAAGTTCTGGGTTGATATACCGTTCCGCAACACGCTGCGGCACTCATCTGGGAGGGAAATATCCATGCCGCCTGACGAACCTGACTATGCACAATGGGAAGTATCCCAGGTTTTAAAGGACGAGGTATTGGCCGTAAACCGTGGTGTGTTTGGCCTCGCGGGGTCGGACTTCTCCATTGAGGAACATCGAATATGCTGGTGAGGCTTGCGGTTTGCCACCCGCTCACAACCTCCCCCTCCCCCTCCTGGCCCCCCTCCCTTATTTTTCTTCCCCAAAGTCATGATCTTATCATTGTGTCGACAGATTCGCCCAGGTGGGCTGACCCTGTAAGCAGGGATGCCGTGACTCCAACCGGCGACTTCCTGGTGTCGCCGCACCCGGCGAGCAAGAATCTCTTCATCGCAACGGCGGGGTCCTTCCACGGATGGAAGTTCTTGCCCATTCTCGGAAAATACGTCGTTCAGATGATGGAAGGGACTCTAGTCGAAGAGCTGAAGCAGAGGTGGTCGTGGCGGCGCGAGGCTGGGGACCCGAAGGCCAACGACATGTGGCCAAGACGGGAATTACGGAACTTGGGTTACGACGTTGAGGCTCTGCCGAAAGACCAGCGAAGCCCCCCATGCATTTGACTTATCGTCGAGCTGGTAATTACGTTTCGAGAATGGTGGTGATTGGACCAAACTCGTCACCCTTATTACACTTCACTACTGCGTATCACTGTTGGATCAACGATGTGGTCTTCGCAGCAGGCTGTGGGGGGTGTTGACACAGTGATTGGTTTGGAGTTGGCTGGCCGGGTGAAAAATGTCCCCACTCGCATAGCTCAAATATCCATCATTGGTTTGCGCTCGACGGCGTGCCATGTTGAACCACCCGCTCACCGGTTGTGGATGTGTCGGCTCTGGTGCGGGGTCCGCAGAGCCTCTGCGAGGTTGATGCTTAAAGACAGAGAGATGGCAAACGGTAAGAGGAGAAGAGAGGAGCAATGTAACCGTAACAGTGCCTGTATCAGTTTCCCGCTGCAAATATGCCGACACGCATTTTCATGTTAGTTGTTGCTCGCCGCTCGCAACTTTCTTCGCTCGAGGTCCAACTAAGTTATTGCTACAGAACAGGCGGTACTGGGTACATCACCGGTACTGTTCTCGATACGCTTGTGAACCAGCGTCCGCAATACGAGGTCACAGTGCTGCTTCGAACAGTCCCTGCCGGGTTCAAAGAGCGTTACCCGACGGTGAGGGTCGTCGAGGGCAACTTTGACGACTTTGACCTCATTGCCGAGACAGCTTCCAAGTCGAATATCTCTATCCGTGAGTTTCATTGTCACTATGAATGGCCTTGAATCCTTGTTACTATTAGAGGAGACCCTGTCCAGTTGTGTCAACTCGCACCGCTCACAAAATCCAAAGATGGAGGAAACTCAAAGCACCAGGGCGCGATCAAGGCCCACATTGCCGGCCTCCTCCGCCGCGACTCGACCTCCTTCTTCATTCGCCTCGGCGGCACGGGCATCATCGCCGACTTCCTGACCGGGCCGTACGGCGAGCTCAACCCCAAGGTGTGGTCCGACATCGACGATCTCGACACCCTCACCTCGCTCCCGGACACGACGCCGCACCGCCCCGTGGAGAAGATCATCCAGGCCGCCGCGGAGGAGCACGGCGACAGGCTCAAGTGCGCCATCATCTGCGCCTCCGGCATCTACGGCAAGGGCCGGGGCATGGTGCGTCAGCAGAGCCTCTGGATGCCCGACTTCTACTCCGAGGTCGTCAAGTTCGGCGCCACCTTTTACACAGGGACGGGGGGTAACAGTCGCGGATGGACGCACATCGACGATCTGATGGAGATCTATCTCGCTCTCGTCGACGATGCCGCCCAGGGAGGCGGGGCCGCTGACTGGGGCAAGGCGGTAAGAGCAATAGCTGCACCCTGCTCCTGGGAATACATTGCTAACTAGCCTACAGGGGTACTATTTCACATGCAGCCACGAGGCCACCCAACTGGAGCTTGCGGTTGAAGGGGGAAAGATCCTGAAGAAACACGGTCTATTAGAGTCTGAGGTGCCCCAGCAGGTATCCATTGAGCAGATCAAGGCCATGGATTGCGGGTCCAGCTGGCCTTGGGAAGGCATATATACCTTTGCCTGCAACACCAGGGCTCGCGCCGACAGGGCAAAGAAAGTGCTTGGATATCAACCAAAGGCACCGACAGTGTTTGAGACGATGGAGGAGGATCTACTAGCCTGCCGTAAGTACTAGCCTGCCGTAAGTGAGCAGAACGGATGGCGCTTCCTACAAGTCTGTATCCTCAAATGGCTTTTGGTGTGTTTGAATTTCGTATCGTATAGCGGTAATTACAGATATTTAGTGAGCTTCATTATGCACGCTTTGTCAGTCTCCTGTTGTCCTCTATGTATATACCACTTGAGCCTTAAGTTATCCAATGCGATGTCAATTTCTTGAAAAAGAGGCAAAAGGGGCAAAAGGGGCAAAAATAGTGGTCTGTGCGCGAGTAAGCACACCAGCACCATCATCATCAAAACATAGCACTGCAGAATAAACTATTTCTTTCAATTAGAGGGATCTGATCTGACTGAATCTATTGATGTGGTGAGGTGACTTAGATTCTCGACCAACTAAACCAGACTAATACAACCGAGACAAATGAAGCGTCAAGGTGGAGAGATGAGGTACGTGCAGGATGAAGTGATAATGCTTTTCTCTCTCTCCTAAATGAAAGAACAAAGAAAGAAATAACAAATGCACGAAAGAAGGAAAAAATGAATAAAGGGACGAAGAGAAAAATAAAATAAAACTAAAGCAAAAGAAAGAAGCAAGTAGGAAAGAAATAGAAACCGAAGAAAACTTGCTGGGCCTGAAGAGAAAGGAAAGAGGTCGTAAGGAACTTGCTGTGTAGTACCTAAGATGGCTTCCAGCAGTGCCTCACTTTTCGGCTTCTTCCCAGTATTGGCGGCAACATGGGTAGGAGCTACACGGCTTGTTTTTTTTCGAGCATCAACTCAACGCTGCAGATTGGATACTGCCAGACGCAAGGGGTCCGCATGATGTTATCCTTGGGGATCGTTGTGGTGACGGCGTTTACCGTGTCGCCGTTGATCGTTACCTCCCAGTGTGGGGTTTCAAGTCCATGTCGAGATATGCCCCATGCCACTTGAATCAGGAGTCCGAAGATAGGTGTCGGCGCTTTCTTCATCTCGTCAAAGAAACCAGCGCTCAGGACCTGCATAGGTGAGTTTCGGATCCGTCAGAGCATTCGGGGTTGGCTACGCTACCTTCTTCTAAATGCCCACACCTGCAAGGTTCGTAATGAGGCTAAAGACGTCCAGTGGGGTCTTGAAGGCATCAAACTCATCTGCCTCTGGTAGGGAAAATTCGTCCTATGGCTAGAATAGCAAGCGTCAGCCTCATATCATATGCCCTGAGGGTTTCTATCTTTCTCTTACAGCATTGAATTAGGGCATCGTGTCGAGATGGGCATTGTCTACCGCTTTGTAGATCCCATGATAGTACCAGTAGATGTTCGAAAATGGTTGTAGAACGAGGCCAAGGGCAGGGTACTGGACAGAACCGCAGTTTTTGTAAGCGCTACACGTGCAATGCTAGTTAATCGGGCACTGCATTGAAATGCCGCGTCATGCCTGTTGAGTCATGACTTCGCAACGTTGTCTCGCCTTGGACAAGCTAGGTAATCACCCTCGATTCATCTCCATCCTTCTAGCCAGCCCTCTTGTCTCCCACCGAGTTTGTTACAGGACTAATGGCAAATAATTACTGGGCTAAAAATTGTTGACTTTGTGTATTAAGTCATTGGTGATCTCAACTTCAGTTACTAAAACAATGATAAAATAATAAGTAGCACACCGTGACCAGCCAGCCGCTCTTAGCCAGCAAACCAAGCACTGGGGGTGGCTTGATGCCTTGTAGTGAGAAATCAACAAGTGTGACACTGGGGCTGACTGTAGAATTAGTAACTACATTCACCAGGATACCAGGCACTTCATTATAAACGGACAACTCTCCAATTATACAAGTAGTCAAACTACAACAAACAACACACTACGATTTGCCAGGCGCCGTCGCCTCTCACTTCGCGTAATTATTTCAGTTTCGTTCAATTAATTAGTCCAGGAAGTTTCACAACCGGGACTTCTACAAGTACCGCTTACCGACAGGCTGGATACGCCTGCAGCGCGGTGCGTTGGTTGCGCCACCGTTGGGGGCCCAAGACCGACAGTTGGGATCGGGTGGCACAGCATATGCGGGAGAAGATTGGCGAATGCCTGATTTCGCGGCTGAACGAACTAATTCCTTGACCAACGTTCCGGTACTGTGGATGAAACCCTACAAAGATAGGATGTCTTTCGTAATGAATGGTTTTTCTAGTCCTCCTACAGGAAGATTGTCACTGATCCGTCTGCACGTACATCCTGCGCGATTTTGTATCTCTTGGACTCGATCCTGGTTTCTGTGTCAGCATAATTTCCCAGCATTGGTTATCGAAATTACTGTATGGCGGCTCTTACGTGTAGATGTATGTTCCCGTCGTGCTGGTCCTGCAGACATCGACATATGTCTTCAGGTCCTTCAGGAGGCGAGTATCACGTCTGGCCGCCCGCTCCAACTGTTCCGCCGCTTCGTCCAACCTCGTGCGGACGGCCTGCAGCTCTTCCATGAGCTCGGGGATCACATCCTCCCAGTTAATGCCCGCACGGTAGAGAACCGGTACCAAACTAATCACACAGTCCGTAACCTGGTCCGAGTCAGCCATGCCACACGTCTGCCTTGAGGGATATTGGGGAGGGGGGGAAACAACTATTTCCTTTTTCAGGGACAAGATGTCGTTGATTCTGATCGGCGTCAGCAAGGCACCTCTCGCCATTTGCGCATTTTCTCACCCACATTATGATGCCCAGGTTGGTTTCCCTCCAGATAACGTCCATTTCGGGCGACTTCATGACCCAATCGGGGAGAGCCTCCTCCAAAAAGAGCCTGTCTCACGGGGTTAGCAGAACGGAACTCGGCTTTCCCAGAACTGAGGGGCCAGCGCGTACTCAAATATGCCACAGAGGATGAACACGGCCGAGGTGCCCAGGCGATTCTCGAGGTATTCGTCCAGGGTCGGGAGATAGCCGGCCAGGCGATCTGCCTGCTCGACCTCGCACTCGTGGATGTAGCGGACGATCTCGTCGTAGACCCGCTGTATCCGGTCTGAAGCGGTCCGGGGGCACACAACCTTGGTGAGCAAAACATTCATCACCTCCATCACCAGACCAAGTGCAAATCGTAGGAACCAGACCCACCTTTCTTGAACTTCTCGACGACCCTTCCGGAAAAGTCCTTGAACAGGCCGCAGGCGAGGCTGGGGAAGACGGGCTCCGCGCCCTCGGCCTCGTCCCGGAGGCCCAGGCAGTGCTTGACGTAGTCGACCGTCTGCTGGCGGAACCGGCAGCCCTTCTGGAAGTCGTCCGAGATGTCGTGGTCGTGGGCATCCATGGTGTCGTCCCAGACGAAGATCCACAGGGCGAAGAAGGAGGCCGAGTAGAAGTCTTCCCACTCTGCGTGGGGCCACCAGCTGTTTTGGGGGGTTTTCCCACCAAAAGTTGAGCAAACACGCAAAGGGGACTCGAACGAAGCAGCACAGCCGGGGTTCCGACAAGTGGGTTTTGACTTACAGCGCGGAGAACAGGGCGAAGTCGCAGTCCTTGAACTTCTGGCACCTCCTCGGGTCGGGAATGACACTTCGGTGACGAGTGTCAATCTATTTACTTCTCTCCAACCAGCGTACGACTGACTGCCAAACTGCCGGCAGCTGTGGGAGACTTGAAACTCACCGGTCTAGAGTCTCGTTGAAGATGTTGCGCATCTCCTCGTAGTGCTTGTTCCGTTCCCGATGTGGCCAGCCAGCCATGGGAATCATCATGTTTGGGACCTCCATGACCCTCCCCTTCAACTCGGCCGCCAGGGCCTCGTTGGGGCCGACTGGGCTGTCAGGGAGTTCCAGGGGGATCTCGACAGTCCTCGGGATCCTTTTGGCATCCTCAAGTGCAAAGGCATGGCCGTTGGGGATGTCGCCAGACGATAAGGAGACGGTCGATATGGGGAAGGCAGAAGAGACATCCATTTTCACTCAGGCGAAGACAGCACTTACAAGAGTTTCTGGGTGGGCAAAGAGAAAGAGGGGCTGGTTCAGGGGAGGTTGGAATTAAGTGCTCGACGACGAGGGTTCAAGAAGGGAAGGGGCAACTCGTCCCAACAGCAGGACCAAGGAGCCAGCGTCCAAGGAGCTAGATACCCGTATAGGTACATGCCTACTCAAAGCCGGCTCCCCTTCTCCACTCTCTGCCTATCTCCAGCCAAGCAGACTGAGGGTAAGACAATATCTATCTGCAAGTTAGACGCACTCATCATGTCAAGGGTCAGTCGCTAGGCCGGTAGACGGGCGGGTCGGGGTGGATGGCGTGTCAGACTCTCGTTTGCCAGGACCGGGGGCCAGCAAATAGTCGGGACGGGAAGACCAGGGGTCTGGCTCCGCAGAACAGGAGGAGGATCCGTCCCATAATGATATCTTTGCTCCGGATGTGGATGTTGGATGGGGCCAACCGTTCCCGGGGATGCAACACCCCCTCCCCCAGAAGCCCCCCACGACCTCGTTTGGATTCTTCCCATTTGCTGCTTCCCGGCCGCTAGCCCGGCAATTCCATTCCCATGCATTTCAACCCGCAGTCTCGCATCTTGTCGATGCCGCATTTGGATGGGGTCACGTCAGATCATGGCACCACCCGCACCTGCCAGGGATCATCGGGTGGTCCGGGGCCTTGGGACGGCCAACTCACCTTGCTGCTGTTCGGCCGTTACGTTGATGGGGGCCCTCCCTGTCTTACGGGCCAATGGGAGGGCAAGGATATTGCCTTCTCCTTCCTTTCCCTCTTACCATTTCTGATATCCGACGAACCTGAGGAAAGGAAGGGAAAAGGGGAACAAAAGAAGAAAAACAGGAACAAAATGTAATACCTGCATGGTCGGATCCGTCCTGCTTACAGGCGGACCAATCCAGCCAACTGTACTATTCCCGTCCCTGAAGAAGCCGCCGACGCAATTCCTGCGGGGAAAGGGCACGCACAGCATTGAGTTGGAAGGGCTTCTCTCCAGTTGCCCTTACTGCAGACTGGGTCGTGCATATTTTACACGTTACCTTGCCTTGCCTAATGCGGTGACCGACCAATGTCCAGCCTCTGCAACTACCTAGCTTGCATGCGCCGAGTCGGAGAATCGCCGCAGTCGCCGTTTTGTGGGGGGGGGATTGCCCCGACCGGAAAGTCGCTGCACCGGCCCCGGATTACCAAGAAAGTCTCCATCAGGGAGGGAGATGGATGACATGGCAAGTGGGATTCAAATCGAGTGAATCGATCCATCGATGGCGACACCAGACGTGTTGTCCAGGTACTCTAACTGCTATCTCCTCGACTGAGGCAAGTGTCTGTACGTGCTTATCCTCGCTAGGCAGAATTCGCCAGTCAGATCCTAACTACCTATGACTACCGTAGCATAGCAGACGCGTCGCATGTTTTGCACAAGCGTCAGAACCGGGGCTGCGCAGATTGAGAGCTTTGTTTTTCTATCTCTGTCCCGCTTTTGCATCAAGCACTTCGTCCACAAAATGACATTATCCGATGAACCCGTTCATGACCCCCGAGACCCTCAACTTCCGCGCCTGCAAGTAGACTCCGAGAGAGGGCCGCAACAAGGCCGGCTTCTTAACCAGGCTTGGCGAGGCCCCCCCGCGAAGTGGGGTTATAAGGACATGCTTACTCCACCTCCGCTTCCCCTTCGGTTTCGGCTTCCTCTTCCTCCTCGGCGGCTCCTTCGGCCGTGTGGCCGTTCTCCGCACCATTGGCCGCCACCTCGCCGACGTCCACGGCCCCGCCCTCGCTCTCGAGCCTCAGCCACTCTTCCCATTCGGGGAACAGCTCCTCGTCGTCGCCCGGCGTGCCCAGAATCTTGGCCACGCGGCCTTTCTTGCTCTTCTCGAGACTCTCCTTCCAGCTTGCAACGACGCCGGATGTCAGCGAAGGCCTGTACGTCTGGCTGAAGAGCACCGCCTCGGCGAGCCGGTTAGTCTTGGTCAGGATCTCGACACAGCCGGGCACGTCGCCGAGCAGCCATTTGCACGTGAAAGCCACGTTGTGTGCCCCGGCACTCTCAGCCTGCTCGGCAAGCTTGGCCATGCCTTCCCGGTCCGAGGTAGACGTGTACACCAACAGAAGCGAACCCAAGTCCTTCGCGTTGACGAAACACTCGGCAGCGAGGCCGACATCCCAGCCTGCGAGAGCCGCATCGCCGACCGTCTTCCATTTGTGGTCGACGTCTGCCTCCTTGGCGAGCTCTAGTGCGATATCCAGCTGGTTGAGGGCAAGGGCGAGATCGAACTTGTGTTCTGGGTCGGTAGCAACTTCGAGCGCCAGGTCCTTGTGGCCTTGACCCTCGAGGAACCGCGCAATCTTGTTGAGCTGGTCCTGCGGGATGCTGGGCAGAAGTTCTGCCGCCGTCTCCATGTCCTCGCGGAGGACGAGCGTCTGATACTCGAGCACGGGAAGCGAGAGGGCGAATGACGTGACGTTGACATCTTTATCCGACAGGTACACCCGGGAGTCGCGTTGAATGTAGCCAAGGATGTACATGGCTTGATCAAAGTGCGAGACCGTGTACGTCTGGTCGCCGACGAGGTAGTTGAGTCGGTTGGTCGAGTTGGTGTAGAAGAAACAGTCACCAACCCACTCGCCTGTGAGGACGCTACAGAAACACCATTAGCAACTTGTCGTCAAGCCCCGGGACCAGGAGTCAAGAAGTGATAGATACCTTTCGTTAATGTCGGTGATGACTTCAAAGGCTGCCTCAACACCATCGTCCTCTACCTGCCCCGCATTGGCTGCGGCGACATAGTTCTCTCTCGAGAATCTCAGTATGTAGAAGGTGTCCTCGCAGGCAAGGCAGACAAGCTCGCCGCTGTCCGACCAGTAGACCTATGAATGTGAGAGACGTCCAGATGAACCCAAATCTTTTGGGCGGGAGCATGGTTGGCTTACATGTCTCGGCTCAACCTCTATTCTCCTGACCAATCCTCCTGTATTCCAGTCGAAGAATGAAATGCCTCCCTGGCCATTGACGCCAAGCAGGACACCACCGGTCAAGGCATCTGCCGCGAAACCGACATCTAGGCCTCCAGTCTTCTCCACAAAGTTCTTGTAGATCTATCCAGCATCTACAGTCAGCTGACCGCATACGAACAGCGCGCGCGTCTCACCCGAGCATGGAACAACATACCTTGACACTAGTTGTGGATTCTCGAATGGCAAAATCGTTGCTGCTCTCGCTGGACCAGACAAAGTCCAGGGCAGACCCGAACGCCTTATTTCTCCATCTAATAGGCGAAGGCATATCAGTAAGCGTGATCTCCAACGCTGAATACAAGAATTACTCACGCCAGGGCCGTATAGATGATGTACTCGCCATCCCCACTTCAAACAGTCAGGTATTAGCTCGTTGACTTCGAATCGCGTCAGCGCGGATCAGGACGGTCAAGACTTACCAAACAGCCACAAATCGGCCGTTGGGAGAGTGGATTAGAGTTTGAGGGTATACCTCGCACGAACCCAATTCCTTTGACGGGAGGCTGATCGGTTCATTGTCCTTGATGGACGGATCTGCAAGAGTCAGCAAGCGGTACAGGGGGTTTGGTTGCCCACGGCTCCACTAACCACCACCCTTGATGATCGCCGAGACAACCTCATTGTGTCTTGCCCAGATCAGCTTTCCCGACGAGTCCATCGAAACAGCGGGCTCTTCGCGGCCCAACTTGACGACAACAGCACCATCGTCAAAGCCAACAGCAATTCCCTGCTTGCCCCTCTGAGAGGAGACACACCAAGCTCGCTCCAGTCCGTAGTTGAGCGACTGTTCAAAGCGGTAGGTATTGGCATGCCATATGCGTATCGAGCCGTCTTCTGAGCCGGAGATGATGATGGGGAGTTCGGGGTGGTAGCAGGCGAAAGACACGTTGTTGGTATGGCCCTCGAGTGTGGCGATCCTGTCAAGTTCTAGCTGTTAGCGAGCGCCCTCTCAACCTGATCATCTTCAACCCATGCTTGCACTGGCGATCCTAGGCTACACAGTTGACCCCGGAAATAGACCCTTGTAGAGAGGGGAAACGAGATTGTAAAAGCGTACAGTGACTTAGTTGTATAATCCCAAACCTTGACTGTCCTGTCGTCACTTGTAGTAAGAAGGTAGGGCTTGTCGCTGTGGGGATAATAGTCGACGTGGTTGACGCCTTTCGTCTCATGGGCCTCCCTAAGATTGGGGTCAGTATGCGGCAGTCTTGAAGATGGATCGGGTGCAAATTACAAGGTGAAGTTGGCATGTGGTGAGCCAAGGTTCCAGATCTTGACAGTCCGATCAAGGCAGGCGGTCGCAAAGATATGAGGATCCTTCGGGTTTATGGCCAATCCCATCTACCCAGTTTCCAGAGTTAGTCCTGCAATTACCATGTAACGGAAAGTGAAATGCGAGGGCCCGGTCCATACCACGTAGTGCGAGTGGCCTTCGAAGACCTGCACGCACTTCCATCCCTTTTCCCAGTCCCAGAGCTTGACGGTCATGTCATCTGAGCTAGTCAACACAAAGGGCTGTGTCGGGTGGACGGCGATGGCACGGATGTAATCAGGATGCGCCTCGAAGCTCGTGATCTTCTCGCTGGTGTTGTAGTTGTAGACCCGCACTTGGAAGTCATCGCTGCCGCACACGATCCAGTTCTTTCTGGCGATGAAGCGGCCAGCTCGAACAGGGACGTCGGTGAGCTCGAAGGTCTTAACGATCTGCTGTGTGTCGTATGACCAGATATAGACATGGCCAGAGTAGAGGGTTGTCAGGATCCAGTTCTCGGTGGGATGGAAGTCGATGCCTTTCACCCGCTCGCTGCGGGCGAAGAGTTGCCTCTGCCGGTTGAGGAGGAATGTTAGCTTGTGCTGTTCTATTGCTGGGGCGGTGGTGATGTGGGCAACATGGCGCAAGCAGTATCTGAGAGGCAGCTTGGGAGACAATTTACCTTCACGTCTAACCGCATTTTGGCCTCGGATGCGCGAGCCTGGTTTGGGAATCTTCCTCCGCAGCTTCAAAGATCTAAGGTCGGTTCCCTAGATGACACCGCATCAACCTGCGCCTCTCGCTGCCAATGGCTGGTCTGGCCGATATTGGTCGTTAGACTTGACGTTATTGCAGCTTGGGGTGCTTGGTCTCGACTTGCCAATACGCAACTACTGGAGGTAAATGGTCGTTGAAGCTCGAAAGTTGGCAGACACGTATCAATACGGAACACCATAGCGATGCACCCTCCGCCAATTTCGAGATGTGGTCTTCACGTATGTGCGGCTTACGTAAGAGGCATTGTGGCCTCAGGCATAAAAGGTCGTCGATAAACTCACCCCGGCACCAAATCAAGTTATATGAGTTAGGGATGTTCCAAACTGTGACAGAGATTTTAAAAATGAAATGCATGGAGGCCTTTTAAAGAGCTTCCAGGCATCCCTCAGAGGCCTTATCTCCTGGCTTATTATCGCATGGTTTTGCAAACATCACAACCGATTCGATCAGGAGTGTAACAGGTGTGGCGTGGGGTGAACCTAGCGGGATGAGGAGGTGAGGGATCAGACGAGGCTCTGGGGGAAGACAACCCTCATCACAATGCCATCGTTAAGATTATGGTCAGACTCGAAAAGTTTGTTGCCGGAGGTCGACAGATGACTTTCGTTCTGTACAGCTATAGAATCTCGCTATCTTAATCTGTACATTCTTAACCTTCGACACAAAGCGCTACCGCGATGACCAACGATACGCCCGAGGAGCGTTGAAGCGTCGAAGCGTCGGACCATCAGGCGCCTCTACAAATATAAAATTGACCCGTGAGAAACTCTTGAACGCCATTTATCCGCCATTTGACATGCATCCCTGCTAACCCTGTGTCATGATCACATAAACCAAGAAACCAAACCGAGAAATAGGACGCCTCGCGCCCCGGACCGACGTTACTCAGGACTGCCCGGATTAATCCTCTTGGCTGTCCGCCTGCACTCTCCTGACGACCTCGACGACCCGAGGGTACAGCTTCTCGGTGGGAGTCAGTCCGCACACCTTGGCGACGACGTCTTGGGGGGCGAGCTCGGCCATAAGCTTGGCGAGCTCCTGGCTCTCCTCATCCCCGTCGACATTCTGGAAGCGGAAAGCCATCTCGGCGGCATGGAGCAGGGACTCGAAGTCCTCGCCACGCTCGGCGAGCTCCGCGGCGGGCCCGATGAAGCGTTCCTTCCGCGACAACTTGCGGAGGGGGGCGCGGCCGACACGCTCGACAGCGTCCTCGAGATGCGGGTTGCCAATGCGCTTCATGATCTTCTTAACGTAGGCCATCTGTTGGTCCTCGGGGATGTCGTGCTTGTCGGTGATCAGGGTGGCCGTGTTCCGCAATGCCGCCTCGACCTGGCCGCGGATGTCGCGGTCCTGAAGAGCGTCATACACTGTTCGCTTATTGCGGTTGTAGCCAAAGTAGGCTGCAGTGGCGTGGCCGGTATTGACTGTGTACAGCTTGCGCTCGATGAAAGGCTCCAGGTGGTCAACCCAGTTGATGCCCTCGATGCTGGGGACCTGGTGATCTCCAAACGGTGTTCTGTCGACGACCCACTCGTAGAATTTCTCCAACGTGACGTCGAGCCCGGCTTCGGGATCTTGTGCGGGCACGATTCTGTCGATAGCCGAGTTCGCATATCTTGCTCGCTCGTGGTGGTCGTCTAAGCGGTGCCCAGGAGTGTTGTCGGGATGCTTGATGTGTCCTGCCAGAGTATCGGTGGCCCCGATAGCATTTTCGCAGGCGATGACGGCAATAGGGTCGGCGTCAGTTGGCCGCATGTCAACGCCCTTCGCAATCACGGGGGCGATGAACTTGAGGACGTTTGGGCCAACGGAGCAGGTGACGACATCGGCGCTCGCAATCTCCCGCACCAGGTCCTCCTCGTGGGTCTTGGAGTTGATGGCTCGGTAGTTGGTGATGGTCGATTCCGTTGTGCCCTCGGTTCCGACTTCAATCACCTTGTATGACGGCGTGGAGTTGAGGGCGTCTATCAAGGGGCCGGCCACGTCGGCGAAGACGACCTCGTACCCGGAGTTGTGGAGGAAGCAGGCAACAAAGCCACGGCCTGGGAAATATTGGGGTCAGCATAGGCTCGGAGGCTTGGGACAGGCAGCCGGGAAGATGAGATAACCTACCAATGTTGCCAGCACCGAAGTGAACTGCCTTCTTAGTGGTTTTCTGGACCGCCATCTCGACTGAAGGGGAGTTGTCAACTGGGCGGGGTGATTCTAAGTCAAGGATGTATTGGTAGTTGCTGGATAAGGATGATGTTGTCGATGATCAGGGGCAAATGAGTAAGGTCTTGGGGAGTGGTGAGAAAGTCGAAAAAAAAGAGGTAGGGATTGTCCGGAGAAGGGGAAGGTGGTTTACTTTATATCTCGGAAACTAGTAGCAATCGTCAACGAAGTCAAGTCCTGTCTCTGGAGGGATGCGAAGAAACCCCCCAACCGCCGGAGTGGGGCGGGAACGGTCCCAAAACCAACACATCACCGATCCGTTTTCATTTAGCGTCGTATCCTTGCCCCACCGGGTGTACACTGTGCCTGCCACCAGGACCTAAAATAGGCAAGTACCCAGCTAGCAAAATAGATGAAACGGACCGGCTCCAAAGTAATCGTAGAAAACAACAAGAAAACTGTGATGGAGGGGTTCGCCACAAGGAAAAGGGTTGCCAACCAGCAGCATCCACCATGCGTCACTGAGCCCTCCAGAAGTCAATGCCGTCCAGGGTTGGATATGATGTCGAGAATCTTGTTCACATCCAAGACATCCTGCTTCTAGCCAACTACGTAAGCTGCATATACACCATCTCTACTTCGTTCGGCACGTGCGAACGCACGCGGCAGTGAGTTCCGATTCAAATTCAATACGGACGTATCTCATATCGGAACACCTGGACGCCATTTGTCGGAAAGGGCGAAGACCAATGAGCCTGGCTATGTAGTGGCGCCATTGCCAAGGAAGGGTCGGAACTGCGAGTGCAGAACCTTGCAAGTGCGTGGCTGCATCCTCTAGAGACAATGTTGTTATCGTCAAATACAATTGGGAATGGGACGTTCAATTCCCTCGTTCATGGCCTTATACTACCTTGTCATTCCCTTGCTATCGGGCCTTGCGGTGATGGCCCACTGCCGTAGCAATAATTGGCGCATCCTGCCTCTCGCCTATGTTGAGATATTTCCAAATCAGAAGACATGGTGAGGCTGTGGCGAGATAAAGCCAAGCCTGTCGGGCGCTGGATCGGGTGCTTTGGGCATGCATTTTAGGGGTCTTCTTGGGGCTCTGCCAGCCACATCTGCAGCCTCATGCCTGGGCATCTTGGGTCTCAACTTCACTATCCACCATCTCTGTGTTCTATCCCTACTTCTGCCTTAGTAGTCTCGCCTCCATGTTGAGAGTGACGAGGTGACTGGGAGCCCGGTGAGCCCAGCTTATCGATGGGACAGGGTGCCGAAATGCAAAGTCCTTTGCTCGTCACGTAGTAAATAACTCTCAGCGCTCACATCCAGGGTGGGGACGTTTTGGACAGGGGTCCGTTACCGTCGGTGTGTTGCTAAGCTGGCCACTGGTTCACCTTGTAGCTCAAAAGTATCTCACCGCCCCTGATCCCATCAATAGGAGTCGCAATACGCCACTCCGGTCACTTGGCTGTCGTCATGGCCCCAGTATTTTGCCCTTCTGACGATCTCTGGCATCATCACTGGTTGTTTCCGGGCCCTAGGTGTGGCTGCTAGGTGCGTTTTCAGGGTCCCCTCCTGCAGATCACGGTACAATGACGACAGGGGGTCCATAAGTTTGGTTGTATACATACCGAGCACACCCAGGGACTCCGCTGGGCAGTGAAAGTATAACGTGCAGGAACACAGTCCTAACCGACGCTTTCGGGCGGGAGTTTCTCTCACCTCAACGACCGTACTACGCTTTCACACAGAGATTTCCTCCCGGAAGACAGTCATTAGGTACAACTACTGTAATTTCCAGTCGAATCTAGGTGGTGTAGCCCAAGTATGTCGACACTGTAGACGTGGGGCTGGTTGACAGTTGAGGGGTATAGTGGGGTTTCTCACGGCTGGTCAATCCCCGAGGGAGGTCTCGAGCGTTTTGACCTATTTTTCTCGGGCATTTCTCTTCAGTACGGATCTCTGCACGGCTTCTAGCGGCGTACGGAGAATGTTCAGCCGCTAATCCTATCGGCTGCAGCGTTTAAAAGCGCCAATTGACCGGGTCCATTAGCCGCAAGGCCACCAATAAGTATCTCCTCGTTGTTCAGCTTCCCAGCACACTCTGCCTCCTCGCATTGAGCTATTATCAACCTGAGCCATCTTCTTTCTATTGGCCCTCAACAGTGATGAACCTTCAACCCAATCCACTCCAATGCATAGGAGGTACTTCGCTACAGCCTCGGCGACAGCGCTCCACCCACACCAGGTGCCCTTCGTGGACGGCCCTTTTTCAAAGTCACGTCGGAAGAAACTGTCTTGCAAAGTACACCGGATTCTCCAAGTTAAGACGTGACAGGAGGGTTCGCACGCTGAAGATCAATACCACATATCACATCCCTTGCAGCGGCTCAAATGTTGTGTAATCTGCACTCTGCAACTTCTCATTCCCCGGGGCACCCATTCCAGTCCTCTCGTTGATGCTCGCACGAGCATCTGACCCACGACACGGATCGATTCTGTAGGCTCCTCGGACTTGTCCGAGATCGTGCAACAACACGGAGCTGTAGACCTCTCGTCCTTACGCCTCCATGTCCCTTCAGAGAGGCCTGAAGTCATTCAATCTGTCAGGCTAGGCGGCCCGCCTGCTCCAGTCCAGCCTCCCGTTTCCATCTTCGAATTGTCAAAGCCCCAGTTAATCGGTGGCTCCACCGTTCTTCAAAACGGACCGAGCCGCTGATTGGCAAACTGGCAATCTGCAGTCTGACAGGGCAACACCAGTACTTCATCCTCATTCCTTGACAACTACCACCGAGACATATGCAGTTGGCTTGAAAGGTCGATGTATATGGCCGAAACCCGGATGAAAACAAGCGAAAAAAAAAAAAAAAATCTTTTTTTTTTCGCTTTCAGTCCTGGTCTGTTGCAAATTCCGTCCCTCCCCCGTCCGTCGTGGATTTGAGCGTTAACCGGTACCGTCACCACCAAGTGGGGCCGGGTTTCTCCGAGCGAGGTCTTTCGTACTTACCGTTTTACACCCGCCGCCTAAGCAATACAGCCGCTCGGCACTCGCAGTCAATCAAGTCTCTAGTTTTGATCTCCTGCGTTAATAAGTCCTCACCGAAGTAAACTAGACATCCAAAGGTTGGAAAGAAAACATCTCGAATTCTCGTCACGCCCCCCAGACTCGTGTATCCCCGCCTAGGAATATTCAGTCGACCATCTCCCGCTTTGCCAAGGCTTGCTTGCTTGTTAGCTTCATGCTGCCATGCGGAGGTGGGTCTCCAATCGACGGCGATCACTGGACGGGCCACGCCGCCAGGCTGCCGCTTGACTCCTTCAATATAGACTCACGGATATTCGGCATCGAAGCGTCTGCGAGACAAGATTATTCCCTGATAGCGGTTGAATTTTCCCTGTTGATTTTCACCAGGATGCGTAGCGTCGGCTGCCTCTGAGCCAAGAAGTAACTTCACCGAACAGCGTGTGTGTTGTCCAGGTGCTATGTGACGTCCCGCAACAGGTTTGCAAACAAGGATCGAGTGATCGACGAGACATGGTCCGATTTCTTTACGACATTTTGGACAAGACATCTTGGACAAGAGATCGACACAACCTGCCATCAACAGGAACGATGGCGCCTCGCCGATCCAGAATCAAGAACACGTGTTTTCATGCCCCAACGTGGTGTTACTGAAGCCGTCCAAACAGCAAGGGAGAATCGGAATCGGAACCTTGTGCCCATCGCTTGGATCTACCCCTAGGGTTTGCACCAATGATAGTACCGGGGCCCGGCCACAGCACCCATTCACCCAGGGCGAGGCACAGTCGATCCATTAACAGGTTCCATCCACGCCCTCAACTACCAGAGGCGAGGCCTTTCTTGTTGCCATGGTACATTACAGCGTTGCCGTAACGATTGATCGCGCGCCATTCCATCTTCTAATTGGACGTAGTTTCCTTGGATTGAAGCGTGACTTCCTTCTGCCACAATTTGGGCTGTTGTCGTTCTGCCATCTGCTGTCAGTCAACATCGTACCAAGGTCTGGACGGGGCAGTGAGCCACATATAATATATTTCCAACCAAGTAATCTACCGTATCCTATACGTGACGTAGAGGAGACTGAAGATTGCATGGATATGTTCGTCAAGGCCCAAGTATGTGGTTGCTGCGGCAGGACTCTGAGGCCTATAACATCCGCAAGGCGTTGATATAGTTTGGACTTTAAGAGACCTTACCTCTGTACGTACATTCCCACGGTCCCACTAACCAAAACCAAATCAAGTTTGCTCAAGTCAGAACAGCTAAGTAAGCATCGGGATCTAGATCTACAGTTTGAAAGACCTCATCTGCATAGCCACAGTAGAGCTGCGACTGCGTCTCGGGTGTGAAGTAGCCACATTCTTTCCTCCCCAGATTTTGAACAATCCCTTGTGTGTTTCTCTTTACTTCTTGCCATAGTGACCTATAATTAAGCGGTTGACTTCAGCCAGATCGCTAGCCAGCCATTTGCTTGATTTCCTTGAGCTGGAGTCGAGCATGGCTCCTTAGAGCAACTTCAACCAACCCCGGATTGATACCAATACGTGTGAAGCTACTTATGTCTCCTAGACCCCTTTAAGGTCTGTGAGCAGGATAAGTAGGTACAACTCCCCGTCTCAATTATATTCCTGGAACATTCTAGGTTCACCATAAGCTTGTCGTTTGAGGTGTGTTGCCGATACTGTTTCTGTACCCAGCTTGCTTCCTGCTATCACACCAAGGAAGTATAATTAAGTTATATTAAGAGGAAATGTAGATTTTGTTTGGAAATTCTAGACAACTACACTATCATCTACCTCTCGAAATTACACTAGACATGTAGACGCCTATTCCTCCGCGAATCGCTAGGTATTCTTTAGCTTACTAAAGAAAATCTTGTCCCTGACTTAGCCCGTAATTCAAGTCATCCTTGTTATATTGAGCAGTTAACAAGTGGCGAAAGGGAACAACTCGACCTTTCAAACGACCCGGCTCCCCAGGTCAGTTGTTACTGCAATTCAAGAACATGGCATTGTTGTTCGCCACGTGTTTCAACGTGGGAAGACAGTCGATACCATTTCCCCTTCACTTCCAGATTAGCCTCGCGGTTTGCCCCAACATAGTAGATCTACCTAGTCGAACTCCCAAAGTTGCACTCACAAGCCAAGCTCTGGCCCTCTCCTGGGCAAAGACTACGAAACGAGGAGAGTTGCTGCTAAAAAAAATGTTTGATATATTTTGGAGGGGCTTTTTTGAGGGACAAGGAAGGGCTTTGAGAGAAACACAAACATCCATTGGCTGAAGAAATTGAGCGGATACCTTTCTAACCAGAATAAGTATGGTACTTTGTGCTCTATTCAAGTTGCCTAGTTACTCTAGGCACGATGGCCGGCAAGCAGTTTTCAAAATTATTTGTCAACAGCAGATGTGGAAAAGGTCCCAATATGGAAACGAACCGAGCGGCCGACGACGAATCCTTCGGCATCGTAGTCTATGGCCTCGACTTCCTCGCGCGCTTCAGCCCAATCACGGGGCCTCTCAAGGAGCACTTTGCTGATGGCTCCTACCAATGGCGCCCTCTGCGTCCTCTCCGCGAGGACGCTGACATTGACCGCCTCTTTGCCCGCTTATTCTAGCGCGATTCAGGCTCCTACCTCCGCTCCGATCTGGAGAGAGTTGTTGAATCTGACGACTGGAACACCATCTGCCCGCATCGTATCGGTTACGGCAACGACTACGGCGAGGACGACGGGGACGAGCTCATCCTCCTCTTTACTGTCCGGCCCGAGTCTACAACGGCTACGCGCGCTGCTGAGATTGTCCGGCAGGCGCGTCTGGTGCTTGGAAGGTGGGTCTGACGTGATGTGCCACATTTCGACATTCTGTTCAGCAATATCGGACGAAGACTTACACTAACAAACAAAAGTCATGATGTGCGACTAAGCAACATGGCCGTAGAAGTTGCTGAGGCCGACATCCAGCCCGCTACGTCCAACTTTCTCCGTCGGCCCCCGTTCGGACTAGGCCAGGGCTATGATGATACATACTGCGAGAATCCACCCCCGGACGCTAGCATCGGAATCGATGGCTGCGCCAGCTCGGGCAGTGTTGGCGCCTACGTCCGCATTACCTTCCAGGACGGCTGTATCGACCACTTTGCCTGGACAAACCATCATGTCCTCAGCCGTATGTTGTCTCCCACCTTCTATCCATGCGACGAATTTCACTTTTTCTTGCCCCTTTCTCCCAGCCTTGTTCTCTCTACTGATAAATAGCTCCAGAGAGCGCAGATGTCATCCCTCCTACCGGACAGGGCCTCATCGTAAATTGCCCTTCCGACCCAGATCATAAATCCTTCTGTGAGATGTTCCGCATCTTCCAAAGCGAAGGCCTTAGCCAACACAACGTTATCCAACCAGCCAGCCAACTAGTGAAGGAATGTTGCGATTTCGACCGCATGTTCGGCAGCGTCTTTTGTAGCTCGGGATTGCGATGTGGCAGCGACAACTATATCATGGACTGGGCCCTCATCAAGCTCGCCAACCAACGCTTTCCCTCTTTCCAGCATCTGACAAATGTAATAGCAACCCCTATCTCATAGAGTCCGTGTCTCTGTTTCTTAAAACGCTAATTATTATATTCAGATACCATCCGAGAATGTATTCCTGCAATACGTCAAAGCGTCATAACTTAAGACCTTGACGCAAACCTTACGACAACGTCCATTGCGGTACCGAGCTCTCCATCGGGCAGCTGCAAACGAAGCTTGCCCGAGGTGGTATGCCAGTCTTCAAAAACGGACGTTCCTCTGGGCCTACAGCCGGGTGGGCTCACCGCATCGAACCCAGCATACAGGTTGTATATGCGCTTGATAATGGAGGGCGGATTACTCTCAAGGGCCAAGCTCTATTGGTTTGACTTGCTCCTCCAACTTCAACTCGCAGATCTTTGCCCAGCCGGGTGACTCAGGCGCCCTCGTGCTCGACCAGAAGGCGCACACGGTGGGGGGCATAGTGTCTGTCACACAACTCCCACGTCATACTGCCCTCTTCACGCCGTGGGAAGCCACTCGGCGCGATATGATCAAAACCCTCAACTCAACAGGACGACTGGTCTCTAAGATAGAGATCCTTTGAGTGCTAGGACGGCCTCGGCGTTGCCGATCTCAGAATGAAGTTTCGTTATAGGTTGGAAGATACCCGAAGCAAGCTGGCGGGGGGGTGCTTGACGCAAGGTGACAGGGGGAAGTTCGACACACGGTGGGGGGAGGAGAGGTACTCGATTGGGGGTAGCACGGCGGTTCACGAAAAGTATTTTCAATATCTTCCCATCGAGTCTAACTCTCCCCGAGGTAGAAAAGGAGATAGGAGAGGAGATGGGGAAGGGCCCATTTATGGGATCTTTCGCGCCAACTGAGACTACACAGCACCTTGGGACCAGGGTGGCGGTGGAAGGAGTCGGACGCGAAACAGCTTAGTGAAGTCCTTTGAATTACCTCGCAGGCACCTTGCGAAACGCAGCTATCGGGCGGGACTAAGGCCTCGTGGTGCAACGCGTAAGCCCTCCCCAGACACTGACACCCAGGGCCATTATCAACATGTGCAAACATCGTTCTCCCCGTTCTCCATATCACCTTTTGTGACAAAGTACAATACCAAAAATCCTTGGGCGTACGCATTTCCAGACGGCCAAAGAGACAGATTATTATCTATAAAGTTTTAGGTGGTAGACGCTGCGAACTTGCAGGTGTCCGAGTTTCTGGACCATCCATATTGAAGGGGTGCAGAGACACTTATTGGGCTCCTCGGTTAGAGTTGACAACTTTCAGCGAGGCCTTGGGCCGAAACTGAGCCTACCTGAGCTGGCATGAGCAGAATCCCGCGGGATTATGTGAGCCGAACAGGAGGAGGGTGATCATATTGGGGTCAAATTAGAGGGGTTACCACCCCTTTTACCCCCCCAGAAAATGATCCCATCTAGGTCAGGAACGTGGGCGGGAGGTCGGGGCCTGTAACCGAAAAGTTAGTTTTTTCATGCCACAGTTACGGGAAAGTCTTGTCGTCGTTCCAACGTACCCCAAACATGCAGATTGTCCGGCGACGCCGGCGAGACGTGCGTCGGCTCGTTCATGTCCAGCAGGTCTCCGTCGACGTAGTGCTCCATGATGAAGCCGGAGGGGTCAAACCTGGAAGAGGAGTAGGCATTAGTTTTTCTGCATCCATAGTTGAAAAAAAGGGGGCGTGTATGTGTGTGTGTGTGTGTGTGCAGCTCACCAGTAATCGAAAATCTGGCTGCCCATGATGTGCCTCCCGACGCCCCAGCAGTTCTCGTAGCCCCTGTGGCGCAGCCAGTCGTGGCCGAGTACCTGGGTGTCGAAATCGTGCGTCTCAAAGGACGAGTGGTGCACGTGCGGGGCCTTCGGTCCCTCGAAGAAGAAGAAGCAGTGGTGGTCGACTAGTTCGCTTCCGCGGTTCAGCCTGAAGAAGACGGTGTTGTTCACTCCGTCGAGATGGACCAGCTATAGATAGACAAGACCACTGTTAGTCGCTGTGCACAGCGGCACCAGGAAATAGGGGCGAGGGGGTCTCTCTTACCTCGCTGGGGAAGAAGTTGAAGTAGGTTGAGTAGAATTCGTAGCACTTCTTGTAGTCGGTGACACACATGCCGAAGTGGCCGAGCTTGTGGACCGGTGCTGGCCGCTTCTCGAATCGCTGGAATGTGTTCTGAGGGCGGTTCTTCTCGGTGGGCTACGCTGGCCGTCAGCAATCCGGTGTTCGCCGTAACCATTTGTTTCGAAACGAAGACGGGGCACAAACTCACATAGTTGACCTTCTGCGCCGTGAAATTGGGGTCTCTCAGCTCGACTGGCGTCTGGCCGTGCACCAAGTGGAAGGGGAAGCCATCGGCGGGGTCGTAGAAGGTCACGCACTTGCCACCGCCGGGGGCATCGGTCAGCTCGTAGACGTCGGACGGCTTGGTCTCCTTGGGCAGGTTCTTGGAGGCATAGTGAAGGTCCTCCTCGGACTCGACGACGAAGGCAGCGCCGCCAAAGGCGGACTCGGAGGCTGCCTCGACGCAGAGGACGAAGGGCTCGGTGCCGTAGCCGCGGTAGTAGGTCCGGGCGCCGTTGCGGGCGGTCTCGGAGAAGCCAAAGTCCTCGGCAAAGGTGCGGGCCTTGTCGACGTCCTGGTACTTGTAGTAGACGTGGGCGATGCGCACCAGGTTGATCTTCCTGATCGGGTCGGCAGCCATCTTTGCGATGGCCTTGTCAAGACGTTCAAGTACGTGTGTGTAGTTTTATATTCAGCTAAGATCTCAGCGATATATTAATTGCTCGATCGGATATATAGCGACAAACGTCGAAGCTCCCCATGTAGAGAAACAGGAATGCGGGGTTCCCGGGTCGGGGGCGGGCTGGGGTTTATCAGATGGAGGGACGAGCTGTTAGTGGCACCGCCATGGAGAAGCCGAGCAAGTCCGTCGAGACTCCGGCGGGGCAGACATGAGTGGGGTAGTTCGGCATAGCTTATATAACGCCTGATGAAGCAACGGCAGTTACACGAGGTCCTTTTGTGCGGTCGATTGGCTTTGCCGGTTAATTCCAATCAGCTCATCTTCGGGGGCCACAGGCTATACAATTGTTCCACGATGACAGTTTGACGTGCGGCCTGTCTGGCATGGCAGTCGGGAACGAAAGTATGGCAAGAGAATAGGGGAAATGGCATCGAGCCTTTCCCCCCCGGAGTCCGGGACAACTGACAAGGAGTTTATTAGGGTACCAAGGTACATACTTTAGCTGATCTGCAGTGTTCCAAAAGGCTTGGGGGTCCTCCCCAATCGCCCCATTGGAGGTGCCACGAGGCGGTCGGTTCTAAAATCGGCAGTCACAGATGAGTCAGCTCTCCGCCAGCTAAATCGGCCTCCAGAACGATATCCCGATCGATCCTTCCACCAAGGACGAAAGGACCTCATCCCCCACCAAACTCTTCCTCCCGCCCCACACGTCGATAGCGCGCCAGCAGGTGCGTCATCTCCCTACCGTGGGCACCATGCCCAAGAAACTCTCCAAGGGCGGCGCCCTCCCCACCACAACCACCACCACCACCACCACCACCAGCCCATCCATTCTCGCCTCCGGCGCCGGAGCCCTCCCTTCCCTGCCATCCACCCTGACCGACGACCGGCCCCTGCCACGCCTCATCGTCTTCGACCTGGACTACACGCTCTGGCCCTTCTGGGTCGACACGCACGTCACCCCGCCCTTGCGCGCCGCACCGGGGGCGTCCACCACCACGGCGGTGGTCGACAGGGTCGGCGACGCGTATGCCTTCTACCCGGACGCGCCGGCGATCCTGCACGCGCTGCCCCTGGCCGGGGTGCGCCTGGGCGTGGCGAGCCGGACGCACGCGCCGGAGCTGGCGCGCGAGATGCTCAAGCTGCTGCACGTCGTGGCCGGGGAGCCGCCCGTTGGCGGTGCCGGGGCCGGGGCCGAGAAGCGGAAGGCGCGGAGGGCGCTGGATCTGTTTGACGGCGGGTTGGAGATCTACCCGTCGAGCAAGGTGCGGCATATGGAGGCGCTGGCGAAGAGGACGGGAATCCCGTACGGCGACATGCTGTTCTTTGACGACGAGAGCCGGAACCGCGACGTCGAGACGCTGGGGGTCACCATGTGGCTGGTCCGGGACGGGATTACCTGGAAGGATGTGGACAAGGGCATCAAGGAGTGGAGGTCGAGGAGGGGGATGCGGTGAGGCCTGGGCGGTGGAAGGACGGTCGGAGGAGAAGAATGATGCAGAGCGGAAGAGATGGCGTGGCCCAGATGACGATAATATTATAGACTATGCACCTAGACGATACCAAAGATACCAAGATATTCCAGAAGTGGAAAACAGAATAAACCGCCCGAGCTAGAATCATCCCCTGTTCCATTTATATGCGACGAGCGTCTCAAACACGACTCAATCCAATGCCCAATTGTCGGATAGCATCAGACAAGATACGTCGGAGTGCTGAAAAATGCATCGACATGGTCTATGTGATCTATCTCTCCCAACCTCTATCACTCATTATGCCACGGCCGCCTTGGTTTGCTGAGGGGCGCCATTCGATTTCTCTAAAATCTCAATCGTCTTGCTGTCATTCTCTTGGATGGAGAGGTTCTGGACGCCTTGGACGTCGGGAATAGCATGATCACCTGCCTGTCCTTCGTTGGCGTTTGTCGACACCGCAGGGGCGTCCGCCGTCTTGACGCCTGTTGTGACGGCTGGCTGGGTTTCGGTCTCGAGAGGAGCGGCTGAGGCGGGTTCAACTTTCTCCGCGATGTCGCTAGGAAGCCCCGGGTCCCCATGATGGGCGGGAAACTGGCCCTTGTACATACAAGGGATGGTGCATACTCTCTCCAGCCGGTCTTTCTGGTTGACAGTCCCCACCGCGACGCATTCCAGCCTCTCCCCGTCGCCGTATGGCCGCCAATATATGGGTCCCTTGGGGAACTCGGTATAGCCGTTCTCCCACTGCGCCGTCTCGCGTATCACAGGGTCCAAATTCGGCATCTGGCCCCAGCTAAAGTCCAGCTCGCCGCCGTACTGCTTGGGGATGTTCTTGGGGTCGATGAACTGCTCCAGCGCCGGCTTCACCTCGTGCGCGCCGAGGATGAAGATCTTGGACACGGTTATGGGGTCGAACCAGCGCTTGATCCAGCCCCACACCGTGCTGAAGAACATGGGCGCCCCGATGATGAAGATGCGGTCGAGGGTCTCGGGGTAGTGGGCCGTGGCCAGCTGGCTCGCCGCCTGCATGTGCGCCTTCAGGTACCAGAATTGCCGGAGGCCGACGCCCGACACGTCCACAATGTTCGTGCTGAGAGTGATTGGCGTCTCTGCATTGTCGCGATCCGTAAGGTTGGTGCACAGCGGCTGCGCGAAACGCGTCAAGTTCTCGTACAGGGCGAACAGGCGAAGGAGCTTGGGGGGTGTGCTGCCGTCAGGGTGGGCCCTGCTGTACGTGTTCTCGGCCGTCTTCTCGTAGTGTGATATCGTCTTGGAGTCCAGATGGCGGATCTCGAAGAGGTAGAGAGGGATGCCTCTGCGATCCAGATTGTAAGTGTGTGTTTTAAAAGGGGGGATATTAGATCAGTTCGGGGGTCAACCTTCGATCCCTTCGTCCGGTCCATTGAGGATACTGCACAAGTTGTGTTAGGTCTCTGCTGCATCGCCTGTCCTCCTCGAGGGCCACTTACCAATTGCCGGCTTTGGTCATATGCATCCGTGTCGATGGTGTTGTAGAGGATGTCTAGCTGGTTCGCTGCGCGCCATTCCTCGGTTTGCTTGAACTGCTCGTAGGCATCTTGGACAATCCACCGGCGGGCCCGGAGAAAGCGGCTGCCGGTTACCGGGCGGAGAAAAAGTCAATAATCGTGCTCGCCTGCAGCTGCATTGTAAGGCACAACGGGTGGGACCGACGTACAGCAACGTGGGATCGTCGTGAGAGGCCGGATGTCCCGGCATGTACAGCCCCTTTTCCTGGAGAAAGAGTTTGAAGTTCCGGAACGCGTCCTCCTCATCCGCATTGAGATGCCCGAGGTGGCCATGAGGGTAGCCAAATTCTTGGCCAGCGTTGCTGGCCGTCGACTGGACCCGTTGAGCAGGCGCCAAGGTGGCGGACGCTGCGCTCATGGTGGAAGGTCGATGGCTGCGAGTTTATAGCCCACGGCAGCAACGAGGGATGTGGGGTGTGTCTGTTGGGGTTATCGGGGGTGGCAGTGACGGACCATTGACTTTAAAGCATCTTTTTCCGGGACTTGCGGCAGTGATGATAATATCCTAAAGTCGCTTTGGCCCGGGGGTCGGTGGAGCAGGTTGCCGGGTCTTATCGCCGGGGCTTCTCATACCGCCGACACTCCGAGATATCCCCTTGTTGCATTCAACTGAAAATTCAATTAAGCGAATTAACCTTTCAACACATATCGGATGACGTCACTTGACTTGCAGCCTCGAAGCTCACGGGTCTCAACTGTTTCAACGTGTGGAATTCGAATTCATGGTCAAGCTTACCTGAGGTAGGTAGGTACCGTATGAAGGGTCTGAAGGAAGCACCACAGACTGCAAAAAAATGACTGGTGCAACCTTGGGGGAATTTATGTCAACGATTGGCATGGAGACCGGCAGGGGGGGGGGTTCGTAGGTCCAGATGGTCATCGCAATCCGGGTGGAAGGGCCGAAAAGGTTCCCCGTGGTAGCTGACACAGTCGTGGCAGACATCCATGGTGTCTCGGATGACTTGGGCAGCCGGTGTGATTTATTACCAGCCCATTGAGCGCAAGGTTAGTCTCCTGGATACCTTAGGTAGGTAGGTAGCTTTCGTGGTATGCCCCCTTTTCGAAAAGAGCTGAAATCGGAGAAGGGAGTTGCTGACTACAAAACCTTAATCCACGGCAAGGGCAGGTGCTATCTAACAGCAAATGGCAAGAGCCATCGACAGTGCCGCAAATGTGAAGGAATGCTGACGGGGGGGTGCAGCCATGGCACGACATCAGCCTTATGAGGGTGACTAAGTAGGTAGGTACTGTATCGACTTATTAATTGGCTCGACTCTCATGAGAACCATGGCACTGCAAATCTCCCATCATGGCGAGCAAGAAACCCATAATTATGTTCGTCCACGGCGCGTGGCATACCCTTGAACACTATCGTGTTTTTCTAGCCATCCTCCAGAGCAAAGGCTACACGGTTATCGCACCCGACTTGCCGTCAAGGACTGTCGAAACTGTGGTTGACCCAACCAAGGCGGATATAGAACTCATTGCAAGCATAGCCCGGAACTCGCCAACGAAGGGCAAGGGATTGTAGCCCTGGTCCACTCCTATGGCGGAGTCGTAGCTACAGAAGCATTTAGCGGACTCGGCATTGAAGCCAGGAGGTCACAGGGGCTAAACGGCGGTGTGAGGCGGATCGTCATTGTTGCTGGATTCATACTAGAGAAGGGCGTTTGCATCGAGACCAGCGCCCCGATAGATTCTTTGGATTGGTGTTACTATGAGGTATCATAGCCCCCAGAAAAGAGATAATGGTTCTATGCTGACCCGATATGTCAGGGTAGCCTCAAGGTGATAGACCGGAAGCTAGATGCTGGGCCGTTCTTCTACCCGGACATCTCCCACCAGGACCAGCAGAGCGCGCTGAGACGCCTTGTCAAGCACCCGAAAGCTTGCTCTTTCTACTCGCCCGAGAACAAGGCATACACAGAGATAGATACGACGTTTGTCTACTGTGGGAAGGTCATGGCGTTCCCACAAGCAGCACAGAGAGATATGATCATGTCACTGAAGGATCGGAGGGTCAAGGTTGACGAGGAGTCACTTCCAAGTGGCCACTTTCCAAGCCTGAGCATGCCAGATAGGCTCGCAGAGATAGTGCTCAAATACTGTGCATAGGATAAAAAGTAAAAACTGATGGTCTCACAGGGTTACACACCGGCTGCATCTTTGTTTGCCTGCAGCGCCAGGCCGCCCGTCTGACTAGGATCTGATGCATGCTCCCGTTTCCAACCTAACAGAACTGATTAATCATGTTTGCAGCTGGAGAGTGAGGTCTATTTTTGAATCTTTTTGGTTCCCCCCCAACCCCCTCCAAGTTTCAGTCCCCGACTCATGATTTATACTTTATACCTTTGCCGACCAAGGGCAACTCCAAAACCAATACGGCTGGAGTGGTTCACCCCAAGATTGAGGCTAAGATGCCGCCCAAGATCAACGACTTGCAGCGATTCGGTTGCGGAAAGGGGTGCAGTAATCACCTAGACCTTTTCCCACCAAGACCTGGATCTGGATGGACCGACGACGACCTCCAGAGCCTCGCGTGCACAAGAACTGTTCTGTCAGACCCGTTGCTGAACAAGATCCTCGCCCTCCTCGACGTCCAACAAGTCGGCATCGAAATCCAACTTCAGAAGCACGTCAGGGACACTACCTTGATCAAGAGACTCGGGGAAGGACTGCTGCCATTTCAGGTGAAAAATCGCCTCGCAATCCCGGAGAGGAAGTTCGTCTTGATCCCGTGGCGTCCCGATCAGAAAGCGGCTGGTATTAGCCGACTACTACTGCTTGCCATCTGCTTCCCGGGATTCTTGACAGGAAAAGACAGCCTCGTCTGTTTGGTGTACGACATCTTGGCCAAGCCAAACGTCAAGTCTGAGCCTTGGCCTGAAGGCTGTGACCAGGCAGTCCAACATGCCTGTTCGTTGGTGGCACATTCCTACAACATCCAGAATCCTGGCCAAAAAAAGTATGAAGTCTGTCGTGCGGTTCTGGCGCCTCCCACGGGAGGGGACGATGCCTCGATTCCGCACCTGGGTGTGATAAATACGGTCCAGAGGATCCTGGAGAGCCGCGGTGCGCAACTCAGAGTCGACTTCAGGGCTGAGCCGCCATCTCTTCGCACACCTTACGACGTCAGGAAAGCGGTGCTTGGTCTGATAGGCAACCACTATGGTTCCGTGCCTCCCTCGACTCCTGCCAAAGATGCATGCGAGAAGAATAATCGTGGTAAGACAACCCCTTTTTGGCCCTTGAGACTGCACGTCCATGAATTGACGCGAGGGAATACGCAAAGGCGGGCTTTCAACTTCGCAAAGCGAGGGTCGTCTGGCCACTTCCGAGCCAAGCCCGACGCGAGCATGGAAGAAGGGAGGTGCCGCTGCACCCCGTGCGGATGGGGAACAGGGGGGATGGGCATCCAATGACGAGGACGAGCTCTCCCTCGTCGGTGCTCACGCCTTGATGGGAACTCGGAACGGGAGTACTAGGGCCAGGGCTGCGAGCCGATCTTCCCTTCCTCCTCGACAGCCAAGGTCCCTGGAGGATGGCGGAAACGGGCACTCCAAAGGCGGAAGCCGGCCTGCGACCGGGAATAATGGCGCCGGAAGCAATGGCGCCGGGAACCATGGTTCCAACATAACGACAGGGCCAGAACAAAGATCGCTGACCGTTGACCTCCAATGCTGCAAGGCCGTGACCATGTCTTCGCCAGCGGGTACGGAAAATAGCGGCGCTCCGACTGAGAGGAGCACACCGCTCACCACGCCAGACGGCTCCCTCGCCAAGGGCGGAGCCACTTCACCGGCCGAGGCCAGCCGCTCGCGCCCGAGCGAGCCACGCGCGATGCAGCCGGCCAATGCAGCAATCGTCCCAGCCTTGAAGCGGGCCGCCGAGGGTCCGGACGAAGGCGAGTCGGCAACACAGCGCAGACGCCTGGAGGTCGCCGGAGCGCAGGAGAGGTCGCCAATCTCAGTGCTCCTGGACCGGGTGCTGTCGGAGGCGGTGGGGATTGGCCCGCAGGTGGAGGCCTTGCGGGAGGCGGAGAAGTCGGCTGAGCAGGGTCTCAGGCGCGTGGTCGACGGGATGAAGACGCACATCGAGACGAACGTGTTCAGCTGTGGGGGCCTTGTCAACGCGGAGTTCCTGGTGCTGGAGAAGGAGAGGGAGCGCGAGGCGGTGAACCTCAAGAGGATTACGGAGGACAAGAGGTTCGCTGAGGGAGAACAAGAAAGGGTCCAGCTGCTCTGCCGGGAGTTCTTGAAGAGGTTTGATTAGCATGGGGTTCGCCTCGGCCAGGTTTCTGCAGCGCCTGTACGTCACAAGGCATGGAAAAGTACTGCTATGAGCTATGATAGGTATTAAATTATGTTTGCTCGCCCCTACAGCTCAAACAATGTTGCAGGAAGACATTTGACAAGCATAAGCGCTGTCGCCATTGCGGTTGCTGTTGATGCTGTCTAGACGGAGCAGAACCCCCGCTTTTCAACAACCCCAGGATAGTGATATCGTTTAATCTCGCCATTCCACTTTACCGAGTCCGGCACTACATTGAGCAATGCGCTAGACAAAAAAGTGCGAAAAAAGTACGGATGTAAATCGGCAACAAGAATGCAAGCGCGATAACCATCATAACCCTCCCCCGCCATCTCGGGACTCTCCAGATGGCGGCGCAAACCCTCTACAGGTCGCTGCTCCGGCGCCAACTCCAGTTCTTTCGATCCCGCCCACAGAGCCAGAGACGAGGCCGGTCCTCCAAGCCCGATGGACAATCAAAACCAGGCCCCGAGGAGGGCCAGATCCCCGTCGCCAACAATGTCCCGACGCTCCCCTTCTGGCAGAGGCTCGGTCCTCTGACGCGCGTGGCCGAGGCGTATGCGAGAGCCCAGCGAACGAGGCCGTATGTGACGCAGCTGTGCAGTTCCCTGGTCATCTACCTTTGCGCCGATTTCTCGGCGCAGAACATGAGCGGGAAAGAATACGATCCGGAGCGGACGGGGAGGTCGTTGACCATCGGTGCCATATCATCGATTCCGAGCTACGAATGGTAAGAATATCCTTGGCTTCGGAAACACGCTGGCGGAGACCAGGCAGCCGGAGGGGTGGCGCTGACGGTTTCATGGCTCGACAGGTTCATGTTCCTCTCGCGGAACTTCAACTACGCGTCGCGCATCCTCTCACTCGTGACCAAGGTGGTCGTCAACCAGCTCTGCTTCACGCCGGTTTTCAACAGCTACTTCTTCGGGATGCAGTCGTTCTTGGCGGGCGACAGCATGGCCGAGGTGTGGGAGCGGATCAGGCGGACCGTCCCCGTCAGCTTCGTCAACTCGCTGAAGCTGTGGCCTGCGGTGACGGCGTTCAGCTTCACGTTCATCCCGCTGGAATACCGGAGCATCTTCGCCGGCGTGATCGCTGTCGGCTGGCAGACATATCTGAGTTTCCTCAACCGCATGGCCGAGGAAGCGGAGCCGTCAAGGAAGGACGAGCATTCCGCGCCGTCATTGAAGCCGAAAATAGAGGCATAGAGGCATTAGATAGACGTGAGATCTGAGGTGGGATCTAGAGAGGCACATGCATTGGACTGGGCGTTCAGGCGTTGTATACCGACATACACAAGTAACATATTGATATCAATAGTAGAGATAGTGATACCAAGGGGGAATCCCATCCACTCAAGAGTCACAGTATCACCTGTCAATTCGCACGGTATGAAGCAACCCACAACCGAATTATCATCAGACCTCCACCCTCTGCCGATTGTGACGGTTGAAGCTTAAATAAACACTCAATTCGTGCATCTACCGGCCATTGAGTGCTGGCTCGGCCCAGTGACTCCGATTCAAGATGGCGTCCCATTATATACGAGCCAGGCATCCGCTTCAAACAGCGCTTCGGCCGCTGAAGAGCCCGAGTTATCGAACATTTCAGGCCAGACCCGCCAACCGAACCTCGCAACGGTCCGCGTCCTCGACGAGCTCGTCCAGCTCTACAGACTCGCTGCTGCTCTCACGGCTGAAAACCATTGCATTCGGCGCGTCGGTGGCGGCATCATCATACCTTGTCTTCCTCTACGCGACCGACACGCGGGCGTCCATCCACCAGTGGCTCATCCCGCCCCTCATCCGCGCCCTCTTCCCCGACGCCGAGGACGCCCACCACGCCGGCACGACGGCCCTCAAGGTCCTCTACCCCCTGGGCCTCCACCCCCGCGAGCGCCCGCCGCGCAGTAGCAGCCAACAGCCCGGTGGTGCCGACGACGACCTCTCGGTGACCGTGTTCGGCGCCCGCCTCGCCAACCCCATCGGCATATCCGCGGGCCTGGACAAGGACGCCGACGTCCCCGACGCCCTGTTCGCCCTGGGCCCCGCCGTCGTCGAGGTCGGCGGCTGCACGCCCCTGCCCCAGGACGGGAACCCGCGCCCCCGCGTCTTCCGCGTGCCCGCACTCGACGGCCTCGTCAACCGCTACGGGCTCAACTCGCGCGGCGCCGACGCCATGGCGGCGCGCCTGCGCGCACGCGTCAGGGCGTTTGCGCGGCGGCTCGGCGTCGCCGAGAGGGACGTGCTGGACGGGAGGGTCGAGGTTGATGTCGTCGGTCAGGGGCGGGTGGTGCCGCCGGGGGGCCTGCACCCGGGCCGGCTGCTGGCGGTGCAGGTGGCCAAGAACAAGGGCACGGACGAGAAGGACGTGGACGCGGTGATTGGCGACTACGTGTACTGCGTCAAACGCCTGGCGCCGTACGCGGACGTGCTGGTGGTCAACGTCAGCAGCCCCAACACGCCCGGCTTGCGGGACCTGCAGGCGACGGAGCCGCTGACGAGGCTCCTGAGCGCCGTGGTGGAGGAGGCCGGGCGGGCGGACCGCAGGACGAAGCCGAGGGTCATGGTCAAGGTGTCGCCCGACGAGGACGACGAGTCCCAGATGGAGGGCGTCGTCCAGGCTGTGTGGATGAGCGGCGTCGACGGCGTCATCGTGGGCAACACGACGAAGCGGAGGACCGGGTTGGTGCCGCCGGCGCTCGCGCTGTCTAGGAAGGATCAGAGCGCGTTCCTCGAGGACGGCGGGTTCTCGGGCCCGGCCATGTTCGACAGGACGCTTGACCTGGTGAGGAGATATAGGAAGATGCTGGACGGGCATTCCCTCCAGGCGGGATCGGGGCCTTCCGCTTCCCCGGTCCCGGCGGTAGGTGGCACCGTCTCTGGCAAGGTTGCGGAACCGGCCGGGCAGAGCTCGGAGCAGAAGGTCATCTTCGCCACAGGAGGCATCACGAATGGCGAGCAGGCCCTGAAAGTCCTCAATGCTGGGGCGAGTGTTGCCATGGTCTACACGGGATTGGTGTATGGCGGGTCGGGGACCGTCACGAGGATAAAGCGCGAAATGAAGGATGAGCTGCAAAGCTGATGGACAATGGACTTTGTAGATTATTATGCTAGAAGCTAGATTAGAGGGTTCTTTCCATCGCCAGTCCAGAAACCCCGTTCTCAGACGTGAACCCATGCTCCGTTAGGCCCCTACCCCCTTGCATGCTAGAGAGTATGTTCGTAGCAAGGCTGACCTGTGACCTGCAATTGATTGTACGCCGGTTGAGGACTTGGTAGGGAATCGCAACACTTCCTTGTAATACTCTACCTACTTAAGTGGAGAGACACCTCCCGGGTATGGAAGTTTCTTCGCTCTCCTCTGAGGGACGCCGTCTTAGACGCTGTTCACTTCAGGGGTGTCATTCCTCAACTCTCAACTGTGACAGCCACAAGAAGCACATGTTGTGCTTGAACATAGCCAGACGGAGCTCTACAGTGCCACTGTCGAAAAAGACTGGGATTTCTGCTGGTTGCCTCGCATAGCAACCCGAGTATTCTGTATGTCGCTGATTCTCCGGGGCAGACAATGAGAGGCTGGCTGGCCCAACACCAGCCCCTATCAGCCCATGATGTCAACTGTTCCACAGCATGATCCAGACAGGTCATTCTTCTCATGGTGTTGAGATATACTTCTCCACGCCAGTCTCGCCTACCGGCCCGCAACGAGGATAGTTTTGAGTCTGTGTGTGGTGGGTGAACTGAGGGTCCCTGACACCCCTGACACAGACAAAACGCAATGCCGCTCCTTCGATCCATGCAACCCGAACCGAACTGTTGGAGACATGACGCAACGTTTCCGCTTCTACGGATTATAATTTGTGTTATCTCTTTTCCCGGCGCCGCGTACCAAGCGACAAGATCCCTTTGATGTCGGCCCGAACCCCGAGGAGTGGAATAAATGTTTTTATCTTTGGAGCGTACCGACATCAGCCAAGGGTCATCGGCTACGAGGCCGCTCATGTGAAGCAGATCACAACGCCGTCGTTCTTGTTCGTCGTGCGAGCCGTGTGGCCCAGGAATCATGGATCGCCGGGCGGCATGATATGGGGAGTTTGGTACCCCGTAGATCTCGATAAGCCAGATTTGGAAACCGTTGCAGGGAGAGCCAAGGGAGGAAGAACTAAGAAGTAGAAAAACTGTTTGCTAAGAAAGGGGATTGCGGCTATATTGAAGGTCACGTCACGTCACACCAAGCTGGGAATTTAGCGAGTTTCAGAGCCGACATCCTGCGCATCAAACAGGCGAGAGTTGACAAATGTTTATTTTTTTTTAATTAAGCCGTCTGCAAGCTGCAGAGCACTACCGGCCCGTGCAAGCCACCTCATTCTCGTTAAGCGGTCCCGAGCATTTGCGAGCCAGTTTTCCCGGGCAGAGAAGAGAGGAAGGGCCTTCAGAGACGGGACGGCAATTTGTGGTGAAGCCCCACGGGTCAACGAGAGGAGCAATGGAAGCTTTGGCGATAGATTAGTAGGAATATCCTGAAGCAATTCACGTGGAGTAGTGATGAACAGTGAATCCACACAAACACCAACACCGAAGAAGATAGATCAAATTGAAATGATGCCGCTTGATATTAAATTCCGCAAAGTAAAAGTACAAGACTGTCAACTGCTCAAATGGATATACTCACCCGCCAGGACTGCCCGCCAACGACGTCGCCGCCGGCATCCGCGACGACCACGCCGATGTGATCTCGGTCGTCGAGCCGTCCCGGGACGACGACGGCGTCTTGGGCGGCGACTCGGGCATGCGGTCGATGTGGTCGAGGCTGAAGGGGTCGGCCACGGGCCTGCGCCTGTCCTTGCGCGAGCCGCCGACCGTGACGAGGTACTGGCGCACGTGGTTCGGCGGCTCGTCCGTGTGCCGCCGGTAGCCCGTCGGCAGCAGCCGCGGGAAGACCCTCGCCACCAGCGGCCGCAGGGTCATGCAGCAGGCGCAGATGATGGCGATGTTGAGCTCGATGCACGTCCAGATGGCCACGGTCGCGGCGTCCCAGGTCGGGTCGGTGGAGCGGCTGAGTGTGATGAGGGAGGGCAGGCGGAGGAGGGAGACGAGGCAGACACTGTGGAATAGACACATACTGTGAGCAGGCGATCGGGGGGGCACGGGGCACAGTTAAGGATCTTGGGGAGTTGCCTCACACGCTGCCGAATGCAAACAGCACGTAGAGCCCGATCTTCTGGGCCCTCGGAAGATTGAGCTTGTAGATAAAACGGACGGGCAGGACGAGGATGATCAGCTCGGTGAGGATGTGGATGGTAAAGTCGGACCACCATTTCGGAGGCCCAGGGAAGCACCATGCGTCGGGGTGGCTCATTGGATCCCATGCGGCGGCCACTGGAACGCAGGCGAGGATGCTAGAAATGAGTGTCCAGAAGCCGAGGACGCCGACGATGATGATGACAGCATGGCAGAGGCGGTGGATGGTCGTCGAGCCGAAGATGCGGAGGTAGAGCAGCAGGATGGAGAGCTTGACTGTTACCAAGCTGACGATGTAAAAGATTGTCTTGAAGTAGGCCGCCTACCCTCCAAAGTTAGCAACACGGTTTTGTGGTTCGGGGAGGCCACTCGCGGTTTGCATACCTTGTCTCCATTTATCATTCGATCAGGGGAATCAGGGGAAGCAAGGACCGCTGTGAGGTGCCTTCCTGTCACACCAACAGTCACTTCTAAGTACCGGGAATATCGTCAACCCCGCTGGTCTTTCCTCGCAGTTTTCAGTTGGTAGTCGAAGTAGGGGGCCAACTCACCAAAGGTTGTTGCTATGGAATTACCGATGGAAAACAGCTGGGATGAGAGAGTCAGCGCATTTACACCACAAGAGCGTATACATATGGGAATGAATGGATGGCTAGGTTCTCACCAGTGCTATCAAGATGGCCCAATCCGAGAGGCCGAAAGCCCGGACGACGGTCCATCGGGTGAGGAAGCGCACAAGAACAAAGCACGAGGAAATTGTCACGGTCACGGCCGCAGCCGCGATGACGGAACCGTCCTTGGACTCGAGATCGGACGGGTTGTCACTTATTGTGGCCATATATGCCTATGCTCAAGGTTTAATCAATAATTCTTGGGCCGCAAGGTCCCTCGCATATCCAAGGGGGGGGCCATTGCCTTGATAAATAAAAAAAAGGAGCCAGCCATAAGCCAGTCAGTCATGAACCTGAAGCATGGGTGGCGGCGGCATGAATCATGAGTGGCGCGCAGAGCCGAGCTCGTTCAGCCTGCGGGGACAGGCGGGAGCGGGCCAGGGTGCCCCCCAGTTTGGGTGTGAAGGATCGGCCGATCCCCCTGGTCTGCACGCACCGACTTGATGATCCAGAAATCGACATCTGTACACATCTATGGCGTAGTATGTTGGATCCGAGTGTCAGCATTGAGGAACTTGTGTGGAGCTCAGGTCGTGCATGGGCTGAACCGCTGAAGGGCACAGACATTTGGACCCACTTTCATCGTCGCTCACTATACCCGGCTGCGATAGCGCCAACCTAATTTGAACCCCTACCATAGGTATCAGTATAACGTATAAAGGTGGTACAGTACGGCAAATCTTCCGTGGCTGCAACTAGGCAGGGGAAACCTTTGAACTTGGCAAGAAACTTTCAGGGAAAACGCAGCAAGAAATTTGGGGATTTTCAATGTGTGGTGTTGGCCAAGTGCCCTAATAGCCGGTTGACGTCGACGTTGTCCCTACAAGCCGGCAAAAATTGGTCCCATAGAACTTGATTCACCAACCCCAACACCCTCACGCCTCCCGGCGCCTTCCTTCCCAACTACCGCATCATTTCTCGCTCTCGCTCTGCAGAGATCGAGCACGTTAGGCTCGTTTGTGTCGCAAAGCATGGACGAGACTCACAAGGTGATTGTTTTGGGCTGGCCATCGTCCTCACCAGCTCGCGGCCACCCGTGAACCAGATGACCAACGCGGTGCCAACGAATATGACGCTCACGATGGTTGCGGTGCTTACACCGTGGCTGCTGGCGGCGAGGCCAAAATGCTTCTCCAGCGCGACAGCGCTCAATGGCTGCTGCCCTTCTCGTGTGGTTTCTGGCAGCAGAGTGATATTAGCAGAGGCGCCGTAGTGGAGGCCGGAAATTTGGGGGGGGGGGGGGGGGGTCACTGCTTATCCTTAACTACGAATCGAAGCATCCCTCGAACGATTGCGTTATCGTAGGGCGACGAGTGGAAGGTTACAATGGTGTTTAGGACATTTGGTTCCTCGGAAACTAGGTGCAAGGCCAATTCGACTGTTGGGTAGGTGGGACGGAAGAAAGGAAGGAAAGGCATTTTTGCAGGCTGAAAAGCTAATGGAACAAAAAGCTGAGACCGTGAGATGCCCGTCGATTGTGGGACTTTTCCTGAGCTGCGCGTAATTTTCGCAATGTTGGGCATAGGAAAGCCTGCGTTGGGCGTGGCCTTGTCTTTTATAGTTCGGGAAGGAGAGAGGAAGTGAAGAAGAGAGGAAGTGAAGAAGAGAGGAAGTGAAGAAGAGAGGAAGTGAAGAAGAGAGGAAGTGAAGAAGAGAGGAAGTGAAGAAGAGAGCCAGCCATCTAATCTAGGTACCGAGTACAATCTTATCTAGCGATCCAGTTTTTGGTGTTTCTTTGTATTCACTTGACAAAACATGTACTCTGAGAAACCCTTGTATTATTTTATTGCCCATTTCCCCATTACTTCCATCGCAGCATTATGCAACTTCCTGGTTCTATCTTTATTCCTAGACGTCATCTACTTCTTTCTCAAGAGTCTGACCTTCTTACCTGAGCAATCCCCCGATCGTTACAGGGTCTATTTCTATGCATTCATATCTGCAAATTTTCCTTCTACCTGTCGTATCAACTCTTAAGCGCATAGCGCGGCATCAGAGCCTGTCTAAGGCCCAGGGTTCCGGCCTAGACTGGGTCATTGGTCCTGGAACTCGATTCCTAATCTCTAAAACCAAGACTCCGTAGTGTGCTCGGACTGAGCCTCCAAGGGGTATAGACTTAAAGTCTAGCATGAGTGAAGAAGGGTATGCGTCGGTGGTTCGAGCCCCCACACGCCACCCAGCTAGCCGCCTTCCCCGATACCTAATGAATGAAGTTAGAGAGCCGTGGCGTGATTAGGGCAGATGAACCAACTTTGACTGCTGTTCCCTTTATGTGTTACAGGCTCTTCAGGTAGTGAGTTTATTTCGCGACTGTTGGAAATTCCATGTATCTCATCTCCGAGATACTAGTAACGTCGATGTCGTGCATGGTAATTAAGTTGATTAAGAACCTCAGGTACGATACCGCGGGACCAAGCAGAACATCTGCTGGAGCGGGGTTTGCTGTGCTATTTTAGGTAAGCCTAGGCAGCCACCGGTCTCACACTGCCCCATCCCGTCCATTATCTCTACTTACCTTCCTAACCACGTTCTTGAATCGTGGGCAATCCCGCCCATCTTCATCCGCTTTGGATCTTGCCTTCGACGCCTGCTCTCCCCCTAGCATGTTCAGTCAGTCCCGGAGATTTCAACCTTAGGAGGTCTCATCCTTCTCAGTGCAACAAATCTAGAGAGGGGGCCTAATATGCTCCTTCCGGCCGCTCTTCTACTCGCAACCGGCCTCTTCGCACGCGCTCTCTCCCGAGGCGGGGCCCCCACACCGCAGGCGATAATGTCTGAAGAGATAGATATTGACCAACCCCATGTGGGCGGGATCAGGAATGCGTATAATATGGAAGAGCGGTGCAAAGTAATCGAACAGTTGGGAGGCACTTTCTACGCAGAACCTAGGGAGTGTCCGGACCTCGATTTGGCATAGGACTCCTCTCTGGCTTTAGATTGGACTCACTCCTTACAATTGTTTGGTTTATCACAGGGAATCTAGTACTATATATATATATAAACGGGTTGACAACCAACTTCGCTTTATCAATACCCACTCAACAAACCCAACTAGAGCAGGCAAGCTAGAATCAGTTTCACTGCCAATGGCATCGGATATGCTAGTTAGGGTCATCAAGACGTATCCCCTGTACAGTGGGCAACGCCCCGGTCCTACGCACTACCGTCAACAACCAGTATAGGGCACTCCTGCATAGACGTCGATATTTCTCCAGCAAAAGATCGTCCTTGTTGACATGGACACCCCGGGAGCCGTGTTTCTGACAACCTCTGATCTTGTGGCGGATGGCATCCACCCAACAAACCTTGGCCACAAAAAGATGGCCGCTATATTCGCGATGGAGTTTCGCTTCCGACTAGAGTTTTAGATGTTAGCCGGGAGGATCCGTTTCTCTTTATCTCGGGCGGCCTCAAGGCAGAGTATGTCGCTCTCAGTCATTGCTGGGGAGGAGCCCAGCCGCTTGTCACCACAGCATCAGCCATCAACGACTGGATACACAAGATCCCGATGAAACAACTTCCAACGTTGTATAGGGACGCAGTCATCGTGACCCGAAGCCTTGGCCTGAAATACCTATGGATTGATTCTATGTGCATCATTCAAGACTCCGAAGACGACTGGGCTGCAGAAGCGGCAAGCATGGGGAGCATCTACCGTCATTCGTACCTAACCATATTTGCACTCGACGCCCGGGACTGCCGCGAAGGAATTCTGATTCAGAGACCACGGTCAGCTACCTCCCCCGATGAGCGAGCCGCTAGAGAAGCCTTGCAGCCGTCGCCTTTCAGGCTTCGTAACATCTTCAGAAGCTCTCATCTGTGTCAACGAGCATGGGCGCTGCAAGAACGTCTCTTATCACCCCGCATCTTATACTACAGTACCTCCGAGATGTTCTGGGAGTGCCTTGCATGTACCGCCCAAGAGGGGAACACCAGGATCAAACCGGTCTATCCGTCGGAGTATGACTACTGCAGCTATCAGTGTGCTAATGTCAAGGCACATCTGATTCTACCCACCGGCTCAAACCCCTCGTTTCCACTCTGCCCCCAATCACACTGGTACATCATCGTCGGAGAGTATACGCGCTGCTTCCTGACCCTCCCTTCGGACAAGTTGCCCGCTATTTCTGGCTTAGCGTCGTTGTTTTGGGAGAAAACGCAGTACACCTACCTTGCCGGGCTATGGGTCGAAGATTTTGTTACCGGACTTCTGTGGTTCGCCCCTTGTGAACAGGATCAACGATGCCAGCTACCCTCACCACAGTACCTCGGCCCATCATGGTCATGGGCTTCGACAGACCTCAGGGTTCAGTACAAGCCCCTGACAAACAGGAGAGACTACCCAACCCCATCACCCGACGACGACATCCGCCTCATCAATTACTCTATTGAACACGCCACCGCGAATGTCATGGGAAGAGTCAACAGGAGCGCTGTTGAAGTTAAGGCTGGTACGCAAGATCTATACGTGGAAACTGCCAATGAGAACAACAGGAGATGCGTCTTGTACGGTGTCGATGGAGAGGAGTGCGGAGTGGGAATCCTGGATGCGCTGTACTTCGAAGTTGGAATCCGGAAACGGTGCTCCGGGATCTGGATCACGGAACGACGGTTCCAGCATGTCAAGCGGGGCGTCCTTGTGCCGACAACGTATTGGCTGTACTTCTTGATCATTGTGCCGGCGCCCGATACGGTAGCGAACAACACTTGGAGGAGAATTGGTCTCGGATGGACTACTATGTATTCGTACTGGAAGTTCCGGGCTGAGAAAAGAGTCATCGTCTTAGTTTAATAATAACTAGGCCGTCATTATACTGTTGTTGCTGCCTCAGTGCTAGTTTGATCGATTGCCTCCGGCCTGGCGGGCTACTCGGTAAAGCAACAGTCGTAGACCTAGGCCGTTGGATCCTTTAGTAGGTACGGAAGAATTATCTAGAGTATAGCTGGCCGTGCCATTCCAGTCTCGTCAGAATTGTCGGAATGTTTGACAGCAAAGACTGGCGGCAGTCTGCATTCTTCAGATGGTTGTGAATTCAAGCAGTGTGATGCTGAGGACATGAAATATGGTTTGGGGCATGGCCTTGTTGGCAGCAGTCTGTGTTCTTCTTGAGACAGTCATAAATCCATGGCAGTGTGATTCTTAAGCACAGTGTTGTGAGACAGATCTTGCGACGTCCTGGCAGGGGCTGTGTATGAGGTAGGTAGTCTCTTCGTCTTGCTCAGCACTCTTCGACCGGCCAACAACGAAGATGTCTCTACCTTTTTACGCACTTACCCGGCTCGTACGGTAGTCACGCCATATTCGAATTATCCCGGCAACAACCCTTGGAATTTTCTTGAGTCGCTGCCTCCATCCAGGCGCCATACAAGGCTTCGGCCTAATCAGGTGCGTCACTTCAGCACCGCCTGGGCACCTAGCTGCTGATCCAGCGGGGTTGCAAAGCTAAACTGGAAGCATCTCAATTCCCACCACAGCTAACCATTTCTTTTGCTTTTCATATTATTATAATAAATACATGGTTAACCGAACCCGTGCCCGAGTCCGTTAGCTCAGCGCAACCACCCGTTTGCGCAAACAAACGGTGGACATAGGTGGGTGAACCTGGACTTCTGTAATTATTGATTCATTACAGCTGGTAAAGCCCACGATTTCTCAGCAACCCCATCCTTACTTAACAGTCCAGGCTCGACATGAAACCACTTCAGAACCAGCAACAACCTCCCAACCGCCCCCGACGGCCCCTCGAGCACGCCGACATCCAAGCCGCCCACCTCCTTCTATGGATGCGTTTTGGCCGCCATGCCCCACATAGCGAGGGCCATGTCTTACCCAGCCCTTCTTCCGACCACCAGCAACGCATCCCAGGTGCCACCGCCGCAACACATCTCCCCCCGGCGCGTGAGCACCCTGCCACCCGACCACAAGAGCAAACTCAAACCAAGGACTGCATCCACGTCAGGACTGACCGGCCGTCACAACCGCCCGGGACGAGCCGTCGGAACCATTCCCCCTCTTGCCTCCCCCTCCTACGGCCTCGCGCGCCCACGACCAAGTCAATACATCCCGGAGGACCACCATCGCCATCCATCGCTAGGTGTAAGAGCCGACCGGTTGGCTCGCCAGCGACGACGACTAGGGGCGAGACAAAGCCACCTCGCCCGGGCGATCGGCAAGGCCCGCTCGTTGCTGTCGGGGGGTCGGTGTCGATGCCGATGCTGGTGCGGAAGACGGACGGCTTGGACTGTGGGCAAGGGAGGTTCGTCGTCATGGTGTGGTCTGAGTAGGGGCGCAAGGTTCCCGACAAGAGGGTAAGTAAGGGGCGGTATTTGGGTGAATTAATGCATGATCCAAAGAAGGGTCTTTTTTTTTTTTTTTTTGGATAACGGATGGTTAGGGATTCTGGGCGTAGGGGGCTTTGATAGCGGTGATGGTAAATAATGATGGTTTGGCTACGAGCATTCGGGAAGTAACCACTCCAAAACCGAGGCAATTGTCAACAGAGACACAATCCAGGAATCGAATATATCAGTGACCGACTAAACCATTGCAAAACCAACATCATAATTCATCGAATCCCCAAAGCAAGCAAACAAGAAGCTTTGACAACGAATGGGTATAATCCAACATCAACATCAAAGATGAAGTGGTATCCGAAGGCACGACATAGCCGCCCAAGATGCTTAATGCCCCAACAGCCGCAACGCAGCACCGGCCCAGCCCCAACAATCTCGTAGTATCTCCGAGGGGCCTCGACATTGCCAAGCCAAATCCAACAAAAGGAGAAAAAAACACAAAAGCACAGACGCCGGGAGGGGAGGGGGAATCAAAACATATCATCCTCATCCAGAGCGCCATCCCACCGCTTCGCAACAAGCTTACGCATCTTCTTCGGGCTCCCGCCGCTCGAATTGCGCACCGCATCGCCATCATCGCTGACCCGCAACCTCTCCATCTTCCTGTGCAGCCCGCCATCGCCAGCTCCCGTCTTGGCGCGTCCGGGTCTCGGGCTACCCGTGTCCGCCACGGCGGCGCGCGTCTTGGGCGGCGATGATGACGACGACGAGGCTGCCCCCATTAACACCACGGCGGCGGCGGCGGCTGTGGCGTCGCTGGGCCGCTCGCGGAGCGGGACCCTCTTGGTCGGGCTCATGCCCGCCAGCTCGCGGCGGAGGACTTCGTTGTCTCGGCGGAGCCGGTCGTTCTCCTCGGCCATGTCCTCGACCAGGACGTTCTCCTTGTTCTCGCCGTCCTCGTCGACGTCGCCGCCGGCACCCATGGTGCGCTCAAACACCTCGATCTTGCGCCCCCAGTGCTCCTCGCCGCGCTCCATCTCGACCTGCATGTTGGCGCGCCACCTCGCCATCTCGATGTCCAGCCGCCGCTCGAACTCGCCCGTGCAGTCCTCGCGGATCGCCTGCTCCAGCTCCAGCATCCGATCCTCCATCGAGAGCAGGTGCGCCTCGGCCTCCATGCGCGCCGACTGCTCCGACTGCAGCGCCTGCCGCAGGTACTCGACCTCCTCGGACAGGCGGGCGATCTCGAGCGCCGCGTGCTCCATCGTGGACCGGTGCTCGTCGCCGCCCGAGCTGCAGGCGCCGGGGGAGAAGGTGCGCTGCATGTTTGGGCCTGCCGCCGAGCCCGAGCTCGATCCCGGCGGGAGGAAGGGTCGGTGGTACAGCGGCGGGGAGCCGACGGGGCTGGAACACTGACCCTGGGATGGAGGTGCATGTGCGGTAGTGGCGGCGGCGGCGGCAGAGAGGATCGTCTGTGTTATGCTCGGGATGCGGGGGACGGTGATCTCGCGGGCAAGCGCGCTGTAACGGAGAATCTGCGACGTTGCGTTGAAATCCCCAAGCGGATCTGCCGTGACGATCATGACTGCCTTCTGCGGATTCCGCCGGGAAGTGACAGATGACGAGTAAGACGACACCGAAGGGAAGGAGTTGGAGAAGAGCAGCTCGGTGAGCTTGCATTGCCGAAACGGCACGACGCCGGGCTGCATGTATTTCGTCAGAATGGGTGCGGGCCTGGGCGGGGGATGGGGGAATGGGGAGAAGAGAGGCGCTTACCTTGTCCTTGTTTGCTGAATCGCTCTGCATCTGAAGACACTGACCCAGATACATCAAGCTTTCGTTAATCTTGCCCGCCTCGGCGAGCGTGGCACCGGCAGTCTTGGCATCCCTCGCGCGCTCACTGCCAGCAAGATCCACGATCGTCAGGGTGCTACCTCCCCATGCCGACTCCATAGGGTAATTCCGGGTGTGTTTCGCGCGCTTCTTGACTTCAACACAAATGAAGCCATGACTCCGTGAGCTTACGCTATTGCTGCCCGTGCCAGCGACGCGACGTTCGTGGAGCCCTGCCTCGAGGACCATCAGCGCCTGCTGGAGGCTACCGCATACAACCTTTCTAAGCCCTGCGACGACTTTCCTGTCAGGTGAGGCCTCTGTTGGCTTGAACAGCAAAGGGCGACGGCGATACTCCTTTGTAGCGGCAGACTTGATTGGGGGGGTTAGCAGGTCGAAGATGCGGTCGTTGTATACCTCGTACATGGAGATGACAACGGCATACTCGCATGCAGGGTCACAAGACACGGATAGTGCGCTGATATCCGGTTGTTGGGGAAGTGCTGAAGGCCGGTTGAGGAGCCGCCGGGACGGGGTGGGTGGTGGCCCCATAAACTCGCCCTGATCATGGTAAGCTTTAGCATTATTCTTCTTTTGTCGGACTGAAGCAGTGACTGCCATGAAATGCATAGTTGAATCGTTCTTCTGCTTCTGCTTCCGAGTTGGGGTCATGCCATGCTGCAACAGTTGATACGGAACATCATGATGCAGCCCTTGCATGGTATTGGACTGCTTGAGACCAAGAATGGCGTCCGAAGCGAGTCCCTCTCCAAACTTCAACTTGGATGGGGTTAAGAAGGGACCCTGCGAGGCCTGATAAACTGCCCTGCGAACAACCCGGACCGTCTTTGGGCTATCAGATAAGCCCGGAAGATCGGCCAGGTTGCCTTCTGAACCACCCATCCGAGGGCATGGATTAAGAGGGGAGTGGTGGGGGGCACCTCTAGCCAAGGAAAAACGAGAAGCAACGTGAGGGGACCGTACAATCATTGGGGTGGGAGCCCTTGAGTTTGGACGAGATGACGCTGAGGAGTCGGCGTACACGGACTCAATAAACGCAGAAGCTGAGCATATGGCACCCTCCGATGGGTCGGAAGCACTGATGGATGCTTCGAGGTTTGGGCGAGAGGCGCAGCCAACAATGTTATGGCCGAGAGAGCGGAAGACGACATCGAGGGCCAGCTGTGTCAGGCCGCGCTGGGTCCTTGACCCGAGGATGGTGTGTGACTTCGCATAGGAGTCTGTCAGCCTCGATTGTGCACCACGAAGATGGGCCTATTATCAACAAACCTTCCCTGAGCCAGTCACGCCAAGCGTGGCAAGCAATGCATCTGTTCCATCTCCTCCATGCGGAGCCAGCACGCCCTCGACAAGTGGCACCACGCCGGTGCAATGGAAAACATCCAGTTGAGTGGCATCCTCCTCGAAGACTCGGGTGAACGCGAACTTTTCGATTGCGCGCCGGCGGTCGTTTGGAGGGTTCAGTGTGATGTGTGTTGGCGCCGCATCGTCTGTGGCGGGCTCTTCAACAGTCAAGAATCGCTCGGCTGACGGCGAAGCCCCTGCTTGGGGTGGACGCAATCGCAGGAAGACCTGGAAGAGGTTGTGCGCCTTTTGTGATGTGGAAGGCGCCGAGTCCATTGTGAAGCAGAAAGTACTCGATACTCGACTGAGGTCTTTTTTCTGTTTTCTTCTCCGTTGATGGTGATGCAGTGAGGAGTGGAAGCCGATTATTTTCAGATACGACGCATCAATGTTATTTACTTTTGCCCATTCCTGGCAGGGGTAACTGGCCTAGCAACCGATAAGATAACGAACGGGCCATTCCGCATCGCATGGAATGGGCGCACAGACCACTTCAGCTGGTTGGCCTCCAGGCCCACTCTCCACGACGGTGAAAATTACTTTCTCGAGTGGGGTTGTACTGTACTTCATGACGATAAAGTCTACATCTGAACACGTGGATGTCACGTATCATACACATGGAATTGCCTGGACAGATACCTATGTACTGTACATCGATGCGAGAGAAGTGGCATCGGATAGGACAAACACGTGTGATTCCCAAGTGGCAGTAGCAACCTGGCTGTCCCTTCTCCTTCAAGCCCCTCACCTGGCTGGCCATATGATATTGATTGCGGACGGGGACCGGAAGTAGGTTTGCGGCCAATAACACCAAGGCCTCGATATGCTGAATTCCATTTAAACCTACCACAGCTCCCAATCTGTTCAAGCTGGGGTGAGTCATGGGGCGAAATGACTTTCCGCTGACTCTTCGTCTTCCGTGTGATTCACGTTTGTTGCTAGCATGTGCCAGCCTATTTACTCAAGTGCCCCAGCCTGGCTTGCCTGGATGACATTACCTGGTTAGGGACCTGGTAGCTAGCGTTTCTAAAACCAAGTCGCTGGTGGATAATCGGCGATGGAGAGAAAAATCTTCGTCGTCTTTTGCATCATCGCCTCCAGCAAGCTAGTGGCACTAAGTGGCTAGAGGGGACGGCGGGGCCATCTAGAGACTCCTCCGGCAACTGATCCAGTGAGGATCAACACGTAGCTACATCATGCGAAGCCAGATAGATATTGCATCTGCAGCTCTGCAAGACCACGAGCAGGTTCTTGGCTCTGTGTTGTGCACTCGGGTGGAGGCATGTTGTAATGTAGGGAGGGGAATGCGGGGTGGGACGGGGATCTTTGAGGAGCCTCAATCGACAGCCCTGTGCCAGGATTAGGAAGGTGGTAAGAAGAGGAGATCTCCTGTATGACGATCTCGAGATTTGGGAAGTGTACGAAGTGCGAGTGCGGAAACATCTGTGATAATGGCCATGGCAATGGTGCGAAGGTAGCATCAAGAGCTCGAGGAGATGGCCATCTTTTGCAGCCGTCGGGGGTCCCTCTGCTAGGTAGGGAGCTTCCACAGGAAAGAGCGGTGACGGTAAAGACGACGCTCAATTGGGCAAGGTGTGAGCTTCCAATGCTCCAGCAGGCCCACTCTGAAACAGAGACGGGAGTCACGGAAAAGTCGCTTGGAGCAGTAACAGCCGCAGCATGATTTGATGAGGCGGCAGTCCTCGAACCCCACCAGAAATGGGGGCCAGTGACTGGTCGGTCGGTCGGCGAAAAAAGTTCGAGTGTCTACTTTTCTTCGGAAGCCCCCCCCCTCCTCTTCTTCCTCTTTTCTTCCAACAACCAACCAACCCAAAGCCAAGACAACGAAGTCGCACTGCCCATTCAGAGAATTCAGTTCCAGATCTGATCAAACTTCGTCGAGAATTTTCAAGATGCCTTCGGCCGTCGCTGAGCTGTAAACGCCCACTGCGGGACGTGTCCGCTCTCCAGGCATGTCCCGCAGTCCAGCAGCCTCAACGAGAAACTCAAATTGTGCCAATTCACCTCGACGAAGTTTACCAGGCCTCCGACCTCTCGAGCCTCGACCCAATCCGGGACAAGAGGCTCGGATTCTCCGAGAAAGAGAGCCTGACTCTGAAAACAACAAGTTTGCAACCTGCCCTCCGATCCGGGCTCAGCGCGATTCAATATCTCTTTCCTGACTGACCCCCACCCTCGTCACCCGTCTCTCCTCAGCTACCGACGCAATACCAACCAAGCACCGCTATCATACAGCAATTACACCAATCTGTCGCCTAATAGACGGGATTTGACGAGCGAAACCCAAGAGCCGTGGTTGTCATTCGAGCTCTCTCTAATTCCAGTCCCCCCACTCACCGCCGTTTCCCGCATTCTACCCCAATTTACCCCTGCATATCCCACATGATGTCTCGAAACATACGGCAAAAATACCCTCGCGCCCCGGTCAAAGTAGCCAAGCGCCGGGGCTCGGACTCCTCTTCATCCCTCAACCTCTCCGACGACGACGGATACTCGGGCGTCGAAGATATCAGCGATTCAGATGACGAGGACGAGGACCATGTCCGCGCGGCCGAGGAGAAGCACATCATCTCCCACGAACTCCGACACGTTGTCTCGGAGCCTCCTCGGCCGCCTCTCAATGATGACAGTGATGCTGATGAAGAGGACGAAGAGGACGACGACGATGAAGAAGATGAGGAAGAAGAGGAAGATGATGATGATGATGATGGCGACGAGGTGGCCGAAGGAGACGACGAAGTTGGCCATGAGACCGTCAGTTGGGATGGTATCCTGTCTGATATTGACGATGGCGCCATTTCTGATCTTGCTCCAACCAACTACATCCTTGATGAGGAAGTGATATATGGTGAACGCCATGTCCGCTTCACTGGCGTACCGGATAGCGACTCTGATTCGACCACCACCGATACGACGAAGGACATTGATGGCTTCTTCCCTGACCTCTTCGTCGAGCAGAATTCTCTTGACCCGGCATTCCGTCGTGAGATTGAGTATGATCCTGATGAATCCTCGAACTCGGGTTCGTTCTGGGACTTCCACAGTCAGGACCAATTTGGCCTCGATTCTGATGCCGACATTGGCGTGGCAGTGCAGGAGGAGGACACTCCGACCGCCACGCCCTGTGTAAGCCAAGTTCCCACCGAGGTATCAACACCTGTTCCATCGGGCGAACCGGTCATGGAGCTTGATGGATACGAAAGTGAGTTTGGCTGATATGTTGGTGAGGCCTCTGCTGTCGATGCTAATGCGCTCTTGTCAGCCGATGGTGACACCACTGAGGATGATGTCCCTGAGCCACCTGTTCGTAGGAAGCAGGTCCGGCGGTGCCCGTCCGTGGATGTATCGTCAGACTCTGACACTGAACGGCCTGTTCGGCGCCGGCGCGGCCACGGCAAGCCCCGCTTGGGTCGCTATAATCTGGACAGCTCTGACAGGAAGCCCATCGCCGTCGTCAACCCTATCTCGCGCAAGATGATGATCTTCACGCCCCAGAGACTACGACGGCTGGACTTGTCTCCGGAGTCGTTCAATCTGGATTACTTCAACAATCCCGAAATCACCCAGTCCTCCCCTATTCTCAGCAATTCTGCCTCCCTCATGATGAGTGCCATGTTTTCTTCAAATACTTTTGGCGATTTCATGAACACACAAGCCGTGGGCCCTGCCGAAGCCTTCTTCTCTTTTACGTCGGATGCCATAACCGCGGACGATAGCGACGAAACCGGGGTCGATTGCGAAGAGGACGAGGAGGACGAAGAAGAGAGGAACCTGAAGCTCGAGGATTTCATCACCTTCCATCAGGAGTCCTCCGAGGATGAGGACGAGGGAGACGACGACAACTGGGATGCGAATACCGATGTCGCGTCTACCCCCGGCCGCCCACGGACGTCTGCCAGTGCCGTCAGCGCCACCAGCGACCTGAGCATGGCGGGAGCTCACCCCTTGCTGAGCCACTTCGACAACAACTCGGACGCTGTCGGTGCGTTCCGCCGGAACCAGATCAATCAGCAACTGATCCTCAGCGACAAGGCGACCCCGGCCTCGCTGGCCTTCTCGGGCCCGTACTACCACGGCACTCTCAGGGGCATCAAAACTGGCAGCATGGAGGCAGTGTCGACGCCAATCACGCCCGTGCGTCGTCAGAAGCGGCCCAGTGTCAGCGACCTCAACCGAAGTCCTCTCGAGACCGTCTCGCAGAAGAGAAAGGCCTCGTCGGCGATCGGCGACCCCCTCCACAAGCGACACCGGAGCATCTCGGATATGGAAATCCTGCACATCTGATAGGTATCTAATGTTTATTAGAAGCATCGGTATGGACTGTATGTAATACCTAGGCGCGCGGGAAACCGGAACTCAAAAAACGACCAAGGATGGCATGGCCATGCTGTTGTTCAGGATGCCTTGACGAGAGTCGGCAACCTCAACGCTCTGGCTGTCCCTGGCCTCGGAACGGATCATGACGATCTCCTGCTTTTTTCTTTCTCCTTCATTTCTTCCTCAATCAGACTTGAACGGTACTTCTCACTGGCCTCTTCTCTTTCCTTTCGTTCTCTGTGTTTGTTTGTGTGTGTGTTTCTAATGTTCCATGTCTAAATCACGACTTGAACGTCTCAAAAACTGTCCAACTTCTGATGTGTCCGATTAGTCGCATTCTCTTTTGGAACTGGCCCATCAAAAAGTGACGGGATTTGCTGCGATGGTGCATGGTGCATGGTATGGTGCAAGTCTTGGGAGGGATATCTGCGGCGGACTGACTGCATTTTTGGCGGTCAAGGTGGATGGGTGGATGGATGGATGGATAGAAGGACCGATGATGGCCTCGGCGCCAGCTTTTTGTCTTGCGATGGTACCATGCCTCCTCCCTCTCGGCTACCGCTGCCATCTAGATGCTACCTGGGTCGTAGTAGATACGTTACACGGAGATAGATGGCCAATAGATGTTGCTGATCATTCACGTCGCTGCCTCGGCTTGTCGTCTACTTGACCGGATGTGATGTGGCACCCCTTTGCTACTCAGATCTGACAGTTCACGGACACCTAAAATGGTGGTAACGAGTGGTTGCTGTAATTTCTTAGCTAACGATATCCCCTTGACTCCACAACTTTGGCAGTGGCAAGGTGAAAATCGGTCATGTTCAGAAACCGGTCATCCAGAATCAGAGGCCGCTATATACATCGACAGCAAAGTATATACAACAGAAAGGGACAAGGATCATATGTGACAGAGAAGCAGTCCTAGTTGGACTGGTAGTGAGCGACATATCCGACCTCCATCATACTGCCATACCCGTCAATGGTGTTGCCGTCGGGATAGCCGGGCTGTAAGCGGTCACTGTCAGCATTTTCATCCCTCCGAGGCCGCGCGCGGATTTCAGCTCACCCAGTTCCCACCAACAGCGACGTTCAAGATGAAGTACAGCGGGCTGTGACACAGCGCTTTCCACACGCCCTCGTTGCCGATGCGGCTCCCCGTGACCTGGTGGAACTGCCTCCCGTCCATGTACCAGGTGACCGACTCGGCCCGCCAGTTGGGCGCGGCGGTGCGGTCGAAGACGACGCGCCACGTGTGCCACGACTGGTCGGGGATGCCGACGCTGCCGCCGATGCCATTGCCCTCGTTGCAGATGCCGCCCGGGTACACGTCGCAGTGCGCCGTCCCGTACCCCGTCAGCTGCCCGTTGACCGTCTCCATGACGTCCAGCTCGCCGCACGCCGGCCAGGCCGTGCCGTGCCGGATCGAGTCGCCCAGCATCCAGAAGGCCGGCCAGATGCCCCTCTTGCGGCTCGGGTCGGCGTCGCCGAACCGGATCTGCGCCTCGGCGACGGTGAGGCGGCCGGGGGCGGGCGCGAAGGTGTAGCGGCTCTCGACGCGGCCAGACGTCCAGCCGGACCGCGCGTAGGCGTCGCGCCAGGGCACCAGCTGCAGGGTGCCGCCGCCGCTGCACTGCACGTTGCGCGGCGACGACGTGTACGTCTCCAGCTCGGCGTTGACGCCCAGGTCGCCCGTGACGATGTTCCAGTTGCCCGCGTCCGGCGGCGTCCCCGCCGCGTAGGGGAAGTTGGCTTGCCACACGCGGGTGTAGCCCCCGTACTGTGGGGCGTCCCAGGCGGCGGCTAGGGGGGCGAGGAGGAGGGGGAGGAGGAGGGATTGGTGGATGCGCATCGCTGATCGGAGAGGGGGCCGGGGCCTAGAGTGGAATATATATATACAGAGAGTTGGGGGAAGATGAGGTTAAGGAATGGAAACGAGGGATGGGGGACCAGAGGTGGGACTACAGCTCCATGGGGAAGAAGATCACCGAGAGCTTGAGGGGGGATCGGCGATGGCAGCGTTTAAGTAGGCTCGCGCTCGTGCCTCGAGGCGTAGCTGGATGTCCTGAGAAGAGGTGCCATGGACAGGGATCGCTCAATGTGGCAGCTGATTTGAGAGGGCGGACATTTGCAACTGGAATGTGACAGTCGCCCTTCGACGTTGCTGCTGCCCACCGGCCGCATTCCCCTTTTCGCTCCATTTCTGGGGAGCCAAGTCGGAGAGATATACCTTTGGGCGTGTGGGTTGGGGAGCAAGGATGGCCAGTCAGCCCCGAGTCTGCGGGACTTGCACAAGTCGACCAACCAGCAACTGGTGGGGAGCATATGCCCGTGGCGCCACGCTGCTTTCGCAGGGGTCCGTGGGCGGTTGATGCAATCATCTGGTGGGGAATAAGATGAATAGCAAGGATCAGGGACGGGTCCAGACGCTTGGTGCTTGTGACGGGCAGACGGGACTTGGTATGGTAGAGGATCGGATCAGGGGCAGGGTTGCCTGTCCAATGTGGGACCTGGCCGGCAATGGTTCCCTAATTGATACTACAGGATCTCCCTGCAACCCTCCAAAATTTCTGATGCTAGGTTGCTTAGCCATATCAAGGAAGTCAACGGCCTTGGGAGGATCGAAATAATGCCGAAGCTAATTGCGTGCAACTCAACATTTTTTGTATTTGTAATGCTTGTGATTGCGGGGGGAGGAGAGGAGAAAGGGAAGACGGAGAGAAGAATGGAAGAAAGGGGTTCATTCATTCATTCAACGTGCGCATGTCAGCTTGGCAGGTCTTCGTCTGATGAGGCTCGAGCTCAGCCCCTGAAGCCGCTCTCATTGGGCGGGGGTACGTACCCTTAGATCGACACCCCCTGCTGATAATTTCCACTGACCTGGTCTTGAGCTACCCGCCAAGCCCCTATTGGATGAGGTTTGAAATGTGAGCACCCTTCTCTTTTAAAAAGGGCCACCAGGTCGCTTCAGACGTTCGGATTTTACGTACCTAATCCACAGCCCCTATTAATCTTCCTGTCGCTCTTCGGAAACACTGTGGCATCAGCCAGTGGGGGAAGGGCACCACCTGAGAAGATGGCAGTATTGGCAAATTTGTGGCTGAAATACGGCATGGCTGTCTACCTAGTGGAGCTTTAGAAGAAAGGAGTTACAGAGAACCCTCAGCACATCAATGCGTGGATGGAAATATTGCTTGGCAGAAATCGAAGGGCAGTTGTTGTCAGCACTATCAAATCGATTGCAAACGATGCGTTACCAAGGGCTAAATAAATATCTGACCATTAACTAAGGTCCTGTACTCGAACGACACGTCCACCATACCTCTCATCAACCTGGAGTCGTTGAGGGTGGGCTGAGTCTACAAGCAGCTGCCTATCCTAGACTGGCCCTCTATGATGTTTGCGCCTATCCTGGGGGATCTCCAACCGTCCTTCCCTGTCGACAGCTTCTCCAGGTTATGCTCTCGCATCTCTCTTAGCCACCGAGTTGTTTATCCTTCCACGATCTTGGGTGCCCTTTCTCTTCTGACAGCACCTTGGCATGGCCAGTACCTTCTTCCTTACATATTCGGCTAGATCTACCGTAAATAGCAGGCCCTCGTCGGCATACGCCTCACCAATGGCATACAGTATGGTATCAGCCTCCAACTCAATGACAGTAATCTGCAACACATCTGGATCGAGGTCGTCAGAGGGGACCAGGTGATGGAATGTGACGCCGTAGTAATCGATGTGTCTAGTGAGGGATAGTCAATATCTGACCCAAACAGCGCGACGCTTTAATGTTCCAGTTGGCAGTACTCACGAGTATGGCTTCACGTCGGGCACCCAGCCCAGGTACTCATCCCGCACGACCATGTCACCAACGACCTCTGGACAAACGTCCCGCCCGTATAATTTTCGATATGCCAGTCTTGCAAGCTCCGAGCCGGCCGGCTGTAGAAACACTAGGCATAAGGATCGTGCGATGTGGAGATCGAGAGCCATGATGATCAAAGGTCAAGGGAATTGAGTGTTCGAGGAGCAGCCTAGATCAAACAAGGAGATGTTGTGGAGAAAGGGATGCCTAGAGACGTCGAATTTCAAATCCAGGCATTTGGGGCTCTGATTATCGCCTCAATGCGAGCCACTGGTACCTCGAAGAAACAATTCCGGGGTTCGTTGGGGCCGGGTATTGATACATCCCTTGCGCCAAAGGTAGGCATTCATCTTGGGTCTTTAAGTTGACGGAGATCTCCGTCTACTTCCGCCCACGTGTAACTGTTGATAGTATTTCAACAGTACAGTGACCTGCTGCGCTGGATTTATACTCACAGTGTGGCCCGAGATCCTGAATTCCGGGTTGAGAGGCCCCCCAGGACTCACGGTATCCGATGGGGTGTCCTAGATTCCGGGTCTACAGTTGGCCGACAGGGGTCCCGTTTCCCCGGTTCCTACAATCTACGATTAGGTAAATCGAGGCCCACCCGACTGTGCGTGGTGTTTGTACTTGGCCTACATGACACGAAGAATGTACTCCCCCATGGTCTCCATTATCTAGAGAGTAGCATCAACGCCTCACGGGATCAACCCGTTAGCAGCTACCACGCAACAGGCAATGGAAATACAGGTAGGTAGGTAAGACACATCAATGAGCCCATGCGATGCCTCTCACGGCCACTATTTCAAGTATCACAGACCTAAGAAGCAAGGGTAAACTTGTTAAAATAGTAAATACCTAAGATTTCGGGCGTATATTATAATAAGATAGTCCCGCTTTACGAAGGATATGAGAAAGTCCAAATGTCTCTTCTGGCAAGTACAGCATGATGATCGCATAAAAACTGAGCCGCTGCCAGTCACTTAGTTCCTGTACAAGTCGTCCGTGACCAGATGCATGGAGTTCAATCAAGCCATATCCTGGGAATCATGTGCCCCTAATGACTCCCTCCCTGTTTGAGGGCCCAGAAAGGAACCCGCCTAGAAAAGTACCCGCCTTGCCTTCGCAATGCCTGTAATATCCCACTCGACAGGCTTTGTACGGTCCATCCACCTCATCCAGTCCCAATCATTAGAGGGTTTCATCATATTCGCGAATTCCCAATATTCCGGGTACCAGCCGGCTCTCTCCCAGTCCAAAATAGCAGTTATCTGACCAGTACCGTTAACCAGGATATTCCGCGGAGTCAGGTCGCCATGGGTGAATACGGAGGTAGATGAACGAGGAAGCATATCCGGAAGGTATTCCGGATACGATCCGCCGTTAAAGTGGAGGTATCGTTGATATATACGGGCTCGCAAAGCTTCATCCGTCAAGATGGGGGTACCGGTTTCGTTAATGTCCCGAATTAGTACGTCGATAGTTGGAGAACCGTCAGCTCCGCACAGATATAGGTCAGCGAAGGCCGGTGGACGTGGAATTTGCTGCAGTCGTACAACCACCTGCCAAATGTGGCGACAGATGCGCTCCTTTGTATCATCGTCAAATCCGTCCCATAGCGAGTCAAGAAGAGAGCCGTCGGCAAGCTCCATAAGCAGAGTACCATGTTCCCGCCCATTTTTCATGAAGTAGTTTGACAAGATTAGCCCAGGGACAGGAACTTCGGTATGCTCCTTCACAAGGCGAAGAGCTGCTTCTTCGCCACGCGTAACACGGTACCCGGTCTTCCGAACAACGCCAGGGACAATTTCGTCAACCTTGGCGCCGCCCTGCTGGCTAAGGATTCGGTATTGAAAATTGTCTTCTTCGTCTTCACTCATTGCTAGCACGCTTGGTTAGCATTCTGCAAATCTAGAGCAGTTATGTCGCAACCTACCGTGGTCTTTGAACGGGAGACATGGGCAGCTTTGGATTTTCTGGACTAGACTGTTGGCTGTATGGAAGCCTCTCTATCCTGTAACTCACTCAATGGCAGCCAGGTACTAAGGTGACAAGACTGCAGGGAGGAGGATTGGCAGTTGGTTTCGATCGATTGCACACTGCTACCAGCTTGACGCGCTGGCCGATTTAGGTAACAGAATATATTGGCAGTCACGTGGCACCATCTCGCCTCTGCCCCGTCCACGGCGTTGTTTGGGCGAATCTTTTCCTCCAGGACGTGGCCCAAATTCCACGTACCTCGCGGGATCTTGTTAGCGATTCCGATAGTGTCGAAGTTAGAGTTCGACTTTAAGAAGATCTCATCAACTTCTTCAAGGTGGCGACTATTGGTTTCGGGGAAGAAGAAATAGACGCCTAGAAGAAGAGAGAGATCAGTGATGGACTTGGGATTATAAAGGATATGAAATAAATAAGAAGAAAAGAAAAGGAGGTGGATTACTTACCCGGAAAGTGATCTCTGCTATCACCTAGGTGACTTTTCCTATTTTCTAGATCTAAATCCTCGGCGTTTCCCTTTGATACAGGATAATAGAGCTTACAATTGACAGAAATCCACATGTATTTCACCCCCGGACCAGTTAACTCGCCGGTTCAGTCGCCGTAGGACAAGACTCCGTTATCGTAACAATCCCCCATCCGGTGGTGCACTGAATGCATCCGGCCGACGTAGGGCATATCGTCGTAGTAGCCGGCTGAACCTTGACACTGCGACATCCGCAGGGCAGTGTGACGGCAGCTGGAGGATCATATATTGCCCTAGTCAGCCCCTGCAAGCTCATACCGTCTTTGGAAATCTCTCCATCCAGAATCAGGGGTGTCCGTACCGTCAGCTATACACCAATTGTCGGTTGCGCATGTGATATCACATCCCTCCGTGAGCCAGATAGTCTGCGTCGGTTCGAATGTGCAGCTTTCCGGCAGCACGGTTGTGGTCAACATTGTCGTCAACATTGTCGTCGGTGTCGTGGTAGCCATTTCGACGTGGCTTTGATAGGGAGCTCACACGCGCCACTGCTGCCACTCTCGGTCGCCACAACGAAGCTGAGAAAAGAGGACTATCAGCATATTAGCCTATGTTAATCTAGATGGCTCACACAGGCTAAAGCCACGTGACCTGCACTGGCGATAAACACCTGCCGCATACCTCTCGATCATATATCGTCCGAAAGCCTCTCCGCTTCGTCGATCCTCGGCATCACATGCGGCGTTATATCTCTCGATAAAGGAATTCTCGATCGGGGAAACAGCAGTGCCCAATGGAGACAGGTCGAGGTGAACGACAAGGCGTGCATCGTTCCAGCGGATGTGTAAGGAGACGCGCTCCCTACATCCGCTAGACATCTCCTCAAGGTGATGGATGCTCATCATGCTGGCTGGCGTCATTTGGACGGCGATGGCAGGGTTGCTGGCGGCTCAATCCGCCGTCGAGGCTGGAAGGCCGATCTTTGATCAACTCGCCCCGCCGCCTGCACCCGGTGCCACTACCTCGCCCGACCTCCAAACTCTCCTCTTCCCAATAGAATACACGTTTTACTTTCGGACCTTGGATAAGGTAGAGCTGATCCGTAGCGACAGTCATGTCACGCGCAACGAGGCCTCACTTGACCCACTTGGCCAACCATTCCATCTCACCGTTGACAAGGCCTTCAATCTACCAAGATTCTCCACCAAGAACATTCGTGTCCTCGAGAATCTTTTCAATAACGGTTACATTGCACGTGTGGTGGTTGAGGGACAAGAGATGTGCTCTAAGGCCGGGGACAGTAAGGGCCCTGATGCCGCGCAAAGGGAACTCGACTGCCTCTGGAAGATCACCACCTCGGAATATGCAACCACCCTCCGCGTGCCGAAGCTCCTCGGTCTAATCGAGACACCCGACGACAAGAGGGTCATTGGATTTTTGGAGGAGTATATCCCGGTTTCGGACACGTGGGAGTTGTCGACACTTGGAAGTATTGAGACGGTCTCTGCGATTGCCGAGAACCGTCGGAAGAAGTGGGCATCGCAGGTCCAAGAGACGGTCCATCTGTTACACCAAAACGGGGTCACGTGGGGCGACGGCAAGGCCTCAAAACGTGCTGATTTACCGCGATACTGATGATGCGTGGGTTATTGACTTTGGTGGTGGATGGACAGATGGCTGGGTAGACCAGGAACTGAGCGGGACAGTGGAGGGGGACGAGTTAGCTGTGAAGAATATCTTCAAGTTCTTAGAAGTTTGATAAAAACTTAACTAGTCTTAGTTTAGATAGGTAGACTAGACGCTGTGTTTTAGGATTTTATACATTAGCTGGTATGCCTGCCGGTACCTGTGTTCTCCAGCCACAGTGCCCAACGCACCATGTGTGCCCAACGCAACATGCAGCATCAGCCTCCACGCCTGCAGATGGCACAGCCGACTCCAATGTATTGGAGTTGCTGCAGTGGCTGGGGTGCCAGCCCGGTTGCCTTGCGTCCTGCCTTCCTAACACACGGATCGGGCACAGCCCCAAATTACCTCTAAATTACAATCTCCAGCTGAGTCGCGACATCCTTCGCTTGCCCCGTGAAGGCGAGCAGGCTGCAATTGTGCAATTCTCAGACTGTAAGTCAAGCACTCTCACCACTTCCTTCATCTCCATAATTATTGGGAAAGAGACGAGGCGAAGAGGATATCGACGATGGACCCCCTCTCGGCGATCGGCCTCGCGAGCAACATCCTACAGTTCATAAGCTTCTGCGGCGGGCTATTCTCGGAATCCCGAGACATATACCACTCCTTCAGCGGCACAACCAAGGAATTCGAAGGACTCGAGGACATGTGCAAATACCTCGCGAAACTCACCTCTGCATTGACGCCGGCAGAGTCCCCCGACTCACTCAACTCGTTGCCGGCGAGCCTGAAGCCCATGCAGGCAGAGATCGACATAGTGGCCCTGGCCTCGAAATGCAAAGACACCGCGGGGAGCTTGTCCGATTATCTCAAAGGTATGCGCCTGGGTGATGCCTCTCGGACAAGGGGCGCAAGCCTTCTGTTAGCTGTCAAGGGAAGGCTGGGCAGGCATCGAATCAATGAGATGCAGAAAACGCTGGATCGGTATCGAAATGATCTGATAGACTGTCTCGTCGTCGTTACCAGGTAAGTGATAATTCTACCACGTGGCGCCATCTGCCATCGATGATGCATTTCAAGGCAGCAGGACAAATCTAATTAATCAACGGGCCCGCAGCAAGAGACAATCCAGCGTGCTGATGTACTTGGAGGAGCTTAAAGTAGCAAATCTGAACCTGGTACATGACCATTCGACCAAGTTGAACGAGATTCTGGAACTCGTTCGAATGATTCCTAGCCAGGCGAGTAAGGTGCTTAAGGAAGACGATGATTCGGTCCTCTTCCAGGCCATGTCTAAGGCGCTTGAGACCATCGCGGCTTCGTCGGCCCGGCAGTGGCTCCCGGAACATGAGATTGTCCACAGTCTCTACTTCGACTCGTTGATTGTCCGACACGAGTCCATTCAAGGTGCTCACAGGAAAACGTTCGAATGGCTGTTGCGGAGTCGCGGAAAGAGACCGGGTCGGGATAGGTCCTGTCCTCAAGCCACGCTTCTAGAATGGCTGCAGTCCGGAAGCGGCATGTACTGGGTATCGGGCAAGCCGGGATCGGGGAAGTCAACTTTGATGAAGTTCATTGCTGACCACCAGGAAACGCAAAAGGCTCTTGATAGATGGGCGGGGCCGAGCGAGTGCACGACGGCAGCCTTTTACTTCTGGAGTGCGGGGGCGCGCCTGCAAAAGTCGGTGGAAGGGCTGTTGAGGTCGTTGCTGTTTGAGGTCCTTGTCCATGTCTCGGAGCTCATCCCCGTCGTGTTCCCCGAACGGTGGGCCTCTATGACGGCAACAAGCATGAAGCGTAGGCGGAACTTTGGTGTCAACAGCGACAAGCGTCGGCGAGACTGGACCGTCCAGGAGCTATCTGAGGCACTGTATCGGTTGTCGAAAACCCCTGACGGTTCCTCGAAGCGGTTCTGCTTCTTCATTGACGGGTTGGACGAGTATCACGGCGACCATCGCGAGCTCATCCGGATTCTGTCCGCCATATCGGCGAACCACAACATCAAGCTGTGTGTTTCGAGCCGCCCATGGAATGTCTTTGAAGACGCGCTTGGCCAGGACTCGTCTCGGAAGCTCTATGTCCACGAGCTCACGCGAAACGACATCATAGAATACACCAATTCGACGTTCCAGCAGGATGCAAACTGGGTATCCGGAGCTAGGATTAACCCCCGATACGGCATGTTGGTCGACGAGATTACCGACAAGGCGCAGGGAGTATTCCTGTGGGTTGTGCTCGTTGTCAGATCTCTGCGGGAGGGGCTAAGCAATGGCGACTCGCTGCACATGCTGGAGCTGAGAATCAAGAACATGCCCCAGGAGCTGGGGCCCTTCTTCCGGCACATCCTCTCGTCCATCTCGTCCATATACCACGTGCAGATGGCTCTGTCTTTCCAGGTCGCTCTCAATGCTTCTAGGCCGCTCACCCTCATGCACTTCTCGTTTCTCGACGACTGTTTCGAGACCGAGCAGTTTGCATTCCGCGCCCCGATCAGGCCGATGGACAACCACGACATATTCAGTCGACACCAGACAGTGCGTCGGCGGCTGAATGCTCGCTGCAAGGGATTCCTCGAGGCACACCTACACCCTCCCGAGACACGGCCGCATCTCGCGCACAGGGTGGACTTTCTCCACCGTACCGTGCGAGACTTCCTTCGGACGGACGAGATGGCGCAGTTCCTCGAGGACCTGCTGGGAGACTACCCGACGAACACAGTCATGGCAAATGCATATTTAGCCTTCATCAAGAGTCTTCCGCCCGATGGTTCCGCTGCGGCACTGGTGGAGGAGGCTCTGCACTATTCGCACAAAGCAGAGAAGGAGTCGGCAGAGGTGGCCGTCCAGTGCGTCGATGAACTCCTCCACACGGTCCGCGCTATGAAGCTGGATCTAGCGAGTCCGACGGAGTTCTCCCGCTTGGTTGTACGAAACGGACTGTGCGAATACGTTTCCACCGCGATACAGGCCGGCTCCGATGGTTTCACCGACACCTCGCATCTCCTCGATATCGCTCTTCAAAACGCCAGCTCCATTAACCCCGACGACCCCGACATGAACGACATGGTGTCAATGCTTCTGAACGAAACTACGAAGCTTAGTAACAAGCAATGGCGCCTGTATGTCATAGGTCTCCAGTCGTCGGTCGGGCGAACAACCGACCCGGATATGGTGAAGTGCCACTCGCGAATGCTGAGCCTAGTCCTCCCGCACGTCGAGAATGTCAACGCCCTGAACCTAGCCAGTGTAACATGGGGCGGCCTGTTTGCCAACATTGTTTCCGACACGGACGCACCGCGGGCCGTGGGAAATATACGGCAGAAGATGCTGGCAGAGCTACTAGCATACTGGGCGGATCCCAACGGCGCGTACAGGGGCCAGACTATTTGGGCCTGGCTGTGCGGCATCCTCCGTCTTTGTACGGAAAACGAGGCCTCTCAGCGAAACGCCATTCGGATGGAGTTTTTGTCGAACCTAACGGAGATGCTGCTGAAGGCAGGCGCTGATACCAGCCATGCCAGTTCGCTGACTGTCGACGAAGCGCGGTCTATCTTCCCTGCTCGATTGGCAAATCCCATCTGCGACTTGTTGAGGAAGCAGCCTGTGTCTCCGAGTCCTGTTACTGGTTGGGGTGCTTACTTTCTGTCTTTTGTCCCAGGATTTTCTAGGTTTTCGTCAGCCACGCCGGCGAACAGTCCGGCTTACTGAATAAATCCATAAACGATCTTTCCCCCCCCCCCTCCTCCTCCTCTTTGTCTTCTTCTTTCCTAGCTTCTACTCGCTTGAGGTTCTCTGCTTCAACTACGCTCACCCTTCTCGGTCTTCTGTTGGAACTCAGGAGATCGTGAACAGATAACACTCGAAGGGCTTTACCGTTCACTTCTCTTCAGCATTCTGAGGCAGTGTCCCGAGCTCATAGCAAAGACGTTTCCAGTTCATCGGACGAAAGGCGATACGATTGTGCCCAACTTGGAGGGCATTCCCTTCCAGTTTTCTGAGCTCAAACAAGCGATGAACATGATCGTGGGCAATCGCAATTTCGCTAGTCACCGTTTCTGCTTCTTCATCGACGGACTCGACGAATTTGAGGCGGATCTGCATACGTCTAGACTATTGGGATTTGGCCCAGAGTCTCCGAAGCTGGGCTCTCTCACCCGATATCAAGATCTGCGTCAGCAGTAGACCGCACGAGGAGTTTCTGCAAGGCTTCGATTCCTTGCTGCCGCCATTAGGCCATACTCAGATGAAGAGGTACGTGTGTGTCACGACACTGTAGTCGTTCGAGGTATGTGGAGGCCCAAGCCTCGAGACCTTATTAGTAACCGCTCTATACTTAGTCAGAGGTCTCCGTTGTTCCAATTCACATTGCTTACGGTGCGCGGTACTCTTTGTGTCCACATCTAGACTGTATTCGCGAAGCTGCTCGTGTTGTGCAACCAAGGGGTTTGTTGGAAGGAAGATGCTATTGGTCGGGGAGGCGGCGTGGATTCGACGATGGTCTTGTGTTGGAAGTAAGGTAACGAAAACGGTGGTATTTTTTGCGTAATTCAGTGTGCTCCGTCTCTGATCCACATAAAGCAGCACAAAAACTTTGGCCATCTCAAGGAGGCGATGAGAATTTACGATATGATTCTAGCTGGCTACCGCCGAGAATCCTCCGATTCCTGGACCTGGAATACAATCCCGGGACTGGACCTATATGAGAACTGGCCGAGGAGGGATGGTCGCACAGGGGGTGGAGAGAGAATGTACTAGGAGTATTGTCTATGAGAACCCTTGCCCTTCGACCAAATCCCGCTGTAAAGTGGCTTGATGGTCCTCAGGTCTGAGGTTCTAGCGAGTCCCAGTACATCGCTGATACCACGCTTGGACGCCACTGGTTTGCAATGAAAGTTTACATCATTACATAGGAAGGTCCCGACTTGGCAGTAGGTACCTTGTTCAAAAAGTGCTTCTCTCCACTCCCACCGCTGACACCGTTTACGAGCTGCGAAGCCTTGGCAGGCTACTACGGCTGCTCCTCCCTGATGACTTCATCCAGGCAGCCACCGCTGGCAGCTACGAAGCGGTGCCTCGAGGCGACAAGCTCTCTCCAATTCCATCTTTTCTCTCTTGACAAAGATGCCGGTTGGGGGGAGAGACCCACACTTGGATCGGGCAAAATTTAGCGGCATCAAGAGGCATCGCCGTCGACAACGCCGTTAACAAGAGCCGCCTTCTCCTCGGTCACCTCCTTCGTGATCCGGTCGAGACAGCCGATGGCGGCGGCCACGAAGCCCAGGATTGGCGTCGCGGGTTGAATCGGACGACTCAGGTACTCCGGATGATATTGGACGCCGACGAACCACGGGTGGTCCTTCAGCTCGAAGATCTCCATGCGCTTGCCCGTGTCGTCCTTGCCGATGAACGTCAGCCCGGACCGCTCTAGCTCCTCGACGTAGTCGGGGTTGACCTCGTAGCGGTGGCGGTGGCGCTCCTCCACCACCTCCGCCCCTCCGTACAGGGCCCGCAGCTTGCTGAACTCGCTGCCCGGCTGGAAGTGCGTCGCGCGCGTGCCGAGCCGCATCGTGCCGCCCATGTGCTCCCTGGAGATCTCGGGCATGAAGATGATGGCCTTGTGCTCAGCCGTGGCGTCGAACTCCTCGGACGTGGCGCCGGTGTGCCCACACACCTGCCGCGCCCACGCGCAAACGGCTGCCTGCATCCCCAGGCAAATCCCCAGGAATGGAGTGGAATGGTCGTGAGCCCACTGAGCAGCCTTGATCATGCCCTCGGTCCCGCGATGGCCGAAACCTGCCCAAGATTTTCGCATTAGTCCATGTCAGTTACAAGAAACAAGCAAATCTGGGGGAAGCCCCACCACCGGGAACCAGGATTCCAGCGGCACAGCAGACCTCGTGCCACGCCTTGTGGAATTTGGTAGGGTTAGTCTGCTGGGTGGCGTCCTCCAGGTGCTCGGAGTCGACCCAGATCAGATTGAGCTTGCGGCCGCACCGCATGGCCGAGTGCTCCAGCGCCTTAACGACGCTGACGTAGGCATCGTGCAATTCGACATACTTGCCAACCAGGGCAATGTCGACTGTCTCCGCGTAGGTCTGCGGGATCATGGCCTTCCACTTCTTCCATAGCTCTGCGCCTTTCGTGACCAAGGCCGGCGTGGGCTTGATCGCGTCCAACGTCAAGGATGTGCGCAAAAGACCCAGGAGGCCCTGTTCTTCAAGTAGAATTGGGACCTCGTAGGTGGTGGGCATATCTCTGACAGCAATTACCTGCTCAACCTCGACCTGGCAGCTCCGAGCTATCTTGGTGATGGTACCTTGCTCGAGGGGGTGCTCGCAACGACAGGCGATCTGTGAAGGTTGTCAGCTGGCAGCTAAGCAAGGCAGACCCCCCAGTTCTAGACCCTTACCAAGTCCGGGAAAAGACCAGCGCTCCGAACACTCTTCACCGCGTGCTGGGTTGGCTTGGTCTTCTGCTCGCCGTGCACGAGGGGAATATACCCAACGAATATGTTGATGAAATTTCCTTTGCCAGCCTTGTGCCGAAGCTGAGTGAGTGCTTCGACATAGGGCATGCTCTCGATATCACCAACAGTACCGCCCTGCAGACAGGTTAGACACAAGCATCCTCACACAACCGAACAGACTGGGTAGCAATCGACTGTGGCGCGGTAGGCTAGCCTGGCAAGGCTTTGAGAGAGGTCATACCAGCTCAACTAAGCGGCAGTAAGTCAGCATCCAGTTCGGTTAACAACCAAGCACAAGAGACGTACTGATGCAGACATCTGGCTCCATCCCGGACCCGTCGACGGGGATCTTGGACACTCGAGCAATCCATTCCTGAATGGAGTCGGTGACGTGAGGAACTATAGAATTCTAGTCAGTAGTGTTTCTCGTCGCGGGCCAGAAGCATCGACCTGACAGGGATTCCAAGAGGGAATTATTGAGGAGCCACTTACCGACTTGAACGGTACGCCCCAGGTAGGCGCCCCTTCGTTCCCTTTCGATGACCTGCTTGTATATCTTGCCAGTCGTGATGTTGTTGTCACTGGTCAACTCGACGCCCAGGTACCTCGAGGAAGTTAGATATGAATACGTGACGTGGTTGGTCATGCAGGGGGCTCCTACCGACTGTAATTCCCAACGTCTAGGTCACATTCCGACCCATCGCCTAACACGAAACACTCTCCATGCCTGCAGAATTGATTCCGTTAGTGAAAGATTCACATCATAAGTGACTCGGAAAGACTTTCTCTAGTGGGTTTAGCAATCCGGCGTCTACGTTCAGGTACGGATCTATTTTCTACCACGTGTCAATGTAGGTCGAGAGACTGGAAGGTCATGGAAGAATGACTCACAATTGCCTAGAACCAATATGAGTAAAGGAGGTATAGTTGGGCAGGGAAATTGGTCTCATACCGTGACCCTGAGTCCAGCTGTCTTGAGCAAGAGACCAGCCGAAGAGGCTGAGGGCGTTCATTAGCCGACTCAAAGAGGAATAACGAGGATTGATGCAGTTGCCATACCAATAATTCCTATCGAGAAGCCAGGGTCAGCATTTGTTATCAATGTCCGTATGTCTCGATTTACGTCACAGTCCACCGGCGAAGAGTGATGGAGGGGTGCGTTCGAGGAGAACCGATGTTCCAAGTATACAGAACTGACCTTTGCCGACCCCGGAGATGACACCGCCGCTCACAAGGACATAGCGCATCTTGATTGTTGGACAGGATAGCCGTGTTGCAAGAGAATTGTTGGGATGCGGCGCAAAGGGAAAATTTTTGAGTGTTAAAACCAAACCATTTGTCTTTGGCTCCACGTTAGACGCACGCACGCACGTGATATGAGACACGTGATATGAGAACCTACCGACACTAATTTGTACCTAGTTCCAGGATAGGTGGCTCAAAAGTGGGCCCTTCTAGGCAGCGAAAGTTTAATTATAGTACACCGTGTACAGTGGGGTACGATAAGTTTTCGGACACTCCACCAAAAAAATGCCATTTCTATTATACTACCAACTTCAAAGCAGCAGCATTTAGTCAATTCTACTCCAAATTGCTCCATATTTGGTAGAAATATAGAGTATCTAATACTTAATAGAACTACCTTTGGCTTTTTTTAATAAAGCCATCCGCTTCCACATAGTGCCTGCGTATTTCCAGAGTATCTCTGCCCCAAATCTTTCCCAGACTTCTTCCAGCTCTAATGTCATCTGTGGACGCGACTTAATTGAATGGCGCTTTTTGCCAATCTGTATCTTCATCTCCCTCCACAAGTTCTCAATAGGAGATAGGTCAGGGCTTTGTGGTGGCCAAACTAGGATCTTGATCTGCCACGCCTTCTTCAACAACTTCAGCCATCCTCCATGATGATATGATGCTCCATCTTCTTGCATTCTAACCCCATGACCATACTTTTCTCTCATACGAAGATAGAAAGGAAGAAAATGAGGGATAAAAATAAGATCTGTGTAGATATCTCGGGTAAAACGCAACCCAGGAGGAAGAATGACAAGAGGCCCCTTTTCTAGTCCACAGAAACAACCCCATACTCCAACTGAAGTACGCCCAGACTTGAATGATGGCTTAAGGCACTCAGCCAAGAATGCCTCATGAGTCGCGCGGGTAACGTAGCTGACAGTATTGTCTTCGCCAATCCAGAAATAGGCCTCATCAGACCAACAAACCAACCCCCATGGCATCCACTTATTGTCCTTGACAAATTGCCGCCGCTTTTTCTTGTTGATATCACTGATAAATGGCTTAGTTCGAGCTTTTCGACGCGCTTTTCCAAACAATTTCAGTGTCTTCCGGACAAGAAATCGCGAGATTTGTCTTCCAGATTTTGAAGGTGTTGCAAGGGCTTGGAGAGAATCAAATCGATGCGTGGTAGCGTATCTTACTAGTTTCCTCGCTGCTCTTTTGCTCAGAAGAGGTGGTCTTCCGCTTCGGGCCTTTGCCTTGAAAGGTTCTGCAACATTTGCTGCAAGATTCTGGCGTACCCGGTTGATGGTATCGTGGGTAGTAGACTTAGAAAGCCCTGTCTTCTCAGCAATAGCTCTGATAGACAAACCACCATCATGTAGGCCCACAACATACGCCCGTTGGGCTTCTGTTAAATGAATCCTACTCTTTTTATTGAGTTTAAACATGCTGTGAAGCAAAAAAAAGTAAAAGTTCAAAATTTAGGAAGAAGTTGCGGTGAAGAGTAAGGAGTCAGGTGCGCAAGGATGTCCAAAAATGGCTAGTTTAGGCAGGGTGTCCGAAAACTTATCGTACCCCACTGTACACCTACCCAATCGATCTCACTAACATGGAAAATGTGAATTCGATTGGTACTCGTTGACGATGATACCGTACAATACAGAACCTACAGAAATTGAGGGCAGTTGTTCTAGATATGGCTACCTAGACATCTGGCTGAAAACCTAAAGTCATAAGTCAACATTTATTCAAGGGGTGTAAACTTTGGCCAGCCAATCATTCACAAACTAATTGGAGATTATCATTCCAACAACTTACATCCACACTGAGTTTAATTCCTGACAAGGATCTCTTTGCAGAAAGGTCTCCTTCTGACCATTACTCTCACCCAGGCTCTGGAGGTACTTCCTGCAAACGTCTACATCAGGCATTCCCTTGCATACTTCAACTCTACGTTACATTGAGAAACACGCTGTATTCAAGAGCTTGCATGAATGCAGCCTGGCGACCCCCTGAAGATGTCCGTCTAGCTTGGATATGCCTGATGATTAACTCCGGTAATTGGGCTTACCAAAGGCGTCATAGCGCTGCTTCCTTTTCCAGGGAGGGTCCCATCGTTGTGCAAAAGGATAAACATCTTTAGAAGAAGTTGTTTTGACCTTTCAAGTTTCAAAGCCATACCAACATGGATGTTCGGCGGGAAATTGGGCCCAACCCGAAAATGGAACGTGCCGGGTGCAAGAAAAGTGAACGAAATACTAGGAATCCAAACATCTTCAATAAGTACATGGTGAAACTAAACTAACAAAGAGAACAGGGGGGGGTTTGGTACGCTAGGAGAGGATTTGATAGATGTTAGGGAAGGATGCAGTAAAGAGGGTAAGGAAAACTCGATGATATCTAACTTTACAGCCAGGAGTAATAAATCAACTGAATCTTGTCATTGTGTTGGTATAGAACTTTAACCATGACACAGGTTTGGCAAGAGTTAATTGCAATTCAGATGAGTAAGGTTGCTGCCATGTATTCATCAGATCCAGTTACTGCCCCTACAACGCATGTTGCATCACGCACCGATTGCCCTCACCAAACCCCGTCAACCATACCAACCCTCGCTGCTCTAATCGCGACTACTTAGGCGCTACTCAGGCTGTCATCAGGAAAACCACCAAAACCAGTGTGGATAGATAGGTGGATAGATAGGTGGACGGTGATCTACGACACAGTGGAGTTCTGAGAATGAAGAACGTTAACTTTATGTGAAGGGACAGTTTTGGTTACCTAAATATACGCTCAGACCAAAGACTTGAAAAGGTATATTAGATTAGCAACTAAGAACAGAACCCCGACTGGTGTAGTGGTAACACGTCGATTGACACCTGAGGAAAATAGCCTTCAAAACGCTATTTTCTTGGGCCCGTTCGCGGGGCCGAAGTCCCAGATTCGATTCCTGGGTTGGGGATTCTTTTTTCTTCTACCTCTATCGTAAAATCCAGGCTGGTACGTACTTTTTGACTTGAAACACAGCGGCGACATTGTCTTCAGAGTTGTTATGACAGTGTAAGGGCCCTAAAACTTGGCCTAGTGTATCACCACTCCTTTCCTCCTTGGGGCAACTTCAGCTGAGGTGACCAAATCAAGGATCACTAGACTCAACCCAGCTCAGGCTAGCTCAGGTTAAAGCAGCGGCAGCTTAGGAACTCTGCCAACAATAGGGATTTTTGAGGGCAATCCATGCGTGATGCATAAGGCTGTTTGTTGTTGTACGATATTTGACGACAGGCCCTGAGTGATGCTTTGGGACAGTGCTTTAAACACTCTAGATACGCTAGATTACTCAACAATAAAGCCCTTCTGAGCCGTCGGAATCCCTGTGTCACCCTTCCTACCTTGACCCGTATCCTCTCCCTCCTGCTCCTTCCCATGTTTAGTTCCGATAACCTCGCGCTCGGCCCCTAGAGGCTCATCCAGGATCTCCTCCCCAGACGGGCCACTGGTCTTGACTCCCTTAATTGAGTCATCCTCCTGTGATTCAGCACCAGGGCCAGGCTGAGTGCCTTCCCCTCCAGCCCCCTCCTGACTCCTGATACTACTCGCCTTACTAACCGCCACGCTGTCTGGCTCCTCCGCCCGGAGACCCAGGCGTTTCCCCCCTTCGGGATCCACCTCATTCGCGCCCTTCCAATCCGCCGGTCTCATCTGCGGCACGGGGCCCCCCAGCGCAGGCTCGCCCACAACCTCCTGACCCCCAGCCCCCCCGGCGCCGACTCCCTCCCCCTCCCCAACGAACCTCCACACAACAGCAACGCGATCGCACGCCTTGGCCCCCTTCCTACTCGACCCCTTGATCCCATCCATGCCCTCCCAGGGCACCTCGAACACGCCGCTCTCGTCCGGCGCCCCGGCGGCCCCCTCCGCCTCCGCCCCGCCCCCTTCGAAGAAGGCGTTGAACCACGCGTGCGCCACGGCCGTCACAACCGTCCACCCGTCGCCCAGCCGCGGCGCCCGGTTGCGCCGCTCCAGCGCGACCTTGACGTCGCCGCCGGCGAGGCGGATCGGCGATCGCGGGCGGAAGACGACGGCCTGGCCGCCGGGCTCCGAGGCCGACGCGAAGGTCGCCGAGGGGGATCCGGGCGCCTCGGTGGGAGGCGGGGTGGTGGGCGGGTTTGGCGATGAGGCGGGGGAGTCTGGGATGGTGATAGTTCTGCTCTTGGCGTGGCGGCTGAGCCTGTTGGGGCTGCCGGTGACGTTCCTGTTGCTCGACGTGGCCTTGGGCATGGAGTTTGTCATCCTGAGGAAGAAGGACGATGCCTTTGAGCTGCCGTTCGAGGCCTTGGAGCTGCTTCTCTCGGGCGTCCTGTCACCCTTGGCCCTTATCCCCTGACCGCGCGCGATCCCCCGGTAGTCTGCATCCTCGACGATCTCGTCGTCATCGTCGGCACCGGCGATGCCGTACCCAGCCATGTCGGAGACCAGATCGACGATGCCCGCGCCGCCGGGCGCGCCGGCCTCGACGACGATGCGCTCGTCGCCCGTGAACGTGTGCAGGACCTCGATGCGCTTCCCCTCGTCGGCGAAGCCCTCCACCGACACCTTGACGCCGTGCCGCAGGCCCCAGACGTGCACCTCGAGCACCTCGACGGGCCGGTCCGCGAACCTCTTGCCGCCCTTGGTCCACCTGTCCACGTAGCTGATCCACCGCAGCTGGCTGGGGATGCTGACGCCGGCGCCGAACCGCGGCCGCATCCGCCGCTCGGTGAAGCGCGCGAGCGCGTCCTCGGGCGCCCAGCCGCACTCGGAGATGAGGTAGCTGCACGCCATGCTGCCGGATCGGCCCTTGCCGGCCTTGCAGTGCACGACCACCACCCTGTCATCCTTCTTCGTTTTCGTCTTCTCCCTCTTCTTATCTTTGCCGTCGCCGTCGCCGTCGTGGCCATCCCCTCCCGCGTCGTCCTCCACCCTTCCGCCATCCAGCGCGCCCCCGCTCAGCCAGTTCCGCATGCTGGCCATGATCATGGGCACGAGCGCGAACGGTGGCGGGTGGTGGTCCGGCCACGGGTAGTGCCGGATCCGGCCGTAGACGGCCTCGTCCGGGTATCCGGTCCCCTCGGCCCGGAACTCCCATATCGCCCAGCCGTCGCCGTGCCGGGCGTCGAGGAAGGCGACTAGCCGGTCCAGCGGGTTGCGGTATGCCAGCTGCGGGTATGTCTGGGAGGGGCCGGAGCTGGAAACGGGGGGTCAGCTTGTTGGTTGGTTGGCCGTCAAGGAATTGGGGTGGGCGAAGAGGGGGAACTGGCTGGAGTTTTTTGGGGGAGAGGGGTGGAAGCAGGGGTTGGTGCAGGCAAAGAAACTTACGTCGCGATAATGTTAGAGGTGACATAGCAGAGGTCAAGGCCCGTCTCCGAGTGCTGGGAGCGGGGCCCGGCCACGATTTGGCGCAGTAAACTTGTCATTTGCTTGCAGGGAAACTTGGTAAGAAAACTTTCGAGGACTCAGGCGTGTCAAAAGTCAACAGAAAGGTTTCATTCATCCATATATGGGCGAGAACACCAGCTTTTGGTTCAGGGTATATCAAACATGGACCCCCCCTAACGACCTACGTCATTGATAAGCGTCGCTAGAGACTGGTGTGGCGCCTACCTAGCCCTCCCACACTTGCAGAAGAAGGAACCCCCCTGCATCCTGCCGCTCATCCCTCGCATGACCTTGTCACAAATCACTACCTACGCTGCCTCCCGTCTACTACTATGTAGGTAGAGACGATGATAAAGCACTTTGCCGTTCTAGACCACCTGCACGGTAATATCGAGTTTGGTTGTCTACCCTACCTACTACCTCCTTGAGTGGCGAGGTAGTTGCTACCCACCTCTGTAAATGCGTAGAATCCTGTCTGAAACATCGTCATCCGCAGGAGGGAAGTGTAGGAGGGAGAAGGCAGCAGGAAAGGACAATAAACAAGACCAAAAAAAGGGGTCAAGCAGATGAGGAAAAGCAGCACGCCACCCGATTGGAAACGTCACCCCATCCTATCTTACGCATCCTGGAAGCTCTTGTAAGAGAAATATAAGCTGGTTAGGAGAGTAAGAAAACGCCTAGCAAGCAAGACCTTATTAGGAGAGTATCGAGCCTAGTTCATTGTTCATTCATTGCCTCCCCAAGTCTCGTCAGCGGTGTTACACGTGCCATTCTCTCCTGTTCCCCTCCTCTCCCTTCCAACGCAACCCCCCCCCCTTTCTCCATCTTCCCATCTCCCGTCTGGCCCCCCCTCCAAATTCGCTTGTAGGTGTGCCCCCGCTTGTCGTGAGGCGATTGGGGGTCTCGTTACACTCGCTCGCCCTGTCGCTCGATCACCCTGTCACGGGTAGTTCATTGCGACTTTACCGTATCCGCATCGTAAGCCGTTCCCGTCGAGTATTGTCCATCGGCTCGCCCTCCAAAGAACGCCCCCTACGACGTCTTCTTGGGAGCAGCGGTGCCGTTGACGTACTTGTTGACGTCGGTGGCCGAGTGAAACTGCCTCGCACCGCCCTTGGCGCCGTCCCAGACCTGGCGGAGCACCGGCGGCGTGCCCTGGGCACCGACGAGGTTGTCGACGCGGGCCTCGAGCTGGGCGAATGAGTTCTGCACGTGGCTGCTCTGGGAGAAGCGGGCGCGGAGGAAGGCGGTGTAGACGGCGAGGAGGATCCACGAGCGGCGCTGGAAGAGGATGGCGGAGAACAACAGGCGGACCCACAAGAGGATCTCGAGCCCCGAGACGACCGACATGGACATGTCGTAATATTGCTTGACGAACCCGCCAATTGAATCGGCGAGCGGATGAGTCGCATACTGTGGCTTACCGTTCGGCGAAGCGCCGGCGGGGGCGATGACCTTGGGGGGTACAATCGTGGGGATGAGGTTGGCACGAGTATAGGTGGCGACGTGGAATACCGAGTAGATGCCATAGGGGAGCATGGCGAGGGGATACTGGGGCATGAAGAGCCACACGATGGCCATGGCTAAAGATTCAGCCAGGTTAGCGGGGCTGCACGAGTTGCCAATCTTGCTCCAGCGGAAAGAGGGAGAAGACGAAGGACCTACCCAGATACTGGATGTTCTCGTCAGACAGATATCCCAGAGCACCGCCGGGCTGCTTTGCGCCCGTCTTTTGGCGAGCCCGCCACGTCTTGTAGACCACGATGCCGTACGTGACAGCGGCGGCGATGAAGGTGAGGCGGTAAGAAAACCGGGCCATTCCGGAGTAGTAGTTCATGCGGAGCCATGACAGCGAGTATCGGAAAAGGGAGAGTATTAGGGTCAAATGCCTGGGACACGTGCGTTGTCAGCACTGCGGTACTGGGTCTCAAAGGATGTCGGTGAAGCTGCAGGGTTCCGAGCTTGTGCCATCTCCAACAGAGATAGATCCCTTGGCGCCAGAGCACGCTGTTGCAGGAGACAGTTTCGAGGAGGAAGAGCTAGGAAAAGACGAGAACATACCCGGCAAACCAGACAACTATGTCGAGGAGCTGAACGTTAGCAGGGCCGTAGCTAGAACGAGGACCCATGCACTCGGGTTAGTTCCACGTACACTGCAGAGTCTGGGCCAGCCTTGCCATCCGTTGGCCGAGGGGCAGGTCTGCTGCCGGAGGAGCCATTATGGGAGAAATGCTGGTTAGCTTAAAGTGTGGTGCAGATGCAAGAGGCGAGGGTGCGGAGCGTCTGGGCCGGGTTGTCAGGGTGTCGGGTTGTCAGTCTGGAGATGTTGAGGTTGTCTACCTATTTCGCGGTGACGGAAAGCTCGATTAGGTGGCCAGAGGTGGCTGGCTGTTTGGAGGTGGGAATTTTGGAAATGGTCGGTGCGTCAATTGCCGGGGAGTGGGGAGGTCAGCTAGGTAGGGGGGTATCAGGCAGGGGTGGGGTCTGGTTTGGTTGACGTCTGCGTGATGCGATGACAATCAACTTGTGGGCTGGGCTTCACTAGCGAAAAGGCTAGCTCTGGGTCAAACGATCAAACCAAAACCCGGAATGCGAAGGAACCTCCTGCAGTAATAATGTGACCAGCCGTTCAAGTGTTCGACAAAAAATAGCGGCACTGCCCTCCCCACGTCACAGTTCAGTAGCTTTTGGCTTCGTCATCGAGGCAACCTCCACCAATCACCATGCCTCCCAAAATAGGCGTTTTCACGTGCTGTTGCGGGAGCATGATTACGCAGATACCACGCCTACCTACAGCAGCTACCTATCTGTCCATGGATGCTGCCGCAACATTAACAGATCGATAATGACATCGTGATTGGTTGGGGGCAAACGCCGGCGAAGGTGTTTCCTGAGCTTATCGACGTACCTAGATCCTTGGGGATTTGACCTTGGTTGTTAGTGAGCTCGAGCAAACAACATCAGACAAATCAATCTAGCCCCAGTCCGATGCCTCCCATTTGAAACAGCCCCCAATACGGCCCGTGTAACCGATCTTAGGGAATCTAGATCTATCCGATGCAGATATGGCTGATTTACATGCCATTGTCCACCCTTCGATCTGCAACATCCCGAGACTCGCTGTATTGTCCTTGACTGTGATGGTTCCTCAGGTGTGACGCGGATGCAGTGGCCCGTTTGCAGCTGCCAAACCCGGCCCTGGCAGGTGCTTGGGAGCGACATATTTTGAACCGACATTTCTGGTCCTCACTCAGTTGGGCTACAAATTATTATTTAAAAGGCCTCCCCATACTCCTCCTCGAACGGCCATTATCACTTTAACCCTACGAATCTCCGTTTCTCACGAATCTATCTCGCCAGATGGCCACTACCGGAACTCTCCAGCGCCTCTCGGCCGCGGCCCTGGCCGAGCTCATCCTCGCCGAGCAGAACCCCTCCAACCCCGCGGTAGCGATTATAGACGTGCGGGATGACGGTGAGAAAACCCGCGTGTTCTAGGCCGGGAGATGCCTATTACGGATGCTGATTGCTGATTCCTGCTTTGGGGACGTCTAGACCACATCGGCGGCCACATCAAGGGCTCCCAGAACATCCCGTCCGGCCGTCTCGACGCCATGCTGCCGACCCTTGTCCGTCAGCTGCAGGACAGGCAGACCGTCGTCTTTCACTGCGCGCTCTCACAGCAGCGGGGCCCGGGGGCCGCGCTGAGGTATATCCGCGAGCGGGAGCGCATGTTCCCCAGCAGTGGCCAGGCTGCCTCGAGCAATACCGACGAGCAGAAGGACGGAGAGAAGAAAGAGACACAGGTCGTGCAGAGGGTCTACGTATTGGATCGTGGATTCGTGGGCTGGCAGGAGGTGCATGGCGAGGACGAGAGGTTGACCACGGGATATCGCAAAGATCTCTGGCAGGACGGCTATTGGGGTTGAGGCCGGCCTGGAGGTTGCTGTCAAGCCAACCGCTGCTTTCGGCCAGGAATGTTCCCCCAAAAACCGCGTTGGGAAACCATGCCACCCGTCCTGGTTAGCTACACCATGATGAGCTACTAGCAGCCTCTTTACCCCTGATGGTACCAACATGGGATTCGGTGGGTGGGCTAGTCTTCAAAGGGCTGTCTGTTAGCAATGCCATTTCGCCTCAAATGGTACTTGGATTCCCTGAAACCCCGATCACGACCCCAACCCCGACCCCGACCATGGTCGTACTGTTATTGGCTTGATTACAATTCGGATCGGTCATCTGAAAGCAGTTGCTATCCTCGGCATCTTCAGATCCCGTCAGCTCTGACAAACCCCCCCCCCTCCCATTGCTGACCTCGCCGGCTCTCCAGGTGCAAACGGAAACGGCATATTGAGTTTTATTTTATTTCGCTTGATGGGTTGCGGCGCGCGATGAGCTCGCCGGTTCCGCTGCTCGCAAGCATGAGTAGCCTTCAACTCTATTCTTCACCTACAAAATGCCAGCCTTCTAAACTATTACCGTCTAACAGAGTGGTGTGATCTTCCCGGTCCTCAGCTCTTCCGCCACTTGCTTTGACACCTCGGCCCAGCGGAGGTTGGCGTCTGCCTCGGCGTCATAGGCGTAGAGCCATCTGTTCCTCATCTTCACTGATTCCGGGTCTATCTCGCCCCCCTGGTCGAGGTTCTTGAGAGCGTTGTGCCACCGATCACGGAGATCCTCTCCATTTCCTTGGCTGAGTCTCGTCCGAGCAAACCTGAGCTTCTCGTACGTTCGGGTCTGCATATCACATTAGCCCATTTTATCTCTCCCGGGACGTTCGGCCAAACCTACGGCAAGCGGCACGTTCCCCTTGCCCGCCAGCTTCAGACACACGGCCAAGACGGCACCGCTCTCCGTTGCCTGGCTGGCCCCCTGCGCGCTAGTCGGGAGATGGGGATGGCAGCTGTCTCCCACCAGGGCCACCTTGTGGCTCTTGGAGACCCACGACGGGATGGGGTCTCGGTAGCAGATCTTCCAGTCGAGGCATGCCTCGGTGTTCTCGAGGGCAGCTGCTATCCGCGGGTCCAAGGTCCGGATGTGCTCCCGCACCTCGTCCATGTCCCCGTCCTGGAACCACGACTCCTTGATCTCCAGGTCCTTCTCGTCCGAGAGCTTCCGCGTGATGATCCAGTTGAACTCCTTCCCCCCGCGGAGGGTGTTCTGGACCAGGTGCGTGTCGTCGCCGATCCAGATGTTGACGCAGTCGTGGTCCACAAAGTCGCGGCACCGCGGGTCCTCCCTCAGGTGCTCCCCCGGGAAATACGCGCGCCAGCACGAGTACCCGGAGCTCTTGGGCGCGTCGGTGAAGCCGAGGACCAGCTCCCTGGCGCGCGACTTGATGCCGTCGGCGCCGACGATGAGGTCGGCGGTCTCGACGCCGCCGTCGGCCAGCGTGACGCTGGGCGCGTCCTCGTCGAAGGCGACGACCTCGCAGCCCGTGCGGATCTCGATGCCCGCGTCGCGCACGGCCTGCAGCAGCGCCTCGTGGTAGTCGCCCCGGTGGCCGATGTAGCCGGCCATGTCCATCAGCGGCTGCTGCGCGAGGATCTTGCCGTCGTGCCAGCGCCGGATCTGCATGTCCTCGGCCTGGTTGCCGATGCTGGTCAGCTGGTGGTATAGCTCCTTGCCGCCCCAGCGGTCGAGCAGCTTCAGCGCGTTCTCGCCGAAGCCGAGAGAGTCGCCGAGGCGCTTGAACTGCTTCAGCCGCTCGAAGACGACCACCTCATGTCCGTGGTGCTTGAGTGCTAGGGCGGTGGCGCAACCGCCCAGGCCTGCCCCGATGACAATCACTTAGATGGGTTTAGCAGGGTCCAGACATTTTTATTTAGAGAGACTTGTAAGAGAGAAAAGGGGGGTTTAACACCTTTTATCTGCTCCGTGTTTTTAGACATCGTTGATCAATAAGAAAGGAGAATGACACTTGCGAATATTCAATATAAACTAGTAGAATATCAAGGCTCGGTAGTCAGGGGATGCAAGAAAACTAAAAGGATGCCAGGATATTAATAAATAAACGGCCGGCAACGGCCGGTTGGCGGCACTTGCTGAGCTCCATGTGCTCCATGAGCTCCGTGAGGGGTATCGACAATAGTGGCTCGGCACTGGTGTTGATATGTTGGCCAACCGTATCGGCAGACGAGACAGGCGTCTCTCCGAGTGTCCAACGTCAATCCCCAACACGATGTATTATCGATAGCCATGGCCGAGTGTCTCGTCTTGCTGGGAGGTTAAGAATTATAGCCATACTTTACACTTTATGATCGACTGGAAAAAGACGGGGAGGTCTGGTTACATCCTCACCCACATCTGCGAGGTACACAGCGAGTGGGCCGAGCTGCCGCCGCTTTAACGGAAGCCAATGGGGTTTTGCTGGGCGTACCTGGGCAACATGCTATTCTGTCTGGGGTCTGTGCGCCACAGGTGGTGCCGGGCCGCCAGGACCTTTGACAGTTGTGCTGCCGGAGCCCGCCAGGCGCTGGGCCACCGGCCAGGCGATTGAATTGAATGCTGCGCCGGCGATTGCAATAAACGCTGCGCCATCGGTTGAATTGAACGTTGGGCGTCGGGCTACTAGCGAGGCGATGGAACTGAACGCCAGTAGTGCACCACTTACCTACACGTAGGCAATTGCGTTTAATTAATCGCCTGGGCAGCGTTCAATCCTGGCGTTTGATTCAATCGCCTGATGTTCAGTTCAATCGTCTAGCTGGTGACGCCCGGTGGCCCAGCGCTGCCGGCACAGCGTTCAACTCAATCGCCTGATGTTCAATCCAATCGCCGGCGCAACTTCCATTCAATCGCCAGGAAAGCGGTCAATTCAACCGCCAGCGCGGCGTTCAATTCCATTGCCTGGCGTGTAAGTTGAGTGGTGGTGCCACCAGAAAGTTAGGAGCACCTGTCAGAATTCCCGGCGGCCCGGCACCATTTGTGGCGCACAGACCCCAGGCACGAATAGCAAACTGCCCAGGCACGCGCAGCAAAAACACAGCCAATAAGACCGAAACGGACGCCTCAATCTGACAAGTAGCCCCGCCCGGAACATGCAACTCCATGTGGTTATCTATCTCCCACCCCACTACACTTCACGCCAGACAGTTCTGATGCCATCAACGCCGACCTACCCTATTCACCTTCCCAGATACCAACGCTAAACGAGAGGAATGGGATGGGCAGCCTACATGGTCAAATCGTACCACCGAACAAGGCCAAAGATAATTCCAACCCGAGATGGATCGCCTGCCGCAGGAGATTACTGCTAATATAATCTCCCAGTTCGCAGGGGACGGCCGCAACCACGGCTGCAACCACGGCTGCAAAGACGGCTGCAACTACGGCAACGACGATGGTAGCGACGACCGCCCCGCCCTTGCCCCGTACGCCACCGTGTCGCGCGCGTGGCAGCAGCGCATCGAGGCCATAACCTTTGCCCACATCACGCTCAACCCAGCACGCCTGGCATCGCCCCTCACAGCGCAGGCCCTGACACCCGACCGTGTGCGTCGCTTCGTCCACTCTATCTATGTCGACGTGATTCTGCCGCCGTACGACGAGGAGGCGCGGGGCCGGGTTGAGGATGACGCTGAGAGGGCTGGTAACGACGCTGCATTCACCGATGCTGTCCGGAAGGTTTTCGCTTTGCTTTCGACGCCCGCGTCAGCTTCAGCTGTGCCTAGGGATGCTAATAACAACGATTATGGCGGCGACAGCGGTTATCGCCCTCGTATCCTCCTTTCCTTAGGCGCCCGGTGTGTTAGTGACGTCGAGGACCTGGAGGCAAGGAAATACAGGTGCAGTGTTCTCATGTTTGACAGGGCCAAGGACATTTTCGAGCTGCGCTACGAGAGCTCGTATCTCGACCTAAGGCTAGCAGAGGCCCTGCCTAAGCTGAATTGCATCTCACAGTTCTACGTCAAGGCCAGGAGAGCCCACCGGACGTTTGCACCACGGGCGCTGTGTCTTATAGCGTCAAGGATATCAAGTCTAGAGAGTATAAACTGGGAACTTTTTGACAACGAGAAGAGGGATGCAGCACTTAGGAAAAAGTTAAGAGCAGGTAGGCTTGACCATTTGCTAGGCAGACAGAAGGCACAGGCTAACCAAAAGATATACAGATTTTGCCAACGCTTTACAAATACTGCCCTCTACCCTCCAAAACTTCAATCTCTCCTACGAAAGACGCGAGCCCTCAGACCACTCCTTCCAAACCCCTAGCCTTCTAGATGAAGCAGACCAGGACAACAACGACAAGCTAAGCCTTGCACTGCACAAGCTCTCCCATCGCCTCACCAGCTTCCATCTAGAGGCCAGCGTTGGCCCAGAGGTCCTTTGGCCGTTAGAACATAGAGAATTGGACAAGCAGCAGCAGAAAGGAGACGATAGCAGCGACAGCAATCGTCCTCTGCTCTGGCCAAACATGCAGCAATACTCGATCGACCCAGGCGCCATTGCCCCGTCAGGCGAGTGGCGCTACATGCGACGACCAGACGCCACAGAGTATTCGGAAGAAGACGGAGACTCGTACGTCTCAGAGACTATTCCAGTCCCAGGCGACGAGAAAAATGACTATTTTCGCGATAAACTAGACCAAGACGCCGCCATGTCTCTGCTGCTAGCCGCTGCGCGGGCTGCGGGCCGCATGCCAATGCTCCACTCTATGTTCTTTGTGCTGCACCCGCCTACTCCTGACAACGACACGCTGTATGTCTTCTACGATGTGAATCGTAGTGAGTGCTTGGCTCGTGGGGGTCGAATTGGTCCAGCAAAGCTGAAGATCGAGACCTACCCTGTATTTGTCCCAGACGAGGAGGTCATGGAAGCTTGGAGGGCAGCCGCAAAGGAACATACAGGTGCCGAGTCTGGGCTTGAGGTGAAGATCATAGATATCATGGAGTGGAAAATGTCTGTGCTAAGAGCGTCTGAAGCGCAGGCGTTGATTCCAGGACGAACCTTGACACCATGACCGCCGTTTATCAAGCCATCGATCAAAGACTATGGAAGAAGGAGATCCTGCGGTTGAGAAAGAAACACGACGGGGAACTGGTGACAGAGGGTCACATCGAATCGGCTAGTCGGGCAAAACTTGAGGAATTCGCCAGAAACGAGTTGTTTCTAGAGAGCCTTGCTTTTGCCGGACTGCAGAACGATACAATTGAGTTTGAGTCAAGGCATCTCGATCAAATATTTGACCGCCTGGTAAGCGAAGTGGAGTTTCCGGAGCAAGTCCTCCTTGACACCCTACAAGGAGGGTCTGATGTGAAAATCACAATTATAAAGTCCCTAGCAACACAACCGAGAATCCCGTTAAGCATCATCGATTTAACACCTTCTTGGCTTGCAAATAGCGAATCTACACCTTGGAAGAGTGTGGTCCTGGGCATGCTACAGCGTTCCCGTCCAGACTTGACAAACAAGCCCGTTGCAGCCGTGATAGCGTGCCTGGATGACCTGCATTGGCATGTCAGATCGGCTGCCGTCGACGTGTTAAAGGCGCAGTCCAGCTTAGCTGGCGAGACTGTCGCGGCTGTGGTAGCGTGCCTGGATGACCCAGACTTGGATATTAGACAGGCTGCTGAAATTGTCTTGGCAGAGGCTATACTAAGACATGGGAAATTATATTCTACTCTTCTCAGCGGTCCATTTGTAGCATCACTATATAAGATTCTATTGCAGCGCAGTTTTAAGAAGCAGCTGAGTTGGTATGTTGAGAACAGGATATCCTACGTAAACATGCCAGATAGGGTCACAAATGCCAGGATTGATAATATGGAAGAGTTCATATACATGGTTAACAAAGCGCGGCCACCAGGCATTCTATTGATGGCTCTAGGTTCACAGCAGGGATGAGAAACAACAAATATAGAGTAGTCTTGCAACCTTCTTCTCTTATTTTATTTTTCATAGCGTGCCACATAAAGGGCCTGGGAGGCCGGGAAATATATAAGTGTGACGGGCTGCGCCCGGAAGTGGCCTCCCAGCCTCATCTGTTGAGCGCAGGGACCACATTTGGTTGACCTGGCAACACGCAGGGGCCTACACCTAGCTACTGGTCAGGGAACGCGGCCCTGACAGGATCTCTCGTTTTTTCCCCCCTTTCCTTTCCTCAAGATTGATGTACTCGTAGAGTGGCCTAGCCAGTTGCAATACTACTGCCTTGAGACCGTTACACCAGGGCTCGCCTAGGCATGCGAGGATGATCAGGGCACGACATGGACAACTCTATGCGAGTGTTCTTAATATGGACTCTGTTTAAAATAGTTAGTGTTAGACCCTAATATGTGATAAGTTTGGAGTCGTCTTCTTTTATAGTAGTGGTGATGTAGAACGAGTTTCTGTTGGATTTAGAACCAAGGTTGGAAAGGCCCCATGCGAATAGGCATGTTTGTCCCTGCAGGCTACTGGTAGAGTGCCGACTATTTCGGTCCTCTGGGTTGGAAACGTCTTGATAGAGGTTTGGGTAGTGCCGTTACATACGAGCCAAGAGAAGATACAGCCAAAGGACAAGCTCCAAGGTAAGAACTGGAAGCTGGCACCTCCTTTCGCTACAAGGTAGGTAAGCAAATGATACGTGAAGCTTTTGGGGCAAGTGACAAAGTGGGTCCCAGAACGGAAGCCTCGGATTGGAGGAGGAGTCGACATGACACGGGAATTTTAGTCGGCGCGGCCCGCACAAGCTAGCCCGCCCGCCGAGAAATATGAAAATTGGGATCTCATCATTCCGTTCCGGGTTTCTACGCTTTGGCCTCCACCTGCGCAGTTCTGTTCAGTGATAAGTCGTCGCCATCTTCATCTCGCCAAGGCCCGAGGCTGTCCGCCCTCGTTGCCCCTTGCCCCTCACCACCGAGATGGCGCCCTCTCACGAAGCCGCCGTCAGCCACATCTCGGCTGCCGTGAGGGCCTTGTTCTTCCGGCGCGAGTCGTTCCGCGTCTTCCACGGCTCCACCAACAGCACCCGGCCAGGCCACTCCGGCCGGGTGGTCGACATCAGCGCCCTCTCCAACGTCCTCGAGGTCGATGAGGCGTCGCAAACGGCCATCGTGGAGCCGAACGTGCCCATGGACAAGCTCGTTCGGGCGACCCTCGCCCGCGGCATGATCCCGCCCGTTGTCATGGAGTTCCCGGGAATCACCGTGGGCGGCGGCTTTGCCGGCAGCGCAGGCGAGAGCAGCTCGTTCAAGTACGGCTACTTCGACCAGACGGTCAAGTCCGTCGAGATGGTGCTGGCGACCGGGGACGTCGTCAAGGCCTCGCCGTCGGAGAACCCGGACCTGTTCCGCGGCGCAGCAGGGACGGCCGGCACCCTAGGCATCACCACAAAGCTGGAGCTCGGCCTCATCCCCGCGAGGCGCTTTGTCGAGCTCGCATACCGCCGCTGCGCAACCGTGCCGGAAACGATTGCAGCCGTGCGGCAGGAAACCGAAAACCCAGAGAACGACTACGTCGACGGCATCATCTTCTCTAACACTCACGGCCTCGTCATGACGGGCAAGCTCACGGATGATATCCCTCAGACCAAAAAGCCGCAAACATTCAGCGGCGCGTGGGATCCGTGGTTCTACCTCCACGCTGAGGCAAAATCGCTGCAAACTGCTCCTTCCACAGACCACATTCCAATCGCCGAGTACCTCTTCCGCTACGACCGCGGCGGTTTCTGGGTTGGAGCCGAAGCGTTCAAGTACTTTTCCTTTGTCCCCTTCAATCGCTACACCAGGTGGTTCCTCAACGACTTCATGCACACGCGCATGCTATACCGGGCCCTCCAAGGGAGCAACATGTCCTTCGGGACCATGGTCCAGGACCTCTCGCTGCCGTACGACACGGCCGCCGACTTCATCGAGTACACGTCCCGGGACCTGGGCATCTGGCCGCTGTGGCTCTGCCCCCTCCGCGCCACCACAGCGCCCACGTTCCACCCCTTCACCACGGACGAAAGGGGCGACGGGTCGCCGCAGCCGATGCTCAACATCGGGCTCTGGGGCGCCGCGTCCAGGGACATGGACACCTTCGTCCGCCAGAACCGCGAGCTGGAGGCCCGGCTCACCGAGCTGGGCGGCCGCAAGGTGCTCTACTCGCACACGTACTACACCGAGGGCGAGTTCTGGCGCCTGTACGACCGCGCCTGGTACGAGGGCCTGCGCCGGCGGTACGAGGCCACCTCGCTGCCGAGCCTCTACGACAAGGTCCACGTCGACGTCGACAAGGCACGCAAGGCGCGGGGCACGTCGTGGGTCCGCCGGCTGGCTGCCCTGTGGCCGCTTCCCGGGCTCGCGGGGATCTGGTCGGCTATTCGGAGCGGGGATTACCGGATCCATCGGAGGTATTGGAAGGCCATGGAGGCGGGCGAGAGGTGAGACCGGTCATGGCGGCTGGCTTGACTCGATATCGAATGTTCTAAGCTGGTGGAAGGCAATGACCACGTCAGTCACAGCCGCAACCGTCACTGCCAGGGGCAATGCGTCAATAGATGGCTCGTATTGGGACTACCAAAGGCTAGGCTTCATTCAAATGTTGCAGTGGTCAGGCCCGTTGCATTTGAGGAGCGATGCCGACGCCGACGCTAACGCCGACAACCCTGCCGACAGCAATGAGGGGGTTGGCAACAGCAGTGGCCAGTAAGGACGGTGAGGGGAGCGGGGAGGAAACGCAGAGGAGTCTTCATGGAGACGATAAGTCAAACAACAGTATAGACATGGGGCGACGGGCAGCTCTGTGTCTAAGTAGTCGTCTTGTTCAGGCGGACTCCGTGGTGGGCAGCCTCCCAGGAAGTAGTGCTTGGTGGTGTAAGCGGTCATTTTCTAGGCTAGCAAGCCCAGGCTAAAGCGGCGTGAGGTCCGAGGAAAACATCCCACAAAACGTGGGGTACCAATTCTCGGATAAGCAACTGCGGAGAAGGACTCCAAAACCATCTGCCGATTTAACGCCAACCCCCGAACCTCCCGTGTCAAAGTGTGGGGAGTTGAGCGGGGATGGGATGCGGGGGGATTGCAGATGATGGCAACCCATCGGACTTTAGAGAACCCATTCATGAGCAAGATGTGCCTTCCTTTTAACCGTCTTCCGTTGTCAGGTATCTGGCCGACACACCTGAGAATATTTGTCGGTTCTGTAGGCAAGGTCAGTATTGGGACACACTTGCTACCGCACCACGACATCAGACATCAGCTAAACCCCCTCCAACTCCAAACATGGAGGATACGTATAGCGGCGTCCCATCGCGGCTGAGTAAAGAAGCGGCAGAATGCCGGGCGCGCCTACTTGGGAATCGCACCCTGCCGGCCAGCCAACCGCGGAAACACGGCGTTCGTCTGCCCCCGGATACAACGCTTGAGCAGTTCGAGTCCGCCATCCAGGACTTGAGAGGCAAACTCGGGCCCGATAACGTTGAGGTTAACGACAAGGCCTTGGTCGACGGGTGGTATCTGGAGCACCCCAACACCCATGATGCTTTCCACATCGTCGACCAGGAGGAGCTCGTCAGCAGCGCTGCCGTGTTTCCTGGATCCACGGAAGAAGTGCAGATCATCGTCCGTTGGGCCAACCAATACGGCATACCGATATATCCCATCTCCCTGGGGCGAAATGTGGGTTACGGAGGGGCAGCTCCACGGGTCCCCGGCGGCGTCGTGATCGACCTAGGTCGCCGAATGCACAATATCCTCAAGATCGACGGCGAGAATGCCAGCTGCGTCGTCGAGCCCGGGGTGACGTACTTCAAGCTCTACGAGGAGATCCAGAGGCAGAAGTTGCCGTTGTGGATTGACCCGCCCGACCTCGGAGGCGGGAGCGTGCTCGGCAACGCCATCGACCGGGGGGTGGGATACACGCCGTACGGCGACCACTTCGCGAACCACTGCGGCATGGAGATCGTGCTCCCTAGCGGCGAGCTCCTGAGGACGGGGATGGGGGCCATGCCCGGCCCCGACGGTGAGGACAACCCGACGTGGCAGTCCTTCCAGCACGCCTTCGGCCCGTCGGTCAACGGCATCTTCTCGCAGAGCAACTTCGGCATCGTCACCAAGATGGGGTTCCACTTGATGCCCGAGACGAATAACCAGTCGTACTGCTTCACCTTCCCGCACGACGACGACTTTGAGCAGATCGTCGACATCATCCGCCCGCTCGCCCAGCAGCGCATCCTAGGCAACATCCCCCAGCTCCGGCACGCCATCCAGGAGCTCAACGTGACGGGCCGGCCCAAGTCGTCCTTCCACTCGGGCGCGGGCCCCATGACGCGCGACGAGGTCCGCTCGGCGGCCAAGGAACTGCCCCTCGGCGACTGCTCGTGGGTCTTCTACGGGACCCAGTACGGGCCCGCCGAGACGATCCAGTCCCAGCTGGAGGTGATCAAGGCCGCCTTCGGCCGCATCCCGGGGTCCCGGTTCTTCCTCCCGTCCGACGTGCCCGCCGACCACTACCTGCACTCGCGCTCGCTCGTGTGCGCCGGCGTGCCGGTGCTGCGCGAGCTGGACTGGCTCAACTGGACGCCCAACGGGGCGCACCTCTTCTTCTCGCCGATCGCGCCGACGCGGGGCCGCGACGCGCGCACGGTGCACGACCTGATCGCCGCGGCGCACGCGCGGCACGGGTTCGACCTGTTCCCGACGCTGTGCGTGGCCGGGCGCGAGATCCACTACATCGCCAACATCGTGTACGACCGGGCCGACGCCGCCGAGAAGCGCCGCGCCGTGCGCCTGATGCGCGAGATGATCGCCGAGTGCGCGGCGCGCGGCTTCGGCGAGTACAGGACCCACCTGCTCTTCGCCGACCAGGTCGCCGCCACGTACAGCTGGGGCGACCGCGCGCTGATGCGGCTCAATGAGACTATCAAGGATGCACTGGACCCCAACGGCGTGCTGGCGCCGGGGCGGAATGGTATCTGGCCTAGGAGGTATAGGGGGAAGGGGTGGGAGCTGGGGGCCGAGGACGTCGACATGGATAGAATCGGGCCTAAAGCATGACCTGGAGGTCTGCCCATGAGTGCAAAACTTGTTTGGGACCAGCTTTGATTTTGACTACCGCCATGCTTTTGATGTCGGGACAAGGTTGCAGAGCGCATGACTTGTCCTTAAACTTAGTACTTAGAGACAAGACAGTCAAGGTTATTTCCCGCCACTTCTCTGGATGGCACCGGTTACCCCCTCTCATCTAAGAGGACAACCGAACATGGTCTAGTGTGATAACCTTGAAGTCGGAAAATGCAAAGCGGCTCGGACAACCGGTGGTTACGAGTTTATTTCCTACATGGCAGGATGATCAAGTACAGTGGCACTGCCAGCAAAGTCTAACTTGCAGTCCCATTGCTCAAACCTAGGACTTTAAACTCCGACTATGGGGGGTTTATTCTTACCTCGGAAAGGCAGGCTGTCATTCCCACAGTACTATGTTCGTGAGAACCTTTCCTCTCCATCCGTCGACATTCATCTTCCCACAACCTACCCCAGATCTCAACAGCGACAGCACGTCCGCAAGACAAGAACAAGACGGCCAGAGACACCTAAAGCGAGGGCCACGGCCTCTCAAAGCCATGATTGCGAGCCTAGAGCCACACATGATCGTGCTCATCATCCTCCAAGTCCTCGGGTACGCATTAATCGCCATCGCAGTAGCATACGGCGCGCTGCTGAGGAGGAGAATCGGCCGCCTGACCCCGCAACGGAGGTGGCTATGGCTCTTCACCGCAACACTCCTCGGCCTGCTATGGCCCCTGACCTTGATGGGGCTCGGACTGCAGCACCTTGGCTGCTGCTCCACGATAGATGACGCCGCGGACGACGACATCGAGGCGCAAGACCAACAACCCGGGGAGATGCTGCCCCTTACCCCGGTCTCGACTGCGAGTGGGCTGGAGATTCCGGAGCCGCCACCGACGTATACGCCGCTGTGAGGCATTGACGGGGGACCCATTACGAGAGCCATTACGAGAGCCCCGGGGAAAAGGGGGGGGGGGGGGGGGGGGTGGGGGAGTGGGGGGGGGGGGGGGGGGGGGGGGGGGCGGGGGGGGGGGGGGGGGGCGGGGGGGGGGGGGGGGGCACG